GGGAATGCGGGTCTTGCTGCATAATCATTTTCATGGAATAAAATCAAAACACGAAAGATCGTAGTAGTAATAAATGAATAAGAGCAATACGCAACATATAAACCAGATGAAACAAGACTCGCCGTGGCTGAAATAGATAGCGCTTAAACTTCCGTGATATTCGGTTCTGGCTGCACGGACGGTCATTGCCGTTGACTGATCAGCCATGATCAACCGCCATGGAGGACGATCTTCGGAACTCTACTCTTAGTCTACTCTTTGGAGGAGGCGAACGCCATTGGGGTAACAATACCAATGTCCTCGTTAACTTTGTGCGGGGGAGGGATCTGATTGCTCATATCCAAGGCAGAAGTACGGATGCTGTGGACTGCTCCAGCCTTCATAGGGGTTTCCTGGTTCTCAATCTCCTCCATCCTGAGGGTGCATGACGTAGATGTACGGATTGAACGGTCATCCCTGATGGAATGGAATCGGGCTGGGAAACATGGGGGTACCTTCTATTTATTGCTTCTTGGTCATTCCTTTCCAATTATTGGGGTCATTCCTCATGTTCTGCAAGACGAGTGGTTATACCCTGAATAAGGCACTGACTCACTACCATTATGGCTTCAACAGTTGTCGTTGCCTCCAAATTTGACCAGGAATCAATACACAGCTACGAGTACTCTGTATATACTGAATACACTTGCGGATCGACTTCCGAACTCCCTTGCTCCGCACAGACGATCGGTATTATAAACCCGTCTGGACCAAGGCGCGTTGCCCTTGCGGCAACCCTACCGTAGGGTAAGTAAAAGAGAAAAAAGGAAAGGGATGTAAGGTATGATAGGTCATTGATGTCTGTGATCATTGTTCCATGGTTCCAAGTTCAATGCATTCATTCCCCATTGATGGGTTCTTTCCACCGGAGTATATGGGATTGTTTACATCCCATCGCCACTGCATTGGCATGCGTCGGCCCTTTCTCTCCCCGGCCTAGCCACCGTTCGGCCGGTCTGAGGCCTTGAAAGGACCGTCCTGCACTGGTATGGTGGAAATAATAATAGTCATAATAATAATAACAATAAAAAAAAAACCAGGATAGCTCTATAAACATACCTCCTCCCTCCCTTTCTCCCTTGTTGTCATTCATGTCTTGCTTTTCTTTCCTTTAATCTTCCCATTTCCTCTCGCTTGATTATTCTGATCACTGATCTCTGTTGCTACGTGGATTATCATCCACTGCTTGTCTGTCGTTACGAATGCCCCCCTCCGCCTAAGATTAAGACTCTTATCCCACGCGTTTGGCTATCGTGAATATAGTCAATGGCGAACGGATACTCTCGACTACCCAGAGGCATGCAGACGTCCCAGAACCGTCACAATCGATCTCAAAGCACCGTGCTCTTGCCCACTCCCTCTCCACCAAAGCAGAGAGCATCATCCTACTATCCCACGCAGTCCCTTGACGAGTCCAACCCTAACCCGGATCCCTTCTACCTCGAACACTCACTGGCAGGCCACTCTTGGGGGCCAGGTCGGCCCACGCTTCGTGATGCTCACCAGTATTTCGTACTCCCAGCCGTGAGCCACTCCAAGTCACGTCCCTCGTCGGCCGTGCGTGACGAGACCATCCGGTCCCGCCCCAGCGTCAACCGGTCCACCCTTTCAGTCGTGGAATTGGAGCACCAGTTGGGGCTGCAGCAGACCGGAGCTTTGCGCCACAGCCGGGGACCCCAGCCGATTGTACATCAGAGTCAGGGCTCCTTCAGCTCGGTACAGACCGAGGCCACGCCCGAATTGACCCCCAGCAGCTCGTTCTCTTCCAACTACTCTACCTCCCTTCATCAAGAACCCCTCGTCCAGATGCCTAAAGGTACCAGCAGCAACCCGGCGTCAGGCGCCTTCTATATGCCGGCATCGTCCCTGCGCAATCGCTGTCGACCACCGGCGCCTATCATCCCACGCACCCCAACCCGGGATGTGAGGACACCGCTCCCATCGAGCGGCTCGTCCGACACGCTCATCATGGCTCAACCCGAGTGCCAGGACCTCGCCAGCCTCCGAGGCAAACCGCTTCCTTCTCTACCTCCCTTCGCCAATCCCCCTGCGGCCGGCCGCAATGCCAACGCAGTGGGCCCGAAGAAGCCCCAGACGCCGTCCGGACGGCCCTCGATCGAACCCTCCATGATCTCGCCCCCCAGTCTCATCAACCCAGTCACCATGGAGCCTCACACGACGCACTTCGACCAAGCCCTCTTCATCCCCGCCAATGACTGCCCGAGTCCAGTACCCAGTCCCGTGCCAGGCTCCCCCGCCATTGAACGGCAGGCCACAGCAACATCGGGCAGGCACCGGCCCTCGACGTCCTTCTCGGAAGCCCACCACCGCTGCGAGCAGTCCGTCTGGGAGTCCGACTCGGACAACGAATCACTCGACCCGCGGTCGCTGTCCCGCAATCCAATCGATACCCTGAAGAAGGTGCGCAGTCGCGTCCAGCTCCGCGTCGCCAAGTCCACCCCCAAGCTGCAGAACAACCACCACAACCGCCATCAGCAACACCAGCCACCACCAAGCCAGGGGTCAGGGCTAGAAAAGTTCCCCTCGATGCCCGACCACCCATCCGATGCCATGGTCACACAGCCAGGCCGCCCCGGCCGCGATCCGCTTCGACCAGCCGCCCACCAAACCCTCCGACTGGTCGCCCCGTCCACCACCTCCCTCATACATCACAACCACCATCACCCGCAACCCCCTCGCTCGCGTCACAACACCAATCCCCATCCCCATCCCAATGAGCCGAGACACAATATCGATATCGATCGCTCCACCGCCGCCGCCATCCAGGCCAAATCACGTCGTCGTCAGCGCTCGGATTCTCCCGACCCGTCGTCCCGCCGAACAGACCGCGACAAGCTCTGCTCCTTCTGCCGCGAGGAACGCTCCGACAAGGCCATCCATCACACCTTAACACTCGCTCGTCCCCCTCTCTACAAACGCGTCTGGGACTCCCTGCGTGTGTTGGGCTGTCACGCCGATATCACAACCACCCGCCCTCGCAAGCCCATGTAACTCAAAATACAAACCCGGCCACATAATAGCAAACAAACATGAAAACAGAAAGAAAAAAAAAGCAACGAAAAAGCAGCAAACACAATTCGGCAACACACAGAAAAGCTCCGGCGTTACATGTTACACATTGGCTTTCTGCAGCGGGTTTATTCCAAATCACGGAAAAGTGGATTTTTGGACTGGGTGCACGACATGATTTTCGATAACTAATGCCTTACGATATGATTCTTTTTCTTACTGGGCAGACAGAACGGCCACAATCTTCCATGAATAATGAGACTTGACGCGGGTCTGGCTGATGATGATGATGTTTTCCAGCGATGACTTAACTAACCATGAAATGACTTACTTGATTTGACTTGATCGATGACCTGATGAGGTTATGGTGTGGGTATGGATAGATACCCTGGTTTATTCTTTTTACACTCATGATCTCTTTTTTCTTTTGTCTAGGACTTGACTCTCCTTCCCTTTTTTCACAGCGGCTTGATTGATTTCATTGTGTTTGGAGTATGGGCACGTCACTCATTAATATTCACTCGCTCACTAACTTACCCTCGTTAATACCGCCACATACGCCCATCTACTCCCACTACTTACTGCCTACTACCTACTACCCTTCTATCGCTATATCTAATTTCTTTAACCGTGTCATGCCATGTCACCTCAATATCAAATACAAAAGACATACAAGATATACAACTCACAAACTCTCTATTTTCTTTTTTTCTTCTCAGTTTCTTTGATCGCTGTTATGCAGCTTCCAGTGCAACCCATCCTCCCCAGAATAGGTCCACCTAGCTAGCGCCTACACACATACATACATACATACTTAGATCTAGCCGGAATGACAATCCACCAATCCAAGGATGAAGTCTCCTCACAATTCCTTGCTTACACACTGGGTAGGTAGGTAGATACCTAGATACCCAGGTAAAACCTAGCTATTGTTATGTCTCACCGGGATACCTAGCTACCTAGCTACCTACATTCCCTGATTACGTTGCGTTATGCCGTGCTGTACTCTGCTATGCTATGCTATATTATCCATATTATGCTTTACAGTGCTATGCTGTGCTATTCTATGCTAAGCTATACTAGGATGTATGTGTGTATGCTATGATCCAAATATGGGCATCCCTTGACCCCCTGGATCCATACACACCGTTGTGTTGAAAACAGGGCCACGACTGTCTTGGTCCCTGGTTCGTGGTTTACCGCTTGCTTGCTTGCGTTTATTCTTATTGTCTGTGCTCGTATTAAGAAGGGTGGTTGGTTATTAGGTTGGTTTGGGTCGTTTGGTGGATATGTGTTGGATATGTGTTGGGTAAGCTACGGAACGCCTATCTAGGGAGCATTGTTCGGGCTCGACTTGGTAGGGGTCCGTGTTTTATTGTCCTGACAACGGGTAGATTATGTCTGATTCTTGTTTCTTATGTCTATGGTTTTATTCATTTTATTCGTAGGTATATTTTCAAATCGATCGTCTGGTCTGAGACGAGTATCTGTATATACACAACGTAGTCATTTGTGTAGCTATATGCATGCTCAACAACAGCCCTCCTCCACCAGTCTTGTATGCACTACCCAAGCAGAGCACCATGTAGGTAAGTCCCTGTCTTGCTTTCCTCCCCGCCGTTCCTTGCAGTCGAGTCACCCTGACGGAATACGGGTAGTCGGGCCACCGCAAGGGTGTCTATCCATCCATCCGTCCATACAGGTCCCGCCATTGGCACTGCGGGAGACATGGTCAGGTAGGGACGGAGTCTCTGCGTCAGGAATGTGCATCGGGAGTCGGTCCAGGCCCCGTAGGACCGTCCATACTAAAGGTAACAGGGTCGGTAAGTGACCTGGCCCTCTCGCCTTTAGTACCGCGACCACAAAAGCGCAGAACTCGACAAACAGCGAGCAAGGACACTTCAAAAAAAACCAAGCCAACCTTGTTCAGTTCAGCTCAGCTCAGCTAGGCTCGGATCCTTCTCCTCCAACGCCTCCATATTCTCCTCCCACCGCGCAACGCGCACCCTCGTCTCCCACCCCTCCACAACGCCCGCCCCTGTCTTCGCAAGCCTGTCCTCCGGCTGTTTCTTCTCCCCCTTCTCCTCCTTTTCGCCCGGTCCATCTCCCCGCAGCGCCTCATCCGCACCTGCAAACACTCCCCGCACATCCAGCTCCCTCACTGCCCGTCGATACAGCGCCAGAATCTCCTCCTTCTTCGCTCGCCTCTCTTCCTCTAATACTCCAGCATCCCCATCACCACTCGTAGAAGAAGATTGAATCTTCTTAACAGCCCCACCCCCGACCCGCGCCTCAAACCCACGCACCAACCCCTCCAAGATACCCAGCACAGTGCCCGCGCGCATCCCCAGCTGCGCACCTACGGGGAAACCCGCATCAAACCCATCCTGCACGTGCTCGCCTTTCGAAGCTGCGATACCGTCGCGGTAGCCCGCTGTGACGTGTTGTCTGCGGAGGGAGGGCAGCTCGGAGGGTTCATTTGATGTGGGGGTGTCGTGTTGGGAGGGTTGCTGGGCGGTAGTGGTGGTGGAGGGGGCTGTTGGTGGGGAGGAGCCGAAGATGTCGTCTAGGGCGTTTGTGGATGCTGTTCCTGCTGGAGGGGGGGCATCGATTTCGGATGGGGGGGTCATCGTTGCTGTTGGGGAGTGCGGGGCGGCGAGGGAGCTGGGGGAGGAGGTGGTGGGGTCGGGGTGGGTGTTGTAGGAGGTTTCGAGATCCATTTTGGAGTAGTTTCTTTTTCCTGTGGGATATGGAGTAGGTACTTGGGTTGGAGGGTGGTAAGTAAGTAGGCCGTACGTTGGTGGGTTGGTAGGTAAGCGGTCGACTGATGGATTGAGTGATGACGATGAGGAAAATTTGGGATCGTCGGATCGGCGGCCTGAGGCATCAATTGCGGATGCACTGCGCCAGCCCTAATCTGCAGTATAGAACGGAGTATTATCGGTTGATATTTTGGGTTGAAAGTACACCCTGAGGAATGGTTTGTAGATCATGGGCTTAATATATAGCAGTAACATATACGCCTTGTAACTTGCGAACTTTCTAGGCACTTGGGCTTCTAGATGGAGAGTAGTAGATCTAACTGGCATGGCCCGCCTGTTATGCGGGGTCCCAGAACGCCACACCAAAGAGCTGTAAAGGTAGCGTGCTAAGAATAGTGAACAGGATTGTATAGAGGAATATAGGGATTGGTATTATCAAGAAATGACTACTGTCTATAGAGCTTACAGAACATGATGGTGAACTATAGGAGAAATCCCTAGCTCAGCTCATGAAATATATCTAATAGCTTTTTTTGTAAGGTTTATTCTCCTTTTCCTTTGAAGGAAGATAAGAAATATATGGACTAGTTGAAATCAATCCAACAATCAAAACTATTCAATCCTATGTCATCTCGAATAGTCACAATATACAGTGATTAGAAATGAACCATAGAGATATACCAGAAGGGTTACATGCAGTGATTCTTGGAATTAACTTCACGACACACGCCACTTTTTTCCTGGGGACCCACTGCCAAGGCGTCAATATACTACGTAGTAGGCATAATATTGTTGAGCCTGCGACTTCTTGTCAAGGTCATGATTTCACCATCAGGTGTAATATTCCAGTGCATATGCTCAATAATATACCTGTCTCAAACAAGATGGGTCTTCTCCCTAGAAACCCCATCCTCTAGTGAACAGTATGTGCAATGCCTTCGTGGGAGCGCATAATCGAACAACTGGAGATTTCCGCCTCTGCTCCATATTGTGGAGCCCCCTAACTATAGTTGTCCAGTTACAAACATGTTATATAGCAGAGAGTTCTGATGATAGAACACTATATATAGCCAGCCAAAGCCATGTTTTTGTTGACAGCAACTGTCAATTGCTATGGCTAACTATTGCCGGTCCCCTGTTTCCACTGCAGAAGCGTACATTACCTACCAAAGTCGATGGACTTCTCCAGCCTCAACCATCCTTGTCGAATTTCGTGAAAATGATTGGGCAAGATATTAGGCCCTCGCGCCGTCTTGGATGGTCTGGAGCCAGCCTCACTTCTCAGTCTCTCCTCTCCTGATTAACCCCTGAATTAATTCTTTCCCACCCAGTTTCTATAACGTCGTTTCTGTGTTTCGAATTCTCCGGACTATTATTCTATCATTCGAACTCAATAGCCCGACTAGTGGAACAACTACAATGGCAAGAAGGACCCGTCTTTCTCATGCCGATTACACGGTTGGATGGATATGCGCCCTATCTCTGGAGATGGCAGCTGCGAAGCTCATGCTCGATGAGGTCCACGAGAACCTATCGTCACAACCGAACGACCATAACTCTTATTATTTCGGGAATATTGGGCAACACAATATTGTACTTGCATGCCTGCCACATGGTGAATATGGCATTGCGTCTGCCGCTACTGTAGCCACGCAGTTGAAATCCAGTTTCCACTCGATTCGCTTTGGTTTGATGGTCGGCATCGGAGGAGGGGTGCCAAGCGAAGGTGATATCCGCCTTGGTGATGTTGTGGTCAGTAGACCAACGGGTGCACATGGAGGAGTGGTGCAATATGACTACGGCAAAGCATTAAACGAAGGCGTATTTCAGCGAACAGGCATGCTCAACCGTCCACCTCAAATCCTCTTGACAAGTCTTAACAAAGTAGAAACGAACCACATGACCGAAGGGAGCCGAGTCCCGAGATTTCTCGACGACATAAAACGCAAGATACCCAACTATGCTGCAAATTTCGCTCGTCCAACTCAAGCGGACTGTCTCTACATGACCGGCTATGATCACGCCATTCCCAGCTCCGAAACTTGTGATGGTTGTGATAAAACTATGGACGTCCAACGAGCCAATCGAAAGGATAACAACCCTGTTATTCATTACGGGGTGATTGCGTCCGGTAATCAAGTTGTGAAAAACAGTCACCTACGAGATAATCTAGGTCGTGAACTCGGAGCATCCTGTGTGGAGATGGAAGCGGCGGGATTGATGAATAATTATCCATGTCTCGTGGTGCGCGGCATTTGTGATTACGCGGACTCCCACAAAAACAAAGAATGGCAACGATATGCTGCTGCCGCGGCAGCAGCATATACCAAAGAACTTCTCCTGGAGACACCAGCCATCCACATTGATCAAGCACAGACCGTGCAAGAGATTCTGTATGATTCTGATATACATCGGGTTGAAGCAAGCGAAGACGAGGATGGAACAAGCGAAGACGAGGATGAAGAAAGCGAAGAAGAGGAAAGCGATGGTGAAATCTTGGAAAGTAGAGGCAATGCCTCATCTCAGCGTCGCGACAAATGCTATAACTGTTGGAGATATGGACATTGGAGGAACCAATGTCCTGATCTCACTTGTGACAGATGTGAGCATCACCATTGATCTACGAAGAGATGCATTCGCTAATCAAACTATGGTAATAGGTGGCTCTTTAGGTCACTATGCCACAACATGCACTCGACAACAAGGGATTTGCTATAAATGTGAGTCAAAACCTTAGTTGAATCAGACTTGCCTAACAAAGGAACAGGTGGGACTTGGGGACATTTTGCAGAGACATGCTGGATATCGTAATATTCGTGTTATCGATGAGGAATCCGGGGTTACTACATATTGGTACAAGATGGGGACATATATGTAAGCTGCAATTATAAGGGTTTACGGCATAAGGAAGTTAAGCAGGTGAACTATAGTACATAATCCTCTGCCAGATTTCTAATGTGTTTGGCATTAGTGTTAATGAGGTTGCCTCAAAAAATCACCACCGCTAAGTGGCTGATTAGTAGTATGATAGGTGACCACATGCAAATCCTGGCTGTTGAATGCTTTTCCGCCTCCTCCTCCTCTTCTTCTTTTTCTTTATCTTTGGACTCTATTCCTTGTGCAATTTGCCGACCATGGCATATAAAATGGGCAAAATTGATCCCCCACGGAGGTATTTGGTAACAAATGACTGGTTATATGAGTTCCGAACAAACATCAAATAATATTTAGATGATCTAATCATACCACCACACATTCACATACAGAATAACTGAATCTAGAAAAGCCTAGACATAAAAATCAGCCCTAGATGAATATATAATGTTCTCTATTATTTTATTCAGCCACCTTCCTCTTACTAGGCAGTAGGTAATCTATCGACTATACTCATAGAGTTTGGATCATGAGTTGCTATACAGTTGCTATACGCAGGTCGAAGAGGCGGCTACGTAGCTCCCTCCTGGTAACCCTAACAAGACAAGGGAGACCCCTCCAAACCATTTGATGTACTCAGAACTCTATACAACCCTCCTTAGTATACAACCTGGTACATATGACTATAGGGTGTGAAAAACAGGGCTTCCTGTCTACTTAAACTTACCTTCAAAAATATCAATTACCTTAAGAAGGTCATATCTTTGGAAGGACTCCCAGAATGCGCTCCAATCGGCCGGGTTCGGGTTTTGGGCGGATCCTGAAGCTAGACCCCAAACCCCGGCCGGATTGGGGGCAGCCCCCTAGATCCGCCCAAACCCGCCCTGAAAACAACACTTATGCAAATGAGTCAGGGATGTACCAAGGCACCAAGGGGCAGTAAAACAATCGCTCTAGCTCATTATGGAGAGAGCATCCCTAGCAGCAACCCCCTTGCGCCGCGTTGATTCTGACCTCCAAGGTTACGTGCAAACAAAATTAGCTCGAGGACCAGGAAACGTGGTTTCTTGTTAACTGATTATGTCTCTTGTATCTGATCTAGCTTTTAGCAGAGCTTGAGCTCACCAAAGCAAAGACGCTACGCTTCAATAGTCGGGAAGCATCCGATTTTCAGGATCTCTCTGTAACGTGATCGAACGTTTGTCAGCAGGTCAAGCTAACACCAATTACTTTTTCTCCTGGATTTCGGGCCAAGGCAGCCTGATGTAAACAGACATTCCTTACCGCAGTGAGGGGGTCGAACAACCGGTGATGGTTGCAGACGGCAAGGGATTCCGCCCCCGCCGGGTGCGGGATATAAAAGGCTCCAAGTGAACACCGCAAACACTGGCACACCTCGCCGCTTGCAACCTGGTCGTCAACTCCTGCTGTCACACGGTCGATTTTGTTGAGTGGCTTCAGACGTTCCCGATGATTGTCGGTCGAGTCCTTCTTTGACCCGGCGCAAGTTGATCGCAACTATAAAGAGTTCGGTTCGCTCCTTATTTTATGTCCCCAGACTCTCTTTGTCGAACCTGAAAAATCAGAACCAAGCGACAGTTCCTAGACCATCTGAATCGAAGACATGGAAACTTTGACCCCGACGTCAGATGATCCGGAGAGTTTGGAAGAACGATGGACAGCGATGGACTTCCGCCGGGTCGGAGACGAACTCGGTCTCCAATCATCGAGAACGTCTCAGCGACTCAACCAAATCGACCGTGTTCGCGCCAACGGAGTTGGCGATCATGTTGCACTGCCTCAGCTGGTGGTATGCGGTGATCAGTCCGCCGGCAAAAGCTCTGTGCTGGAAGGGATTAGTGGAATCCCTTTCCCCCGGCAGGATGGCTTGTGTACCAGATTCGCGACGGAAATTGTCCTGAGACATACGCCACAAGCGAATCGTATGACGGCCACGATAAACCCTCATTTGTCGCGAGATGATGAGGAGAGAAGGCGCTTGGCCTCCTTCCGAATGGAATTCCGTGACTTCGCTCAGCTTCCCGGAATCATCGAAGCCGCAGGTCAGTGCATGGGCATTCGTACCTCCGAAGATCAGGCCGATGCTCCCGCTTTTGCCGCCGATGTTCTGCGATTGGAGTTGGTTGGCAATACCGGACTACATTTGACGATTGTTGATCTGCCCGGTTTGATTTCGGTTTCCGAGAATGAGCGCGACGTGGAGCTTGTTAGTGATCTAGTTGATTCCTACCTCGAAAGTTCGCGGACAATTGTGCTTGCGGTTGTTCCAGCAAGTAGCGATGTTGATACTCAAGGTATCATCCAGCGAGCCCGTCGCTACGATAAGGATGGGGTACGAACGGTCGGTATCATCACAAAACCAGATCTTATCAATACCGGAACTGAGCAACGGGTTGCACGCCTGGCGAAGAACTTGGATCGCACAAAGCTCAATTTGGGATTCTTCTTGCTCAAAAATCCGGCCCCCGCCGAGTTGCGGGAGGGCTTGTCTCCAACTGCTAGAAAGCGCGCAGAGCAGGCTTTCTTCTCCAGCGAACCATGGAGTAGCCTGGGACTTGATCCATCACGCGTTGGGATCGAGAACCTTCGAGTGTTTCTCCAAGACCTTCTGGATAGTCACATTGAACGTGAGCTTCCGAAAGTACGAGAGGAATTGCGTGAGCTTCTCGAGCGAAATAGCCAGGATATTGCTGCCCTTGGAATGGAACGAAATACTCCTGGTCAGATACGGATATACCTGACGCAGGCTAGCGTCGACTTTCACAGCTTGGTTCGTGCTGGTATTGATGGCGACTATGGTGGCCGTGACGCGAGTTTTTTCGACATCCAAGGCAAGGATTTTGCGAATCGGCTGCGCGCTGTCGTCCATCTCGAGAATGAGAAGTTTGCGAATTACATGAGAGAAAATGGCCACACACGAAAAATTGTTTGTCGGGAAGACGATCAATCTCTGGGGCCAACTTCTTCTGACGAGAAGATGGAGTCATCTCTTAACGTAGAGGGACAGATTCTCGTTGATAAGGAGGCAATGGTTGCGTGGATTAAGCAAGTAAGTGGGGAACTCAACGACTGTCAATCACCTCCTAATGATGTCAGGTATATGATCGGACGCGTGGCAGGGAACTACCGGGAAATTATAACCACACCCTGCTTGCAGAGCTTTTCCATTCGCAATCAATGCGTTGGGGCAAGATCTCTCGTGACCATGTTGACGCCGTCGCGAATTTGGTTTCCAGCTTCTTACAAGCCGCATTAAAGTTCGTGATCAAAGATACCAAGGTCCGCCAAAACGTCCAAGACTGCGTTGAGAAGTCCGTTAAAACGAATATCAAACGCGCGATGTATGAGTTAGACGTGTTGCTCGAGGACGAAGCACGCCAACCTATCACGTACAATCATTATTTTACGGACAATATCCAGAAGGCTCGAAATGACCAATCAAAGCGCCAAATCCAAGATTCAATGCACAAGGCTATTCAAAACGACTGGAAAGGCAAGTTCCATGTGAGCAATTCGACCGAGGAAATAGACAAGCTCGTCACTTCACTTCAGGGGCGGGTGGTTGTCGATATGACAAAGCAAGCTTGCTTCGAAGCGCAAAATGATTTGAATGCATACTACAAGGTTGGTCAACTTTCCCCAACAGCAATGACTCATGCCTTCTAAAACATTCACCTGCTAGGTTGCTATGAAGACTTTCGTCGACAACGTTTGTAGACAGGTCATCGAACGGCATATCATCGCGAAGCTCCCAAGTGTTTTCGAACCCGTCCTTGTGAGCGGATACGAGAACGACGAATTGCTTCGGATGGCTGCAGAATCTGCGCAGATCAGCATTCGCCGGGACGAAGCACGTCATCTTCAAGATGTCTTAGAAAGAAGTCTCGAAGATCTGAGTTTCTAGCTTGGTAGTCGCGGGCTCTGGGCAAGGTTTTTTCTCACGTAGTTTTTTCCCTTCCCTCTTCACGAATGTGGGAGCCTTTGTATGTGTTTTTTTTTTTGTTTCTCTTGTTTCAGGTACTTCACCATCTTGAAATTCCGTTTCATCCATTATAAACTCGAGTTTTCATCCCGTAGGCTATATAAGCAGTAGAAATTGTTTTCTTGCCACAATCCCATCATGGTGTCTCTACAGGGGCCGCCTGCGAGATTTCTCCATCACTGCATCCCGATCAATGGGCTTGACAAAGAGCACAAGTCAAGGATCTCGTACGAGCCTACTGAGAGCGCAGAATAAATGAAATATCATCAGGCGGGGGCTATCGTCTTGTATAGATGGCCTCTAGCCGGTGATATAAGTGCTAGAAATCAATTGAAAACAAATAGACCGACTGGATCGCCAGAGAAGCAGTAGGCCAAGAGACAATACACCCCTTCTAATATCTCCTTTCGCGGGAAAAAAATTGTATCCACTAAAGGATCCTAGACGAGTCGAAGACAAAGTCCACCAAGTTCACAAAGAAAGGGCATTCAATCTCTGTCTATGATTTGTAGCCAAATAATTTCCAGATCAATCTCACAGAACCGAGTATGTCCACTCATTCCACCTTGGACTAGTCACTGGGGACTATTGATGTATTACAAACTATGTGGTCTTGTGAATAGTAACAAATATGTCTAATTCTCAAGAACCAGTAGTCTATATATTGGTGGACCGTCTAAGGCCCAGGGACCCGTAATAGGACTATTACGAGTACGTTTGGAGGGCCTAGATTTCTGAACCATGCTCTGCTCAGCCTATATGAGGCGGTAGTTCGGCGTGGTTCAAGATTTTAGCGCAACTTTCTGAACCACTCTGAGCGCTAGTTTGAACAACGCTCAGCTGTAACCGCGTAACTGCCTGGCTAAGCGCCTGGCTCTACAGGGGTCATACACAAGAGTCAACACTGATTCTGCCTCGTCTCGAACTTTGCTGCCTTGGTTGGTGCCTAAAAGAAGAGATCCTATATATCAAATCAAGCTCGCCCGCAGCATCACTGAATTCTGGGAGCAATAATTATATTGAATTATGACTAGCGATGCTGACTCCAGTTCCTCTACCTCCGGCTGGGTAACTGAGCCCGACGGTCGCGGCACCTGGAGTATTCTCTCCACATGCCTCCTAACTATTATCTTGTGCTGCTGGACATCAGTTTGTCCAAATATCCCTGCACCGTCTGACGGGTACTTTGCTCGGTTGCGCGATAAACTTCATCTGGCTCTAATGGGCGTTCTTGGACCAGAGTTCCTGCTCATGCTGACGTTAGGCCAGTGGACGTCCGCTAGGGCGTCAGTAAAGGTTTGCATATTGCTGGAGCGTCTAAGATAAAAGACTGACTGTGCCTAGGAGCTTACGGAAATGGGTCACAGGGACTGGACCATCGTGCATGGCTTCTACGCTGATATGGGTGGTTTTGTGCTCCATGGACCGGGAATTGAAATACCATTTCCGATAGACGCCCAGCAGTTCCTGTTCCTCGTAAAACACGGGTATATCGAATACCCTCGGATTACGAAAGAAGACATCATGGATCGAAACAAGTCAGATGGGCTCGCGAGATGTATCGCCGTCTGCCAGGCCGTGTGGATGGTCATCGATTGTTTCACACGGGTAGGGCTGGGTTTGACCCTGACTAAACTGGAGCTGACCACGCTCTCGTTCATCTTGGTATTTCTGGTGACTTCATTCTGCTGGTACTACAAACCGCAGGATGTTACTACTACGGTGCCCATCCACTGTGTTGTCCACATTGACCAGATTCTTGCAGAGGTTGTTGTCTACTGCCTACACGTTGAACACAATAGGCGGACGCTGATATCGTATAGAATGGAATCCACGGTATCAATCCGTGGCACACTAGCCCACTGGATTTTGTTCATGATGAAGCCTTCTTCTGTGAGCGTTTCTGGCGCTATTACATGGAGATTTTATCAAAAGTCCACCTGTCTATCTTCTCGCGGAAGGTAGACACCCGGCCGTACAATCGCATCCCCAGCGACCGATTTCAGTCTCTGGATAGGCTAGCCGAAGTAATCGGTGCTCCTGTGATTGTCGGATTCGGTTGCATCTTCATGTTCGCGTGGAACTTCAATTTTCCGTCGCCCACGGAACAACTCCTATGGCGAGCGGCTAGTATTTACACGCTGGTATATACATTTTTCGGATCCGCCTGCGCGCAATACTGTCATAAAATCCTGCTTCCACGATGGTCGAAGCAGCGAGCACCGTTGCCCATTGCGCAGAGGGATAATCTTCCCGCCATACTACGCAATATACATCCATCGAAGGATCCCCGTTTGGACATCCCGCTGCGGGCGCTGATACCTGTGTCTGTACTCTGCGCCCTGTACTGTGTTTGTCGGGGTTATATACTGGTCGAGGACTTTGTCGGGCTACGAAGCTTACCCGCCACTGCGTTCCAGACGGTGGAGTGGTCAGACTATGTACCTCATTGGTAGGTCTGAGATCCGGCTTTGGATAATATATACAAATCTAGTTTGATAGATCGGTACAAGCAAGACATATACAATTGGTGGAGAAGGATACCACTCAGCTACAAAATATACTAGAATCATTTGAGTTTATGTTTGACAATAACACACAATGTCCGAGTACACTGGGAATCTTCGGTTCGCCGGCGAAACATATATCGTTTTCGCAGTCTAGTGGGACATACGAGCTTCCATAAAGAGGCTACTCTTTGTAGAACAAATATCTAACGGACTAGCATGCTAATTACTCTCTTATTGACTTGCAGCACTGGCCAATGCCACTATCTTTTGTTACACTTTTTTTACTTCCCTCGGTTCTGGGAGACAACGGCGTCAAGCTTAAATTAGATGTCTCTTGTTATCAACACATAATTGAAGAATGGAAAATAGCGAGTATATTCGCGGTCACAGATTTATAACTCCCCTACTCCGCATAAGCTCTGTAAATGGTCATGCTTGTCGGCGTCGAGAAATCCAACGAAATGCCCTGCCCGACAAAGAAAACTTGCCCTTCATCTAGGGCGGTCGTGGTTCCGTGAACCTCCATCTTGCCAGACCCTTCAGTGACAATCATAAGGCTGGGTCCAAGTATAGCCTTATGAGTCTCGGTTTGATCCATAGCTAGAGAAGTTGCAAGAACATTGAACTCGCTCATTGGTGGAGCGTACTCTACAGTTCTGCCACTCAATCCCTTGTCGCTCTTTTTCCTCGGCAACTCAGCCTCCTGTGAACTGTGTGGTTTGAACGTCAAAGCCTGCGTGAACAAGTCCACACTATCGCGATCGGCCCTAGGACAGAAGCCAACATTAAGTACGTTGTCAGAGCGAGCCATACACTCAACTATGTCCCCCGAGAGATATGCGTGAACACTGTCGGCTGGAACACATACTGCATCACCGGGTCCAATAGTCATGTAGTTCATCAGTAGGGCTGCCACAAGGTTCCCATTGTCAAATTCGGAATGCTGCGCGCTCAGACGATCGAGGATGGAAGGGATATACGGATATGGCCCGAATTGCTCTGTCGGGACCTTTTGGAGCTCCTTGACAGTCTCGTTCACCATATCCGGCGAAGCCTCCAACAAGGCCTTGCAAATCGATTTCAGAGTTTGGTCGTTAAAATGGCTTTCACTTGGTGTATAACGATTTAATGCAGGCAGTTCGAAAAGTGCCTGGATGTCCTTGAGGGGCTTCCAGCCAACGAATAGCTCGAATTTCGATAGGGCAACAGCTATCTCTGGCTTGTGATTGCTATCGCCGAACCTCTTGGGGTCCTTGTCATGGAGTCTTTCAGCAAGTGCCTTATCTGGATGGAGTTGGAGCGAGAGGGCCGAGGAGAACGAAAGAATCTTTTACTTGCTCGATTAGCAATTCTGTTTCGATCCGGCACATTTCTAACTTGCGGATCGTACCTTGGGTAAGAATGGAATCTCAGCTCCCCAGCGTTTCAGCACAGCGTCGCCGACCACTTGTGGGTTGTTCTTGATGTAGTCCGAGAGGAGTTCTCCACTCGACAGTACATAGGAGGGATTACTGGGGTACGTGCCCATCCACAACTGTTTACCTATGAAGTCAGCCCTTCTAAATGCCAAGTGAATAGTATAAGACTTCTTTCTGACCTCTGAATAAGTCTGGTTTTGGTCAATTGGGCCATTGCCGGGTGTCTTCGCCCAAAGGCGCGCGGAGAGTGACTCCTTTCCCTTCTTGCCCCAGGCATCGTTCTGTGTTCAAGATATCAGTCGGCTTCTCGTCCTTTCGAGGCAGACACATATATGCATACACGGGGCATTGATACTAACCTTGACACCACATCTCAGTTGAACAATGGGCACTGCCATCACGTTTGCATGGATATGCGACTATAGGTTAACTTACCAATTCGGGATCCGAGACTCATCGAAGATAAATGAACAATGGTAGACACCGATTTACCAAATGATAAATAATATCAGCCCCTCGGACAGTCCTAAATTGAACGAGCACAGTGGACTGGCTCGTCTCTGGCGTGAGTCCAATAGTAGTAGGAGAAATCCGCAAAACAGGAATCGAGCGCACCTTGACGTCCATATGCCGTCATCGATTTCGGAGATAAGCGGTAACGGTCTCCGCGTGGGTGTTGGGTTCAAAGATAATTATTAATAGTCTTAACAGTAGCTTAGCATGGGTATGTGATAATGCTTCTAGGTCCAGATCGAGTCTTCTCTTTAAAAGCCCTGGAAATGGAAGGTTTGGGGGTTTAGGTGTGTGTCCCTGATCGGAACGGGGCTTCTAGGTATTCCCGGGTAATCTGCTATGAGGGGATCTCGCACGTTTTCTGCTATTGGACTTTGACTCAACAAAAACATTTTGCTTCTTTCCCATCTAATTTAATCTGATATTTGACACGTTATTCACATCCGATAAGCCTGAAAAAAAAAAAGAAAAAAAAAGAATTAAACCCACACAGCATTAACTTCGTCTCTTTACCCTAATTCGCGCCCCAGAAGGCGGCATTAGAGTCTCGGCCATCCACCGATTCGCAGGTCTCTGCCCATTATACTCGGCCGGAAACTCGACGTCATAATTCCTTAGAAGATAGGCAACAATCATCTTGACTTCAACGTCAACCAGAAATCTACCCGGACACGAATGACCTCCATGGCCAAAAGGAAGATGCTCCGGTGAAGTCGAGACGAAGCTCAGATTGCTCGCGGAGGATCTGCCTTTCGTGTCTTTTGGAGCCTTCTCGCGGATCAGAGAGAACCGGAAGGGATCGTATATAATAGGATCCCCAAAGTCTTCGGTTTTGCATTGAAGCGGACGACCCAGGAAGGAGACGTACGCGCCTTTGGGAAGTTCGATGCCATCTTCTGTTTTGATCCCCTCGACTAGAACCTTGCGGAAGACTCCGCAGCTGGTGTTTGAATGTAGACGCATGGTTTCACGCGCCACACTGTCGGACTTGATCATCTGTGCGACTTTGTACTTGGTCCATTTGGCGTTGCTATCGGGGCCGATGATGTCGTCGACTTCGTTTCGGAGGACGGTAATAGTATTGTATTTCGCGTCTGAGCTGACGATGTTGAGTATCATGTTTGTTACAAGCAAGGTTGTTTGATGAACGGCTGCAAAGTTGGCGAAACACAGTCGTCTAGTCATACTGGGGAAATCGTGCAGTTCGTTTGGTCGCTCTTTCTGGGCGTAGCGGAGCATTTGCTGGAAGAGGTCCCGCGGTTCTTCGCTATCGGGCTTCTGTGCGCTGTTTTGACGGCTCAATGCTTGGAGCCGCTGGTGATAGATAGGCTCTACTTGTTTTTTGACATCTTCGATGCTTCGACGGAGATTTATTGTAACCAACGGGCCAAAAATCGGGCGCAGAAGACGTGGAGTAGCCCCGGTTAGACCGCCGTTCATCACTATCCCATCGTTGACCTTCCAGCAGGCTCGAAGATACTCCTCGTTGCGACCTGTAGCTCATCAGTTAGAAAGGAATACTGCAGTGGGAAACCCAAAACAAAAGAGAAAAACATACACAGAGGGAATCCAACAGTAAATCGACTCGCCGCGGCCATCATGACCATTCGAATTGTCTCCGTCAAATTGACTTCCTTCCAAGCTTCCGTATCACATCCAATATATCTTTCAGATGCATATTTCAATTCCTCATTCATACCATCACAAACAGCCTCCAGATTGGCATTGATATCCGACTTCACAAGCATACAAGGCCAGGGATCGGCTTTGTACTTTTCATGGCCAAATGCATACTTCAGTTGAACAAGTTCCAAGACCGCGTCGGCGTGACTAAGTTCCTTTTCAGGACGGGCCATTATATCCCGCATTGCGCTTTGAGGCAGAATGATGTCGTGGCGGAATCCAAGTCCCGGGAGGAGGACTGCCTTGCCATGTTTAGTGTACTTGATACAAGTCAGTGTCGCTCTCAATGTTGACGTAGAAGAACTTACGTTCTCATATGTTTCTTTGTAGAGAGCCTCGCAGTCGGTATAGTACCTCCATCTCATTCGCCAGCTGAATGTTCTTTTCCCACCAGGCTCACCAGCTAGTGGGAGGTCGGCGGGATATTTAATGGCAAAGAATGCCTGGTAGGTCATGAGCAAAACGCATCCTGCTAAAGCAAGAAGCATTACCGAAGCCCATGATTCATATCCTTCAGCAAAAGGCAATTCTATTGTCGACGGTTTCATGCTCATCTAATTCGATATGACTGCATATCGGTGAAGAGGCCTTGTAAAGAACTTCCTGTAAGGGATACCTTTCGTACCCTTGCCGTTTGGTTCCATATAGCCTCCAGTAGATTCAAGCCACTCTCATGATACGAGGAGTGAATTGGCAACTGCGGAATTGTTCTTCCTGCTAGCATATCAAATTCGTATCAAGCCGAGAATGTCCGAGTAATGTTTCTGGCTTCTCACCGTCCACCTCGTCGCTTACAGCGTGGACATGTGGGTCCGGTGATGTTGATACGTTGGAGTATGAGTAGATGGAATTGTTTCTGTCATGAGGTCTATGCTTATCCTAATCCACCTGGTAGAGGATAATGGGCGAGAGGAGCAAATCGGGCTAGAGATTGGCAGTAGAGTGTGCACTGGCCAGCATTTCAAGCCTCCTGCTCATCCAATACGTATGCTTGGAAGGTACTTCAAGAGCCTTTGTCCGAGATTGTCGATGACATTAACAAGCATCTCAAATTTCCTTGGATTACCTCCATTATGGATATAAAATACTTCCCCGCCAGCACGTACTGCGACTCCATTGTCCGCTTCCTCGATGCCATCGAGTACCATGACGACAACCTGACACACAATGAGCGGGCCGAAGGCCTTCGGCGTGTCCATTCCAAGACTGCACAGTACTTTACTGAGCCTCTTCCAAGGTGCATCCTCAAAGATGTTGCTCCCCGCCGAATAGCCGCTGTCACGCGGACCATCTCGCATTTCGTTGTCTATTGTTGGAGTAAAATACCCCGTGAAGCCCAAGTAGACGTCTCTATCTATCTCTCCATTATCAATGTCCTAGACGACGAGATCAGCAGCGAGCCCAGCACCCAGATGGCCACCTTCTGGACAGACCTTATCCGGGGCAAGCAACAGAAGCACCCCTTCTGGGTGCTGTTCAACTCCCACCTGCCCCGTCTCCTAAGACACTACGGCAGCTTTTGCGCCTTCAATATCATGCGCTGCACATTCGATTACTTCGAAGGATGCTGGCTCGAGCAACACAACTTCCAGGGCTACCCCGGCGCCGACCGCTACCCATCTTTCCTCCGCCGGTTAAGCTGCCTCGGCGGCGCTGTCGCCGGAACCATTTTCCCCGCCGCCCACTTCGACCACCAAAAGCTCTTCAAGGAGATGTCTTTCGTGATGGCCCAAATGGACGGACCTGTTGCCCTCATGAACGATCTTTTCTCCTTCTACAAAGAATACGACCAGGACGAAGCCAACCTGGTCACCAACTGGTGCACCGTGGACGGAGTCACCATGGACCAGGCTCCCGTCCGTCTCACGGACGACACGATCCACGCCTGTGTGCGCATTTTGGAAGTACTAAAGGACAAAGACCCCGCCATGCTGACGACCATCCGCGGGTTCATCCACGGGTACGTAACGTGGCACATCTGCGACTTCAGGTACAGAATGCGGGAGATCTACGAGCGTGACGATCTAGACGCCGCGGGCACCAAGTTCCGCGCTTACTTTGACAAGGCGATCGATGTGGGGTGGGTGGATACTGAGGAGTGGACCTGCCAAGTCCAGGGCTTTGAAGTCGACGGGCCGGCCCCGAAAGGATCTGAGATACAGGCGTATCGGTCCAGCGCTTTTGCATTCTCTGTCGATACGTCTGGATACCACAGCAAGGACTACGTGGGGAGTTCGATAATTGGTATGTTTCAGTGGGTGGCGCGGTATGTGAGGGGAAAATCTCGCTAGATCACAAAAGGAGAAGGTCACGGTATACTGAACTAGAATGTATTGGCAATTTTGTCATATATTTGCGTGATAATCACGACCATTTCAAGCGAAATACTGATAGCCAAGTCTCCATCAATTGAAGTTCGTAACGACTATCGACCTCGGCAAACACTCCGTAGATATTTTGGGATCGAGACCATTAGGGCTAGCTAGTACCGGATCGGCCCGTGCGGTCTTGATTTGTAGGCAGGTTCCCGCGCCAAATACGGCGTTCATTGCAATGTATAGATTGAACTAAACTAGAGCGAGTCTGAACCAGTAGCAAACAGCAAATGCTAAACTATATAAAATAACATAGTGGAGAAATCCGTTGACAGAACTTGGTCTGATACAAGTAGAGTCTTTCCGACACAAACGTGTCGTGTATTTCTGAATACCAAGCAGATGTTACTCCATTTCATGATGTGGCACCTTTTAGTCCTGTGTATGTTTTGATGTTATATTAGCTTATGGAGCAAGTAATAGGATGATAGCCGTATCCAAGTACATCAGTTGCACATTATCCCCTAAATTGTACGCAGTATGTCACATTATCTATTTTGAACGCCATCAGGAATTCTAGCCAGCCCACCATTTAGATCGGTCCGTCCGTAACACAACCGTGGCTAGCATCGCTAACGAGAGTGGCATACTTCTTCAAAGTTCCCTTCTGGTATCTGAGCGGGGGTGCCTTCCACGCCTTCCTCCTCTTCTCCAGCTCTTCCGCCGGAATCTCCAAATCAACCACTCCCTTCTCAGCATCAATCACGATCTTATCACCGTCCCGTGCCAGCGCAATCGGGCCGCCCTCCATGGCTTCCGGCACGATATGTCCGATCAAGAATCCATGACTACCACCAGAGAATCGCCCGTCCGTGAGAAGGGCGACGTCCTGGCCAAGACCGGCACCCATGATGGCGGCGCTGGGTTTCAGCATCTCAGGCATACCGGGGCCTCCCTTGGGACCTTCGTAGCGGATAATCGCGACAGTCTTCTCGCCCTTTTTGATCTCGCCCCGCTCGAGGGACTCGATGAGTGCGTCTTCGTAGTCGTAGCACTTAGCTGTGCCTTCGAACCGTAGACCTTCCTTGCCGGTGATCTTGCCTACTGAACCGCCTGGAGCGAGCGATCCGCGAAGAACCTGGAGATGGCCGGATGGTTTGATGGGCTTGCTGAGGGGGTGGATGATGTCCTGGCCGGCAGGGAAGTCCGGCCATGAGGCCACGTTCTCCTTCATTGTTTTGCCGGTGACGGTGATGCCTGAGCCGTCGATCAGGCCCTCTTTCAGAAGGTATCGAAGGAGGGCTGGTGTTCCACCGATACTGTATAGGTCGTTCATGACATACTTCCCAGATGGCTTCAAGTCCGCCAGGAATGGTGTCTTGTCGGATACCGCTTGGAAGTCATCGATAGTCAACTTGATACCGACAGAGTCCGCAATAGCAATCAGATGGAGAACCGCGTTGGTGCTACCCCCTAGGATGTTCACCACAATCATTGCATTCTCAAACGCCTGACGGGTCATAACATCACTGGGTCTGATATCTTCCCTGAGCAGATTCTTCACCACCTCGCCGATGTTCTCACATTCAACCAGCTTCTTGGGATCATCTGCCGGACAACTACTGCTCCCGGGAACAGCCATACCCATCGTCTCAATAGCCGTCGCCAGCGTATTAGCCGTGTACATGCCGCCACAGGCCCCTTTGCCGGGGCACGCATGGCGAATGACATCGAACCGCTCCTTCTCGTCAATCTGGCCAGTGATATACTGGCCATACGACTGAAACGCACTAACCAAGTCCAGCTTCTGGCCCTTCGCACTACACCCGGGCTTAATACTCCCGCCGTAGATCATGACACTCGGCCGATTCGTGCGCCCCATCGCCATCAACACCCCAGGCATATTCTTATCGCAACCCGGCAGCGACACATTCGCATCATACCACTGGGCGCTCATCACCGACTCAATGCCATCGGCAATCAGCTCCCGACTCTGCAAGCTGTATCTCATTCCCGTGGTGCCCATGCTGATCCCATCGGACACGCCCACCGAGTTGAATCGCATCGGCACTAGACCCGCCTTGTGCACGGACTCGCGCACGATCCCGGACAGGTCGTTCAGGTGCATGTTACAGGGGTTACCCTCGAACCACACCGAGGAGATTCCGACCTGCGGCTTCGACATGTCCTCCTCTGTTAGGCCGGTGGCGTACAGCATCGCTTGAGATGCGCCCTGGGACTTGGGCTGGGTGATTTTCGATGAGATTCGGTTGAGAGACTCGTCGGATCTATAGCGGTGTCCGGTAGGTGGAAGACGACTGGATATAATTTGTACTTGTTAGTATCTGTTGATTTGCGAAGACGCGATGGGAAGCTTCTCTCGTACGTGTTCTCCAACCGAGCTCGTCGGCTCCACCCCAGAGCTCTCGATCGGATATTCAACGCCAGCATAATGCCCGCGGATACGTGTATGTCGAAGAAACCGAGAGGGGAATAATAACCAGCCTGTTGAAGATGTAAGAAGGGTGACGGTGAATCATTTATAAAGAGAGTCACGGGACCCACAGGGGGAGATCGGAGTGGGGACCGAACTCCGGACTCCTCTTGATTGCGATTCTGGCCAATCACTGGCGGGTATGTGATTACCTCATCCGGCGATCCTCGGTTTCTCCGTCCCACTACGGAGTAAACAAGCACTACGGACTACGGAGGACTCCGCAAAACATCGAAGTGTTTATAGGACATGCTTCATCTTTGGGTAACCCTAAATAAAAGAGGTGACCTTTGCTTCTACACCTTCCGTAAACTCGTCTGATGAGCGAGGTACAGTAACGCAGAGTATCTACAATAGGAGGGCGCAAAGGACATTCCTGGGATAATCCGGGTAATGCTATCCGTATACTCCGTACAGGAATGGCTTGTGCCCACCCTACGACAAATATACAAGGTATTCTAAAATGTTTAACTGTGCAATAGAACTATGTCATACGCGTTATGTAGCTTCTATCAGTTCACGTAGAGTCTTGGGTTAGGGCTAGCCAAGGCCTTTAACAAACTAAATATATATAGCTGGCTACCGGCCGAGAAAAGCATCCCCCAGCTTAAATGAGGGATCATATCTCGTCATGGCCTCAAAGGCAACTTCTGCAACGTCATATTTATAATTATGGATCATCATATCATGCTGGTTGCCTAAACAGAAGGTTAGCTTGTGGTTACCAAGTTGACTAGCAACAACAGACTATAGAACGGGACTGGTTGTCATACATGGCATTTGGTCCTCATCTAAATATTCTCTGAGATCATCGACTGATACAGAGTGATCCGCACCCATGTTGCTAAGGATCTGAATCACAGAGGACCGCTTCATGCGTACTTCTTGATAGATTTGCAGCCGCTTCTGGATGTCATCACGCGTCGTCGCCCCGTGAAGTACGACGCCGAGTGCCACGGCGTCTTCTATGCCCTGAGCGCCGCCTTGAGCTAGAACTACACAAGGTTAGCATTTTATCATAGATATATCAAGTTTAAATTTAGAAAAAACGTACAAGGAAGCATAGCATGGCAAGCATCTCCAGCCAGCGTCATGCATCCTTTAGTCCATTGGTGAATGGGCTTGCGGTATATCAGTGGCCAGCGGCGTGCATCTGGCGCTTTGCTACAAGTTTGTTAGAATGGGACTTGAGGACCTAGAGAACTACATGCCTTAAAACCTTGAGTAGCCTGGGGTCATAATCCGAGAATCTCTTAAGAACATCGGGGATTTTAAAGCGGGCGTGCCAATCTGCACGCGACCGGTCAGCCATGCGGTCCATACTGGGTGATGTGAGTTCTCACCTTCTGCACACATATTTGTATCACTTTCCTCGTTATTAATGAGAACAAAGTTATGGATAGTATTACTAGAACACATAGTTAGGTACGGCCTCGAATGTATATCGGGAGCGAGTCGGTACCTTCGGCAAGGGTATGACACTACTGAACGCCCCGTTGCGCTGTCAATCATAATACGAGACCAGCCGTCTGAGTCCTTACTCCAAAATCGAGTGTCAGGGTCTGCTTCAATTGCATCCGCAGGCACCAGAAAGCGGTAGCATGTATTAGCAAACCTCGGGCGCATTGTCTGGACTTCCCCGCCGATAACGGCTTCGACGGCGTCAGAGCGCACCCCGTCCGCCCCGATGACGACGTCAGCGGAGATAACTTCCCCGTTGGCAAGAGTAATAGACGGGGCATAGGGATCCTAGAACATATAGGTCAGCACATTCCATGATACGGGATAATTAGGTCGTACATATGCCACCACATTGCTCAGGAGGTGGATTGTAGCCGGCTGCCCCGGGCCCTCAGGTCGCGTAGCCATCCATTTGAGACAACCGTGCAAATCGACGCGATGGGCATAGTACAGCTCTGCACCAGTAAGCCCCTTGGCGGTCATGCCATCCGACAGCGTCATTTTCGTTTCGAGGGAGGCATGGTCCAGGAACGAGACCTTTTGCGACTTGACAAAGCCCCACTTGTCTGGGTCGAGCCCCCACGGTAGCAAGAACTGGCTGACATTGGGCGGCACGTAGATTGCAGCGCCGATTTCGTTGTCTTGCGCTGACTTTTCGTATAGATGGACTATGTGGCCTGCGCGACGGAGGGATGCTGCTGTTGCGAGGCCGGTGATGCCTGCGCCAACGATAATGATGTGAAGACCCGGTGAAGAATCCATGGTGTGCGGTGGGCGTTGTGTTTGCTTTGGGTCAGCTTGTTAGATTAAATGTGGCAGAAGCTGCCCCTCAAGGCAGTGAACTAGCTAGTAGGTGGGCCATTGCAGTGACTTGGCGAATCGGAGTTATAGGATAACTGTAACTATTTAATTTTACTTTAAAAGACTGGTTATGAATAAGATCTTAAGAAATTACTAATGTTAGTTTATAAGGAGTTTGTCCACCTATAACAATGAGTAGCTTATCTCTCAATATAATGTGTATAACAGTCTAGGAAGTTGATCCTATAGTTAGTTCAAGACAATCAGGCCACCACGAAATCCCTGCTATAATTAGCGAATATTTACTATTATCTATTCACGGTGTAGAAAGTATACGTCAGCGAGTCTTTATACAGCTCTTTCTTATAGAGACTCATGTAGCAAACAAGACGTGTATATGAAACATATGCAATGCCATTGGTTTAGGTCCCTGGAGACGTTGCCCGGGATGGTAAAAGTTGTTCATATGTATGCTAGTATGATCCAGATACTTGTCTCGGATTAAAATACACTATGTTAGCTGGTTTCATGGTCCTATCCCTCAACTCTGCCCCTGTCCAACTAGGAAGTCATTTGCGCCCGACCCGTCCGTGAACTGATCACGATCAAGCTGTGTGGTGTGTGCGCTAGCTATGCGCTCATGCGACCTGTCAAGTGTGCGGAATGCTCTCGGAACACTCTCGCGGTCAAACTGCGAGACGGCGTCGTGCATGGATGACGCCTTACACAGCTGCTCAGCCAGGTCATATCCGTCCTTGAGGGCCACGTTGGCGCCATTTCCCGCCAGTGGAGAGAAGGCGTGATTGCTGTCGCCGATGAAGACCACGCCTCTCAGATGCTCGTGGCTGAAGGGTCGTTTGTCCATTCCAGCCATGATGAAAATGGTGGATGGGTCGGTTCGTTCCACGATAGTGGCAAAGGGCTCTGCGATCACTCGGCCCCGCTGGAGGGCCTCTGACTTCAGGCTCTGGGTATACTCGATGGACCAGGTCGTTGGAGGCGCACGAGGACTCTGTTCCCGCCAGCTGAGCCCCCAGTGGTATCCCATTTGACTTGTAGGCGACAAGAAGCAGGATACACCCTGGTCTGTGAGAACCATGCCCCATTTGTCTCTGATGTGGTCTGGAACGGCGTTGTCGGGGAACTCGGCGACACCGCCCATCATCATCAGGCCGGTGTATTGCAGTGTATCATCCGGACGGAGGCTGGTCCGGATCTTGCTATTTGCACCATCAGCGACGATGATCAGATCACACTTGGTGGTTGTTGACTGAGTTCCTCCACCGTCGTCCGCAGTTCGGAGACGTATCTCAACCCGCCCGTCGTCGAGGCATTCGGGGGCTTCGCACGATACACCCCAATGAACCTCAATACCGGCAGCCTCCGCAGCGTCAATGAGGATCATTCGCAGGACGCGTCGGGGAATGCGCACAGCAGAGGTCGGCATGTCGCCATAGGCTGGCACATTGAAGCTAGGAGAAGCGATCCAGTCCTTGTCCCATATCGTGAACTTGCTGATGGCGTCTGTCATCACGGCCCCATCTAGGACCTTGCCCAGGAGCCCCAATTGCTTCAAGACGACGAGTCCAGTGTCTTCTTTGCTTCAAATTTTACATGTCAGTGACAACTCTTGCGGTCGGGACGCGTACGTATACATACATGCCACTCAGCGTCTGCGAGTATCCTTGCCGTCTGAGGTCGACTTCTCGCTTGTCCCGATCGAAGACGACTACCCTCGGTGGACGAGCATTGTCTCCCCATTGTTTTTGTAGGTTGAGTGCAAATGCCAGACCTGCCACACCTGCTCCAGCGACAACGATGTCCTTTCCTTCCAAGAAGTGTTCTCGTGCCATGTTGAAATTCTATGCTTATCAGTGAGACTTTAGCTCACGTCGTTACCACGCTCCGTAGCGTTCGTGTATGTAGACAGTGGACATTGATGACACTGTCAAGATTACTCCATCGTATGTATCCGTTAATTACTAGGTACGTACGGCGTCGGTAAGGAGTCGTCCGGCGAAGAGTCGTCATCTTCTGGTGCAGGCCCCCGCCCCCACTTCGCATAGCCGCCCCCCCCCCCCCCCCCCCCCTGGCCCGGGGGCTCTGGGCCTGCAGCGTACTAGTCGTGGTAGCGCTGCAGTAGTCGTTTCGCACAACCAGCAGGATGTTTTGCGCGGAGTTCTACCGAGAGCACGCCCGGCTGGTGTGATGGACGCAGCCAAGATGAGGGGAAGGCAAGGTTCTCGATCTGGGCACTATATTTGACTCTTATGCATGTAATACGCGTTGCGAGCGTACCACAGCCAGTATTGGTAATACTATGGTTTTGCTAGCCTAATACCCTAAGCACCTCGATGCGCTATGGGCCAGGGCCTTCCGCCAGGCTCCACCAGGCAGTGTTGCTAAATGGTGCCTTTTGTACTCACATAGACAATACTTTGTTGGTTTTATCGCATTGTTTTCAAAATTTAGAACTTCAAACTTCCGGACAAGACTAGAACGTCTATACTAGAACGGAGTCTAGAGGCATTATCCTTTCTTGATCGCTACGCCGGCTTCTTACCAAAATGGCGAGCAAACGTCTGGAGACACTCTGCAAGTCTTTGACTCGAGAAGTCGGACGTCTTTCTTCACGCACTGGGAGAGACGATTATGTTGCCCGGAACAAGGTCGCGGACATCGCCAGAGAGCTCATCAATGAGACGACTCACCCCAGTGACGTCGCTGTACAGTACACAATCAATGTATTTTCCGTCTGTTGGAGGATCTCTCATTCGACCGGTTACTTACAAACCTACAGATGGCAGAAATGGCATGTCTACGTATGTTCCAGAAATGGAAGCTCTTGGATAAGATCCCCACCAGTGGTAGCATCTCGTATGAAGAGCTCTCCGCCAGCATCAACGCTGATAAAGATCTTATTGGTGAGTCTGCCACATCACCGATTCACAGGCTTCTATATGAAATACAACCATCTCGCTAACCTCAACCAAGCCCGCATGGGTCAAATGCTCGTCGCGACAGGCAAACTTCGACAGCCCTCCCCGTCACACGTAGCGCACACTCGCCTGAGCACAGCCTTCGCGCATCGCTCGCCTCCAGCTGTATGGTTCTCGATGAGCTTCGATGAGACTCTCGTCCCATGGACCCAATGGCCGCGCTACTTTGCCAAATACGGCCGACGGCAACCCAGCGGCCAAACGGCCGTGCCTATGACTTTTGCAGAAGGGGTTGACGGTGAATTGACGTGCTACGAGGTCATTGCGCGCGGTGGACCTGAGCGGATGGCGGACTTTGCGGACGGGATGCAGGGGATCCCAGAACTGATGCCAGCTGCTGGGATATATGACTTTACGTGGGTTGGGGAAGCAGTGGCTGAAGGCGAAGTCGAATCGGATATGCCGCTCATTGTAGACGTGGGGGGAAATCTTGGTCAAGCGCTGCTGGAGATCATCGCGCACACTGAGTTGTCGATTCCGCCTGATAGATGTGTTTTGCAGGATAGGGCGGATGTCATAGCTGCTGCAGACGCGTTGGACAATCCGGTGTTGAAGAAGATACGTAAAATGCCCGTTGATTACCACCAGGGGCAGCCTCTCAAAGGTAAGCATATCAGCCGTTCTCCTCCCACTCGAACGATCTGCTCACATGTGGACTAGGGGCTTTGATATACTATGTTCGCCGGTGTCTCCATGGATTCACCGATGAGGTTTCCATCAACTTGCTTAGACACTTGGCCGCTGCTCTACCAGCTGACCCGCGCGCAAGAGTTCTCATCTGCGAGCAAATCACAACGACGCCGCCAGATCCGTACACGACTATGATGGATATCTGTATGATGAATGTCGGCTCCAAAGAGCGGAGTGAGGATGACTTTACGAACTTAGTGACTGCTGCTGGCATGAAAGTGATCAAGTTTCATCGAGGAGAGGGAGTTGCAACGCACGTCATTGAATGTGCAAGAGCTTAGTCTGTTGACTTGGACAATATTGGCAACCTCCCATCAAATAAAATACAAGGCAAATGTCAATAAATACGGTGGGCTTGTTAACAGTAACCTCTCTGAGCTCGTAGCTCTAACAGTCTTTGCCGAGATCCATTCCCAATGGTACCGTTACCCCTTCTCTCCTCTTAATTCTCAAATCAATACCGGACTGTCTAGGGAACATGCTGTTATGTACCTTCCATTCCCTGGCTGGATCAGCCAATTCAAACTCAAACACCGCAATCAACGTCGCCACCGTCTTATAGACCTCCATAGTAGCAAAATTCACACCAAGGCACTTGCGACTTCCAGCCCCAAATGACAAATCGCTGCTGTTCATTAAACGCAGCCGCTGCTTAAACCGCTCCGTCGACTCCTCTTCGCCCTGTAACCAGCGTTCGGGCCGAAACTCCTCAGCGTCGTCGCCCCACACGTCTTTATTCCTGTGGATCACGTAGGCATTGAAACCCACCGCCACACCCTCGGAGACGAATGTGCCATCGGGAAGAATGAGCCCCCCAGGTGGTACATAGCGCTCCTGCGCAAAGCAGCTTCCAGGCCACAGACGCATGGATTCGCGGATCACAGCCTCAAGGTACGGCACGGCGCGCGCCTGGGAATAAGACACGGGCAGCTCTGTAAAGCTGGCGCCGAGAATTTGTGCTTCCAGCGTCTCCCATACCCTCCTGTCTTTGAGGGCGAGGTAGAAGATGGCGCGCAGTGTCGTGGCAGTCGTGTCCACTCCGGCCGCCACATTGACAAGAATGTACGACATTAGACGCGGCTCGTCCACTACTTCCGGATACTTCTTCATGGCATCAAGGTAGCAGTCTAAGAAGTCGGGCTCGGATGAGTCGTGCTCGTCCTCGCCCGTGCGCCGCCTCGTGAGGTGGCTGAAGGCGGCATTGGCCACGGGTACAAAACTCGGCGGGCCGATGCGAAAGATAGGGTTTTTGTCGAGGACTTTATCCATACTCGGTTGCATTCCGACCGTGACGAGATAGTCCATGACTTTTGCAGACGTGTCTACCATGCCGTCAAAGTCGAACGCTTGCTCTAGGTGCCCCGCTCGCCTGCTCCATGTGCTCTGCGCAATGGTGTCCCAAGCGTCTGTTGGCACGGTCGTACGGGATCAGCCCTATGTAGGCTGTGCGTGTAGATAGAAACTTACAGAATGATGCCCATTCGTCAAATTTCAGTGGTTTTCCAAACCCAGCATGTTCCGTGAACTGGTCATCAAGCCGCTTGACGAAGAACGACAGCACGCTGTTGACGTGCGGCTCCATGACGCTGACGCCTGTAGAAGAAAAATATTTGGCAACTGGCTTCTTGATCCGTGCATGCTCGGCCGGGTTGCACTCGCTGAAGATGTTGTATAGGATTTTGTCACCCAGCTTGACGCCTGATATTCCGTGCCATTCTGTCTGGTGCTGGAGTTAGTGCCATCTACCAATGTTTACTGTACCATTTTTACGTTGAGCTTTACAAGACATTATGAGATACAGGGAGAAGGCACAGAACCAACCTTTTTCCAAACGCCATGACTATCAAGACACGTACTCATCAAGGAGGGATAGTCGAGATCGAGGTAGTTTGGGCCCATCCGCACCACAGGACCGTATTTCTGGTGCAGGGCATGGCTCACGAGATGCATTGATCCACCTGCAGCATGGTACATACGCCAGTAGTTTGTCAAGGCTGTAGAGGATCAGCGGTTAACGTTCTCCATGTCTGATTGTCAAAAGAGGTGACCAACAGGCAAGAAATGGACCGCGTCGGCCGCGAATCGGCGAGGTGAAATACGGAACCATGTACCAGAGCAACAGGGCTGCCCAAAGAATAGCGAAGAAGGTCAAGACGGGATGTGTTGTAAGCCTTGTCATGGCCCTCATGAAGCCCTCGGCCTGTGTGAGCACTTTCGTATCCATGATAGATGTGATTCAAGAAAGCAGTGTCTGTGGTGTTTCCAGCATAGCAGTCCCCGAGAGGAGTAGTGTTTATGCTTCAGATACAAGAAGGCCAAGCCAGACCATAGCTAGCCCAAGATCAAATATCCAGCGCTGCAGCGCAGACCAGCAGGTAGCCTTCCCCGTGGATCTTCATCCCCAACTCTCCGTGATTACTTTCTTTGCGAGACTAGTGATAGTAGTCGTAATTTATATGCATTAGATACTCTACAGTACTTTGAATACACTTCAGTACGAGCGTCTACTTATTAGACGAGGTTTGCGAATTCACCCATGCAAGGATTCTCCACTCCCGCGCATGGGATGCATAGTAAGCACTAGAACTGGTAGTTAAACAGAGTATCAAGTAATGCCTCCCATGTGCAGGATATGCCTTGAGTTTCTCGCATCACACACGGCTTTGCCTTCATTTCCTCCTCCTACCCATCCAAGAATTTGACGTTGTCTATCCACTGAAAACGTCTTCGTTCAACTTGCTGGAGCACACGACAGTGACCTTGCCATATTGACAGCTCCACTCGCCCCAAACACCATGGCCAACAATCCCAAAATCATCCAAATGTGTGTGGCAGGGCAGAGGAAGAAAGGATGGTCAGACGAGCAGTTCGTCCACGAATTTACGGTCGTGCACGCGGAAATCACCAAAGCAACAGCTCAAAAAACATCAGCCCTCCTTGGGTATCGACAAATCCTGGCAATCCCACGGCCCAAGATATCCGCACTTAATCTGAGCCAAAGCACGTGGGATTCCCAAGCAGTGTTGACGTGGTCGAGCATTGAAGAACTTTCCTCCCTCCTCAAATCCGAAGGGTATCGCGCCAACGCTGGAAACCACGTCTTCACCGAGCCGAATATAGTGGGATCAATTTGCCAAGTTGCCGGGGAAATCATGTTTGATCCGGTCGGCTACAGCAGCCAGGAATCGCGCTTCATGGTGTTTGTTTATATTCCGCGGGCTACCAGGAGTAGTCGGGAGCGGGTTACAGAGGAAGAAGTGGCCCAGAGACTTGATAGTATTAGGAGAATCGGTGCTGGAACGGGTCTCTTGAGATATGTCATCAACCGCGACGTGACTCCTTCAGATCCAGGGCAGCTGTTTGACGGCACTCCATTTATCAATGGTGAGTGGGGGGTGATGGGTGTGACGGAGCAGTATTGGTTTAAGGGTAAAGATACGGCGGAAGCCTTCTTTGCGGACGAGGCACGAGTGGAGACGTTAGCGGAAGTACCCAGCTCACTGGACAGTGAAAGCTGCGTTGCTGTTGCTGGCGAAGAAACGGTCTTAGTTAGCAAATAATCAGCTTCGTAGTATACCTTTACTATATATACTGGACGCAGTATCTAGGCTAGCGAACCCACACATGGGAAGCTGCCAGATACTACTACTAGAAGAAGTCCTGCAATTTTGGCAGCACCGGGGGATTTCATATGTACCTGCTAGGTTGGCTATGTATTCTATCTTCTTCGGCTATAATAAGGCCGCTACCACTCGACCCAACTTGATTTACATTCCTCATATCTCTTCAGGCCAATTCTCGTATAGTCATTCAGATCTGAACTTCACCTGAGCTCTACCTCTATCATGACCTTCAACATATACATCCCCGAGAATCTTGCTTTCTCGGACTACATTGCGGTCATCCAGGTAGCGAGGACCTGGGCCGACGCCCAAGATAGAAAGGTCAGTCGAATATGATCCCCCACTCCCTTCCCCCAGGCCACAAGCACTAACAATACATCTTGCCTCGCGCAGGATCCTGAAAGATTCCGAGCTACCGTAGCACCAGAGGTAACCATCGACTACAGCCTTCTCATCCCCGCATGGAAAAGCAAAGTCTACACGGCCGACGATTTCGTCGCCACATGGCTTGCTCCAGACCGTGTCGGACTGCCCGTACTGGCAACGCAGCACCTGCTAGGCACGCCATACATCAAGAGCGCAACGGCGAATGAAATCGTCATGGAATTCCAAGAGGTGGCCTCACACGGGCGGCGCCAGGATTACCACGGCGCGTTCGGCGGGAAAATCGGAGAGACGGCTGATGGGAGGGGGTGGGTGGAGCATCATTACGTCAAAATTGATGGCCAGTGGAAGATTGATCTCATCAAACCTTCCATAATCTATATGGCGGGGGATTGGGAGCGAGTTCGGCGGGCTGAGGGGGCGGAGTAATGCAACGCTAAGATGGGCTATCGCGCATGTATCCAAGAAATGGACTCCTTGTCATATTCTATAGCTCGTGGTTACAGTCTTTACTACCAATAAACTGCGGGGTGTGGGTGATTCCAAATTGGCATCTTTTATTTCGCCTCTTCCTGTTCAGTATTTGGGGCTGTCGATTGCAGTACGCTATCTTATGCTCCCTTGCATGTTCGTGATGAGCAATGGCAACCCAATGGTCCCTCGCCCGAACAACTCCGTCGACAGAAGATATGGGGTAGTTGAGAGTTGCATCAATTGACTGAAGCACGATTCCCCCATTTGTGAAATCAGCACTTATGCATGTTGTTGGAGAGGTAACACATTTGCAGAGGATGATCGGCCGGTTTATCCTCCGAGTAAAACCTAATTCTTACTTTAGCCTCTTTGTGTTTCTGACCAGATAGAGCTTCTAGAGATAGTGAGATTTTAGTACGGCAGGGGGCCGTTAAACCCCGCAGAATATTATATCTAATTTATTAAGATAATTACAACCATCATTACCACTAGTGATCGTACCTTGAGGATAGCACCAGACAAGTGATTACTATTCTAGGTGACCGCATTAATGCAACTTACCGTTGGTCTGTCGTGAACTTGCTAGTCCAATCATAGCAGCCACGGGTCCGTCCCCCTTGCGGCAAGGTCCCAGAGAGATTGGATGTATCGTAATACGGACTACTCCTGGCACTAATATGAAGCTGCAGCATGAGGACTGAAGGGGGGGCCAGATCAGGAATTGGGGTCTATGTGTCGGTACAGCTCGCCGTGGTATGCGCAGGTAGGAACTGCTATCAAACCATATTGCCCCCTCCCAAAAACCATCGCAATCCATTTTGACGTACAAACCATGGACCCGGAAGTTAGTAAACTGCTCGCGACGGTAACAAGTCTTGGCGAGACTGTAAAGAAGCATGCAATCACCGACAACGACAACTCCGCGAGCCGCGAGTCAAGGAGAGAGCTCCTGAGCGCGACGCGACAATTGACCAACGAGCTGCAGAATGAGGGCCAAATTGTAGAAGGATACCTTTACGGGGTAGAACCCCCTGGCACAGAATCGCGAGGCAATGCTAACGGGAACGCCAGACAATCGACCCTCTGTTGATCAAGATGGGCATTGACCTGGGCATTTTTCGAACACTGGTTGACAGCTCTTCGCCCGTGACGTTGGGGGAGCTGGTGGCCGCTTCGGGCGCCGACGAGGTGCTACTAGCTCGCATTATGAGAGGGCTTTCATCGATTCATGCGGTGAATGAGGCTGGGATCGAGCGGTATGAGCCTAATAAGGTTACTCGTGCTTTTACAACTGTCAAGGGCGAGTCAGGGATGGATGTTTTGTAGGTTTCTTTTTATCAATTTCTGGCTACAGGGACAGAAATACTGACTACAAGTCGCCAAACAGTCATAACATAAACCACCCCGGCTGGCAGTCTTTACCCCAATGTCTTCGAGCGACAGACTACAGAAACCCCACAGATCCAGCCCAGATGTGGTTTGGCAGACAGTTCAACGGCGAGCCCTACTTCGACTGGCTGGGGAAACGCCCAGAGCTCCTCCATTCTTTTCATCAGTTCATGTCAACCCAGCGAGACGGACATGCTCACTGGCTTGAATTTTATCCAATCCAGCAACAATTGCTGCCTGGTTTTGACGCCGGGGATCCTAATGCCGTCTTTATGGTCGATGTAGGTGGTAGCGTAGGCCACGAGATCCAGGAAGTCAAGAGACGCTATCCAGACATTCCAGGGCGCATGGTACTGCAGGACGTGCCAGCCACAATTGCGCGAGTAATCCCAGAAAATGGTATGGAGGCTATGGCCCATGACTTCTTCACGCCAAACTCGATCAAGGGTATGTCACACTATTTGCCGGGACCACGCAGAGAAGAAGTAAAGCTGACATGGCGACAGGCGCTCGAGCATACTACCTCCGCAACGTGCTGCACGACTGGGACGACGACCGCTGCCGCGTGATATTGAATCATATCCGAGACGCCATGACGCCGGGATATTCTGTGCTTCTCATCAATGAGTTCAGCATACCGCTCAAGGGCGCCTGTTCGTTCGCTACGCACTCCGACTTTATGCTCATGGCTATCAATGCTGCTGTAGAGCGGACTGAGCAGCAGTGGTACCACCTTATGCAGTCGGTTGGCCTACAAATAAAACAGATATGGTCACTAGAGCCGGACACTGAAAGTTTGCTGGAGGTCACACGTGGGGATTAGGGCTAAAACGTGGCTGCGGTTGATTTCTTTGGAGAACGTGGACGCTTGGATAAGTATCTGTCATTTGATGTGATTGTCTTTTACATAGGAAAGAACTGAGTTCACTCAGAAATATATGTATAAATATCCATGTGGATAAATTTATCTTGTAGCTCAGCTCGGCGGCGCAACGACCCAGCTCTGACCCAGCTTCAGTAACTCTTCTTTGATGTCTGACACTTTAACAGAAACCTCTTGCACTTGAACTCCTTGCTCGAGGTCCTGCAAATGCTTCTCCAATCCCGACCGCCTGAGTATAGAGAAGCTCTCGCCCTCGGCATTAGTCACAAATTCAACATGTCCATCCTCACCGAAACCCATCCTACCCTTCGCCCCGCAAGTAGCGCAGTCAACAGCATCTTGGCCGACAAAATTGAACATACTCAAATGGCAAACCGGGCACTTGCCCCGGGGACCGACATATCTCGCCCCCTCCTCCGTCATCGCATGGGCCTGCTGCGCCAAATTCCTGCCTAGTTCCTCAGCCCTAGCTACCGCTTCGCCATTTGATACCAGACTATTCGGGACGCCCACGCCGAAAACCTGCATCTGGTCGACGATCTGGGCGCCCAGAGGAAAAAACACCTGATGTAGCAGAGGAAGGGTGAACGGTGCCCACTCGGTCGTAGAAGCACCGCCCAGTGTCACCAGGGCGATGACTCTCGGCTTGAAGATGCGTTGGTCGACTAGATGACCTTTGCCTGCGTCAACTAGTCTTTTTGCCATGGTCACGTCTTGAAATGGACCGAGCGTGCTGTCTTGGAAGCATTTGACTTCCCATGGGATGGTGCGCGTTATGCAGGGAGCACCGAGGATGATGGCGTCGGCTTCCATGATCTGGTCGAGGATGAATGGACGGTCGTCGACGACTGGCCCAGAGGTCGGATTCGACTTTCCCACTACGGGGAGAGGAAGGTGGCCATCTAGGGCTTCGGAACCGATTGACAGTTCCTTGAGACGGACCAGGGAAATGGTCGCTGGCGTTGTCGCCGCAGTTTGGGCGGCTCGGAGGGCAGCGAGGAGAGCTTGCTCTGTGTTTCCCCCGGGGAAGCCACCGCTGAGGCCTAGAAATCTCATATTGGAGGGTAGAATTGCAGGACCAAACTGCTATGTTGGTCTCACTGACGTAGGTAAACAATTTCGGTCCCGAGAAATGCAATACGGACGCATACAGTATTTAGACATTACCCATCTTACTAGTAGGTCAGGGGTGAGATGAATCCACTCCGTAAGCTAAGAATGTTACTGCAGACAACCATACCGTGTCTTATTTGGACTCAAGGTGAACTACAAGGTTGAGGACGCGCGGTGCGGGGTCGTATCGGGTTCTATACACCAATTGCCTAAGGAAGTTAGTGGCTTGTATATATGTACATTTGGAATACATCCATGCGAGCTACTACTTGGCTGTATTGTCGAAACTCAGTCATCGCACTAACACAACGGTTGGTCGAGTGGACGATCCACAGTATCACAATAGGCCGTCAGCTGTGCGACTCGTATAAGTGCAAGGTATCATACAGACCCGGGCAAGAAGGCTGCTTATTTACACACTAGCCACTCATATTCGGTTCGGCACAATCTCCCTGTGCTCAATGACTACGTCAAACACAAAAGACGGGCTCTTCACGAGCTACGACGCCGAGTACTGGAACACCTACCTAGACGCTCGTCCAACGTACTCGCCCAACTTCTACAACCTTATATTCCAACACCACGCCCAAAAAGGCAATAACAGCTGGACACTGGCGCATGACGTGGGTACTGGACCTGGAAACGTAGCGGCCGTGCTCGCGGAGCGCTTCGAACGGGTCATCGCCACAGACGCGAGTCCTGACCATGTCAACGCCGCACGACAGCGCCAGCAACAAACAGACAAGATCAGCTTTTCGGAATGCAAAGGCGAGGACCTAGCTCACGCGGGGCTATCACCACCACGCACCGCCGACCTCGTCGCGAACGCGGAAGCGATCCCGCTTATGGACGCTGAGGAAGCCATCGGGTGCTTCGCAGAGCTACTGGCGCCCGGTGGAACATGTGCAGTGTGGTTCTACGGGCGGCCGACGTTCGCTGGGCCCGACTCCACAGTGAACGAGGCATGCCAGCGCATCTTTTACTGCATCTCCACGCGGCTACTGAACAAAATAGGCGGCGTGAGCGGGCCGTTTTGGGAGCGTTCTACACGCACTATTGCCTCGCAGCTGGATAACGTTGCGTTTCCTGCTGCGCAGTGGCGTGATGTGGTTAGGTATAAGTGGAATTGTGAGCAGGCTACTATGCTATTTCATGATGAGAGTCAGTTTGGAGGGCCGGTTGAGCGGGTGAACTGTGTTGGGCCTACCGAAGAGGTTGTCTCGAAGACGGACCCTGGGTTTTGGCAGATGCAGTGGGGTGCTGCTGAGGTGCGTAGGTGGTTTGAGGCTCATTTGCCGACCTGGTTTGAGGATAAGGCTCAAGATCTGGAGCTGGAGGGCTGGTATGAGGAGTTGGATCGTGTTATGGGAGGCGGTTCTCTGCCGGTGGCGTGGCCCGTGGTTTTGCTCCTCGCGACGAGAGTGTAGTGTGTGTCTTGCGTCGAGTTTGGCAATACAGTATTTGACAATCCTGTTATAATGTCTAGACTTATTGAAAGTGCTTTGTTTAGTATCTTAAAGGCAATGATAGTTGATATACTGGCAAAATACTGCACGAAAGCTACATTATATACCACGTGGGGAAAACAATTGAAATACATTCGAGTGTATTATGAAGTGAAAAAGATATTCACAGTAAGTAAGGACAGTGGAACCTATCACTAAAGGTCACCCAAACATAATACCCAGTAGACTACCATCTGGATGGCTTGAACAACGACGTAAATATCCACAACATCAAATGCAGAGAACCAAACACCACAAGAGGTACACCAGACAGCACAATCTGTTTGAACAGCCCACCCCGCCGTTTGACAACTTCCCACAGCTCGCCGCTCATAACATCAACCGCACCATCCCACTTCCAGGGCCCGCATAGGCGAAACTTGGTATTGAACTCAGCCGCAAGTAGCCAAACCAGCGGAAGACGCCACCACTCCTTGCGCGAGCTCCCAAACCTCACAGCGTCCAGAAACGATGGCGATGCATTCATATCGACGGCTAACTGGTTCGCGTAGTCATCGTGGCTAACGCCATACTTGATGCGCGCATCCGAAGGCATGCCAAGCCGATAGTGCGGCTCGTCCTGGGGCAGAAGGGGCTGCAGACGCTCGGGGGCGAGGAGATTCACCACCCAAAGCTGCGCCTGCAGTTCCGCTAGTGGCGGGATCGCGCCAAAACCGGGCCTCACGAACCCAATGAAGCCGACGCTTGGCTCGTCGCGACGCCAGACGTCTCGTACGTCTAGGTCGGAGGTGCTTGGGTATGTTGAGTCGAGGAAGTCGAAGCGTTGGGTGTAGCCTGTGGCGAAGACGAGGACGTCGGGCTTTACTATCTCGGCTTCTTTGATGCGATTGTACTCCGGTCGACCGTTGTCCATGAAATGGAGCACGCCATTGCTGTCTATGTGAGATGGCCAGGGCGCTATGTCAATCTGACGGCCGTGTGTCTCGGGAATAGGCACTTGAATGATGCTGGAGCGTAAACGCTGGAAAAACGTGTCTTTTCTGTATGGCTTGCTAATGTATGGCATCGCTTTGCTGGACTTGGTGAAGATGACTGTATGAGTAGATAATTTAGTAGTTGAGCTTCGGCTTGGTGAAGTATCTCCTCAATGCCAGGCACCCCGAATCAACGAGGGAAAAGGGGAGGGGCTTACCATTTGATGTGTGCCATCGTGAAGAAGGATAACCGCCCACCCACTGATCATAACCGGCACTCGTACCAGTCATGAGCCACATGCCCTGCTTGACCAAGCGGTCGAATACGTTGCCGGGTAGTTTTCCCCACTTGTGGCTCGCGTGAAGATATGTATCTACCGGCACGGGCGGGTTCGGCGACTGCAGCTGGCTTGCCAGGGAAGGGAATACTATGGGGCTCGGTGTTCGCTAGAACAAATCTTGTTAGTCGCCCATTATAGCAAGAATAAAGCAGGAGCAGGTAGTGACTGGGAACCGTGTGAATAGGAAAATGAGTCTACCTTAGCAACGACACTGAACCCGTCGCGATGAGATATAACGACTCTCTTAGTTGGCGCCGTCACAGCCAGATGAGCAATATCCATAGCAGTTTCTCCCGTGCCGAGGACAACAACCGTCGTGTCGGAGCCAAACTGCTCGCGCGACTTAAAGCTAGACGAATGAAAAGACTTGGAAACCTTGTCGATGCCCTCGAGTGACGGTATATTGGGCGTTACGTGCAGACCCGAGCAGACGGCGACAGCATCGCACATCCACGACCCCTCCTTGCCATCCTGCGTGGCATAGCTGATGACATGGGAGCGGCCTTTGCGTCGGACAGCCGTCACTGGGGTCGACAACTGTATAAATGGCCACAAGTCGAACGCAGTGGCATACTGGCCGAGGTACTCGAGGTATCTCGCCGCGGGGAGGTAATCGGGGTCGTCTTCGCGGGCCCGGAAGTCGGAAAACGCTGTAAGGTACTTGGACGATACCAACTTGATAAGGACGGTCAGTTAGTCTCAATCGACTCAGTGTATGACAGTATTGGCTGTTGTTGCCCAGCTCTAAAAGGCCCATACATACCTCGGCGTCTTCATACATGCGCTTGAGAAAGGTGCCGCCTATACCTTCTTCTGCTTCAAACAACTTCGCCTCGACAGGATCCCCGCCAACGAACTTGTGCGCTTCAAGCAGATGCTTGAGCGTGGTCAATCCGGCCGGACCGCCTCCAATGACGGCGACTCTCATTGTGTCAAGTTGCTACGCGGTACTCTCTTTAGGTTTCAATGCGACCTGTTGCACAGAGGCAAAGCTTCCAGCTATAGCTCGAGAAGAAACACTTATACAGGGTGCCAGACTATGGTCGCACCTGAGCAAGGGGTCTCACGTCAACATACGTGATAAATACCTAGGTATACGAATGCAGAAGTTGCTAAACTCAATGACTGTAGAAACCTCTGTGGCTGTGGATAAAGAAGCCAGTCTACTCCATGCAACCTTGTCGTCTCCTCCAATTCTATTTACTGCTGAAATACATAAACCTACAGGCTACATGAATTGGTAAGAATACTATACATCAAATACCACCTAGTAAACTTACTCTACATGAAGTATCACCTAGTAATCTGACTCTACAGAGAGTATAACCTAAGTATAACCGAGCAAGCACACTCTACCCGGGGTTGTCTGCACCGCCTATCTAATTTTGCCACTAAGTTAGACTGTCATTTTCATGCATAAGTGCTGATTTAGCAAGTGAAGGACTGTAGAAACACGCATGCGTACTTTTGTTAAACGGTATCCTAAGACGCCTCGCCCAATCATTGTAGGTTGCGCCCAGGAGTAGTGATGACCGGTACTATGCTGACCTGCAAGGGGTGTGTGTTCATAGAGTTGATCACTGGTCTCTTGAGTCTACAACTCATGGTAGCTACAGTAGGGCTTACAGCTATAGTTACTAGGCAGGGGGCTGCAGGAGCGCAGCTGGGCAATTGCCTGTTTGATTAGGGCCTGAGTGTACCGCAATTTAGCCAACCGCGGATTCCGCGCCGAAGAAATGACCCACGTATAATATAAGATACCCGTGCGGTATAATTATATATCACACTACATATCCGTTCTTACCGCAGGATCGGGTCCCCCGCAGGCGTAATAAGAATAGCATTGTATAGCATAAATTGATCTGCAGGAAGACGCGGATGAGGCGGTGGCAAACGGTGAGGCAGGGATTGTAGCAGGTTATTGAACACGAGGACAAGGATAGGAAGGCATCTAATCCAAAGCTATGATACAAGGTAGCTAGTATAATATGTTGGAGACTGCAGGGGTTAGTATGATAGGTTAAGTCGTATTTCTATCGTTTGATAGGTGGGTTATCTGTATTCTTGACCCCTCTGTGGGCCACGGGCTGCTCCGGGCGGAAGGAACCCCGCATGGCGGCTTAATATACACGCTAGAAGAAAATAATACTATTACACGATCTGAGGTGGATTGTTTGATCGACCAATTGAATGAGGGCTAGAGGCTGTCTCTAACAGGTTCGGAAGGAGTTAACAGCGCCTAAGTGTTTGAAGAGCATGTGTATATCTAGCTCTATATATTTCTTAGCAGCATTGACGCTTATTTGAGTCTCATTCAAATCCAGGTGTGAAAACCCCTCCTTTTTCAAAAGAAATGGGTTCCAAGGAACTAAAAAGTAGTTGGATTTGGAGGCGGAGTAGGACAGAACACCGTAACTCAGTTTTATACAGGTATTACAGTATTAGAAAGCCCAGGTGGAACGAAGGAATGCTGGGTGGGGCGTCCGCGTCAGGGTTTTGGTCTGGAAAGTCAGCCTGGCCGGTGTCCTTATTCTGATCCTGAGACACCAGGATTCTAGCGCAGCGGAGAGTTCTCGAGTTAGATTCTAGCATGTATCTATGCAGAGCACCAGCATGTTCCTCTCGGGGTGGGGCAGAATAAGCGACTCGTGTTGTTGAGCAAGGCTGTGATCACTCGACGCAGCCCTAGCTAGTGGAAAGACACCCGGGGATGAACTGCGGAAATCTCACCCCCAAGCTAGGGAGTCGGATTGTAGCTGACTAGGGGTATTTAAGCCCGTTTGATAAGTCGTGGCAGCACTCGTGATAACGCATTGCTACAGCGTGCGGTCCTTACACAAATCATTTGAATAACTCATGGATCGAAAGCTGCCCTAAGCTACCACGAGGACATGTCTCGACCCGAGTTGATACCAGATATTTTAATCCACCATGCTGAAAAATCTCGCGAAAAGGTCGCTTTCGCGGGTTCGGGGTGGACAATAGTACGTCTCTCTAGAGCACTGCTCTTCTCCTTGCAGTCCTTGTCTTTAGTTGTGGAGACATGAACCCGCAGGGCAACAGACTCGAGAGTTTTTGGTCCATGCTGTATTTTCACCTGCACGGCGATAACTGACGGCTTGAATTTCTAAGACGTATGGCGACCTCGAAAAACGGACTAGGCGCCTAGCAGCCCATCTGGTCCGTGCCGGCATAGGGCGAGGACACTTCGTGGCCATCGTGCTAGGCCGATGTCTCCAGACCGTCGAGTCCGTGCTGGCAATCACGCGAGCTGGTGCTGTGGGAGTCCCTTTGGATTCTCGTTCGCCCTCATCAGAATTGGCTAAGGTTTTGGAGCATAGCGGCGCACGAGTGGTCATCACAGATGGCCGGCACTTGGCCACTGTGCGCGCTGCTGCTGGGGAAGGAAGCTTGATTATTCTAAACACCGAAATTCCAAACCTGGATGCTGTAGAGGGAGGGCATCAGATTGCGCGATACCAAGATTGGATTGAAGACGAGGAGTGCTCGACCTTGGATATCAAGATCGACGATCTCGGAGAGGATGAGCAAGCCTTTCTACACTACACTTCTGGTACAACAAGTTTGCCCAAGGGGGTACTGTCAAACCAGAGGAGTTGGCTATTAAATGTGAACAGCCTGGTGTCAGCGTTCGAGCTGACGCCCGAGGATCGCTTCTTCTGGCCTCTTCCCCTGTTCCACTGCATCGGCCACTTGTTGTGTATCATGGGTACCGTTGTCGTTGGTGCCAGCGCATATCTCCCTGACGCCGATCAGACATTGTTTGACAGCCTCAGAGACACGAACGCTCGAGAAACAACGCTCATCGTGGGAGCGCCCACCACCTTCCACGATCTCATGGACGCCGCGAAGCGGTCAGATCCGATTTCGCCTTTGGATTTGCCTAGACTGCGGGCATGTATGTATGCGGGTTCCTCGGCATCTGGATCCCTAGGTGCCCAAGTCAAGGAGTTGCTCGGTGTCCCCCTCCTGAACAACTATGGGTGTACCGAAGGTTGCGGTTCTATCGCTGTGAGCAAAACGGGCCATACCTATCGCAACAACTCCAGTATCACACTCCTGCCCCACTGGGAGATCAAGCTAGTGGACCCAGATGGGAACCCAGTCAAAGACGGCGAGCAAGGCGAGGTCTGCATAGGCGGTCCCGGTCTGATGCTCGAGTACTACAGAGAGTCGCGGACGCCGTTTACGCCGGACGGCTGGTATCCTACCGGCGACATCGCAATCCGCTCGAGCTCGGCAGCCGGGGCTGAATTGACCTTGGTGGGACGCAGGAAGGAGATCATTATCCGAGGTGGTGAAAATATTCATCCTCATGAGTTGGAACATGTCTTGCTTCGGCATCCCGGCGTGGCTGATGTCGTCGTGGCTGGAATGCCGCATAGACTGCTTGGGGAGACACCTGCTGCCTTCATTGTCAAGACTGCCGCGGAGCAGGACTTCGACCTCCCAGCATTGCTTGCTGCATGTCGTCAAATTTTACCGGATTATAAGATACCCACCGGTAATTTGCCCTCTTCCCCTTGCCCTGGAACCATACGTATCCTAACACGAGCTAGCGTTTTACGAGATTGATGCCGTTCCTCGAACTGTCATCGGTAAACCGAAACGGTTAACCATGACTTCTTACACAAAAAGACCACTTAATGCCCGGTCTATGTTGCATTCGAGAGACTCAATCGAAGCACTGGTAGTGGAGGAGACGGTCAGAGCATGCACTTTAGACGTTGGACCCGAGAGCGAGTCGAACACGGACTGGCTTCGTCGACACTTTGACCAGCCCTTTTCGTTTCTGGGCCTGAGCTCAATGGCTGGTGTGGTTCTTCGAGACCGACTTGCCGGTCTCACGGGATTGGCTGATATTCCCAATACCCTCGTGTTTGACTATTCTACTCCAGCAGCAGTGAGTACGTACCTTTATAGCCGATTGTTGGAGCCGAAAACGACACCTTTGCCCGGCTGTACATCGACTACGACGGCGGATAGTGAGGTGGAGCCAATTGCTATAATATCCATGGCGTGCCGGTATCCTGGAGGCATCTCTTCCCCGGAGGATCTGTGGCAGCTAGTTTCAGATGAGATTGACGCGACTACCGACTTTCCAGACGATGTACGTCCTAGTCATGTTTTCCCAAGCCTTTCCTTGTTAAAACACGAGATTATCGACTAACAAAATCACAGCGCGGCTGGGACATCGAAGCATTGTATAGTACCAACCCCGACACCCCCAACACCTCCACGACGAAGCGCGGCGGTTTCCTGCCCGATTTTGCCCACTTTGACGCTGGCTTGTTTGGCATGGCGCCGCGTGAGGCTCTCGCCACTGATCCCCAGCAGCGGCTGTTATTGGAGACGACGTGGGAATTGGCCGAGAGAGGGGGTATTGCTCCGTTGTCGCTGCAAGGTAGCCAGACCGGCGTGTTCGTGGGGACTCTGTATGAGGATTATGAAGAGAACGGCTTTGGGAACAACGGTGCGTTAGTCGTTCTTGTTATCCCCCATATCAACGTTATACATGCATGACTACATACTTACCAGTCTCGACGGTGCAGAGTTGGAGGCACATCTTGGACTTGGTTCATCCAGCAGTGTCGTCTCTGGGCGTGTGTCGTACTGCTTTGTGAGTATTTTGCGATTATCCCATTATATCACCAGATGGACCAGGCATCTCTGAACGACAAAAAAACAATGTACTAACTGTAATTCTTGAAAGGGCCTCCACGGTCCATCCCTAGTCGTCTCAACAGGCTGTTCATCCTCACTAGTAGCAATCCACCTAGCAGCCCAAGCTCTCCGAAACAGAGAGTGCTCGCTCACCGTGGCGGGAGGCATAACAACCATGGCTACACCACGACCATTCACCATGTTCAGCAGAAGACGAGGCCTATCGTCAGATGGACGATGCCGGGCATACTCAAGTGATGCAAGCGGTACTGGCTGGTCCGAGGGTGTAGGCCTGCTCCTCCTCGAGCGACTCTCAGACGCCAAACGCAACGGGCATCAAATCCTCGGGCTGATCCGCGGATCTGCCGTTAACTCTGACGGTAAATCTAATGGGTTGACGGCACCAAATGGGCCGGCCCAGCAGATGTGTATCCAGAGCGCCCTGGCCCAGGCGGGGATGTCGCTGGGAGACGTGGACGTGCTTGAAGGCCATGGCACTGCGACGCCTTTGGGTGATCCTATTGAGGTTCAGGCTGTGATTTCGGCTTACGGCAACGGCGATAGGAAGAATATTGACAGCCCTCGCCGTTTGGAACCGCTGCTACTTGGTTCAATCAAGTCTAAGTGAGTCTTAACAGTTACCGGACATGTTCATGTATTAAATGGCTAACACAGAGTGATGTATTAGCATCGGTCACACGCAAGCCGCTGCTGCCGTCGCAGGAATTATCAAAATGGTACAGGCTATGCGCCATGGCGTCGCCCCAGCATCATTGCATATTCGTGAACCGTCACCCCAAATTGACTGGGAAGGGAGTGGTGTTGTACTCCTCAATAAGGCTAGGCAGTGGCCGTCTGTTGATCGACCAAGGCGGGCTGCGGTTTCTTCGTTTGGCATTGGGGGTACGAATAGCGTGGGTCTTCTCCACCCTTCCTCTTTTGACAGTATACTGACTTTGAGGTTGAAGCACATAATTTTGGAGCAGCCTGGGCCAGGAGAAGTGGAAGAATCAAAACCCAAAAACGTCCCCGCCGGCTTTCCGTGGCTCATTTCCGGCGTTACCGAAGCTGCTTTGCGCGCACAGGCTCACTCACTGTTGGCAGCTTGCAGACAACCTGATAGCAACACATCTAGCTCCCTCTTCAACCAAGATCCTGCCGACATAGCGTTCTCACTTGCCACCGCCCGATCAGCGCTCAAATACAGAGCCACGGTGTCATATGCCCTGGGAGCGAACATGCACAATCAGATCGAAACAGCACTCGAAAGCCTTGCTCAAGGCCAACCACACCCCGACGTCATAGCGGCACACACGAACACCACCGGTAATAAGCCCCGCCGGGTGTGCTTATTCTCAGGCCAGGGCAGTCGGATGCCAACGATAGACACGCTCGCAGAGCTACGCGCTACCTTCCCCGTCTTCTCCACGGCGTTCCAGGCAGCGTGTGACGAAGTGGACATGCACTTGGAGTGCCCACTCGTACATGCTATCACTGATGGCAGCATGCTAGACCGTACCGATTTCGCACAAGCCACCCTTTTCGTCTTCGAGGTGGCCATGTTCCGCCTCCTGGAGTCGTTTAATATCCGTCCGGACTTGGTTGCTGGACATTCCCTGGGAGAGATCGCCGCGGCGCATGCTGCTGGGGCTTTGTCTCTTCGTGACGCTGCTACTATCGTGACCACGCGGGCTAAACTTATGGCATCTCTACCCCCCAACGGTGGTATGGTGAGCATATCGGCGACGGAGGAGGAAGTTGCCAGTGAGCTGTCACGATTGGGCGGAAGTGCCACTATTGCGGCGGTCAACTCACAAAACTCGGTGGTAGTATCTAGCACACAAGAGGGGATTCAGGCCGTCGCAGAGAGGTTCGCCAGCTTAGGACGAAGAGCTACCGTACTGCGAAACGTCAAGCACGGCTTTCACTCCCCACTAATGAAAGACATACTCCCTGGGCTTGAACGCGCACTGCCATCGTCAATGGAAGAAGAGAACCCCACAGCCATACCGCTCGTTTCCACTGTCACAGGCAAGCGAGCCAACGCAGCGCAGCTCCACTCTTCAAAGCACTGGGTCCGTCATGTCAGCGAGCCAGTTCGCTTCGCAGACGCTATCAACGAGCTCAAGTCAAACGAACACGTCTCGGTGTTTGTGGAGATCGGTCCGTCTGCAGTCCTATCTCCCCATGTTCCGGACGCTGTCGCCACACATGGCACAGTTGACAAGCTTCTCAAAATGCTGGGCCAACTGTGGGCTGGCGGTGTACCTGTCGACTGGCACGCTGTCTTTGCGAGTAGTGGCGCGCGATTTGTCGATCTGCCTGTCTATGCTTTCCAGCGGCAGAGATACTGGCTGCCCTATACGCCAGTTTTGCCAGTGACATCCAACGGAGCAGTTATAGAGCAGCTTAGAGAGTATGACACGGGTACCTGTGCTGGCTCGCGCTTGCGACATGAGATGCTCTTCAGCGCTATTTCTATCCCAGGAACAGGCACTATCATATGTTCGGGCTACCTGTCCACGGCCCGACAGCCTTGGCTTCGTGACCACGTTATTGGTGGACAGTCGCTCGTTCCAGCCTCGGCGTTTACTGAACTTGCTCTTCGAGCTGCTCAAGAATGTGCAGATTGTTCTGAGCCTTACTCTTTGATCCTGAATGAGATGATTGTCATCGCGCCCCTGGTCTTGTCTTCGGGAGAGGACGGGGAACAAGGAGAACAAGGAGAACAAGGAGAAGTGGAGATCCAAGTACTCATAGGCGAGTCACATCCTGAGAATGAGGCCACCCAGACCCAAAGAACCGTCGAAGTGTACTCACGCCCCAGCGGCGTCGCAACACAGCATGAGTGGACGCAGCACGCCACAGGTACATTCCAGCTCACGTCGCAGCCCAACCCCAGCCATGAATCGTTTATAAACGGCACAGACCCCACAAAGGCGGAATCAGACATGGACGTCTCCGAAGCATACGCCCTCTTAGACGATGCAGGTCTCTCATATGGACCGTCTTTCCAGCGCGTGCGTGCCATTTGGCGTCTAAATGACAATGACATACTACTGCAGATTGACCCACCTCAGGATCAGGTTCAGATGTTGACTTTTGTCCTGCACCCTACTGTGCTAGATGCTGCATTGCATTCGTCTACCCTTGCTTCCGCGGAGAAAATCGCTGGCGGCGACATTCGGTTGCCTTTCTCGCTCCGAGGGATCCAGGTTTTCCAGGCGGTTGGCGCCTCTAGCCCAATTCTAGCACGCATCCATCATATAGGCGAGGTCAGCTTCTCATTGACATTGACGGACAAGTCATCGGGTGTGGTACTCGCGAAGATTTCTGAGGTTCAGCTGCGCACCTGGCAACCTACCGTTGCTGGAGGTGACCTCTACCGCCTCGAATGGATTGAGTCTGCGTCTCAAACCACGACATCTACGACGACGGACAATATTGTTCGGGTCGAAAGCTCCCACAATGTTGACGCGACAGCAGTCAGCAAACCTGTGCACGAAGCTGTCGCCGAGGCGCTCCATGTGGTACACGAGTGGAGGGCTGAGAAGACACATGCTGCCGACGGTGTTCGCCTCGTCTTCGTGACCGAGAGGGCGACGTTCACCGGCGAAAATTCCGATATTGATGTTGTTACCGCCGCTGTATGGGGTTTTGTACGATCCGCGCAGGCAGAGTTCGGTGGGGGCCGGGTGGCGCTCATCGACTTAGATGGGTCATCCGAGTCGGAAGAGGCTCTATCGGCTGCGCTTGCTTCCAGAGAGGAAGTTGTTTCTGTGCATGGTGGGAAGATTGTGATTCCCAGGTTGAGCAAACGGCCTTCAGTGACAGAGCCTCCTCAAGCGATGTCACTCGATGTCAGCGGGACTGTCTTGATCACTGGCGGTACAGGCGGCCTGGGTGCCATACTCAGTCGAGACATGGTGCACACTCATGAAGCCAAAAGTCTGCTCCTCGTTAGCCGGTCGGGTACTGAAGCGCCCGGAGCACGCGAGTTGCACGATGAGCTACGAAGTGCAAATGCAGCCGTACGTGTCGTCGCATGCGACGTCAGTGACCGCGCCCAGCTCGCCGCACTGCTAGACAGCCACAATCGCCATCAATACCCACCCATCACCGCCGTCATCCACTGTGCAGGCGTGGTCAGTGACGCATTCCTGGGCTCCCAAACTCCAGAGCGAGTATCTAGTGTTCTCCGCCCCAAGGTCGACGCCGCATGGAACCTTCACGACCTCGTTCCCGACACGGTCCGCTCGTTCGTCCTCTTCTCGTCGTACGTCAGCGTTCTCGGAAACGAAGGTCAGGCGGCGTATAGTGCAGGAAACGCTTTTCTCGACGCCTTGGCTCGCTTCCGTGTTGCACGGGGTCTGCCAGCTCTGTCGCTGGCTTGGGGCCCGTGGGCGAATGATGCCGGGATGGCCGCTGGAAGCAAACTAGACGCGATCCCCCCGCGCATTGCCACTGCGCGGCCGTTCTCAGACCAGCAGGGTTTGGATCTGTTTTATAAGGCGCTGCAGATGCAGACAAAGACCCCTCCAGAGCCGGTTCTTCTGCCGTTGTTGCTGCGCGGGCCGTTCCCGCTGGTGCAGTCTGCTGGTACGGCACACAAAACCAAGACGTCTGCCAAACGAGAGTCAGGATCAAGCGCCGTCTGGCGCAGGAACCTTGCCGCAGCCTTATCGGAGAACCGTCATGACGCTCTGCTGGGCATGGTGCGAGATGAGATTGCTGCGGTGCTGGGATACCAGGGCCAGGATCTGCTTCCGGATCAGCGACTTGATGACCTCGGCTTTGACTCCTTCACTTCAGTTATGCTCACGAACAGATTAAGGGTTTTGACTGGGCTCAGTCACCTCCCTGTTACGCTGGCGCTAGATTTTGATACTACTCAGGCGCTGGTAGACCACCTGTTACCTCGCATTGAAGCAGAGCCAGAGCCTGAAGTCGACATGGATTCAGATGCTTCCACGACGGCCGGGGACACATCAGTTTCTCGTGACAGTGGCAAGGAAGACAAGCTGAGCCCGTCGTCTAGTGTGACTACTCTCGCTTTGGAGGAGAAAGACGAGCCCAACCCCGAGGTATTCCGAGGGCTAGCCACGATCCACAGGCGACTGTCTCAACTGGAACAGTACACCGCTGCTGCAGACTTACTAGCCTCAGCCGCACTCGCAATGCCGACATTCCCCAAAGCTGGGTTAAGCCTGTCAAGCTACACAGCAGAGCCCCAGCGCCTCGCGACCGGTCCGTCAGCCTCTTCCAACTCAGAGCTGCCCCTGCCGTTAGTCTTCATCGCGCCTTTCTTCCCACGCATCAAGATCGAGGGAGTGGGTCTCAGCGTATATAGCAACCTGGCATCTGCAATGGACGGCACAAGGGACGTCTTCGAACTCCCCCACCCAGAAGCGCAGGCCGTCCCAGATGACCTCGGCACACTAGCCGATCTGCACGTCCACACCATCCGCAAGCACTTCTCGGACCGCCCGGGAATCATCCTCGCTGGTTACTCCGCAGGGGGAACAGTCGCATACGCAGTGGCGTCCAAACTGGCTAACGCTGAAGACCAGCAGCCCCGGCTAGCGGGCTTCGTCTTGGTGGACACGTATCTCACGATGACGGGTCGGGGCGATCCCGACTGGCTGAACGCGCTCCCGGCGGAGGCCCTCGTTACGCGCCTACAGGTGCCCCCAAGCTTAGGGCACTCCAAAGGCATGGGCAGCGACAGTCTCGTTGGAGACCTGGACGTGGCGCTGGCGAAGGTAGGTGGGTATTTTAGAACGTTGCGAGACTGGGATATTGAACTTCATCCCCTGCCTGATGCGCTCTCGACGCTGTTCGTGCGTGCCGTGGATCCGTCGGATAAGATGCCCAAGGATTCCGACGTATGGCGCCCTCGGTGGCCGCGGGCGAACCTGACTGTTGATGTCCCTGGGAGTCACCTGGCTCTGCTGGACAAGCGGTATGCTCCTGCTGTTGCCGGGGAGATTCAACGGTGGGCAAGGGAGGACTTGAGTGCTTAGTGCGGGTTGAAGTTGATCCTCATGAGGTGGTCTCTTTTATGTATTGTTAGCCTCTCTCTGACTTTGCGTGGCACATTGGAGAAATTTGTAACGAGCACCGTTTATGATTGAGAGTACTCAGCGGTCTAGCTGGCCATTCATGTAACCCTCTTGTACCTCGTAGTCAGGGGAGTAGTTTCATGAGAGCTCGGCTCATGTCGGTCCGTATCAACGTACAGAAAGGCACGGGTGTTCTACGGTAGATCAACTTGGGGGGGCTAGTTGATAAGTAGTAACTTCTTGTCGGATCTACATCAGCAACTGATACTAGTAAGTTAGAACGTCTGCGATCATATTACAACCCGGCATTGTGACTGCTGTTTGAATATCACTATACAAGGAAGACTCCGTAGAAGAGAGCTATCAGTTGAACTTGTTGCCTATTCTGCTGAGATATTGAGTCACAAGGGCCTGAGAAATGGTTTCGACAGTGATATACGAAATTCTCCGGACTTGCTCATATCGACCAGCATTTTCAGATACTCTGTCTAATACAAGCCCCGATGCGAGTTGCTCGCGCTGATACACTGGGGTCATGGTTACATGACTACGACGTCATTTATAGATGTTCACTCCACCTAGATCCTTCGACGAAAGCAGGCAAAAAGGTATTGACCATAATGACACACCTCGAAACTCACACGAAATTGCGAATGGTTACGAGATGCAAGAAACAGAAGAGTCATATATCATGTTTCAGGTCCGGAAGAAACGCAAGTCAGCCGATGTTACGACATGTGATTCCACATGGTTGAAGAGTCCGAAGCCGGCGAGGATTGAGTCACGCCCTGGACCTATATCCAGGGTACTATATCCCCTCCCTTGGGAACCATGGTTGGGATCATCTCGGTAGGAACCTATCGAAGTACCCCTCGTACGATCATTGGAATTGAGGTTTATAGGGCATATTCACCATGAAAGTATTGCCACCATATCTCTTTGCTACCCCATCGATGTAAGAGTATCATACACCGTACTTTGGGGAAACCAGGCTGTGACTAGCTTGAAATAGCCGTCCAGTTAGTGGATCAATACCCCGTGCTTACCGGTGCCAAATTCGGAGGATGACTGGTTTAAAAGAGTTTTCCTGCCCACTGTTCGAGTGATGAACATCCCTGTCTCCGGTGCCGGCGTGCGTTCTTAGTCAGCCCTGCATTAGGATTTCACTTTTCCTGCTGGTCAATCACATCCTGATCTCTAATTCTTTCATCCTTCTTTCAATGTGGTGCAGATAACACTCTTTGATCCCATTTCTGTACATGATATAAGGCGGGATACCTCCCCCCCCCCCCAGGTCCACACAGATCCCGATTCCCGAAGCGGCGGTGTCGATCTTCCCCCAGGGGATATCCGCATGACTCATCAGACTCGCGCCCCAGCCTTTCTATATCTCCATCCCAACGATCCCACGATCGGAGTTATACGCCTCTCTACGACCTCTGATTCCATCGTATAGCCTTTCCCCGACGCTCACCATGCTCCGAAGTCGCCAGGCAAGAAATGCCTTGAAGGCCGTGGGCCAGACCAGGCCATTGAGGTCCCAGACCCCGGTGGCCTTTACCCAGTCGCTCAACAAGGTCCCGTCGAACCGGAGGACCGAGGCCACTGTCGCCACTGCTTCGTCTACTGCGTCGTATGTGTCTGCCCTGATCAGAGTCTGGTTTTAAGACGAGAATCTCTGGACTAACCGTCTGCGTTGAGTGGGGCGTTCAACAGCCAGGTCCGACCCACTCCTAGCCCTACTTTCAATCAGTATGATAGCCAGGTGCAGCCGTTGACGGGCATGTCGAGAAATATCACGGATGAGTCGTATGATATCCCTGTTCTTTTGTTGGTGTGAGAATGCATGCTAATTGTGTGTTTGAAAATAGGTTTATCGGCAAGACCGGTGGCGAGATCTTCCACGACATGATGCTCCGACAGGGCGTCAAACATATCTGTATGTCTCGATAAGGGGAGCGCACAACATTACCCATAGCAGCAATGGCTAACGACGGATACCCATAATACAGTTGGATACCCCGGCGGCGCCATCCTCCCCGTCTTCGACGCAATCTACAACTCCACGCACTTCGACTTCATCCTCCCCCGGCACGAGCAAGGCGCCGGCCACATGGCCGAAGGCTACGCCCGGGCCTCAGGCAAGCCAGGCGTGGTCCTCGTGACGTCCGGCCCAGGCGCAACCAACATCGTGACCCCCATGCAAGACGCGCTCCTAGACGGAACGCCCATGGTCGTATTCTGCGGCCAGGTCCCGACGACAAGCATCGGCAGCGACGCCTTCCAAGAGGCCGACATCGTCGGTATTTCGCGGCCCTGCACCAAGTGGAACGTCATGGTAAAGAGCATCGCCGAGCTCCCGCGCCGCATCAACGAGGCATTCCAGATCGCCACCACCGGCCGGCCGGGGCCCGTCCTCGTCGACCTCCCCAAGGACGTGACGGCTGGCATCCTCCGCAGGGCGATTCCTACAGATGCAGCGATCCCAACGCTGCCCAGCGCTTCAACCCAAGACGCCATGGACCTCAACCACAAGCAGCTAAAGGCCTCCATCGCGCGCGTTGCCAAGCTCGTCAACATGGCCAAGCAGCCTGTCATCTACGCCGGCCAGGGCGTCATCCAGTCCGAATCCGGCCCCGAGCTTCTCAAGAAGCTATCGGACCTCGCTTCCATCCCCGTGACCACAACCCTACAAGGCCTCGGCGGCTTCGACGAGCTGGACTACAAGTCCCTGCACATGCTCGGCATGCACGGCTCTGCATATGCCAACATGGCCATGCAAGAAGCGGACCTGATCATCGCTCTCGGCGGCCGCTTCGACGACCGCGTTACCCTCAACGTCAGCAAATTCGCGCCCGGAGCTCGCGCTGCAGCCGCCGAGAACCGCGGCGGCATCGTGCAGTTTGAAATCATGCCCAAGAACATCAACAAGGTTGTCGAGGCGACTGAGGCGATCGTCGGCGACGTCGGCACCAACCTGCGCCTGCTTCTACCCCACGTCGAACCCCGCTCAACGGACGATCGCAGCGCGTGGTACACCAAGATCGACGCGTGGAAGAAGAAGTGGCCGCTATCAGACTACCAGAAGACCGAGCGGCACGGGCTCATCAAGCCGCAGACGCTCATCGAGGAGCTAAGCAATCTCTGCGCAGACCGCAAAGACAAAACGTACATCACGACCGGCGTGGGACAGCACCAAATGTGGACCGCGCAGCACTTCCGCTGGAGACACCCGCGGACAATGATCACGTCCGGCGGGCTGGGCACAATGGGTTACGGGCTTCCAGCAGCGATCGGCGCGAAAGTCGCACAACCCGACGCCCTCGTCGTCGACATCGACGGCGATGCCTCGTTCAACATGACCCTGACGGAGCTCTCCACCGCCGCGCAATTCAACATCGGCGTCAAGGTGATCGTCCTCAACAACGAAGAGCAGGGGATGGTCACGCAGTGGCAGAATCTCTTCTATGAGGACCGCTACGCCCATACGCACCAGGCGAACCCGGATTTCATCAAGATTGCCGACGCTATGGGTATCCAGGGCCAGAGAGTGGCGGATCCTACGAAAGTCAAGGAGAGCCTCCAGTGGCTGATTGATACGGATGGGCCTGCGCTGTTGGAGGTGATCACGGATAAGAAGGTGCCTGTGTTGCCGATGGTGCCGGGTGGGTGTGGCTTGCATGAGTTTATCGTATTCAATCCTGGTAAGCATCGATCCATATACTTTTGCTGGTTGTATAACAAGCTAACGATACTTGCAGAAGATGAGAAGACGCGGCGCGGGCTGATGCGCGAACGGACAAGCGGGCTTCATGGGTAAACCATATAAACCCCCAGACATGGAAAAAAAGGGGTGATGGCGTTGGTTTATAGCAGAATGTATAGATAATTTCGGTTTTGGTTTCCGGTTTTGTTCCTTTCCTGCTTCGTTTGTGCGTTTTCTACATTTGATCCATTGCTTTAATGTCAATCGCCATTGTTTGACTCCCTGGACTAAGTCTTATATGTAACGCACTGGATGTTTTTATTCCCAGTGGAGTATCCATCCAGACGGGCTGGGATGCAATGCGATATATATAACACCACACCATCAATCCCCATATATCCACCCAACCTACCCCCATTCCATGTAGAACCCCATCAACCAACAAATATCAAAAACAAGTCCCCTCCCCCTCCACAACCTTCCATCCCACCCACCCCCCATAAGCATAACAAACCTCCCATCCACTCCTCAAAACCACCGCCCCCGTCCCATCCGCGCACTCCCCATCGCGAAACAAACACAGATCATACCGCCGACTAGGATCAGGGCTCTTCCACGAGATGCTGTCCACCGCTTTTATGTCAATCGGCGTCCCGTCGGGTCCGGGGTCTGTTAGTAGGGAGGTGCATGAGGTGGCGACTGTGCCGGAGCGGTGGTAGAGGGTTAGGGAGGGGTCTGTGCCGTTGGAAATGCAGCCTGGCTTTTGGAGGGTGAGGTCCCACTGTGCTTTCTTTGTTAGATGCGTATGTTAAGTAAGCTTGAGGTGGGTGCTGGGCAGGGGGGCGTACGTATCGGGGTCGGAGGGAATCGCGCGCGGTTAAGGAGGGAGGGTTAGGGTTGGGGTTGGGGAGGGCGGTGGTGGCGACGACGAGGCATGTTAATGCTAGGAGGTTCAGGTGCATTTTGTCAGTGATGAGATGAGATGGAATGAGATGATGATCTGCAAGTGATGGTATGCTGTTCTGGGCTGAAGACCATTAAATACCCCCCGAACCCCTGACGGAAGTTCCAGCAGCGAATAAAAAGCTATGATGGGCAATGCATGAACCCGAAACCTAGCAAATGAGACCTCGTCACGATCTTAGCTGCGATTGATCAGCTGCATTGATTCTACGTACGGAGTACATCGCGATGATCTTCGACACGGCAAGTCCGGTTCGTCAGGGATATTTCCAGCTATGTAGATCTAATGCGTGGGTTATTCTGCGAACTGTTGTATAGTTGTTCTCCCCGGTTGGGGGGTATCCTCGGGGAGTATTGATGTCCATTGCTCGTATACAGATGGAACTATAGTTTCGCGTGGCTTTTGGCTTACTGGCTTGAACTATCGTATAACTAGTTGTACCCTGCTGGGAAACTATGGCTGGTAGATATGATATACAACATCACGGCTGAGAGATATGGAGCATAGTATGCTCATCTCAACACCATGACGACATCCTCCACCCTTGCGCAATGATCATCTCTCTATAGCCTGATAGGCAAGAATCATACCACCGCCACAGATCGAGCACATCAGCCAATTATTGATCCGGGACGCGCAAGACAAGATCTGATCTGTCCGATCCGCTAACTTGATAGACCGCTAGTGCTGTTCAGTTTCAGTATAAATATATAAACTCCCCAAACCACATCATACCAACAACACCAGCATAAACCAAAGAAAAAAGATCAGAATGCCCTGCCAACCAGCCATAACGACCGTCTCCCTCGGCCAAAGCCAAACCTACACCATCCAAGAAAAGCTCCACGCCTGCGCCAAACACAACATCCACGGCATCGAGCTCTTCTACGATGACCTCGAAGCCCTCGCCCGCTCCTCCTCCCCTTCAATCACCCTCTGCGCCGACCCCCACACCCAACAACCCCCCAAAGAAGCCCTCCTAAACGCAGCAACCCAAATCCACACCCTAGCAACAACCCTAGATATCCAAATCCTCAGCCTCCAGCCCCTCCGCTTCGCAGAAGGCCTCGTCAACCGCTCCGAACAAGCCCGCATCCTCACCGACGTCCTCCCCCTCTGGCTCTCCCTCGCCCAAGCCCTCCACACAGACACAATCCTCATCGCGTCCAACTTCCTCCCGCCAGACCCGCGAACCGGCGAGCCACGCATAACAGGCGATACCACCACCATCACGGACGATCTGCGCGCGCTGGCTAAAGCGGCAGCGCCTACGAAACTCGCATACGAAGCCCTCGCTTGGTCTCCGCATATACACACCTGGGAGGCTGCTTACGATGTTGTTAAGCGTGTTAATGAGCCGAATTTCGGCTTAGCTGTTGATGCGTTTAATATCGCTGCTGCGATGTATCCTTCCCCTGATGTTCTGTCAAGCCCGTCATCCATGGCAGCGGCAGACACAGCCCTAACGCAATCCCTCGCTCGTCTAGTCGCAGACGTTGACCCTACCCGGCTGTTTGTTGTGCAAATGGCGGACGCAGAGAGGCTACTCGCTCCGCTGGATGAGCTGCATCCGTTTTATGAGGCTGCACAGCCGGCGAGGATGAGCTGGTCACGCAATGCGCGGCTGTTCCTGGGCGAGGCGCATCGTGGGGGCTTCCTGCCTGTTGTGGAGGTTGTGAAGGCTGTCGTGCTGGGACTGGGATGGGAGGGGTGGTTGTCTTTTGAGGTGTTTTCGAGGTTTTTGGTGGGGCCCGGGGATGTTCCTTTTGAGAACGCTGAACGGGCGGCGAGGTCGTGGGAGTGGGTTGTGGAGCAGGTTTGGGGGGAGAAGAGTGATACTGCTTGTTGAGGTGGGGGGTGATGTATGAAGTTGCTGTGTGGTGGTGGAGATGGGGGTGGGACTGTCTGATTATATATCTACGTACATTTTTATAGATTGATGCATGTCGATAATGGTTGAGATATAACAGGGGTATAGGTGCATCCTTTGAATGGAGTATATTGAATCTGGAGTATACTTTAATCAATGCCACTAATCTATGTACTGCCTAAGAAAGATCTATCTATGACCTCTCCCCCACCAACCGCCACGCGCGCAACGGCAGCGCCTGCAGCTTGCCCACCGCCGGGCGGATAAACAGGAAGAATGTCACCACGCCGACCACCACGCACAGGATGTTGGTCGTGTAGTAGCCGTCGTGGATCGTGGTGCACGTCCCGCCGCCGTTCTGGCACCGCACGCGCTCCGGCTCCAGCGCGCAGGAGAAGCTGCTCGTCACTAGGTCGCCCTTCAGCTTGTCGGCGGGTGGCGCCATGCTGGGTGGTGTGCAGGTGGCTTCTGTGAACATGTCGACTAGTTTGAGGATGAAGTATCGGGGGAATGTACCGCCCAGGTTGGAGACGCTGTTATGAAAGCATTAGAGAGAGATAGAGAGAGGGGGGAAGGAAGGGAGGCTCACGTTGCAAGCATTGTCATGTAGGTCCCGCCAATAGCTGGGTCAGCAATGCGTGCGTGGAATGCCGACACCGCTACGAACATGACCGTGTTCATGAACGTCGAGATGACATGCTCGCCAATCACCGTCAGAAGATACCAGAACGGCACCTCCGACGCGGCCGGGTAGATCATCACCGTGACCTGAGCCATTACGGCGGCCGCCAGACGCCCCATAAACGCCCAGCACCACAGCCGCATGGGCGTATACTCGGTCGACCACTTGCCGGCGTAGTAGCCTAGCATGATCTCGAACGGAAAGTCGATCAACACGACCAGCGCCATGTTGTCCTGCCCGAAGCCCTTGTCCAGCAGCTTGAGGCTCGTCACCCCGTCGTTGGCCTGGAACCCGATCTTGGCGATCAGATGCACCATGATGATCGTCTGGATGTTCTTCAGCTTCAGCACGCTCCACATACTGCGGTACACGTCCATGATGCTGTCGCGCTCCAAGCTCCGGTCTTCCTTCTTCAGCAGCGCCAGCCCCACCGTCACCAGCAGGTACATCCACCCCCAGAAGGTCAGGTACCCGCCCAGAGAGAGCAGGCCGCCCTCGGCCGGCTCGGCGCGGAACCAGCGGTTTGCAAAGTCGGCCGAGTTGAAGGCCAGGAACACCGTGTACGACAGGAAATGGCCCGCGGTCAATCCCACCGTCTGGGCAGTCGACGCGTACGAGATGTTAGGCGGCGACATGAGCGTGATCGCCCAGCCGTCCACCGCGATATCCTGCGTGGCGCAGAACAGCACCAGCAGGAACCACCAGTATGTGAAGTTCCAGACGCCCGCGCCGCCGTTGGCGCCCGCCGCCTTCATCATCTCCTCGATCCGTCCACCCAGGTAGATCATGGCGAGACCGGCGATGACCTGGATCGGGGTAATCCAACTCTTGCGGCGACCGAAGCGACGGCTCCAGACGGCGTCCACGATCGGGCTCCAGAGGAGCTTCAGCGAGTACGGGTACGAGGCGAGCGAGAAGACGCCGATCTGGCCGTAGGATAGGTAGGGTTTCAGGAGGAAGGGGACGGAGCCGGTAGCGAGGCCCATGGGCACGCCCTGGAGGAAGTACAGCACGCAGAGCAGCAGGAAGTTGCGGCGATCGGCGACGGGCAGGCTGGAGAAACTGGTGGTGGTCATGGCGGGGGTTTGGGGGTGATGGGGGGGTCTTGGTCGAGGGAGAAGCTGGAGCCTGCCATCACACGATCGGCACGACTAGCGGACGACTCGCTGGAGGTCTCCCTCTTCCGCATCTCGATGTTGGAGTTCATCTCGTCATGCGCCTGGCCGTCGCGACCGGTGGCGAGTGTGAGAGACGGTTTCGAACGACGCTTGTTGAGCGTACGACCTTTGGACTTCATGGATCCGGCGGTTATAAAGATTACCGGAGAGGCATAATACGGCGGCTCTATCAGGGGAAGTAAAACGTAAAGAAGACCAAGAGAGGGGAGAGGTCGAGATATGAATGAAAACAGGGGCGCGTCGGGCGATATTATTGACAAAGATCCGATTGAGGCAAGCTGGCCTTTAGTCAGGCACGGAAGATCTTAGTCAGAACTTGGATTGGGCGTTTCTGCTGATGGCCGTCAACACCAGCTGTATGAATCATAAACGAATGAAAAAAGATTATTACAAAAGAAGAGCGAGAGAGGTTGAAGTGAAACTATACAGAGTGAGAAATTGAGGGTGAAGTGGTTGCATGTGCCGGGTCACGTGTATCAACAAACATCTATCGTCACAACAACAACTTCATCTTCATCTTCACCATCATCATTCCCCACAAAGCGAAATGGACTCCCCAACCCCCACCCAACTCGAGGAGGAACTCGACTCTGACATTGCCTCTATTCGCCGCGAACGTATGTTTTCCATCCATTGCAACGCAAAAGCGACAACTAACAAGAACCAGTTCGCGCCCTCAAACGGCGCAAAACCCTCCTCGCGTCCAGCCTCCTCTCCTCCTCCACCCTTCAAACCCACCTCCGCCGACAATCCTCCTCCCGGACTCTCGCTCTCACCTCCCTCGACGCAGACGTCTCCCCCCTCGTCCAATCCGCCAACGCCCACACCCACACCAACCACCACCGCATCGCATTCTCCGCAACCGCCTTCCCATTCCAAGACCCCAACCCAAGCATCACCACCAGCAAATCCTCCCGCAACCTCCTCGGTATCCGCCTCGACATCTGTGCGCGCAACGGCCGCTTCCCCAAACCCCACTACATCCTCCTCCGCCACGTCCCCAGCAAAGGGGAAGGAAAACGGCTTCTCCGCATCCACCGCCACACCATCCCGCCCTTCATCCCTCTCGACCAGCTCGAGCGCGTCTACCTCGCTTCCTCCTTCACAGCTCGCTTAGACCATGACGCCCCGGTGAAACACGCCCCGCCCGCGAGGCAGGACCTCCGCGGCCTAGTGCGTGAAGTCCGCGCCCAGCTCGTCGCGTGGCAGCTGCGACTCGACGCGATCGCCATGCTCCGCGAGCAGATTGGGACCGTGCGCCGCGACGCGCCGGAATACGGCGATGGCGACTCCGACGCCCAGGGGATGTGGGAGCGGGATGTATGGTGCGAGGATGATGGCGCGATGACCCGGTTAGTCGGTAACAAACTTGGCATCGTGGCGCTGTCGCCTACCGCGCGGGATGCGACGTACGTGCGGATGGCGTGGGCGGATGGCCGCGTGGGGCGGTTCAAGATCTCGTCGCGGGGGATGATTGACCGCGCGGTGGTGATTGGGGATCAGGGGAGGGATAAGGCGATGGAATGTGTGTTGACGGGGAGAGTGGAGGGGTTGTTGGCGAGGGTGCGTGGGTTTACTCCTACTTCTGTTCCTACTTCTTCTCCTTCTCCGTCTTCTACTACTATTTCTTCTCGTTGATTTTTGTTGTCGATACGATACTATTATACCCAGACTATATGTGTCCTAGCAATGTTATCTCAACCATGTTTACCCGATTCTATGCAGTCTAGCGGTGTCCTCTATCAATTCCAACGTCACCCTCGCCACGTTTGACCCCCCGCTGATCACGGAGTAGGGGCGGGTATCTACCCCCAGTGAAATAGTCTGGATAGATAGGTCACGCTGGGATGTATTCATGACTGCTAACACTGACCAAGGCTTCGGACATGCTGGGCTCAACAACCACGCCGCCAGGCAAGATGACTGATAGGAAGACGCCCTCGGGATGAGCCGAATCTCTAGACTTCAGTCTTACTACCCTAGGTTGTACTCTTGTGACCCTCGAAGTAGAGCAATATCTGCCATCTTGACATATATTTTTGTTTATCTAAACTTCAGACCATGCAATATAATCATCTACGCCGCGCGTCGAGTGGTAGAGACTCCTTGAGTGATTCAGTGCCTATACTTCTGGGGGTTGGTTGATGACACTACATGCTGGGATTGATATCAATCTTGTTAAGCCGGACCAATATGCCGTTCGGTATTTTGGTCCAGTGGCGTAGACTACATCAGCACTAGTCAATAGTTTACCTCGCTACCCCATACTTGTTTATAATTCTATCATGAACTTGCTATAGAGCCTCAGCTGCATATCATATAGTAAGTACAGAATAAAGAAAGCGAGTCATCTGATATCGGAAAGAAATTCCAAGTTATCCCAGAATTAGTTACATACAAGCGGCCAAGTGCCCGCGTTGAGTACACACCACAAGATCAGCCTGCTGCTTTACAAACTCGTTAGGAATATTACACTGCGAGAACGACCTGCTGACTGTGGTGCTAGTACTTTGGGTGGATACAGGAAACTCACTTCATACTAATTAAGCGCTGACTGACAAGAGCCAATAGCTAATCAATATGGGTCCTCGAATCCAAATCTATCATCTGCTACTAGTAGAAATAGCAACGAGGCTTTGCCGTAGCCACACCACGGACCAGTACCTAGACACCAGCCTTATGAGCAATCAAGCGAGCAATCAGACTGAATTTCCTGTGTTGCACACTAATTCCCGCTCAACCCGCTCTATAGTGGATTAACATAAGCCCAGGCTGTGAAGCCCGAGCTGATATCATGCCAGACAAGTAGCACGTATACAAGTGTGTGTGTGTGTGTGTGTGTGTGTGTGTGTGTAGGGGGGGGAGGGATGGGGACACCATCAAGATCGAGGCTGTACGTGCGAAATCTGGTAGAATTTCGTTGAATGTCAATGGACGAGTCGTATTCGATATGGGTATTGTCGATCGCAGGCTAATTCCAGTTACGGGCATCATGTACCAGAGTCAGCTTTGATTCGACCCCCGAGCGTAGAGGTAGAGGGGGCTGAAAATCGCTGGAACAGGCATTACTGTCGATCAGGCCGCCCACTAACAATAAAATCGGTTAGCAAAGACGTACATGGGAGTGACATCTGCGCGGCCCTATCTTCCAATTTGCCCGCATCTGGCGTCGCGGTTGCGTTCCCATTCATCAACAATCAAGTTCAAACTCACATTTTGACAGCTTTACAGTTTATAATTCCAAGGTCAGTCTCATTCTGGCTCTGATAGCTCTTGTCGAAGCATATTCTGCCCTCAGAACGGGACAGTATGTAGATATGGCTCATTATCATGACTATCACATTTGAAAGTTGAGCATATCTATACCTTCAATCCAGCTAAAATAACAGGATTGGGTGGTTTGTGCCTATTCCAGGTTGCGCCCTGCTAGTTATCCTCCACAATACTATTATGTAAATAAATATACTTGTCCCAAGTGGGTCCTTACCCTGTCCTATTGAGTCAAGTGAATCACTCTAGGACTCATGGCGTAGTCTTCTCAATCCGCATACCACGTCTGACTTTATTCAGCTATCGCCATGGATAGGACTCCTTCTCTAACGTGGGCGGCTGTACACATCCACATTTGAATTCGATCATGCTCCCACTAGATCCAATTGAGAAACAGCCTACAGATAGCTTGCACCGAGCTGAACAACAATGACAACGATGACGACGATGATGGCAGTTATGCTAGATATAGGATATCTATAAGAACCCTCTTCCTATCCTCCAATTCTGACTGATATTCAAGCAACAGTCCTCTTGAATTCTCTAGCAAGATTCTCTTCTCCATTCATAATTGATCTCCTCTAAAATGCAACTCACCAAAACCCTCCTCACTGTCATGACTGCTGCCTTTGTCGTGACAGCAGCTCCGGCCCCTACATCCGGTGAACAAGATATCCAAGCTCGATGGGACTGCCCTAATGGCTGGAAGTTCTGTGGTGTATGTTATCATTTCTCAATATTCTACCCAATTGCTTGACTCCGTTATGTATAATTGTATAATACCCCAAGACCCCTGATCTAACAACATTATCAGGAATGCAATGGCGGATCATGCAAAGTGGGAGGCTTAAATCAGTAAGTTTTCAGCAATGAGCTGGTTTGATATCAAGTAATGAAACTGACTATAATTAATAGTGACTGCGCTGTTGGAAAGGTGAGGCCTGGAGTCTTATGATTATATCTCTTACTAGCAGATTGAAAACTAATATTAGTTTGGTTCAGTGCACGGCGCAAAGTGGTGGTGGCGATGGAAAGCTCTGCGGTACTCATGGTTCTTCTGCTGGGATGGACCTAGAGTGTCCCGGTCGTGATTAAGCCTGTCTGCTTTTTCTTATGATCTGTGAGTGTGGTGGGATGGATACAAGTGATAGGGAGTTTCAACAACACCCTTGAGCAGGAATAGAAGAATAATTTAAGCTTGTTTATTTGGGATCTATTATCTGAATAAACAGATTCTCTTATTATATGTTGGTTGTTTGGTTGTTTGGGTAGTGTAGATATACAGATCATCTCAAGTGTCTCTGCATTTAGATAATTGAAGGTCTAGTGAATTTTGATCCACCACGACTGTTGAATATATCGAGACTTTGCCACGCCAAATTGGTATTTTTGATCGAATTGTCAAGATAAAAGACGTGCAAACAACTACAACCCAAAAAGATAAACTTATAATGCATGTATTACGACTATACAGAGTACTGCATACGAGTATGTTAAACATGAATAACAAACTGACCACACTTCTAGATAATACGAATGGATACAGAAATATCTCTACCCTACTCTACCTAGCTTGGGTACTGTATACTCCTACGGAGTAGGTTGGGATAGCCTATTATATCAGGCGCGACCAACATGCCGTTCGGTATTCTGGTGCAGTGACTGAGACTACATCAGCCCTAGACCAGGGCTTCACTAAGTAGGGCTAGTCTTGAGAGACCAAATTTCTTGTGTTACGACCTAATTGCAGTTTAACCCGCCCTATACTGCATATCAATGCAGTCTAGATGTCGGAGGTTAAACCTCTGACAGCGACCCCACGAGAGACATGCGGCATGTAGTATTTCTCTCTGTGCCAAAGTTCTACAGACACCCTGTACCAGTCAGCTTCAATCTGACTCTTGAGTGGAGCAAAGAAGCCGAAGATAGCTATAACGAATAATATTGTCGATCAGGCCACCCACAGACAGTAAAATTGGTCAGTAAGCACATATGTGAGTGGTATTTGTGCAACACTAGCACGGCATACATGATCACTTAAGATACATTCTATTCAGTTTGCGCGCATCTGGCTTCTCTCAGTTGCGCTCTACTGTAGTAGACCGGATCATGAAACAGACTTACAGATGCTGTGTAGCGAGTGAAATGATGATGAGAGGTGAGTCCACGACAGGATTCCATGAAAATATCCCTGGCTGACATGGTAACAGGCAAACGTTTACTAACATGGCCCCTTATCATTTTCTCCCCGCATAGAGGAGGGGGTGAGTATTACAAGATATCTATAAGAAGCCCTGTCTTGCCCTTGATGCTAATTGACATCCAGGCAACATTCTCTTTGACAATCTATCATACCGTATATTCCTATCCAAACTTCATAGCCACTATGCCGAAACATTAATCAGTGTTTGATATAGGGCTTAACCTGACTGCTATTTTAACATATTTCAGATCTTATATCTTTGATACCTCAATAACAGTCTTAGACTTGTCAGAAATACAGCTCAGTCATATTCTCCTTACGATCACGGCTGTTCCCCTTGTTCTGTTGGCAGGTCCAACCTCTATTTCGAATGATAATGATGATCCCCAAGCCCATTGGAAATGCGAGAATGGATGGAAGGTCTGCGGTGTATGTTATTCCCTCTCTATATATATTTCTAGATGGTTTATTTTCCAAGTATAATTCTCATGTTCTCATCAACTGATGACACCAACAGAAATGCAATGGTGGAGATTGTAAAATAGGAGGTTTCGATTTGTAAGTATTAACTAAATCAACTGAATTAGGCAAGGGGCAAAAAATCTTACTTTATAATCTACAGTCATTGCGATATTGGAAAGGTAAGACTTGTATATATTTCTCTTATTAGCAGGAGTGGTACTGATACTAGCTTGTTTCTAGTGCACGGTGCCAAGCGGTGGTGGTGATGGAAAGCTCTGTGGTAGGCGTGGTGATAGTATATTGGAGTGTCCCGGTCGTCGTTAAGCTTGCCTATTATTACTCAGGAATTGGGAGTGCAGTGATATGGAATGGCCAGGGACTTTCAACAACGCCCTCAAGTAGGAATCAGGTGGTGATTCGGACTTAGGTACCTAGTGAGATCCAGCTTGTTTGTTTTATAGTTGTCTTTTAGATGAATACATGCTTTTATCACAAATTGCTTAATTATCTATCACACATTAGTTACTTGTGTGATGGAATCCGGCCATCGTATTGATAGTCCAATGCCTCCTCATATCACTATAAAAGGTTGCGAATAGTTGCAAGAAACACGCAGAGTCAAAATGACAATATTTAGGGGATATCTCAATTCCTGTTCATCTCATACTTGTCCATAGTTTTAACACAGACTTGCTCTAGAGTCCCACCCGCATATCAGGTAGTAAGTATAAAAGAAACTAGGCGAGTGCTCTGACATCAAGAGAAAATTCCAAATAATCACAGGGTCACTTACATACAGGCGCTCATGTCCCCGTTGAGTACACATCCGAAAGACTACTAACTTGAATGTATTCGATGTAATACTGTTGGTTCTACAAAATACGTCACCGACAAGAGCCAGATAATACGAATCCTCAAATCCAGACTATATATCGACTGCGACCAGAAATAGCGACGAGGCTTGACCGTGGCAACATCACTAACTAACCAGTACCTAGACAGCAGCCTTGCGAGCAATCGGACCGAATTTCTTGCATTGCACACGCAATGACGGCTTGGACCGCTCGATACTGCATCGACATGAGTCTATCTCCTGGAAGTCAAGTTGATGAGGGTAAGACAACCAGTACATATGCAAATGCGGGTGGGGGCGACCACAGCACTGAGGCTGTACGTGCGAAATATCGCAGGGTTTTCTTTATAACCAACGTGTTGGACGAGTGGTATTGGATATGGACATGGATCGCAGCCCAACTACTGACACATGTACCAGGGTGTAGAGCGGGGCCGGATGGTACCGTCGATCACCCCGCCCACAAGCATTAAAATGGGTCAGTAAGTAGGTACCTATACAGGTAAGTGACATCTGCGTGGCCCCATCCATGGCACCAATGATGGCACGGGGTGTATTCTCCCCTGTTTGCCCTGCATCTGGCGTCTCGGCTGTGTTTTGGATAGTTGCGTCTGGGGATGGTGGGATTGAATTTCTATTTTCATAACAACATCATGATGAAACATATACTCAAATGGCTTTTCGGTTGATATTTCCAAAGCCAAACAGGCTTGATAGCTCCGTCGAAGCCCGTCGTTCTACTAGAGCGGGATAGCATGTAGTATATGAATAGGTTTCAAGATCACGACCGCCAGGTATGGAAGTTCAGCATGTCTACACCTGCAATTCAATTAAACTAACAACATTGGAAGGATGATGCTTATTCCAGGACTAACTCAGTCAGGTAACCCCCACAAGGCTGCTATGCAAACAAGTATACTTAAATTTAGTGGATTCTTGAGCCTATCCCATCAGACCAAGTAAATCACCTCAGGCCTCATGGCGAGTCTTCCAATCTGTCACGTCATGTCTGACCACATTCAAAGACCGCCATGGATAGGGCTTCTTTTCTGACGTGGGCGGCTGCGCACCACCACCATACTAGATAATAATTATGACCGCACTATATCCAATTGGGAGACGGCCTCACGGATGCCGGGCAACGAGCTGAACGATGATGATGGTGTTGAGAGAAGAAACCAGGGATAGGGCATCTCGAAGGTAAGCCTTGGACTTTGAGTGACATAGTCTCTTGCCATCTTTCCCTCATGTTGAAGAGGCAGTAATGATGGTCGCCAAACATCTATAAGAACCCTCTTCCTGCCTCTGATTCTACTGAACTTCAAGCAATCGTCCACTTCAGTTGTTTATCAAGGTCTTCTTCTCGAATCACACTCAGATCAGAATCAATCTTCCCATACCTCCAGCAATATCAAACACGTTGAAAATGCAGCTCATAAAAACCCTCCTCACTGTCATGGCTGCTGCCGCTGTCGTGACAGCAGCTCCGGCCTCTACGTCTGTCGAGAAAGGTCTCCAGGCTCGAGGCTGCCCGAACGGATGGAACGTCTGTGGTGTATGTTATGTTCTCTCTCTCTCTATTCCCTCTATTTCCTCCCTCTTGCTTTCTATTCTCTATATGTAATACCCAAGACCCACCATCTAACAAAACGGACAGACATGCAACGGCGGAGATTGCAAAATAGCACTTACAAACCAGTAAGCTCTTACTTATTAACCGAAAAATACAAAAACTAATTCTATAATCTACAGTAAATGCGACATTGGAAAGGTAAAGACATATATCTCTTTCTGACTGGTGTGGTGCTGACATTGGCTTGGTTCTAGTGCACGAAGCAAAGCGGTGGTGGTGATGGAAAGCTCTGCGGTGCTATTGATGTTGATACCCCTCTGGAGTGTCCTGGTCGTGGTTGAGGTTTCTTTTTCCTATGCTGATGATTTATGAGTGTGGTGCGATGGAATTTATGTGGAGTTTCAACAACTCCTTTGAGTCTGTCAAGCTGTTTTTGATATAAATGCATTTTTCCATTGTATAACGTTGATTTTGGTAGTGTAGATGTAGCAATTTCAAGGACCTCCTACTTCAAGATATCTAAAGAGCTAGTAAATTATGGTGTTTTGTTACAAGCTACAGAGTTGATAAACTCATGAGCCATATAATAAGTCTATACACGATAGGCGTATGTATAACATCTTTGAAAAGCCAAGAATACTTCTAGATAAACTATAATGAATGGATACAGAGACATTCCTACCCTATCCTACTTAGCTTAGCTACCGTACACTCACTTCCTACAATTGTAGAATAGCCTATGATATATATACCCTAGTATGTGGGAGTACCAATTAAATGGTCCAAATATTGATGAATTTGATGATTCTTACAACTATCAAGATGTTGCCAATAGTTGCAAGACTGTAAGAAAATTGTAGAATCGAGATGTCAATCTGTATAGGGGCACACTGTGCAAGTCGGCTGACATGTTGGCTGATTGCTTACCATATATATATAACCATGTCAGGGACCTCTACAGACAACTAGAGGTATCAAATCTGCTAAAATTTAGACAGCTAGGTGAACATTGTGAACAGTAATGTATGACTACAAGCCAAAAAGAAGGTGGATCTATTAAGGATTTATTAGGACTATACGCAACAGAAGTACGCATAATGTTGGGATATCAGTCATATAACGCTGGACCAATATGCCGTTCATTATTTTCGTGCAATGACTGGGACTACATCAGCACTCGATAATAGTACATTGCGTTGCCTGTTCATTTTATACTTCCCTATAGCTCTATTATGAAACTTCGTCTAGAAATCCAGCCTCATATCTAATGATAAGTATCTTGCAAAAGGAAATTAGTCGAATGATTCTAAGATTAGTTACATACAAGAGGTAAAGTGGCTATTGAGTACACACCACCATGATAGCCCCCCTCTCCACCCTAGTGAATTCGTTATAAATATCACACTACAGAGAAGGCTGCTGACTATGATGTTGGAACCATTAGAGGATATAGTGAACTCTTCCCATGCCAATTTAAATGCCAATCGAGGGCTGATTGAGAAGACTCAGTCAATAGGAATTCTCAAGCCCAGACATATAGGTTGGTACTAGAAATAGCAACGAGGCTCTGCCATGATGACACTGCGAGCTAGTATTAAGTCTCTAGCCTTGCAGCCAATCAGTCTGCTCAACCTGTTGTATACTCCACACACATGAGTCCAGATACCAGCCTCTGAGAGTGATAACATGTAAGGCAAGCAACGCAAGCACAAGTACGTGTGGGAGCACTTACAGGATTGACGCTATACGTGCCAAATTCGGTAGTGTCTGCTTAAGCACTAACTTGTTTGAGGGGTGCTATGCAACTTGCTGCCTAACTACCGACGCTCATGTACCAGAGTCAGATTCAATTCGACACTAGGGTATAGCGAGGGAGTTGAAAATAGCCAGAACGGACGGTAGTGTCGTCGATCAGGCCGCCCACAGATGAAGGAATCGGTCAGCAAGTAGGAGGTAAGTCGCATGTGTGCGGCTCCAGTAATGGCGTCCATTATTACAGGGGTTGTATTCCCTCCGGTCTGCCCAGATCAGGCGTCCCGGCTGTGTTTGGTTAGTCGCGTCTGGGGATAATAGGCTTGGAATTCCATTCGAACACAGTATCATATAATAGATCAATTATTCGAATGGCCCTCCAGTTCATACTTCTAAGGCCAGTCAAGTTTGATACTTCCCGTCGAGGCATGTTCTACTCTAGAGTGGGGTAGTATATAGGGTTCGCTATCACAAACCCCACATCCGAAAATCAAGCGTGTCTATACCTGCAATCCAGCAGATCCTACAACCTATGCCGGGTGGCGCATGCTTATTCCAGGTCTAGCCTAACCAGGTAACCACCACAAGGAGGCTATATTACAAACACGTATAGTTCACCCGAGTGGCTCCTTCAAGCTGTTCCGTCGAAACAAGCGAATCACCCTAGGGCTCGTGGCACAGTCTTTCCAATCCGCCATGCCATGTCTGACCAAATCTAGAAATTGCCATGGATAAGGATCCTTCTCTGACGTTGGCGGCGGCGCTCGACCGTATCGGATCCGTTTGTGAGGCAGGCTTAGAGATACCGTGTAGCGAGCTGAACGGTGGTGATGGTGATGATGAGAAGCGCGAACACGGGTGGGATGCTTCGAAGGGACGCCTGACTGACATCGTGAGGGTTGGGCTTTGGCAGCATGGTCTCCTGTCATCCTCTTCTTGTATGGAAGAGGGAGTGAGTACTGGCTGCGAGAAATCTATAAAAACCTCCTTCCTGTCCTCCAATCTTGACTGAAATCTAAGCAACTATCCTCTCTCAATTCTCTATCAAGACTTACTTCTCTCAGATCCTCTATCTTCAATCAGATCCAATCTCTTTGTTATTTCAACTACAATACTCAAACCTATTCAAGATGCAGCTCACTAACACCCTCTTCGCTGTCATGGCTGCTGCCCTTCTCGTGACGGCAGCTCCGGCCTCTGAATCTGTTGAACGTGACCTGCAAGCTCGAGGGTGCCCCGATGGATTCGACACCTGCGGTGTATGTGATTTTCTCTTGATACATATTCCCACCATCTAACAATACCAACAGGAATGCAATGGCACATCATGCAAAATTGCTGGCATCAACTTGTAAGTGCCCAGTGCCCCACTGATTCAAAAGATAATAAAGCTAACTCTAACTCTAACAGTGATTGTGATTTCGGGAAGGTAAAGACTAATAAGTATCTCTTATTCACAAGGTGTGGTACTGATATTAGCTTGACTGTAGTGCACGGAGCAAAGCGGTGGTGGTGATGGCGAGATCTGCGGTTATAGGAATGATGATAACCAGAATGGTCTGTGGTGCCCTGGCGGTCATTGAGGCTTCTTACATTTTGTGGTGGGTTATGTGATAGGATGGAATTGTTTGGGACTTTCAACAACCCCTTTGAGTAGATGGATATCGAGGGGTGATTCGTGCTTATTTGTTTCTTAGTTGTCTTTTCATGAATGCATTCGTTTATTATATATTGTTTCTTCTGGGTGGTGTAGATATAACCATGCTGGAGTCTTCTACCTGGATGTCTTATGAGCTGGTGAAATGTGATGTATGACTATAAGCCAAAGACAGGGTAGACCAATGGAACTCCTGGCCTACCTTACCTGGGCACTGTATACTCCTACGGAGTAAGATGCAATATCCATATTATATTTGTTGAATCGCGAGACATGCAATTGGGTAAAACGCAAGCTGACTTGCTATTTTCACACCCTGCAGACTCTTATTTGGACCCTTCAAGTTCTCTTACAGTCTTACAGCAATTTACAATCTTTATAGCCCTCTATTTATCAATATTTTTGGCCGTCTTCACCGCTCCTCCCACAGCAAGTAGGTGTTCTTGATATCCATAATTCAGGGACTGTATACTTCTACACCCACGTAGCAAGACCAGATAATCAGTTCCAATGATATCTTAGTACAGATACCCTAGGAGCTACATGAACAACCCATGGGGTAGGCTTAAAGGGTGGGAGGACTGACGCAAACAATCTAGATCATCATGATTTTGATAGCTATACAGGATTTGTAAATAGCTATGAAAGTAAAAAAAGTATAAATCATTCAGATAGGATAATAATACAAGTTGGCTGATATTTGACTGATTCTTACTTTAAAGATATCATGATACTTTCAATCTTTGTAAGTAACTTTATATCTAGTGCAACACAGATTACCTACACTTCTAGATACCTGGTGAATGGATTCTCTGAATATTCCCTACCACAGACACTCTGTTCTCGCACGGAGTAAGACCAGACAGTCTATTATATCCATGCCCTAGTAAGGTATATGTGGAAGTGAGTGTAATTGGTTCACATGTCAGCTGACCTGCAGTCCTTTTCCCGCACTGTTTTCCCATCGTGTATTCTAATAACTGGCAAGCTTTTCCATAGTCTGAATAGCATCATTCTACATCATTTCATGTGTCTTTTCATCGCGTATTCTCACAGATACTAGTATTTGAGAGCGATAATATATAAGGCAAGCAACTTGTCGAAAAGAATACCACTCGGCTACAACACTTTTGAGCTCTGTGGGTACCTTTCATGCACTATCTTATATTGTGACACAAATCATATACAAGTATGTGTGGAGCACTCACTGTTATGCGCACTCCGGGGTACGCGTATACCACTAGACCAAAAGGCCACTATGTCCAGCCATCCTTGGCTAGACACCTCCAGAGTCAGATCCAATTTCGCTCTTGGTGTAGCGAGGGAGCGGATGATACAGGTATTGATCCGGCCACCCACAGAACAATTGAATCAGTCAGTAAGTACGTAGGTAACTACATGACATCTGCGCGGCTCCGATTACGGCCAACAATGATTGCAGGGGTTGTATTCCTTCCACCGTTTTGCCCGGCATTTGCGTCTCACCTGTGTCTAGTAAATGGCATCTGGGGATAGCCCCTCAAACAGTATTATAATTATATAGCATTTCAGTTCACATATTTAAGGTCAGTCGGGCTTGAATATGTCCTGTTAAACCATGCTCTACTGTATAGCGGGGTAGTATATAGATAGGGTTTGATATCATGAACCCTATATTTGACACTGTAATCCAGTAAGCCCTACAGCCTCTACCGGGTGGCTCATGGTTATTCCAGGTCTAGCCCAACCAGGTCCACCCCCACAAGGCATCCATGCCAACAAGGCCTCATGAGGCTGTCTTCGCAATCCGTCATGTCACGTCTGCATGTATTTGGATAGTGCCATGGGTAGGGCCTCGTTGTCCTGGTCGTGGTTGAGATTTGGTTGCGTACTATCTAATTCTTGTGGGTTGTGAGTGTGGTGGGTGGGAGGGAATTGATGGGAGGTTTCAACAATGTCTGTGGGTAAGAATGGAGGGGTGTGATTTGGGCTTGTTTGTTTTATAGTGGTCTTGGTGAACACACTCTTCTTTTACATATTATTTGGTTGCCTGTTCTGATGATGTGAGGTAGTCAACAGGCACTGGGCCACATATATATAACCAATCTTGAAATTTGGTAAGACAAGCTTATTGTAATGACACCCTACCTATATGCTAAAGTAACTACCTTACATAGACACTCTACGTGGTAGCCATAAAGTGTGTAAGGACCGATGGAAACAGTCCAACTTTTAATGGATTTGATCACTGTGCAGGAGTCGCGAATATCTGCCAGAGTTTAGAACCATATGAAGTCAAAACAACATTTTTACGTGGGACGACAATGCAAGTCAGCTGACGTTCGCCGATTGCATGTCTCACAACAGGTACTCCGTACAGAGTAGGCATAAAGTCGGTGTCATGGACCTAGTGACCTATTTAGTACTTCCCATAGTGGTACTGTGGTAGTGCTGCTCATGTAGACATGTATATACTCTATAAATTGTATACTATACTATACTATGCTATATACTAGACGCAAGCTAATATTCATCAATCAGTCAATCAATAAATCAGTCAATCATGCAGATGCCACACTCAACCATGCCGCTTAAGAACTGGACAAACAGGGAATATATCCAGGGATGAACAAAACCAGAGATGAGAGAAAAAAAAAAAAAAATTGATAAGCAAAAGGGGAATAAGAAAGAAAGAAGGGTATCATAAGAATGAAACAGGGAGACACCCCCATCTCAAAGCGAATAGGGAATCATCCATGCAGGTGAAAAAAACAAGGGGGGAAAAGGGAAGATGATCACACCATCTCCTCATCAGTCACGCAAATCGCCGAATCGCGACTCATCTCCCCACTACTACCACCACCGTGCAAGCCATCATTGAACAGCAACAGCGGCAACGGTCCAAACAACACCCCCTCCCCATGTTGGACCTCCAACCTCCGGCGCAGCACCGCCTCCTCGAGATTCCAGCGATGGCGGAGCCGCGCCTTGCGCGCGTCCAGCCCGCGCGTGAGCGCCATCTCCTCCTGCTGGTGCGCGCGGTGCAGGTTGGCAAAGGCGACGGCGTGCGCGTCGATCAGGGCGTCCAGCTCGCGGTCCATGCGGGCGACGGCGTCTTGAAGACGGCGCTCTTGGCGGTCGCGGAGGACTTTGATGCGTGAGTTGTGGAGCTGGTCCATGGAGGAGTGGGCGTGGTATTCCTGGGCGAGTTGGGCTTTGTGTTGGGGGGTGAATTTGCGGGGGATTGGTTCTGGTGATTGATCTGGGGAGGGGGAGGTGGGCTCGGATGTTGTTGTTGTAGTGGTGGATGGAGGAGGGCTGGAGGTGCGGAAGTAGCCTTCCATGTATTTGATGCGGGTGCGGGAGTTGATCTTGGCGCGTTCGAATTCGCGTTCTTGGTCGATTTCGATGGATAGTTGGCGCTCTTCTATGCGGGCGGCGTCGGTAAGGTTCTAACTCGTTAGTTACTAATATTCTCACTATATAGAGGAAAGTATGGGCAGGGGAAGATAATGTAATACCTGCTCCCGCTTCGCTTCCTCGGCTTGTTTGTGCTCCGCGAGTTGATCTGACACCGCCGCTTGGTGGCGGTCGCGCAATCGACGGATGGCCGCGTCGTGGAACATCAGATGACGACTCCGCTCGAGCTTCTGGGCGTCGCGCATCTGTCGCAGCTCGACATTGGTCTGACTCCGCTGCAGGGACTCCTGGTCAAAGACGGGGATCTCGAGTCGCAGCACCTGCGGGTTGTCATCGGCGGGGTGGTGGGGGTTCTCCTCGTCCGGGCCCTGGCCCTGGCCCTGGCTCTCGTTGGGTTTGGATTCGAGGTAGACCTTGTCGACCCCGCCATCGTCGGTCTTGGTGACGGTGATGTGCGCGGCGGGCGGTAAAAGCACGGACGAGGGCGATCGCTTTTTCAGGAAATGGATCTTGCCGATCGCGGACTTGAGGCTGGACTTGCGCCGTTCTTTGCGGAGTTCGCGGTCGCTTGAGGCGGCACTTTGGACCGATGCGCGGTGGCCAGGGAGTCGAAGGGCAGACGTGTGATGGTGAGGATAGTGGTGGTGGAGGTGGCGGTGGTGATTGTCTGGGGGTGGGCGGCCTTCGCTGGAGGAGTAGGAGGTGGGACGGGTGGACGGCGAGGCGGTGGAGCGCGCACTCCCCGTCTGGATGGGCTCGGAGGAGAGTGTGCAGTCGAACAGCGACGTGGTGACTTGGTCGAGGGAGGGCGATGCGGTCGCGTCGCCTAGGGACTGACGGTCGGCGGAGGAACCGGACGAGAGGATGGGCGAGGACGACAGATCGACCATGCCCGAGGCGATGGACGCCGTCAAGGACGCGACCAGCTCAATCTCGGGGACTTTGAGGCCCAGTTGACGGGCCTCGTCGACGAGCTGCTGGTCGCGTTCCGATTCGGCATCCTCGGAGGGGAGATGAAGGACCTCGAGGCGATATTGCGTGTCGGGTATGAGGTCGGACGAGGGGTCCATGTTGCTCTATATTAGAATTATATATACATTGGAATGCAGTGTATGAAACCGAGGTACGAAGTAGAAACGGGAAATCAATCAAAAAGAGATTAAAAGGAGAGAAAGAACAAAGAAAAGAAAGAAGTTGGAGAGACTCGTCCACAGGAGAAGCCGGTGGACGAGGAAACGGACAACAAGGAAAAGAAGAAGCAGAAGAATAAGAACGAAGCATGAGTTGGAGAACGGAACGAATGATTATTCTTGATTGATTGATTGGATTAATTAAACATGAAAATCAGGACTTCTTACTAGGGGAAACGACCAGCAGATGACCCACCCCTCTCCGACTAGCTGATCCTTCCAGCCTGATTCATGTTCTGTATGATTGTTGCTTCTGTCTTTTCTTCTTCAACTCTCTGATTCTGTTCACAGATTGGTGGGTTCCTCGTATTCTTTCCCACAATGCATTGTCCCTGATCAACATTCTATTTGTTTGTGTACGGAGTATCGTCGAGGTATAAATATGGTTCCTGATCCAGTCCCTTGGTTCATCCAGTTAGGGCTTAGGGTTGGACCACGTCTGTTCCACGTTTCATCGTTCGTCGTTTCATCCTGGATGCTCCATTGGAAGAACAGAACATGTGTCATTATGGATTGACACCAGGAGATGAGGATAGTCCCTAGTCCACGCCCATGTGGTGTGAATCAGTGGAGCTTCAGGGGACCGTTGTGGCCGCTGATTAGCCCACCGGAGAATGATCGGATGATGATGCTCATGGATTCTGTTTTGTTTCACCTCCTATTCTCAAACGTGGTATTCGATTTAGTAATAGGTTTGGGATATGTAGGTAATAGATAGAGGTAGTATGTAGTAGCCGTTGTATGTACAGATCATCACGATCAATCTCAACTAGGTCAACTAAGTCAACAACGCCACGGCCATGGCATAGGCTTTGTCCTTCGCATCCTCCCCCACACTTCCCGGGCCCGCTTCTTTATCCCACCCATGATTACACCCCTGCATCCGCTGCACTACTACGCGATTCTTCCCATCTCCGTCTTCAACCCTCTCCCTAATCTTCCTCCCCAGCGCCTCGGCCTCCTCCGCCAGACTATCCCCCGCGGCCGTCACGATCAGCACCCGTCGCGGGAAACCCTGCGCCTCAGCGTAGAACGGCGAGATGCGCGGGTCCCGGGTGTCGAACGGGCCTCGGACATAGCACCGGTCGAAGAACCGCATCAACCACTTGGGTAGAGGCCGTCCCTTCGGGTCGGGCGCGAACTTCGCCCCGGGGCTGGTCGCTAGGTCGACTACGGGGTAGAAGGCCACGGTGGCGTGGATCGGGGGTGCTTTCTCTTTTTCATCCTCATCTCCCGCCCAGGTAACGGGGGGCAGCGAGGACATGCCCAGCGCGAGGTTCCCGCCCGCGCTGAACCCCGACACGGCGACGCGGGAGCGGTCAAACTGCTGACGCTGCTGGAAGACCCAGCGCACGGCGTCTTCGGCGTCGTGGTAGGCCGCCGGAAACGGGTGCTCCGGCGCGAGTCGGTACTGCACGTCGACGACGGTGTAGGCCGTCTGGCGGCTGATCAGGCGGCAGAACTCCTCATCGCTGCCGTGCATGGGGAGGACGAACCCGCTCCCGTGGAAGTTGACCAGGACGGGCGACGGCCCGGTCGCGGTGGACCGGTAGAGGTGCGCTTTGATGGTGCGGGGGAGTTCGCGCGAGGGGATCCGGATGGTGGCATCGGGGGTGGTGCGGAGCGGTCGGAACCCGCGACGTAAGGAGACCGTCGTTCGGACGAGCGCTGCTAGAATTTTGTAGAGGAAATAGTGGAGGAGGGACATGGTCACGGTCACGGTCACCGCCGGTTCGGTCCTGGTCCGTTATCGGTCGGTTCACGCACTGGCAACAGCGCTGTGTTCCACTGTTCACGCTGTGTGGCGGGAGACGCAGCGGGATGTTGGTCTCACGGCAGCGGGTTGAGCTAGCCTTGCGACTAGCTCGTGGGTCCCGACCAGGAGGGTACGCCTTAAAGACACCATAATACGAGCCTAGCGTCGACCGAATCTGCAAAAGGACACGGCTGGGATGGCAATCATCGCCTCCTATCCGCTGCACGGGGACCGAAAGAATTTTCACCGCTTGATCTAGGCCTCAGCTTCAGTTCGGCAAACTTAAAACGGACGTGGGATGTTGATTTGTTTATTTTGCCTTTCGTACCTTTTTCCAGTCGAGTCACTCCCTAATCAATCCAATCATGGTGAATATATGAGGGCCTTTGTCGGCCGAGAGGGCGAATAGCATCAATCATACACCTCTTATGCACCCACACAATTATTGGTGGCGCACGGTGGCACATCGCGTGACAGCGTTTTAATTGACTATAACGGACTATAATCGACTATCTCCGGCGGCGCAACAATGTGAGAGGTCGAATCAATATATAGGATGAAATTAAGGACGTAGAAACAAACAAAGTGTCACACGTGACCCCCACGCATCCGGCACATTCTGGGCGGGATTTATTAATAGAATCAAGGTTGTTTTGATTATTTTTCATTCTATCTGATTTTACATCCCGGATCCAGCTGCTTCAATGCGGATCCCGATTCCCCCAGTTCTACCCCGTCAAATCAATCACCATCCTCTTATCACGCTGGCTTTCGCCTTCACCGATCATCATGAGATCATGAAAAGACTGTTCAACCCGTGACCCACCATGACGTATACCACTACTCCAATCAAACTGGGTCAATGGCTTTCTCGTCCAGTCGCGACCGCGGAGATGGCTGGCCAGCGTCCATCCCCCCCGTACCTGGGGACTTTTCGAGAAGGAGCGAGACCGCTACATTCGGTGCCCCCAGCATCCTTCAGGATGGCTAAAGCTTAGGGGAAATTATCCCATCTAGGCAAAGGAGGGTGGGTCCGGGGGCATTTCAAGAATTTGGTCCAAACCGGCGGTGACGTTAACCAGCTGGACTTGTCAAGTTGGCCACTTAGACAATAAAAAAAAGTCTCTCCCTCCTTTCAACTCTTTTTGTTCTTTCTTGTGGTTTCATTCCTGTCAATTTCTCTCTACATCGACCCACAATGGCTCCTTTCAAGCTCAACAGCAAGAATTTGGCGCAGATTGCGGCCGCCGGTAAGGCTCAGATCAAGATCCCGTCCTACCGGCGTGGTTCCGCCGTCAAGGAGGGTATCGTCCACATCGGCGTGGGTGGCTTCCATCGAGCGCACCTGGCTGTGTACGTCGACCAATTGATGCAGAACCATGGCGTGAACGACTACGCGATTTGCGGCGTCGGGTTGCAGCCGTTCGACGCGACCATGCGCGACGCCTTGGGCTCCCAGGACCACCTCTACACGGTCATCGAGCGCTCGGCCAAGGGCAGCTTCGCCAACGTCGTCGGCAGCATCAATTCCTTCCTCTTCGCTCCTGACGACCGCGAGGCGGTTATCGAGAAGATGGCGCACCCGGATACCCACATCGTCTCGCTCACCATCACCGAGAGCGGCTACTACTACAACGAGAACACGCACCAGCTCCAGGCCGAGCACCCGGATATCCAGTACGATCTGGACCCGGCGAACGAGAAGGCTCCGCGCACCACCTTCGGCTTCCTCTACGCCGCGCTGGCCCGCCGCCAGCAGGCCGGCCTCCGCCCCTTCACCGTCATGTCCTGTGACAACATGCAGAAGAACGGCGCCATCACGCGCAACATGCTCCAGTCGTTCGCGCGTCTGCGCAACCCGGAGCTGGCCCAGTGGATCGCCGAGAAGGCGCACTTCCCCAACGCCATGGTCGACCGCATTACCCCCCAGACCACCCCCGCCGACAAGGAGGCCCTCGCCGCCGAGTTCGGCATCGAGGACGCCTGGCCCGTCGTCACCGAGCCCTTTATGCAGTGGGTCATCGAGGACCACTTCTCCGACGGCCGCCCGCCCTTCGAGAAGGCCGGCGCCCAGCTCGTCAAGAACGTCCACGCTGTCGAGGAATTCGAGAAGCACAAGCTCCGCCTCCTCAACGGCAGCCACTCCGCCATCGGCTACCCGGGCCAGCTCGCCGGCTTCCGCTACGTCCACGAAGTCATGCAGCACCCGCTCTTCAGCAAGTTCGTCTGGCAGATGATGCAGGAGGAGGTCAAGCCCCTGCTCCCGCACATCCCCGGCGTCGACATCGACCAGTACTGCCGCACCCTCGTCGAGCGCTTCTCCAACCCAACCATCATGGACCAGCTCCCCCGTGTCTGCCTCAACGCCTCCGGCAAGATCCCCCAGTTCATCATGCCCTCCATTGCCGAAGCCATCTGGGGGAGCGGCCCCTTCCGCCGTCTATGCTTCGTCGCCGCCGCCTGGTTCCGCTACCTCAACGGCGTCGACGACAGCGGCAAACCCTTTGACGTCATCGACCCCATGCGCGACGAGCTCCAGGCCAAGGCCTGCGCCGGCGGCACGAACCCCTGGGAACTGCTCACCACCCGCAACCTCTTCGGCGATGACTTGCGGACTGACGAGCGCTTCCTCAAGGAGGTGACGACCGCGATGGAGGACATCGCCCGCGACGGCATCCTCAAGACGCTGCCGAAATATGTAGATTAATTGGGAGGATAGGGGTGTTGTTGTAATTTTTTCTGGGATATATTTTGGGCCGGGTGATATATCATCGTTTTTGCTAGCGTTTGATGGGTTTCTTGATGGGTTCAACTTTTTTCTCTTTTTTTTGTGTGGCTCTTCTTTGTCAATTGCGGTGTGGGATGGATGTGGTCTCGAAAAGCACGGATAGATGACGATAGACAAAATTTATTTCACTTTTTGTTGTGAATTATACTGGTTACTGTCTGGATGGAATTAAAATCTTACGTAGATCTAGATACTATACGGCATTGATGAAGATAAATCAGTAGTTGTACGGAGTACTTATGTCGAGATACAACAATAGTCGACCTCAGGCAGCGACTACTTGACCCAGCCAGCTGTCATATATGATATCAATCCCTTAAGGCGATCAGATATAGCATTACTCTACTTTAGCAAGCATGGATTTCAACCACCATGAATCCTACTGACATGCTTCATTCAAGGACCATGCCTAACCACTGAGAGTGTCAAGTGACCGGCACATCCAGATAATATTACCAACAACAGCCTACCAACAGTCCAGTTTCAAAACCGCGATCCTATGTAATCCCACTGGACAAGCTCGATCGAGATGCAACATCCCGGCATGATATTTATGCCTCACGTCAGATGATAGATGAGTTTTATGCAGGGATTACGATACGAGTGTCCATTCCTCCCTCTCTCTCCTTTTCTTCCTCCTTTGTTGGTTTCGGTATTCTGTCTGAAACGCCGTCCCCTCCTCAATATCTACATGCTTTGAGGTCGGGTTATGGCTCGCTGCAGGGACATGCATGTTTTATGTACCCGTATGTGTTGTGCTTACGCTCTAATTCAAATCAGCTGGCTCAGGTATTCTCCGATATCGTCTTGAGCAGTTGATATACTCCGGACTGAACCGAGGCTGCTCCAGCTGCAACTGAGATGACGTCATTTTTTTTTTGTTTCAATGCGGCGATGTGACTGGCCTGAGGACTCTGGACTAGCCTGATCAGACAATCAGCAGCTAGCTGAGTCAGCAACAGTCCCGTGATCTGATTGGACACATCCATTCATCTCATCCATTCATCTCATCCATCATTCTCTCTTTCATTCCTTTCATCTCTCTCTCTCTCTCTCTCTTCTTCCTTCATTGTCTTCTTTATAACCGTGGTTGCCTTCTTGGATGCTCTCCTGCCGTGGCAATTTCCTTGGTAGATCATCCTACCAATTCCCTGGAATTCATCCCCGTTCCGTCCCTGTCCCAGTCGCCTCTTGGCTTTCTTTGGCTCCGAACGGTCTCAACCCAATTACGAGGTGGGTCTAGCTCACCCTACTCTTCTTCCGTTCCTAGCGGCAGTTCTGGCTGACTCTGGCCAGGGTGTCGGCATCGGACTTTAAACTCCTTCCTCCTGGTCTGTGTCGATCACCAGCTCGAGTAGACGCCTCTCCGTGATTCGTCCCAATTCCTATTTGATCACCCACAATGTCGTCGCGGTTTGCTTGATCTGGCCTCATCTCGTCCCCTCGAGTATTGGCCCTGTTTCTGCTTCTTCCAGGTGGGTTTCAGCTTGAGCTTGTCGTCCATGGTTGGGTCCATTCTTTCCCCATTTGAGTGTTAACGCGTCATCGACGACCGTTTAGATCGCCATGCGACGTGGGCCGATCGTCCCTCTTTCTCGTCCTTCTCTCCCGCCGCTGAATTTCCTCCGACGGAAAAGACAACCTGAATTTCATCTGTGATCCGTATACGAACAATCGACAGGACAAAACCTTCGCCTTCACCACCTCTTGCTCCCATTTTTTTGGTCGATTTTAGGTCTCCTCTTTCGCCCCCGTTTCCGCTCCCCCTCCGGTCTCCGCTCCTTCCTCCCCCTCGCAGCCGTCGGTTGCCTCCTCCCCTGTGGTGCGCCTCGCAACCTCCGTCCCTCATTGTCAGCAAGGACCCCCGGGGAAACCATGTTAGCTGGCTTGATCACCTACGAGGATCGGTTATAATATTTCCCTACTGCACATTACGCCCGGGCTTCAGATTATGGTGAGCATGGCTACTCGCCGGGTCTTTCGCCGCCGCGCGCCCCTCATCGCCTCCGTCCTGGGCCTCTTCCTCCTCTACCACTTTTTCTCTACCCTCGAACCGCGACAACGACAATCCCAACCCATCGATGAGCGCAGTGGCTCCCCGTGTCCCCCTCTTCCGGGCATGGAAGATGTCTTGGTCGTTTTGAAAACCGGCGTCACCGAGGCCAGGGACAAGGTGCCCGTCCATTTCGACACCACCCTCCGTTGTGTCCCCAACTTCGTCATTTTCTCCGACTTCGCCGAAGAAATCCAGGGCGTACAAATCCACGATGCGTTGGCGAACATGGACGAGGAGGTCAAGCGGTCGGTGCCCGACTTTGATATCTACAACCGCATCCAGGAGCTCGGCCGAGCGGGACTCGAGCGCGACGACTTTGCGGATGAGGCGAACTCCGCCATCGGGAAGCCCAACAACCCCGGCTGGAAGCTGGACAAGTGGAAGTTCCTGCCCATGGTGCAGGAAACCCTCAAATACAAGCCCGATGCCAAGTGGTACGTCTTCATGGAGGCCGATACCTACTTCTCGTGGCCCACGCTGCTCGAGTGGCTGGCGCACTTCGACCAGACGAAACCCTGGTATATTGGCACCGAGACCCAGATCGCCGACGTCATCTTCGCGCACGGCGGATCGGGCTTCGCCGTCTCCAACCCAGCCATGCAGCTGGTGTCGGACGCCTACACCACCCGCAACGTCGAGTTGAACGAGTACACGGACATCCACTGGGCCGGCGACTGCGTCCTGGGCAAGGTGCTCTCGGACGTGGGCGTGCCGCTGCACTACTCGTGGCCTATCCTGCAGAATTCCAACGTCGGGGAACTGGACCAGTTCACCCAAGGGTTCTACCGCCGGCCGTGGTGCTTCCCCGCGGTTGCTTTTCACCACCTGCAGGCCAAAGACATTCAAGACCTCTGGGCTTTTGAAACCCAACGCTGGCGCGCCGTACGTTTCCTTTCTGCAGTCTTCTTGGATCCTACTGACCCTCCCCAGGCCGAACAAGCAGCGCAGACCCGGTCCATCTTCCGTCCGCAACTCACCCGCAAGCGCATCCTCCTCCACAGCGATATCTTCAAAGAGATCATCTTCCCGGCCCTGTCCGGCTCCCGTGAGAAGTGGGACAACCTGTCCGACGAGGAACACTCAGAGATCAGCTCCTTCCGCGAATGTCAGCGCCTCTGCGAACAAAACGACGAGTGCACGCAGTTCGCCATCCGCGAGCGCAAATGCTACACGGGCAAGCACCCGCGATTGGGCGTGTCTCATGGGGACGCCCGTAGCGGATGGCTGGTTCCGCGGGTTGAGAAGATGATGAACAGCGCACCGTCTTGCTCGACCATTGAATGGGGTGCATGATCTTGCTTCCACCTTCCCTTTCGACCATCCCTACCCTAGATGCACCAGAGAAACATATCCCATACATCTTCTCCCGAATAACTCGACATCACACCACTCCCCCTCCCTCCAAGAAGAGGGGATCTTCGAATTCATCAACCACCAAGATGGAATATATTATAAGGTCAATTCGCAGGCCGAACAAAGAATCCCCAATTTCACCATGGAAGAAAGCATGGAAGAAAAGAAAAAATATGCCCTGTATTATAGACTACTCTACCTTTATTGTCTCGCTGCGTGGTGTTAACATAGCTATCTTGGTTTGTTTGTTTGTTTGGTTTGCTTGGTTTAGGTAGGCTATTTGTTTATTTCTATCTACAGTATCCTGTCTGTTTCTGTCTCTGTGGCTTGTGTTGTGTTGTGTGTTGTGTGTTGTGTGTTGTGTGTTGCCTTTGAATGGCGTTGGAAGGAAAAGAGAGATAGAATGCAATGCATGAGATGGAGTTGTTGTTGCTGTTGTTGTTGACGTTGGCTATTCAAATAACTACATAGCTCAAATGGTTCGGGTTTTCTTATACTTGTTATCTACTAACCGGTATATTCTTACTACTCACTACTTACTATTCCTTACTACTTACTACGTAATTCCTACTTAACCTGCCTACTTACGTTTAGGTCTTCTCCCATCTACCTACCCACTTACCTACCGTGGCAAGAATGCCTACTCAGCTACAAATAATACCATGGCACCTTTGGCCTTCACGGGTAATCATACTCCCAGTGCAAGCACATACTTACCTACCTATTTGCCTAATTGCCTACCTATTTCTACTTAGTATCTACCTACTTACCTATCTCCTCCCTGCCGACCTGTCTATATACGTACCTACCATGGACGAATTGGATTCCATACAATGTCTAATTTGCTTACTTGACTTGTCTAATATAATATATGCAATAGTCCAGTATGAATATATCAATAATTGACTCATTAAAGCAACCTAATGTATGTACGACTTGACCTAACCTGACGATAAAAAGAACGAACGAACAAGCAAAGAACAAATAAAAAAAATAAACCACCAGTCAAACCAACCACCCAACCAAATCAACAGTCAACAGTCAACCCATCATACAAAATACTACTAATCCCCCAAGCACCGATCAACCCGCATAACAGTCAACCCTCTCGCTCTCACAAACCGAATCGCCTCTCTCAGGTATCCCACCGTACTCTCATCAAGATAGTGCAGCACGGCTAGATTCCCTCCTGCCAGCACGTCCCGCTTGAATGCTTCCAGCTGGCGCTCCGGTGTGTCAGAGTTCACCCAGCGCCAGTCTTCGATGTCGACACTCCAGGTTATGATCCGGGGCGCCGGGGACACGAGGGCTGCGAGGCGTTGGCGTGTGCGGGCGCCTACTGTGCCGTAGGGGGGCGGAAGTAGTTTGCTATTGTCGATGGATGGTTAGTTGGTTACTTCATGTTCGGGTGTGGGTGGATGTGTTGATCAAGAGGGGAACATACATTCAATCCCCAGATGGGTTTTCATGGCTTCTATGTTCTGTGTGATCTCGTCATCGATAGCTTCTATCGACGAGAGGCCTTCCATTCTATATTCCACATCGGCATTAGCTTGTAGTCCGAGTAATTACCCAACTAAGGAAGGAAGAAATACCTAGGATGTCTCTCCGAGTGCATCGCCACCTGATGCCCCTTCCTCAACATCTCCCTATAAACACCAGAGAAGTTCGCCTTCTCATCCCGCAGCCCACTACCCGTGGCAAAGAACGTCACGAGCGCATCTTCCTCCTCCAGCACGCGCATCATAGCAGGCGCCAGTGCCGGCTTTCCGTCGTCAATACCAAACGCAAACGACCCCGGCAAGGTACAAAACTGGTGCAGCGTGCCGGACGGGAGCTTGGTTGGTTTGCGGGGGAAGGAGTCCGGGATGGAGGAGACGATGTCGACGTGGTGCAGAGCGATGGAAGAGGTATCGAGGGGCTCATCGTATTCGTTGTCTACGTCGTCTTCCTCGTCCTGATCCTCGTCGTCGTCGTCGCGGGTGTGCTTGATTCCGGTCGTGTTTTCGTGGTGTGGGGTCAGCTCAGCTGTGTCGTTGTGGAAGCCGCCGATGGAGATCCCCACGACGCGGGTCTGGTCGATGTCGAAGTGAGACAGAGGGATGTAGATCTCCCCGTTGTGTGCGTAGCGCGCTGCGTCGACGGAGTCCCAGGTCTCGGGCGTTGGGGAACTGCAGCCGGCGTTGTTTTGGGACAGGGAGATGCTGAAGACGGGGGCGCCGCTGAAGTGGATGTGGAGGGCGCTTTCTTGGTGGTCGCTGCTGTTGGGATTGGTGTCAGAGGCTGGGTGGCTTTGGAGGATGTGCTCGGTGAGATTGAAGCAGAGGGATGGGCTGAGCTGGGTGTGGTAGGCTTGGTCTGGAGTGGAGGGGTAGATCTGCACGTAGCCGGCCCCGTAGGAGATGGAGAGCCCTGGGGTGACGCCGTGCCAGGCTTGGAGATCGTTGCGGTCTGCGTTCTGGAAGGAGTCGATGATCATGGAGGCTTGGGTGGATAGCACTAGGGTGGTCCATGTCCATGCCATCAGTTTGGTGAGGCCTGAGAATGCCATGGTTTGATCCTGTTATGCTATATGCTGTACTCTGTGGTGTAGTAAGTAGTCGTATGGATATGCTGTGTGCTAGTTTTTACGATGGACTACTGTGCTGATTGTCTACTACTTGTATATACTTCAGTGTCGTTGTGGTTTGGGAAGGAGCAACTCGATGAACAATACGTACGGCAGGCGCCTCCTTTCTACGAGAACCGATAGCAATAAATCCATTGATAAGTCAGTCAGATCATCTCAAACAAACACTAGCGAGCTATCCCGAACCGAACAACCTAACCAACCAGCACGCAACTGTGCGCCAGTCCGTTGACCCAGCCAGTCGCGTCTTCCGCGCTCCCGCGCTGAAGAACAAATCTCATGACCTGCCGGGTCAATGGCCGTCCAGACTCATCGGCCTACCTGTGTTCCGACGATCATCCCGACTTGGCTCTTCCGACAGAGCAAACCACCAGCTTCCTTCCCTTGACATGGACCTTCCGCTCACACATGAAACGCCACTTGCCGGGATCTGATGATATCACGTACATCATCTATCCTAGCGACGACTCGTGAATCAGAAATCATAGTCGTCTCCCAGAGCGCCCTGGGCAGCGTCCATAGAATCCCCGCCCCAGCCACCGGTGTTAGTGGTGGTAGTGTCCGTGGTAGACTCAACAGGGAAACCAGTCCAGGCATCATTTCCGCCGTTGCCGTTCTCCTCTCCACCCTCGTCATCAGTGTCGTCGTCAAACTTCACTCCCTCCTCCTCGGCAGGTTTGTAAGTATCGAGGAAATCAGGGATGTTTTGCTTCGACTCCATCAGGATCTTGACCAGGTCAGGGGCCAAGTCGACATCTCTGTCATTATTGAAGAAGGAAGTTGCCAGGCCTTCGTTTCCAATTCTCGCGGTGCGACCTTTTATCCATGAGATAATGATGCTAATAGATGAACGAATATTGGTAAGTTCTCACCGATACGATGAATGTATTCAGTAATGCCACCATGATCAACGCGAGGAAGGTCGTAGTTGACAACATGCATCACATTCTTGATGTCGAGGCCACGGGCGGACACCCCGGTGGTGACCATGATGGGGCAACGCGCAGTGCGGAAAGCACGCCTAACATGTCAGACGAGTTGATATATCTGTAGGGCAAACTTACAAAGCATCCTCACGCTCACGCTGGGTGCGATCGGAATGGATCGAGGTGCTCGGGAGCCCACTGTTAAACAGATAGTCGTCCAACAGATCGGCTTGCGCCTTGCTGTTAACAAAGATCAGGGTGCGCGAGGGGGGCATGGACATCAACAGGTCGTAGAGAGCCTGTTTCTTCAGGTTATCCTCGGTATAGACGATCTACAGCGGTCAGTCCTGTCGCATTATCCCGGGCTGATAAACCTTACAGTCTGATCAACGTTGATGTGGGTGCTACCAGGACGGCCAATGCGAACGCGCACGTGGTCGTCCGCTAGGAACTTGCGTGCCAGCTGACGACAATTCTTGTCAAAGGTGGCCGAGAACATCATGTACCGATGGTCAGCGTCCTCGTTGACATCTGCATCGGTTAGCGAGAGCGAACAATCTGGGAGTTGCTTGCCTACCGCCTCCCGACATGATCTTGGTCAGGTCCTCCTCCCAATCGGACAGAAGAAGCTCATCAGCTTCGTCGATAATGGTGTACCTAGAGCAATTAGCATGTGAATGCACAATCTCAGGAAACTTACTTGACACGACGGAGCGATAGGATGTGGGGCTTGTCCATGAAGTCCATGAGTCTTCCCGGAGTGCCGATGAGGATATCGCATCCTTTCTGCAGCTCATCTCTCTGGTCACGCACGGGAGCGCCACCGTACACCACACAGGGGCGAAGCATAGAACGATAGCATAGACGACGAGCCTCGTCGAAGATCTGGGTAGACAGCTCCCTAGTGGGTGCAACAATCAACACCAGAGGTTCGGCACGGACGGAGTCGGTCAGAGGATCAAAACCCGCGGCCAGGTTAGGGCGAGGGGCAGCCAGCCTCCTCGCCTTTCCCATCAGCTGCGAAAGAACGGGGATCAAGAACGCGGCAGTCTTTCCAGAACCTACTTCTGGTCAGATGCCGCTCACTGGTCAGCACTCTATCTACTCACCGGTCTGCGCAATTGCAATCAAGTCATGGTTCGTCAGGACAGCCGGGATGGCGTACGCCTGGATGGGAGTTGGGAAGTCGTAGCGACACAGGCGGATGTTCTCCATCATGATGGGATGGAGGCCAGCATCCTCGAACTGTGACAGGTCATCAGATACCTTGACTCCACAGAACAATGGCGTATGCTCACCTTCTTGACGGGGTTGGGACGCTCTCTACTCTCGGCGACAACCTCGATGTTTTGCAGGCTGGGTGTGTTAGTTAGGAGCGTGACGGCATGACTGTGAATACTTACTTTCCCAGCTTGAAGCCGGCGCGGTTGATGAATTCGCTGCGGAACAACATCTCCTCGAGCTGGGCATTGGCTGGGCCAACGTCACCATACTCATCATTCCACTCATATTTGGCCGCATTAGCAGCCCAGGTGGGGGCCTGGTCATCAAGATTCTGCTGCTCCTCTGGTTTCTTGAGAGGGTCGTAGGTGTACTTGGCATAGTCGTAGCTTTCAGGGGCCACCCAACCCTTCTCACGGGCGACATTGGAGGCCTCAGTCTTCTTGTTGAGACTGCCATCGGTGATATCCTTGAGCGGATCATCACCGGCGGGAGGCACATCAAAATCCATGATCAAATGATTTTACCGTGGTTCCTTCAAGTCGATCCTCAGGAGACTTAGTATTAGCATATTTCTTCCGGGGGAGTTGAAAGGTCTGGAAGGAACAAGAGACGCGTTCTGGGGGGGCAGGGATGGTAAGAGATATACAGGAGAAGAAGAAAAGAAGCTCACCTGAAGACACGAATACTTTACTGTCGTAAGTGGACACTGGTTTACAAAGGGTAGAGGAGAGGAGATCAGGGAGCTGGGAGGAGGGGATGGGGAGGGTGAAGAGGAAGAGGGTTGAGGGTAGGAGAATGAAGAGAGGAGAAGAGAGAGAGAGGAAGAGAAGAGAAGAGAGTCAGGGTCACGCGGAGTCTTTCCTGGAGTGAATGATGCAGAGTGGGAGCCTGAGGTTCATTCTGTTTGTCAGTGAATGATCTGGTTGTATGAAGTCCGGACTGCATTCTCTCTTGTATCTTACCACGTCTATCATATCTACTTCTAAGACATGCTTTCATTCCCACTGTAGGACATTACCTAGTTACAAGGAGGTAGAATCTACCAGTATACTATATCCTAAGAGGAGGAGTCAAGCTTCCATGTCTACAGATATCTGGTCAAACAGACTATGTCAAAGGAAGAGAAAATGAACAATGTAGGTAGGGATGTAGTGTGCATATAAAGTCAGGGTGTTTCCTTGTGGTAGTATCTTGTTTGGTATGAAGTTACCTATCACGTAGTAGTGGTGGGAGTAGTGATTGCTACCGAAGTGATTTGGACTACATCTACATCATGATCGATGAATAGACAATTCTACTACAGTATACACTGTGGCCACAGGTTAGAAACCATATTTGATCACTGTTCTGATAACTTTATACTACAGCAGTCTATATTTCTTGCCTAGTACTTAGTAGATGTGGTACTCCCAGACTGTTAAGATATCGTAGCCTTGGTGTGTATAGGACTGTCGGATATCTCACTGGAAATGGTTTGAATAAAGTAGACGTGCTACTAAGAGATAGTAGAATAGATGACATACTTGTAGGATCTTTAACTTGCAGTTACAACCCATGGTAATTATATACATACACTACGATGGAGTGATTGATTATGGTTTTGTATACTAGCCTGAAGTGTTAGTCCAATATATATTAAGGTATACAGGCTATGTAAATGCCACTCCGGCATCACTTAGGTTCCTAAACTAGACCAGTAACTAGAAGGGAGTTCTAAGCAAACCTTTATTTTGTTGAAACAATCAGATGCATGTATACAGCCAATTAATCAAGTGTAGTTATTTTCATTCTCAGCATAGCATGGCGGTTGAGTACAAGTACATAATAGACCGGAGCATAAGTGATGAATAAGCAATACAAGATGTGCAGTCTGCCTCAGGCCAGCAAGGTCTTCTTGTCTAGAGCCGCGGTCCTCGGTTTTACAGTCAAGAACCGATGGGATGATAGTTCTTCTATATTATCTGGAGGTATTGACTATCTTATCAGTCGTAAACAGATCATTTTACACTGGCATCATGATCATGACACAGATGGTCAACAGTCCACCCTTGGAGAGGCCAAAAGCACGAGGCATGTCGGTGAACAACAAACTTTGTCCTGCACTCCAGTCACCTTAAAAGATTCAAGAAAAAAAGAGCAAAAAGACAGAGGAGAGGTCCCCCTAATTCAATCCTAGAAACCACCCCCGTAAGCAATGGAGCGGGCGGATTCTCCACTCTGGTCCAGAAGGCGGGCAGAAGGAGATATACGCCGTAGGGATTATCACGGCGTCCCATTGAACCGAATTATCAAATCAAAGTCGCAGTACTGCCAATTCAACCTCCTTTTTTCTGGTTGAGCTTGTCTATCCCCACGCGCTCACAAATCTGGAGAGAGTTGGGATTTTGCCTCTTCCCTTCTTCCCCTCCTCCAATCTTTTTGACCCCTCCTCCACATCATGTCTTCTCAACATCATTCCGCCCCCCGCCTCTTGGAGAAGGCCATCACCAACCCCGGAGCGGTCAAGATTAACGTGGAGGGTGCCTTTATCGTGGATGAAGACCCCCGATCCAAGAGTCCGGTCCGAACGGAGGGGGTGCATTATGAAGGTAGCGACATTCGTCTGCCTCATCATACCGGTTTGGTGAGCCATGTCGCAGTCGATGTGAGTTTCTTCCTTTTTTCTTCCGCCGTTCCCCGCAGTCTATCCCTCCCCGCAATGGGTGTCTTTTGCCCCCAACACCGTCACAATGCGATATGCATGGTTCAGACGGTGATGATCGATACGATTACTGACGTGTGATCTCCTTGTATTAGATTGGCGGTTCCCTCGCGAAGCTGGTTTACTTCACGCGGGAAATCGACTCCAGCGACGTTGGCGGCCGATTGAACTTTATGCTTTTCGAAACCCACCGCATCGACCTCTGCATAGAAGTGCTCAAACAATTGAAGGAGGAGTATGTCAGGCTTCACGGGCCGTCTCCGACGGAGCTGTGCGTCGTTGCGACCGGCGGAGGCGCCTTCAAGTACTACGACAAGTTGAAGGATGCGCTTAAGGTCAACATCATCCGGGAGGACGAGATGCAGTGTCTCATTACGGGTTCGTTTTCCTCAATTATATGGCTTATTCTGTTCGTTCCACGGCTAATGATTAGGCCTCGACTTTTTCGTCACCGAAATCCCCAACGAGGTCTTCACCTACAGCGAAACCGAACCGATGCAGTTTGCCGAGGCCCGACCGGACGTCTACCCATACCTGTTGGTCAACATCGGATCCGGGGTCTCCATGATCAAGGTGTCCGGCCCGCGGCAGTTTGAGCGCGTCGGCGGGACCCACCTCGGGGGTGGCACCTTCTGGGGGATCCTGTCGTTGCTGACGGGGGCGCGGACCTTTGACGAGATGCTGGCCATGGCGGACAGCGGGGACAACAGCGGGGTGGACATGCTGGTGGGAGACATCTACGGCATGGACTATAGTAAAATCGGGCTGAAGAGCACGGCGATCGCGAGCACGTTCGGCAAGGTGTTTCGCATGAAGAACGATGCCGAGGAGGCGGCTTCGAATGGGGAGGAGCCGGATGTCACTTTTAAGAACGAGGACATGAGCCGGAGCCTACTATACGCCATTAGGTATGGAACACGCATCCCGATCTGTTCTAACCAGCCGTACTGACTCTCGCAGCAACAACATCGGACAGATCGCCTACCTCCAATCCGAAAAACACCAGGTCAAGCACATCTACTTCGGCGGGTCGTTCATCCGCGGACACCGCCAGACCATGAACACCCTCTCCTACGCCATCCGGTTCTGGTCCAAGGGGGAGAAGCAGGCATACTTTCTCCGCCACGAGGGCTACATCGGGGCGGTCGGGGCGTTCCTACGCCGACAGCCGGTCAACTGGGGACGACGGACGAGTCTGGACGGCACCACTGCGCCGCCGGATAAGGAGACGTTCGACGGTCACCCCAAGGACCACGCCCTTTGATTTCTCCCTCCCTCTCTCTCTCCGTCCCTCTCTCTCCCTCCCCATTCTCTGTTTCCGTTTACATTTCAGTCTCATTTTGAGCGTTTGATACCCGCTGATTATGTTGACGCTCTTGTCGGATGGATAGTCTCGGATTCCCGCCTGCTCCAGGCGGGACATCTGCACCTGTCATCGTTGTTGTCGTTGTTATTTGCTTCTGTACGATCATGGTAATCTTTTCTATTTCTCTATTATGTTTAATTTGGGTCGGGATATGGTGTGCAAATGTTTGTCCTTCCAGAGCCAGTGCTGTCGTTTCATAGAGATGGCGAAGGATTATCTTATTTTCCTGGGATAGAAAGACGCGACACATTTGCGTATACAAGAGCATGAGCGAGCGTGATATATTGGATATATTATTATTATTTGAATTTAAGAATTATACATTTAGCGATTTTGGTAGTGTCAGGTTTACACCGAGGTATTGAAGGGAGGATTGATCGGAACCCACCATTCTCTGGATAATCCACAACCGTGTAGTCAAGTAATACTAACTTGCTCTACTAGCTATAGATCGTCTAAAATATGTACAAATATATTCAAAATAAAATAAAACAATACTCATCCAAAATGACCCTTACTGAGTAAATAGTTCAGTAAGTACATGACTAATCCACACGTGGACCAGCCCAGCCCTCTCATCAATCAATCAATCAATCAATCCATCCGCAATCAACGATAAACCCATCTATTCCACCTCCTCCCTCTCCAATCCAACCAATCCCTCCAGAAATCTCTCCAAACAATGTTAAATCAAGAATGAACCCCAATCGATGCCTTCCCCGCCACCAAAAGACCCATCCTCACCCCCCGATCCCCCACCCGTCCCCGTCGAAACACACCCCTACCGCACCTCCTTCTCCTCCGCGCTGAGCCCGAGCTCGTCCCGCCTCCCCGACCCGACGCGCCTCGCCCCTGAAGATGCATATTTCGCGCCAATGGTGCGCTCGCGCACGGAGACCAGCTATGATGAGTCTCTGGCTGTGTTGAACGGCGGCCCTGCGTTTGGGGGTAGTGCGGCGCGGAAGGATTTGCGCAAGGTGGGCGGTGGGGCCGGGGGGAGGAGGAGGAAGAGGAAGGGGGCTTGGAAGAAGTTGCTTTGGGTTAGGCAGTCTTGTATGTTTTCTTATTTGATTCTGTTTTGTTGGGATTGCGCTGCGCTGCAATAAAAGGAGGAAGAAAGAAGCTAATGAGAAACCATCAACAGATCCAGATAACTACACCGACACCGAAACCTTCCTCGACCATCTCCAGCGCAATCCCCGGGTAAGGCCATACGACTTCTGGCCGCTGGTGGCCGACTCGACGGTCATCGTGCAGCATGTGTGCTCTGTCGCGATCTTTGTGTGCTGCTTTGTGGGCATCGTGCAGGGTCGGCTGAGTCCTGTGTCGGTTGTGTGTTGGGGGAGTGTTGTTACGGGGATGGGCTGGGTGCTATGGGATATGTGGTTTTTGAGGGCCCATGGGGAAGATGCGGCGGCGGCGGAGGAGCGCGCTGCGGAGATTGCTGATGATGGGTCGAGTTCGAGCTCGCTGGCTAGTCGGGATGCGGTGGTTCATGGGCTGGGACTGGCTATGTCGGCTGGGGAGTCGGGGCTTCGGCAGGGGAATGGGAGTAGCGGGGAGTCATGCGATCTGGGATCATCGTCGTCGCCGCCACCACAAACCAGCTACGGCAATGGCCCGTGGCCAACGACCAACGACGAACTCAGCAAATCACACATCCTAACATCCCGAAACCGCCAACGCCTCTCAACCCTCAAATCCGCCTTCCTCATCTACTTCGCGCTCCTCGGCCTCAGTCCCATCCTCAAATCCCTCACCAAGTCCACAGCCAGCGACTCCATCTGGGCCATGAGCTGCTGGCTCCTCATCATCAACATCTTCTCCTTCGACTACGGCAGCGGCCAAGGCGCAGGCGCCACCAAGTTCCCCGCCTCCCTCTCAACCAACACCGCCGTCATGGCATCCACGGTCCTCGCCTCCCGACTGCCCTCCACGCCCCACGTCTTCAGCCTCATGCTCTTCTCCATCGAGGTCTTCGGCCTCTTCCCCATCTTCCGCCGCCAGCTGCGCCACGTCTCCTGGACGGGTCACGTGCTGCTGACGCTGGCGCTGGTGATTGTGGCCGGGGGCGCCGTCGGCGTCACTATGCAGGGGGGCTTGTTTGCGGCTGTTGTGGGGAGTGTGCTGGGGAGTATGCTGACGGCGTTGGCGATGGGCGGGTGTAGTTGGTGGTTGTTGAGTTTGCAGAAGTATAAGAATGTGGTGACGGGGCCGTGGGATCCGGCGAGGCCGATTATTAGACGGCATTGGGAGTTGTCATGATATAATTATTTAATATTGTTTTTTCTTTCCCTGTTGGGTGTATTCCTCTGTTAGAGAGTGTTTTGTGCACATTGACATGGATTGTAGTATCTAACAGGTGGTAGGTACCACATGTCCCGCCCCGGAGTATTAGTTTATCATACCCCAGCATCTATCCCCTGAGACTGACCGAAACTGAAACCAGCAACCCTGTTCCTGTTTCTGTTTCATCAACATCAACCTTTGTCTCAAAAGCCATAAGCAGCCTGAATCATTAAAATCCAGGATGACCCGTCTTACTCAGATCATCCATTCACGCCCACCATTCACACCCACCATTCATTCATTATCCATTATCCCCTAAAGAAAAGAACCAAGAATGAAAGATCAGACCCAATGCCAAGTACTGAGATATGTGTGATAGGGGGGGGGGGGGGGGTGGTTACCTCCAGTGAAGAATGCACACTGGTATGTATGCCACACCCTGATTTAGTATGGAACAGGGAGGTCACACAGGGGGATCATGGATGGGGGATCAGTTGATGGGGTCATTCAGCATTCATCATTCATTTGGCATTTGTTACTTACCTAGTTATTAGTTAGAGGTGGGTGGGATTCAGCTGGTTATTGGAGGGTTGATTGAGATACTGTGATGAATGAGTGTCAGGATGAATGAGGTCAGTCAGGTACTGATTGTCTTGGTGAGGAATGAATGACTACTGGGTATCTAGGTTGGTAGGTATTTGTCTAGATTGAGTGAATGAATGAATGAATGACGAGGACTATATAAAGGCTGACTGACATTCCTCCTGTTGGGCTTCGTTTCTGTCCTCTTTTATCCCTTTGTATTTGATCTCATCTGGTATAAGATCTTGATACCTACATTTACATTTACACTTGATACTACAACTTTCCTAGTTACCCACTTACCTACTTACTACCTACAGACCTAACCTCAAGAAGAAACAAGAAACATGCACCTCCCAACCCTCGGGCTCTTCGCCCTCCTCCTCCCCTATGCCACCGCCCTCCGCTTCGCAATGTACATCGACCAATGGCACACCACCGACCTCCCGGGCAAAGAACACACAGCCGGCATAACGCACGCCATCATGGCCTTCGCCAAATCAACCCTCTTCAACTCCGACTCCCCCGCCAAATACGAGCCCTTCGAGCCCGTCGACAGGATGCGCGCGCGCTTCGAGCCGGACACCAAGCTGCTCGTCGCCATCGGGGGGTGGGGCGACACGGAGGGATTCACTGCGGGGGCCAAGGACGAGGCGTCTAGGACGCGGTACGCGAAGAATGTAGCCAAGATGGTGCAGGAGGGGGGGTTTGATGGTGTTGGTATGTTTTTCTTTCTTTCCTCTCCCCTTGTGTTTTGGGTAGGGCTGTTTGTGCTCTCTTTTGGTGGAGTAGATGATGATGATGATGATGGTGATATTAACGGGATATGTATAGATATCGACTGGGAATACCCCGGCGGCAACGGCGACGACTACAAGAAACATCCCAACAGCGAAAAGGTGTCCGAGATAGAGACCTTCCCGCTCTTCATGCAAGAGCTGCGCAAAGCCCTCCCCAAAGACAAGCTCATCTCCATCGCTGTCCCCGGTAAACGCGGCGACATGATCGCCTTTACTAAAGAAAACGGGCCCAAGGTCTGGCCGACGGTCGACATGGTCAACGTCATGAGCTACGATATGATGAACCGCCGCGATAACGTCACCACGCACCATTCGAGCGTGGCCGGCTCGCTGGATACTGTCCATGCGTATGCGGAGACGGGGCTGGAGCCGGAGAAGATGAACCTGGGTGTGGCGTACTATGCGAAGTGGTTTACGACTGCTAAGGGGGCCGGGTGTGAGGAGAAGCCGCTGGGATGTGAGGTTGTGGCGCTGGAGAAGGAGGATGGGTCGGATGCGGGGACGTCGGGGGTGTTGACGTTTGAGAAGGGCGTTGTGGGGAAGGCGCCTGGGGAATTGAAGGAGACGACGGATGGGACATGTGGGTTTGCGAAGGGGACGAAGTGTCCGAAGGGGCAGTGCTGTTCGCAGTATGGGAGTTGGTATGTTCTTCCCCCCCCTCCCTTTCTTTTCTATTCTGGTTCTCTGTCTTACCCTCCCCTTCTTCTTCTTGAGATTGTGAACTAATTATGATAGCGGCACGACCGACGAATTCTGCCAAGGAGGCTGTCTCTCCGACTACGGCGAATGCAAAGGCGTCTCGGTGATCGACTCGTGGCGCCGCGCAGAGAAAAACGGCAAGGTGGATGAGAAAGCCGGCGGACAGTACTTCTTCGACAAGGACGTCGATCTGTTCTGGACGTGGGAGACGGTGCCGCTGGTGGAGCGCAAGTTCAAGGAGATTATCGACGCGGAGAAGGTCGGGGGCGTGATGGCCTGGAGTCTGGGGGAGGATACGCTGGACTTTGCGCTGGTGGAGGCTATGGCTAAGGGGGCCAAGGCGAGAGCTACGGAGAAGAGAGTGGGTGGGGAGAAGGAGGGAGAGCGTTAGTGCTTCTATTAGATTGGGGATTGTCTGATGGAGATCTGATGTCTATCTAGTGGCTTTTGTTATTTCCAGCTTGTTTCGTACGTGGCAATATTATTGATCAATGACTACATAGTTGTAGTATGCAGTAGTAGTATGAGGTAGTTGTAGGAAGTAACTATATAGTACAGTATGACAATACAATAAAACACCAAACATCACAATCACCCAGCCTACCAATATTCTATGTAAAATAAAATCGCATACGTATACTCTATAATCTCACACAAAAGGCAACTAATTAAATCATATGAAACAGGACGGTCTGCAGGTCTCAACTTACCTATGATCGACTTCTATCAAACACGAGGGATGATCAGTATACACTCGGCCAATCACAGTTGCCGCTCCGACACATGGGCGAGAGATCGGCTGTGATTTACCTCAATTCATCTTCTACTCTATTCTCTACTCTATTGTATCATACTTATTTATTCCCTCTCTCTTCTTCTTCTTTCTTCTTCACTCTACCTACTCTACTCTACTCTACTCTACTCTCTACTGTTCTCTCCATTCTCAGTGTACACTCTACACAGTACTTTACAGAGATCTACCTATCTATCCGCCAAGTATACACAACTCAAAGTATACAACCACCACAATGAACCTCAAACTACTCCCTCTACTCTCCATCCTAACCCTCCCAATGATCGACGCCCTCGTCCTCCCCAATCCCCCCTACGCCCTCTCCTCAAAGTCAGACCTCCCCTCCTCACCAACCACCAACCACGCAATCGACACCGCCTCCGAATCTACATCCTTCCCCACAAACAACCCCCCAACAACAATGGCAACCACAACCACGACCACAACCGCAATCCCAATCCCAATTAAACAGTCGCAATACGACCTCGAAAGAATGTCTCTCCCGATCTTGAAATCCACCCTGCAGACCTGCGACGTCGTTTTCGCGGTTGTCGCGCTCGTGCTGCTCGTGCCGGGTCTGGTGGTTGTTTTGGTGAGGGGGTGGAATTATTTGCGGAATCCCGAGGAGCGGGATGTGGAGGGCGAGGGGAAGTATTACGAGGAGGAGGCTTTGTTGGGTAAAGGTTCGGGAAAGGGTGGAAGTGTTATGAATCAGATGGAGAATGGGAATGGGCGGGAGATTGTGAGGAATGATGGGAGGGGAGGGGATAGGAAGGTTATGGTCGAGGAGGAGGTTTAATATGGTGTATCTATCATATTTGTTTCTTTTGTCTTGTAGCATGCTGGTAATAATAATATCATTCATAATATTCATACTAATGCCAGTACCGAACGAACGCGTTGAACTACAACTCCATAAGTAATGTAGGGTTAGTACCGCTCGATCAACCACCGCCGTCGCGTCTCCGCGTCCATCGCCCCCAGCCGCTTGCCCTCCAGGCGCTTCACGATCAGGTAGTTCTCTACTACTGTCTTGCCCAGTACTTCCTGAAGTGCTGTATCCTTCTCTAGCTCGTTGAGGCTCTCTTCCAGTGAGGTTGGTAGGCGCGTTGTGATCCCCAGGTCTTGGCGTTGGGTATCTGTTAGGGTTGCTGCGTCGACTATTATTTGTTAGTATCGTTGTCGATATCATCTCTCGGTCAAGCAATGAAAGAAGAACAGAAGGATGAGAAGGGAACATACACAAACAATCCTTGCTGGTGAGAGGGTAACCCCCCCTCAACCCCAACACACCCCCCGCAATAACAGCCGCCATCGCAAAATAAGGATTCGCCAGCCCATCCAAACTCTTAATCTCCCAGTGCGCCGGCGCAATCTTCCGCAGTGGCGTCTCGCGGTTCTGCGACCCCCACGCTACCCACGTGCTGCCCGCCCACAGACCCGGTCGCACGCGCTCGTAGCTGGCGTCCTGGCTGAACGTGAAGGCTACCAGAGCACGGTAGTGCGCTAGCATCCCTGCTAGGAAGCGCTCCTCCACGTCAGGCTCCGCCGGGGAGAGGGATAGGTGGGCGTGTGCGGCTGTGCCGGCTGCGCCGGGGACGGCCCGCGGGTGCAGCGTCGCGCGCAGTCCGTGTCGCTCGGCGACTTGCACGACGACCTGGCGTGCGCTGACCAGTGCGTCCACCGCTGCGACGGGTGCTGCAGGCGGCAGGATGAACTCGAATTGGCCTGGGGCGGACTCGGCGTGGAACTGCTGTAGGGGGATGTCGATCGCTGCGCACGTCTCGGCGATCTCTTCGAGGATGGGGAGCAGGCGGCGCGTGTCCGGCGTCATCTGTGACCAGGAATGGTTGGTGACTGCCGGGGTGTACTCGGGTCCGTCGCGGAGGAAGACGACTTCAATCTCGAAGCCGCAGGTCGCGGTTGTGCCGAATGGGCGGAGCTGGTCGACGACTCGCTGTAGCGTGTTGCGCGGGCAGCCGTCGAGTGGCGAGCCGGCTTCGCTCTTCCAGTTGCTGAAGACGCTGGCGCTGCGTGGCTGGTCCCCTAGGCCGGCGTTTACGCGCAGTGTGTCTAGGTCCGGCGTCATGTAGTACTGGCCTGTTACGGAGCCCTCGGGTGCCACTAGGTCGTCCTGCAGCATCCACTGCACGGCGAGGCAGATGCCGATGCGCCGCTGCTGTTGCACAATGCGTGCGAATTCGGCCACAGGGAACATGCGCACCCGCACCGTCGCCGTGTAGTCCAGCCACTGCATCCACACGTACCGGACGTGCGGGTTGCGGGCGAGGAAGGCGTCCAGCGCCGCGGCGGGTGAGCGAGTCGACCGCACTGACAGATCCGAGGCGTCCCCGTCGCGGTAGATCGGGGTCTCGCGCAGGTCGTAGAGGCGGTCGGAGTTGTGGAAGAGCATGTCAGCCGCCGCCTGGCGTGCCTGCTCGACTGTGTAGTCGCCCTCGCTCACGTACTCGACCAGCACGCGTTCCAGCGCGGCGCGAAACTGGCGGTTGGCTAGCCAAAAGGATTCCGGGAAGAAGTGGCCGTCGGTGCTCCAGAGCAGCCGCGTTGAGGGGACCAGTTCCAGGCTCTCGCGTAGGATGCTCTCCTGGGCGTCGCGGCTGACCATGGGGAATACCTCCCCTAAATCGAGGTACACGTTGTCATAGCAGCAGGCGAGGTAGCCTGCCTGGCGTGTGTATGGGTACGCCGAGTGTAGTAGCACGAAGTCGACTTTGGGATACTGTGCGATGAGGGGCTGCAGGTGCGCTGGGTTGGCGAGCACCAGGTCGATGTCCGTGTCACCGAGACCGGTGTGCAGCTGGAGTGGCTTACGCACGGGCTGGGCGGCGGCGGCGTCCTGCAGAAGGGTGAGGAGGCAGCGTACGATCCAGTCGTTGAGCGGCTTGTCCTCGACCCGGTGGCCCGGCGTGCGCAGGACGCGCGCGAACGCAGGGAGCAGATGGGTTGCCGCCTCCGCGTCGTCGACAGGCTGCACGTTGAGCCCCGTACGGTAGCAGACGACCGACTTGAAGCCCACCACGGCGGGATCCGCCACGGCCTCAGCGAGCTGATCCTGGAAGCGCTGGCGGAAGGCGTCGAACCGGGAGGCGACCGCCGCAGGGTCATCGGCGCCATCGATCGGCGGCAGTTGGGCCAGCGTCTGCTGGGCGATGGTCTCGATGCGAACGATACGGCGGGTTGGGGCGGGAGTGAATCGATCGTGCCAGGAATAGGGCTCGACGTCGGAGTCGGTCAGCAGGTCATCCAGCAGCAAGGCGTGGGTGCCCTGCAGGCACTGGCGGACCAGCCCGGGGTAGTCACGCTGGACCCAGCGATCGCGGGCGGCGACGAGCTCAGCCCAGTCGGCAGAGGGTGTGCCATATAGTTCGGCTAACTGCTGGGCGGCGCGGTGCAACGGAAGAGCGGAGCGGGCATTGCGGAGGGCCGGCCCATGGGCCTCGGATACGATCTGCTCAAACGGGTAGGCAGCGTAGTCGGTGGCAGCGTCGGCGGATAATAAGTTGTGGGCGTGGTTGTCAATGAGGGGGTGAGCGTGGATGAGATGGCGCAGCTCGGAGAGGGCCATGGCCATGGAGAGAATCAATCTCGCGGATCAGATCGGGGAGGGATATAGATGAAGAGAGGAGAGGAGGTGGGGGATAGAAAGGGTATAGAATAAATAAAGGATGAGGATGAAGCTGACAACTCCCCCACGCGGGCTCCTTGATCGGGGCACTTCCTGAATGCGGGACGAACACCGGGGCAGCCGTTCGAAGCGGCAGTTTGTACGATCTTACCGAGCACGAACGACTGGCCAAGGTGCATGCTCGACTGATGAGTTGAAGTCGTGAGAAGGCGAGATCGTGATGATTACACCGTCTTGATTGGCTGCTCCGCGCCTCGCTTGGCTCGTCGACCTTTCCGGATCGGGAAATGTCCACGAGGTATGCAGCGATTTATGCAGCTGAGTCACTGTTATCCACGATATTGCTTTTGTGCTATCCTCACGCCCGAATGATCACAGCATGCCGTTGGTCTGGAATAGGGTGAAGACGGGCAGACCAGACGGGAATTGGAGCCATCAGGAGCTGGAATATCAAGGTCTCAGTATGGTTTGAGGGGTTATCCACGCGGATCGAGATCAGTCCAGCTGCGGAGGCGTCGTGAGGCATGTCAAGTCAGTCTTCCAGGGTCTGAAGAAACCGACCAAATCGGCTCAAGGTCCTCAGTCATGGTGGAGGCGTCTGGGTGTTCTCTACCCAGTGGACTATTCGGATGCTGAGAGAAAAGCCTCAATGGGTTGGACTCCTGGAAAGAGAGAGATGTGTGGAGGGGATGGTTCACGTGAGCGATAACTGATGAAAACGATCCCATTGGCAATATCGACAGCATGGTTGAATGACGCTAGATGGTGAGGGTGTGAAGCATCAGCATCGGCCGAATACGAAGAGGAAATTGCATGGTCAGGTGACACGTTGGTCGATTCAGTCACGGAGTCCTCCGTCAACACGGACAAGAGTGGACTCGGACTAGAGGGACAGGCAGCCATGGAGGTCTTTCAATCTCTAGAACCAGAACACACATACGATCTCGAGACACAGACCATAGGCCGTCCAAAGGAAAAGCACGTTGTTATTTAAGATCTCCATTATGGAAGTAGGCGTAAACATTCATTCATCTATCACGTTCCATGCATCCATCCGTAGACCAAATGTACATCCCATGGGAACAGAAGAACCGTCATCCCAAAAAAAAAAGTGAACAACAAAGAAAACAAAAAATTAATTTAATCATACATTTACATGGTCTCCTTCTCCTCGATATTGCCCTTGCCCTCAGCCTTGATGAACGCATCCACCTCGGCGGCTTCGCCCTGCGGCAGATGGCGCGCCATGTTGACGATCTGCCACGGCGTGGGTGCCTCGCGGAAGACGAGGTTCAGCGCCTCCAGGTTGCGGTTCATCGTTTCAGGGAAGAACAAGTACACCGAGATGGGAATGCAGGCCGAGATGACGGTGAAGACGATGTAGTACTGGTAGCCGATGGTCTCGAGCGCGACGGGGGTGATCATGACGACGACAAAGTTCCACAGCCAATGGTTGGCCGTCGAGATGGCGCTCATGGCCACACGCAGCCGCACGGGCGCCACCTCGGTGCAGTACAGGAAGTTACCGCCCAGGAAGCCGATCGGGTAGAAGGTGTTGAAGAGGAAGATGAAGACGGCCGAGATGATGGACGCGACGCGCGCCTCGCCGAAGCTGTTGGTGATGGACAGCACCATCATGCAAACGCACATGCCCGTGCCCGAAATGATGAACACCTTGCGCCGGCCCAGCCGGTCGATGACGGCGAACGAGATGAACGAGCAGAGGAACTTCCACGTCATGGCGCACGACGACAGGATCCGCGCCAGGTCCGACGACATGTTCAGGTTCTCCTCGAAGATGGTGCTCGCGTACGTCGAGATGAGGTTGCCTCCGCACATCTGCTGGAAGAACTGCAGCGCGATGCACAGGCAGAACCGGTACGCGAGCCGCTCGTCGTCCGCCTTGCCGGGCTTGAAGATGTCCATCAGGCGGGCCGAGTCGGCCGTCACCTCGAGACTGGTCTGGATGCCGGCGATCTCCACGCGCGTGGCCTCATCGTCGGCCGCGGCGCCCTTGTAGGCGGCAAGTGAGTCCGTGGCCTCGTCGATGCGGCCGACGCGGACGAGCCACCGGGGGGACTCGGGCAGCAAGAAGACGGCGCAGACAAGGACGATGGAGAAGGCCATGGAGATGGCCAGCGGGATGCGCCAGGCCAGGGGTCCTGCAATCTTGCTGCAGCCGAAGTCAATCCAGTTGCAGAGGGCGTAACCAAGACAGATGCAGATGCCGTCGACAATGACATGCTGGCCGCGGTGCTTGGCTGAGGTGCTCTCCGACTGCCAGACCGGCACCGCCACCGAGAGCTGACCGACGCCAATACCGAGGATGACGCGTCCGACAGAGAACTGCTCGACGCTGTAGGCGGCGGTCTGGAGGAGTTGGCCGACGATGGTGAGGATGGCGCCGAGGAAGACGGTCTTGCGGCGGCCGAGCCAGTCGCCCATCGAGGTGCAGGAGAGGGAGCCGACGAGCGCCCCTAATTGGAAGGCGGCGATGACGGCACCCTTTCCGGTGCTGTTGGTGGCTTTCTGGCCGCCCTCGGTGTGGATGGTATCGATCTCGGGGAAGACCTCGACCCAACCCGGCAACGTGGCCAGGGGTCCCAGGCCGGACTGATTGTAGCCATAAAGGATGAAGGCAGGGGCTACAATGAGAAGAGCCTGCGCCATGCGCAGGGCCTTTCCGTAAAAAAACATCGTCACAGCCGGGTAGGGGGTGAGAGTATGCCGGAGGGAGGAAAGGGGGAAAGGTAGGAAGAGAAAGAAGAAGCGACGAGAATGGCGGGGGAAAAGTTTTATTTATCCCCAGGAACTTAGGAGGCCATCGTAGCCTGGAGACCCCGCAAGATTGGCCTCGTGGTGGGATCCTAAAAAATCAACTAAACCGACGAAGTGGACTTGGATAGAGCCAGACAGTTAGGGCTCGCCGTGATTCGAATGTCGGTATCCACCCCGGGCCGGGGCCGAAACTTACGACGGTCAGAAAATTCGGAAAGTCGAGAGAAAATCCCGCACTTGAGGAAAGAGATTGACGACGAAGACCATGGACAAACTGGATCCATTAGTCAAAACTAATCTCTGGAGAAGAAAGAAAAGATCAAAGTGGAGAAGTCTGTAACATGACCCAATATCTTTACCGAGAGAATATCCTTACCGAGAGAAGCATCTGGATTAGTTTACTAGTAGTTCTTAGTCGCGTGATCATGGCGTACAGCCGGGACAGAAAGAATCGGCACATCCGAGTCAGAGAATTTTCTGAACCCATCCGGACACCCTCTCTTCTTTCACCTGAGAATCGGTCGGCAACGGGATCTTGGGCCCTGGCAAGGACAGCGAAAATCGGCCCCTATAGCTCAGTCGTCCTCCGAAGGATGAGCTGTTGTTTAAGCCGTGTCGGGAGATGGGAGAAGCCAATGATATGGCTAGCCGAGCCCAACCGACTCCACAATTAACACTAAAATCAAGGCTTATCTGGTCTTGACCTGCGCCCCCACCACTTGGGGGATGAGCCAAGACGCCGCCCAAACCGCCGCTCGTGGCACACGACCAATTCATCTGCGGGGTGCTCCGACATTGTCCGGTGGGATATTGGACTGTAGGGCATCGATTTGTAAGATTAATCCTGGAGTAGAAGTCGTTGAGCAGTCCGCGAGTCCGTTGACTGTACGGCCAAGAAAGGAGGCACGAAAGGGGAAAGAGAGGATCCACTATTGCCGACAGGAAGCGACCACGAAGGAACTCCGAGGCACGTCCGGGGCAAACCCGCGGTCATAATGGAGCTTCTCACCCAACGAACATGGTTCCTACAACTACAAATCAACGGTTAGCACCGGACCGGAATTGATATGGGAGATTGCTGTCTCTATTACCCAGGTCCAAGGACTATCAGGTCGCCTAACTATTCAGATTTCACCCAAGCGAGATGGCGAAATCTTTCCCCGATGGCGTTAAATTGATCAACATGACACTAGGAAGTTTCCGGGGTATGGTGTGGTGACATTTATCGACGGGCTGAATGGAATGACGACAGTGAAACTGGGGGAGTGGAGAGATGGAGAGATGGATTGGAAATAGGTCTAGAATTGCAGGAGATGCAGTTGTGGCCAGTGGTCAGGTGACACCTCCGCCAGCTTCTACATACTCCATCTAGCTGGCAAGATGACTCTCCAGAACTTGATACTAAGATCATTATATCTACCATGTACTGTTAGATTCGACGCAGGTCGTCGCAGTAATTCCAGTGGTGGCTTCAGCATTCGAGGTTAAAAAGTAAAAAGCTACAGAGCAAGCGCACAAAACAGTTCCATCCATATCCATATCCAGTATCCCATATCATTGTAACGCCCAGCACGCGCCAATTCCAAACCCAAGCCTGATCATATTCAATTTCCCATTCGCTGTGACCCAAACATAAGTCGTCGAACGCCCATAACCGCGCCATAAAGGGACCATGAACTCCAATCTAGGCCGTATCTCCGGTAGGTTGGCCCAGATACCACTCGGCGAAATCCTTCAATGCCATGGCAGTTTGGTCTCGCATGTTGTACAGGTCGGTACAACCCATAATCAGACGTTCACCATCAAAGTAGCCTTCAATTACACGTCCGCGCTTGCCCATGAAGGAGATGAGTAGAATCTGTACAAGCACAATCAGCGGTGCGTCAACAAGGATTTAAAGGAAGAGAAATTACCGGTGCGATCATATGGTGCAGAAAGCGCCGCTTCCTCATCTGGCCCAACATGATGCGGAGAAGAATCAGCAGCTCTCCACGAAGCAGATGTTGATTATGCGCCTCGACGTCATTGTAGATGACCGCCTTGGAGTGGGGGAACTTCCCCCCGGAAATGTCGGTCAGATGGAAAGTCCCAAACTCCGGCTGCGCAAATCCATACACGCTCTTATAAGGGGTGTAATCACCAACGCTATTTTATCAACAATGTTTAGAATACACTTGGGACCAAGGGGCCCGAACTCAGAACAGAAGGGCACTCACCTTTTGACGGACCACGGCGTAAAGTCGGCCTCTCCAGTTATGGTGAAATGAAAGGCATAGTCCGCAAAGACGGTTTCCACTTGATGGGCATGGTCGGAAGGAAATATAAAACAGGTCTCCTCCGGGTCGTCCCACGCCCCGTGGAGCTCGCTCAGTCGCTCATCTTCCGGTTCTGGGAGCTTAGCATGAGGTAGGAAGAAGAATGGCTTGCGGGCTGACGTTCCATGGAGCGACATTGGTTGAATGTCAATTTTCAGCTCCTTCAGCTGCGAGATATCTAATTCATGGATTTGAAGAGCCTCGACTTTGGCCTCCATCTCCACCAGCACTCTGCGTCGCTCAAGATGTTCGGGCCGTTCCCCAGTCATGTTTTGCGCTCGGGTACTTGAATTCGAAACAAGGATAGCCTATCTGTCCGTGGTTGAGGGCAGTCGGAATAGTAATTAGTGGGAATATGAGCGTCTCTTGTAATTGATACCTCGCGTCTCTCAGAGTATCTGGGATGGAATGGTGAGGCAGGGGAGTTGGAAGTTGGGAGTCGTTTTGGGTTTCTGGCCAGGTTGCCGGGGGGCGACATGCCAAGGCTACGGGGCTTACCAGTCATTGTCCACCCATCACCAGTCACCACCATCACACCTAGCACACCTATCACCATCCTGGTCATCAATGATCAAAGAAAGGTTAATGTCTAAAAATAGGTAGTAGGTCTGAGATTGACAGTCCCCGGGTCGTGACCACCTCTCAAATGCCCACATTCAATTGTTTGTAGTCTTAAAATAAATCTAAAGGATCAGACAGGTCTTGATCAACAACCTCTACTCACTACTCTAGCATCACTTCTACCGATCCTACTACTTAAGCATTCTCCTGGATCTACACCATCAGATACCTCGAGACTGTGACCATGAGCGCTACGCTCACAGCACCGGCCAGCGCCAAGGAGTGGAGTGACGCAGTAGTGAAGCACCGCCTTGGGGGTCAATCCATCCACAGCGCAGAGCTGGCGTCGGCCTCCAAAATGGGCTTCAACCAATTCCTCCTATGTCGCGTGCTATGGCATAAACATACCGAGCATCGTTCATTATCTACCAAGCTGCAGATCAAAGATTCGCTGAAACATGCGGGCAAGATGCTTGAGGAGCTCAAATCGTGGTCTACATATCTGGATAGCTTTCAGTCCACTAAATTTATCCCCGAAGGAACCTTTGCCATCCCGCGGAAACACCAGCTGGAGGTAGAGACTACCAAACTTGAAGCTGATCCTGCATCGTTTAATACGCCCATCGCGGCGCGAACCCGCTCGAAGACACAACGGTCCTTAAATTACGAGCAGACTCCATCTCGGAAGCCGCGCAGCGACAATGCTGCGACGTTTAGAACCCCTGTGGCCGAAACCACTTCCGGAGATTCCCTCGGAGTCGAAGAAGACGACGAGTCAACACCGCCTGAGGAACACGAACCAACACCTTTTAACCCAGATACTCCCATCCCACCGGAATTGGTTAGCGTCCTGTTTCCCCCAACCATCGACGAGCAGATTGTGAACTCTGCCCTGGTAACTTTCCTTGATGCAATTACCCTGCACTTCGGTCTCTCCTCCAGCTGGACTTTACACCGTATTCCGTTCACCGCCGTCTTCAAGACCGCGCAGTTCGAAGCAAGGACAGATGGCTACCTACGAGACCGCTCGGGAAAGCCGAGCGTGATCATAGAAGTCAAGCCCGTCATCAGGGTCCACAACCTGGTGCCAATCCAGATTCAGGAGACCGCCCAGATGGTCGCTTGGATCAAGAGCGACGACGACCAGGCCCAGAGGCGCCATACTACGTATGTATCTAGACGATGTTAGAACCTCCGTCCCCGGCAAAGCTGACGTTGTATGTAGCCGTCTCCACGTCGCCCAGGACCGCAATCAGATATTCGTGATGGTCGCCGAGTACGGCCAAGAGTACCTCGACTATCTGAACGACCGGCCTTCTTCCAGTCCACTCCGTCCTCGCCCGGCTTTCTTGACCATGCACCAATACGGTCCGTGGAATACACAACGACCGGAGCACATGCGCGAGCTGGGGCCTCTTCTTCTGGCCATCACCATGCGAGCGGATGGAGAGGATACAGGAAACTAGTCATGCGCGGGGGTGATACGGATTGCGGGGGAGGCAGGGGGGAGGGGACTAATGACAGCGCTAGTTTTTATCTTTTGATATCATGATATACAGGTTATGTGCTTCCCTAGCTTTTGCCTAAAAACTACCTAAAATTACCTTCGGGTATGTATCCGTTAGCAGCATCTGTTAAAAAGACATACTTCTTCCCTCCTTTCTTCCCTCCCCTAGGTGTAGCCGCGTAGTGCTTTTTCTGCCATAGTTGAGCTCACAAAAGGGCGTAATAGTTTGGTAGTATGGTCTTTTGATCGCCTAACAATCTAATAGACTTTGGGATGTCTTGTCCCAGTGATAGACATGCATCACTTAGGTACATGATCAAGAATTCTGTGAGATTCTGTGGGTCTTTACGGGGCTCTGTGTTATGCTGAAAAGGGGTCTGGTAACCTCTTTGTGTAATATTAGGGTGAAACTGGAAGGTTTCACTTTTTTGTTCTCTTCTCGCTTGTCCTTGTCTTCCGGGCGTGCGTACATGATTGATAGTAATTGGGCAGTATTAATATCGTTGCCGGAATAGGAATCATCGCTGGTGAAAGGATTATCATTATGTTGATAGGAGGTGAAAATGGGGTTGGGACTTTCCTTTCATCAGGGAACCAGACTTCCCAACAAGTAGCTGCTGAAAACTCAATATTGTTGGTAGCAGAAGTGTCCCGAACCAGCAAAAATATACTCTAATAGATATGTCAGAACAGAAAGCCTCAACAAGATGATCACGTCTCTACAGAATCCCAGGCAAGAGCGAAGGAGGCATAACAACGCGGAGCGTGTCACTTCAGCCGGTCTAAACTTTATGATTGGAGAAGGTCGTGTAGCACCATATTGGTTATCTTCAGTGAGATCATTCAGTTCACCTTCATATATGCTTGATATGAGGTGTACCACACAATTGTGGAAGGCTGAGGCATGTAATCAACCAACATGTCAGCTGACCTGCGGTGTTCTTTCCCTCATTAATATTTTGGCTGTTTTCATCAGTCCTTGATCATAGTATAACCTACTACAAGATCAATATATATCCCCGATTCCCAACCTAGACAGTGAGTAATACATCCAATAATAGCAAGGTCTGTTTTACTTCAGTACAGCCTGATAACAAACCATGGTACATATATATATACTAATTACTAGGATTGAAAGTAGGTTCGCACAACCATGATCAAACGGAACCACTATATTATCACAATCCAGGAAGGAAAACAGCTAAAACCCCAAAAGAATAAGCAGCGACGGCTAGGGTATATATTCAGCCTACGAAGATGAACATGAGGATTGGCTGCATCGGTGCCATGATGGTACGGTACGGGACAAAAGATTCAATCAAACTTTCTATTCGATCTATAATTTCAAACGTGGGTATCATCATATCATATCACATCCATCCATGCATCACCAAAGTACACAACTCTCCCGCCTTGAACGCCAGCGTCAAGGATTCCACCACGAATGGGACAGCATAAACGGATAGAAGAAGACAAGAGAACAAGAGGGGGGAAAAAAATAAGAAAGACAAGCTAAATCAAACAGACAACTGCAACCGCGGCTCCCGCAGTCCCACCGCACCCCACTCGTCCAGCAACCGAGACACCTCCTTAAAGGATACCGGCTTCGTCAGAAACAGGTCGACCCCGGACATTAGTGCCTCCGATTCATCCTTGGAGCTGCTGAGCCCCGTCAGAGCAACAATCGTCGCGCCAGGACCCTCGTCACGCTCCTTCTCGAGTGCACGGATGGCCCGCGTTGCTTCGAAGCCGTCCATAACGGGCATCGACATATCTAGTACAGTCAGTCAGTATCGATTGAGCCATTGCCGAGGCAGAAAGAGGAAGAACATACCCATGAAGATAATATCGTAATTCTCCGGGAGCCGTTCGACAGCTTCCACGGCAACTTGGCCGTTCTCGGCGCTGTGCAATGTCGACAGGTGTCGCTTTTTCATGAATGTGAGCATCAGGTTCAGATTGATGCTGTTATCGTCGACGACAAGGACCCGTGGCGACCTGGAGGTCTTGGTCGCCAGGTCAGCCGGCAGAGATGGCAACGCGATGACCGGGACTGTTGTCTCGACCACGGTCTCTGACGCCGCTGAGCTGCCGACCGAGGAGGCAAAGCCGGAATCGGTGGACAACGCCATTGATGAGTCAGATATGTCGCTGGGCTGGCTGCGATTGTGCGGGCGGTGAGGGAGTACAACTGTGCCGACCACGGGGGCCTGATGATCGAGGCAGCGGCGGATGGAGCGCGCCAACTTCTGCGGGCCGCATGGGAGGCGCAGCTGGCTGACGGAGCTGGCGGTGGACAGCCACTCGGGTTGTAGGATGTCGGTGCCGATGGACCGGTTGCACAGGAGGAGAAGAGGTGGAAACGTCGCCGACCCGGAGCCGGACGCAGCGGCCAGTCCTTCCTCGTCGGCCACGGCGATGTCCACGGCCATACCGGACCAGGACACCAGCTCCAGCCCGTACCAGTCGGTCAGGTAGCGTGCAATGGGGGACCAGCGCGGGTGCGCAGCGGCCGCAGTCGGCTCCACCCCAAGGATGGCGACCCGACGCCCCGCGTGCGAATCCCGCAGCGGTACGCTCTCGCTGCTTGGGAGCGTCTTCTCTCGCACGATCGGCGACGGGAAATTGGGTCCACCATCCCACTCCGCGGGACTGGGTCGCTCAAGCGGTAACGACACTCGAACGCTGGTCCCCTCGCCCGGTCGACTGTGTATGCCGATGCTGCCTCCCAGTGCCTTGACCAGACTCCGCACGATGGACAGCCCCAGCCCCGTTCCCACGGCGAGCGTATCCTCCTGCGCGAATGGCGTGTAGAGTCGCCCCCTCAAAAACTCCTCCGAGATGCCCTTGCCGGTGTCCGTCACCGTCAAAGTCACTACCTCCTCATCGGTCCTAGGCCGATGCAAATGACGGTCCGACGCGTCGGCCACCGCCAAGTGCAACGAGACCCGACCGGAATCAGTATACTTCATCGCATTCCCGAAGACGTTCATGATGATCCGCCGCAGGGCGCCGGGCTGCGTCTGGTAGAGCCAGTCATTTTGGGCGATATCCACGACCACCTCTACTCCGCCGCCGGCGACCACCGTCCTGTGCTCCTCGGCTCCCGGAGACACCGCGGGCCCAGGGAGATCGGATGGGGTGGTCGATTTTTGACCGTACGAGTGGCCCAGGCAAACACCCTCCACCACTTCCTCCGCCAAGATCGCCATATCTGTGGCCACGTAGGTGTCCAGGCGCGCAGACATCTGGTTCATGGGTTTGAGGTCGGATTGCGACGTGTTGCGTTGCTTGTGTCGCCAGGTGCGTTCCAGGGAGACGATCTTGCTGAAATCCAGGACTTGATTCATCGTGTCGAGCAATGTCCGACCGCAGGCGTTGATGGTTTCTAGTAGGGAGTCCTGAAAATCGTCCAGCTCGGTGCCTTGTAGGAACTCGGCAGCCGCGAGGATCCCGTGTAGAGGGCTTCGTAATTCGTGACTGGTGGGAAGTTAGTCTCACCCGTTGATGTGGGACGCGGTGACCATAGCGATGGAAGATAAGGGACCAAGGCCGAAAGCAGAGAATGGAAAAATAAAAGAAGAGACGAAAGGAAACTGGAAAGAGAAGACATACGATATACTCCCAATGAAATCCCCCTTCTGCCGATCCGAGATGAGTGATTGGACGCGACTGCACTCCGCCATGATCGACGACCCAAAGCCGATGACGGCGCTGAGTTCGACGTCCGGACTGAAAACCCGGGTCTCCTCGGTGTTCCAGCAGAAGCAACCGGCAAACCACTGCGAATTGGCCGGATTCCACAACGGAACGAACATGACCTGCGACGCACCGGGGAAGTACCGGTTCAGCATGGCGTTCTCGGTAATCTTCCACTTCTTCGGGCCCTTTCCCGGCTCTGTCGGTTTCGTGGCCCGCGAGGCGCTCCGTTGAGGGGAGCGCTCGTCGTCTGAACTCGAGACCATCCCGTCCTGATGGAAGGACCACAGCCGGCCCTTGCTGTGGCGGTGGAGGATTTGATGCAGAAAGCCGTTGGCGAGATTGGATGCCGGGTACAGGGCCCTCGAGCCGGGTCGCGGGGCGAACGGTTCATCGTTGGTGGAGATGGCCAGGACCGGAGCTGGAGCGCTGTCGCCGTCGAGTGACTCGCCGGCATCGATGTCGCCCATCGGGCTGTGGCCGGCGTCGAGGAAGATGACGCCCCCGTCGCCGCTCAGCTCCAGACTCTCCCGGAGCAGGTTGGCAGCCCGTTGGAAGGCCCACGTATTCCCCTGGGACTCGTCCACCCCAGTTTGGCGGGTGCCGGCCCACCAATCGGGCAAAGGGGTGTTTAACCCCGAGGAGGACTCACCCCGGTACTCCGACGCCGAGCTGACGGAGCGGGCATCGCTACTGTGAGACGGGGACCGTCGGCTGCTGTGCGATCGTCGATGGGATGGCCCCTCGAAGCTGTGTCCGGAGTCTACGGACAGGTGATTGCGGCGGGTGTGGGAGGGGGCCGATGTGCCCAGGCCGGGCACGACGTTGGGCGCTGATGCATTGTCCACGAAACTGGAACTCCCTTCCACGAAATAGCTCAAGCCGCGCGAGACCCGCGCGGCGCGGCGGCCCTCGGACGCCTGCCGGCTGACCTTGAGGTAGTCCATGACGAGGGAACTTAGCATTCCCAGGGCCTCTCGCTCGCTGGCATCCATGTCCTCCCGGGGGCGGGGATCCAGCACGAAAATGGTCCCGATGTTGAGGTTAGCCTCCGTGGTGAGCGGGGTCCCGGCGTAGAAGCGGAAATGCGGCTCGCCCTTGACGAACGGCAGGTCCTGGTAGCGCTCGTTGGCGGCGAGGTCGCTCACCACATTGCAGCTGTACAGCTTACGCGATCGGTCCGACGGCGGCAGAGCGATGGTGTCCTAGTGGCTCGGTCAGAATGGAGTCGCCGGTGGCGCGAGCGTCAGGGGCCGGGGGATCCCTTACCATGCACATGAACAACGCACTCGAGGAGAGCGTGTGGCAGCCATTCCAGAGGCCACCGTCCAAAGATTCCAGATCATCATCCCCCCGGCGAGTCTGCCCTGCTTGAGCGATAATGTGCTGCGAGTTTCGATCGGAGACACTGGATGGTTAGCTTGGCCCGCGCGTGGCGTGGGTACGGCGAGCATACCTGATCAGGACCCGCTCCATGTTCAAGCGGAGCGCCGCCAGCTGTGCGAACGAAGTGAGTGTGGCATTGGCGTCGCCTAATATAAGCTCCTCGGGTAGCAAGGAGGATGGACTGCGGTCCGCGGGGGGCGACGACGCGGACGGGAAGTAGGGAGAGGACGGAGACAGGGGCGGGCGATGCGCATTGTCAGCCGGCGCCAGCGCCGGCGGTGTCAACCGTGGTGACCCTGTATGCGGCGACGGGGTGTTCTCATCCAGCGACAAGGAGGCGTTCTCGTCTATCGTGGGGAAAGAGCGTTGCGGGCGAAAATAGCGGTAGACCTCGCGGGCCCGACGGCTGGATGTATGATCATGGTCTCTCCGGCGAGGGTTCGTCGCAGAAGCCATTGCGTAAAGCGTGAGAGGAAAGGTGTCGAAGGAGAGAAGAAGTGACGATGGAGGAGCGAGATAGGAAATCGAATTCGTGGTCCATAGACCCGTGGGTGGGTGGCGCTGCTCGTCGTCGCGGGCCCACTCCACACCTCGGTTGATACAACGTCCTCCAAGTTCAAGCCACGCCGGACTAGAAGTGACTCGAACAAAAGATGTCCAAATTAGAATTGTCAAAAATAGATTGCCTCGACGAAGGCAATCAAAAAACAAGATGGTTGAGGAAAGAGGGGAAGAAAGAGCTGGCCCCGATGGTCCTTAATATGGACGGATGAGCCAGGCGACGGACGGCAGTGGGGACGAAACCAATCAATCTAGTGGGACAGGCACACTGGAGACAGCATGAATTGGATTGATTAACTGTCATTTCCAATCAGATCCGGAACCATGCCAGCAGAGTCAAGAGGGTGTCAATCACCAGGTAGGTCATCATCCGGGAGAACCACCGATAGACGTGACACCGGATCAGGAATGGACAGCCAGCCACAAAGCAATAACAACACCCTTGCCTGGCAAGTATAGAGGTGGGATGAGGTCAGTTTGGCCAAAGCAGGAAAAAGAATAAAAAAGAATCAATGGAATTGATTCCACGAACGGGAATACTGCATTAAATTGGATTGTGATGTGGAGCCCCACTTTTTCCCTTAATATTCATTAAATTTCCCTGTCTGACCCTGGACCAGATATACAGATGATTTGGATGAACCAGCTGAGTCTCGCCAATCAGATGGGTCTTATTCCAGGTGAGATGGTCCGCTCAACTTGACTGGCCTAAGAGATAGCCCGAGTATTGCAGAGAGACAGAGAGAGAGAAGGGAAAGAGAAAGGGATAGACTCTCAAGAGCCCATCAAAGGAAGAATCCCCTCCGGGGATTGATGAGTTGATGAAATCGCAGCTGCAAACCGGCTTGAAACCTGAGAAATGCGGCCAATACCGGTTTTGCCGCTTGGCGCCAACCGTTGCTCGGAAGCCCTGCCGGCCAATCAGCGGCTGCATGAAGCTCATTTCCAGCCACTCACAGCTTGCATTGGGATGACTCAGCTCATTCTTGGTGCCTTGAAGTGTAGTGTCTTTTTAACACATTACTAATAGGCTACTGGAGAAGATATCTACAACGGTCTACATCGATCAAGTACGGAATTTATCTCACTTCATGTTCAAAAGCACGCTGGCATTCCTCATTCCTAAGAGCAAGCACTACCGACTAGGTATCATGTACGGCTGGACCAGTGGTCTCTGGACCGTCCAGGCGGGGCATCCACCCTCCCGGAACGCGCAAGGATCGACCCTCTCCATCTATCGGACACCAAATGGCCGGTCTAGATTCTCAGTCCCTGATTCGCGGCAAAGTGGCCCGTGGCTGGCGCCTCGAACACCGCCACACTGGATGCCTGCGGTCCCGTGCGGACCACATCGTCATAGTTGCAGGGTTCAAAACCTTTCCATCAGTCGCTGTCGAACCGTCCACATCCGCGCACGCTTGCCGTACATATACATTGGGATTGTAAACAATAAAGCCCCTAGTTGGATGCCCCCCAGCGCCATGAAGACTGTCCGTGATCCCTGGGCGTCCAGCCAGTCGACGATGAAGAGCGAGAATACCAGGCCGTGGAATACATCTGCGATCGGTCAGTCGGACATCATGACAAAATAGTTCGAATAAAATAGAGACAGAGGAAGGGTCAAAAAAAAAGAAGGAAAAAAGAACTTACTCTTGCACCAGTTCAGCGTCACCAGCGCCTCCCCGGCAAACTGTCGGTAACTATCCACCACAAAGGTGATGGCCGTGGTGCTTCCCAAACAGCAGCCAAATGAGATCAGCCCGAAGAACACCGTCGGCACGATCCACGGGTCCTCCTCCTCCGCACTCCAGCCAAACGCCATCAGTCCCGCGGTCGTCGACAGCGCGATTGGCACCGCCATCACCAGCCGGAACTCCGGCTCATAAACGCCTCCGTTCCGCCGCGTCATAGCGGTGACGATCAGGTCCGACACCCGACCGGCCACGGCGGTCCCCAGCAGGCCGCCCACAAAGGGGGAGATATAGACGAGACCCGTCTGCAGCGAGGTGAAGTGGTAGTGGGACCGGCCTTGGAAGATGTGCGAGACCGACTCGGACACCACGATCAGCCACCCCACGGACAGGGCGTACACCGCAGCCGACCACAGCACGGCCGGGTACGCGAACAGCACAAAGGGCCGGTAAGCCGCCCGCATCCAGCTATCCTGCGAGATCCGCCCCTGCCACGGTCGCAGCGACTGCACGAACGGGACGGGGGACCGATCCCGCAGCTGGTTGGTGTAGTGCATGCTTGTGGTGATCGGGGGTGCCCCGGGCCCTACCGAGTCGCTGCGCGTGGACGAGGGGGCCGCTGGTCGGGCTGCCTCGAGATCCCCCGCATGGGACATGCCGTGAGCCAGGGGTGGGGGATGACGGTCTGCGTCAGATTTCTCTGGGTCCCCCGGAGGCCCCACGGGCAGAGGCGCCGGCGCAATGGAGTCCGCATCCGTTGGGCCATGGTCGTCCTTTTCATCCCGCGTCGGACCCAGCGTCTCATCGACGAACCCTACGTGGTGGGCCCCGTCAGCATGGTGGGCGGGCGAGGGCGAGCGCGAGGGCTCTTCCGGGGCCGAGTCGGGGAGGCGCTGGGTATGCGGCGGTCGCCCGTGGAATCCGTGGGTGACAACGTCCGACACACTGCGGTAGAAGGAGGGCCGTTTGCGGGGCCGAGGACGCGGGGTCCGATCCCAGAAGGTCTCTGGCATGAAAAAGAAGATCATCGCCAGACAGACGCCCACGACCATGGCGACGATCCAGAACACCCAGCGCCAGCCCATCCTGCCGATAATGGCCGCGCTCACCAGCGGGACCAGGTTCTTGCCTCCGAGCAAGAGTAGGGTGTAGATGCCCACGCGGTAGGCGCGCTCGTGCAGGAAGTAGATCTCCGCAATGGTGGCCGAGGGCAGGCACTCGACAGGACTCACCGCGATGCCTTGGAACACACGGGCTACCACCAGGCTGGCGAAGTTGGGGGAGACGGCACACCAGATGGCTGAAATGATGAAGAGCGTGGCCCCCAGGAGGTAGACCGGACGCTTACCGTACAGGATGGCCGTTGGGGACATGATCACCGAGCCCACACCCAACCCCAGCATATACAGACCCGTCGTGAAGGCGACCTTCTGGGTGGACACATCATACGTCGTGGCGACTTCCTGGAACCCTGCGGCGAGAACGGGGGTCATGCCGCCGCCCATGAGTGAGTAAAAGCCCAGGGCGATCAGAGCAGCATCCCGGCGCCAGACCGGCCAGTTTAGGGGATCATTGCCCGAATCATCGGGCTGGGGATCCAAGATCACCCGACCATCGGACGTCTTCTTCGTCGGTACGGCGGATCGGGAGGAGGCACGCGAATAGGCGGACTGCAAGGATGTCGCCGATCCACGATTCTCTCGGCGCCTCAGCCCGAGGGGTTCGTTGCGATGAGACGCAAGGAGGAGAACGGTGCCTAGTCCGGTTAGGCAATCTGTTCCAAAACCCGGTCCCGGTCCCGGTCCCACGGGGGCAAGGGCCACTTACCAGGCACTTCGTCGGTTTCTTTATCGCTGAGGATGCCCATCGTAGATTTGGAACGATAGCTTCCATCGGCTGGGACGAACCCTGGTTCCTCTCTCGGGGAACGTCCCCAGCGCCTCCACCACGGGGTGGCTGGCGGGGGGTGAGCGGCATCCTGGGCATGGTCTTCGGGTTTGGTTGTATATCCTGGGTCGCCTGCGGCCGTCATATTCTCACGCTGGCCGATTCCCGAGAATGACTCCCCTTTAAAAAACCAATCCGATTCTGACCTCGGTTGAGGTGCAAGGGGTCCCGATGGAGGGAGAGACCCACCAGTAGGGGACGGCAATGAAGGGGGGGGGGGGTTACAATATCGAACAACAATGGTGTCAGGTCCACACTGTCACAGAATGATCTCGATCACGGTTGACAAACAAAAGACAACAATGAAAAGCAAAAGGAAATTGAAGAGAAATATGTGGTATCACAGGACATGGTTTCGAGAGGAGGGGGCGAAGGTATCACGACCAATATATAGAGGACGATTCCAGATGATAGATAATATTGTATCAGTCGGTCAAGAATGCATGCTGACCAGAGCGAATCAAATGATGCGGGGGTGGACAGAAAGCAAGAAAGTCCGACGGGGTCCAGGAGAGACAAAGGATAGGTTGGCACGAATGAGGATGAAGAGATGGAGAGACACGACAGAAGAGGAAGAGAGAAAAGAGATGGAGTGGAGAGAAAGAGAATATCACGAGGGATGAATTGATGGACAGAGCTTCAGTCACGCGCAAAGTCAGTTAGTCAGGATGGATAAGGATAAGCATAGCGTAGTGTACATAGTGGGGCTTCCGTTGATGTTTTCATCCATTCTCAACCATTCACTTGCCCACCCGTCATATCGAGTGTCGTCATCCTACATTCAGAACATCCAATGTCGATGCTAATCTGGATTTGGGTTACAATCCCTTACTGGACCATGTGGTGATCTTGTCAACCCCAGATTTCTTTCTCGATCAATTAGACAATCTATATCAATACTATGGTACTAACACCACTCTATAGAGTATCCATACTAGGACAGGCCACGTCCAACGCATGGCTACAACTCATACACTTCAACCACCAGTTCATCAGCCTAGAAATCCTGTTTCTCTAGTTCACCGCTGTCATGATAGGCATTGATACATCAGACAAGCTGCACCAGATCTCTGCGCTGGTAGTGGGGACGACCTAGAAACCATCCCCCTACGCGTAATCGGGAGGGGGAGATCGTGATGTTTGGCGTTGGCGAGCATCCATCACCTACAGATTCATGCAATGTGACAGACTTTTCTTTCTTTTTTCAATTGATTTTCCCAGTTTTTTCCCGATTTAAATCCTTGGTTTGCCCTCCGCCGTCACCGCAGGGTCCGGACTGCATGCCGAATCCCCCCCGATCGATATGCATTCTGGAGATCGGCATCAAAGTGATATCAGATCAAATATTTACCGAGAGAAACAATGCCGAGAGGATACACCGCCTCGAGGGGGGAAGAGATGAAGCTGTGGTCGATCGTGGTCTAGCTCAACTGAGGCTTGGCTGAAACGAGAGACAGTCATTTCATCCTTGCTCAAGAGTATCGTTCAAAGATTTGTGGATTCTGCAAAAACGACGAAAAGGGGATCGGCCACGAGGCTTGTCTGCATGGAACGGGGTTTTCTCCGACCGGATCATCCGCATTGTCACGTTTATGCCCTACCGCGGATGGCAGGGATCCTACCCATGCGGATATCTCGATAGGTCCCATTCGTATGGAATAGAATTGGCAAACCCCTCCTATCCATTGAAATCAGTACATCACCTTAGAAATTAGATCAAATCGACCGGTAACAAGCATGGAGGACGAATTCCCAAGGCCTCAGTACAGGGATTCCGTGTATAGCTTTGCAATCCGGCGTACCCAGCACGCAATGGACTAGCGTCCAATCAACCAGCACTAACTCAGCCCTTGTAGGATTCAGTGTCTGATGTTCTCTCTATCCCACCTTTCTCGTGTCCCCTCTCTCGTGCTAGCGGTCCTAAGTCGAGACTTCATATAACGCCATTTGTCTCCTCAATTGCTTGGTCGTTGAGATATCCCAAAATGGTCGATCGCGATCGAGATCGGTCGTTAAATAGCCCGGAAGGGACCAGCATGGGAATGGGATTTCCTCGCCCAAAATTCCTACAGCCATCATGTCAAGCGAAATCTCCTCGGCGGGAGTCACCCTGATCTCGCAGGGGACGGGGTACGGGCTGCTCATCGGCCTGGGCATCCTCTTCTGCGGCGTTATTCTCATCGCCGTCAAGATCCAAAAGGCCTATCTCGACGAAGACTCGGGCACGTCCGAGATGTTTATGGTCGCCAATCGCAGCGTGGGGACGGGGCTGACTGCGTCCGCGGTGTTTTCCTCGTGGATGTGGATCAACGAGACGGTGTTCTCCGCCGTGTTTTGCTACAGGTTTGGGCTGGCGGGTCCGATGGTACGGTCCAGGATGCGCGTGCAACTGACGGTCAATGTCTAACTGTCGGCAGTGGTATGGCTCCGGTCTATGCTTCCAGATAGCTCTCATGGCGGCCCTGGGCGTGCTGGCCAAGCTCCGAGTTCCGTACGCGCACACCTCCTTAGAGATCATCCGCTTGCGATATGGCAAGGCGGCACACGTGGTTTTCCTCGTGCTGAACCTGTGCTGCAACATATTTGGCTGTGCATCCATGATCCTGACTGGGTCGCAATTGATCCATGGCATTGCGGGGATCCATTTCGTGGCTGCCACGGTTCTCATTCCTCTGGGAGGTACTATGCTCTTCCCTTGTGGCACCCCGTTCAATCGTGTCTGACAATTACATTGCTAGTCGTGCTGTACACCGCGGTAGGAGGCCTCAAAGCCACATTCCTAACGGACTACCTTCACACGGCTGTCGCCCTGATCCTGATCATCTACTTCACACTCTCGATCCTCAGTCACGAAGCCATCGGAGGGTTGTACGGACTCTACGACAAGGTCACCGCTGTGGCGGCCGACAACTACATCCCCGGAAACTACCAGGGGTCGCTCTTGACGATGAAGTCCCACGACGCAATAATCTGGGGACTCATCCTCAAGTTCGGTAATCTAGCTCTAGTCGTAATGGTTCGTCTCACTCATTTAAATACGAATGACGTCTCCCACCAAGGATCCTAACACTCAACAGGACACCGCTTTCTGGCAAAAGTCCTTCGCGACCGAAGTCAACGCCACCGTTCCCGGCTACAACCTGGCTGCGGTCGCCATCTTCGGCGTCCCCTGGGGCCTCGGGACCGTCGTCGGGCTGGCGGCCCGTGCCATCCACGACACGCCACTGTTCCCCACGTGGCCAGGTGAGTTCACGCAGGGTGAGGTCCTCTCGGGCTTCGTGATGCCCTACGCCATCCAGGCCCTCCTCGGCACCCAGGGTGTCATCGCCTTCTTTGTCCTGGTCTTCATGGCCCTTACGAGCACGGTCTCCTCGTCCATGATCGCCGTCAGCAGCATCCTCTCCTTCGACCTCTACAAGACGTACATCAACCCGGCTGCCTCGGACCGCCGCATCATCCGAGTCAGCCACCTCTCCGTCGCGTTCCACGCCGTCTTCATCACCGGCTTCTCCATCGTCCTCAACTACGGCGGCGCCAACATGACCTGGATCGGCTACTTCCGCCCCATCCTCACCTCCTCCGGCATCCTGCCACTCATCCTGGCCCTCACCTGGTCCCGCCAGACTCGTCTCGCGGCTACCTGGGCCCCCATCCTCGGCTTCGTCTCAGGGCTCGCCGTCTGGCTAGCCACCGCGAAGTCCATGTATGGGTCCATCACTCTCGCCACGACGATGAAAGAGTGTCCCAGTCTTTACGGGTCCATCGCCGCCTGCTGCTCCCCCGCCCTCTACTCACTCCTGCTCTCCGCCTATCGACCTTCCACCTTTGACTGGCGCGAATTTCTCCGCATCACAGCAGTAACCCAGTCCGAGCCCTCCCCAGTCACCACTATTACTACTACTGGTGACGGTACGACAGATACGACCCCTCCATCCCCAAGCGAAAAAACACCCATCGAAACCGCAACAGCCACCACGATAGAAACAGACGACCTCGTCCACCCACTCGACAAACAGACTCTCGCCCACCTCGCAAGATGGTACCGCATAGCCTGGGTTACCTTCGGCGTCCTTGTGCTGCTCACATTCGTTGCGTGGCCGCTCCCGCTGTATCGCGACTATATCTTCGGTCGGGCGTTCTTCGCTGGCTGGACGACGGTCGCTATCGCGTGGCAGTTTTTTGCGTTCGGTGCGGTCGTCGTGTACCCGGTTTATGATGGACGGTGGGAGATTTGGAGAGGTGTTCGGGGTGTGATGGGGAGTGTTAGGGGATGGTTGAAAAAGAGCAAGTAGGTAGTAGATGGTAGTGAGGTTTATAGCTGCTGCTACTATTTGGATATAGAAGACGGAGGGACTGTCAAAATAATGGAGACAGAATATCCTCTGCGTGAGGGTCCTCTATCTTGCTCAAACGTAGGTAGAATACCGAATCAAAGACAAGAGTATATATACTATACATTATAAGACTCTGTAGTAACATAGTACTACGCAGTTATGTGTTGGATATCAAGACCCTGCCATTCGCCAATTGATGTTTCTGGTCGAATGGTCAAGATAAGATACATGTTGACAATATGCAATAGAGCTTCTTTTTTTTTTTTTTTTTTTTTTTTTTTTGTTTATTGAATTTCTTCTTTCGAGGATAATCATTGTAATAACCTCTGATTCTCTATCATTGGCTTGATTTTTTATTTTAACTCTCGGTATCTTACTTATTCTTATCTTTATGCTAGTCTTATTTATTCCTACCCTATTCTTATTTTCTGATCAAATTCATTTATCTTCTAGCCGATGGCCGAACTAACCTTTTGTCTTATCTGATCACTGACCTGTTGTAGGTCGCAACCGCGTATTAAGAGGCGTGATAAGACGATGGTCTGGGATCCCCCACTAGGCAATTTCAACTGACCGGACTGACATGGGACGACGATCGTGAAGAATCCGTCAACCGAGCGGTCGTTATCCGGGGAAATCCCACATCGTCCGGGACACAATATGACCGGTCGATTCGAGTGCGGGGGGATCTTGGCTCCACGTGAAGACGAAGCAGCAATGGACCGGGTGTCAAGAACTCGGATGGGGAGAAGGAATGAATGAACACCGTGGAGTCAACCCCCAGAAGGAAGAAGAGCTACAGGGGAGACAGCTCGGAATTCCCTCAAAACAGCAGGGATTGACTAATCGCGTACGCCGCCCTGTAAGCCGAAGCTTTTCTCCCCATTTCTGACTTCGTTTTTCTCTCTTTTTCTTTGGATCGGATTTGTGTTTGTGACGACCATATTCTGCTTCCTCTTTTTCGATTCTCAACTTTGTATTTTCCAATTAGACTCCGAAAGAACGCGCAACATGGCCGTCGACCAATCCAACCCCTACGGCTTGTCCGACGAGCAACGGACAAACCTCCTCAGCCTTACCCGCCAATGCGCCGACCTGAAGCTGTTCGAGCTGCCCAGCGGGATGACACCAGGGGATGCCCCTGATGCCATCTGCGATGAGTTTTCTCTTTTGTAATCTGCGCCCCGTTTCCCCCTCTCCGCATGAATCGGGTCCCTCGACCAAGGCTGACCCCCGTAGGCGCTATCTCAAAGCCCGCAAATTCAGCCCCCACGACGCCCTAAACCAGTTCCAGGCGGCGCGACAGTTCCGGGAGAAGAATCGCGTCTTCGAGGTGCATGATCGCGTTCGCGTGCAGGACTTCGAGACGGCCAAGGGGGTGGTGAGTTATCATATAGTTAATAGGCACTTGTAGCCTATCTCCAGGTCGAAATACCGAGGTTACTAACAAGACAAGTACCCCTTCTGGACCGGCGCGCGCGACAAAAAGGGTCTCCCCGTCTGTCTGGTCGACATGGTCAACATGAACAAGAAGTCGCTGGCCGGCTGGCAGGACAGTCGATTCCTGCCCCATTCCGTCGAGGGCGAGGACCAATTGCAGACGCTCGATCTCCTGCAATTGGCGTCTGCCATCTTCGACGACATCACCCGCTTCGTCTTCCCGCTGTGCTCGGCGCTCCAGGATCCGTGCCACCCCGTCGCGAGCGCGATCATCCTTGTCGATGCGTCGAACATGAACATGATGCAGGGGTTTGATCTGCGCGTGTTCGCCCGCGATGTCAGCTCGCTCTTGACGACGTGTTATCCTGAGACGATCCATAAGATTTTTGTATTGCCCCCTCCCCTTTTCTTGTTTCCCAAATTTAAAGCATTATATATAGTAAACTAACCAATACAGGTCTGCAACACCCCCTCCTACTTCGCCACCATTTGGAAATTCCTCAAAGGCTGGGTCGACCCCGTCACAGCCGACAAGCTGATCTTCCTCACCCAGTCCGAGGTCCTCCCGACGCTAGAGGAGCACATCGACACCGCCAGTCTGCCCGCCTCGCTGGGTGGCTCGCACCCGTGGAAACACGGCGAGCGGCCACTGCTCGATGAGCCCACGAAGGCCCTCCTCAAGGTGGATGAGCTGCCGCCGGGCCCGATGAAGTGGGTGGTCGATGAGCAGGGACGGCGGTGTCTGGTGGCTGTGGGGTCTGAGGGGGGTAAGCCGCGTAGGGAGACGGTGGCTGTTTTGGGGGATCGTTGAATTGTCACACTGTGTACATAGAGTATGGTATACCTTTGATAGATTCGTTTGTGATAGATGTGGCTATATTTCGGGTTTGGATGATGTGTAGCGGTGTATCATTTGTATGGATTACTGGACGGGTCAGGTGATGGTCTGATAACTACTGGTAGGTAGTCATGCCACACTTGTCAACTGTCTCATTCTGGGCTTTCTGTAGTGAGACTCCACAATCAATGACATGGGTGACTTTGTCACTGGCTATGCCATGTCGGATACTACAGTACCTACGACCTACCACGGTACTAAGGGAGTGATATCGCTGCCTTGCCTGACGAAGACCTACCGTGATGTCGCAGCCTATTGGGATTATTGGTCTCAGTCTCGAGTCTGTGTATCTTTTTGATTCGAGATCTGTTCTAATTCTACGCCAAACCCTCAATATACCTGATCGTCTACGAGCTACACTCATAATCTGGGGGCTCAGTTCCTGCCACTCCGCGCCGCTGGGGCCTTATCCTCCACCAGAGTATTCTACACCAATGTCTGGGTTGTCTGCTTCGATACAGGCTGCGTGTCTACGCATCACTCATTCGGGAAAATCTCGATGCGAGGTTCTGGGTGTTGAAGAGGAGGAGCACCACGGAGAGTATCCGGTGGATTTGTCGTAGGTGGGGCAGCGGTTGAGGGGGGTGCTGCGGCGAGAGGACAAGCAAACGGTCGAAGTAGCGGTCGAGACGGAGTATGTTCAAATATGCGCTAGGAATCTGGGGGAATATTCACCATGTTAATCGTGAGCATTCCTGTTCCTCCTTTGTCTTGGTTGTGTCCGTTCAGTATTGCTCTATCCCCACTACCCCACCAAGAGGCAAAACGCTGTATGGTGTCTCGCAAACTGCAGTGGGTTGCTTCGAGAGTTACCTGTTCGAAACAAATTCAACAAGACAGGTATCAAATCAGCATGACAGGAATTTGCTTGTCAGAGCCGGTTAGAGGAGTGGAGCGGAGTGGAAGGTGACCGTCCATTCGACGCAAACGGCCACAGCCAAGAGGACACGTGACGCGGAGACGGCTGGAACCCCCTAAGCAGGGCCTGAGGCTGTCTCCGGCCGCCCAAAAAAGAAGGCCGCCATTCCACCTGCGTCTCTCTTCTCTTCTTTTCCTCTCCTGTCTGCTCTGTCTCCTTTCTATCTGACTTCACTTTTGGCTTTCTTTTTACATCTTGTTTTAATATTACTCCGATATTTCGCTTCTTTTTCGTTATCCTCCGTTTAATTTACACTCTCCTTGTCCTTAAGTGGCCTGTCCTCCCTCGCATCAAGCGTCGTGGCTTCATGTTACAAGATCGCCGATCCTAACTTCCATCCTGCATCCGACTGGTTTCGCCTCGTGCGACGCCTCTTGTTTACATTCATCCGCTCATGATCGATTCTGAGTGAACTCGGAGACTATTTTCGCTCATTCCCTTTTTTTTATACTTCGACAGACTACCATAATGAAGCTACACCACATCTCGTCCGCCCTCCTTCTCCTCCCTGCTATCGCAACAGCCTTAGCCGACGCCAACGATGCGAATACGTTCGCGGAGCGCGACGTCGTCAATGCGAACGCCGCCCTCCCGGATGTAGATAGCCTCGCTGCGGCCCCCAAGGGCTCTTCCCGTGGGACGCTGGACGCCCCCGTCGATGGCAAAGATGGACGACCACATGCGGGCCCATGGGTGGAAACAAGCGCGGACCGTGATCGCAAGAAGCAGGGCAGTGCCAAATCGTCGGATGACATGTTTCCTCCCGACCCCAAGTCTCAGCACCTAGGTCCTGACGGGCAACCGATCCCGTACTCGAACGACGGCGTCATGGACGATCGAAACCGGGTAGGCCCCAAAGAGGGCACGCGGGGCACGGAGGGTGGTGTGTCGGAGAAGATCAAGACACCCTCGTATAACGCTGGCGAGAAGACGCCAGACACTCCGAAGGAGGCTCCGCCTCCGCCGCACAGCGAGCAGCAGAAAATGCCTCCGTCGAAGGAGGAGGTTGAGGTCAAGGACTCGAAGAATTCGGGCAATCCTAACCTGGGGAAGGTCGAGGTAAATCGGATCCCAACGCCATGATCTATACGTGACTGTGGGCTAACTGTCGCAGAAACCTGCCGCCCTGCCGGAAAAACCGCACGACATCCCCCATCCCAAGGCCCCGACGTCCGTCAAGAACGATCCTCTTGGCCTCGATAATTCGGGGACCCGCGATAGCTCGTCGGTGGCGGGGGGGACACTGGTTGCTGAGGAAGAGGGCAGCGCCTTTCACTCTCTGCTCTTCTCCTTTACCATGATCGTCGTCTCCGAGATTGGCGACAAGACGTTCTTGGTCGCCGCTCTGATGGCCATGCGCCATCCCCGTCTGCTCGTTTTCTCGGCCGCCTTCAGCGCCCTCATCGGCATGACCGTCCTGTCCGCCATCCTCGGACACGCTGTACCCACCCTCATCCCTAAGACTTATACCAAATTCTTGGCAGCGATCCTCTTCTTCGTCTTTGGGCTGAAAATGCTCAAAGAAGGCCGCGACATGGCTCCCGACGAGGGCGTCGGTGAGGAGATGAAGGAAGTTGAAATGGAGCTCGAGGAAAAGGAGCACCAACAACTGCGCATGGACCGCCGCCGTTCGTCTATCACCCCTCATTCCCTGGAAGCCGGCCGCATGCCCGGTCGGCGCAAGTCTCGCTCGTCGGCCAACCGCCTCCCTTCGCCCCCCGAGAGCGTCTCGTCCTCCTCCTCTCGCGATTCGTCGCCCGGTCGGGGTCGGCGGTGGGACGACTTCCTGGTCGGCATGAACAACCTGCTGTCGCTGCTTCTCAGCCCCGCTTGGGTCCAGACGTTCGTCATGACCTTCCTGGGCGAGTGGGGCGACCGCAGCCAGATCGCCACTATCGCCATGGCTGCGGGGCAGGACTACTGGTGGGTGACCGTGGGAGCCATCACGGGCCACGGTCTATGTACGGCGGCGGCCGTCATCGGTGGAAGTGCCATCGCAGGCCGCGTTAGCATGCGCGTCGGTAAGTTTTTTCAACCCCTGATCTATCCTCCGCTGTGTACTAACGTGGATTCTAGTGACCCTCGGCGGCGCCGTTGCTTTCTTGGTCTTCGGAGCCATCTATTTGATCGAAGCGTTATTCTATTAGCTTGAGACTTGGATTTGGCTGCGATCTGGCGTTGTGGCTATTACGATTCTCTGTAAAGTATAGATCGAAAGTAATCAGTGTACCCTCCTATGAATTGATCGAATACGGAACCGTTTTGTCTTCATTGCGCTTTTATAACTATGGGGAATCTTGAAGAAGTGTAAATTGTATCTGCCAAATGTACTACTATTTATCCTGCTTCTGCATAGTCGCATCACCGTAGTGCAGATAGGTACCTGAACTCGTGGATGGTAGGTCGCTGGTCATACGATTTGCTCGATACGATAGTTTGATCAGTGCTTCTTAGCAATCATTTACTCGATTTGGTTAGATGAACAAATCGAAATATCAATGATCCAAGAGCTTTGCGACGAAAGAAGAGAAAAGAAAAGATTCTATTTGCCAAGTCAGGAGTTTCAAGCCTTGCTGGACCCACAATTTCGTGCGATCAGGTGGGGAAATATTCCGAGGGTCATTGGGGTGTCTAGGGTCATTAGGGTCACTAGCTATATATTCACGTGATGTGATAGGTCAGGTGATCGGTTTACATAAGTGATTCTACCCTAAAACCCCTAGCCGACGTACCCCAACCTCACTCCACCGTCTCTTTCTTTTCCTCAGAGCTATCATCCAAGTCGACAAAAACACTTCTCTATCAATAACGACTAACAAAATCATCAGTTTCCATCGACTTTCATCGACATTTTACTTGGTTCGGCGGGTTACTGTGGCATCAGAGACTGACCGACTGACTGACTGACCGCCCAGCTTGACCTGCCTGGTATGCAACGCTCACGGTCGCGCTCAGTGTCTCGTGCACACGGCGCCTCCCCGGCCAAACACGCCAAGGGGACTTCAGTGGACATGGCTCGGAGTGCTCAGCCTCAGAGACGTATGACCAGGAGTCAGAGTCGAGATATTGAAGGAGGGAGTGAAGTTGGCAGTGCAGTTGTTACACCATCTCGGGCACGACGCAAAGCGGCCGGTAAGTTTTGTTTGTTTACTTTATCTTTGTCTTAGTCAGCGGTTATATACATTGCTTTGGACTTCACTTGTTGATGGCTTTGTCTATGCTTTTTCGCTTTTTATATTGTGATTGATGTTTTCTCTGTTTGGATTGTTTGGATTTTCTTGTTTCTGTTTCACTGAGCTCAAGCTCACTGCCAACAGCCTTAGAAGTTGTTGTGGAAGAGTCTCCGGCACGGTCGCATAAACACTACAGACCCGACTTCATCCCTGATTCGCCTGAGGATGCGACCAATATCTCAGGGACGACGTTTATCAATCCCCCGGAGGTCGACACCTCGGCTCTTGATCCGGAGTTGATGCTTGACGAGCTGCCGGATCTCGAGTCCAAAGCAAAAGACATCGTCAATCTCCTGGTTCCTGCTGGTTCTGTAAACTTCGTCGGCGCCGTCAACGCGGCAAAGACAATCCACACTTCCAGGAACCCGCAGAGCAGACTCTTCAACAACAGGAAGAAGAAGCTCGTGCAGGAGGTGGCGCAGTTCGGCCAGGATGGGAACGACTACATTGATGTGAGACGTGTTCGCGACCTCCTCTACGCAACTCTAGAGGAGAAGGGGGCATTGGGTCAGGGCTGGAGCCCTGACCCTGTACTATACAAAGCGAACTGCGCCCAGCTTGCTATCGACATCTTGACTCAGTCCCGAGCGCAGCCGGTGGGGCAGATAATCCGCCATCTGGAGGCGCTGTTTCCCTCCATGTTCCTGAGCGACCTTGTCGGTCGGGGCGCAAGAAAAGCAGTCGGAGAGAGCACGCTCGAGCGCGACACTCTCTCCTTTGCGATCGAGATCCGCACTCAATCCTTGATCACGACGCTAGAAGACCAGAGCCTACATGAGAGGGAGTTCGATCCCTACGAGTCCCTCGGCGAGACGTTCTACACGGTCCCCGTCGACGAGAGCGTCTTCGACGACAACGAGCCCCTCCGCGGCTTCGGCCTGGAGAAATTTAGCGACGCTGATGGCTTCCTCCCTGAGGCGTTCTGCGGCCCGGTCAACGAACGTGTCAATGATATTGGCATGTATTTGTCTGGCGATCGCGACGAAGTCGTGAGTGGCCTAAAGGGACAGTTCCCTTGGCAACGGTTTGCCTTGCGGGCTGCCCAGTGGATCCGCAAGAGGGTCGACGAGATCGATGCCGATTTGAGCGGCCAGGATAGTGTGGATGTCGTCCGCGAAGGCTTCTTCACTCCCACTAGGGATCGCCGCAGTATGGGCACAGACAGGCGCAGTGTGGGTACAGACCGGCGCAGTGTGGGTACAGACCGGCGCAGTATAGGTGTGGACCGCCGCAGTATGGGTACAGACAGGCGCAGCGTGGACAGGCGCAGTGTGGGTGCAGACAGGCACCACAGAGAGCGACAGGAAAGCGAAATAGTGCAAGCGAGAGAGGAAGCTATCAGAGAGCAGGTCAGAGAACAGCTGCTCAGAGAGGAGAGGGAGAGACAGCATAGGGAGCGACTGGAGAGAGAGAGGCAGGAGATTGAGAAGGAGGAGAGAGAGAGAGAGAGACAGGAGAGACAGAGGGAGGAGAGGGAAAGAGAAGGGAGGGAAAGACAGGAAAGAGAACGACAGGAGACGGAAAGACAAGAAAGAGAAAGACAACAGAGGGAAACAGAAGAGAGAGAAAGACAAAGACAAAGTGAACAAGGAACTGCCACTGCTTCCTCTAAATCCCTGGCACCAAAGGCCCATCCGTGAGTGCCCCCGCGGTTGATGAAAATCGTTTACTAACAGTACACAGAACATACTTGAGGACCGGGTTTATGGAGCGCCTTATACAAAGACAGAGAGAAAATCGCGCCCGCCTCTCTGAAACAGGCCCTCGTCGACAGTCAGACGTCATTCAATCCGCTCCCCAGACTGCACCTGAGGGGATTGAGCCACGCCGGCAGACAATGGCAGCTATCCCGCAGGCTGCAGCTTCACCTGAGGACCGAGAGATACCCGCATCCCCTCTGGCCGATGAGTCCACGTTTAACGTGGACGATGACTTCTACGCTCAAGCCGAACAGTCCCTTAGTCCGGTCGTCACCAGGATCCGAGCCACTCCAAGCTCCCGCCGGGGGACTCCCTCAGCGCAAGCATCCGCCACGCCCCACCCGGCCAGTCACATCCCATCGAGCATGGAACTCTGGCAGGCCGCCAAAGCGCATCCCGCTGTATCTCAGCGCCCGATAGCCGCACAGCAAGGGCCCCGTATAGCAACGTTCATCGACCGCCAGGACAACGCATACAGGGTATCACCGATCCAAGACGCCGAAAGCGTCCAAAGGAGACGTCCGACAGAGGAAGCCTCCAGAAAACGCAGACGATCAGTAACCGAATCATCCACCGACGACTCCGACAGCGACGACTTCACCAGCGATGAGCGCACCGTAGGCGTCGAACGTCGACGGGCCCAAAAGCCCGTCCAACACCCAGCCAAACGCCAGAGACTGAACAACCACCCTCGAGAGGAACCCGCGCAACAATTAAACGAGGAGCTCGCGCAAATTACAGCTCCCGAAGAGCAACAAGAAGAAGAGCAACACCAAGAATCCCCGGTACCCTCCTCCCAACCCCGACCCGGAGATCCCCCAACGCATCGAGAGGCGTTATCGGTCGCGGACAAAATCGCGTCTATCAGCAGAAGTGGACAGAAGGCCAAACCCGACGGCTCGTCCGACTAATCGAAGAATTCGGTCTAAGCTGGCGGGTCATCAAGGAGGAAAATCTGGCACAGGGGGTTCGGCCCGACGAGGAGAAATTCGACAAGGACGATCTTCAGATCCGTGGTCGGGCTAGAGTTTTGCGCGAGCGATGGACAAAGTAGGTTTCCTTTTCTCCCCTTGTTGAATTCTTTCTGGTTGTGAACGGCTCGTTAACTTATGGCTGTACAGGGAGGGTGTACCTCTTCCTAAGAACTTCGACAAAATCACCATGCGTGACCGTTCGAAAAAATAGTTGACAGTACATAAATGATCGCTGCCTACATTTGGAAAGTATTTGGGGCTCAACGCTGTGTTTTGTTTTGATTGGCGACTTGTTACTAGCGACATGATACCCATGGTGTTTCGGCGTTCTGGGTTTGGTTCGTGACTACGCTTATTTCTACCAGTGGATTTTACTTTATCTGGAGAATACCAATTCACCAAAATAAGTTTGTTACTTTACATATTGGTCTATTTACATTCTTGAATCGAACCAAGATCCAAAGTTGAATCCATCCAGTGGATTAGCATTATGTAGCGAGTGGCGTGGAGGTATTCTCCGGTATTTGTACAGTAGATACTATACTAATTCCTACCAGACATAGTAGGAGTGTAGGATCCAACCAACCGACCAGCGATTAGAAGACATCCAACCATGTATCCACCAGGGACACACGGTCAACAGATAGCCAAGGTTAAGAAGCCTGGCTATCCGCACATAACACCCTCGTCTTCCCATCCGGTAGCGATGCTCGCCCCTTCAGAAAGAACAGAGAAAGGGTACTGGCTGCTTACGCAAGCCAGCCACCAACAACAACAGGCAAGACCATCGCCCCAAGCAACACGCCATTTCGGCTCCCCGCACCGGGACTCGCCGACGGGGAGCTCGAAGCAGACGACCCCGACCCTGACCCGGAGCCCGACGAAGGCGCCAAAGAACTAGAGGGCGAAACCGTCCCAGACGCAACAGGCACCATCGTCGACGACGCCGCCACGCGCGCCATGCCGGCTCCTCCGTCTTTCGCGGGCGCAGCTGTGGGCGCGGTCAGAATGCTCGTTTGCACGGGTTCTTCGGGGCTGTTGTTTTCTTTGGCACTGCCGCTCTTGGAGGGCGGTGCGCTGCCGCCTGTTTGCACGATGGTGGGGTTCACGCTGAGGGTGTGGCCCGGTTCGTAGTCTGCGTCGTCGGAGGCGGTTATGATGTGGGAGATGTCGCCGTCGTCTTCTTCTTCTTCGTCTTTTGCGGGGATGGGGGAGGTGCGTTTGTGGAGGCGGAGCTTGGGTTTGGGTTGGTGGTGGACTGCGATTGTGCTGGATTGGACTGTCCAGGCTGATTTTCCGCCGCCTGTTTGTTTTATGTTAGTTTTATATCTCTTGTTATAGTGATTTTTTTTTTTTTTTTTTTTTTTTTTTTTTTTGCGTAGGAAGACGTACAGTTCAGGCCCGGATATCCGGCACACTCCTCATCGCACTCGGTGTCGAGGACCATGGCCGCGAAGGGGGGCAGCTCGTCGCCACAGTAGCATTTGTTGGCGTCGTGCAGGGCAAAGACTTGGTGGTTAAGCTTTTTGCACGTCTGCTGGCATGTTGCGGGCGACAGGAAGGAGGTCTCTTTGGGGGCTGCGTCGGAGCCGATCAATTGGAGGTCCCCTGCGCTGTTGTAGCAACCTTGGCGGATGGTGGCCGATGTACCGGTGGAAAGGGCGAGGGAGATGAAAGCCAGGGAGAGGACTTTGCTCGTCATTTTTATTTGTGTATTTGTGGATTTTTCGAGGGTTTATTTGGGATCATTCAAGTCAATTGAATGAGCTAGGTGAGTGAGTGTGGTGGATGGTTGTTTTGTTTTGGTCGGTAGAATGAATGAATGAAGTGTATACAAATGGAAATGAAGATGAAACGGTAAATTGAATGAATCAATTAGACTGAATGAAACAAAATGACAGACATGCAACCTCAGAGAGAGACAGATAAATTGAAGGACCGGTGTTACTTAGAGTAACGCTGCGACATCAAACGGGACCGACATGTCTTATACTCCGTACTAATCGAACAGTTCGTCAGACTTTCGGGCCCTAGGGATGAAATGAACCATACTTTCCCCCTGGAAAGTCAGAAACAAACCCTGGAAAGAGTCCTGAAACGGCGGGCATTCTCCAGATCCCTTCGGCTGATGGGATCGGCGGACCCACTGCGGACGATCTCTTGCTCTTTCCATCCTGGCTGGGAGTCGCTTACGCCGTCTGGTGGATGGCGGTGATGTCACTGATCGACCACTATTGTTTTCTTCAAGCCAAAACCCTAGAATTCTCTTCCCTCGTGGAGGGGCCGATGAAAATTTGACAAGCCCTGTTGGAATTGGGATCGATGGTGTAGCCCTAACCCTGTTGGGTGGATTGAGGTCATACTCCGTGGACCGGGCTCATCACTGGCTTGCTGGGATGGAGCTAGGATGGAGCTGGGGTGTTTCGTGCCTGTCGATCAGCATCGTGTCTGAAGTCAAGCCCTGTCATATTTTTCCTCGCACTCACGCGCGGAGGTTGCTGAGGATGGACTCCCTCAGTGTCAGCGGAGGAGCCCGGCATCCCGGCATCGCTCGGAAACAGATATTGGATCTATCCACTGCGCCTTCGAAGGCGTGACGACTACGAGAGAACCAGTGGGCCCTCTAGTCGGTCAGCATCAATTCAACAGGGCAAAAGCGACAGGTCTAAACATGGTTGTCAGGGGAGAAAGAGACGCAGCCCAACAATCTCCTACCCTGTCAACCTCCTAATCCAACCACAATTCCCTTCAAAATGACTTCATCACGACATGATCGCCAGGGCGAGCGAATTCCTGGTCCCGCCTAGTCGCTTGGCAGGGACCCGCAGTCATTTTGGTCGAGCTCCTGTGATCCATGACCGACACTAGGGATTGGACTTGGGCATGTGCGCTGGAAGAGATCTAGCGTCATGGCGGGGTGCCACGAGACTCAGGAGAGACCGCATCATATCTACGACGGTATGACAAATATTACAGTACGACTTTGGCCTGGAGAATACATCGAGCGTTGTCTGAAAGTTCAGCTGAAGACACTGTCAGTTTATCAGTCTGTCACTGACCGATCAGGTCATCTCCGGCCCGTGTGAGTACTACCCTAATCAAGATGAATCGGGATATATTACACTCGTTGGACATGGCTTTACTAGAAACATGACAGGAGTACATGTACCCTATCTTATGAATGGCTATATGAATGCAAGCCATGTTTGATGGTGGTAAAGTCTGGATGGTGCATCAGTATCCGCCCTTACCTGACAGCCAGCTAGATGTACATACAACTGGTAAAACGAGAATTGGAGGTACCACTCACGTTATCTAAATACAAGTATAAAAGCGGTCTAGAGGATTCCCAAGAATGGGCTGGATTTACGGCTCTGAAAATATAGCCCAGAATAAAGCCGCTATAAAAACGTGCCGTCCTAGCATTGAGGGTAGGTTGGTTCTCTAACGAGATTTAATGTAAATTTTTCAGTGATTGTAGATTGGAGTAGACTTTTTGGTCTATCCAGAAAGATGCATGTTTGTCAATAAAGCCGTAATAATCTCTTGAATACATGGTTCTTATTGCCTCGAGATAAACATCCATATTTATACGTATATATATATATCAAACCTCACCGAAATCTATTGAGATTTAAAGGATCATGATACCTATCTAGAGAGATAAACTAAGATTTCATACACAATATACATATCTAATCTATATTATTCAGGAAATATATTCGTCTATTAACCATATTTCATGCCTAGTTCAAACCAGTCCAAGTCGAGAGTCTGGGGTTCTGCATGCTTGGCGGCCCTCCACCCCGCCCCCAATCCCGGGGAATTCGGGGGAGCCCTGCCGCCCGGACTGGGAACAATCGGTACTTCTAACGAGAGGTCTCTCGACCGTATTCGACAAACCTTCCAGGGTCAGTTTCCCTTGACTTGGTTCAACGTGTAGTTTTCTTAGAGCCTGGTAGCCCCAGGAAAGAACATAGAAGACTGACTAGGAGACATGATAATCCCTGAACACGGATATACCCGAGACAGCACGAATTGCTGATTCACGCAAGGTTTATCCTGGCCCGCAGCGAAGCATTGCAACCTCATCAAATTGAAGTGTTTCATACCCTCGTAATACTGTACCCCCAGATGGTATGATTGACCTTAGTTATTTCACTGTAATATTCATCTACGAATTTCATAAAAAGATCTGCAGAGTGCCCCCACACAAAACAGTTCTGAGACAGTAAACAATTAAGTTGTCGCAGGATAATTCATCATGAGCATCTCTCAATATACTCACACAATCTCAAGAATATTGCTCAAGGACCCTCCCACGAAATAAGTGATAAGTGGGGCGACTGTGACTAGGTTCAATTCATTACATTGCGACGCATGTCGTGTAGGATCTCTTAGAGAAGCCAACCTACTGTTTGTTCTTGATCAAACCAGACCCTACTACACAGGAAAAGATTTCTTTCATGTTTTGGCTTCCTATCTAAACCAGATTATATGTCGATTGTTTCTTTTTACTAGTCAGTTTGAATTCCAAATATCACAGTTTGTGTCTTTTTATAGATGAAATCCAGACTTCCTTGACACTGGTATACCCGGATACATGCCAGTATCATGCATGGTCTTCGAAAATTTTGGGACATCCACCCTTTTGAAACGCTACATCTACCCTGCTTGCATTCTCTTTGAATAACTAACCAATGCAGAGTGGATTGTTTCAGTCTGCTTTGTATCTCTGCTGCGCTGCTTCTGATGGAAGTGAATCAGCTGACCACACCTGACTACTTTCATCGCCTCCGTGATTATGCTTTCTATCTTTTTCATCATCTTCGCCATCAACTTTCAGGTCAAGTATATCATGATTTCCATCAACTTTTTAGACGAGAGATAGTTGTTACCATCAACTTCATTGGATACTGACTACAAAATTAAATCTAGACCCACGTATCATGCCAGTCATATGCGTGATGGTGGATACAAATAGCATGAGATGAAATAAATATCATTGCCGGTCAAGCAGCTCATATGTCGACAGCGAACTTACTAGTAATAGCGGCGAGAACATGCCTTCAACGCGTTCCCTTCATACCACAAATTGACCGTGCAGGCAAACCATGGGACGCACGCATTCCATCCATGTTCAAGGAGTCGTAAATCCCCATACAACGGACATCGTGTGAGATAGAAGCAAGAGATAGATCCTTTTTTTTATGTCAAATGGGGAATAGAATTCGAGTAACTCGAGAGCACTGACTGTCTTCAAGGCACTTTCAGGTTGGTTCCATGTAAGGGGCACAACGGCGGTGGATGACCACCAGCTTCTCCAACCGGGATGTTTGCTAACAGCTGCAGATGACGTGTACATTGGTGGTTTGCCTAGTAAAAGTCTCACCGAATCTCTTGTGCGATTACCACTATTTTAGCAAGGAAGCCGTTCGATGAGAAGACAATCGTCGTTTCATCCCGACTCACGGCGATTGCTCATACCTCCCGATCTATATTCCGCATAGCCAGGATGCAACCGCAAGACCACCTTCCTTCGCGAAGCAGCTCTCCAGATCGAGTACTCACCTCCATCGAGGAGAGCCTGGTAAAGGATGTTGTTCCGTGCCGAAATCTAGGAAGGTGAATTAATATCTCGCAACCGACAAGAATGAATTTCGGCTGATTCATCTCTAGCTTTGTGACGACACTTCATTCTGAGCCGGTATGCAAACTGGTTGCGCAAAGCTTACACAAGAACCAGGCCTGTATGGAAGAGTATCCTTCAATATCCAAGTATGACAGTCTACCCACTCAACCGGGAAGATTTACCGACCCCTGATACAACACCAAGGTTCAAACAGGCATGCATATCTATTCTCGCGGATCTGTGGAACAAGCAATCGTCGGACTCGCCCTATGGTTTGGCCACCACGGGATCTTCAGAGGCCATTCAGTTGGCGGGGGTTGCTATGAGAAATGTCTGGATGGCAAAATCGGTTGGAAACAGGCGGCCGAATGTCATCTTCGGTTCCAACGCGCACGTGTGTGTGGCCAAGTTCGCGCAGTATTTTGATGTCGAGCCTCGAGTCATCCCAGTCAGCTCAGGAAGCGGTTACACTCTTGATCCGCTGCTATTGCATGGCAGGGTCGACCAGCATACCAGTCAGCCTTTCCTTTGACCTCAAGAATCCGGATCACGCGTTGAAAGCTGATGTTCACTTGATACACAGTCGGAGTCTTCCTTACGCTTGGCACCACTTACACAGGACACTGCGATCCGATAAGCGACGTAGCCGCGTATTTGGACAAACTCCAGTGCGAATCGGGTTTTGACATTCCAATCCATGTCGACGCCGCCAGTGGTGGGTTTGTCTTACCCTTTTCTGCAGCCCATGACGGTCCAGCCTGGTAGATTTTCCCCGCCCCTTTGTGTTTTCCTTGTTTTTTTTTTCTGTCTCCCCTCTCACTTGCTCACCATTGTTTCCCTTTTCTTTCGTAGGGACTTTCGCATTCCGCGAGTAGTATCGATCAATGCTTCGGGCCATAAGTTTGGCTTTGCTCCTTCCACGGTCGGTTGGCTACTCTGGAGAGATCCCGGTTTGGTTCCTGAAAACCTCATGTTGGAGTCATCCTACCTGCGTGGTTCCCAGAGCGAGTTCACTTTGAGCTTCTCACGGTCCGGCGCTTCGGTAGTAGGCCAGTACTACAATTTTCAACATCTTGGGCTGGAAGGTTATCGGCGGAAAATCAGCCAACTGCTTGAAACAGCCTACTCCATTGGCAGTCAACTTGAAGACACTGGATATTTCCACTGCTTAAGCAACGCTCACAACCACTGCAGGGGATGCGGGAACCAACCACCGGGGATTCCCGTCGTTGTCTTCACATTCTCAGAGACGTTCAAGAAACAAGCTCCTTCTGCCAGCCTGGCTGATGTGGGCGACAGAATGCTTGAGCAAGGCTTTGCAATCCCACGTGAGCACTTCCCCCGCTAATATCCCGCCCTGCGTCTGTTACAGGCCTGGGAAGTCCTGGCTAATCTACGCGGCAGATTATCGCTTACAAACTTGGGGCTCGGAAGGAGAGGATATCGAGGTTCTCCGGATGGTCATTCGAGAAGACACCAGAGACCAAGTGCGCATCGCTTCTAGATGCCTAGTTGACATCGTTGCCAGCACTGTTGTGGTTTCGAACGAGTGATCTTCTCAAGCAGGCATTCCATTTCTTATAGAATGGGCTGGTGGCATACAGTAGCACCCTATCCGTACCCCCAGGTGACATAGCTACTCTCAGTCCACCCAGCCCGGAAGACACAGTCTCTTGCGTGTTCCTGAATGAACGCGGTTGCGAATTTCTGACTCAAAGCAAGGGGGGCTTACATACATTGCCTCCATTGAGATCCAATAACCATTTTTTGTCCCAGCCTCCGCTTTTGCAGAAAGTTCGTAGGATATCAAGAAAGTAGTAGGAAGGTCCCGCATCGTGGGAATTCGACGTGACCTGAACTTGGTGTCTGTCGAATGTTCGCAGATCTATCTTACTGAGCTTGTCGGCTCTTGTCCCTTCATTCGTGTGGGCAATAACTTGGTGAAAGGCACTTGCTTCTTGCTCGGGAATGGAATTACTACATTCTTTCCCATCCCTTCAATGTCTCACAGTGCGCCACAGGTCCCTCACGGCTTCTTTTCGAAGACCACTCCCTCTTATCAACCTTAGCCCCCTGTCAATCCGACCAGGCAACCTACCACGGCTTCATCTGCACAAGAACAATCAGCGCTTCTAAGCCAAACGGGGTATTCAGCATTGTCAACTCAAACGTCGGGACGCAGTCAATTTATTATCATCACTCCCTGGGAAAATCTACCGACGCTGGCCTGCTATGGAAAAAGAACCAACTTACCCATCGCTTCGACAGTCTATAATCGTTACGATCAGCCTTTGCCTCACCCTATTCTGTGTGTCATTAGTAAGTAGGCTCGAGGGTGTCCTCTCTTCTCCTCGCCCCCCTCTCTCTCTCCCTTTTTTCCTTTTTTCTAGGTTTTGGGCTTTCCCGTTGGAAGACCGAATAGACTCATCCATATTCTTATATTCCAGGACGAAACGGTGCTCGCTACTGCTATACCAAAAATCACTAACCAATTTCATTCTTTAAACGATGTCGGGTGGTACGGAAGTTCGTATCTCTTCGTGTTCACGGCGGCTCAGATGCCGTGGGGGAAATTGTACACGATGTACCCGGCGAAGTGGGTTTTTCTCATAGGAGTGGCGATATTCGAGATCGGATCCCTCATTTGCGGAATAGCTCCCACGTCGGGCGCTCTGATCGCGGGCCGTAGCATCTCAGGATTGGGGGCCGGTAGCATCAATGCCGGTGCTATTGTGATTGTCACCAATACCATTCCTCTGCGGAAACGGCCTATTTATATAGGATGTCTGGGCTGTGTGCATGGGGTGGTCAGCGTCTTAGGACCCTTGTAAGCCTCTTATGTGACGGTTGGACAACATGGTACAGATATGAAGCTAACCTGAATATTTGAAGGATCGGTGGCTTGCTGACGGACCATGCCTCGTGGCGGTGGTGTTTCTATATCAACCTCCCTATAGGCGCGATCACCTTCCTTGTGGTAATCTTTTTTCTGTCTACTGAGGAACCGCCGTCTGGATATCTCAGCTGGCGGGAGAAATTGCAGACTATGGATCTGCTGGGACTGTTGTTCCTTGTTCCTGCGATTCTCACGCTTTTGCTGGCTCTCGAATGGGGGGGTTCGCATTACGCCTGGAACAGTTGGAGGGTTATCATGCTCTTTGTCCTGTCCGGGTTATTGCTGGTCATCTTTATGGGTGTTCAAATCCGTGCTCAAGATAAAGCCACGCTCCCCCCTCGCCTGGTTTGCAATCGGAACATGCTGGGTGTTCTCTGGTACGCGGCCTTCAACTGTGCGGCGCTATTCGTCTTCATCTATTATGTAAGTTGCATGTCCGTTACCTCTCTCCCAACGAAACTCGCGCCAGGGTTAACTAAGAGATTCTCCTCTCATCTAGCTACCCATTTGGTTCCAAGCTATCAAGGGATTCTCCGCATCAAAGTCCGGTATCGCAACCTTACCTCTCCAGTTAGGGCTGGTCATCGCCTCCTTGGCTGGGGGCATCCTCGTCTCCCTGGTCGGGTACTATACTCCCTTCCTGATTGTGTCCTCGGCGATGTCGGCAGTTGGAGCCGGCCTACTAAGTATGCTACATCCATCATCCAGCCTAGCTCAGATTCTGGGGTTCCAGATAGTGCTGAGTGTCGGCCTCGGCCTGGGAGCCCAGAATATAATGATCATACCAGCGGTGATTTTCTCATCCACCGATGTAGTGATGGCCATTGCGACCATTTGCTTCGTGCAAACACTGGCCAGCTCGGTCGCGGTAACCATCGGACAGAGCGTCTTTCACAACCGTCTCCTGGAGAATCTGCGTGTCAGCGCCCCGTCCGCCGACCGCTCCCTCGTTGAAGAGGGCGCGACGCTGCTCCGAGAGAACATTGCGCCTGATCTTCTCCCGTCGGTCTTGGGGGCATACAGCCGAGCGGTCTCTCAGACCTTTTATGCTGGCGTGGCTATGTGCGCCCTGTCTTTTTTTGGCTCTCTCGTCCTGCAATGGAAGCGAGTCCCTGATCAGAAGCCGGAGGAGGAAACGAGCGATACCGTTCCCCTGAAGCCTGTCCCTGGAGGCGAGGAAGGAAAATAAATAGGAGGGCATGTAATATTTCCTCCTTCTCAATCCATTATGATCATTCGCTGGGTGTTACACTTGACTCGTGAGATCCGTTTGAGAGTCCATATAGGTCACATGATTTATACCGTTGATGTAATCTGTTTATGCACGCTAAGCCGTATATAGTAATGTACTAATCTGGATCCAAGGAATGATCCATCCACACTTTGATTCTACCAATTACTTTTCCAGATAAGCCATAAACAAGTAATATACAAGATATCAATGTTCCACTTGACGAGAGTAAAGAATGTTATCGAATCGTCGGGGTGTACCCGGTGGTCTACCTCGCTCGGCCTTTCTCCGCAGCGGTTCGACCCGCCAGCTCCAACATCCGAAGAACCGAATCAAATCACGATGCATGCATATTGCATCCCTTGTCCGAGCGAGGAACCAACTCCGCACCATGATCGACTCTGAAATAGAGTCCATCTCCCGCTTTCGTCGTCCGCGTCTCTCCATCTGGATTGCTCAAACTTGTGACAACATTCTGGTGGAATTGACTGGACAATGCGTCGCTCAATCATCCCGGGGTTGCTGATCCCCTCCGTGGCCAGCTTCACGATTCCCATTCCCCAACACTGGCTTACCTCCGGGCTCAACTCGGATCAAGGCCTCTGCCCCCTGGCCCCCAAGGTCGAATTTCCCGAGGACGACCTTCTCTCGCCGTTGCGGTTCGTTCAGGATGAGTCGTTCCTGTCGCTGCAGGCAGACCGTCTCTCGCGGGCCGTGCAGGTCCCCACGACGGTCAATGACTACATGAAAGACCCATACGACGACAAGTTCGCACCATTCCTCGACTTCCATGAACTCCTCGAAACTCTCTTTCCCCATACGTAGGTCCCCTTCCCCAACATCTACCCCGAGATCTCTCAATCTAAGAACAATCCAGACACGCAAAGGCCCGCGTCGACCGCGTCAATCGCCTAGGCCTCGTCTACACCCTCAATGGCACCGACACCTCCCGTAAACCACTCCTCTTCACCGCCCACCAGGATGTCGTCCCCATTATTGACCCCTCTGACTGGACGCACCCGCCATTCGCGGGTCATTTCGACGGCGAGTGGCTGTGGGGCCGCGGCGCCAGCGACTGCAAGAACGTCCTCATCGGGCTGCTATCCGTGATCGAGGACCTCCTACAGCAAGACTGGCAGCCCACCCGCACGGTGGTTCTCGCATTCGGGTTCGACGAAGAGTCTCACGGGTTCCTAGGCGCCGGCTCAATCGCCACCTTCCTCGAGGAGAAGTACGGGCGCGACAGCTTCGAGTTCATCCTCGACGAAGGCGGCATGGGTCTCCAGGAACTCGACGACACAGACAGCGAACCCGGCGTGCTCTACGCCCTCCCCGGCGTCGGCGAAAAGGGCGCCCTCGACGTAGTGCTCACCCTCGACGTCCCCGGCGGCCACAGCTCCATCCCGCCGCCCCACACGGGCATCGGCATCCTCTCTGAGATCATCTACGAACTAGAGCGCCAGGATCTCTTCGTCCCCGTACTAGACGACGCACACCCATCCCGCCGCATGCTCGAATGCCAAGTCCGCCACTCCCCCAACGCCGTCGAGCCCTGGCTCGCCTCCGCCCTCCAGTCAACCGACCACATCGCCCTCGCCGAGAAACTCGCCCAGTCCCGCGGCGAGCCCGTGCGCTTCACTCTGCAAACCTCCCAAGCAGCAGACATCATCACAGGCGGAGTCAAATCCAACGCGCTACCTGAAAAAATCTCCGCCGTAGTCAACTACCGCGTCGCACTGCACCAAACGCCCGAGCTCGTCCAAGAGCGCGCTCAGCGCCTCGTCGCCCCCATCGCGCAAAAGCACAACCTCACCACATCCTTCTTCCCAACCGACAACGTCCCCAACCCGTCCCAAGCCCAGAACCACCTCGCGCTGACAGTCCTGAGCGCCCCGCTCGCGCCCGCGCCCATCAGCCCCACCGCTACGAACGAAGACGCCGTGTGGACCCGCTTCGCGGGCACCGTGCGCTCCGCCTTCGAGTCCGTCCCCAGCCTGCAGGGCCGCACTGTCGTCGTCAGCGGGGATATCATGACCGGTAACACCGACACCCGGTTTTATTGGGGCCTGACGCGCAATATCTACCGGTGGAGTCCGTCGCGGCAGGGCCGGACGTTCAATATCCATACTGTGGATGAGAGGATCGGTATGGATGCGCATTTGGAGGCTATGGTGTTGTATTATGGTATGTCTTCTTATTATCTAGTCTTGCTTTGTTTCGAATGGGGTACTGACATATGGGTAGATCTGATTCGAGCTTTCGACGCCTGGGATGGGACGGATGATGTCGTGCTGCCTGACCTCTGAGTCTATCAAGCATGACACTTGATACGCTATATAGACGGAATATACACGATTAGGATATTCACGTCTGACGAAGCTTACATAGGATAACATTACAGTTTTGATGAAGTAGCATCTAGATAGTATACCAAAACTACATCAGCACGAATTGAACAGAATGACTTACCTACTTCAAACAATATCCAATATACAATATCCCCTAAATACCTACCTACCTACCACAGAACCTAGCTATCAGCGCACTGTATCAAAATCGAAGTAATCACAGTAGCGAATCAAATTTCACCGTCGAGTGAGTCCTCCGATAGTCGCGAGGCACGGTACTTACCTACGGGTAGGCGGCATTCATTTAATGTACTAATCCTCCCATGTCACCCCCCCTCGCAACACACATCAAAACAAAACAATTCAATCAAGCCCTGAACAACCATAACATATTATCTACTTGATATAATCAAATACATTATTACAAGGAAATCCAAATGAAGAAAAAAAAAGTCAAGCAATACTAACAGCAGCGTCCACAATCAAATATGTACGTACCTAGCTAGGTAAGACGGAATGTACTAATCAACCATTTGACTTCAATAGCACATCATGATTTCCCATCGCAGGATGGAGAATAACTGAACTTATAATAAGTCGCTTCATTGAGTTCCTTTTTCCATAATTATTTCAATAGTAGAATCTACTTTGGTCAGTTCTCACTCTCAAAATCGCTATTGTCTGGATACTTGAAATCTGCACCCTCTCTATCCAAATGATCGGCGTGCTTAGGTTTACAGGACTAGATCCGATATTCCAACAATTCAGCAACCTGAGCAAAACAATCCCCATTATCATATCAAACTACACAAGTTAAGTCAAGGCATCAATGTACCCACCCTAGCAAGCCACATATGGAATACCATTATGCATGAATTGAGTATCAATATGTACGCACAGGACATCGTCATCCAGCCACCGGCCAAGATAAGACAGACCACAGTAAGGATAGAATAACCCTCTGCCCAGATAAAGATAGATCTCAAGTCCGCAGCTAGCAATAAAATTTAGGTAATAGAGAGGCTAAAACACCTAAAAATGTGAACGAAGCTTTGCTCATCACGACTAAAGAATCAGTAATGCAAAAGCGCCGCCCATGACCGGGCGAGCGATGAATTTGTTTCGGGGATACCTGATCTGTTAGTTTGATGCAGCGAAGAAAGATGAAAGTGAAACTGACCCTCCAGTTTTGGTATCGTACAGGTCGGTCAGGGCATGGTTGGTCGAAGTGACGTCAATCCAGTGGGCCATGTGTTCGTGGAACATGTCCCGAGTTTCGGTGGACGCCACGGCGGCCGTGAAGAGCTCCCAGTCACCTGTGTCATCAGTAGTCTGCCATGGAAAGCATGTCAAGTTCCACTCACCTTTGGTGTACACATGCCGAGTGTCCAGCGGGACTCCGTATTCCTCTTGTATGGTGAGGTAGAAAGCGCTCTGCATGTCATAGACCGATTGAGGTACCAAATTTAGGTCCAACTCCCGGTCCGCATAAAGGTTGTAAAGAAGACCTGGAGACATATTAGCGCTGGAATATCCACCCCATAACCATTGGGCATACCGTGAGATTCGTTCACTCCGTACGACAACGTTGTGTGCGGTGGATTCGCATCTTGGGCCACCCCGAGAACCTGCCAGCGGTCGATATAGTTGTGGGCAATGCTCGTCTGGTTCGAGGAATCGTGGCTCCGGCCCGTCAAATCGCTGATGACGGACATGGCTTCGATTCCGATAATGCCCTTGAGGGCCAGATTGGTTTGGTTTCTGCAATAGTCAACGGTTGTTCATAGTTCTTCAACTCTCTCCGGGCTCAACTTACGCGAGGGGCCCGGCAAAATCATCGGTGGAGATCTGGTTGGCGGGATAGATGGAATCCGCGACAAGGTACTCGGTCCACTGTCGGAGCAAATCGAAATGCTCCTCCAGGTAGCGAAAATCGTTGGCTTTCTTGGCATAGGCCAGAGCCATGATGATCATGTTGCCACACTCCTCCAGCGGCATCGGCTCGTCCGCGCCGTCGGGATGCCCGGTGGCGTTCGGGTAATGGCTGCCAATGTCGTGCATGGCGTAGTTGTTCGGGTAGTTTCCACCTTCTTGGATCTCGTAGAGTGGCTTCAGCAGTAGCTTGAGCAGTTCTGGGTTGGTATACAAGAACACGGGATGTGCGGGAAAGATGACGTCCACCGTGTTCATGTTGCCATTGGACGATATCTCCTTAAGGAACATATAGGTATCATCTGGCGTTCCGCACAGTTGTGTGGCAGCAAAGGCTTGACGGATGCTCAGCGATGTGATCGTCAGATAGGCCTGGCCGCCGGCTGCGATTGAATCGCGTGCAACATCATCGTCCAGGTCTGAAGATAGTCGGTTTGATTGGTAATAATCATGATGGAAAAAATTCAACTGGAATGATCATTAACTGGGGGCCACACAACAACACCCCCATCGGGACGATACTCACAGCATCCGCACCAGTGTTGAAGTAGCTCTTCCATAACGACGGCTGAGCATGTGAATTCTTGGAAGCGCCATTGTACTGGATAGCGTTTTCCTGAGCCAGGCCGATGGTGAACAGCGTGCTCACCGTGTCCTGTACCGACCCCAGGTCATGAGAAAATCCGAAGACGGGCCATTTGTCCGATATCGCGCGGAAATTGGGGTCTTTCGCGTTGGCCAATTTTCCGTTCTTTGAAAAGGCACCGCGGACATCGTCGTCAACGCCAGACTGATAGGTCATTTCATTGGATCTGTCTGTGGCCCAGTACCAGTCGCCCCATTCGCCCTGCTCCCGATTTTCGGAAAACTGCAGAGGGGTCTGGCGCCAAACACGATGGTACGCGACCCCATTTCTTGTGGTGCCGTAGTCCCACTGCGCGACGGTATTGCGGTCCCCAGAGACCCATTCTAGACGGGGTCAGATAATCTCGACTACCTTATATGAACACGCTGAGGGAACACCTACCGGCGGAGATATCAGAGTACAATTGCACATCATGTGCCTCGCCGTCGAGGGAAGCGACATCTACGTGAAGGTAGCTGAAGCTGAGCGATTGCCGTCTCAAATCTTGAGGGGTGATGGGTGACAGGAAAGTGATCTTCATTTTCACGGCATCTCCCACGTGCATGGTAAAGATGCTCTTCGTCGAGGTGTACTCGAAGGCAGTCTGATTCACGGTCAGGGTTCCAGGCAGGCCCATCCACGTGTAAGTAGTGCCATCAACACGAATTAAGCCGGCCCAGCCGGTGACCTGGCCTCTATCGTGGGAAACATGGTTAGCACGCAGTTGGAGCGACCCGACGAGATGAACTCACTCCCAGAAGGTGGGCCATTCTCCGGCCAGGTAACCGCCATTGCCACCCGCGCTTCCAGCCGACAACCAAGTGCTCACGTATGGGGATTTCACAGCCAGTGGCAGAGCAGGGGGGCGGGCTGGGGTGAAGGCCGAGGCAGCGTCGGCCGCCGAAATCAGCGACGCGACCAGGGAGGCGAGAATGATCTTGAACATGGCTAGTGATTATGATGATCCTCAGGTAGCAAGCACGGTCTCTTTAAGTAACGTGCGATCGTTTCTGTTTTCGGCGGCCCAGTGCCGAAATTGACAGAAAGAATGTGGACCTTGGAATGTCAACTAGGGTGCTCATCGGCGCTTTATAGATAAGCGCACATACCGGAAGAAGGGCACCGAGGGACCTTGGCAGGAATCTAATAAATCATTGCTTTGGTTTAGTAGGTTGAATTCACAATGGTCTCAACGGACAATTCAATATGAAGCATGACCACCAGGCCCGAACAAAATAACCAAACAACAGCATCGCCTGACCCATTTAACCTTGCCTCCGACAAGTCCGGTGTGGAGAGAGCCACATGCAATTTGCAGCCATGCACATGTCCGAAAAGGTATTGGGTAGGGGAAGAAGGGTTGTATGGGGAACTGTACCACGAAATGCTTGACCAAAAGGTTGTCCTGTATAGTCGCTTCTTATCCAGCACGCCAAGGACGACCTGATCAGGCGAGGATCCTCCGAGCGGGGCGTCGATGGGCGAGTTGCAGCCCAACAGACGTGGAAAAATCTGGGGTAGTAGCAGACTAGGGCTGACTGATGTTTGTCCGTTGCGTCTCTAGCGTGAGTTTAGGGATCAGGTGGGGGATTGGTATGATGTGAAGAAGAATGTGATCCAGAACGATCTATCTCCAACAGGCGAGGGGACGGAGGAAAGGATATTGAAGTAGGAGTAAGAATATGTCCAGACTCTCAATCATGCGTATGTTCAACGAAAGACTGCAGGGGATGGATATTCGAGGAAGTGGGGGACTGTGCAGAAAGGACAGTTTATATACTCGTGGCAGACGATGCATGGTGAATAAAATCATTTGGAGTTGAGAGTTAAATAGAGACTCCAAAATAATGTCCAACTAGATGAGGAAGGTGACACTGAGATAGGAGACAACGTGTTTATTCCAGTCACAGCAGTTGCGATGTTCGGATATGCAGGAGGAAGAGGAGAGCAATAGATGAGATGACTTGGTAGTGATCAGATCATGTGCAGCTGATTATCTACACTTGACCTTTTTTAGCTTCATCTCTATCCATACGACATATAACTCTAGATTTAACCCATCTGCAATATGTCTTATACTCGACCATCACTTCCCCACAAACAACAATGAATGAAGAAATCTATCAACAAACCCGACAGGCTATTCTTCATCGATCTCAGTCCATGGTTACTATCTAACTGGTAACCAATCTGAACAGCAGGGAGAATGGCTTCTCCCGAACCCTATTCCATGGATCTAACCACTGCCCCACATCTATCAGATCAATAGTATAAATCAATTATTTGATCAAAAAAGAGAAGCATCCTCTTGTCTTTTTCATAATCAGACATCAAGATAGACCAAACCCATCTTATCGCTATACACATCATACGCTCTATCATGTCCCTGACTGGACATTCCTCTGCTGATCCACCCTCTGAACGCAGGTACCAGCCGACCCATCGAATGGCATTTACTTTCGGGGTTTCCTTCCCACCGGACTTTGGTGCAACATCAGGCTGGTCCTGGGCGGGTCTATTCCTCATCCAAGACATACCATACACATGTTGTTTGCCTCGTCCATCATGCACATCATGCGACAGTCTCAAATCCTCTTAGACCAGGTCCAGACCCTCCACAATACATTCCATCTGGTCCATTCTCCAGCACACACCACCCCATGTCAGGTCTACTACAGACGAATGACCACGGGATAGGTCAGACAAAAGGATCTCAGCATTCCAGCCTGGGCCAGATCTCCCGCAAGGGGCATCGACAGAAAAAACGTTATCGCCGATCGCAGCGTGTTTGGCAGGAATGTCCCAAGACCGGCTGGTATGTTCTAGACTGGCGGCCATTACGACCTGACTCAACTTACGTCACGAACAGTGGTGTTCTAGATAGAGGGGGGAAAGTGGAGGCAGTGTGTACCAGGCTCCTTTTGTCTTGCCTGCGTATTTCAATAGAATGTGGTACGCGCTGCATTCGATTGGGAAACTAGTTATGTACGTCTGCTTAAACTGTGAGACAAAAGGGCCATATCGAGTTGGACACAATATAGATTCTAGTCTCTAATCGAGTACTTTTTTGTTTTTTCCCCTCTACCTTCGTCTTTTGGATGATCCTAATTTTCTCGACATGATATCATCCTATCTCAGTGCCCTTGTTCCATTTTTTGCAACCCCTCTCCATAACACATAGCAAGAAATAGAAAACATCCTACCAATTAGTCATAGTATGTACCTATATACCTCAGTAGCAATGCAAGCACCCGCCTCTCACGAACGCGGCCTGGACCCTGTATAGGTTTATACGAACCTGCCTCCTCCTCGGAGAGACATGACAGTAGTATAATCCCCTCTGCGTACCTAGTAGCTACCTCCTTAGTCTAGACAGTCATACAGCCAGCTCACTCGTGTCCTCCATTGGTGTAGAGTGTACTCCGTATGGGTTCTGCAATGTAACATCCACATAGCTACGCCATACCTACCTAGTAGCTACCTCCGATGTTATTCCCTACCTTACGCTCACTCAATTAATCAATGCTTCGTGCAGCCATAATTCATTCATTCATTCATTGAACATTAAAGACTTCAACCAAGATAAGCCATCCCCATCCCCCATCAACCCAACACATCCCCCACCCATCCACCCACACATCCAAAACAAATAAACAGCTAAATAAATTAAATAAAACAAATCACACCCTCCTCGCCAACCCCCTCGAGCTCCTCGCCAACTCAATGCAAAACTCCCCCCACTCGCTCCCCCCACTCGTAGGCAGCACCTCCTCCGCAATCGCCTCCTCCAAACGCTCGCCGTACCGTTTCCGGAACTCCGCCTTGACGAGCTCCAGATGTCGCGGCTCCCAGTGGTATCGCACCAGTCGCGAGATGAGCAGCTCTGATCGCTCTTTGCCGCTGCGTGATTCTCGTAGGGCTTGGTGGAGGAGGAGCGCGTCGCGCATGGGTCGGTTGATGACGCCGTTGAGGATGTGGGCTAGGGTTTCGCCCTGTAGTGGTTCTCGGGTGTTAGTCAATGCGGAGGAGGAATGCGATAGGGAAGATACTAAGAAAGACGTACCACCAGGTTTTGCGACTTGGCGATCATGGCGCGCGCAAAGTTCCGCTCGTAGATTTTCTCATAGGTGCGGAGCACCTCGCGCAGGTGGGCGTCGCTGGAAGGCACGATAATGTTGATCATGTCTGTTTCGCCGCCGTGGCGCGACATCAGCGCGCGGTGCAGGTCGTGGACGTCGCGCTGGACCATGTCGAGGTTGATGGGGTCGCGCTCGCTCTGGCGCTTCGCCTCGAGCGCCAGCAGCACCGCGAGGCGGAACTTGTCTGCCTTGAGTTCTGCCTTCATGCACTTCTCCAGGCTGTTCATGTACCGTGTGTCGCGGAAGCACTCCTTGATCGCGGTGATCTCGCTGTTGCTCCGCCCGAACAGGGACTCGATCAGCAGCTCGCGCCGCGACGTGCTGGACTGGTAGTAGCAGTTGGCCCAGAAGGCTTCTGATTCCCATGGCCCTAGCGCGGTCGCGTAGCATACCTTGCTGAAGGCGTTGTGGCCTAGCTTCGTCCGGAGATGCTTGGCGATGTTGACGCCTTTCCCGTGCAGCTTGACGTAGTTTTTGTACTCCTTGCGGAGGTCGAGCATTTCGTCGCCGGTCAGCTGGGGCAGGACACGGATGAGGGCCTTGGGGTCCGTCCGCCCGGACAGGGCTTCCTGCATGGCGGCCGCGTCTGCGCTGGCGTCGTAGAAGGATACGCGTTTGCGCGCGCTGCTGGGAGAGATCAGCACAAGCGATTCCGCGAGATGGCCGTTGGATGAGTGCCGCTCGTGCCGGACGCGGCTGCTGTCCCGCTTGGATCGGGAGCTCTTGGGCTCCTTAAGGCCCTTGCTGTCTTTGTCTTTGGTATCCTTGGATTTCTTCCGCCCGTGCATTTTGCGTGCGTCGGCATCCGCGTCCGAGGGCCCGTCCAGCGGCTCGAGATCCGAGACCTCTTCGTCGAATGTGCCCGGCATGACGATTGGGGACGGCATCGGTGAGATGCTCTGGTACGTGCCCTTGTAGGGTTCCAGCATGGGACTGGCCGGTCGCAAGTTCGGATCCGCGGTTGCGACCGACAGCTTACTGCCAGACGAGAAGGAGGCGCTGGCGGGACGTCCGCCGGGCGCGATCTCCATAAACTGCGGTTTGCTCTCTGCACGGCCCATCGGTGCGGCGGAAAACTGCGGATTCGCCGAATACCGGACGCCCTGATACTTTGGGTCCGCCGACTGGAGATTCGTGAATTGTGGCGCGGTTGTAGTAGGCACATTAGACGAGCTTTTCGAGGCGTACTTGACATTCGGGTCGATATTGGCATACTGGAACTGGGGAGGCTCGGCGTATTGAACCGTCGCACTGCCGGATGGGTGGCGCTGGTGGGTCGGCGCGGTGACCGGTGGTACGTGGGCATTGCTGGTTGCCCACGACGCATATTGGTGCACTTCCGGGTTGGCATACTGCGGTGTTGGAAACGCGCGCGCCGCCGGCACTTGGGGGTAGTTGGTAGTCGCGGGCGGGAATGCTCCCGGCATGGCCTGCCCCTCCCCCTGCGTAGACGGGGGCACGAAGCCCGGGCGCTCGCAGTCGGGGATCGGCGCCCAGTTTGATGGCACGCCTGCTGTCGCGGGAGCGCCAGTATACCCCGGCGCCGCGCTCACGGTGCTCTGCCCGTGGAGATACTGCGACGGGTCCATGGCGTATTTGAACGGGTCGGGTCTCCCGTAGCTGGGGTGAGCACCGGGAGCTTCAGCCGGACGAGGATCGCCGGCGCGCGATGGGGTCTGTTTGTAGAAATCCTCCACATTGAGGGCACCCGACATCATCGCGGGATTCACTCGAGACGACGATGATCGAGGCGAGCGCCCGGACCCATAGAACCCACGCTCTGTTGCGCCGGGCATGTCCCCATAGGCCAGCGCCTCATCCTCGGAGTCCAAAAGATCATCGTCCGATTCCACATCGTATCGAGCCGGTTGACGGGCGGGAGACTTCGCATAGGTCCTGCTGCTGCGTTTGCCCGACTTTCCCTCGCCCGTATCCGACAAATAGACCTTATCGCGACTGCTGCGTTCAGGACGCAGCAGATATTCCGATCGGTCTTCGTGATCTGAGTCCGAACCATGTCGGTTGTAACGGGAGCTGGTTCGATAACCTGCGCTGGGGCTGGCCCCTCTCATCCGGGAGCTGTGGTAACCGTCATCATCGAGCGGATCGGAGGTGAGGTACTGGGAGCTTGTGCGTGGATTCGCGGACGGTTGGCGGGTATCGCGAGATCGGGAATGATCGCGGATCCGCCCGCCGGGAGATTTGGAACGCCCACGCGACCGTGGGTCGCCAACCTGGAGTGACATGGTCCGGGCACGGGGGAACCACAGCGAGTGCGATCAGATAGATAGCTTGCAATGACCAGTGACGGTCGCGTCGAACTCTGGATAGTATGGGATTAGCGGAGAGTGGTGTAGATCCAGTGCGATGGATAGTATAGTCGCAAAATCGAGATTTGAATCCCCAAAAATTCCAGAGTAGATATGAAAGAAGGAAAAGAAAAGAAAATAAGTCAAAAGATGGAGGAAGAAGAAGGAAGGAGAGAAAGATAAACAAAGTAACGATGGAGGGGAAGAAGACGAGCGCTTCGGCGAGTCCGTGACTGCGGCTCGAAGATCGTCAGCTGGCGCGAACAGTAACCAGTCCAGCATCCCAGGGTAATCTTCAGTCATCCTTCATCTGGAGGATTACTTGCGTTCCATCCTTCTTCTTATTCTTTTCTCTGGGTTTTTCCATCAGTAATCAGGAAGACACAGACACAGCCCAAACGCCCCCCCCCCCCCCCCCCCCCAATCCCCTCCAAACCCGGCGTCGCACAGCATCAAACTTCCTCCCCCTCACAGCCAAACCAGCAGCCATGAAGGAGCCGCAACAGAAAACCAAAATAAAACAAAATGAAACGAAGATTCCCCACCCAAGTCAGCCTCGCGAATGATGGCGCAACCAGTCTCGTATCGCTCCCCATCTAAACATGCCTTTACCAAGCAAGCCTGCCCCTCATCTGCACCACAACAGCCAATCCGACATGAGACTCCATGTCCGACCCCATCCGCCGCCTCTTTCAGCCCTAGTATTTGCTGAACAGGTAGGTTCGCCGTTGTCCTTTTTCATGGGTACCTACCTACCTATCCATATGGCATGCACTACGAATCCTTCATTGTGGGACCAATCTGTTGGATGTCGTATTCACCCATTTTCCCCTTTTTATTGCGTTTTTTTCTTTTGTTACCTAGGCAGATCTGCCTGTTGCGAAACGGATGACGACTAGCCAGCCTCCTGCAGAGCACGGACGGATAGTTATCCAGCACTATCCCTTCTCCTAGTGGGGCTCGTGGGGTGTGATCGGGTTACAAAGGGGAAACGAAACCCACCGGGCACTCTATGGATCTCTCTGCAGAAGGATTGGATTGTCGTCATTGGTCTGCGGAATTATCATCCTGGGGTAGTACTGTACCTACCTAGGTTCGGGCCAGGTTGGTATTGACTATTAGTATTAAGACAGGGAAAGATCTCATAATGTGGGGTTGTAAACGGTGGTGGGATTACTACGGTGATATTAGAGCGATCTCATTGATCGGCTTATTGAAATACTGAGTGAGCTACGTCGATAGCACCTCTACAACTATCAAAATGGTCAAAATAGCTCATCTTAAAACTTCAACATCGGCAACTGGTTCGGACACAAATTTAATGAGACCAAGAATACAAGTGGGCGGAAGAAAATGGGGAAATGGCACAATGGGGTCTGGAGAAAGAAAAATAATAGACAGGGTGAAAGTAATGAGAAGAAAGGAAAAAGGTGCCTGATAGATAGTACCCAGGAGCTGGTCAGCCCTGGCCCAATAGTGACACCGAAACATCAAATGATATCATAGTAGGAACACAGTGGTATAAGGAAGGTAAACAAACGGCCACGCAAATCAGAAAAAAAGCAGGAATAAAATAGAAAAAAAGGGGGAGAGAGAATGGGAAGAAGATATGCGGACAAGGCTTTTGAAAGCAGAAATCAGCAGTCCCGTCCGAAGGGAAACGGCGTGATTCTTGGAGGGTAGACACAGATGTGACGGTTCCCCAGGGAGAACGCACCAAACCGCTGGGGATCAATCGAGCAGGACAGCCGTCCCTCCTGTGCCAAATCAAAGTGCTAGGGTCATCATGAGCCGCTCGTCCTTTGGTTCGTCTTCAATTTACCCCCATTTAGAGATGGAGGAAAAACAAGAAAGAAATCGGCACAAGAGGCCCTGCCGTCTTGCTGTGCGCATGGGTGAGGAATACAAGACGCCCAAAGAGTCAACGGTCGAGACACCAATACACGGGATTAAGTCGGAAACCTTCTAGTATGCGTAGTTAGAAGGTCCCATCCGTCCGCTGTACTGCCTTTTTTGCGGAGCCGGAGCTGGCAGATGGGGGTTCAGACGGCTGGTCCGCCATCTCTCGTACCAGATGACACGGCTGGCTTCGCGGAGCTCCGATCGCCAGTCGCTAAACACCGAATCTCGCAGCCTCAGGAAATCGCAGTGCTCGGGATTGTATGGGTCCGCGAAGCCCCAGGGGAATTTGCGGCCAACTGGCCCGTCTCCGGCATTCAAGGAATACGAATCAGGCGAAAGAGTCGAGAATGGCAGACGCTGCGCCGCAGCCTGGGATGCGGATGACTTGCGGCTGCTTGCGCTTCGGCTGGATGGCGACCCGGGGGTAGGGGCGGGCTTGCTTTCCTTGTCGTCCGCATTGTCGGTCGTCTCCCCTTTAGCGTGTCCTTCCTGATCCTCCGTTTCCTCGTCCTCTTCTTCGTCGGCACTCTCGGAAGACGTGTACTCCTCCTGTTCATCCAAAGAGAGCACCTCGAGAGGGTCAATGTTGGCTTCCTTCAGGCTAGCCCAGACGGCCTTTCGCAGGTAGGTCATGTGGGCCTCGGTAATCGTATCGGCTTTGCTGATCACTGGGACGATGGTGGTCTTGCCCAGCATCTTGCGCAAGATTTGAAGATCGAGGCTCTGGTCCAGAATTCCTGTGACCGGCTTGTCGGATGCTTTGGGCGTGCCCCGGGAAGCCCGCTCAGCAGCCGCGATGTTCGCGTCCAACCGCACCGGGTCGAGGATCAGGAAAGTACAGTGGATGTGGGTGTCGCGAGCGCCAGGCGAACGGATCACCTTCATTTCTTCCTTCAGCGTTTCTTCAAACTTGTTTTCCAGGAACGCAGTCACCCCGCTCAGCTGGATGTCCACGAGGTCCCGCTCGAACCCTTCCGAGTCCCACAGCGTCAGCCCCACACGCTCTCCATCGATTTCGGTCTCCAGGTAGTGGTAGACGAAACCCTCGTTCGCCGGGGCATGGCGATCGTAGTATTCCTCCTCGCCAGGGGCGCGCGTAGGGTGCTTGTGAGCTGGCATCTCCAGCGATTTCCGAAGAAAGTTCAAGAACGACGTCTTGCCCGAATTACGTGCTCCAACAACAAGGATGCTAGATAGTTGGAAGAAAGAATCAGTCAGCTTATATCTTCCCACGACGGGGCTTCGACACTCTCTTACTTGTAGGGGGTAGGGTCCTTGCGGCGACGAAGTCTGCGAGGGTTGTTCACCGTGCTCACTGCACTGCTGGCATAGCTGTAGCGGCCGCGATGGGTCATACTCTCCGTGCGGGCGTACGGGTCGTAGTCGTTGTTCACCGGTGTACTCACGGAGCTGCGAGGCGCCAAATGCTGGGATGGATTAGGTTCGCTGACGAGAGTACCAACGGTATCATGACGCTCATCCCCGCCAAAGGTTTCCAGGATCGGGGTGGGCGAGAGATCGGGAAGACGAGGTGCGTGCTTTGGCATCGCTTCGCGCCGACGACGCTCCTCCTCCAATGCCTGGGCTTTGGACATCTTCTTGCTCTTGCCGGATAACGGTTCAGTAGACTTAGCGCGACGGAGAAAGCCGAGGGACGAAGTTCTGCGTTGGTCTTTGGATTGGTTGCTGCTGTTCTCCGTGATGGCAGGAAGACCTTCGGGGGGAGGTTGAGTGTTACTCGGAGTCCGGGGTCTAGATGATGCGGTCGCCATGGTGGCCTGAGCTGTTTTTTTCTGTCCTGTCCTTTTTCTTTTCTTTTCTTATTTCTTTTTCTTGTTTTACCCTGGACTTTCTTCTAGGGTAGCACCTTCCAATCACTCAATTGCCAGTCACAGATGAGGGTCTGTTGCAAATTAAACAAAAGTGGGGACCCCCGATGCACGATTGTCTCAGATATAGATCTCTGACACAACACGAGGTCCTGGAATACCTCCTTGCGTTCTTCAATCCGATTATAACAATCAGGACAATAGATCCAAGATATTCTGTCGAATGGTCCGAAACAATGTCAGTGAGATGACAAGGGAACAATCGCGATGGACAGTATAATTGTCATTTGCATATAAACAGACGGCAATTGAGTCTATCGCGAACGATATATGGTTGGTACTTACAGCGGACTGCTCCCTCCCAGTACACTCGAATAAATATAGCTAATTCTATATGCAGTTCTGAATCAGCTTGGTCCTTCGTGTCCCTCTGCGCGCCTATGGAACTGCGACTGACGGGAGTATCAGATTATATGTCGGCCCGGATTGTAAGACGTCAGACGACGTGGCTTGACAAATCGAGGGGTCGATATGACGTTCTGGCGCAAGCCAAAAAAGTGTCGTACGTCGGAGAGAACTGACTATCACGAGCCCAGCAAGTGTTTGTCAATACCCGTCGCGAGACTTTGCAGGAAGGAAAGAGTCAAAGTGGTAAAATGAGTGAGAAAGAACGAGGTTGCTGCAGCATGCAGTGCAGCAATGGGTCTCCTTTTCTTTTTATTTGTTTATTTGTTTCTTGTTTCTTTTTTCTCCTCTCTTTTTCTCGATGTTTTCTTTGTGCGCCGGCTGCGGCGTAGCCCGGATTAAAATTGCGAAAAATGCCTGCTCACAAGATCCGACTGATGCGGCGTGCGAGATGGAGAAGCAAAAGGGTAAAAAAGGAGACTGGAAGAAACGAAGTTGGGGGAGAAGTGGAAAAAAGGTAATGAAAAAAGTCAAACGAAAGTAAGACGGCGTCGAGACTGATGATGATCGACCAGAAAGACCAGAATCAAGATGCGCCTCTATCCAATTCGCCTGCGTTGATGCGCTTTGCAAAAGCCTGGTTGCGTGTATATCAACCGCAGGTGCCCGTGACCAGTCACGTACTTGAGGGTGTCAGAGCTTGCTGATGTCCCTTTTAATTTCTTTTCTGTTTTTTTAGTAGTAACGGCTGTTCGTCTGCGACGGCGGAGCAGGCTCGAGAACCTTAAGAGCCGGAGAAGATTCAGGGGCAACGCAGAAAGCAGCTAGCAGGGGGGCTCGACCTCCAGACTACGGCTCCCCCACTTTGGAACTACTCTAAGTGTATTAGGCTAGGTTTGACTCAATACCTGCATTCTCGGCTTCTGAGTGGACGGGCTGAGGCCGATTCAGCTTTTCCTTCGCTCATGCACAAGCAGATGCGGCGCGTTGATTTGCTACTTGAGTTTGCGGGTGCGACTTCAAGAGGAGAAGCCGACTTGTCGATGGGTCATTGTTTGAACTGTCCAAGCTATGACTGCATCGACTGATTCCCAGCATGGATGGGCCAGAATGCCTCCTCCCACCTCATTGAATCGTAAGGTCGGAACTAATCAAGGACTGCGGGCGGAAACACAATCTACACATGCCCCAAATTTATTAATTGAATCTGTGCCGCGACTTCAATCTCTCTGCCATCTCTGCATTTCATCAGGCGTGGGCAGAATCAATAAGGGCACTGCGCATAAAACATCCTCGAGGGGAAAAAACAAACCAAAAAAAAAGAGGGTCCGCATCCAAGCAGCTTACAACAGTATCTACTCCGTACTCCGGAGCCAATACCAGTCAATACCAGTCAATACCTATGTTTCTTCCTTCCATCCCGGATCAAGCGGTGATCCGAACTGCATAGTACGGAGTATACATACCACATACAGCACACGTGGGGCTTGTTGTTTTACTCTCCGAATCCCGATTCACTAGATTCATATTGTGCATATGGCATGCATTATCGACGGTCCTAATCGTCATTCTTCGATCATTCCCGCCATTCGACCCACGAGGGGTTCGATTTCAGTACATTCTCTCTAACATGCATCGCTTCCTCTTCGAAGCCTTGGAAAGCATTGTGGTAAGACATTTATGCAGGCGGTAACATAATCCAGGGACCCCGAGGTCGGTTGGTTTCCCCCTTTTCCTCGATAGTGGTATTGATACGGTAACCACATTCCGCTGGTCTTATTGGCGCGCAATCAAAGTGTTCAGTTCTTAGCCGGACAGATTGAACTCGCTTGCATGGTTTGGGATCCATTCATCTTAATCGGTCCGGCCGTTCACTTCCGGTTCGTTGATCCTATTTCGACCCTCGAATCCTGTCAGATGGTTTCTACAATGGGTTCGTTCGAGTTGGGTTGATCTTGGCCATGCTTGTCAGAATGGGTTTCTAAAATAAATCAATCCATGAACAAAGTTAACTCAAAAGAACCTTGGCAAGATGGTTCACACCAACACCTCGTCCCACCAACACAAGAGACCACCTGGCTCTGCTAATATTACCACTGCCCAAAAAGGGTAGTGACCTGATGGGATCCGCTATAACGCTCGTATGTACGGATACGGAGTACTATTTTAGTAGGTAAAATGCCAGACGCAGGTACCCTCGAGCTAAGCCGAAGCCCCCGTTCCTGATCAATGCTTTCCGAGCTCTCCCTCGGGGTGTCGTGAACAGGGCCCATTGTGGCTGTGGGGTGATGAAATTGACAGGATGAACTATTGCCTAGATGAGTGGAGATGGCCTGACTTATGTATGTCCCGGCAGGAAGACCCTGCAGCGACTGAGGTTCACAATTGCCGCAGCATTTCTTCTGGCCCTCGTGGTGCCTGGTTTCAGAGAACGAATGTACTTGTGCCGGATTATACGTGTCGATTTTGCTTTCGATGCTTTTACTCTTGCCCCTTTGGGTGCTGGTTTTTGGCTGTGTAGGTGCCGATCACGCCGGGCTGGCTGTCTGGTCCTAGGAGACGTTGCGCTGAGTTCGTTGGCATAATTGTTAAGCAATGAGTACTCCGTAGCGAGGTTGAACTATCTTTAGACAATGGTTTTTACTTTAATCCGTTTCCCAAATTACAATGCGTATTAGTTGTTTTTGCTGGGCCGCAGATATACCGAGGTCATCGAAAAAAGAGTAGTAGGGCCTCCCGGGTTTCATACAAATATATATCACTCTATACAATCACCCGTACAATGAGGACCATGGTTTTCTACAACATGACGCTATCAACCATTCGTTTGGAGAAAAATTTCCCCACCTAATACTAAAATATCTGTTAAACATGTAGGCATAAAACATTATTCCAAAGTGGGATGTATAAGTACTCTGTTTGTTAGTGTCTGTCTTCACAATACTAGCATAAGGTTCATGGAGCAGGTGAACAGTCAATGGATGGTCCATCTCATAGTCCAACTATGAGACTCTAACCCAATTTTTAGATATACCAAATGTCATTGTATTATAGAATCTATCAACAAAAATACCTTATAGTACTATGAAGTCGATGGGAATACACTCAGATTGTTCTAGTACTACAGGCTGCTTCACCGCCCGCCTTGCCAACCCGGCAGTTTGATTTGGTTGCCCCGTGCGTTCAATCTTTTGTTTACTCGACATCGCATCTTCTATCAACGCGCCAGACCCATCCACTCAGCCTACGTACCGATTCACCGACCTGAATATCCTTTCGGCATACACTACTTGCGCCGAAGCGAACGACCACAAAATAACCCCCAACAAGAACCAGCCTCACAACAAACCAACCCCCGAGAAAGCATGACCGACCCCGCAGACACACTCCAGCAACTCCAGCAATTACAGCAAGAAAATGGTGACCTAGGCACCCATCTCTCCATAGTCCGCGTCAGCGAACCTATCTTCTCCCCAGACGCCGAAAACCCAGGCCCGTCGCCCTCCAAGCGGACCTCAGATGCCTCGACCCTCGATAATCCGTCCCCGGCATCGCTCGAAGCAGATTTAACCCACTACAAGGTGCGGCTTTCTTTTCACATTGCGCTCCAGCCAAGCAACTAACAGGGCTTGAAGGAACTATTCTCGAAACTACGCTTCTCCTACGTCGAACAGGTTACGAAAGAGAAATTCCTCCGCGCGATCGTCGGTGACCCGCCTCTTGTCGTCGGACACAATGAGAATGTGGAGTTGGAGGCACAGTTGGCGGAGGTGAAGGCCGAGCTGCGGGCGCGCAAAGAGGAGGTTCGCGCGATGGTGGCGGAAATGGACAAGACGGGGAGGGATCTTGCGGCTCGTGAGTTTGCATCCCCTATTTAAGTGGCCGCCATGCGTTTGTAGCATGAGCGCTATGTGCGGACGGGACAGACAGAATTAAGGGTATATGGAAGGACGAAAGCTAACATGGAAAAAATACAGGCTATAACAACGTTCAATTGCAGATGACCAAGCTGTCTACCCTCCCCGAGTCGATCGAGAGCCTCGATGCCACGATCGCTGGACTACGTGCGAAACAGATGTCTGATATGGACGGGTCGTCGTCACAGAAGATGTCTCTCCCGGCGACGCTATCGCTACTGTCGGAGAGGGAGGCCGAGCTGGCGGCGCTTAATCGCCAGCTGGCAGCGGTGCAGAATACCCTACCGCGGAAGACGCGGGAGGCGGAGACGATGGAGCGGGAGTTGGCGGTGCTGGAGAAACGGAAGACGGAGGCGATTACGCAGGCCCGGGAGGCTAGACGGAGGAAGGAAGAGGGCGAGAGTGACGGGCTTGAAGAAATGGGGAGGTGGTACAGGAGTGCTGAAGAGGTGTTGAAAAGGCTGGTGGATGTGGAGGGCTAGCCACACCTACTAATTCCCAGGGTGGAATTTACGCGGATGATTTACGACACTAGCTAGGAATTGGCGTTTCGGAGTGGGTTCAGGTTCATGCAAGGTCGATTTTGTATATAGAGCGGGGTGGGGTGGCTACAGGCTACTCCGTACAATATGAAGATCATGGGCATATACAATTTGACGTTTGATCTGCTTAGAGTGCGTTGTGGGGTATAGAAGAATTAAGATGATGGAGGATCCGAAAGAGAGCCGCAAGGACAAATGGTATTCATTCATTGAGATGCATGATCGTACAACGTTATACGCTATGCTGCAGTCGCAATGAAGCCCCAGAATTTTGATATTCCATTGCGAAACCCCGCTGTACGCCTTTTTGAATAATCTATTCCTCCTCCTCCTCAGCGTCGTCACCACCGCCGGACTGGGCGGCCTTGAGCTTCTTGCGCTGGACACGGCCGGGGCGGCCACCACCGAAGGGCGAGGTGAGGGAGAAGTCGATGTGCTTCTGGGAGTCCAGGCGGACCATGAAAGAAGGCACGTTGACGATCTGCTTACCGACACTGTAACGAATGAATTAGCCAAAGTAATTCCCCCACTGAAGAACGATTCGCCATACCGGATGTGACGCTGCTTGATCAGGACACGAGCGTGGTGGATGGACTTGGCGAGGCCAAGCTTGTAGACGCAGGTCTGCAGACGACGCTCCAGGAAATCCTCAACGTTGAGGGCCAGGACGTAATCGAGCTTCATGCGGGACTCATCGAGCACACCGATGCGGACCAGACGGCGAATCAAAGCGTTACCTTCGAACAGACGCTTGGGGTCCTTCTCGTCGAGAGTGAGCAGCTCACTATTTGAAGTAACTGGTTAGCCGTTTCCCCACTTTATCAACTCCCGCGAAAAAGAAAAAAAAGATATCCATACCGAGCAGCACGACGGATCTTGGACAGAGTGAGCTGGACACGCCACACCTCACGCTTGTTGCGCAGGCCGTACTCGCCGACAACCTTCAGTTCCGAGTCACTAGAATCACATGATTAGGGACGGAAACACACGACATAACCAGAAGCACGCTTCTGATTAGTGGCCGGAGAGTACTAACAGACGAGCCGACTCGAACGCTGGGAGAAAGTTAGCATTTGCTATCGCCTCGCGAAGTCATTCTTTCTCGAGGGCTGTACTTACGACGACGGGGGACCTTGTAGGTCTTGGAGTAAACGCGCCTGTCGTAAAAAAAATCCTGGTTAGAATACCGCGACCGACGGGATCCACGACCATCAATTTACTCACGGGGCCATGGCTGCTGCAGATTGCGCGTTGTCGCGAGTTTGTCGATTGCACGGGTCTTCAACAGAAAATGCAACGATGAAGCCGAAGATGTTCTTTTGGAGAGCGGGAACTAAGCGAGCGAAAGTGGAACTGAACCGGACTGGGCTTAGCGCGGGGGCTTCAACCCTAAAATTGCAGGTGACCGCGCACTAAGCACCCGAGCAAGTCCGCACCTTTGCAAAGGCGGCCGAGACTTTGAGGCACTTCTTCGTTGTCGACAAGTTTCTAACTCCAGCACCACCAACACCGCCGACATGGGTCACTCGCACGGTTTGAGACGCGGCACTCGGGTATGTCGATGCGAATCGAAATCATTTTCTTTGAATCCGGGAGGACGACTATATCTGGAAAAAAGGGTGTGCGCTGACGAAAATCGTCCTGTTTAGTATGCCTTCAGCCGCAACTTCAAGGAGCACGGTAGCATCCGTCTGTCGACCTACCTGAAGACCTACCGGTACGCCGAATTCCTACCGAGAGTTATGATATATTGAAGGGGTGAAAAGGAAGGAAAATGAACAGGGTCTAATATTGGGATTATAGGGTCGGTGACATCGTCGATGTCCACGTCAACGGTGCCGTCCAGAAGGGGTCAGTAAAATTTCCGCCCACTGCAAATTGCATTGAAATCCGGTCATTCGGATTTGGTGGCATTTGCAGATCCTCGAATTTTTGAAGGAATGTTCTTGCTGAGACTCTACGAACAGTATGCCCCACAAGGTCTACAACGGCAAGACCGGTGTCGTCTACAACGTGACCAAGTCGTCCGTCGGCGTCATCCTGTACAAGATCGTCCGCAACCGCTACCTCGAGAAGCGCATCAACGTCCGCCTCGAGCACGTCAAGCACTCCCGCTCCCGCGAGGACTTCATCCGCCGTGTCCGTGAGAACGCCGAGAAGAAGAAGCAGGCCAAGGAGCAGGGCATCCACCTGCACTTGAAGCGCCAGCCCGGTCAGCCCCGTGAGGCCCACACTGTCCAGGGTCTGTCCGCCGAGACCATCACTCCCGTCCCTTACGACACCCACATCTAAACGAAACGGTTCGGTTGCTGCGGTTGTTCGGTGTTTCTGGGTTTCTCCATCTATGGGTGGATTTTCATTGAGACGAAGCGAAAAAATGGGTTGTCGGATGTACTAGCACATCTCAAGCCTGTGCATAGATTCCCCTGGAATGAAACAAAAAACAAAAAAATCTTCCACTTCCTCTTTCCATCGACGATGGCTCGAGGTGTTGACCAGGCCGTTGAATCCCTACATTGATGTATGTCAGGGATGGACCTTGGACTCTGGCCCTCTGAGTATGGAAGCGTTTTTCCAACGCTGAAACCTCAGGGTACCCTTGACCATCGGTGTTTGATTTGCCACCAAGCGTTACTTGGTTTACCTGTAGATGTAGAAATCGTGAATGGACCCGAACAAGTGATCTTATCTTTCTACTAGCCTTCGTATATCTGACGTCTCCGATTTGGATGTACTCCGCATGACTGCAAAGATTTTCCTGCAGCAAGCCTTCCGATAAGCCTTATCTTCCGGTCACAAATGCAATCTTCCGTCTTCAGACTTCGCCACCTGACATTTCATTGTCTTGAATATTTCCATTGATGGGTGAGTCGAGTACATTATTCTTGTCTGGGATATCTAGCATTACCTATGAACCATACAAGATCCACATAAAGCCTAGGAACGTCCCATGTACTAGTCTACCGACTCGGACACTTCCCAGGACTCCGTAACCTCCCTCCCTGGAATCCACCAGGCAGACACGGAACCAAGCAAGCCCTCGCAATGGCCAAAGCACACGAATCACATGCAAGAATCACGTCAACACCAATATGAAGCGAATTGGGGGCTGTGTCAGCATCAGCATTCCTCCCACACTCGTGACACATACCAGATAGATACCTACCTACCTTACCTAGCTAGCTACGTACGTACTCACCATCCACCCCCCCCAAAACAAAGACAAGAACACGAGACAGCCCTCGCTCGACATTACCTCGATCGGGCCCACCGATATCAGGATCAATTAATTGATTGATTGACCTGCTGCACACGCCACCGGGTCCTCGGCATCTGGCTTCACCATCGATATCAGGCGGGCGGCCTTGGAATCCTGGCATTGCGGATTACGATGCTGCATTGCACTGCACTGCACTGGCCGAATGCCACGTCGACAGCTGCTGCGGCTCCTTTCGTGGAGGTGTTCTGAAGAAGGAGGTGTGTTGACTATCTACTAAGGTTCTTACCGGCCTTCCAAGGGGAAGGAAAGGTCCGACCGCGTCCCGTGGCCTCCGGGCGTTGCTGACATTGTGACCATTTTACTAACTATGAGATGCGTCGACAGGTACTGAAGATGGCTAGTTGGTAGGGAACGTGTATGTTTCTGCGTCATGGCTATGCTTTGTTGGGATATACTTCGAGTCAAGCTGGCTTGTCTCGGGTGGGATTTGAACTCATCCGCAGATGTGATAGAGGAGGTGAGTATTGTTGTTATTTATTTATTATTTATTATTCATATTATTTTTCTTTTATCATCTTTTGATCATTTTTATTCTGTTTTTTTTTTTTTTTTTTTTTTTTTTTTTATTCGTTCTAATCACTCTGCTTGCTATCTTTGTCTTTCCCATCTTTACCTCTCCTCTTCCGCCCATACTCTAAACGACAACTAGCGAATCAGCCCATCCCATTATGCTGATCTGTATAGATTATGGCCGTGTCTTTCAAGCCGTTGAAATCAAAGCACGGACACTGCCATGATTAAATAGGTATCGTGGTATGGAGTATAGCCCACGCACTCCACAAAAGAGAGTAACCAACCCATTCGGGTTGTATAAAAGCCGGAGTATCATTGGACGGCCGATCTACGGTCGAGGGTTTCTCTATTCAATCTTATCCCAATACCATGGCTCATCCCTCAAAGCGCCGAACATGGGCGATCTCGGAGATGGCGGACAATAAATGGTACACATGCACATGGGTGTAGTTATATCGTCGCATTGCAGTGCGATTGCAATTCCAGGTCTTTCTCCAATCGTTTAGAACCGTCATTCAACTGTCTTTAATTATTATACCCGACTGGCTTGTGCTGGTTTGGACCGACATCAGCAGGACATAGAGAACAAGCTCGCGGGGCTGTGGAGTCCTCCGTGCAAGGGAACTTTAATGATCATAACTACATACAAACAGCGACCATTATTTCCCTGCCACGCCCCCTGCCGAGGTTGACAGTATCCAAGTCAAGTAAAGTACGTTTGTCATTTTACAAGAACGGAGTGGTCTCACAAGATAACAACAGAGTAATTTTACAAGATATCAAAAGAGTGGTCTTACATATAGAAGCACAAAAGGACAACTGTAGAACTAGACAAAAGGTTCCTATGATCGTCGTTTCTGTTTTTAGGAACTGTTCCGGTTTACCCGATGCTGGGGAAGCTATAGTTATTTCGCCACTCGGGATCTGTTTTCCGCTGGGATCCTGGAGTTGTGTTTGAAGTAGTAGTGGATCATAGCCTACCTCTAACGATTAGTCCCATGTAAACAATACCTTTATTTTCATACAGGTTTCGCGTATCATATCATCGCTGTGAGTCATTCCAGTTCACTGAAGGTTTCTTGGAGATGGACTCGACAGTCAGTCCTTGCTTTTTTCGCCTCTCCCGAAGCCAGTCCCATTGTAGTCCCCGTTGGAAAGAATATGTTTGTATTTTATTTTTTCTTTTTGCTTTGTCACCCCCCCATGGCTGTGTATTCACCTTCATGGTGCATTGTAGAGGTTAGACTGGGGCGTGGTTGCAGGTCGTATGCTGACCGATGGGCCAGTGAGGCACACCATTGGGTTTCCATCCTTTTGTCCCTCCATTGAGATAATGAGAATTGATCGTGGCTGATGATGGCTTAGGTAATGACGAGGCAGTGCAAACCGGGTTGTCGAGAGCCTTGCTGCCATCATTATGGGGCTCGCATCAGGCAGGAGGCATTGATAGATGGCCAGATTGGCTTAGTAGGCTGGGGGAAACGGGAAGACCCCAAGCGGGGAATACTTGCTTTGACATGTTGACGGGCTGGTGGAGTCCGGTGGGATCCCCACGTTACTAGTAGTATACAGTTAGGACGATAAGGACGAACTGCATATTTGATGTACCAGCATGGGAAACTCCTGGGAGGTTTCTTTGAGATTATGTTTTTTTTCTCATTTTTCCAGCTGATAATGTGAGGAGAGACGCAGAGCCGCGTACGTCACGGTCAATTGAATTCCAATGTATCATCCCCATGTCAGGGGGCCATCGCTGGACCAATACCGGTTACCAGAGCATCGGAGGTCAATGCAGTATGCTTAGTCTAGTACCTAGATTTCCATCCGCATCAGCGGGATGGAGCTTGTAGTCCACCCACGGTTGACGCCACGGGAACCCACATCGACAGGACCGCTACCCCGAAAACGTCCTGTGTAGATGTCAATGTCCGAACCAGTGGATTTGAAGGTGAGGCGACTGAGGATTCTCCGCTGTCGTCGCTTGGTGGTAGGCGTATGCAGTGGTATCCGTATTTCCCCGTGCCCTTTGCCTCACATTTCGAGTCTCTTCTCAGGCAACCAAGATACCTCGAAACCAACAAGAATACGGCTCTGTAGTTGGATGGATTTTGACCTGAGTATATGCGTCGCCCAGTAAAGTCATCCCAATCTTTCTAGGATGTGTTTGCAGGGGGTAAAATTACCGCGTTTTGAGTGACCGGATTAGCCTATCATGCGTCCCATCTGAGTCCACTCTGGTAAGGCGGCTTTGGAATGATGGACGGTCGAGAACCATGCCTCTATGAAGGGCTTGGTTTGCCCATATCTATGTATTAGAGTACTTTCAATAGCTGATCTGCAGGATATCGCCCAGGGCGAAGGAAAAATGATCTTTAGGGCATACATGTATTTTTTTGGGCACAAACGTTGTTCCTAGATGGAGTCATGAACAATGGGCGAAATGTACATCTAGACATAGCTTGCCCTCAGGGAGCGTCAGCACTTAAATACAAGATGACCCTCCAGTCTCCTCCCAAATTCTCTTTACTCTTCTCACTTTTCTTCCACTCGAGTTCATGAACTGGGAGAGGGGTAGACAATATATCTTATTCCCCTCTATATAATTTGTCGATCTTACTGTCGATATCCTTTGGTCAAATATCTGGTACTGTACTATTTGATCAAACCGTCAATCCTTACCTTGTTGGCCTTGGGTCCATTACCTCATATATCTAGGTAAGGTAGTAGGTATACTGCCGATTGATCCATATTATCTCTAGCATACCTCGTCTTCTTATAATACTCTCTGTTCGAGTATCTCTCCTTGATCGTCGTCCTTCTTACCTGATCCTCTTATCCCCTGCTGTCTTGCCAAACCAAGACAGCAACCCAATTCCTTGCCCATTATGGCACAACGCCGTAGCGCCCAAGGGTCCGTGATGGGCCAGGGTCCACTGGTCTTTCATGCCCCAGACTGGAATGCGGGTCGTCTGTTATCGGTACCTACGCTGGACACAAGCATAGAGGTACGTTGCCTACTCCCTCACGAGTACAGAACACTCGACTGACAGATAGTTACTCACAGTCTCGGAGCCCATCCTCGAACCCGTCTCCCATCTCCCCAGGCAGTGGAGGCCCAGAACCCCTAGCAGTGGAATTTGGGTTAATACCCGGCGGGGATCAGGGCTTTGATATGACAGGAAATACAAATAGCCTAGCTGGTATATCTTCCCACATCACGGGCTGGGAGGGTTCCGGGGTTTCTTGTATCGACCCCATCAACCCGACCTGGACCGGACCCACTGGCAGTTATCCATTCGATCCCCTCAGCGAAGTTAAAGCCGATCTGGAACGACTTAGTGTGACTGTACAGTCGAGCCTCGGTTGCCTGGAAGTTCCCCAACTGAGTGAGCTGAAGGGTCTCTTGTCACAATTTCTTCCGATGCTTGAGTCCGTGGTCCAATCCGAGTTCGAGCTGAGAGTACCGTCGTCCCCCGCCGAAAGCCCAGAAGATGAGTTCAGCTATCGTTGTTGTCTGTGCCCGAGCAGCAGAAGCCAAAAATGCTCCAAGCGAGGGGCATTCAAGCGGCACGTTACCGAGAGACACGAACCGGAGTACAAGTACTATTGTTCGTTTTGCCCCTGGAATACACCCAGACGGGACAAGGTACACGATCACTACCGGAAATACCACGGGTTAGTAGGACGCTTGACGGCAGGGAAAGTCAACAGCCTCGGAGTGAAGCTACCTGCGCCACCACACTGTGGGATCTGTCTTGAGCCCGTGAACTCGTATGCCGCTTATTTCAACTGTTTTGCAAGTCACTGTCGTGTCTCGGGGAATAACTCCGGCGTGGCAAGCTCCAATGGGAGTAGAAAGAACAGCGACGGCAGCGGAAATGGCGGCGGTAGCGGAAATAGACAAAATGGGTCTTTCAATAACTTTGGCGGGTCTGGGGGACCCTCCGGTTTCTCATATGGAAACGGGAATGGTTACTCTGGAGGCTCCTCCAATCCTTATTTTGGACAATCTTTCGGGTACAACAACCAATGCTCCAAGGATGTAGTCGATCTCCATCAACATCAGTCCAGCGCACCCAGGATCCAGGATCCACACGATAAACACACCAACCCCTGTGAGTCAACAAACGAGAGAGAGATATCCGACCAAGTCGAACACTGCAAGGACCATACCGACCACCAAACCCAAAACACTGACACGCAAAAAAAGTCACCAGCGATGCCAGTTCAGCACGATTCGTTGGATCTTAGCGACCAGCCCGAGGATAGAAGGGCTCATCTCCGAGGATCTATCAATGGAATCTTGGGCAAGAGTCTCCCACGGAAATCTGGCACTACCGACACTCGACGTTGCAGGTCTTGCGGACACGGTATCGACGACTGTGCAAGATGCAAAAGTTTTGGTGCAGTGGCCGACCGCTGCCACAACTGTGCAGATAAGAGCTGTGTTCTGCAGATGTCTCGCCGGGAAATGCCTCGCCCTGCGGATGAAGCCGAGTCTCCTCATTTTGGCCCTCCTGATCCCAAGTCTGCGCTCGCGCTGAGGAAGTCCCGCTCACTACCTACCTACCGAGGGGACAAAACCAGAATGGCTTTGAAATCTTTGCCGACTTCACACCCCGAAGGAAAACCTGGTCGTCATCTAGGGGAACGTGATATAGCTCTTCAAGAGTTGCATAGCTCCTTGGCCGCCATCGCGAGAAAACAAGGTGCTTTGAGGATGCCTCGTGTGAATCGGTGGCTTTCGGACAAAACAGCCACCCACCGTGCTTCTGAGGACGGCGCAAGCACGGGCAATTATATCATACCGCGCCTGGAGCGTTTCTCCTCTGATACTTGGCGTCAGCAAACGATATCCCTCGAAAGATATCGTTACATTGCACGGTTCCTACAAGGTATGTCCTATTGCCCTCTATGCTCCTAGAACGTGGACACTAATAATCCTATTAATTTAGGGTCATTGAGACAAGGAGATCATGTGTTCGATATCCCTTTTCGGATTCCCCTAGACCACAGGCTAGGTTCACAGGAGCGGAGGAAGACTGCCTTATTGCTCGAATCTGCACCGTCTGCGACATGCCGCTTGTCGCTCAGAAGACACTCGCTGAAAGGCACAGTGCACGTGGTGGTCGGACTCCTCACACTGCATGCGTCGGTCGCGAAAACACAACCAGTTGCCGAACCGGTTGAACAGGATTGCGTCGACGACCATGGTCTCATTCCAAACACCCTGGGATCTCCAAAAGTTGATGCCGAGATTTGCATGCCGTATTCCTACAATCTGCTCTCGCATATTGTGCAGGCCGTTGGGAACTGGAATGCGGGCCTCATAGACCACCTTTCGTTCAAGTCGCTCCAAGCCTCTGGGTCTGTTATCGATGACGAAAAGAATTTCGTCGTGAGCGCTTTTATGAGTACCTTGGCGAATATTGTGCAGGGTCCGGGTTACTCTGGTAGTATAGACTTGAGTCAGCTCTCTTTTCTTTGATGATTGGTTTCTTCATACGTTTGTGTCAACATTATTGTTTGTCGAAATGTTCATACTCTATCCCTTTTTTTTGGTCACTTTACCCTGTTCTCTTTCTTTCTGGTTTTTTTTTTTTTTTTTTTTTTTTTTCAACTTCTTGTCTAATGATTTGCATTGCATTAAATTGTTCAGTTCATTGTTCCTCTCTGCCTCATTTCTTCGAACATTGGCTTTGTTTGTGTACTGTGGAGACGATGGAATGCGCAATGAGAATGAGGAGCAACCCCACGGTAATGATACCCACGCAATGCAGAAGGAAAAGGGGAAATAAGGGGCAAAGAGAGTATGAGCAGTATGGCCTCGATCCAAATACTTGTGTATTATTTGATAACACTGTTTGAACATGATCAATGTTGTCCTACCGTACACAGCAGATCAACAACCCGCAGTAAACTATAGTACAACCCCGGGGATAGGAGTTAAGATGCCAAAAAGCGGAGTAACTGCTGCACTAGTTCGTAATGACATAAACGGTGGTTGGCAAAACAACTTATCGATAAGCGATAGTAACCAACTCCAAACCACCTAGTGACGCGCTAATTGAGAGCACGACGACACTGTCACTCTCAAGACATTATTACTTCCCAGTCCTGAAATATAAAGGGTGACTGACATGATCACCGTAGCTTATCACTGCACTGACTCGTCCCTTGCCACTTTGCTGCTTGTACTATGAGCTCGCCCCCCGGACCCCCTCCTCCCGGCGGTGACCGACCGCAGACCTCGGGCGGCCACCCCGATTCCCCCACAGTGTGGCATCCCGCGAGTGAATGGCTTGACGACGACGGAGATGGGGATGACGTGGACTTTCAACCCGAGTCAGAGCACTCGGGGGATATACCGGAGTTGGAGGATGAATCGATTGAAGATGAGGAGCTCGATATCGGTGCTGCTGCTTTTCTTTCCTTCTTTCTCCCCCCCATCCTATCCCCTCACTTCGCGTGTTTGTATGGCGCAGTGTAACTAATCGTGGCCCGAGTACACCCGGTAGATCCTGAATTGCATTTGGGGAATATAGAGATCGAATTCGATATGGACGACGCCAATACCGATCAGCAGGGCGAGGATGCGCAGGATGGGAGACAAACTCGGGGTACGCGCTTTTCTATCTACACTCCCACCCCACGTTTCTGAGCAAAGCACCCACCCCTTGAAAAAAAGCACGGATTGGACTAATGGTGGGAACATTATATGGCAGTGTCTGCAGCCCGATTGCTGAATCTGCTCGCATCGAATGGCCTCCGGCGCATTCTCCGTTATAACGGCTGGCGCGACGGGGCCTGGGAAGAAGACGACGACGAGGAGGAGGACGATCTGGGCGGTTTCCTCCGATACCGTCGCCGACCAGCCAATTCTGGGAGGGATGAGCTGCCCAAGGTGCCCAGCGACGAGGGCACGAAGCTGATGGGGTCCGGCGATTTCGGGAGTAATCCTTATTTCGTCGATGTGCTGCAAAAGCGCAAGAGGTCGCTTGCGACAAAACTGATGTGGCGGGAGTTAGGGGTCGACGTTGATAATTCCCAGAGGAGGCCTGTGCAGTCGATATCTCAGGTAAGGCGGTGGGATCTGACTCTATATGGGGAGTGGATGCTGACAAGGGTGCGATGTATAGGGTCTCATACCGGAGTCGGTAGCGGATAAGGTCATCCATTTCGACTCGCGATGTTACTCTGGGCAGTTCTCGGATGATGGGAACTTTTTCTTCTGCTGCTCGCAGGACTTCAAGGTCCGGATGTACGATACGTCGAATCCGGTGGACTGGAAGTACTACAAGACTGTGGATTATCCGTTCGGCAGCTGGACTATCACGGATGCCACCCTGAGCCCGGATAACCGGTTTCTGGCGTACAGCTCTATACGAAACATGGTCTGTCTTGCGCCTACGGATCCGGCGGATAGGTCTGACCCGGCTATCCTTGATCTTTCTTCGGTTCCTGGGGGGAGAGCTGGTCGCAGGTTTGGCAGCTCGCATTTTGGGGTAGGTTTGGCCCTGGTCCAGTTATAGATATTGATTCTAACTAGGGTGATGATGCTAGATATGGTCGCTTCGATTTTCTGGGGACGGTCGGGAGATTGTGGCGGGCACAGACGACGATTCTGTTGTTGTTTATGATCTGGAGACCCGACAGTCGGTCTTGCATGTACAAAACCACGAAGACCACGTCAATGCCGTGTGTTTCGGGGACAAGTCTTCGCCTCACATCCTCTACTCCGGGTCTGACGACACTACGCTGCGGGTCTGGGACAGACGCTCGATGGGCGATGGGCGCGAAGCCGGGGTATTCATGGGCCATACCGAAGGGTTAACATATGTCGATAGCAAGGGCGATGGTCGGTACATTCTTTCGAATGGCAAAGACCAGTCCATGAAGCTATGGGATCTGAGGAAAATGATGACGACAGCGGACTTCGATAAAATCAACGTGGGCCACCACGCTACCGGCTTCGATTACCGGACCGAGTCATACCCCGACGACTACTACGAAGCCCATCCCAATGACTGTTCCGTGGTCACGTTCCGGGGTCACAAGGTTCTCCGGACCCTGATACGATGTCACTTTTCACCTCCCGGCAGCACTGACTCGCGCTATGTATACACTGGCAGCCAAGACGGTAAGGTCTACGTGTATAACATGAACGCGACCCTCGCTGGGACTATCGATGTCGGCCAGGCGACGATCAACACGAGACCTCAAGATCCAGATATCTTTACCATGTTTGGAAGCAGACATGACGGACTGTGGAGGACCTGCGTACGAGATGCAAGTTGGCATCCCAATGCTCCTGTCCTAGCTGGTAAATTGACTTCCTTTCCCCCACCCCAAGCCCGCTCCTGACATGACTGACCTATTGGAAGCAACATCCTGGAACGGCTGGGGCATGTCGACTGGCACCTGCACTGTACACTCATGGAACGGCTCGGCTTCTTCAGACGAAGGGGATCCGCCTCTAGGAACGAGCTACGATGCTCGGTTAAAATATCATCGCGGGTTTAACGATTTCAAAGCAAACTTGGACCGGCGAGATGCTTTCTTGCGGTTCCGTGAGAATTCTGGTCCGAACCCTAGTGCTGCGGATTTTCGTACTTCGACTGATCCGGAGGATACGTGGGATTTGCCGTATGGTTCATGATGAATGATGGGATGTTATATTGAGACTTGGGTCGCTTTGGCGCATCTATCCACATATCGATCTGCTGTGCTTGGCTCTTGGCTTTTTTATGCGTGTAGATACGTTCATAGAAGATCTATCATTCGGTTCACTTTCTCAATTTGGTATTTGTATTAATGTTTCAGCTATCAAGACTGAATATCAGCCGTTAAAGAGTAGGAGACAGTAACAAAGTGATGCCGGAGTAAGGTTGTGCCGTTCCGAGCAGCTCCACCGTCTTCGAGATCGAAGCTCGGCCGTCCCTTCTTCTTCCCTATCGCGCTCCACTCCGACACGTCTTCCCAGGGGATCTCTCTCCGTACTCATAGTCTATTTTCGACCATCACTGTCATACCTCAGTTATTCAACCCCTTCTTGTACTTTCGATTTCTCCTTCTCGACCGGAGCGCTGGCGGCTACCATTCAGGGGATACCATTCGGGCGGAGGTCCTACGTACTTCCTGGGTTGCATCAGTGTTCTGGTGGTTTCTGAGCAAGTTGGAAGGCTCTACTTGCTGTGTTTTCTTCTCCATCTCGTGTCCTAACCTACTGTCTCCTCTTCCGAGTTTTACTCGACCTGTTCTTTAGCAAAGGTGCTGTCTGCCGGATTGTGGCAACGGAACAACACGCGGCGCGCCCGTCTTCCTGTGGAATTACTTCTCTCTCATCCCCGTCTCACTGATTAGATCATTATCTTCCACCCCTTATACTCTTTCTATATCTCTCTCTACCTGTACTTGGAATCCTGGAACAAGAAACGCAAATTCTTTTGTGCTCTGTGTACCCATCCAGAGCTCGCGGTTGATCACAAACGGTGAAGACTTTGTTCCTTGTTGAAGCTGTGTTTGCTTCGGATTGTACGTATTATCGAGCCTTTTTATCCTCTGTCGCTGCTTGTTTGGTTTCTGTTGCTTTCTCCCCTGTGGCTGTTGAGTTGCGAAATGGGTTGTGGACACTGCCCCGAGGACGAAACGGGGTTGTCCTTTTGGGCTTCCGAGCATACGCACTATATTGCCTCCCCTGGATGATGCCTTCCTTGCTAATTGACGGCCTGTATCTGCAGACATGTACTTGCATTGATTCATCGAACCTGAGAAAGAACAAAGAACAAGAAAGACAAAAAGGAGTGTATTTCGCAAGCAAGCAATCAAATTTTGCCTTGAGATCTCGATATATATCTTAACACCATGGCTACTGAAGATGATAACTTCGATATTGACATCTACGGCGATGGTGGTGGCTACAACGCCAACGACCAGGGGGACTACAAACCAGAAGAGGGAAATAAACAGGAGGATTCGGACCTGATCCTTGATGCCCCTGACCAGACGCAGAGTGGTGCTCCTTCGCATTCTGACGGCGCTTCCGAGTCCACCGTGAAGAATGACGGTCCAAACCCCAACGGTGAGCACGTAACACAGTCGACTACCGGCACTCCTCAGCAGCAGCATACACCCAGCGAGACTCCTGCTCCTCAGCAGGGCGTGAAACGCAAGGAGCATGATGATCGTCCGTCCGACCCGGACGCGACGCCTGCCTTGCTGGTCTCCGACCTCTACTGGTGGACTACGGATGACGACGTCCGAGGCTGGGTGAACGAGGCTGGGTCCGAGGATGAGCTGAAGGACGTGACCTTCAGCGAACACAAGGTGAACGGAAAGAGCAAGGGGTATGGTTGTTCATTCTTACATTCGGCGGGGATGTGCTAATCTCGGTTTAGGCAAGTATTCATCGAGTTCACCACTCTCCAGGCGTCCACTGCGGTTAAACACAAAATCGAGTCGTTCGGCTCGTCGGGCCGGAAATATGCCATCGTGTACACCAACCCCCAACCGAACCCCTTCCGTACTCTCCCGAAAGATGCCCCCATGCGAAAGGACAACCAAGCTCGACAGATGTCTCAGGGCTTCAACTCGCCCAACCAGAACGCCAACTTCGGAATGAACAACATGGGCGGAGGTTTCCGCGGCGGCCGGGGTGGCTACAACAACCGAGGCGGCATGAACAACATGGGCGGGGGCTTTGGCAACCGCAATTTCCAGAACCCTATGGGCGGCGGGTTTCAAAACCCGATGGCCGGGGGCTTCCAAGGAAACGCCATGGGGATGCCGGGCTACGGGTTCAACAACCGGGGCGGCATGATGGGTGGCGGGATGCGCGGCGGCCCTGGAGGCATGCGCGGCCGCGGCGGTGGCGGTATGGGCGGACCCAACATGATGGGGATGCCGGCGATGAACCCGATGGGAGGGATGCCGATGAACCCCATGGCCGGTGGGATGGCCCCGATGATGGGTGGAATGGGCGCCAACATGGCTATGCCAGGTACGTTGTCTCTCACGTTAACTCCTTGGGAGGAGTATAAAGATTGTGCATCTCCTGACCACCGTGCTTGCTAGGTAAAGGCGGCTTCCAAGCTCCCAATCCCGGATTCAACCAAGGCTTCTTCCCCAACCAAGGAGTCGGTGACGGGTCATGGAACCCCCACGGCGCCAAGCGCAGCCGACAGGAATGAACGCGACGTGCCCGCATATTTTAATCGTTTCGGCTTTCACGCCAATACCGTGGAGCATCAGAACGGACCTTTTTCTACGCCACATGTCTTAACTATATCTATCACTTCTTATTGCTATGGGTTTGCGTTGCCTTTTACCAACTGCTTATTCTTTACGGGTTAACGGGGAAATTGGATTTTATTTATTTCTTTCTTCCTTCCTTTCTTTCTCTATTTTTTTTTATGCGGGTTTTTAGCTTTTCTCAGGGTGTATTAGACAAATCGAATGTTCCCCTTTTCTTTTATCATCTTCTTTTTTCTATTTATGTGCTAGTCATGGATGCAGATCGCATCGTGGCAGAGCTTCAATTGTAATGATAATATACCCAGATATTCTTTGTAAGATTTCAGTGGGGTTATTTGTATGATTTTACTTAGTAATTACCTTTGATTGAATCAACTATTGAAGTTCTATATGTACTCTGGCTGAAACTGTCTATCATAGATGTTCACAATACTACTAAGGTAGGAGTTAATGCCAATTTGGAGAAAGCGGAGTCAAACCGGACCAATAATAGCCCGAACACGGCCAGCATAAACCTACATGGAGGAGTCATCACGAATAATGAATGCTTCATCTTGGACTGATAATCCCCGACCTTATCGGACTTACCAACCCCTCCTCTTTCTCCTCCACCTTCTCCTTATACCACCCTCTCCGACTTCTCCACGGTCTACTCGGCACATACCTTACTTGAAGCCGTATCTCCCCCTTTCCACAAAGTAGATCACACTCAACGTCGCATCCAAGCCCCCCGTCCATCCGCGACCGGCTGGCTTCCCCGCGGTCACCCCCACCTGTCCAACCAAACCTGCCGTTGAACGTCTGTCTATCGTGACCAGTCAGTCGCGTTTACGATCACCATGCAGGCGGTTCCAGAGTCGCGACAGCAGTCGTTTGAGGAGATTTATGGCCCTCCGGAGAATTTCCTGGAAATAGAGGTGAGCTTGATTTGATTCCCTGGGAGCTTCAACTGCGTCATCACCGCTCCGGTTGAGCTTCTCTTATCTTGATTTATTGAAGCTCTTTTTTTCTGTCTCAATGGCGCCTTATACAGATATCCAATAAATCCACAAAGGACATAAAATATATTAACAAGACACAAAATGAAGGTCCGAAACCCCCAAACACACGGCACATCGCGCAACATGTACACCAGCTACGAGATCGTCTGCCGCACCAACATCCCCGCCTTCAAGCTCAAGCACTCCGTCGTGCGCCGCCGCTACTCCGACTTTGAATACTTCCGCGACATCCTCGAGCGCGAGAGCACGCGCGTCACCATCCCGCCGCTGCCGGGCAAGGTGTTTACGAACCGCTTCAGCGATGACGTGATTGAGCATCGCCGGGAGGGTCTGCAGCGGTTTTTGCAGATTGTGGCTGGTCATCCGTTGTTGCAGACGGGGAGTAAGGTTTTGGCGAGTTTTATACAGGGTATGTTTCTTCTTTATTTTTTCCCGTTCGTTCTTTTTTGGGGGGGTTGATTGGGGATGGTAATGGGTTGACTGATGGTAAATGGCGGAACTGACATTTGACTACGTAGATCCGAACTGGGACCGCAATGCGTGGTAAATACAGCTAGATGCTGTTAGCTGATTGACTGTTGATGATGCTCACCCCTACACTACTTATCCTCGATGTACCCTATACGCCCACTCCAGAAACCAGACAAGCAGAATATCTTGAATCCGTCAGGATACCCCGTCAACTGTTCCCCCATTCAATCCCCTACTTCGCTCATGTACAGAGAGTCTTCAACCCGGTGGAAAATACAACGCCACTTGTCTTTTCCTTCCTTCCTTTTTTTTCTTCTATATCTCCCATCTTAGGCGTGGTGGTACTCTGCTCATCCTTGCCCTTACTTCCTACCTACCCACAAATTCATTTCTCCAGGTAGTCAGCCAGTCCTCCATTTGCTCAATACTCAATGTCCAATTCTCAATGTCACCCTTAGGTGATGTGATTGATGCTGCTTGCTTACAGCCCGCTCAAGCTGCGCTCCGTCCGTCCCGTCTCCCTGTATAGTGTGTTTGTTTCCCTACTTCGTGCTGCTTTGGTATTTTATATTTGATATTACATTACATTACCCAGGCAATCTCCCAAGCGGCTTGTTCTTTGTTCTACTTCTCTCTGTCTGTCGATCGTCTTTGTGTTTTCGCCCTCACTGTGGATGGCGGATGGATGGATGGATGGATGGATGGATGGGTAGATACATACATATATACTAGGTTTATCAATGATTCTCTCCGATTACCCTACCCTATCCTGCTTGGAATCGACTACGATGAACTGAGTAGTTACTATAGAAATGCCGTGGGCAGAGAAGGAAGTAGAAGTATAACCTATCTAAGCGAGGTGAAATGTGATGGTGATTAGGTTTGGTTTGATTTGAATAATGGGACACTGACCGACAGTTGTCCATGTATAAGTAAAATGGTTACGTAGGTGGGTAGATGGGTAGGTAGGTTGTAAACCGGTAGGTTAAGTTGAGTAGTTAGTTATAGATTAACAGTCCAACTGATTATAGTAAAAACAGCAGTAGATAAATAAAAAAGTAACTCCAAACACACCCAAATGCAACGCTAACCACGGAGTAAAATCAACGCTATACATAGTTTAAGCCAAGCAAGCTAAGCTAAGCCAATTCATCCCACGTCATAGGCGCAAGCGTATTATCCGTCCATGACCCGTCCACCACACCAGATGCCCCGTTGGATGCTTCATCCAAGGGAAACGGGAATAACACTGTTGCGGGGGGGAGAGGAAGTACGGTTGAGGTTTCCAGGAGACTGGGTGGTGGGGCGGGGGTGATAGTGTGGGGTCGATGGGTTTGGATTTGAGAGGGTCGCCTTCTTTGTTTTTTTCTTTCTCCTTGTCTTTGGCTTTGGTTTTGGCTTTGGGTTTGTCGTGATGGGGGTTGGTTTGGGGGTGGGGTTGAGGTTGAGGTTGTTGTTTAGTGGTGGCAGGGATGGTGGGGGGGATTTGTCGGCGCTGTCTTGTAGATTGGGAGAGACTTTTGATGGGCCCGGTAGTGTCTTGCCACTGGCGGAGCCACCGTCGCGGTAGGCGTGCGGGAACTTAGTGCGGAAGCGATCCCGGAGGTCTGTTGCGCGGCGATGACCAAGGTTCAGACGCGTATCCTGCTGGATCAGCGTCCATTGGAAGCCATGGACGGCGTAGCCTTTCAGCAAAGCTTCGTCTTCGGCGGTGGTGAACGGCCGGCGAGAGCGGCGGCGCGATTTCATGGTGAAGTGGGGCTCGGGGATACCGAGGGATTCGAGGGTCGATTTGGACCGACTGGATAGAGTGGGTGTGGATTTGGGTGAGCTTTTGCTGGTGCTCTGGGGCGCGGGATCTTTTGGCGTAACTTCCGCTGTCGGCGACGGCGGATCGTCTGGGCTGGCGCTTGTGGTTCCTCCCACTGGGGGGTCTGAATCAGCTGGCCAGGGGGCTGGTAGACGGATCTTGCCGGCGATACCGTCAGACGCTTCGGTCTCGGCCCGCGAGAGAGCGTCGGCGAGGGTATCGCGGAGTTTCTTGGTCGCTTCGTTGGGGTCTTGCGCGCGGTACGCCCATGGACAGCAGACGCGGAACCGATCTTTCAGGTTCGAGGCGCTCCGTTTGTTGAAATTCAGCTCCGGTTGGGCGAGGATCGCTGTCCAGTTGCCGATGCCGCACTTCACCACGCCGCGTAGTAAGGCGGTGGTTTCTTCCTCGGTCCACTTGCGAACGTTCTTGCGCGAACGGCCTCGCGATTTTGGCGACAGCGGCGCAGTACTTCCCTGCGCAGGGGCCTCGACAGGCTCGTCGGCCCCCGCATCCACCGTTCCAGGGCCTGTATGGCTGGGTTCCGGAGCACGGAGATTCTCGCCATCGGGTTCCTCCCTCGCGACAACGGGCGAATCGAGAATCTCCTCAATCCTGCCCTCCCTCTTCTCCCCGTTCTGGCTAGCAGCTGCACTCTCAACCAGACTCTCAGAGGACGAGTCGGCCGCGAGCAGCAACGGCTCCACAGCGGACGCATCGCGCGAGGGTTTCGACAGCAGCTGGGAGATGGAACCGGCTTCGATGGGCGGGAGCAGGGCGGCGTTGGGTGGCGGCTCGTTCAGGCCGTTCAGAATAGCAAACGGCCCAAAGGGCGGGGGCCGTTGTTCCTTCTGGGCCTGCGGGATGGGAAGCTGCAGGTGTTCCCCGAAGGAGTCGGCATGGATGCCTAAGCGGCGGCGTTTGCGCGCGTGCGTGTCGTCGTCGAAGGAGGAGTAGGGGAAGCGCTCCAGGGCCCGGAGATTGACGAAGGCGGGGAGGATGGGTTTGGGCGGAGGCTCTAGACTCGGTTGTGGATCTGCGGAGGCATCGCCGGGCTTCTTTGTTGTCCGCGCGACGTTCGAGCTCTCCGGTGCTCCTCCTCCGCTCGGGTCATTGTTGCGGCTGGGTAGCGCGCCGGAGGAGTTGCTCGTCTTGGGGATGGCACTCGGCTCGCGGGCTCCGCTGGCATCGGGCTCGAGCGGTGACGGTACGCTCAACACGCGGGACGATACCGGTTGGCGAAGAGGCGCGATGCGGAAGCTCTGGAGCTGAGGTAGCTCTCGAACCTGGGACTCATCAAGCGCCTTGGCGTATGTACCGGTAGAATCCATGATCAGGAGATCACTACCATCCGGATGGCTAAGATCACATGTGGAGGCTGAACACCGTGGATAGGATGGAATGTTTGATCGAGGCCATCGTGAAGGTACAATCCAGTCCAGACACTCTGGGAGAGAGAGCCGTGATGGTTGAGACCGGGGACTTTTGTCTCCTGTTGGTGGCACAGATGAAGTTATCGCCGATCACCTGACGCGATGCTGACTCAGTAGGCATCAATCACATTTCCTAAAGGGGTAATCGAGGTTGCACCCCGGTATGATCGTCCTCTTTAGGGCTTACAGTGTGTCCAGTCTGCATTCCTTTGCCTGTAGTCACAGTTGGTTAACTAGCTTGGTTTATATTACACCAGGCTATATAATGACCACGGTTTCCCGTTGGCCCACGCCTTCCTCCATGACTCCATACAGTCATAAACCTGCCAGTTGACCCCCAGCCGTATATCCAGCGATCAAAACCAGTGCTGCGATAATTCAGGCACCGAACCCCTTAGATTTTTTCTAGAACAATGCCAACTACAATATTTCCCACCTGGCCGCACATCCTGTTCGGGGTTGTGGAACCGCTTTCTGGGTGAGTGAGGCCCGCAAACCCCGAGCGAAGTTCCTAGGCATACAAGACCTATATGCAGCGAACTCATCCATATCTAGCATCGGAGGCTGGGTCGTTCCGTTCAACGATGGCTTGACCCGCTTTATACTGGAACAAGTACCCAGCGTCGCGCCCCCGGAGACCATTCACCCCAGTTCCATCGCGATGGCCGGTCAGCTGGTTAACCTGTACGGGCTGCTCGCCGTTCTCTGTGTCGGCATCGTCTACTCCACCAACGAGCCCAAGGTGCTGCGCAACTATATCGCGTGTCTGTGCTTCTCGGACATCGGCCATATCTATGCGACCTATGTGGCCTTTGGGCCGGAGGCCTTCCTCGACGTACAGGGCTGGAATGCCCTCGGTTGGGGTAATATTGCGGTCACAGCGTTTCTGTTTGTGAACCGTGTTCTGTATCTGCTGGGTGTGTTTGGGTATGCGCAGGCTCCGAAGACATCTCTAAAACAGACGTAAGGAGCTCGGGTTGATGGACCTTTTTCATAATGTGCCTGCTCATGCGGGTGGGGATGCGGCGAAATGTTGAAGACCGCGCGGCTTGTACCGTATCAGATCTTGCCCTTCTGGCTTTCATTTTGAGTCGCTGCTTGTTAGTTTCGAGACGACATAATTGCATGTAGGAAGCAGACGGCAAGATATCATAAAAGTACAGGATCAAAGAGGGTATGGGGGAAATGACAAGCGACTTTTGCTGAAACGCGCTCCCGAAAACGAGCCATGCAAGGATTCAAATAGAGGCAAAATGAAAAGGACAATAAAAAGGAGAAAAGAAAAGAAAAAAAGAGGAGAACAGAAATGATGTCTCAGAATGGCAAGACCGAGCTAGATCTCTGTAACCGCAAATCCAGCGCCAATTTATTATTCCATGTCACATTAATCATCGTGTGTCCCAATGCTGTTCGTCTGGCTGATACGAGCCTCGCACTAGATTGCAGATTCTATCCTGAACAGAAAATTAAAAAAAAAAAAAAAGTGAAAGAGAAAAGACACAAAGAGAAAAGAAAAGAAAAGATAGAATAAAATAAACATAAACCAAGAAAAAGATAAATAAAAAAGCAAGATCACACTCCTGTGCCATATCACCTCTCAGTCCATGATTGGTTGCATTTGCTGGAACAGCTGTCGTAACGGCGGCTGACCGCCTTGTTGGCACTCTCTGATGTGCGGGAATAGGAATGGAATCCCGGGCGATGCCTGATAGAGCTGTCTGTATGTGGCAAAATTGTCCGTGGGGTCTAGAAGCTCCAACAGGCTGGGTGGAGTCACTGATTTCAGAGCCACGGTGTCGGCGCCGTTAGCTGCAGTGGCCATGGTCGACTCAGTCAGGCTGTACTTCCGAAGGCCATCGAGGATTGCGGTCAGAGAATGGAAGTTCCGAATAGCGAAAAGCGCCTGGATTACGGTTAGGAAGGACATGGCCTTGAGACTGGGGCTATTCGGCAGGCTAGGAGTCCAGATCTCACCTGTAGACATTCTTGAATGTAGGCAATGTTCTCTGGGAGCCCCGTGCAGCACTCCCAGACATCAATGCTCTGCATCTCCCATCTTTTCATCAGATTGTTGGCCGTCGCATCCTGGGTCACGAAGCTTTGTGGAGTCAGCGTCGCAAATTGTTCCTCGTCAGCACTCGTGAGTGTGCGCGCAAAATCAACCGGAGAGGTAGCATCCAATAAATCCTCCAGAAACGAGAAAGCCACGTTGAAGGGCCGGGTCCAGTCCATCTCACGCGCATGGACGTAGGTTCGTTGGAACCGCACACCTAACACGGACAACACCTTGAGGATGTTCGTTAGGCTGGGCGGAAGGTCGCGGAATATGCGTTGAATGGGTGCTGCGATGAATTCAAAACCCAGGCCGGCGCTGGTCTCCATCGATGCACATTGCCCTGGGTTCACGGTGCGCAGACAATGAACCAGAGCACGGTGGGCGAAGGGGCTCCGACTCCGAAGGTGCTGAAGAAGGGTCGTGTCAGTTGGGTACTCGGGGCAGCAAAGATCCAGTATAGCTCGTTACATACCGTTTCAACTTCGACATACCGAGCTATCTCATCGGGAAACGCACTGAGGTAGTCCAGCAGGTGGACATACAATGCCGTATGTTGTTGAAGAAACCATTCAACAGAAGCTACCTTGTATCCCAAGGCGTACCGGACAAGCTCCTCAAACGAAATGCGTGTGAAGTGCAGAAAACTTTCCGTGTCAATACCTCTAGCAATAGCTTCGGGGTCCGGCTCGTTAGCCTTCTGGCCCGGAAACCAGCTCCAGGCAGCCGGCGGAGGGCTACTAATTCGGCAGCGTCGCATGATCTCCTCGACCTTCTGGACTTGCGACAAGTTCGGAATGAAGTTCCTCTCGTGAGGCTGTACCAGGCCACTAAGGAAGTCATCGACGGTGTTCCCGTGGCGATTCTGCAGGGCCTTTCGCGGGAAGTTCTCATCAGGAAAGAGACTGTAGCGGATGACACGCTTGACTTTCTCCACATCGAAGGCCCAGAGGATCGTGGCCGCTTCGTCCTCCCACCAGAGGTAGGAGACGTAGAAGGGTGGGACCTCTGCAGTGGACTGGAATAGAGACGGGTATTCCGACTGCCCGGGCAGTGGACCAGCTGAGGGGGCCCCGGACTGGTGAGGTGAATATCCAGACATATCCGTAGGCTCAGACAGATAGTACGAGATCCTCTCTTGATAGAGACTAGGATCCTCGGCAGGGTATTCGACCGGGGCTAGTACTTCTTGATAAGGGCTGTAGGGATGCATCTTAGCAAACGAACAATGAGACCACGGGAGCGTCCGGACAAGCCAGCAGAGAAGAGGCCCGTACCTCTCGATCAACCGTTTTTAATCCTTTGTCGCTCTCTCGTCCAGGTGCCACAAGGACGTGGATAATCCCCGAAACAAGGCGCTGTTTTCCGCCACCAGCCAGGAACCTGAAGAATGGGGTTATACCAAACAGCACCCAAGTATGCCCGACGAGTGAACACAACGCTAGTTCCAGGTAGTGCACAGATAATGATCAAAGACGAGGAAAAGAGGCCGTTAGAAATAAGACACTACAGCGATATCGATGAGGGTACAAAGAGTCGACGAAGAATGGGTAAGGGCCGCCACTGCCACTCGAGATCCGTTTCGAGAATAATGATATAATAATTAGTAATAAGTAGTCAAAGAAGAAACGACCGAAAGAAGAAACGACCGAAAGAATAAACGAAAGAAAGAAGAAAAAGGAATTACAAAAGCATAAAGTGAAGATAAAGGAAGAGGGGGAGGTGTGGATAGACGTTGGAATGCCAAAGCCGTGGGAGCACGAGGCGGATAGCTCGTTTTATTGATCCTGCGAATTTCCTTTTCTATTTTATTTCAATAATATCAATAAATAAATGACTGCTGAATCAAATAAAATACAATAAAGATTGAGCAAAATAGAGAAATAAAAAATAAAATAAAAAGAATAGGAATAACGAAACAAATCCTGATTCTTTCTTCCCGTCCATTTTCGGTTTTAGGCCTAACTTGGATTTCTTTTCTTCTAATAGTTTATCATTTTTCTCTCTCATTTCTACCAGCTGATCCTCTCGGTCCTTTTCTTTTGCCACGTTAGACAGCTCACGCAAGGCTCTCAACGGATCCGAACCCAGTGTCCACGATTCCTGGTCATCACAGCTGAAGAGCTACCAGACATGACAGCAAGTGGCGCGTGGCAGAAGTAAAGAAGGCAAAAGGCAAGGCAAGGCCGGAGAAAAAAGGGGGCTGATCCTGTCCCAAACCACTGGATCCCGGGAGCCGGGTTCGCTAAAACCAGGGAGATCAGCTAGATAGGGAGAAGCTGGAAAAAAAAAAAAAGTGGAAAGTGGAAAGGGTCGAAGCAAAGAAGAAATAAAAGATCATAAGGCGCAGGACACCAGGGAGGTGTGGGCCAGGTCGATCAATCAATGCGCCAATCCGCCAATCCGTTCACCCGTCAAACCGTCAATCAATTCGCCCGTCCACCACCCAATCAATTGGCCATTGAGCAGAGGTGAGGTGTTCCTGGGGTCAGTCATTGGAAAGGAGAGCCAGAGAGACGGACAGGAGACAGAGAAAGGAAGCGAGGGGGGAGCGAGAGAAGAGAGGGAGAGGGGGAAAGAGGACGAGACCGTGTGGGGACGGGTGGAGCCCTGAGCGAAGGGAACGGTGGAAAGAATGAATGGTCTGGAAGAAGTTCAATTCCCCCACATGGGAGGTGTTAATCGTGGACCATCGACCAGCAAGAATCGTAATAATTGACTCCAGCAGAAGCATCGGGCCGGTTCGCAACGGAGAGAACTAGCAAGCATGAGGGTCTAGGGAGCGGCAACCGTTCCAGCAAGTGGGATGAGAAAGGAGAAGCGGTCAGAGGAGGGCCGGATGGAAACGGTGCGATGTATCGATCGAACCGTCCTCCAATGCTTGATTTCTAGAATGTTGATCCGGTCCCAATCCTGACTGGGTGCTCGACATATCGGACTAGCATGGTTTTCTTGGTTCTGTTGCATTGTAGTAGCGGTGTACGGGGGGGGGGCAAGTACGGAGTACTTGGGGAGATCAAAGAACCAAGGTATGGTAGGGAGTCGGGTTCGAGGGGAACCCTCAAAACCACTCCACAAATCATTCTGACGATAGATGATGACAATACTGATTGATACTGCCAATTACTTCAGTAGCAGAAGCGGCATCATTATGCCGTGGATAGTGGGGGGGGGGGAATCCACAGTGAAACCGGGGCTTGCCACCATCTCCGCTCCATAGGTCGAATATTGTAGTTGTTGGAGACATCCTTGCTACAGCTGCCGCTGGGTGAGTCGTTCCTCCGGTCGTCATGAATCATGGACATGGATCATGGATTGGTTGATTTATCAGGGAGAATCAAATAATGATGAAATAATAATGATGATAGTACTAATCAAGAACAAAGAACCAAGGATCAAGATAGTCCAAGAAATGGAAGTGGAATCAGGACAAGGAACTAGTTGCCGCCGGTGCTCGGGAATCAGAGAGACAACCATGGTTCCGGCTGCGGCATCTCCGTCTTTCCGCACTCTATTTATTCATGGGTTTTTTGTTGATCCTTCACGTATATATCTACTCCGTATATTTACATCTGCTATATAAATAATCATAATATACAAATACATATAGTATGGGCTTTAAGTATATAATATCCATGCCAGAGTGATACCGACCAACAATCCGAACAAATTGTGAATATACCTGATACGGAGTCCCCGTTGGAGTCCCACGAACCGGGAACCAACAGACCATTTGAAAGATGAAAGAATGACTAGCGCGTGGCCGTTGGCGGCTGGCAGCTGCCCAAATCACCCGATCATAGCCATGCCGTGATCGTCCGTTGGGTAGGTTCATTGGCTCTGTGAGGTCCGATCGACCGCTGGATCGATGCAGTCGAAGGATTGATCTAATCGAAAAGGGGCAACATGGGAGTCGGACCTAGGGTAGCAATGGGGAAATCATTCTAGAAGGAACGTCATCTAACCACTGGCTACCGTCATCGTACACGAAATTGTTATTGTGGCGCAGGGGGGGAGTATCAATCGGAATACCCGTTTTATCTTAATATTGCCTATATATATTTTTCTAGGGTTAGGGCTAATGGGGTTTCCGTCCGAAACAGAAAAATATCAAGAGGCAAAAACTAGCACAACTTGAAACAAAAGAATATAATATTATTAACAATAAATTAATAATCGAATAAATAGATAAAGAAGACAAGAGAAGAGAAGAGAAAAGAAAAGGATTTAAAAATCTCAACTTTGCAGATAGTCCCACCCTATCAACCCCGAACTCGCCAGTTTGGGTGGAGCTCTATAGCTGCATGAAGACCGCAAGTGTGATGGCAACTTTTTGCCCTGCACCACTCCGTCAACATCTCCCAGGCCAAAATAGCGAGTGGCGTAGTAATTACTTAGCTCGTCAAAATTCCCGACCTCGATCCCTCCAAGCGCCAAGTCCAAAGCCTAGCAGAGGGACGGACCCACCTGCTTGCTTCGCTTCATGCTGGGGACGAGAATCGGGGGGCACGGCGAGACGGGAGGAAAAGATGCTTGTCGACGGTGTGACGATTGATCCTCGCTCTATTGTGAGGACGATCTTTCCAGGGAAGATAGATGGCGTTGAATGCTTTGTCCACCATGATCCTTTCATGCAGGGAAGGGGTCTGTCAGTCGAGGATTGGCTGTTTATTCCATTGTCTTCTTTCTTTTTCTGTCCTATGATTCTTTTTTCTTATTTGCTGAGAGGCGGCATTAGGCGAGCATCATCATAGGTACTAGAGCTCAACACCATGCCGATGGAGGAGGCAGGGCGAGAAAACATGGGGGCTGAAGGACATGGTACATACTGGGCATACAGCGGGGATAACGGTGTCACTGCCTGCTTGCTTTTTTCTGCACGCCCGGCAGAATACAGTACGTACATGCATACTGGGGCATATCACGACAGCAGAGATGATGTAGACCGGCTCGATTGGGCAGAGGATGCTCCGGACCCTGGTCTAGCTTGCCGAAGACGTGTTCTATTCCTATGTGGTGGTGAATATCCCATGAGCCCTTGTCCATAGCACATCTGGCTATGGTACTCCCCGGGCTGGTGTATCTGGGCTGAATAGGCTTGCCACTGATGCTGGCGTCTTGCAGAATATGAAGATTGTGAGGCGGAGGGGGAGAATCATAAAAATAGAAACGTATATCGTCTGTCCCAATGAAAAAGCATATCGCGCTCTGGGGGTACAAAGGACCGTCACTATAAATGCAAGATGGCCTTCTTTGCGCTGGTTAGCTTTCGTTCGGATGGCAGCATCGGTACTCGTTGATGACAGATAATTGACAGCAGTCGTCAACATTTCCATGCATCTTGATCCCTTCACCCGGAGCATTATGGTTGAAGATTCTGTTCCACGTCAGGAACAGGAATAGCTCTCACCGTCACCACCATACTACCACCACCGTCACCACCACCACTACTACTACGACAGACACAACACAGTGCTCACCTTCGAGTCCTACCCTACCTGTCCAGATGCATGAAATCCCATCGAGAATCTCTCACATCATACCCTGATTTGGTCTGACCTGGCTAACAAGATCAACCGCTAGCACGCACAAACAACACAGCGCATCCAGCCCGTTACGGCAATCGCAAGACTCACGCCATATTGATCGATCATTCCCTTCTCCTCGATTTCCGGCCTGGTCACCGACCTACTCACTGAATAGGAAGTAGGTGTCTGTCTCGCATTTCAGATACTGACCTCAAAGCCTCGGTCTCCCGCCGGCTAAGTCTATGTATGTCTCAATCACAAGTTTACAACAAGGCACGAGAATGCCCGAGATCGCCCACGACAGACGTGACTTGTCATTCCAACAGATATGCACCTGGCCAGAATATTGACTTTTACTTACTTTTATTGATAATTTGTTCATCCACTGTCTTGCTCTCTCTTTCTTTCTTTCCTTCTTTCTCTCCCCCATCCCGTCTTCCGTTCTGCCTTTCTAACTATCTACCTTTCCTGGCCCAACAACACACCGTTACCAAATCCCTAGACTAAGCTGCACACCATAGTCACCTAGCCCGTCTCCACGCGGCCGGTTAGCCCCAAGACACCCAGCTAGCCAGCCAGCCAGTCAGTCACTTAATCGGCTGAACAACGGTTGCAGAAGAAATGCGCTATCACCGACCAACTAACTAGTTTAGGAGAGAGATCTCGATGAACAACACTAGGGGGTTGATTGGTTGTCAGGTGCGGAGTTGCCGAGTAAGTAGTACCAATTTGCTAGACACTACGACACTATATGGAGACCCAGACCCATAAGCATGGGGAGATAGATTGGATTGAGGGGCTGGTTGGGCTGGTATTGGTATTGGTGTTAGTGGGGTCTCTTCTCTTTCTTTCTTCGTCTCTCTATCCCCTTCCCTCCCTCTCTCTCACTTTCTCTCAGAGGGACTGTGTGTGTATGTGTATGTGTGTACAACACCAATCCACCATCCATCCCTATCCAGGCAAGAGCAGAAAAGACAAGAGAAAAGGAATGGTCCGAAATGCAGTGCACAGCCGCGCCGACAGCGCAAGCACCGCAATAAGTACAGTACCTAGGTACCTAGGTACCTACCTAGTAACGATTCAAATGGGGGCCAAGCGGGAAGGAAGGGAAGATCGCATGTAGAACCTGCAGCCAGAGAAAAATCGACGTGTTACACTCCTACTTGCAGGATTCGACTTTCCTTATTCCCGGCGTGTCTGTCTAGGAGATACACATACTCTCTCACACAGAGCCCGAAAGAAAGAAAGCAACATAGATAGATAGAGGGAGGGAGCGGGGGTAAGATCGAGGACTTGCAAGAAGGAACAGGTCTAGGAGGGGGGGTAAAAGAGTGGGGGATGACATGACATGACATGATAATTTTGAACGTGTCATTCGCACTTTGCTTTGCTTTATCCTCGGTGGTATTGGGTCCCCCTCCTTGTCTTACTTTTTCTTGATTTTTTTTTTCTCTCCTGTTATCGTTGTATACACATCAACTTACTAAATGGGGCCGGACACCCGGGACGGACTAATTGATTGACTGATTCACGTCCAGGGTGGATAAGATGGATAGATGGGACTAGACTAGCGCGACCAAGGTCAAGGATAAGTAATAGTACAGTATACTTACCTACCTAGGGTCATAGTGAGGGGTAACAATTTGCTAAGTGAATGAGGGATTGCTCAGTGTCAGGGAGCGAGGCGGCTATTTGGTGTCTGAGCGCGAGGGCGCGCGATGCGGTTTATCTATCGGATTTGGGCTGGTTGGGGTGATCTGCGGAGGGATTGATTTTGGGGTAGATTTGGGGTTTAGCCTTAGGTAGGCAGGTTGGGTAATTTAGATGACTGTGGTATGGGAATGATGCGTATGGTGATAGTGATATCAGGTTTATCCGCTACGAGAAGGTCGAGTGGCATAAGGAAAAAGTATATCATGGGTATCAAATGTCCAATGAAGAGAGACGCTGGGTCTGTTGCTTGCTATCCTGGTCCTACGAACAGTGAATGCAAGCCATACGGCCTGCTATGTTCAATGTAACACGTTTCTTGGTTTACTAGATAACGCATCGTAAAACGTTCATACCGGTATCATACGGGCCCACAAAGCAAGGCAAGACATCGTCTCCACCTCAGCGGACTTGTTTTTTTGCTTGAAGCTTGATTTTTCTTGTCACCAGCACCTACCTAGCGCTTAGTTGGCGATGGCGTGGGCACGGCGGCGGTCACGCTCCTCAGCAATGGAGAGCTAGAACATGTTAGTCTCAACTCCTGGGTTTGAGAGGTATATCGGAAGAAATTGCATACCTTGACACCCTTGCCCTTGGGGAGGGAGATCCAGGGGCGCTCCTGGCCGATGACGAACACGTTGGACTCGCGGGTAGCGAAGGTGTTGTCAATGGCATCCTTGACGTGGACGATGTTGAAACCACCATCGTGACGCTCACGGTGGGTGACAACACCAACACGACCCATGTTACGACCACCGGTGACCATGCAGACAACGCCGGTATCGAAGTGGACGAAGTCGGAGATCTTGCCAGTGGCGAGCTCAACCTTCACGGTGTCGTTGACCTTGATGGCGGGGTCGGGGTAGCGGATGCTATAGAAGTCCTTGTTAGCTTGCAATGTTCCAAATCGGAGACCTTACTGCCTCCAGCAACGGGGGGAAAGTTCATTCGTCCTCCGCCGATCAACCAAAGCTTGGTCCAACGACTGAATGACACGGAACTTGTGGAGAGCATTGAACTCACGTTCTCGCATCGTGCGTAACCAAGAATGGGATCCCGCCCTTGCCGAGCTGCACACGCTTGACCTTGCAGAGCTTGTACTCAGCCTCCTCGGCCTGGATGCGGTGCACGGTGAAGCGGCCCTTGGTGTCGTAGATGAGACGGAAGTTCTCGCCGGTCTTCTCAAGACCGATGACATCCATGAAGCCAGCGGGGAAGGTGACGTCGGTGCGGACCTTGCCGTCAACCTTGACCAGACGCTGCATCATGATGGACTTGACCTCGCGGCCGTTGAGAGCGTACTTCAGACTGTAAACCAAAACCCGTCAGTAATCCAACCCTTTTCTATCTGCCGAGTCGTTGGAGTCGTACCGGTTGCGAATGAAGACGATCAGGGGCAGGCAGTCCCGGAGCTTGTGAGGACCGGGAGAGGCCTTGGGGGCATAGGTCCCGGACATCTTGTCCAGGAGCCAGTGCGAGGGCGCGCTAAGGCGCTTCTGGTGCTTCTTACTGTAGAGGACATCCTTGTTAGTTGCGTTGCTTCAAATACACGATACCCATGATATCGTTTCAAGGTCGTCCTAATTGCGCCCTGCGACCAGCTCCATCGAATAAATTCTCTGGAAAATATCACAGAGCGCACCAGAATCAACCCCTGCTGAATGGGAGATTATAACTCACGGTCCGCGAGGCATCTTGTCTGCTTTGTCGACTTGAACCCGGTTAGTTGTCGAAGTGTCGCGAAGGAAGAAAAGCAGTCGACGGCCGAAGGCTTTAGACCACTTACCGCTCCACTGCGAATTTTGCTTAGCGAAGGCTGCTAGTGGGGTGAGCCCTAACGCTAGTACTGTTCTAGCGCCGCCCTATTACCCGCATTCGGTTAGCGTGTGACCCAACCAGTTAGTCTTCAACGCTTATGTAACAGTCACATGACTCGATATCTAATCGACTCTAGCAATGGCGTTGTGTTCGATTGGACAAGATAGGTATAGATGTCTAGGTATCTGCAGGCTAATATCTAATATAATTTTAATCGCTTCAACGGCATACGCTATACTGTCTTAGATGTAGCCCTTGATGACAGCAACCTCGGCGTTGAGGATAGACGACCCGGCCGCTCCGATGACAGTGTTGTGCGAAAGCGCAGCGAACCTAAGATCGAAGAAGCCGCCCTGGACGCCTTCGCGCACGCGACCGACGCTGACGGTGTAGCCGTGCGAGATATCGCGGTCCAGGCGCGGTTGGGGACGGTCAGGCTCATCGAAGACCTTGATGGCCTGCTGCGGTGCCGACGGGGCACCCAGCTTTTGTGCTTCGGACTGATACTCCCTCATGGCTTCGACCACTTGCTCCGCGCTTGGGCCGGGGCGGTTCTTGAACCGCAGCGACACGAACGCCATGTGGCCGTCCGTGACGCCTACCCGGGTGCATGTGGCGCCGATTCTGAGACCGGACTGTTCCTCGAAGGCAGTGGCTTCGGCGTTCAGAGAGCCCAGGATCTTCTGGGCCTCGTTCTCCATCTTATCCTCCTCGCCGCTGATGTAGGGAATGACGTTGTCCAGGATGTCCATGCTGGGGACACCGGGGTATCCACCTCCCGACAACGCCTGCTCGGTGAAGACCTCCACCTCCTCGACGGGCCCGAACTTGGCCTGGAGAGCCGCGAACGGAATAACCACGCCAATCACAGCACAGTTCGAGTTGCACACCAAGAAACCCTTCTTGAGGCCGAAGTGCTTTCTTTGATGGGGAATCAAGTCCAGATGTTGGGGGTTGACGGTGGGGACGACCAGGGGGACGGTGGGGTGCTTGCGGTAGTTCTTAGCGTTCGAGAAGACAGGGATATCGGCCTTGATGAATTCCATTTCTATAATGCGCATATTAGTCCTAGTCCTTCGTGCTCTAGTGAGCCACAACGTACCAGTTTCGCCCGCAATATCGCTATTAAGCCCGGAGAAGACCAGATCGCAGTCGGCGAACTGCTCAGCCCTGCAGTCTCGCAGAACAAGGTTGCTCAGTCGCTCGGACATGGCCGTGCTCTGCTTCCACTTCACGGCATCTTTGTAGGCTTTTCCGGCGGAGCGGCTCGAGGCACCGACGGCCTGGAGCTCCAGGAACGGGTGGTCGGCGAGCAGGAGGATGAATCGTTGGCCCACCGATCCGGTGGCACCGAGGATACCTAATCAAATCAGCCTTATCCCAGTGTGTTGGGCTGGAATGTCCCGTACCGCACTTTTTCTTGGGGTAGGTGGTCATTTTGTCGGTAATATAGAATCGGCCCAATCTGCTATTAGATTAACAATCTGGTCTCATTATTCGCGTGCATTGAACCATGAGCATTGCGACATGTCTCCATCTCCGAGAATTCAAGCCGGACTCAATTGCAGGGCTGCTCGAGAGTACCATGGACGGACTCCATGCCCCGCAGATGCGACAGGAACTGATGCTCGAAGTCACTGATGTAATGACATGCCGATCTTCCGCGTATAGGCTCAAATACAAACGTGCACTCTCAACAAGAGGAGAAAAGCAGCACTTACCAGTTCAATTGGTGATTGTTCAGAGAGATCCCAGGTGGCAACGAGAACCGTCAAGACGGGAACTGCGATGTCGCTTTGGCGGGCAGTTCGTTGCCCCGCCATGAGTCATCCTCCTATTACTAACTCACCGGGTTCCTGTCCTATATCGGCTGTGGGTCTTAATTGAACTTGATCTACATAACGGAGAAGACAATTTTTATATGTTGAAGTGTTATGGCGATTTCTATAGTCTATCATAAATGCATGAAAGTATACAAGACCCCTGCAGCCGGCCTCTACAGAGCTCACTTCTTAGCAGCCTTTGCACAATGGGATATATACAGGATTCTATCAGATAATAACTTATTGTTCCGGTTCACTTTCATGGTCAAAGATCTTGCCAGGGTTCAGCAACCAGTTAGGGTCGAGGGACCTCTTGATGCTCCGCATCACGTCAATTGTACACGGGCCGAGCTCTTTGCGGAGAGAGCCCTTCTTACCCAACCCAACGCCATGCTCGCCCTAGAAGAAGTTAGATGATTCTGCTAAACGGCTTGATTTCGGGGTGACTTACAGTGCACGAGCCTTCCATTTCTAGAGCGCGGTCAACCATATCGTGGACGACCTTCTCGACGCGCTCCCGCTCTACCGGGTCATTCCGATCGTACATGATACTCGAGTGGAAGTTTCCGTCGCCGATATGTCCGAGGATGCTAGCGAACAACCCCAAATCGTCAAGCTCCTTCTTGGAGATGTCTAAATCTATTAGCGAAGCCTGGAAGAAAGGGAAAGAGCTACGTACCGATGATTTCCGGCAGCCTGGAGACCGGCACAGCGACATCAGTCGACCAGATCTCGGAACCCTCCTTTCTCAGCGCCATCATGCTCCATAACGACTGTTTCCGCGCGGACCATAGGTCATGTGCCTCTCGCTCGGTTTTGGCAAACTCAAAGGTATCAGCCTTATTCCCTTGGGCGAGTTTGGTGGTCAGGGCGATGCTATCGGCAACCCCAGCGGTTGTTCCCGAGAACTTGAAGAAAAGAGTAGGCTGCTTCTTCCACGACCGCCCTGTGCCGCCGGCGCGGTTGATCACGTCCATCTGGACATCGTCTAAGATTTCCATGCACTGCACGGGGATACCCTTTTTGATCAACTGCATAGCAGTAGACGCTGCATCGTGCATCGTCAGGAAAGACACCACCCCGACTCGGGTTTGTTCCGGGACCGGTGCCAGCTTGAGTGTGGCCTCGGTGACTATTCCCAGAGTTCCTTCCGAGCCGACAAACAGTCCCGTCAAGTTGTAGCCTGCAGAGGTTTTGCGCGGACGCTTCCGGGTCTTCATGATGCGACCGTCCGCCAAAACCACGGTCAGGTTGATCACCCAGTCCTTCATGGTGCCGTATCGCACCGCATTCGTCCCGCTGCAGTTCGTGCCGATCATACCACCAATCATAGCCGACGGGCCAGGATCAACGGGGAAGAACAGACCGCTATCCTTGATCTTCTCGTTCAAGTCCATCCACTGAATGGAAGGCTGCACGACGATATCCAAGTCATCCTCATGCAGCTCCAAGATCTTATTCATGTCTGCGAAATCGATCGTCATCCCCCCGTAGGGAGCGGAGAAGTTGGCTTCGAGACTGGAACCCCCGGAGTAAGGAACCATGGGCATCTTGTATTTGTGGCAGATTTTGGCAATCTCGGAGACTTCTTCTGTGGACTTGGGATACGCAATGGCGACGGGGAGGCGCTCCGCGTTGACACTGGACCATTCGGAAAAGCCATGCAGTTGGAGGTCATCCTCGTCGGTGCTGACCACGTCTTCGCCTAGCTTGGATCTGACTTCTGCGATCGCCTATTCTCATACCGGTTAAAAACATGCGTTGGATGCGAAGTAGTAGTGATGGCGGGGGTCTCACCTTTTCGAAATCCGCCACTGACCCGTACTGGAGTGGACTGGACTTTTGCGACGGTGTCGACCGCGTGGTGGTCGCTAAGGTGTAACCAACTCCCGCGGCCAAAGCGGAGACAAGAGCCACCCGACCTGCCGACCAAGAGCTCGATGTTGACCCTGATTTCGAACCGTCTTTGTGCGCGCCTTCTCCATTACTTGTCGTGCTATTCCAACGAGCGACTCTCGCCGACGAGGAGAAACTCTGCGGGAGGTTGGGCCGACGGGGATTGATCGCGCGGGGGCATGCGGGGAGGCCCCGAGAGAGTGCAAGAACCGGTCGCATGACTCTTGCAACACAAGAACAAGGGAGAAAATAGTATAGAGGCGTAAGGCGTAAGACGTACTAATCTCCAGCAATGTGATGATGATTGATCTCCTTTATGGTATGCTCCTGACCATGATGTAACGGGGAACCTCCTCGCTTCACGTCACCCCTTAGGAGACCACGCCATTCGGAGCAATAATTGTAAGCCCGTCGGTAACTATTCGGCCGAGAGTGTTCTTGATAAGAAGAGGGGAAGCAGGAAACCCGGAGTAATGACAAGTCCTCCGACCCCACCACCAATTAATCCCGAATTTACCGAGCTTTCTATATCCAGTTTATCCACCCGATCGGGTCAAGTCCGACTATCCGTACGGGAGGCGGAATAATTCCATGTAATGCTGTCCTGTCTTTTCTATTATTATATTCGTTATTTTATTGTTTATTCTAGTTTATTTATTTCTCTTTTCCTCTCATATCTTCAAAAGAGTGGACATATCAGTCTACCACTCATTGGAGGTGGATTCTCTGTCCAGAACATAGCTGGCAGTGTACCGGTAAAGCGCTGGTAGCCTGGTACACAGATCTCGGCTAGCGGCGTGTTGAGAATTCGCGCATGGAGCAAACATTCTGTGGAGGACTGGACCCCAGGCAGGGGCTTCCCAGCACTAAAGACACCCTAACTTTATCTTAAAGCGCTCGAGGGGTGGGATGCTGTGTGCGATTGGCTGTGGTTCTGGCTGGTGGGTCAGGGACCTTTCATCGCTTTGACGTTCTCCATAGTTAGTAAGACCCTGATTACTGAGTTTGGGTGGGTTGTCCGGTTGGTAAGATGAGTGGTTTTACTGTTAGAAATCAGCAATAATGTCTCACTGATTTTTTGCGGTATTCTAGATTCTCTCCTGCTCTATCATCAGGAGAAAGATACACTGTCTAGCTAGTTGCTCACAACAAGTTAGTGGGTAGAGATAGGGCCAATGCGCTACAGGTCCCTAACAGTCGCTGTTTGTGTTTATAGTATGAAGAGATGCCACTTGAGACACCCAAAAATGCATAAATCTCCATATTGAAGAAGTATTTATATTGCGCACCATACGTCAATTGTAGTAGACGGAAACTCAGATGGTATACAAGTAGTTTTTTTGAAGCCATCCAGATCACGAGCCAAGACAGATTGTTGCGGGGGCAACGGACCGGTCCGAAAATAATCATCATTCTTCCCACCTCCAACGAAGCTCGTGCCACCACGCCGAAAGAATCCAAGATCGATCGGCGACAGATTGAGGGACTCATAGTTCATTCTAGTTGTATAATCCATGAAAGAGGTTCTTGAGTAGCCATGTCGGACCAATCGATCGCGTTGGGCCGCGAAGTGGAGCGCTTGATAACAGCCCCATATGCACCCTCTCTCCAGGTAACATGATGTCCCCGCTCTCGTGCCCCTCTTATGTTGGCATCGTATAGTTTGATTGATCATCTTTTCTTAGGATCTCTATGGCATTACTCAAAGTTGCTCTTTGGGCGTAATCCAGTCCTGGGCCTCGCGCAAACCGTGTCAGATCGGGGCTCTGGCTGACGTCGTCGTCGACGGTCTGTCCCGGTCGAACTTTGCGGTGCGCCTACTTGGGGCTTTCGGTAGGTTTTGCTCTTATAGGTGACAGGCCTGCTCTAAGACTATGCAGCGCGTGTTGAGTCCTTCCGTAATGTTTTATTGGAGCGTCATCCCCAATTATTAGACCTATTTCTGCAAAAGGCCATTGAAGATGGAGAATTCCAGGTTGGTCATCTCAAGTCTCCTCCGCTTTCTTGACGCCATGGAAGCGGCATGGACAAAACTAAGTTATTGTTCCCGCCATAGTATATCTCCACGTCTAGTGCCATGCTATCATCGCCTGTCCCGGACAACTTCATCGTCCCAGCACGTCTTGCGCCATTCATCACCAAGCTGATCTCCTTGGTCAAAGAAGCTCCATGCACAGAGAGCATTGGTCCTGTATACCAGCTCACTGCTTCGTTGCAAACATGTCCCCGAGCGCTATGCGAGATCCCCTCGGAAGTTATGTCTAGCCTCCAAATTGAGCTCACGAGGATGTTACGCAATTTCGAGGACCATATGGGAAACCTCTTTTGTCTGGCAACCTTTGCCCGCATTGCTTCCTCACAGAAGACCGGGGCTGTTGATAAGCATTCCCAGTCAACTCCCTCTTGGCTCCAGAGTATCCAGCATTTCTTCGGTCCCAAGCGAGGATTGAAAACCTTGGATCTCGTGTTCTTGCGTGTCATCCTTGCTTGCTCGGCGAGCTGCAACAACTTGACGACCGATCAAGCTGTGGAGAGTATCAAGTTAGCCATCGAGATTTGTGACACTGTTGAAACGAAACAGAAAGAGGACTGGATCAAGGCCAACTCACCCAAGATTTCCAAGCTCTGTGAGAAGGTGGCAAGGGAAGATATTGACGATCGAGTTCAGGTTCTGGTGAGTATTGAGCCAGTTGGTAATTCTATATTGAGTTTTGTTACTGAAACCACTAGGGTATTACATATCTTGTCTCCCTCATTCCAACAGCAACCATGTCCCCTGAGATACCGCGACTCGCACTCCAGTGGTTGCTCTCACAGAAAAGTGGGCGCGCTCTGGAGGTTTTGCCAGCAAATACCATCCCACGCTTAGTGGAGGCAAATGCTGTAAGTGACAGTCTAAAGATCTTGAAGGCTGTACTGACGCATCAAAGATCCGCTTAGGGAGCCCCGCGATAAGTGGCATCCTGGACTACGTGGTTTCGTCGCTCAAAACAGAAATTGGGGATGACCCCAATTATATGGGCACTCTGCAGCTCGCGCGACTGTTGCTCTTTGGCCTGCAGAAAGTCGTACCACAGCTCTCAGAATCTGCAGGGTTAGAACCGATAGTCGCATGCAGCGGAGCCGTAGAGCAACTCACTCAAAGCTTTCCAAAACAGCCGGCCCATTCTCTTTGTCAGGGAGCCAGCTCCTGCTATTGTTCCGCTGCCGCGCTACAAAATGGATTGCTCTGTGAGCTATTCGATCTTCACACCCAATCCTCAATTCTACAATGTAAAAATGAGAAGACATTCGAAATGCCTGGGGTGATGGCTTTCAGCACCATCATGTCAAGGGCTTCAAAAATGATTCCGGAGAACAAGTGTCTCTTCTCCACAAGAGCACCACTCCAGCTGCAAACCGATCGTCCCACTCCGAGAATCCGCAAAGCCTCTCGTGCTGTAAGGCAAGACTGGAGGGCAAGTCTGGCTGAGACACTCATGGCAAGTGCACGCACCTCACATGACGATATGATGCATAAGCTAGACGGCGTTTGTTACGATCTTGAAAGCCGCTGCCAAAGCATAGAGACTCCCTTGAAAATAGTGGAAGAAGAACGCGACAGATTCTCTCTAGAAGCACAGGCTACGAAGCAACAAAATACCGACCTGGGGCTCCAGCTCCAGCAGGCGACTGACACAATTGCTCGACTTGAACAGGATATTGCACGTCTGGAGAATCATGCAGAAAATGTTACTGTCCGCGTTGAAGAACTCTCAGCAAGTCTCGATGCATCTCACCAGGAGCTGGAAGACCAAAAACATACTTCCCAAGAAGAGGCTGACAGAGAGCGTGAAAGGTCCCGTAGCAGGGAGCTGGATCTGATTGCTTCCGTCACGGAACAGGAAGAACGCGTGGATACGCTCTACGAAGAAATCAGAGTCGAAAAGGAGCAGAACTGCAGATTACAACAAGAACTTGAAACTACTGAGCGTCAACGCTCGGATTTTACGAGAGAAAATGAGTCGTTGAAAGAAGATCTGGACAAACTCGGGAAAGATAATGAGGAAAAGCAAAGTCTCCTCGACGCTAAAGACGAGGAGATCCAACAGCTCCTGGCTGGGAAAGAAAATGTTGAGGGCCAGGTCGTTGACTTGTTGCAGAAGGTATACAGAATTTTCCTATCCTGGAATGCTCCGCGGTACTAATAGATGGGTGTACAGTTGGATCAAGAGGTCATGAAGTCCGCCGTTCTCGAGTCGACGCTTGATGAAACCAAGGGAGATTTCAAGATGGAATTGGATACAACGAGAAAGCAGCTGGAGGGGAAGATTACGGCTAGTGAGATTGAGGTATTACGATTGGTCTTGATCTTCTTTGATTGTCTCTAACTTGTGTATCCAGTGTGCAAAGCGACAGGAAGAGATTGCCTCTTTGCGAGCTTCCCTGCAAGCAGCCGAAGACACCGCCACCAAACAGCTGCAAACGAAGGATAAACGAATTCAATCGTTGGAAAAGAAGGTAAAGTTTACTTTTATCTGCCAATATCCCACAGTCATATTTTGAGCCATGTCTATTTTGTCCTTGAAATTGACATTTGGCCAGGTGCAACACATGCGCGATGAACGGTCGACCAAGGCACGAGAGTTTTCAGAGGCACAGCAACATATCGGGCGTCTCATGTCAGTAATGGGTTTTAAACCCGACTCAGGCCATTCCAAGCCATCCAAATCGCGGTCCAAATCAATCATCGGCCCTTCTCCAATCGCATCAGCCCAACAGCAAACGCATTCCTCAGACGAGCAGACAGAATCTCTGCTAGAAGATCCAGAGACCACGTCATTTGACTCAGCAGCACCTCATTTTGTTGGCCGCAGCCCCAAAAGACCCAGAGACAGCACCTACGCTATGGCTGAAACACCGGCCCGACCCCAGGAGAAGAAGGCCAAGAATCCATCCCGGGTGGGCAGCATGCGGCCACGCTCTGAGCGGAGAGTGCTAGAAGAAGCAGACCAAAACAGCCAGTCTAGTTCCCAGAGCAGCCGCAGGTCAAATGCCAGTCAGGGTGAAACATTTGAGGAGAGTCAATATATGGATGAAAACCATCTCCAGGGGATAGATCTTGATATGGATTTGGAGCTCACAAAGGACTTCATATTTACTAGCACGTCTTTGTCTCAGGCAAATGATAATGTGCCTCCGCCTGGAGCTCAGGGGTGATAATTTTAAGTCTTGATTGATTGAGATACTATAATTACTGACCAGTTTGTAAATATGCTTACTTTGATTGAACGTCATAATGTGATGAAAGCAATCACTGTTCTCTTACTTATTCTTGTTTGCTCTGTGACTGGATTTTATATTCACAGTAAATGTGATATTAATCAGTCTTAGTGTAAGACATCGATTCTACTTAGAGTACTCTTCACTATACTATCATATAGCAACCCTGTAACATCTTTGAATATCCATAGATATCTTTCTTCTATTTGTCTCCTTGCTTACTATTTCTCACTCTGGAGTTCCGTATGACCTAAGTAGTCAATCTCACTTTATCATATATCTGCTCTTAATCCACCGGTCAGTCACAAAGAGGGTATGTTACTTTACTCACGGCACTGATATTGCACATAAGCAAAATGGAGAAAGAACAGCAAGGGCCGTGGTATTATCCATTCAGTGTGTTTTATTTTAAAAGGCGACAGGTAGGGTTCCTAAATGCCAGTTATCATAGATCCTCAAGGAAATCTCACTAATGACAACTCAGAGTGCCGAGAAACCCTTTCTTTCTAGTTCTGGAGATTCTCAAACCACCCCCGGGTTCACCTCTGAATTTTTATCTTCTTCGGGCTCTGACACTCTTCTGCCTCTCACCTCATCTTCACCCACGCTTGTTTCGGCTCCCTCTTTCTCCTCCCCTTCCTCCTTTCCCTCTCCTCCAAATCTGTTTCCATCAGCAAAGATGCGGCGTCGTGTATTAAGCAGCTCAACGCCCAACAAGTCTGTCCCAGAACCCCAAACACGCAAACTCCAAGCTCCACCAAAGCCCTCACCCCTACAGCTACCTTCTCAAATCCTACCGTCCTGGAGCCAGAGGGATACTCTCGCTATCAGACTCACCAATGTCCCGAAAGAAACAAGCGCTGTGGACTTATGGGAGGCTTTTCACAAGGAAGGAAGCATTTTCACTATCGACCTTTTTGAGGACAGCCATGGGAACAGAAGGACAGAGGGCAAAGTCCGCTTCAAGTCAGCTCTTGCATCCAATCTTAGCCCACCACATACTCACATTCATAGGCCACCTCCGGCGACAGACTTCTGGAAAACAGGAACCTACGAGATAAGCTTGCCAGATGGCCGAGTTACGACTATTTTTATACGTCCAGAGTTTCATCTGCCTTATAACAGAAGGGTCGACAGCCCAGTCGGCCGTGACGTTACATACCCTGTCGAGGTTGTAAGTTCAAGTATCATCCCAAGGTTCTCGTGAACTGTCTAATCCGTAATTTTCCAAGAAAATCCCCATCGCGTCCATGGATATAGGAGTTTTGGTGGACGAAAAGACAATGCTTCCCATGCGCACTGTTGGTCTAGGTGCTGATGAGCATCCCTTCTTACTTCTCGATCTGAAAGCCAGGGCCATGATGATCTATTTTCAACTTCCGATACTCTTCAATCCTAAGAGCAAGCTCCAGGCAGGTGATAAGTATAACCAATACCGTCTGAAGATTCCTCTGGTGCAATTGACCCAAATTCTTCAGACTGGGGACCCTGCATCGATCATAACTCACTTGCTAGTGCTGGAGTCTCCACCCTTGTATTTTCGGCGTGCTACGGATATCCCGAATACTTTCGTTGACGATAACTCATGGAGGGACTCGGACTCCTGGTATCGTCAGACCAACATTGTCCATAACCCGTTAGAGCTTGCCGGTGTCCCGACGAGCTTGCGCAAGTTGAAGCCAATGATTGATATCGGTACATAATATCCTTCTCTCTGTCTTTGCATGCTTTCTGCTCGCTCATTGACTGACCAAGATACACAGGCCGTTGGAATGTTCTCAGGGCGACATTTCCTCAAAACATTGGCCTTAATCCTAGTTTTTCGCTGGTCTGCAATATTCTCAAAGACTACAACGTGAGAATCGAAGATATCGATAGCTTCACTGTATGGGATGGATCTAAAGAGAGGCCACCTCCCGTTTGGGAATGGATTGACCTATCCAAGTCTTCACCTCAGACGGAAAGCTCTTCTCTCGGAGACCTTTTGGATCATACCTATGTTCATCTAGATTCTCGCGTACGGTATCAGCTCGAGGTGTGTATATCCCATGGATACCTCTCGGAATTCACCATGTCTCGTGAGTTTGTGGTCAAGCTCGCGGAACTTGAAGAACCAGAAGCCAGAAAACTTCTTGAACATGTTGCGACGGAGAAGAAAGTCTACTTTGATCCCATGAAGATATTCGATTTGATATTCATCAAGGGTACAACAAACGCTAGGATACCTTCGCACTGTTGCCACATGCGCTCGGCAAGGATCACGCCCAGCACCGTCTACTTCAACACCCCCACGGTGGACATATCGAATCGAATCGTTCGACGATACAGAGAACACTCAGATAGGTTTCTCCGGGTCCGGTTTACCGATGAGAAGCTACTCGGTCGAATTTCTGCAAGTGTTGACAATACGAGAAACGAGATCTTCACGCGGGTAAAGAGAACATTGGCAAATGGCATCGTGATTGGCGACATGCACTACGAGTTTCTTGCATTCGGAAACTCCCAATTTCGTGAGCATGGTGCCTATTTCTTCGCCGGGCAGCCTGGCCTTACTGCCGCCAATATTCGAGCATGGATGGGAACCTTCAATAATATCCGGAATGTTGCTAAGCACACCGCACGTTTGGGACAATGTTTCTCAACTACCCGCGCCGTTGCTGGGTCATCTGTGACGGTTAACAGAATTGATGATATCGTACACAACGGATATACTTTCTCCGATGGCGTTGGCAGAATTTCGCGCTTCCTTGCTCAGATGACCATGTCTGAACTGAAGATCAAAACTCCAAATGGGGAGCCCCCGTCCGCGTTCCAATTCCGCCTTGGAGGCAGCAAGGGGATGCTCACTGTATCATCCCAAGCTCAGCCACAGGAGGTTCACATACGAAAAAGTCAGGATAAATTTACGGCAAACCACAGCGGCCTGGAAATCATTCGCTGGTCACAATTCTCAATCGCAACTTTGAACCGCCAATTGATCATTGTTCTATCCACCCTCGGAATACCCGATGAAGTCTTTCGTGCCAAACTCAAAGACATGCTGCAGGGTCTGGATGAAGCACAGAAAAGTGATACGCGGGCTATCTACTGGTTGAGGAGATATCTAGACCCGAACCAAATGACACTCGTCGTGAGTCAGATGGTCAGCGATGGCTTCAGGCGAGTCCAAGAACCCTTCTTGACTTCAATACTGACCCTCTGGAGGGCTTGGCATCTTAAGTATTTGAAAGAGAAGGCGAAGATTGCCATTGAAAAAGGTGCAAATCTCCTAGGCTGCATGGATGAGACAGGTACTCTGAAGGGCCATTTCAACAACATCCCCGGAAAGGATGCGTCCGTTAAGGAACTCAAGGCAGCATTGCCGGAGATATTCGTCCAGGTTTCCAACCCAGAGAAGGAAGGAAAATACGAGATAATCGAGGGACTCTGCATCCTAGCCCGAAACCCCTCCCTTCACCCCGGCGATATTCGCGTCGTGAATGCAGTGAACGTCCCAACTCTACGGCACCTCCAAGATGTAGTTGTCCTGCCGCAGACCGGTGATCGGGACATCGCAAGTATGTGTTCCGGTGGCGATTTGGACGGCGATGACTACCTTGTTATCTGGGATCAAGATTTGGTCCCTGAAGACTGGTTTCGCGAGCCGATGACCTATACTAGCAACGCGGCTCGGGACCTCGATCACGATGTCACCGTCGACGAGATAACATCGTTCTTCGTGACCTATATGAAGAACGACTGCCTTCCTCAGGTCGCACACGCACACCTCGCCTGGGCCGATTGGCTTCAGAACGGGGTAAACGAAGAGAAATGCATCAAGCTGGCCCAGCTTCATTCCGACGCTGTGGACTACAACAAAACCGGCAATCCAGCCATAATGACTCGAAATCTTCGACCTCGTCTCTGGCCTCATTTCATGGAAAAGAATCACCTACCAAAGGACAAGATCTACCATTCTAGAAAGATACTTGGTCAGCTTTACGACGCCGTCGAGCGCATTGACTTCGTTCCTAGTCTCGAGATGTCTTTTGACGAGAGGATTCTCAAATGTGGAGTCCAGGTCACCGCAGATATCTACCAGTTTGCGAAGGATCTCAAAGTCTCCTACGACGAGGCTATCCGCCGCATCATGGCGCAGCACGAGATCAAGACCGAGTTCGAAGTCTGGTCCACGTTCGTCCTCAGTCACGCAAACATGAGCAAGGACTACAAGTTCCACGAGGAACTAGGCGCATTGTCATCCGCTCTCCGCGAGGGCTTCAAAAGTAAATGCTATGAGAAAGTCGGCGGTCGTGAATTCGAGCAGCTAGCTCCGCTCGCCGTCGCTATGTATCGCCTCACTCACGAGGAAATGTCCGCCGCTTGGGACAAACATCGCTGCGAGAACCCGCCTGACGAAAGGTTTTTCCACAGACGCTCACCCTCCATAGACACGCTTCCTCTGATCAGCTTTCCGTGGATTTTCCCGCACGTACTCGGCAAGATAGCAATGCGCCATTACGACGAATCACCCCCTCTCCCGTCGCAGACAGACGAGGGGCTTCTCGTCGATACAACCGTTGATCTCCGTCTCCGCCATTCTAGCGATGACCTTGTCGTTCAGTCTCAGCCGCCACTCGACTCTCAGAGCTTAGTCCCTGTTCATAACAATCAGCCGGCTACTACCACACCCCCGAGTCTACTCGTCAACGACCTCGTCCCGGGCCCCATGCTACCCGGTCTACGTCGGGGGACGCGTCTCATCCGGACATTCGCCACGGGGGTCGAATCCCTAGAAAACCTCCTCGATTTCGGCCTCTCCGAAGGGTGCAACGGCTCATCTTCTGAATCTGCTACTACTCCCAACAACGATGAGGAGCGTGCTGGAAACGGGGGCCTTCTGCTCGAGTGGGACAGCAATGCTAGCGCCGAGGATATCAACCACTCTATTGATAACGCGGTCGTTTCGGATCCCGTTCCAGAGTTGAAAGGCGGCAGCAACGGCGCGGTCGTGGAGATTGTGGAAGAGGTCGTTGAGGAGGATTATGGGCTTCAGCTTACGGCGCTTGATAAGCTGAGTCGGTTGCTTGAGACCTAATTGTTTTTTTCTTTGCTTTGACTCATTCTGTTTCTGTAAGCAAGGATTCAACGTATCAAGCGGGTGGATATGCGCTGTCTCTTGTGGTGTTCTGAGGGGGACTCATCCATGCTGTCACGTTTGGCGACTAGGGGCATGATTTTCTGCTGTTTTACTTTGATGCCTATAAGCCAGGGGCGTTTCTCATAGGGGTGATGAGATAAATCAAACAGACAGATCAAGCAAGAGAGGTTAATATCAACAATTAATTCAAGAAATCAATGTCTGGACCAAGGCAAGCCCTACAGACAGTATAACGGGGTATAGTAGTAGTTCGCCCTTGCGCCAGGACCCAATAAAGCAACGCCATTAACCTTCTTCCAAAATCTCCATGAAAACAATCATAACCTCAAAACAAACTCACCATTCCAACCCACTTTCACAATTCTCCAACAACCCCATAACAGGCCCCAACACAGCCCTCGTATGCCTCCAATTCGCCGAATGTCTCGTCCGAGAATAAAACACCGGACAATCCTTGCTATCGCACTTAACGTCATCGCCGAACGGGACGCCCATGCAAGAGCGACACACACGGTGGAGGTCCGACACCCTCTTTTCAGCCTGCTGCTGGCGAGTAGTCAGGTCGAGCAGCGCGACGTGGGGTTGTCCCATGCAGGCGGCGCAGACGGGGGCGTCCGTGTTGTCTAGTTTGGACTTGCAGACTACGCATGAGGAGGATTTCATGTACGATTCGAGGGTTTTGCGGGCTTCCTTTCCTGAAGAGGTCGAAGCAGTGCCTTCGACGCGGCGGATGCGTTGCACTTTGGGCATTTCGTCGTACCATTGGCGGATGTTGGCGCCGACGAGGTTGAAGATTCGCTCTAGTGGCGGGATGAGATTCTTGGTGATGTAGTACTCGGCGTCGAGGTCGAGCTGGGCGTCGGACAGAAGGGTCTCGGGCGACACGCACCGGTCGATTAGTCTTGATCCGGGCGCCCCCGTGACGACTACGTATGGGACGCGTTCGCCGTATTGGGGCTCCTGGCGGGGATCTTCGAGCATCTTTTTTGTGCTGATCAGTGCGCCTGGTGGGGGGAGGCCTCGTTCGCTGTAGGTTCCTAGTCGGACTGCTCGCGCGAAGCAGAAGTCTTGGATGGAGACGTTGCCTTGCATGATTTTTGTGCATTGCTTTTGGAAGTACTTCTTGACTTGGCTTAGATCGGCGGTTCGGAAGAGGAGTTTGAGGGCTTTTTCTTCGATCTTTTGTTCGGCGGGCGTGCCGTCCCTGCGAACCGTTTCGATGCCCTTCGCGTCGAAGACTGGCTCCTTTTGGTCCCGGTGTTCGTACTTGAAGCCCACGTAGCGTTTCTTCGCGAGTAGGACGCACGGGTGGTAGACTTTTTCGAATTTGAGCTTCACTGGGCGTGGGTTGATCTCTGTGACGGCTTTGGCGATCTCGTCGCCAATGTCGAAAGCTTGTTCCCGTGTTCGTCCCTTGAGGTACACGAAAAGACTGTCCGTGTCGCCGTAGACAACCTCTGCACCCCAGCGATCTACGGAGTGGATGAACGCTATTGCTTTTTCGAGTGTTTCCCTGCCTGACTGGACAATGCTGTCGGCTATCTCGGAGCAAGGCATTCTCCCCGAGAACGATGCAGAAGTGTATCCGTATGTCACGTTGGCGATAAGCTTGAGGGCGAGCTGTCTGTTATTGAGAAGGCGTTGGAGCGCCTTGTCGTCTTTGTCCTCTTTCATCCCAGCCTTCACCATGACTCGTGTCTCTAGAATCTCAGCCAACATCCTTGCTAGCAATGATGTCCGTACCTCCGGCTTCGCGTACATCATGCCATTTGGCGCGATGTTGATCTTGTCTTTGAACAGCTCCAGCAGGCCCGGCTGCCTCTCATAATCTGTGAATCCCATTTTGCTGCGACCCATCCATGGACGTGCTCTGCCAAGGAACGTTGAATAGCAGTAATTGTAAGCAATCATGATGCTGGGATACAGCGACTGAAAATCCAAGACCAGAAGAGGACTGGTGTAAAAGTCACTCTGGGGCTCCATGACCAGTGGCAGACATTCGAGGGCATTCTGCTGGCCGACTTGTTTCTTGCTCGGAGACACGAGGAGAAAGTTCTCCGGTTTCGCTATTCGGAACATCAGGGACTCCACCTTGAACTGAGAGCCTCGAGAGACGACAGAAAAGAAGTCGATTCCAAGAAGTCGCGCTTGCTCACTGGTTCTCGATATCAGCTCGTTGGAGTCAATGATCTCGAGATTCATTTGCACGCGCGAAACGAAATAGCCGATGACTTTCAACAGGCTCCGAGGCTGTCCACTCTTGAACCAGTCGGTGAGATCGCGGAATGAATAGTGTGGGGTTCGTCGGTGCAGCAAGTGAAACACGACGTTTTCCATGGTGTATTGGAGCAAGTTGAGTTCGCCTTTCATCGCTCGCCAAATGTTGACTATATGGCGCCCCGTAATTCGGATAGAAGACGTATGGTTGAATCCCCATCGATCAGCGTCCTTACCAAATCTTCCACGCGCTTGTGCTTTGACTCTAGAGAGCTCATCACACATGTCGTAATCATATTTTTTTCTAGCTCTCTCAATCAAATATCCCCAGGAGCTATTGTGGACTTCGTATCCGGTGATGATATCCGGGTCATGAAAACGCACAATGTCCACTATCCGGGTAAGTAAATCAAGTTCGGTTGGTTCATGTTCTAGATCGATCCTCAAGGCTTTGGACACCTTAGCCTCTGGCATATCACCCTCGCCCTGGAATACCATTCCGACGTGGACACCCGGTAGATGGCTGTTGATATCCAAGTCTTCGTCGTCTGATTTAATCGCCCAGAATACACCGGTGATCTCATCTTCGTCCGGGTTTGGGGCAAGGATGCCACGAGTATTCACGTGAACCTCCAAGCTCATTACGCTCATATATTGGGCCTGGTGCTCTACATTCGTAGAGCTCTTCTTCTGGGAGTATTTAAACCCGTATTCATTGGCCTGCGTAGGACCCTCGATTTGTGACAAAATATTTGGTTTCGTTTCCGGTGCACGAAGTTCGGTTCCATGCTTAGCAGCCTTGTCCCGCATCTCGTTCTGCATGTTTTTAAACCACTCAACGACCTCGGAGCGACTCGGGGGCACAGGCGCAAACTCCCATACTCTGCAGCTGGTGGATTCTCGTAGAAAGTGATCGACTTTCTGCTGTTCTTGCTTATCTCGTGTCGGACCGGGTTGGTCTCCCATCAATGCAAGAGAACTCCCTGACGGATCGAAATCGGGAAGAAAATGTATGCTGTTGCCCTCCAAGCGAAATTCCCTACCGGCATAGTCCCGAGGTCGATCAGGAACATCGCTTTCGTTGCTGTAGAACGCCTTCTGGTACACGGCAGACGGGCATCCGTAACCATTGAGGGTTGAAGAGACCTCCTTGGGGGTGGGACACGGAATCTGCAAACAGTACACTCGGGAACCCAATGGTATATTGAAGGCATCTCTAATCATTGTCGCCATTTCTGAGACATGTGGATTCGTGGTATGTGATTTGGTTTCCGATAGTGATGATTGCGGTAGAGACGACATCTCGTCATGAGTCGATTCTTTGGAGGCATTTTCCAGTGGCTGAGAGATACCACTATGTTCTGCAGTCTCCATTGTTGCTTTCAAGGGACTAGCGCCATCCTGACTGAAACGTAGTATTGTCATAGGGTCGTTTGGATCCTTTACAACAGGAAAGTTCAATTTACTCTTCTGGCCTTCGCCCCTGAAGTGGGTAGCAAGCTGCGACGCTGGGGGGTTATGTTGCGATGATTGGGACCCTGTGGGTTCATTCGACCTAACCTCCCCGTGTTCACTTTCACGTCGGTGGAAACTCCCATCGAAACTTTGAAGCGTTCTCGAAAAGCTGTGAGATTGCGTATCCCCCAAAATCCTTCCTCTTTTCCGAGGGTCGACTTCATCCATTAGATTATTTCGACGGCGCTTCGAAAATCTAGAAGCATGCGGGACATGTCCATTGAAGGTTTCAAGAGGTTCCTGGCGCCGGTCCCCTGCTAATTTTCCAGGCACGTCCAAAAGCAAAAGTTCATCTTCCGGATCATCATCCATGGATTCTGCACCTTCTTCGTCATCTTCATATGCTTCGTTGCCTTCAGAGAAGATGTCTGCTACATCCTCATCATCGGAGCAGTATGGACTCCCATACGGCTGGGCAGACAATGCTGCATCCTCATTGACTTGTGCTTCCACACTGTCGAGTGCACTCTCATTTCGATCTTGATACGCTTCCAAATTTGAAACCTCGTTACTGTCCGCGAAAAGATCTTCAACGCTCTCCATCGCAGTCTTGATGTTTTTCTCCAGGGGGTTTGGGTGGAGATAATTATCAAAAGTCACATCCGCTCCACCAGTTGCGCGTTTCTCTTCAGCGGCAAGCTGAGCAGCCATATCGCGAAACTCATCTTCATGAATCCAGCCACCCTTCGATTGATTCCTTGAGCTTGACGAAAATGACACAAGGTCCTCAGCCCTGAAAGGACTACTCCCCGGGTCAAGCTGTCCAAGTCGTTTTTTCCGTCTTCGAGACTCATCTTGCCACAGGCCAGCCATGCTAGGGACTAATCGCTCATCCGATGGGAATGATTTAAACAGCTCGGTGAAGTCATGGTGGATATCTCTCTCCCTGATTTCCACGCGGTTCAAGATATCCTGCACGTGCACGTCTACCTCCAACGGACAATGGCTTTGTTTAGGTAGATCAGTTTCACCGGAGACACTGTCGGGGTTTATCGATCGGTCGTGCCAGCGATGATCCAGATTACTCAGTTCCATATACTCGGGTACAGGTGAGCGGAATTTAACCTTGCCGCACTTCATGATAGCACAGCCGAACAAGCTGTAGTCGCACATCCACTGCGGGATGTATTGCAAATGGCTTTCATATGGCTGTAAGGGGCGCTTCAGCACTGCCCCCTGCAGGAGTAAATCCGCAAGCCTCGTGGTGTAAATGGGATTTAGAAGATAGATCTTGAAGTAGAACCGGTATCCCACATGGTAGCCGTAGAATGGCACGCCCTTTACAAGGGTGATATGAGCAACAAAGAAGGCTCTTTTGTCGTATTCATTGCGCCGGTAGCTTACCGCTAGCGCACGATCGATAGAGAGATGCAGACTCCGAGTTGCAGAGCTCACTAGATATAGACCTCTTAGCCAAATTGAGTTGACAACTACGCAAACAAGATAGACTAACCGTGTTCTGGGCTTAAATCGCCAGTATACTCGACGTACAAATAAGGAAACGCGCCATGGATGTGAACGCAGACCTTCTGGCCAGTCTCCGTGGCCCCAAAGACCCTGATCACCGGCACTTTGGGCCTGTCATATTTTCCTGTCGCGCCATCCCGGTAAGGCAAAGGCGGATCGAACTCGGATGGGGCCGCTTGGTAATGATCCACGCAGTTCAAGCGCACTTGGAAGGGGTCCATTAGATGGCTAAGAAACGGCCAAACAGCGACATAGCGGTAGAAGAGACAAAGGTCATCACATCGCTAGCTATCTCGCGCTGATACTTTTGTTCTAGAGAAGCCGTGGCGTTGCTCGGGGGTAAGATCGCAGCCTCGGCGTGCGTAATTGGCCGCTACGCGTTCGGAACGCCTTGTCACGTGAGGCGGCATGCATACAGCACAGATAGTGACTAATCGGTCAGATGACTGCGCATAAGCCCAACACAATCGGCGATCTGCAAGAACCTCCAACTCCGACGCTGCTACGTCGACCGTCTCATCAGACATTCTTCTGTAGCAGAGTTTGTCGCGAAATCACTATACAGACTTATTTTCTATTGTCCAGCCTTCTCTACTCTCGATCATCATCTCATAGCCGCAGATCACCATGTCGTCGCGAAAACCCGCCGATGTGGCGTCGAAGGAGCGCAACGAATACATTCCCTCTTTCATCTCCAAAAAGCCGTTCTATATCGATGACGAATCCTCTGCGAACGACTATCTCGAGCATCAACGTTTACACAAGGAAGCCTCCGCCGACCAGTCTAGATGGTATGAGCGGGGAAAGCGTGCTGGCCCAGCCGCCACCAAGTACCGCAAAGGGGCTTGCGAGAACTGCGGTGCTATGACCCACAAAACGAAAGAGTGTCTAAGTCGACCCCGGAAGCATGGGGCCCGGTGGACCGGCAAAAACATACAGGCGGATGAGGTTATTCAGGATGTGTCGCTGGGGTGGGACGCCAAGCGAGACCGGTGGAATGGTTACGATCCTAACGAGTACCGACAAGTGGTCGAAGAGTTTGAAGAATTGGAGTCGTTAAAACGATCTGCCAAGACCGGCGATGACGAGGAGCAGAAGAGGATTACCGATGGCGATCCCGACGAAGAGCAAACACTCGGCGAACTCGGCGATCAAGCCCGCTACGCTGAAGAATCCGACATGGGAAGACAACAGAGCACCGCGACCCGGAATCTACGTATTCGAGAAGACACGGCGAAGTACTTGTTGAACCTCGATCTGGACTCCGCCAAATACGACCCGAAGACGCGACGGATGGTTGATATGGGCGCTCAAGAAGATCAGGCTGCGGCGCTCGTCGAGGAGGAGAACTTCGTGCGTGCGTCTGGGGATGCGGCAGAGTTCGAACGGGCCCAGAAATACGCCTGGGAAGCGCAAGAAAGCGGCGGACCCAAAATCCATCTCCAAGCGAACCCGACTTCGGGAGAGGTCATGCGGAAGAAGCAGCACTCCGAAGCCGAGGCGAAGCGTCAAGCTCAACGGAAGGCGCTGTTGGATAAGTACGGTGGCCAAGAGCATCTGGATCCCAGCCCGCTACGCGATACGATGGTTGTCGAAAACGAGAAGTTTGTTGAATATGACGAAACTGGTGCCATCAAGGGCGCGCCAAAGAAGGCCGTCCAGTCCAAGTACCCAGAGGACATCCTCACCAACAACCATACTTCGGTATGGGGCAGTTGGTGGCACAATTTTGAATGGGGGTATGCGTGTTGTTATTCAACTGTCAAGAACAGTTACTGCACTGGCGAGGATGGGAAGAAAGCCTTCGAGGAGGCCGACAACATGTTAATGCTGGAAGCCGACGGCGACGATCAAGACAAGCCGGTTGGTCACGAGGCCAGTGAAGCCCATAGCGCCCAGAACTCTGAAGAGCACGAACAGAAAGACGAAGGCTCCGGCAAGAAAGCGAAGAAGCGCACGCTACTGGAGGCGCAAACCGGCATCTCAGAAGAGGAGCTGGAGTCGTACAAGCGCAGCCGTCTCGACGCCGCCGATCCCATGGCTGCGTTTATTGGCAAGGACAGTATTGCCGAATAGTCTTCTCTTTCATGTTCATTCTTTTCTATGATCTCTAATTAGGCGTCTGGTTTTGGTAAATACCCTTTTGACCATGTATACAAAATAGTGCAGTATCTATAGCAATTGAGTTCTTTGAAATATACATGCAAATCCAAATATGCTTCCAAACTGAGCCAAGCATCATGTTCTTCGTAGGGACAGTTATTGTCGTTGATAGATGGTTATAATAGGACACCACCAACATCCTCCACCCAGATCTCTAGATCTACTAGAATATACAGGCACGTGACCAAATCGCCTGCAAATCGCCACAACGCAGCGCGAAGCGATCTGATCGCGATAAAGATGGTACCGTTAGAATCGCTGTGTCGAGACGAATCGAACGATGGTCTTTTGAACCCATTTCCAGATACTTCATGCAATGGCCCAAAAACGATCACTTTGCCGACCCCCTCCCCCAAAGGCTGATCGGACAAATTTGCAGCGAATTTCCCAAGATTTCCGTTGCGAGGTTTCACTAGCGCCGTTTTGGTCCACGTGATTCATCCCAGGTCACATGCTCAGCCCATCCCGTGGCGGCGGATCACGGGACCAGGGCACAAGCCCTGGGAGCCCACAACCCAAGGCACTAAGCGACTCCTGCCGCAATCTCAGCGCGACACTTTCGGATACGCTGCAGCGACGACGACGACATCGACAACCAGCCCTTCAACGGAATCGCCAGGTGAGTCCCACCACAGACAGCTCCAGTGCTGCGCATTCTTGCTTCACGTCAAGGAAGTCATTCTAACCTTTCTATCGATTGTCCTTATAGTTCCATAATCCAAGATGAGTACGTGCAAATTCGCGATCCCACCGTCGACACACACCCATCCCCGGGCCTTTGCGTCGACCCGTCCGATATACGTTGCAGACTGACACCGGATTACAGCGAAGGGTACCTCCAGCTTTGGCAAGCGCCACAACAAGACTCACGGTCTCTGCCGGCGTTGTGGTCAGTATACTCCATTCCATCCAACCTAGTCGATCGTTGGCGAACTCCACCCCCGACGGAAAAATATCTGCGATTCTATGTGCAAAACGAGGAAAGAGTCTGGAGGACATGAATATGCAAAGTCGGGTGGAGGAACACAGCATCGTCATGGGAATTCGAATTTGAATGCAGATCGGGCTGACCGTTGGACTTCTTTCTCGAATACAGGCCGCCGCTCGTGGCACATCCAGAAGTCGACCTGTGCCAACTGCGGCTACCCCGCTGCTAAGACTCGCAAGTGTACGAATCCCCGAACCAATCCACCTTGAGTTTATTACATCCCATCCGTCTCCCTGGACGGGACTGCGAACGAACTTCACTGCAAGAACATTGGCTCACGAACTCTTTTTAATGGAAACAGTCAACTGGGGCGAGAAGGCCAAGCGCCGCAAGACCACCGGCTCCGGCCGCTGCGCTCACCTGAAGGACGTCCACCAGCGCTTCCAGAACGGCTTCCGCACTGGTGTCCCCAAGGGCGCCCGCGGTCCCGAGAACCACTAAGCTCGCCATTTCCCCCCCTCGAACGTCGCATTTGAATTTCCTTTTTTCTCTTTTCGATCTCGGAGGCTGGAACAAAAGGGCTGGTATGACGAGCAGGAGGAAGTGTGTGCGTGTGTGTTAGCCTGGCAATGTGAAATGATGAATTCCCAGCAATTGCAATGCTAGGCGACTTAAGGACGCTTTTTCCCCCTCCCCGTGGAGTTGGTGTTGGGAACTTGGTCTCTTCGTTTGTCGGCATCATCGTGTTTTTGATTTTTTAGAGCAATTCAAAAGATAAAAAACCGACGGCAAATGAGAGACGGGAAATTACTTTTTTCCTCCTCGTGGGGTGTTCAAAACTGGGTGAATAAAAAAAAATAATATTAAAAAAAGGGAAAAGCATGCATGGATTTCCTTTCTGATTGTTTATGGCTGGCGAATATCCCCCGTGTCGTGGCAGATGTTATATTGAGATACTGTTCAATATGATCTGTCTTACCTGAAGTATAACCCTCTCCCGTACAATATTCTGCTCCCCTACAACGCTACTCATGCTATCGATGGCGATAACGGTTTGTTTTATCTAACCAAGACCCACTTGCCATGCCCATGCTATATATACCTATATCTATACAACGCCCTATGACGCCAGCCCAAAACCCAGGCAGCCCAAATCCATTGATGACACTCACTCTCCCCTTCCAAACACACAGACTCCCCCATCTCTCTGCACGAAATACAACACCTCGCGTTCCTCCCACTTATCTTCCGCTCCCGCATCAACCTGCCCCCAAGCACCCCCTTTGCTAACGCGCAGCACACCACTAACATCGCGCGCCGCCCCGGTCTCAAGGTTCCGCAGCTGCAGGACCATCTGCGCGCGGTGCGCCGACCCAATCGCGAACGCGGCACTTTCCATCTCCAACGGTGTAGACGGTTGATGTGCGGATTCTGCTGCATTGTGGATTAAGGGCGAGTCGGCGGATAGAGCTAGTACTGTTGCGTGGACGTTCTAAGCACACCACTCATTAGCTCTCCGTTCCTAATTCCCGAGACTGTGAACAGTGGAGTAGATAAAACAAGACAAACACACCTGCTGTAACCCCATAATCCACTCCCCCATCTCCGTAGCGCCGATGCCCTTCGCGGGCCCCGTAGCGGCGAGTAACAGATCCGGCTGGTCCACGATGAGCAGAATCTCCGGTTCTTCCTCTCCGGGTGTTACTGGCGTCTTTAGCTGCTTAATCACGGAGGAGATGTCATTCTCGAGTGCGTCGAGGGCTTGCACCCCTGTCCCGGAGAGATGCAGTCGCTTGACGGGTCCGGGTCCTCTCGACTGCTGTTGTACTTGTTGGTGGGGGTTGGTCGGAGTAGGTCGCGCAGGCGCGGGTTGTGGGACGCCTCGTGCGGGCAACGGGCCCGGTTGAGAGCGCACAGGAAGGACTGTTCGGGAAGGCGCAGGTCCGGAAGTTGATGTTGTTGTTGTTGTTTGGGAGGAGGGAGTGGGCGTGTAGAAGAGCTCGGAAAGGCCGTCGACGAAGGCAAATTGGCGCTTATCGGTCAGGCGCGCGAGGTCGAGGCCCTATCCATATTAACTTGTCATCAGTATCATCCTCCAATGTATCTCATAGCATAATCGCTTGAGTGGTAATAAAATGAAGGTAGCCCACCAATCTCTTCGCCTCTGACCTCCAAAATTCCCACCCCCGCAGAAAGCTCACTAACACAACCTTCCTCTTCCTCCCGCCCTCACTCCCATGGAGCCCAAAAGCTGCATCGCCGACCGGTGCGCCCAGTGCCGAATAGAGATATCGCAAGATCAGCCAATTCCCCGTCGCGCCTAGGACCGAGGACAAGAGTGTGAGGGAGGATTGCGGGAGGGCGGATACGTAGGGCGCAAGGAGGGGTGGGAGGGGCGGTTGGGCGGGCATGTCGGCGCAAGCGGTCGCCTCGAATTGGACGATTGGGGGGTGTCTGGCTTGAGGGTGTGTCTGTGTGGTCTGATTTGAGAGGTGGTGATTTGGTGTCGGGTTGGTGGTCGGAATATGACGTTGTATAAAAAAAAATAGAGAGGGGTCGTTGATTCGTTGGTGGGGTTTCACCGCCAAGAGTGGTGCCTGTCGCGTATGATATGTATTTCTCTATTTTATATGGGTGAACCATCGGTTCATTTACGGGATTGACCATGGAAATACTTATATATATGTGTGTGTTATATATTTATATATTGTTGTACATCATGTGGCTCTCTGGATGTACTGATAAAGTTGTGGTAGTAGAACCGGTCACTCTATATGGATGTATATATATCTGTACAACACATCTCCTACAATATCAGCCTTGATGTATCCGCCAAAGACGGGGTATTTTAAGTTTACACATTAGAGAGCAATGCGATATCACCAAGCAATTTATTATTATATCCCCCCGTTAAAGAACTCCCGCGCAAAGACACAGGAAGACACAGAAAGACAGAAAACCCCTCATCGACACCTGAAAAGCCGGGTGTGGACGCCGCGCACCCACGTGACCGGCTCTTCCCCACACGAAGGAACAGATTCATCTTCAACCCAGCCGGGCATGAATGAGTTCGACCCCGTGCAATCAATCAGTCAATCACCCTCCGCCAGGTGTCCAGCAGCCAGTTCGGCCATCTTCTTGCGCGCGCCCCTTTTCTCATGGGATTCGGGGTTTAAGATCCACTCCGTCCTGATCAAGCCCTCTGGTTAGGCCGGAACCTGAGGCTGCAATTGTATATACATTCCATTTCCGTGCCGATCGTGAGTTGGCCCCGTCTGTCTTTGGTCTTTGGTCTTTGGTTTTGCGTCGAATCGCTTTGTTTTGGATGGTTTTGTTGTTTTTATCTTTTCCTCTTTTTCTATAATTTTTTTTATTTTGATTTTCTGAAGGTTTTTTTTTTTTTTTTTTTTTTTGGCACCATCTTCCGAAACCCGAACAATGTACACCATTCATTTCCAGAGTTGACCCACCCAATCTTGATACTGTATACGCTCTTGATTCTTGCCTTTCGCGTGTTCGTCGTGTAGAATGGAACCCTCGTTACCCTTTTGCCAGTGCAATATCGCATCATTTCGTGTTGTACCATAAGCAACCCTCTGGACGGTCAATCGGCCTTGACATGCATACAAACCGCAATATCAGTCGGTGGCTGCTAACGGTCCTACACAGATGACACGAGTTCGGCGTAACTGTCAACGAGTACCAACATAGTGGTATACGAACATAGACGACCACAGCCAATATGGCCAGTACCCGGGATTCCCACTCTTACGCCGTGAGTTGACCTCGGGGCATCAACCTCCGCCAATTTCAAGAAGGTGATACTGACCGTCGGGCTCTAGTGTGATGAGTGCCGTCTCCGAAAGTCGAAGGTGAGAAACTTTTGTCGTGTCCGTTTCACTAGCATGTATTGATCTTGGTTCAGTGCTCCAAGGAAAAGCCGGTTTGCGCGCAGTGCAAGCAGTTGACCAAAGAATGCAAATATAGCCCCAAGGTCACGAGAAGTCCCCTAACGCGACAGTGAGTCTTTCACCGTGTATGTTTAACCATGTCAGTATCGAATGCTCACCTCGCCGAGTTAGGCACTTGACGTTCGTAGAAGACCGATTACAAGCGTTCGAAACTGCCCTCTGCAGATTATTCCCAGGAGGTGACCTAGACGCCACAGTCCGCTCTCTCCTGTACGACCAAGATGGCCCGCCAAAACCGGACCCATCATCAAAGTCCTCATCGAGGCACTCAACCCCAGCAAAGACAGAGGCAGATCGGACCGAGCCAGCGCCTGAGGCCCTCCCGCAGCAGGCCGACGGGTTCGACTGGACGGAAAACAAAATCACCGTCGGTGATCTAACGGACGGCATGGCTGCCCTGTCCATCAAGCCGGAGGGCGCCGGCTATTTCGGCGCATCCTCGAGCGTGGTGCCCCTCCGGGCGCTGCTCAAGCACGGCTTCGATCTCAACATCCCCGCCGGGACGACGAAGCATATCGGCTCCGCAGGAGTGCCACTGAAATCGCAGCTTCTCAACTCCGCCCCATCCGGCCTCGTCGAGCAAGCCTTCATGGACGCGTTCTTCCTCAACTACCACTCGAGCTACCCATTCGTGCACGAAGAGACCTTCCGCGCACAGTTCTATGAGCAGGCCCCGCGACGACACGGCCAAGCTTGGCAGATCCTGCTGAACACCATTCTCGCGCTCGGGGCATGGAGCATCGGCGACGACAACTCCGACCTAGACATCACCTTCTACCAAGAAGCGCGCAGCCACCTGCAGCAGGTCTCCGTGTTCGAGACAGGCAATCTCACCCTCGTGCAGGCGCTCCTCCTCCTGAGCAACTACGCCCAGAAACGCAACAAGCCAAACACAGGCTGGAACTTCCTGGGGCTAGCCGTCCGGATGGCCATGAGTCTGGGCCTCCACAAGGAGTTCCCCGGGTGGAAGATCAGTCTCCTGCAGCGCGAAGTCCGCAGAAGACTCTGGTGGGGCGTCTTCATCTTCGACAGCGGCGCCGCAAAGACATTCGGCCGCCCCATCCTCCTCCCCGAAGAGAGCGTCATGGATGCGAAGAAGGTCCTCAACATCCACGACAACGCCCTCACCCCGACGACCACCACCCTCCCCGCCGAAGTCGACGGCCCAACCCTATACACAGGAATGATCGCGCAAGCGCGCTTCCACCTCCTCACAAACAGCGTCTACCAACGGCTCATCTCCAGCCCGAGCCTCACCCCAGAGGAGACGCTAACCCTCCAGAAACCCATGGAAGAGTGGTACAACGGGCTCCCGCACTACTTCAAGCAGCCCATGCCGCAGGAACCCGCGAACTTCGTCCTCGTCCGCAACCGCCTCATGTGGCGCGACTGGAACCTGCGCATCCTCATCTACCGACCGATTCTGCTCCGGTGGGCGTCGCGACGGTGGACACCTAACACCCCGGCAGTCGAGCACGAGGACCCCTACGAGGCAGACTGCAGGACGCTCTGCCTCCGCAACGCGCGATTGACCATCTCCTCCATCACGGATTTCATGAGCAACCACATCTGCACGCGGATCGGCGCCTGGTACATGCTGTACGTATCCCCTCCCCCCTCTCCTATTGCGCAGCACTAACAGAAGCAGATACTTCCTCTTCCAAGCCGGCCTCATCCCCATCGTCATGCTAATGACAGACCCCACAAGCGCCGACGCGCCCGCCTGGCTCCAAGACATCGAAGCAACCAAGAGCCTCCTGCTTCACCCATCGCTCAGCAACAACCGCCTCGCAACGCGCTGCCTGGAGGTCATCAACAGACTTTGCTCGCCGGTGTACTCGAGCCCACCGGCGGACGGATCATCGTCGACGGGGCAGCCGCAGCAGCCGTCGATTCTGACGCAGTTCTCGGATCAGCTGTTTGGGGATCCGACTTTTGTGGGCAGCATGTTTCCGGATGTTGATCAGGAGTTGAATCTCAGTGGGATGGATTTTTCCGAGTGGGTGAATTTTACGCCGCAGCATGAGTTTCAGTCGTAGGTGGGTTGATCGATGGGTGGGGGATTGAGGTTGAGGTTTACGGGGGAGACGGGGGGAGGGTTCAAAAGAAAAATCAAGAGAAGAGAAAAGGAAAAGAAAAAAGAAAGAAAAAAGAGGTGGTATTTCATTGAAACAAGACAAGACGGAGCAGGATGTGCTTGCCCCCTCTTTATTATCTCCGGGGCAAGGGATTGCACGAGACTGTCCGGGAGATGGGTATTAGACAGGTGCATCTCAGCAGTGCATCGAAAAATGTCATGCGGCGTGTTCATCCTGCTGCACGAATGGCCCATCCAGGGCATCTTTGGTGATGGACCCGACTCCAGTCCCGTGGAGGTGGGCTTCGATCTGGACGATCCGCTGCTTTTCCTCGTGGGCTGCTGTATCTCCGAAGATGAGGTCCATGTCTTCTAGGGTCTGCATTGTTTTGTCAGCATGTCATGATCACGGTTTATTACAACAAGGAGAAAAGAAGAGACAGGGAAGAGACAGGAAGATGGGTGGATATCCATACCTTCCCACGAGTCTCCGGAATACAAAAGAAGGTGAACACCAGCGCGACAAGACTGAACGCCGCGAAGAAGATATACGTGCCCCAGGTGATGGACTCGAGCATATCCGGTGTGATGAGGCCGATGATACTGAGGGAAAAAAACAAGGGTGTGCTCGTCAGCGTGGGATCTGGGAGATGAAGGAGGTGATAGACACATACAAATTACACATCCAGGTGGCGGACGTCGTGATAGAGATGGCCTTGGAGCGGATGGATAGGTTGAAAATCTCAGAGGGCAGGACCCATCCGATTGGCGCTTTGTGACTCGTTAGTTAGATATCCTTTTTGGCATTTATCATATATTTTTCTTTGGATGTTTGTGCAATCCAAGCATTGTCACGAGAAAGTATTGTCATAAGAAAGAAGAGAAGAGAAGACCCACCAAACGAATACGAAAAGTTAATATCGTAAATGTAGATAAAGGCGATACCAGCCCACCCCGCTGACCTATGATTGATCAGGTCGGATTTGTAGGCGCCGATGATGGCGCCCACGATGACGAGCGAGATGCCCGTGCCCACGGCGCCGGACATGAGGAGCACACGGCGTCCGACTTTGTCGATCAGGAAGAGGGCTGGGAGGGTGCTAAGGCAGTTGACGATGCCGTACACGCCGGTTGCGAGGAGGGATGTCTGGGTATGTTAGAGGTGCTAGATGGGGATTATTGGTTTCTGAAGGATCGTACTGTGTTCCCGTCGAGACCTAGCTGGCTGAAGATTGTTGGGGCGTAGTATATGATTGCTGTTAATGCTTAGTAGTGATTAGAATGCGTAAGTGGGGGATGAGAGATACCGTTGCATCCTATGAATTGTTGGAAGAACATGACGCAGCATCCGATGGCCAGCCGTCTGAAGCGCGCCCATGTCGTAAAGAAAGACGCGTACTGAGATGGTCAACACTGCCCTAGATCTGGGGAGAAAAAGAGGGAGGAAGGGGAGATACCTGAGCCGTATGTAACGAGAGACCAGTCTTCCCCGGGAAATTCTCCCTCGCAAACGTATTCTCCAGCATGATGGAGGCCTTGATTTCCAGATACTCCTGCACAAGAGTAGGCTCGCCCTCTGTTAGACGGCGCAACCTGGACAACGCACCCATGGCTTCGCCGTCGCGCTCTTTCATCAGTAGCCATCGGGGGGAGTCGGGGAAGAAGAGCATCCCAAAGCCCAGGATGACAGCGGGGACGATCTGGAACGCCAGCGGGAGACGCCATGAGGCTTCGGACTGGCCGGTGCAGCCCGTGGCGGGGACGTCATGGTACGGATCAAAGGTGTTCTTGGGACCGCTGTAGGGCACGTCCGGGGCGCAGCGAGTGCCTCCGATGTAGTTTGTTCCGTAGTCGAGCCAGTAACTTATGAGGATGCCCAAGGTGACGGATACTGATTCATTAGTGAGTTGAATTAGTTGGTTTTCTCTGTGATGTACTCACATTGTTGTAGGACCACAAGACCCCCTCGGATTTCCGGAATCGACACCTATAGTAAATTAGTATCAGGTACATAAACCAGGGAGTGTTGCTCGTACCTCCGAAATGTACAAGGGCACCACCATGGTCAGTTGCCCGACAGCAAGGCCGGCGATAGCTCGTCCTGTATCAGGTTAGTATTGCTCGGGCAATATCCAACGCAAGTCATACCGATGAAGAGCATAGGGAAATTCACGGCAGCGCATTGGATGACGGAGCCGATGAGGAACACAACCACGGCAAGGTTGATGGAGCGCTTTCGACCGAGGCGATCTGCGATGGGGCCGTTGACCAGCGAACCGAACCAGGCGGCTGTATACGTCAGTCCCTACTCTTGTATGCTCGCACGAACACGGACGACAGTACACACCTAACAAGAGCGTCGACACAAACCAGCCCTTGAAACTACTATCCGAATGCACACGGGGGAAACGAGCAGCGAAAGATTCCATGGTGATGACGCCTGAGACGACACCTTGGTCGTAGCCGAAAAGTAGTCCTCCGAGGGTAGAAAACTACCTCATTAGACCCTGTAATTTCTCCATAACCGTCAAGAAACTCACCGACGCGACACCCAAAAGATAGGGATTCTGAGAAATCAGGGCGAACCCGCCCTTGGAGGGTCTATCCATAGGTGACTCGGACTCCATTGCTGCGATGTTGATCCTCCACAGGTACTGTATCCTGTATCCTGATGATCATCGTCCCCCCTGTAAAGCGCGACCGCTCCTTTATACGTCTGTCGCAATCCCAGTGTATGATAGTCCACCCCCACGCCCCCAACTTCTCACGGACCAACACTCGGGATGGAGACAGGAAAGGTATGGAGGCGGGTATATCGGTCGGCAGATCAGTAAACGGAGGGATGTGGTCCGACCAATGGAACCGGAAGCCGAAGACGATCCAATGCGGGGGAGATCTGGGGTTGAAGTTGCCAGGGGTTGAAGTTGGGGTCGGAGAGTTCCGCATAATTTTGTATGGGGGAAGTTTTCTATCTCGAGTGTACTTCAGGTACTTTACTTTACTTTATCTTACGTCTTATTTTATTATCCGACCGACAGTGCAACCACCGGAAAATAAACCCAACTCTGCATTAGGTTCTCACTCAGCCTCAGCCTGAGCCTCAACCCAGACGAACACGGGTATACTAGCTATATCCAGACCTCAATAAAACTGTATTACATGCTAAATGATATCGCCAGACGAAAATCGACCTGATATCAGCTCAATGCCAATCTCGGTGATGATACAATGTACCTTATCAAGTGGGGCATCGGCCATCGGAATCCCCGACTGTCCGATGGTAGATTGCTGATCCATGGGACTGCTGCATGTTCCCGTCTTTGTCCACCGTTCGACTTGAACTGTTCCACTGTTGAGGATTTTGCTTTCTGGCTTTTGGCAGATTAGCAGGGTTGGAGAGATCGTCAGGATGCGACAGGAACAGCAATCATCTGGTGTTGTCATCATGGATCAAGCTGGACTATCAAAGCTATCTACAGATTTACAAGTCAACACGCGCAAGTCTCCATTTGAGCCAACAGTGCTCAATTTTTACAAGGTAAGACTGAAGAACAATGCACTCGAGCTTGTACTCATCGGCTGTACTCATATCGCTGTACTCATATCGGCGATCCTTGTGGATACATCGGACTGAACAGAATCGATGCCGATGGTACCTCCACTTAGTCTGTTCGCCGCGAGTAAGCTCCAGTCTCTTTCTTTGGTAGAGATAGCCAAGAGGATAAGAGATAACTACTTCATTTCCTCATCTTCTGTCTATATAAGCCACTACCATCCACTGGAACTTATACCAGACAACACTCCTCACCACCTGTCTCACAGATAACCTTCATAACCTTCTCAACCCCCCCCCCCCCCAAACAAACCCCCAAACAACCCTCCAAACAACCCCCAAGCACCCCCCAGCAATCATCAATCCAAACCACAACCCTACAACCCTCAACCTTCACCCTCCCTCCACCCATCATCCATCAAAAAATCAAAGAAAATGCCACCCCCCCTCACCATCGGCGTCCTCCTCCTCCCAAAAACCCAACTCCTCGACCTCTCCTGCATCGACCTCCTCAGCATGACAAACCCCACCTACCTCTCCGCCTGCAACCTCCCACCCACCCTAATCCACCTCGGCCACTCTACCCAAATCCACTACATCGGCCTCGGGGGCCCCAGCACCCCCACACCCCTAACATCAAACATCAACATGCAACTCACAGCCTCCCCCACCGACTCACACGTCGGACCCGGCACTCTCAACGCGCTGCTCATACCCGGCACGGATCCCAATATCGTCCCCGAGGAGGCATATCTCGATTTCATAAGACGGCATCACACGCACGGGACGCAGATCCTGAGTGTCTGCACAGGGAGTTTCGTCGTGGGTCATGCGGGCATACTAGCCGGCAAGGTATGCACAGGCCCGAGATTGCTCGTCCCACTGTTGAGAGCGAGGTTCCCCGAGGCGAAGGAGTGGGTGCAGAGCGTTAGGGTTGCGCGGGATGGGAATGTTTGGACCAGCGGTTAGTACTTAGTCTTCCTCTTCCCCTTCCCCCTTTTCTTCTTTTCTCGATCTCTCTCAGAAGCGAAATGTGAAGCTAACTTGGAAATGGTATGGGTGAAGGCGCCATCACAAACGGCCACGACCTCATCATGCAATACCTCACCACGATCGCCTCCGCGCCCCTCGTCAACGCCATCTCCATCATGGCTGATCTGCCTGCTCGGTCTGTCGAGTATGAGACGTCCGTTGCGGGGGATACCACCCACTTTGTGTGGCAGATTATCAGGGCTGTGCCGAGTATGTTGTATTGGGGGTTTGGTAAATAGGCTTGGATAAATGGTAGTGGAGTATGGACTTCTTTGGTTCTTGGGGAAAGGAGTGATGTGATGGACGGTTCTGTTGTTTTTGTGGACTCTGGCGTTGGTGTAAATAGCTATCACCTGGAAAACTCTAAAATAGTCTACAGTACGATCTTTAATATCCTATCAAACATACAGTTGTTATTGCTTGCACTGAATAGACAACCTCCCAACCGAATCCGTAGTCAACAATTTGCATCGGAAGCCAGAATCGAAGCAAAACTCGAAAGGCACGCTCAACCCATGCAACGCGGAGCAGACGCTAAATAACATCGGATCGTTCAAATCAAACACATCGACCGGACAGCTCTCCTTCCGCCATGCTAAAAACAATGTTTGGCCCTGGAGTGTCTCCAGAGGGCCGCGCGTCCAGATCGCGAAAAGAAAGGAACGTGCGTGATATTCATTCATCGGTTACGGTGGGAGAAAGATAAGATACCAAAGTTGATGGACATGATAAGGTCATATCTGTTCGTGATCAGGGCAACAGAAGCGGCGTGGGAATAGAGGGGTAGGACATCGTCATTTGCGTGATTCATGGGGGGCCCAATGAATTGGCTCGAAATCTTGATTCTGGAAATGAGCCTGGTTGTATGGGGAGCTGCAAGACAAGTCAGCATTAGGACATATCACATTCGAGAGTTAAACTCACTTCTTAAACGGCGTGGTCACCGGGAGTGAGTGGCTGAGGTTGGGTTTCATCACCAACGGGTTTAAGCGGATCTGAGGCCCATCTGTCGACCGCGGTGGCAGCGAACTCATCGGGGGTGGGGGCGCGGACATTCGGGGAGGCGGCGGCGGCGGCGAGGCGACGGGCATCGGAGGGGGCGGAGTGCTCATTGGGGGTTGGGGATACATCTCCTGGGGCGACGAGACGCGGAACGGACTGGAGGGGTCGGCCGGCATCGGGGATGCACCAAGCCCACCAAAAGAGGGATCTACCATGAGGTTGGGGATAGACATTGAGATGGAGCCCACGTCGAATGGAAGGGTTCCTTGGTCCCAGGCCGGGTAATTCGACGTCATGGCATATTGATAGTTCACCACGGGTTCCATGTTCACGGTTGGTTCGGGTTGGTAGAGAAGATCATAGTGGCCCCTGTGCGCGTTAGCAACATGGAAAGAATGTGATGGGGGTCATTTTCCATAGACGTACGGGCGATACAGCAGACGGATGGTCGCCGCCGTCGGTCGACTTTGAGTCAACTGATGCGGGGTCACGGCGGTCCCTTCACTGCGGTCGAGGTAAAGAATTTCGACGGCAAACCCGGAAGCATCGATTACTCCATCCACCAGCGCCTGAAGCCCGACTTCATCGATCTCGGTCTTGGTCGGGTCTATCCGTGACGCGCAGTACTGGTCCACGGGAAGCGAGAGAAACGCTTGATATCGGTGGGGGTTCAATCTCATCCATGCACTCGTGAGGAACTACATCGTCAAACAAGATTAGGCTGATCTATCGTAACCTGATTTTCGGGTCCCACGTGAGTGAAGGCAAGGTAGACTGACCCTGAAATGGCACAGAATGGCGCTGGAGTTGTACTCGTCATTGAATGCATCAACGAGGAACTGATCGTCGCGCACCCCTCGCTGGATCGCCTCGGAGATCTGGGTGAAGATCTCCTCTGTCGCCTCCACGAAGATCCCGTAGATGTGTTCTTCCTGGCCGACTTGTTGGAGCAGTACGTTCAAGGACTTGATCCGTTCGTGTTCCTGGTGTACCTGAAGCGGATTGCGCAGGTTCAAAAGACTCTCAAAGTAGCCGAATGCAATCGCTACACCATGTCAGTTCGCCGTAGTCCACTGGAACGTTCTAGCCTTACCTCTCCAGCCACAGTTTCCATCGCCCTTCATGATCCGCATGAAGGGATGAGTGACGGCAAGAGCCTATCGGTGCAGCGTGAGCAAAGCCACCGGTCCATCCAGGTCAAAGAGCGCTTACGCTGGTCTTGGTGGCAAAGGTGGGGTCCGAATTCGCATATTCGAGGGCCACGGTATTGCTCGATTGTTTCGGGGAGACGAGAGGACCCTACGGATTCGGGTTAGCCCCAACGCTCAGGCTTTTGTGATGTCGCAGCGTCATTCCCCACCGGCAGCTCAGCCTCAAACTCATTGGAGAGTTTTTGGAACCTCTCCATCTCCTCGGCGGAGAGGGCATTCATATTGAAGTAGGCGGGACTTTCGGCGTAGAGGACGCTCGATAACTGCGGGAGGGCGTGGCCGAAGAAGGCGGAGGACGACAAGTACTGGGGATAAAAGCCGGGGGTGGAGTCCTGCCGGGGCGGGAAATGATTCAGAGGGTCAAAATGGTTCCAGGGAATACCCGACAAGGACATCGCATCGAAGAGTCCAACACAGCTGCACGGGAGGCGCCTTCCTTATAGACGGGGTTCACGACGGTTTTGCAGAGGCCTTTCCATCACCACCTCGAGCGTCAACAGGCAAGAACGTCTTTCTCGGTCAGATGACGGGGACGAATGACGTATTACGAACCAGGCAAACTAGCATCTTTCAACGCAAGGTTTCTTGTGATGATGTGCCTCGTAAGGACTGACGCTCGAGGTCAGAGTGCACCCGCCGGCGGTTTCTCCAGTGAGAACGGACCTATTAATCATTGTCTTAGCACCAATCAGAGCCACACGCACAGACACTTTGATCTGGAGAATCAGGAGCAAGAAAGAAACTGAGACTAGGCGATGATCCAGAGTAATGAAAGGGAATGTGAACCAATAACAAGGACAGATGATAGCAAGCGATTGATCATCCAGGAGGTGGGGAAAGAGAGATGGACAATGATGGGAAGGTTCAACGGGGCGGAAGTATGGGGGTGTAATGTAAAAGGGACCGATCAGACCCAATGGGAAGAGCCAATGGAGAGAGACCAAAGCATTACTCGATGGAAGAGATGTAAGGAAAAGGGGGAAGTGACAGCACAGTCTGAGGAAGAGGAAAGAGGAAGAAGAAAGAGAAAGAGGTGGACGATGCCCGGGTGTCACGACATGTGATATGCAAGAGGGTCGTCAGAGAGATTGATATATAGGGTGAAGCAGTCGATGCAGCATCTAAACGAACAACCAAGCAAACATTGAAGCACGAAAGGTGGAGGAAGGTCCAGCCATTCACACGTCCCGTCCGTTACGAAGATGCGACCCATGCAGGCATGAAGCTTGGAGTGACCGATCTATCCAGAAGCTGACTTGCTGGGTGATTCTCTCTCTGGGACAAGGTTGCAATGCATATCCACATCCACATTTGATGCATCTATTTGGTAGGTTTTCTTTTTTTTCTCTGCTTTCTTTCTCTTTTTTGAAACCTCGTTTACTTGTTTTTCTTTCTCTTTCTTTTTTGTTCTTCTTTTCTCTTTCCCATCAACCAATTGGTAGGGGAGAGATATCAAATGGTGGAGGTGGAATGCAGAGGGTGAGGTCATGTATCATGGAGCAATCAAAAAAGATGAAAAATAGAAGAAAATAAAATGGAAAAGAAAGGAAGAGTATAAAGAAAAGAAATAAAAAATAAAAAAGGACAAAAAATCGAAGAAAAAGAAGTAAAAAAGACAGAAAAGGGAAAGGACAAAATAAGGATCGAAAACAAATAGAAGCAAAAGGGAAAAGAAAAGAAAGAAAAGAAAAGAAAAAGAAAAACTGCTGACCTTTTGTTTCTTAAGGTTCTTTTGCTACAGATTCAAAAATAAAGATGCATACGTACAAGCCCACACACGTGCCGTGGCGTCTGCGATCTGTCAAGGGAATGAAGGAAAGAGTAGTGGTAGTTTAGGTTCGGATTGCTGGAAATCCCAAGATCGAGTCAGGAAAGCGATCGGACGATTGATAGACCGGTGTAGCTTAGTCGTTGGGGGGAGATAAGAATCCCAATGGGGACAAGAAAAGAAAGGGAGACAAAGTACGGAGGTCAGCAGGGGTTTGGAGTTAAGTACTTTGCGATGAGGAGACAGAGGGAGAGTGAGGGAGAAAGAAAGAGAGGGAAAGAGGAGAAGAGAGAAGAGGAGAAGAAGAGAAAAAAGATGATCGGATCCCTTAAGGTGATTCTTGGGTGTTTAAAAATGGAGAAATTAATATCGTGGTCGGGGAGGAGACTTACCTTATTTATTCTTTATTCTTTATTCTTTATCATTTTTTTCTTTTTCTACTCGATTGATTTATTTGGATGATAATAATAATAATAATTATTATTATTATTTGACTGATTCTTCGATCCACCGTCGTCTCCTCCGTACTCTCTCACACAATGAACACATCCTTCGTAAATCTTCGAAGAAATCGGGTGAACGAGGAAGAGTCGAATGGTGGGACAAGGCGGTGGTCAGTCAGAGCGCGGGGTTCAAGATAAGTGTATACCAACCATGATTTATTCAACTGTGGAATGACCAACGGTCGGTTCGTTGGAGACCAACGGACAGACTAGAGTCAGGTCCGTTCGAGGTCCGATCCACTTACTCAATCATATCAAGATATAATCGACCGGATTAAATGATCAACAAGAGTGCCATTCGGCCAAAGAGACGGATGGATGGAACGAGCACGAGCCCACACACTGCAGGAATAGTGGTTGCCCTGTCCAGGTATTAGGGATGGTCAGCGTCGATGATATCTCGATCGATAGGTTAATACAAGCCAAGATCAAACATCATTCAGCTGCATCTCCATTTTCAGCATTCCTTTCTCCGACGCAAGATGACGCTGAACTGTACCTGGTATCCTACGGATCTTACCATCCACACACCATCATTTCTGATAATTAGTTCTATCATACATATCATTATGTCAGTATTATTATCTTGAATTGTTTCATTTTCTATTCTCATCTTTTTATGATTATGATTATATTATGGAATGATTCTGGCAAAGATAGGACTGGCATCAGAAAAAACCAGTCCACCCATCAAGATGCCGATCCTCCCCTCACCATTGGCAGCGTCATCCGAGTGGGTTCGTTTCTTCAACTCTAGCGAAACCAGCTCATTATGCACGACCAATACTTCCTTGAGTGGATTCATTATCAATAGCCTGAATTACAAACAAATAATAACAATAGTCTAGCGTAGTATGATAATCACTTTAGCAAGGTAATTTATATATCAATATATTGAAGACAAATAAACAGACCACATCGTGTCAGAGAAATGCCGTGTGGGGCGTGATTGGTATTCGGTGGGTTGGGGTTTGGCTGGCTTTGGCTCTCCAATGCCAATCCATTCACCACGCCAGTGCTCAGATCGCTCACAGATGGGATTTGATCCTTTTCATTATTGTAATTATATTTATGAATATTATAATTATTGGTTATGATTATGATGAATTATTTCTTCTAGAGGATAAGCGAAAGGAATGGAGAGAACGCCCGATCTCGATGCAAGGCGACTCCTAGTCCATGCTGTCCTCGATCATCATGCACTTGAAAGCGGCCACATGTCCTGGCATGATAGAGCATTTGGTGGAGCTGATCTTTCTCTCTCTCTTTTTTTTTTCTCTCTTTTCTTTTTGGTTTCCTCTGTCAGTCTCCCCCTGCTCCTCTCAGCTTGCTCCACCAGCACCGAGGTGGTTGCATACACTCTCTCCATAGTGACACCACCGTGCGGCCCGGGCGTGCCGTCTCCGAAAAATGATCGGAGGGAGGGTCATGATTCTGTCCTCCTGATTTGATTTCTTTCTGTGTGGTTTTTTATTTATCCTTAGCGTGATTGATCATTTATGCTATAGTCCTCGGAGGTCGCTGCCGTCTTGGATGCAGTACGAAGTGCGGAGTCGTCGCTAGTGGGATTGTCAGATGAGCTTTCTATTTTATTTTATTTTTCTTTATTCTATTCAAGTTTATTGTTACATGATTATTACTGTTGTGTTGATTATGATTGATTTACCTTATATTTATTATCTTATAGGGCATCTTATATTCATCTTGCTAATGATCAGACCACCATCCACCCTTGGGACAACTCAAGGAATTTATAATGAAGCCAGTATAACAAGACCCCTTATCAATCACCTCCAACAAAGAATGATGAAAACATCCTACTAGCGCCTCGTACCTGCTCAACACATCAACGCTAGAAGCCACTCCTCCCATCCATTCCTAATCAAAATGCTCGATTCAATTTAGATTGAACTTCGATTTCGATTCAGTCAATCAATCATCAATCATTCAACAATCAATAATATAATCAATCTCCGACCAAGTCTCCCCCCCCACAATGCAGATAAAAATGAAACTCTGTCTCCGATTCGTCTCCCCCGTCGCAATATCCCGGTCTGTCGGCGCCCGGTCCTGCGGACTCGTTGCGACTGTGCCGTGCCGGCCGTGTTCGATATGCACGATATGGGAGACGCCCGGGCTGAGTGGTTGTTAGAAGGCAACCAACTGCAACTGCGGTGTGTCAGACTACCTGAGCCCACTGCGCTGCGGTCGTACACCGTAGAGATCGTACATATTAGACTAATTCTGGGGTACCACTTGGTGAGTTGGGTGGGCTATTGTGGGCTGGCCTATTTTATTCCTTCTCTTCATTTTATTTCATTTTTTCTTTTTCATTTTCCTTTATTTCATATTTTTTAAATTTTATTCTTCTCTCTTGATTGTTTTTTATTGTTTGAACGATATCGGACAATGCGACTATGATCGGTTTCTGCCCTGATAGGCTCGACCTGATAGGCTTCTTCCCCACCTCAACCGCACATCCTCCCGTACCCTAGCCCATACCTTTGCCGATGTCAGTCTCCACTGTATAATGATGCTATGACCAGAATTTGAATATGCCATTCAGAATCCGACTATCGATGAGATCATACAAAACAGCCACAGCCAGCTACACAGTAACCACTAAGTAGTACCTAGGGAGTTAGACAGGGGTAGACCAGCTGAACACGCCGAACCTGGCGCCTGGGACTGGAAAATTGAAAAACTGGAAACTGGCAACTGGAAACTGAAGGAATAAGGGAAGGAATGGAGAGAAGATGAACAGCACATGCATACATATGGCGCACTCCACACTTCACCATCCACGACAAATCCCGTCCCAGCGACCAACGGAGGTATCTTAGCCTTAGTCAACTACTCCGTAGTACCTCCAACTAAACAAGTACTGTACTAACTAGCAGTTAGTTAGCATGGACCTAACCAAGTCGCAAGTAGCGTACCCTGGAGTTGGAGTCGGAGTTGTCACTTGCAAACAGCTGACGTTCCCAGCGGGGCGGACCACCTCGCAAACATGTCGCCATTTGGGCAAAAGTACTCGATACTTTCCTTCTTGAACGTGCCCTGAATCCTTCGTCCATTGACCCTCTGTATGTGCCTGGGTACCTGTACCTACTACTCCAATCGTACCTACCTGACCTACCAACCAATTCCTGGTATCGGCTCTGCCGAGTATCTCCACCCAATGGATACTTACTAACTTTCTTTTTTTTTTTTGATTGTTTGTTCGCCCGTCTTTTCCCCACCCCCAGCCACCTTCCCCTTGCCCTTGGCGCTTGTTTGGTTGCGAGGAGTGGAGTGAGGTATCGTGTACTTACTTACTTGCTTTACGACTTGGTACTTGGTGATCTGTGGTACTACAACTATCTAGTATTTAGTATTGTGGGGATCGGAGGACGAGACTATAACATATCTCTCCTTGCTTTTATGCACCTGTTGCACAAGTACGAAGTTATGTCACCATGGTGTCTGAAGAATATGATGCATGGAACATGCAACTGTCGGATATTTATCATCTACACTACTGTCTGAGTGTCCCTAGGTCAGCAGAAGGAGGAGAAGAGAAGGAAGAGGAGAAGGACGAAAGTACTATACTATACTACGGTCAACCCTGACCCTACGATACATATCCCGAACGGCATTTGCATTGCACTCTGGGTTTAATTAACTCCTAACTTATTGATCTAGTCAACTGACTCCTTGTCTTAACGAGCACACAGAAATAACAATGATCAAACAAAAGACCATAATAATGATTTGAATCAAAGGAAAACAAACAATTCCTTTAAATTCGACTCCTCCATTCCACTGTAGTACGGCGTTTGCAGGTACATAGGTAGTAAGTTAGTATCAGTAGTACAATCAATTCCGTCCCCACACACAAAAAGCCACAAAGTAGGAGCAAACCCTCATTGCCTTGTTTGCTGGTAGGTATTACCCACTCAGTCAGTTTCCACTCATCCTCGAGTGGAGAATGATTTCAATATGTCCTGTCCTTCCCTCTCTATTCCGTACCTCTATTGTCATTTTCCAATTGAGTTGGATATTCGCGCGTGATTCCTCCGCTCGCTTAAACTACCTAGGTACCTTACCTTACTTACCCAACCTATTAGTTAACTCAAAACCCGCCTAGAGCCTAACATTGAAAAGTCAAAAGTAAACAGGTAAGGAGGACCCGTAGACCCATCCATCAACAACGGCCCGGCGCGTACCAACATTGACATTGACAGACAGATGGATGGAGACCTACAATGTATGTACTGTAGGTAATGACGGAGTGTATCCGTATATTGTTTTGGACGTATTCTGTACTCTGGGCTTGTCCGAATTTTGTAACCTGTATTTTTTCTATATTTTATTCGTTTATTTTGTTTTTGTTTTTTCTGACCGTCTATCCGTAAGTACTAAGTAGTCTGTCACTAGTGGCTGGTACATTAGACGAGCAGATTTTGTTCGGGTTATGCATGGTATTTATGATCCATGGAGATTTATTTATTAAGTACCCATGAAGGAAGACTTTCATACCAAGGACGGAATCTTCGAAGGAATAAAGTATACTTATGTAAAAGTAAAAGGGAATAAAGATAGAAGGCTATGCATTTCTCTCCTCGCTTGGATAGCATCTCATCCATCCTTCGTTTCCTTCGGCTTTGAGATCTAACTAAAGGATAAAATATCGTTAAACCTTCATCCCGTGTCCCTGGCCCTGCCCTTTCTTCCACCCCCGTAATCGGCGGTTGCCAGCGCGTAAGCCTCCTCCCATCGGTGGCTCGTCCCCAAATCCTGATTGGAGCATCGAGCCGGCCCGCATCCCGTGCAGCTGCGTCGTCTCGTCCGTCTTGAACCCGTCCCCGTCGTTCAGCGTCGCGCTCCAGAGCGCCCGGAGCGAGGCGTTCCACTCTTCGACCGATCGGAGTCGATCCACGTCGCTAGCGCTCTCGACCACTACCGTCCCGCTTTCCTGGTCGATCTTGGCGTTGAGTTTCTTGTCCAGGATCAGGAACCCGAGGATGTCTTCGACCTCGGACACGGAGATTTTGATGTGCTTTGAGATGAATTGGAGTGTGAATCGCGTGTATGGCGCGATCAGTTTGAGGACGGCCTTGGTGCGCATGTTGCGGCTGACTTCGTCGATGTTCTCCGCGATGAATGGGTCTGCGAGTACGTCGGGGTTCTTGCTTAGGATTGCCTCGTATGCGTGGATGTCGTCGCGCTGGAACGCATCCACGAGGTCTGTCATTGCCGAGATCCGAGGGTCGTTCTTGTAGGGTTTCGTCTCTTGCGAGTCGAATGGGTTGATGTCCGATTTCATCAGCATGGTGGCCAGCACCAGGTACTTGAGAACCTGGATCCGTTGCATCGACCCCGCCTCGTCGTAGTTCCGGAATGACTCGAAGAAGTCGCTCTGCGCTTCTTCCCAGTTCTCCTCGCTCATGTGCATCTTGCCTCCGCACTCCCGGATGATCCCCATGATCTTGGGGTGCGGCACCGCCGACCGCACCCGAAGCGCGCGCTGGTACAGGGCCTTGAGTCGTTTGTTGTTCCGCGTTTCCGAGTACATCTGAATTTCCAGTGCGTACAGCTCGAGCAGATACGTCCCTTTGCTGGGATCGTCGCTGCCGTCCTCCCGTTGGCACGCTCGGTGCAGCTCGCGCACCTTTTTACTCAGCTGGCCGTACTCCTTGCGTTCTAACCATAGCCGGGCCAGTTTGATATTGGTCTTTAGCCACAGGCGCTCGTTGTTGGTGTTCTGAAATGAGTGTAGTGTCAACGAGTAGAACTCCTCCATGCAGTGATACGCCTGCTCATCGTCTGACCCCTTCTCGATGTAATCCAGCATGTTGTTGATTGACTTTTCGGAGTAATTGCGCGTGACGGCCGATTTAACGTAGGTCAAGAGTTCTTTGTAGTGTTCGACGGCCTGATCACACCGTCAGCAGATGTCCGCGACCGGGTTGACCGGAGATGGAGCGAGAAGGGAGCCCTACATCCCCATATCGTCCCATCTTGAACTCCAGCTTAATAGCCTGTTTGAGTCCTTTGAATCCCCTAGAGAACCATCAGTCCCGCAACGGGGCAAATTGCGAGGCAATCGTCTCACCAGTCGCCTTTGTCTTCCTCCAGCGCCGGTACCTCTAGAAACTCGTCGATCGCCTCGTCTGGGTTGTCTACTTTCATCTGTTTGGCGTTGTAGTATTTGTTCTCGATTCCGACGTCTCCGGACTCGTCATCGTCTGCGTCTTCGTATTCAAAATCATATCTGTCACCAGGACGGGTCAGCATGGGAATCGCAGTCAGGAAGCGGTCGGACTGACTCCTCGTCGCCGGAATCTTGCATGAAGTCATCGTCGTCTGACATCTTGGAGATTCGAACGTGGCGTGGGGGGAAGAGGAGGCTATTCAAGGATTGTAGTAAATATATAGGACAGTAAATGGAATACACGAGACCCAAAGGAGAGAGATCACCCCGCGTAGACGTTGTTTTGAGATAGAATCAGTGGGTTGGGTTGGGAATGACGATGGATGAGATCAAGCTTCCGGGCCTATCGGAGGAAGGCAGCCTGGGGCAACCGCGAGTTCCCCGCCTTGCTCGGCAGTCCATCTGGCTGCTTACTTCTACGGCCAGACTTACAATCATTCTTTCTGACCATGATGGAATTGAAGCAATAGATTGAGCTTGTTTTATTCTGTTTATTTATTTATTTTATATTGTGCGTTATTTTCGTACAGTTGACTAACATTGCTATTATTGTCTGATTTGGTGGTACGCCTTGCGTCAGGACGCTAAAGTAGCGCCTCGACGACCAGAATAACACATTGTTTTCTATATATATACGTGGTTAATATACTCGTCAACGTTAATCTTCGTATCTCTAATCATCGGCAATTACTCTAGAAGTTTGTTTCTTTGATAATGATAGTCATACCAGTTTCGACACGAAGCTACAAAATTTACGATATCAGGGTAAGTGCATTGTCTTACATAGCCTCCAAGTCTACATATTCTGCCCGTAAGATCGAGTTTATGAGCATATTTGATGTAGGTATGCGATGTACTGCCTAGTATAGACTGCGCCACAGATAGTTGTATCCACCACTATCAGAACACGCGGATACACACCCGCATATAGAACCTGGACAAAGTGCACAACTGAGTAAACACCAGTCAGAAAGATTATGTGATATCAAACAAAGCGACACTCGTAATAGTGGCCCTCGCCTCTGGTGGCAATAATTAACGAGCCTGCTGGGTCAGGTACGGGTGGGAAATTGAAGCCAGGCTGAGTGCCTTGGCAAGGCGGCGATCCTCTTATTCGCGGATCCTTAAAAAAGGACCTGATGACATCGACTCTGCACGGCCCACGACCTCGTTGCCTTCCACCTTTTTTCTTTGCTTCCTCCACGACCTTCTTTCTTTCTAGCTGGAAGTGACTTTCCAACCTTTTCGTTGATTTTATACCTCAGTGTATACAGTGTGTATCGCCGCTGACGTCGTTCGATTACGCTCCCCCTTCCTCTCCCCTGATTGCTCTCCTTGCGCATCTCCGGTTCAACCGTTTTCGAAACGTCCATACTATCTATCATGGATCTGTGCAGTCGGCAAAAGGTGGTGCGACGGAAGATGGTGCTCTTGTCAGTGCGATTTATGACCTTGGATATGTTCGCAGTTTGGGGATTCTGACCGTGGAACAGAGGCGACGGTGCTTGCGGAAAGACCTCGGCTTTGAACGTGTTTACAAGAGGGTTGGTGCTCCACAAATGACCTTGTGTATACCAGATAGCTAACTGCTGCTAGATACTTTCCGACAGTCTAGTGAGAATACCCTGTTCTTGTATCACTGTGATCCATATAGTTAACCCTTGTCTGTCGCAGTGAGCCTACTGTTTTTGGTGCGCGCATTCCCCGCTTGGCTGATGATGTGTATGCTGACCGTTATCTTCATAGAAAACTACGTACACGGTAATTACTTTCTTTCTCGATAGTCGCGATCTTAACACTCACGCGATTCAAGATATCTTCGTCGATAATGTGCACATGGAGCTGTCGCTCTGGGATACGGCGGGTCAGGAAGAATTCGACCGATTGCGCGCTCTCTCCTATGAAGACACCCACGTTATAATGCTCTGTTTCAGCGTAGGGTTTACCTATATCCACGCGATGGGCAGTTGTAACTGACACACGGACAATATAGGTCGACAGCCCCGACTCCTTCGAAAACGTGGCCAGTAAATGGGTCGACGAGATCTCGGAAAACTGCCCCGGCGTCAAGATGGTCCTCACAGCCCTCAAGTGCGACTTGAGAAAAGACGAGTTCCTCAACGACAATCCCAACGTCATCACCTACGAGCAAGGGCTAGCCAAGGCGAAGGAAATCGGCGCCGTCAAATACCTGGGTAAGCACTGTCGTACAGAGTGTACAGCTGACCCAGCTATCAACTAACCTTTCTTTTCTTTTTTTCTATAGAATGCTCGGCCGTTCAGAATCGCGGTATCATGGAGACGTTCTACGAAGCCGCCAAGGTCGCCCTTGACGTCAAGGGCCCCGGATCCAATGGCTCCAAGGAGCGTTGTGTCATCCTGTAGACACATAACTACCTCGTCGGTGTCGCCCACCACTTACTCCCCCCTGCTCGTCTCGTTTCGGCCTTTTGCATGCCACCATATACCCGTTTCCTTTCTGTTCAACGTTGACTGCGACGCTCTGCTTTATATGGTCTGGGTGTGTTGGACTCGTTAGTCTGTCCAGTCGAGGCCTTACTGGTTTGTCTTACAGACTACGTCTCCAACGCCCTAGCCTGCTACGCTACGCCTGTCTTCGATTTATTTTCTTCTCTTCTTATATATACCTTTTTCTTTCCCCCCGTGGTTTCTTGTAATTGTTTGTATCCTAGTCCATGTGGTATGTGGCTGTTTGTTTTGCAATTTTCAAGACGGGCTTTAGATATGCCCTTGTTGATTCTATCCTTCTGTTCGTACAGCGAAGACGCTGGACTGTTTCAAGGTTTAAGAACTATGATGTACTAGCTATCTACCTACAAGTTAACGATCAAATCTATCCATCTATTGATCTCATTTTTTAACCTTTTGTAGTCAAACATACCAACAACAACACACCCTACACAATACAATACAATAACATCCATCACATCAAATCCCCCTCACCAACCCTATAGACCCCCTCAATCTTCTCCCCCGTCCCAGAGCCAGAACAAGCAAAATCCCTATTCACCCTCTCCACAAAAGCCCCCACAAACCCATCCGCCACCTCCCCAATCCCCACACCCTTAACGCCCTCCCCCTCCAAACTCGTCGCTTCCCGCCCCTCAAGCCCACACGGCACGATCTGCTGGAAATACCACATCGGCTCCTGGCTCACGTTGAACCCGATCCCGTAGCTGCTGATGTTTCGCCGGAGGTGGACCCCCACCGCTGTGAGTTTTTTGGCTGGGCCGTCGTTTTCCTTGCTCCGCACCCATACGCCCGGGTCTTCGGTTATCAGCCCTTGCAACCCGTACCGCGCCAGCACGTCCACGACGCTGTTTTCTAGTGCCCGGATGTGACACCGCGGTGTGAGGCCCAGCCGTCGCAGGTCGAGGATTGTGTATGCGACCATTTGCCCCGGGCCGTGGTAGGTTGTTTGGCCGCCGCGGAGGGTGGGGTGGTATTCTGCGCGTTTGGTGGGGCCTGTGAGGATGGGGCGGATGGGTTCGAGGGCTGGGGGGAGGGAGAGGGTGTTATCATTGTTGCTGGTGGTGGTGTTGGAGGGGGGAAGGTCGCGTCGTCCCGTTGTGTAGACTGGGTTGGGCGTGAAGGTTATGATTGTGGGGTCTGGGGGTGGATGGGATGCATTGTTGGGGTTGGTGGTGGAGTCTGTGAGCTTTTTGTGGGCGAGGAGGCGTGAGGTGAGGGTTTGTTGGAGGTTGGAGACTCGTGTGAAGGAGGTTATGTCGGGGAGGTGGAGGTGGGCGAGGCGCATTTTGTGGGTGGGGTTTTGGTTGTAGGTTGGGTTGAGGTGTGTATATTCTCTCTTGAGCTGTCTATGTGTGTGTATGACTCTGTTGTCTATGTCTGGCGGAGTGGTTGTGGAAATTGAGGCATGCAATTGAGGGTATGATGTGCAGCTATTGTCGGCAGTGGAGTGCTCCGCGGAATACTCATTACGTCGGGGAAGGTGAGGTCATGTGACACCTCCGGATTTATTCATCTCGTACTATACTAGTGTTGGCCAATGTGAACTACATTTGTAGAATGTAAAGTTCTCAATCTCAATTTCTCGTACAATCTCATAGCAATAACGCGGAGAATGAAAGCCTTTTACCCCGATAACAACCAATTTGGCTCCGTAACCCTAACTAGAAACAAGAAAGAATAAACAACCACAGCACTAGCAGTGCAATCCCAATTAAATTGCAACTATAATTAAACATGTCCGTTGACAAGTCTCTCATCTGTCTCTTCTTCTTCGCCCTCCCGCACCACCAGCCAATCCCGGACCCCACCCTTCCAGTCCGCGATCCGGCCCTCGCTCACACGCACAGTGACCACCCGAACGTCGCCATCCGTCGAGATGCTCGGCCGCCGCTGACCCGGTTCCCGCTCTTGTCGCAGCTCTTGTCCGAAAATATTCATCTCCTCCTCGAAGGTGTTGTTCTCGAGATGTTTCTCCTTGCACCAGGCTTCTTCCTCGGAGCCGGGCTCGAGGAACCGCGCGGAACCAGTGATCGTCGTGGAGATGCTGGACAGCGCGCTCGTGTTGAGATTCAAAAGGAGACTGGCCAGCGAGGACCGGGTTGCCGCGGGGGGCGGGGACCCATCACGATCGCCCCCGGGGTTCGGAGCCCGGGTTGGGGGTCGATGGGACACCCAGTCGTGGACCAGGAGTGACACGCGCGGATTGGTGAGCAGGTGGTTGGTCTTGCGTGACGAGGTGTTGGTGGTCATGATGATTGTTGGATAGGAGTCGAAGGGGGTGGAGGGGAGGTAGGTGTAGGACATGAGGGAGATGTGCGGGGTCATGCCATCACTGGTTGCGAGGTGAAGCTGGTGGTGGTTAGGCAGTCAGCTTGTTTCCTTGTTTCCCTGCAGACATCGTCCAACCCGACTGACATGGATGGGGAAAGACCTACAAATCGCGAATTCTTCAGACTTGCGATGACTTCGCGAGGAAGGGTGGTTGCGATATGCGGGTGGGTGGTTGTGGCCGATGCCTCGTACGAGAGGGGAGGGTTCAACGATTCGGTCATGGTGTTGGTGGATCTCTTTTAGGAAAATAAATCATATATCAACCCAATACGACAGGCGGGTGTACAGTAGAATGAATCCGAAGAAATCTCAGAGATGGCTTGGCAGGCAATATTGACGATGCGCATTGAGCAACAATCGGCTGATTGATGGTGTTAGAACACAGGACTGTCCACTAGTCCGCTTTGGGACAGGCGGTCGGTCGGGCCCGGATCGCCAGGCATCCCAGATTAGGTAAGGCTTACTTATATAATCGGGCGGGAGTACTGTATGGTATTGTATTGTAATGGACGGGCGGACCTGATAGCTCTAGTGACGTCATCATCGAGATCACTGGATCAATGGATTTATGGATTAATGGATCAATGTGTCCCGAATTATGGAGTCTGTTGTGGAAATTCAAATGGATCACTTGAGAAGAGACTAAGGATATCTGCTCAATTCCCAAACACAAGCTGCATGAGAGCTACCACTTATATCCCGTCCGCTGCACGACGTGGAGACTGTCGTCATGGTGTCTTAGTGGATGAAGATCAGTTACCACCAGAATCCACTCCACCAGCATACATTGGTACACCGTAGATGATAATATCACGAAAAGTTGACCAACTACGTAATGGGCAAATAGGATAAATAGGATGATTGAAGAATTGAGAATAAGCATTCGAGTATTAATATAGCGGTACAACCTCCTACTGTACCACTGGAGGACTGCCTAATTGCCACCTACCACAATCTACCACTACCAGGATAGCTTGAGCTATTTCCCCGCACTCACACGGGAAGCTACCGTACTACTGTTTGCTGCCCCAGGATTCCTCTCGCCTCTTTCTCCCTTGACTTCTTCCTCCGTCTCTTCTTCCCCCTTCTCTTTCTTCTCCTCTTTCTCCTCCATACTAAACACCCTGGTTACTTCTTCAATTACCATTGGTGTCGCTCTCTTTCTCCTGATCAACTTCATATCTTCTCCACCCGTGGCAGTCATTTCCATCAATCCCATCAATCCCCCGTCATCCGGATTGTTAAAGGTCATTCTTCTGCTTGTGATTCGACAGTCCCCCGTCCTGACCTGCAGCTTGCCTTCTGTGAGCCGTTTGGTCAGACCATCAGTCGCGTCTTGACTGTCACTGATCTCATCCCTGCTCTCTCTTCTCTCTCTCTCTCTCTCTCTCTCTCTCTCTCCCTCTCCCTGTTCTCTCGCTCGCTCTCTGTGCTTTCGGATTTTCGACTCTCCCCTCCTTTTTAACCCAACCCCTCTTTGTGTCCCCTTGGTGGTGTCGCTGCGTCGTCGGTTTCGCTTCTTGTGGTCCCATCCCCAAACCTACAAACTTCCGATCCCTTCGTCCGGTGCCGAAATCTCCTCCCCTTGTCGTCACCCTTCTTCCCTTCATTTTTCTGTTGAACGTGGAATTCTTGCATTTTGTCCACAAGAGCGTCGGTGCCCTTGTACCATTAGCGACCATGCTTTCTTCCCGTGTTTTGCGACCGGGGTCCGCCTTGCTGCGACCTTTCACCACCTCTGCCACTGCCTACCGATCCCCCTCCATTCGTGACATCACCCCCGAGTCGGCGGAAGAGTTTACTGCGCGCCAGAAGGAGTTCCGTGAGAATTTGGAGTCGGCGCGCAAGAGGAGAGAACAGCAAGAGAGTCAGTCTGTCGATGCTTCTGTTTCCACTTCATCCCCTGTTTCCCGTGATCGCCTCCGTGAGTACGCTACCGCTCCCGCTGCTCCGCGTGCGAGCAAGGCGAGCAGTAAAGCAGACTCTGCTGTGTTCGATGCAGCGGATGTACTTGACCATAAGGCATTGGGCTCACTTTCTACCCATCGGGTTCTAGGAGATGAGCACCACCGCGATCAGTCCCCCAAGCGGGGTCCCCTGTCCTCGCTCATCTACGGCACTAAAGAAGGCCAGCAACTCGACCAGGATATCGAGCGTTCCTTTTCGCAAGTCCTCGCCCGCGGCAAATACGTCCATTCCATCGTCTTCCACGAAGTCCAACCCGACAAGGTCGACGAATACGTGGACCTGGTCGGGCAGTGGTATCCCCGCATGGCGGGCACCGAGGAGAACCGGGTGAATCTGGTGGGAAGCTGGCGGACCCAAGTCGGGGACAACGACACATTCGGTATCTCCCCCTCTGCTGGGAATCTGTCCAGCTAGTTTACTAACCATCCCGCAGTCCACATCTGGGAATACCAGCGATACGAAGGCTACCACGCCTCCCTTCACAACATCTCCGAACAACCCGGGTTCTCCGAATTCGACCACAAGCTGAAGAGCTTGATCAAGAGCAAGAAGACGTCTTTGATGCAAGAGTTCTCGTTCTGGCCGACCACGCCGCCCCGCAAATTGGGCGGTCTATTCGAACTGCGATCCTACACCCTTCACCCGGGCAACCTGCTGGAGTGGGAGACCCACTGGCGTCGGGGCCTCAAGGCCCGTCGCGAGGTGATGGAGGGGGTCGGCGCATGGTTCGTCCAGATCGGTGACTTGAACACCGTGCACCACCTGTGGCAGTTTGCGAACCTGGAGGAGCGCAAGGTCCGCCGCGAGCAATCGTGGGGCATCGAAGGTTGGGCCGAAACTGTGCACAAGACGGTCCCTCTCATCCAGACCATGCAGAGTCGCATTCTGATTCCCATGCCCTGGAGTCCTGTCGGCTAAAGATATTGCTTCTATCTTACCACCGGAGGACGTCTACGATACGAAATTTGCTCCCACGCCTGCATTATGACCCACTTGGCCCAATCCGCTCGACCCGAGGTCCTGAGGAAGTTGGTTGGGCAGAGGCCAAGGAAAGACATCGGACGGTGAACGGTTTGGGGGACATGACTGGTGCGTTACTTCTTGTTCTACTGGAGTGAACAGAGATCTGCGAGGTTTGAGAGAAGTCCGGGGAACAGTTTGGTCGACCCTCGGGCGCTATCGCCCACTAAGCCGTACCGATATTAGTGTGTCCAATATTAGCAGCATTATCGGAGTGATTATCATGCATATTCCATATATATTCTTTTTTCTTTGAAGTTATTGATCTATTGAGCTAGTCTAGTGGCCGTACCGTAGTGAGAAATCGAACCCAAATTGTGGGGTTTCTTCTGGACAGTGGACAGTAGATAATGGGCACGGTAATTGTTCTAGCCATGTGGTGTGCCTCGGATCCGGGGACGAGCACAGTCCGTCGCCGTGATGGATGTCCCCGCGCGCCGATCAACCTTGCTAACCAATGAGTCTGAACGAGAAAGCATAAACTAGTAGAGACTCGAGAGTTTACAGGCCAGTGGCGTAGAGAGGTGATCCGACCGTCCTTCCCCTCAGTCGCAGAGCAGTTAGCGGAGATGCGATAGCAAATTAAGACCGACACATGTGAGTTGCGCCGTCCGTCCACTTCCATTCAACCGTGGAGGACAAGTATGCACTCTCTATCCAAGTCCAGTCTCGAATCTAATCTCCAGCAATATCAGGTTATCAAAGTGGAGACATCAATGTAAAGAAATGTAACACGATGTAACGAAAAAGGGGGAGCCTTACCGGGCGGTAGAACTCTTTAGTGTCCGTACCCCAGGCAGAAATTGGGTTCCCGCGCGGTAAGCCACCCGGTGCCCTGTTTTCTCTCCCTTTTTCCGCCGGCAGAAAACCAGAGGACCTAATTACTCCCAAAGAAAAAAAGAATCTCTCGTCCGGGTTTATCAACACATCAACAACAACATCAACATCATCAGCATCAGCACGTTGCGTGTCTGGCTTTGCGACTCTCTTTTTTCTTCTTTCCCTCTTTTTGATCTTTCTTCCACTCATTCATCCTCTTTTAACTTTTTGTTCCTTTTGTCCTTTTGTCCTGTCTTGTCTTCTTTTTTTCTTTTGTTTGGGGCTTCCTAATTATCTGGTCTTCCCAAGGTTAGGTTCTCACCCCGGGTTTTCTAGCCCCATTCTACCCCCTTTTCTGAGCGCCACCGGGGTTATCGATCTGGCCTCACCCGTAAGAAAAGTCTCAAAGGATATTCCTGGTTTCGCAATAGTACACGGGAAGAGAATAAGACAAATCAAATCAACAAAGACTACCCCACACGGACAGCCAACATGGTGTACATCCGGCAACACCAGTTGCCCAACCTGAAGAAGTACTGCTATTCGGGAGTCGACCTGTCCCCGATCAGTCAATATGTTCTCAAGCCATTTTATAATAATGTCGTCGTCAAGTGTCTTCCGATGAGCATGGCGTGAGTAACGATGCGCTTGACCCATTGTATACCGGATGAAACTAACTGCGTGCCTTCTGGCCACTTTAGTCCTAATGCTGTAAGTTACCGCTCTGCTCGTCTGGCTTGGTTGGCGGGTCGACGTGTCTGACTTGGGGTTCGGTTTTAGATTACTCTGACGGGGTTCTTTTTCGTCATGGTCAACTTCTTTACTATGCTGTGGTACAACCCGACGCTGGATCAGGATTGTCCGCCTTGGGTGTATGCTAGTTGCGCCGTGGGTCTGTTCTTGTATCAGACTTTCGACGGTGTAGATGGCATTCAAGCGTATGTTTGTCTCGTTGCGCCTGGCTGATCTGTTGGGAGAGTGGGTGCTAATTGTCGGCGACAGGCGGAGAACCAAGCAGAGTGGCCCTCTGGGGGAGCTGTTTGATCACAGTAAGTCGACGGCTGACGTCTTGCGCGTGGAATGTGGAGATTAACAGCTGCAGGTGTCGATGCGTGCAACACGGCCTTGGGTGTGTTGATCTTTGCGGGCGTGATAAACCTTGGCCAGTCGTGGTACACTATGCTGGCGCTGTTCGGATGTATGTGGATTGCCCATCTACAATTGATATCCGATAGACCCTTGCTGACATACATGCTTAGCAACCGTGACCTTTTACATCCAGACGTGGGACGAGTACTACACCCAGGTGCTCACGCTGGGCGTCGTCTCCGGTCCCGTTGAGGGCGTCCTGACCCTCTGCGTCGTCTTTGGCTTCACGGCCTACGTGGGCGGCGGCAGCTTCTGGCACCAACCCATGCTGGCGACTATGGGCGTCCCCAAGGTGGACGCTATCCCGGATGCGGTGTACGACATGCCCTTCACGAAGTGCTACATGATCTACGGCAGCATCATCCTGTTCTTCGCCATCGGTTCCAGCATTCTCCACGTCATGCAGGTCCAGCGCAAGCGTGGCCAAGACCCCGTCAAGCCGCTGTACGGTCTCCTGCCGATCGTCGTGGTGTGGGCTCTGGTGTCCGCCTACTTGTACATGCAGCCCACGATCCTTGAGCAGTATACGGTGCCCTTTGCCCTGTTTGTGGGCATGGTGAATGCGTACTCCGTGGGTCGAATGATCACCGCGCATCTGACCAAGACCGATTTCCCCTACTTCAATGTGCTTCTGGTCCCTCTGGCCCTGGCCGTCGTGGACAGTCTTGGACAGGTGGTGGGTCTCTGGCCGGGTGTTCTGAATGATGAGCCCCGCCAGATTGCCTTTATGTTCGCCTGTCTGGGCCTGTCTATTGGTACCTATGGCAGCTTCATCGTACGTTCCTCATCCATCCTTTCCTTCCCCCACCCCCATCTCCCAACGAAGCTAATGGTGACGCTACAGTACGACATCATCACCACGATCTGCGACTACATCGACATCTGGTGCCTGCGCATCAAGCACCCCTACGTGGAGGGGGCCAACGGGACGGCGAAGAAGACCCGGTAGGGACACCGTCTTTCGCGTCGTGATGAACGGTCGTTGCGCATATCAACTATGCCATCCTGTTGTCTTCATTTCATCCATGCCATCATATACATAGAGGCATATATATACAGTTGATTCGGGTTCGGATCAGGGGAGGTTGGTATTTTCTTCGAGCGCCAGAAGCGACTGGGACGGTTCTTTGCGCAGAGTCCGGCTGATATGCAGGTACATAGGCTTGGGATTATTTGAACGGGTGCAGTGATGCTGTGAGCGGGCTGTATCTGATTAGTAGATATGTAACTTTGTCTTTGTTTGTGTTGAGGTGTCCGGTTGTCCAGTTGTCCAGGTTGTCCAGTTGTCCAGGTTGTCGCAGGGTTGTCCACAGGGTTGTCCAAGAAGTCCCCATGGAATGTCCCTGGCAGTAGTATGTAGTTACGTAGTAGGGTAATGATCTCGTGACTGAAGACAATATTACCTCATCCAGACTAGCGTGACAGACACCCAGCTTAGTAATCAGACACGAACGGCAGCCTTAGCGAGGCAGGGTTCCAACCCTACCGCCTCCCCCCCCAACGGAGGTCCTGCTTGGTGCTGAGACGCCCCAGTCCAGAATTCGCTTGAAATCTTTGCGCTTCTCCAGATCACCTCTTCGCTTTTTCCATCCTCCAAGCAGGCCATCTCCGTCAGCGCTCTATTCAACTACCCACGCTGATCGACTTTTTGTCCCGACAAGATGGTATGTTGCTTTCGTCTTTTGTGAAGGGGATACTTCGGTTTGGATTGTTCGACTCGTGTACGGTTTCTTCTGTTCTGGGCTTGGGGTCACGATGCCTCGATTGTCGCCCGCCGCCGCCGCCCGCATCATCCACCACCACCCGCCACCGCCTGGAATCGAAAAATCATACCGAGAACGATGAACAGACCGAAGGATCTATAAGGATAATTGGAAAGAAGGATCTAACGTTTGATATTGATAGGTTCTCGCGGTCGACCTCCTCAACCCTACGCCTCAGGCCGAGGCCCGTAAGCACAAGCTCAAGGTAGGATCATCGGACTTATACTTTATACATATAAAGGGAATGGAAAAAAAAAAAGGATCGGACAACTAATACAATGATAGACCCTTGTGCCTACTCCTCGCTCCTTCTTCATGGACGTCAAGTGCCCCGGCTGCTTCACCATCACCACCGTCTTCTCCCACGCCCAGACCGTCGTCGTCTGCGCCGGCTGCTCGACCGTCCTGTGCCAGCCCACCGGTGGCAAGGCCCGTCTGACCGAGGGCTGCTCGTTCCGCCGCAAGTAGACGATTCGCCTACGAAGTTAACAAAAATTGCGGAAAAGAGATTTTCGGGTGCCGGAGCGATGAAATGAAAAGAAATGTGGCGTTCTTCTGAAATGATGGATTAATATTATCTTTTTTTTTTCTTTCTTTCTTTCTCAAAGCTGCTTGCTGCTCAGATAGAAGATGGAATTCTCCTCGCCCCGAACCTTTTTTTTCTCTCAATATCTCTCTCCCTCTCTCCACCCGGTCACCCTCGCCCTGGGCGTGTTGTGAGGGTCCATACCCCCTCATGCGCGTTTAAACCCTTTTGCTACACAAAAATACAAAAAAGGTTTTCTCGAAGGGAATTTTTTTCTTTCTATCTTATACCATGGCATGCTTGCTTCGAACTCGCCAAAAGCGTGTTATCTTTTTTTTCGATATTCTATCTACATCCAGGGGAGTTCCGGATATCTGGCAATGATCGATCGTCTTTTCTTCCATCTACGTTTTGAATTGGTTGTGCTTTTTCTTTCCAAGTGTTGAGCTGGATACATGACACATTGCATGAGCATCCGTATCGGTCAATGCAGGATTCGGATGTCTGGAGGAGGGAAGTCAACTTCTTTTCTGTTATGACGATGATGAATGGCTGGTTGGCTTGAGCTGCGAGGAAGGCGATGTGGTGGATGCGTGAGTTCTTGCTGTGGCGAGGGTCTCTACGCCGTCTATGCGTGTCCATCTGTCCTCCGTTGTAATTGCATGTTTTGTATGATCGATCGTGGGCCTGGATCTGTAGCTGGATGTAGCTGGATGTGTAGTGTAGGTATTACGTAGTTGAGTATACGATCTAGTATTGGCGCCTTGTTTATCCCTATGGGTCTAGTGATATGTATTTTAACAACCTGAAGATAAGTATCTACAGGACTTCCAGGAATGAACTACACAGGTTATGTACTTATGCGATCATGGGTGTCTACTCGTTTCCTTCAAACAAGATGTTATACAGTCAGGCACAGCTACTAAGGCAGAATGTGAGGATTCTCATGCTATATCTATATCGATGTCACCAGAACCACCCAATAGTCTTTAGATATACATTCATACCTCTTTCTTATAAGCCATTCACAAGCATCCATCTAGACCTTCATTTAATCTACTCTGAATAGTATAGTTACAGTATGCAACTAATAGTCCCCGTTATAAGTACATATATACATACACAGTAAGCCTATTCATGCATGACCTACAGCATCTCATTCATTCATAACGATAGTGACTGTCTGATCAAGCAAACTGTGTGAACGGGCAGAGCTGTATCTTGCTTTGTTAGTGTTTTGATAGTGCTAGTGTGTATGTACCCCGGAGTCCATAATGCTGTAGGCGGTTATCTCTTATCGGACCGACACTTACCTACCACCTTTTTCTCCCCTCTCTTTTGCCGTCCGTCCTCATATACTTACCAACTACACTACCTACTACCTACACATTACACTTTACACATAACACATTGAAACCACCCAAGAAACCCAGACGAAACCCAAACCAACCATCACTATACAAACCAACCAATCCCCCAAAAAAAAAACCAAAAAAAAAGTTGAAAGCAAGATGCCCCGCCAACCCCTCAAACTCCTCCTCCTCCACGGCTACACCCAATCCGGCCCCCTCTTCCACATCAAGTCCCGCGCCCTCATCAAACACATCACAAAGGCCTTCCCCCTCCACGAAGTCTCCGCCATCTACCCAACGGGACCCTTCCAGCTCAACCCCTCCGACATCCCCGGCTTCGACCCCTCCCAGCCCCCCGTCGACCCAGACGACGTCCCCTCCATCTTCGCCTGGTACCGCCGCGCAGACGCCGCCGATCCCCCGCTTTACGTCGGTCTAGAGGCAGGGTTGGAGGCCATTGCGAAGACGATCAAAGAGGAGGGTCCCTTCGATGGGGTGGTCGGGTTTTCGCAGGGCGCGGCGATGGCCGGGATGGTTGCTGCGCTGTTAGATGGGGATGATTGCGCTCGACAGGATGCGCTTAGGAAGTTTGCGACGGCTGAGCCTGCGGCGATGGAGTATCCGCGCGCGTTTGCGGATGAGGGGTTGAGGAAGATCCAGCCGCCGCTGAAGTTTGCGGTTTGTTATAGTGGGTTTAGGGCTCCGGGGCCGAGGTATAGGGGGTTTTATGAGGATCCGCCGATTCGGACGCCGGTGCTGCATGTGTTGGGGTCGTTGGATACGGTTGTTGATGAGGGGAGGAGTCGTTCGCTTGTTGAGGCTTGTGTGGGGGAGCCGGAGAAGGAGGGGAATGTGGTTTGGCATCCCGGGGGCCATTTTGTGCCCGCGCAGAGGCCGTATCTTGATGCTGTTGTTGTGTTTGTGAGGAGGTGTTTGGGGGTGGGGTTGTTGGGGGAAGGGGGAGGAGGATGTTAATGATATGGATGTGCCGTTTTGAAGGATATGTTAAGACTAGATTTGGTGGACGGTTATGTATAGACTTTAGAATGATTCCATTATCCTGCTCTACTGTCGTTTACTTGTACCGCCTGCTCAGCGCTGTCTAACGAGCCTTGCTCTTCTCCCGGGTCGGAAGAATCCGAGCCATCATCTCCTCCTTCGTGATCAGATGGTCAATCCGCTCCAGCAATCCCAGCAGGCTCTTCATGTCGCTGCTCCATTCGTTCAAGACGTCGTCCGCATCGCGCGGCTTGGAGAAGCTGACCAGTCGCGCCGGACGGTCGATCTTCGCGTAGATCGTCTTGAGCGTCACCAGGTCGCTGATGTACTTCTCCGTCTCCTCCTCCGTCAGGTCCAGCAGCTCCGTCAGCCGGCCCATCTGGATGCGAGTGTAGTACTTGGCCACCACGCGCACGTTGTGCTCAATCACCCGCTTCTTCAGGTCCTGCCACCGCTGGAACGACTGGTCCTCGCTCGACTGGCTGGCTTCCGGGCTGAAGACGTCCGTCTCGCACAGGTGCGGCCCGAATTGCTTCGCCACAATCGGCCAGCGCATCAGTTCGGGCGTCGTGAACAGCTTGATCAGTCGCGCTTCGGCCGGGACTGTCGACAGCCGAGTGTCCTGCAGGATGCGGTGCAGCAGATCCGACTGTTCGTTGTCATATGGAGCCAGGGTGATGTAATATACAATCCGGGCCAGTACCTTTATCTATTAGTAGCCATACATGGGAGACCAGGAATGGAAGACATACCGCTCGCAGCTGCTCCGGGTTGTTCTGGACCGACTCCGTGTCCAGGACCTCTCGGTAGTGTTTGCACACTTCCAGGTACTTGTAGTCGTGGTTGGCGAGGATGATCTGTTGTTCAAAGTAGCGGAGCTTGAGGTCGGTCACGTCGTCATCGACCTCCATGGGAGCCTCGTCCGGTGCCCGAGTCTTCTCGCGCTCCTCGGCCTCCTTCCTCCGCTTCTCGATCTCCTCGGCGCTCTTCTTGGGCTTGCGCGCAAAGTACCGTCTGTTGATCTTGCGGCTCAGGATGGTGGCTTGCGTCCAATCGCCTCGCTCTATGCACAGCGCCACCTGTTCCAGAATAAACTCCGTCTTCTCCCGTCGGGTCATCGATCCGAATGTCTCCACCTGCAACTCGCACAGGATGTCGGCCGCCGCGTTGATATCGCCTTGGGTCTTTTTGATGTTCGATAGGATGCGGGTCACGCGAGCTCTCTCGACTTCAACGAAGATCTAAGCACATCAGCAAGAGATTCGTACGACAGACGTGGCGTGACTTACCTTCCCTTCCGTCACTGTCCGCAGGGTTTGAATGACGGACAGCTTCACATCCAGGTTGGGCGTCTCCTCCAGGAATCCCATCACCACCTGGACCATCCGCGTAATCGCCTGCTTCAGCTGGGCATGTTTCTTGGAGAGGAGGAGGACTTGGTCGTTGAGGAGACCCCAGTCGCCGGAGTTCTTGCTCAGTGTGACGATGGTGATAAGCAGGCGGGAGGTGGTCGGCAGATCCGAGGCCTGATTCACATTAGCAAATCTTATATTGAATATCAAAACAAAAGACCGGTGTCGCTCACCTGTCGCGCTTGTTTCTCCAGAACCAGGAGTTTATCGATGGCACCCTGCACATCGGTCTATACACTAGTCAGCATCTTGATGAATTATCAGAAGACAAGCATCCCACCTTTGCCAACTGCTCCGCCTCCGGAATCAGCTTGTCGGCATCCTTGCTGTAGTCCTTCTCGGCCTTCAACACGCTTCCGTCGGCCATGATGACGTTGCAGGCGGTAACGGGCTCGAGGGGAACAAATGAGTGAAGGGTCGATGACTTCGAAATCTATGTCGACGATGCACAGTACACCTAATATGCGAAAGATTGATAATATCCAGACGGTGGGGCTGTCGAAGGGAGGGAGAGTGGATGGTCTGGATGGATGAAGCTGTGACGGTGTTCGGGCGGCCAGTTCGAGCTGGAAGCTGTCCCGCACGTGACCTCACATCATCCACCTCAATCCTCCATCTCACCCGCCGTGTTTCGATTTGATTCTTCATTTGTGCTAGAAGATTACATATAATTTAGTCTACGGGAGAACTACAGGAAAACGCTAGGTCCGCTGAAAGATTGGATGCTGGAAATTCCCTATTTACAGTACAGTACATAGATGGTAACAACTCTATCCAGGATCAACAGCCAAAATCGGGATATAACCCGAATCAGATCGAACTTTTGTACCGTACGCCATTCCTGCAACTCTAGACAATAGACATATTCAATATATAAGCGCGAGCGACCAGGGATGGTGCAGCGATTACTCATCGCTACTCTGGTCATCACTGTCACTCGTCAAGACCATCTCTTCGGCCTCCATCTGTCTCATGGCCGTGTCCCCCTTCTTGCCCTTCTTCTCCGCCGCAAACCAGGCCTTACGTCGACGATTCTCCCGCTCCTCCTTGCGAGCGAGGCGGCTCACCTTCTCCTTCTGCGCTTGCTCCTGTTTCTGGTGGAGCGTGTCGATGTAATCGTGGAGGCCGGCCAGATCCGATCGCAGTTTCGTGAGTTCGTCGGTGGACGCCTGTCGTGCGGTGTCACTGACCGAAACCTTCGTGCGGAGTGCTGACAGTTGGCCTTCGAGGAGGGCAATCTGTGTGTCTTGAGCCGACGTGTCTACCGATGCGGACGACGGAGCCGGCGCCCCGTTAATTCCAGGCTGGTTCAATGCGGCTAGCTCGGCCAGACCTTCGTCTAGCAGAGAGTCGGGGAAAAGTGCTTGGGTGAATGATTCGGCAAAGTGGTCGGTCCGCGTGGCGTGCGGGGCCTTGGTGGCGGCGGGGGGAGAGGATATCGAGGGCAGGAGATGGGTGTTAAATGTGTATTCGGCGGGGACGGTACCAGCAGTGTGCGAGTTCTCGGAGAGCGTGCTGTCATATCGCGGTTTGACGATCGTATGCGCCACCCGCTTCAAGTCGAGAGCGGGCAGAGAAAGTCCAATCGGGGGCAGCACGAACAGGTTCGTAACGGGGTGGGTGAAGTCTGCCACCGACGAGGCATACTTTCTTCGCCCCACGCTCCATGAAAGGACTTTGCCGTTTTTATGGCCGGAGAGTAGCACGGCCCCGTCGTGCGAGAGCGACAGTGCATGGGCCGGGCCACACTCGGGCGAAGGCGGGGCCCACCGATCTCCAGCGGATGGTTGCGCGGGAGTCGACTGTAAAGACGGATCGTGAAGCGGGTGCTGCACGGACTGACTCTTATAGAAATCCACTGACTGGATGCTACCATCCTCGTAGCCCGCGTAGAATGCCCGGTCCACCGGATCCAGAGTTAGGCTGACCGCACTGGCCGGCAAGAGGAAAGTCCGCAGCACACGTCCGTTATGATAATCCCAAGCAATGGCCGTATTGTCCTGCGACGCTGAAACAGCGATATTGTACCGACCCGTGCTGTGACCCATTGCAAGAGCACTGATGCCCGCGCGATGGTTCGAGAACGTACGGATGGGCGAGTTGGGGGGTTGACGATCGCGACCGGATGGAGGTTTTGTGAAGGAGAGGAGGTCGACCAAGGACCAGACATGAATGCTTGCGTCCGAAGAGCCGGACAAGATGAAGTTGGAGGTGGGATCAACCACGAGAGCCGTCACCGGGCTCAAATGCGATGCGGTCGTCGCAACCTGTCGACCCGTGCAGGTCTAGATGCCATTAGATCCACATGGCCTATGACAGTCTCTTCAATCCACACCAAAACAAAAACGACTTACCTCCCACAATATTAGACGACCGCCCTCCGTCCCCAAAACCAGCACATCTCCATTCTTCCCTCCTGCAATCGCAATGCTGCGGATGCGCTCAGGGAACGGGATGGTCGCTTCCTGGTTCCCCTTATTCCTGCTATACACATGGACCGTAGCTTTCTCCGACTGAGCGGCGAACACATGCGACGGACTCACGGCCAAACAATTGGGCGCCGTAACGCTTTTCTTGAAGGTGGAACGAAGGGCCGGTGCGGGCTGCAGCTCATGCACGCAGATTCCCACATCTCTGAGGCTCGCAGAGGCCGGGGTCTTGGCCGACGTCGACGTCGACGCGATGAAGTGCTCTGAGAGCATGAGGAGCGGCGAATTAATATGGTCGTAGAATAAATCTTTTCAAGACAAACGAATTTGACGATATTGCTTCAAGATCGGCGATAAAATCGACGATAACCGTTTGCACTGTTTGTTACGCTAACCTACTTTTGGACAGGCACAGCTGACTGATTGACATGGATAAAGTATGTACAAATCATCGTTATCAAAAGCATAATTCAGACGATTAACTTCAACTATGCGACTCTATCGTCCATGATCATCTCCAACTACTGAGTCCCTTGACTCCTTACCAACTAACCCTTACCACATGAACCCAGTGTCTGTGATGTACCCTGCGTTAGTTCGACAGTGCAGAACGAAGTCAGATGGGTAAAGCCCTAGAGGGGAGAATGAGCTCCCTTTCACCCTGGGAAGCTCCTAATTATAATCCTTTGTATCCAGGAGTCACTCGGGGCAGCTTGATACATTTCAAATCTCTTCAGAGTGAGCGAGGCAGTTGCTTGCACATGCTGCTGAAATTACGATTGCCTCGCGAAATATGGACCCAATGGTCCTGTCCGCAGCAACCTCCCACGCAAGGGGGTGGGCCTTCTAGGGATGCTGCCTTTGATTGCCCGGCACAACAGCGGTAGCTGTTGACCAGACAGCCAACCAGGGGAGCCTGATGTCCTCGCGAGGCTCCTCTAGGGGCGTCCTCCCTCTGTATGTCTCATGCCGGGCGTAATGACGAAATGCAGACTGCCTGGGAAACAGACAATCCACGTTGTCCTGACCCTGCAGGTGGTACGCCGGGGGACTATGATCCAATCACCAGGCCGGTTGCCGCATTTCCGCCGTTTTGGTATGCAAGGACTCTAGGTGGAGTGGCCCTTGGAAGTTCAGGACGCTCTTGTTCTTGAGTGTTGGGGGGATCCTCTGGAAGGGGGTTGATACATTTGCCCTGGTGTCTCTGGCTTACTGTCACCGCCAGACAGACAAGGGATGTTTATCCCGAGCATGGAATGGTTGTATAAGGCCCTGTCGACCGCATGTTCTCTTCTCCTCACTCCTATTTTGGTTGTTTTGACCTGATCCTCTTTTCCCTCTTCTCTTCTTTTGGTTTCTTGTTTGTCATCCCACACCATCATTACTTTGCAGATTGATCCCTCTTGCTTGTTTCCGACTCTGGAGCTCGCCATGTCCGAGATGGACTACAATCGCGTGAAAATGGATTGGAAACCCTACTACCCTCAACACCAGCACGCGCTGTCTGCGAATAATGTCCCGACGTATGCAGGCCGATCCGTGCCCTCGTACCATGTAGGAAGCGAAGAGAACACGTACCGTGGGTGTAATATTTCTTCTCCGCGCTACTCCCCATCAGTTCAGCCATGGCGGAAGCAGCAAGCGCAGAGCTCTCTGTCGTTCGTCCCATCGACCTCGCCGCGCATGGATCAGGTCGGGTATACCACCGCGCAGCCAAAGCGGCCCGTAGACCGGGACCCGGTCTGCATCTCGCCCTTCCGCTCCGTGCGGAGGATGAAACAACCGTTCCAGCTACGTCTGCCGAGCTCGCCATCAATGGAAAGCCTGCAGGCGACCCCCAAGGAACGCCAGGCGTCTCGCTCCCCGTCGTCGAAGAATCACACTCTGCGCACCTGGCGCTCAGACCAAAATCTCACAACCTCGAGCATGGAGACATTTGGCCTCCTTCCTAGTCCACCTCTCTCCGACGCGATTCCCCCACGCTCCCCGTCGTCCGCTTACTTTTCGCCCCAACCTGGGTCCGAATCCGACTACAGCCAGTATACGCCCAAAAGCTGCAACCACGAGCTTACTACCAAGCCGTGTGAGGTGGCGAAACCGTTCACACCCGAACCCGAGACGGAGGCCCCCAAGACGACGGGATCGACAAATGTCCACATGGCTCACTCTCATTTAGTTCAACAGTGTGAATCCGGTGACGGTAATGTACCCCGGACATCTACCGACACGGAGCGTATGTCGTCACCCGCGGGATTTACCAATAGTGGATCTTTTGGGAAACGTGATTTATCTTGGTCGTCGGAAGCTACCCAAAGAAGTCGTTCGGGAACGGTGTCGAGCGAAGGGAGCTGGGTCCCGAGCAATCTGTCGCACTTTGAAACCTGGCTTCAGCGGGCTCCCGTGGAGATGACGGTAGTCAGAGGCGAAGGGCCCAAGGAATGCAACCGAAGAAAGTTCCAAATCGTACAACAAAGCCCCCCAACCCCGGGACCGAAGAGCACACCGATACTAGCGGCTGAGCGCAAAGTGCCAGATGGGTCGAGACTGCCAGATGGACCGAACGTACCTGACGAGCCTGTGGTAACCTTGCCCTTCTCCCGGCCCCATTATCCCGACATCATGCTGACTATTGCAGATCTTTGCTCGAAAAACAAAGCCCAAGCTGGTTGATATCTCTCGACAATCTTCCCCACCGACGAGTTATCCAATACCGGCCCTGCCAACCCGTACAATACCGTCGACGCCCGATCAACGTCAGCGGGAGGTGTCTGCCTTCAGTCCTGACACACCCTTGGAGATGTCCGATAGTGGCTACAATACCCACGCTTCCTGCTATTCTCCGGATGAGTACCGTGGCGACAAGGAAGACGATGACTACACCGACGCAAGCTCGCTAGCTTCAGATAGTGCCAGTGCGACTGTTGTCTGCGAGAAGCCCCCGGAACCCCAAGAACAGCCCACATCACCGCCTAACCCAGGCATAACGCCCCGGACTCAGCCATTACCCAAAGCCCAGGCATCGCCGCGGCGCGAATCCCACCTCTCGGAGAAGGCAGAGCTGGGGAAATGGTGGGACCACGAATGGACGATAGACCAGCTGGAGCACTCGGTGAAAGACTTCCCACGGAACATGCTAAGGCTGACCTCGCCCGTCATCATGTTCATCCGGCACAACAACGAAAAGGCCCTGATCCGGCCGTTCCGCGACATATTCCCCGACGTTGCGGAGAACCTCCTCGACGGTCTCTGCGCTTCGCTCATTGCACGAAACCATGTTGTTTCGCTCGCCTCGGGGAACAAAAGGAGCGATTTCTCCCAGCGTCCCAACCTACCTCGTTTGGATACCGTCCCTGAGCGGATCTCACCCTCGACCACCATGCAATTCAGTCAGCCCGTGCCGTCGCGCATCAAAGATAGGGTTCTCGGTTCACGCGGCACGGAACTCCGTAAAGAGCTGGATCGTATCATCGATAATCTTCTATTTGCCATCACGGGGCGGGAGCAGGATGAGACATTGAAAGCTTCTGTTCTCGCGCTTGCTCAGGTTCTGGAAAGCAAAGTATAGATGGTTGCTAGTATACACCGTCTGCTTAGAACGCACAAATTCTCCCTCCGACGTTTGTCCACTTTCATTCTTTTGCAGAGATTTGGCTAGACCAAGTGGCCTGCTTTCAAGTTTTTTTTTCGTCACTGATTCTTTTCACCATCTGTGTTTCTGTCTATCCTTTCGTCGTCGATCTACCTGTATCGTCTGGCAGGTTTCCTTTGTTCTGTTGTTGGATTGGTTCTGTGTTTAATGTGTAATTGTTATTTGATATTCCACTAGATAGATTGGTCTGTGACCTATATACTAATAATTATACCTAATAGACTTCTATACTTAGCTATTCTATACTAGAACTAGATGATGTATTTGTAAGGCAGCCTCAGGCATCAATTATGTGACCGCCTCCGGATGAGTCATCATCCGTTATCACCGGAATTGCCTCATCTGGCTCGACTTTCCCGCGGAATTCAAGCTTTCTTTTCTCCAACTCCCATCGCCCTTTACACACCCTCACACACACAATGGCCGCCTCAACAGGACGTCTACGATTTCTCTGCAGCGCCTCGCCGAGGGTCATTCCTCGGCCCAGAGTTCTAGCTCCTCACTGCAGCCGCACCTACGCGACTACCGAACCCTCATCCGTCACCAACGGCGCCACATCGCAGAAACCACGCACCAACTTCACGGACAAGCTCAACGCCGGACCCTCGTTCTCGGATTTCGTGTCCGGAGACGGCGAAGATGCACCGCTCGACCCGTCCGAAGCGTACGCCCTCAAAACAGCCCTCGTCGGCCCAGCCGGCCGCAAGAAGGAGATGACCCGCCTGCCCTCGTGGCTCAAGACCCCCATCCCAGACTCCAAGAACTACCAGCGCCTCAAGAAAGACCTCCGCGGCCTCGGCCTCCACACCGTCTGCGAGGAGGCCCGCTGCCCCAATATCTCCGACTGCTGGGGCGGCGACGACAAGTCCGCCGCCACGGCTACCATCATGCTCATGGGCGACACCTGCACCCGCGGATGCCGCTTCTGCAGCGTTAAGACCTCGCGCCGCCCGCCGCCGCTCGACCCGCACGAGCCCGAGAACACAGCCGAAGCCATCTCGCGCTGGGGTCTCGGCTACATCGTGCTCACGAGCGTCGACCGCGACGACCTCGTCGACGGCGGCGCCCGCCACTTCGCAGAAACCGTCATAAAGATCAAGCAGAAAAAGCCCGGCATGCTGGTCGAGTGTCTGACGGGCGATTACAGCGGTGACCTGGACATGGTCGCCCTCGTCGCCCGCTCGGGCCTCGACGTCTACGCCCACAACGTCGAGACCGTCGAGCCTCTTACCCCCTTCGTCCGCGACCGTCGCGCCACCTTCCAGCAGTCCGTGCGTGTCCTCGACGCTGCCAAGAAGGCCCGTCCGGACCTTATCACGAAGACCTCGCTCATGCTGGGTCTCGGCGAGACGGATGAGCAGCTCTGGGATACCCTGCGCCAGCTGCGCGCTGTCGACGTCGACGTCGTCACCTTTGGCCAGTATATGCGTCCTACGAAGCGCCATATGGCTGTCCATGAGTACGTCACGCCCGATCGGTTCGAGCAGTGGCGCCAGCGTGCCCTCGATATGGGCTTCCTTTACTGTGCGTCCGGTCCCTTGGTCCGCAGCAGCTACAAGGCCGGTGAATCTTTCATTGAGAACGTCTTGAAGAAGCGTCGGGCGGGTACGGTGGGCGCGGAAGACGCTGTGAGCGAGAAGACTATCGTTGATGAGGCGACTCGCTGATTCAAACTTTTCTCTTGTTTCTTTTTTTTTTCTTTTTTTCTTCTTTATCTTCGGCGCAGGATTCAACAGCATATGGGTGGTTCTATTTTATAATTTCACATTTTGTCTTTTTATTATCATGTTGGTTGAGGTGTATTGGTAGACGGATGAGATGGACAGCAGTAAGAAGAACTTTACCTCCTACCTAGGATAGGTAGGTAGGTTTGGAATCAGAAAGACTAAAAAGAAACCAGCCTTGACGCTCAGGCTGAGAATGATGTTAAAACCAGGGAAAGCTTCAACACCCTACTACTTTCCCCAGGAAATATATAACTTTGTATACCAACGAACCAAATACTAGGCAAATCAATCTGAATTTCAGATGAATAAATCTCCACTGATAGATCCGTCTTTCACTGGACATATACTTCTCTCTCTCTCTCCTAAGATAGCAATTATTGAGTTGTCCACAGTTCCATCAAACGCAACTTATTTGTGTGGTCGACTCGAGCGTATACTTTTACGAGCTGAATCATGTTAACTACATAGGAGACGGAGATACGATTGGGAGGTTTCTTTATCCATTCCTTCCGGCGCGAGGGAAACAGCAAAAGTTGATAGGATATAAGGGGGAAAAAGGAAATCAAAGAGGGGAAAAGGAGGAGAAAGGAAACGACGTATAACTGTCTCGGATTCCGTAGACAAGAAAGAAGAAAATAAGCCGGGACGGAAAGACATGGGAAGGGAGAATTCAATATGAAAGAAGATTTAAATGATAGGGTTCGCACCGGGCGAGATACCCTCTCTCTCTCCAGTTGACTTCCCCCCTGCTTGGGAATGGAATGGAATGGGATGGGAACGGAACAGGTGCTTCCAGATAAATAGCCGTAGGTCTTAACCCGTCGCGGGTATGTGGGTACGTGAGAGTGGGTGTCTGTGTGTATAGGTGTGAATGTGTCTATCACCCGTCAAGATCCAGCTACGATGTCTCCAAGTGATCACTCCTGAAAATCTTACGTTCGTCATGCCAGACCGTCTGTCGAGTCGTTGGTCAACTCGTTGATGTCACCCTTGGTCATGCCCAGGAGGTAGAGGACGTCCAGGAGGCTGTCCCCGTTCAGACGGGTCGGTGCCTTCAGCTGGACCATGCTCTTGGCGCGCCAGGCGACCCCCAGGCCGGCGGCGTGCAGCATGAGAAGGTCGTTGGCGCCGTCGCCGACAGCCACCGTCTGGGAAATGGGAATGTTGTGTTCCGCTGCGAGGGACTTGAGGATCGAGCGCTTCTGCTCGGCGTCAATGATGGGGTACGTCGGGACCAGTTTGCCCGTGAGGGTCTGGGTGACGGGGTCGATTTCGAGCTAGTGAGAATAAAGGGTTAGTCCGCTGGACAATAAAGCTTTGCTCTTGCTTCTTGTTTCGAAGACATACATGGTTGGCGCGAGCGTAATCGATGCCCAGCTCCTCGGCCAGCCACTCGGCCAGCGGCTGGAATCCTCCACTCAAAACGGCCAACTTGCAACCCAGGCTCTTCAAGCTCTTGCAGAGCTCCCGAGCACCAGGAGAGATGGTCAGTACCGACTTCAGCTTCTCGAACACGTCCGCGGGAACGCCGTTGAGCAGACCGACACGCTCTCGCAGCGATTCGGAGAAGTCGATTTCACCGTTCATGGCTCGTTCGGTGATTTCCTACATCATATTAGCACTAGACACATGGGAGTAATAGTGGAAGGGAAAATGAAGTGAAGAGAAAGAATGCACCCACCGAAACTTGCTTTTCTACACCGATGAACCGGGCGATCTCATCGATCACCTCGTTTTGGATCAACGTGCTGTCCATGTCGAACACCACCAGGCGCTTGTGCCGGCGGAACACGCTCTCCTTCTGCAGCACCACCTCCACATTCCACTCGCGCTCGAAGCGCCATATGCTCTCGTGCTTGCGCAGGTCGGTGAAGGTGAGATAGTCGGGGTTCGGGGGCGGGGAAAAGGTCACTTCCACGACCCGGGGCTGGTCGTGCTTGTCGAGGCAGCGGTGCGAGGTGTTCATGCGCTGGTAGGGGGTCGGGAGAGATTCGATAATCTGGAGGAAATTCGTCAAGCACAGCTGCGAGACGAAGGGCCCATACAGATGGTCGAGGGGTTCAGGCTCTGGCGCAGGGGGCTCCCGTGGAATCTTCTCCATGTCTACCGTGGGGGCGGAGCCCACGGGAACCATCGGGGACGGAAGCTTATCACCGGACCGCACATTGCGCGAGGAATCCGGGTGCAGATGAGGGTGGATGGGGTTGGAGGACTTGTAGAAGATGGTCGCGACCAGCTGCGGCGTATCATGAGGCAGAGGGTTGTCGTGGTGGCCAAAGATACTATGCGTGACGCCGGTCTCGGTGACGCGATCGGGGTCGGGGCTGACCGGGTTGTAGTTGTTCAGCGACAACGAGGCCAACGCCGCATCGTTAGGCTGATCCAGCACATTGCTGATCGTTTGAGTAATAGGAACCCCGGGTTTGTACTGTTGGTGGTCGAGGATGAAGGAATTGCTGGACAAGGTATGTTGCAACATCGGGCGCTGGGGACGAGCCGCCGTAGTGGGGTTGGAGGCAGCCATTGTTGGAGCAGGATACGGGGCTGAGACTGCAAGACAGAAGTGGGAACGGGAGGGGGAAACTAGGCGCGTCCTCAAGGATCTACAAAGAAGGACCCGGGGGGAGTAACAGAGAGGAATGGCTATTCTGGCAGGTGTTCGTCGATATCAGAGGAGAGAAGAGACAAAAATCATGATGAAGCCATTTCCTGCAGGCCGCAACATCGATCGACACCTGAAAGAACAGAAATGGAAAATTAACAAATTAAAAGAGGAAAAAAGAAAGCGGCACGTGGTCGCCGGCCTGCACGTGATGGCGATGGCCGTTACCCGTCACCGCCCGGGGCAGAATAACCGCAACTTCTTCTCTCCGACCAGTTGGCCGCGTTCATGTTAACTAAGCTGAATTGAATTACTCGAGTATGCGACACGGACCAACGAAGAAGGACTGAGACCTGACTCAGCCCTAGTGGAGCCGATCACAACAGCATGGTCCTAGCTCACCGATACAGAGAGGTTGAGGGAAGGGGATGGTGGGATTATGAGAGGGAGGAAAGGAAGGACGGGGGAAGGCCAGAGAAGGGATGATGCAACATGGAATCAAGATTGGTCATAACCCTCCTCCCGGATGAATCCAAGATCCTAGCCACTGACCCATGAATAGAAGAGATTGGAAGATTATTCAACCTGCCGTCAGTTCACGCAACAATGATGTGATCTGCCTGAGTGACCGGCAATCCGGCCTGGAAAAGAAGGCAAGCACGCCCTTGCGGTGGGCGGCAGAGACCAGAACCGCAGATATTGCGTGATTTCTGGCCAGCATGAGCGAATCCGATTTTTCAGCATTCCCCCAGATCGGGCAGGCGGTCACAGCAGATGTCGTGATTGCCAGTCGGCAGAATGGACCGGCATGGATGAGTGATGGAGGGAAATGAGTGTCTCGAGCAGGCTGTGGATGTCGTGATTGCCCCTGCTGGCTGGTCTTTTATATCGGCCGGTTTCTGGACGTCTCTCCTACCTACTTCACAGACCTCAAGCATCAAACTCTTCTCTTTCGTCATACCCATTTGCATTCTCTCTGTCTTCCAGTCATCTAGCCTTATTTATACTTCCAAAAAGGGCCTGGACGCATCCTGATCTGCCATTGACTCTCCTCTTTGTTGCCTATTCCCCTCTGCACACCGGTTGACACCATGCCTGCCAAGATGCCTGTTGCCTACCCCTCCGAGGTTGAGCCCCTCGACTCGAGAGACTCGGGCTACTCCAGTGGCTCCAGTGATGAATATACCCCGGAGATTGTCTTCACCAAGCCTCATCTGCAGTTCCTCAACAGACAGTTGCAATTCCTCGAACCTCAAGGTAAGCCGCTTCTTCCACCCATCCCTCCTAGGTCATCGATCTAACTGTCTTAGATGTCCTGAGATGGTGTGTCACATCACTGCCTCATCTCTTCCAGACCACGGCCTTTGGCCTCACTGGTCTGGTGACCCTGGACATGCTCTCCAAGTTGAACGTGCCTCGCCCGCAGATGGTCGACCTGGTCTTCCTTGACACGCTCCACCACTTCCGTGAGACGCTGGATCTGGTCGACCGGGTCCGTGCCAAGTACCCCCTGGTCAACGTCCACATCTACAAGCCTCAGGGCGTCGAGTCCGAGGAGGAGTTTGCCCAGAAGTACGGTGGCCGCCTCTGGGAGACCGACGACCAGTTCTACGACTGGGTGGCCAAGGTCGAGCCCGCCCAGCGGGCCTACCGCGATCTCAACGTCCACGCCGTCCTCACGGGTCGCCGTCGCAGCCAGGGCGGCAAGCGTGGGGACATGGACATCATCGAGGTCGATGAGGCCGGTCTCATCAAGATCAACCCGCTCGCCAACTGGTCCTTCGATCAGGTGAAGCAGTACATCCAGGACAATGAAGTCCCCTACAATGTCCTCCTCGACCGCGGCTACAAGAGCATTGGCGACTACCACTCCACCCAGCCGGTCAGCGCCAACGAGGATGAGCGGTCGGGTCGCTGGAAGGGCCAGCAGAAGACCGAGTGTGGCATCCACAACCCCCGATCCAAGTACGCCCAGTTCCTGATGGACATGGAGCGCAAGCGTCAGGAAGAGGCCCTGTCTCAAATGCAGCCTTCCCTCACGACCACCGCACAATAGATGGTGCTGTCTTTTAGACTTGCATAATCTGGCGTTCTTTTTCTTATTTCTTCGGGTTGGGAGTTCAAAAACACTAGCGGAGCTGCACACAGCATTGATATCATTTGTGGATTTTACAGGGTATGCAATTGGGAGGATAATAATGCCGTTATGAATATTAAGACTTGGGGATTACATGTTCCGTGGGTTTTTTTGCCGGATGGGACGCTGTACATTGGAATCACCAATAATGACTAGCATGATCAAAATTACTTTATTACAATCTTTTCCCTGTATTCTTCTAGGCTTTATACTGTAGTGTACGTGAGGTGGTAGACATCGAGTCTTCCCTCAGCCTAAGTAGGGCTGGGCTAAGGTTAGCATTTCGTTCTTCCCTACTCGTCGTGTGCATCCACTGCAACTAGCGTAGTCGAAAAAAATCCTTCCAGTACCATCCACCTTAACCTACATTAACACACCCGCTCCATCCAACCGATCTATCCTTCCCTGCCGTATGAGCATAGGACTAGGTACAATGTCGTCAAAATAACACAACATGATAAAATGCGGCTCAACGATCACGCAATCACGAACCGTCCCATTCTATGATCGAGAGGTTCGATCCAGTCCCCATGATCTTCCGCTAACGGCGTGGTTCTCCCTACCGATCGAGAATTAAGCAGTGTCTTTGTTGATTTTAGGGCAAATCACGCAAGGCGGGCTAGTGCCGGCCAGCAAGGATCTTATCTGATCGATCGGATCTTTGCCGCTTACTTATGGTACTGTAGGGATCATGATGTTGTTGGGACTCTGTTTTTCTTGCTTTGTTCTTTCTTTCTTTCTTTCTTTCTTTCTTTCTTTCTTTTTTTTTGGACATTTCTTTATTTTATTTGCCTATTATAGGTGGTAATTATATTTCTCCAGTTGGGTTCACATTCAAACTGTAATACTAGCGACGTAAGTTCGACGAGCAAATCTAGGGCCGGCTGGATCACCTGACTCCGCCAAGCACGATCACGCAAGCGGCGTTTGAGATGTCGCAATGCCGCCTCCGTTCTTGGCGCCACGTGAGTCTGCATAATTACTAAGCAACAGTATGTTTCAAGAGTATCTCGGCAAGATACAGACAAGACAGGTCGTACTGGTCCTCCGACGGGCTCTGTTTGAGGAACATGAATGTTCCTCTATATCTCCGTCGGACTGTCACAGACTGGGCAATACTCGGTCTAATTTTACCAACAGGGATTCTTAGACAGACGCAACGTAACAGAATTCCCGATTTACGTACCCAAAGGTCGCAGACTCCATGGTCCGGGTCTGGGAAATTTGCCCCCCCTGAAAATCATACCTTTTCTTGGTTCACTACGTTTTCCCTGGATGCCTTTCCCCTTCTCCGTTCTACTCTACTTCGTACATTGTGGTCTAATAGTCACTACTTAGACATTTCAGGAGAGCCTCCGGGGAAATAAGGACGGTCCAGGGTGGCCAGGGGGATCGCTCTGAACGACGGTGGTTACGTCGGCGTCATGCGTATATAGTACAGTCGGGCTTGCTTATTCGCCGGTTGGATCGTTAGTGCGGAGACTATGGGATTGACTCCGTATACGATGTAGATAATGAGGGGCGAATCTGATATCTCTCTTTTCCCTGTAGATGGACGGGTTTCTGATATACCTCGGACAGCAAGGAAACCACACCAGGAGTCAACCAGGAACAATAAGAAACCAGGAATCAAAAAGGATGGAAATGAAACAGTGGAGTCCAGTTGGCAGGGAAATCGACCGGATGAGTGGTCGTCATCAGCGGGGTGGATGTGATCCACCTTGGATACTCATAATAACATTCGAGAACACTGTTGAATAGTAGCAGATGACGGTTGATTCCTCAGAATCCAGGCCATGCACCTGGGTTGTCCCGATTAGGCAATCCTTGGGTCCGCTCCAACTTTTTCTTCTTCTTCTCTTCTTCCCCCTCCCCTCCTTTCCTTTTCCTCTTCTACTTCTCATCTCCCCCTCTCTTTCTCTTCACTTCTTTTCTCTATACCCTCCTCTCTCTTCGCCCTCTTTCTATCTTTCTATAATCTTCATCATGGCCAACCCTCCCCACGGCGGTGTCCTCAAGGACCTCATCGCCCGCGATGCCCCCCGCCACGACGAGTTGACCGCGGAGGCCGAGAGCCTGCCTGCTGTCATCCTCTCTGAGCGTCAGCTGTGCGACCTGGAGCTTATCATGAACGGTGGCTTCAGTCCTCTTGAGGGTACTGTCTCCTCTCCATGATTCCTGTTTTCTGCCCGTTTTAACCCATCCTTGGGATTATGTCATGCCTTACGTTCCTGGCTAACCACGCCTCTCCCCGCAGGTTTCATGAACCAGAAGGATTTCGACAGGTATGCGCTTGCCTTCTGTTTAGAATTTGAATGAAAATATCTAGAATTCTTTCGGAGTGTCTCTGAAGAGAAAGTGATGGGAACATGTGCTAATCCATCCCAGTGTCTGCGAAAACTGCCGTCTGGCCGATGGCAACCTCTTCTCCATGCCCATCACCCTCGATGCCTCCCAGCAGGTCATCGACGAGGGAAAGCTGCAGGCCGGCTCTCGTGTCACCCTCCGTGATTTCCGTGATGATCGCAACCTGGCTATCTTGACCATTGACGACATCTACCGTGCCGACAAGTAAGTTTGCCTCCGCTTTATTTTATTCTATTCTATTTTTCTATTGTTCTCCCCGGCGGACGTCGTTGTATTCCCGTCCGTGACGGAGCAATATGCCGATCCCCGACCGTCGTCGGAGATGAATCCCACCGCACTAGTTTGGTTTTCTCCGGCGGCGTTTCAGCCTGTCAGGGGGGAACTTCCGCCTTGTGGGTCTGTTGACGTGGATAAAACTGACCCCTTGTTTTAGGGCCAAGGAAGCCAAGCTGGTCTTTGGCGGCGATGAGGACCACCCCGCCATCAAGTACCTCAACAACAACGTCCAGGATTTCTACATCGGTGGTAAGGTTGAGGCTATCAACAAGCTGAACCACTACGACTATGTCGCCCTCCGCTGTATGTTTCCGATAATACTCTCCTCCCTGGAAGAAAACCATGGCTAATCCACTCGATCAGACACCCCCGCGGAGCTGCGCATCCACTTCGACAAGCTCGGCTGGAACCGAGTTGTCGCTTTCCAGACCAGAAACCCCATGCACCGTGCTCACCGTGAGCTGACCGTCCGCGCCGCTCGCGCCCGTCAGGCCAATGTCCTGATCCACCCCGTCGTCGGTCTCACCAAGCCCGGTGACATCGACCACTTCACCCGTGTCCGTGCCTACGAGGCTCTCCTGCCCCGCTACCCCAACGGAATGGCCGTCCTGGGTCTGCTGCCCCTCGCCATGCGCATGGGTGGTCCCCGCGAGGCCATCTGGCACGCGATCATCCGCAAGAATCATGGTGCCACCCACTTCATTGTCGGCCGTGATCACGCTGGCCCCGGTAAGAACTCCAAGGGTGAGGAGTTCTACGGCCCCTACGACGCCCAGCACGCCGTCGAGAAGTACCGTGAGGAGCTCGGCATCGAGGTCGTCGAGTTCCAGCAGGTCACCTACCTGCCCGACACCGACGAGTACAAGCCCAAGGACCAGGTCGCCCCCGGCATCAAGACCCTGGACATCTCCGGTACCGAGCTGCGCAACCGTCTGCGCACCGGCGCCCACATCCCCGAGTGGTTCTCCTACCCCGAGGTCGTCAAGATCCTGCGCGAGGCCAGCCCGCCCCGCGCCTCGCAGGGTTTCACCATCTTCCTGACCGGTTACATGAACTCGGGCAAGGACGCCATCGCCCGTGCCCTGCAGGTGACCCTGAACCAGCAGGGCGGCCGCGCCGTCACCCTGCTGCTCGGTGACACCGTCCGCCACGAGCTGTCCTCCGAGCTGGGCTTCAGCCGCGAGGATCGCCACAAGAACGTGCAGCGCATCGCCTTCGTCGCCGGTGAGCTGACCCGCTCCGGCGCCGCCGTCATCGCCGCCCCCATCGCCCCCTACGAGCACTCCCGGAAGGCCGCCCGCGAGGCCGTCGCCGGCCTGGGCGGTTCCTTCTTCATGGTCCACGTCAACACCCCGCTCGAGTACTGCGAGCGCACCGACAAGCGCGGCATCTACTCCAAGGCCCGCGCCGGTGAGATCAAGGGCTTCACCGGTGTCGACGACCCCTATGAGGCTCCCACCAACGCCGACCTCGTCGTCGACGTCTCCAAGCAGAGCGTCCGCAGCATCGTCCACGAGATCATCCTCATGCTCGAGACCGAGGGCTACTTTGACCGCGCTTAAATCGGTCAACTTCGTTCTTAGATCTTGATTTTTTCTTATACTTCTGATTTTTTTTATTTTTATTTTGTCTTAAGCCGGAAATGGGAATGGGAATGGGTCCCTTATTTTTATTTTTCTGTACAGATTTAGAGATAGAATCTCTAAGATGATCTCTTTTTTTCATAATAGAATCGAATCACTCTGAAATTGAATTGATTGAGTATTTTGATCTATTTCTTACCAACCCGTAGCCACCAATATTGTATTCTCTTCTCAGCTCACGGATATACCAATACTACCAGGTATGTAATAGAACTGGCTAGCTAACTAATCCATCAGTACCAAAAGCAGACACAATAGAGGGGAGAAGGTCAGCTGACTTGCATTGTTCTCCCAAATAGATGTGTTATTTTGGCTGTCCGTGGTTTCTTGCAATCAAGGCACCTAGCAATTGTCCACAACGTTTCCATAGGTTGAAAGAATTGTTAATATTATTGGTGTGTTGGTTGGTTGTATTCGTTGGTTCCTCGAACTATATATATCCTATCCAGGAGTATGGTGTACTTTCATCCATTATTCATCGTCCCATCTGTACATCCGCCACCCATGCATGATATGGTTAAAATACTCGACTGTCAAATCTGCTGTGACTGATTGATTGACTGACTCTAAATCAGTCAAGAATAAAAGAGACCATCTATATGATCAAAGCAAGAAGGAAGAGCTTGCTATAGTAATCAGCTCAAGCGAAGTACAATAATATAAATTGTAAATGCTAACTACCTAAAATCAACCCTAAAATACAAATAGCACATCTAATATGATATGCAGGATGATAGAATCCGATCATGAAACGAAAAATGATAATAGGGGAATAAAAAAGCGAAAAATAGAAAGAAAATAAAAACACAACTCCTAATTCAACCAACCAACCATTAAGGTGGAAAACGGGACCGCTCAATGTTATACACCCCCAATTCTACTGACCATCACCGTATTGAACTGTCGGCTATTGACTATCCCCTCCGACCACGGCGCCTCCGGGTGTGCTGATCTGGTATCCGTCGAAATCCAACGTGTACGTGGCCGACACGCCCGCGTCCTCCAGGTCGATGACGTACTTTTCTTTCTTGGCTGGGTACTTGTCGCGCAGGTAGTTCTCGATGCTGTCGACGGTGAAGAGGGCTGCGTCGAAGGCGCCGGTCTTTTCGAGGATGTAGAGGACTGCTACGCGGGCGAAGTCGAGGGTTTTGTCGGAGATGGCTTGTGGGGAGTGGTGGGTTGACGAGGCGGTGGGGGTTTTGGAGGGGGATGCTTCGGGCGGGTCATCCTCCTTGTCGGTGGAGTCGGACTGTGAGTGCTTTTTAATCGGATGGTCGAAGACAATGCCGTCTTCTGTTGCGGCGGAACCGCGCGCGGATAGGGTGGCCGTGGGGAGATCGCGTTTGTTGGACCCGGTTGAGACGCCGCGGAAGGCGATCAGGGCGTTCTCGGTCGTGCAGGACACGTCGTTTTGGCTGAAGAGGGCCATGATGGTCACTGGGTCCAGGGGGATGTTGAAGTCGCTTTTGACGTCGCCGAAGAGCCGGGGAAGCTGATCGCCCATGGTTGCGTTGCGCGAGGATGAACCGTCCGGGATCTCGGTGGCGATGCAGCTGGCGTCGCCGGCGACAGTACAGCGCGATCCCGTGAAGCCGTTGGTGCAGACGCAGGAGCAGACGTCGTCGCTGGAGACGCTGACCCCGCCGTTTTCGCAGGGCGAATTGGATCCGCAGGCGGAGTGACTCGCTAGGCTGGTGATGCGGCTGTTTTTGTGCTGGGGGACGACCACCAGGAAGACGGGGATCAGGACGGCACAGAGAACGATGATGATGAATATGATGAGGAGCACGATGAAAAGCCAGAGTGGCATGCCGCAGCAGCGTCGTGCAGGCCTTCTGCTCTTTTCTCCGTTGTCTTCCGTGTCGTCGTTGGAGTGGAGATTGTGCAACTGGGATCGCCCGAAAAAGGTCGGCCAGGACGAGCGCCCGCCCTGGGGAGTGGACGCCGGAGGGGGGAACGAAGCCAAGATATCCTTGAGAGATCCGGACTTGCGGTTTTGGCCTGGGTCGGAGATCAGCTTCAGCAGTCCTGTCAAATTTGAGGGGGTCTGAGGTGACTTACCATTCGGAAGCTTAGAGCCTCCAAAGTTCAAGAGGTCATTGCGGCTGGCTGTACGCCCGTGTTCGAGGTTGGTAGCAAGCCTCGTCGCCCGCCGGATCAGATCCGGCAAGCTGGTCAAGCTCCCTCGAGCTTCGGCATCCCGAACGGCATCCATGTCGAGACGGGGCGGCCGGCGACCAGTAGGGCGCTTATCACTCATGGTCGGAGCCGCCAAAGGAAGTGCGCCCCCCATTTCTTTCTCCAACGCAGGGGAGTCATGGCGTTGCGGCTGGCCGATATTAACGACGACGGGTGCCTTTTCCCAGTCGAAATGAGAGGATGCCGTTGACGACGACGAGGCGGAGCCTCTGTTATCCTTGGGACCGCCAAAGACATCCTTTTGCTGGGGGGCCCCGGAAGGTTCAGCGCCGGATGAAGGCTGCTTGATATCCCTGGGATGATTGCCGGCCGGGGGCGCGAGTGATTCCGTGGTCGCCCGTTGGATGGTCCGTAGCGAGGGCTTGCCTCGTTTCCCCAGACTGGCCTGCCTTACCAGGGTCGGACCGTGATCTTCGCCCGAGGGCCGCGAGTCGGGAGAATCCTCGCCCGAATCGACGTCCAGGTAGGCTCCTAGGATATCCGACTCGGCCTGAGCGGATGCCCAACTTGGTACAACCGCGCGACTGGACGGATACGCACTCCGGGGGACGGTTGGGCTCTCAGATATCTCCTCGGGGATGGGCGAGACGGAGGATCGGCGGTTGATAAAGGAACGCGATGTGTGCGGAGGCGGGGCGAGATTGGGTGGCCGTCTCGGGACGTGTTTGGGAACCGTGTTGTCCTCCGCCGGAAGAGGGAGCGTGGACGCCGGGAAATCAGGAATCGACGGAATGGAGGTCGTCGATGCCGCGGATCGCCGGAAGAGCTCATCCGTGGCCACTGACACCCGAGGCGTTGAGTCGGCGTCACTGGTTGGGCGCGCGGGGATCGGGACCCTGACGGCCGGGCGTGGGGGTGGTGGTTGCTGTGGCGGTCGCGGCTTTGAGAAGGACGGAACTGACCTATTCAAATGCAATGGACTGGGTTCGGCATCGGAAAGACTCCTTTCTGAATACACCGACGGCGACGGAGCATCGGGGCGGGGGGGTCTCTGCGGTGGTGGTCCCCTTGGGACAAACAGTCTTCCCTGGGGATCCACCTGCTGGGGTGGCATGGCACCACTGCCTGACAGGGGCCACTGGGTCATATGAGAGGGATCGGTTCGGTAGGGGGGAGGACGCTGGAAGCCTTGTGGGGGCATTGGGGGTGCTTGAATTCTTGGACGTCTCCCCGACTCGAGCATCTCCCTCGCCCGTCGCACCGAGCCTTTCGGCTCCGCCGGCCTCTGACCAGACGCCGGGTCTGGAGGATAGCCTGAATTCATTGGGGACGGGGTTGATTGGATGCGAAGTTGCCTGTAGGAGCACGAAAACTGACCAAACCAGGTCGACTGGTTGGCGAAATGAACGAAAGCAGAAGAGGTGCTTCAACCGGAATTGATAGATCTTCCCCCAAATGAAAGTGAGTAGGGCCAATACGCTGTGCGCAGGTCCAAGAGAAAGAATGAATGAAAAGAAAGAGGAGAAGAATGATCAATGCTGTCAAGGGCACTCAATGCCTCTCTAGATAGCAGACCGTCAGCCCATCGAACACCGAGATGGGGTCAAATGAAGAGACCGTGGAGATGCATACCGCAGACAATCAGAAAGATGTTGAAAGAAAAGAAAGAAACCCCAGAGACGTGGATCACAATCCCATAGTAGTCCAGATTGATACCGTCTCACCCAGAATTCCTAGTATGGAAAGAATTGATTAACTCCATCCGAACCAAATATTACGCAGAGATTAGACCTACCAAATCACTAGACAACCCGGTCGAGTGAAGAGGAATAAGAGAAGAGCGTCTAGCTCTTTAGGGAGGCTGAAAGAGAGTGAAAGAAAGAAGGTCAGAAGAGCGAGTCGGAGAGTGAGTCTCAGACATTCTCACAGCCTCCCCCATCAGGCTCCCTCTCTCTCTCACACACTCACTCTCTGACACTCTCTTTCAGGTGGGGATACATCGGGATGAGAAGAAGAACCGTCTATTCCGACCGAGATTGGCCAAGATGGACCCAGGAGAGGGGAGTGGAGGAAGCCAGAGTCGAATCGAGCAGCAGGAACGAAGCAGATTGGAGGAGAGGGCGAAGAGTCGAGAGAGCTAAGGTCTCAGCGTGATCCGGCTCTAATCCTCTTCGGGCGGATCCATGCGAGATCCCATACGAGATAATCTACGCGGTGGATCCGCGTTGAAACACTCTCTCCGCCTCTCTCCCGTCATGTCGTCCAATGACGGTGGATACAGCAGGGTTTGAAGGGTCCGTTGGATCCATCATGTCTCGACCCTCTGGGCCTTCCGTGATATGGACTGACCAATGCTCGAGTGGGGACGGATAACGGATCCATTCCTATCCACGGCGCAGAGGATATTGCATCAATCTCGTCTCGTTCGAAAGACATATATCCCTTGATCAACAGGCAAGATCGCAGACATATTGAAGGCAGATTCAAGACAGAAGGGGATTGGCCTCTGGGGGCGGAAAGACGGTCGAATCCCAGCTATCGTCACTGCCACAGACCGTCATCCTGCCTCCCAACCCTTGCGTGATTCCACGTTACCGATGTCGATGAGACATTCGTGTACCTTTCCGACACTATTAATAACGAGGATGACTCTTCTGGGGCCTTCCAATGCAACTGTCGCTGCAGGAGGTACGGTTGGCAGGACAAAAACTGTCGGTAGTTGTCAACCCCAGCAACTACCACATCCAACCAGATCTCGAGGCACCCGCGTCCTCAGCTACTTACTAGATAGTATGAAGTATTCGTTGAGTACCGATCCGATCCCCATGGTCACTCCTTTCACGATGGAGTTGGTATCACTCGAATTTGATACTCCGGGTGGGACCAGACCCTGGCGTAGTCTGAGCCGTCGCCTTCGCTTAATGCATCTAGTCCCCTACCTGGGGCGCCGCCTTTAATTTGGGTCGGAGAATTTTATATTAACGTTGAGATTAATGTTACCACGACTGACTCGGAGGGAGGATTCATCGAGTTTTTCGACTGATGTGATTCCATCCGACGGGATCAGGGGCGCAGTGAGACATCCACGCGGTACTTATTTTGGCTTTTTTTCCCCTTACTTTTTTCTCACATAATTATTTATTTTTGTTTATTCTTTCTTATTTTACCTTGCATCTTATTTCGTTATATTTTTTATTCTTTATTTTCAATACTGATGATACTGAAGTTAAATGTCACCACGTGATTCTTTCAATATATCACGTCTCATCATCCACTCTTCCCCGCGCAGTACTAACCGTACAGTCCCCTTCAATGTCACCCAGACGGTGACGACCCCGAGGCTATTCAGCTGGGCCTACGCCTGGCCCCCAAGCCCAGGCGTCCAATGTGCTAATCCCGGAACGGACCAAGGCACTACGCCTGTCAAGAATAGTCTGGTTCCACGGATCCTCGCAATAAAACCAGCCGCCTCGGGTTCTGAAGGAGCATCGAATCAGCCCCTGGTCGAGTTCTGCCGCGCGAATCACACGAAACGCGAGGCTACCACCTCGAGTATCAATGCGAGGACGGTCCCGGCTTCTCGCCCTGCTGATGGAGTCGAAATTTGCTGTCTTTTCGCAGGACGCCTGATCCATGTGGTCCCTTGCATGGAGGTTTGAGACTGAGAACCGAACGATGCAGTGGGATCTTGCGCCGATGTAATGCTGTGCGAGGGTGTTGGTGAGTCTGTTGAATTGCGCGGGGAAGCCATGCTCCCCTTGTCAGTCATCCATTGTCGCTCCGTCCTGGAAGTAGCCGCCTAGATTCTCGACGCGCCGACCCCAGACGGCGAGACTTGGTCACAAACCCACAGCGGAGCTGACTGGAAGAGTTGTGTCGTGCAACCCTCAACCAGGGGTAAGGTGCTGAGATAGGGGTAAGCTGTAGATGTTGTACCAAGTGATTTTTGTGGCAGAGTGGAAGAGCTCCCTCGAGCAATGCAGCACCTGAATTCTTCGAGATACTCGAGACTTGAGTCTAGAATGTTAATGTTGCAACACGTACAATGTTGCATTCCTGTCCACGACAATAACACGGGTGCCCGTGCCATGCTGGCCCGTCTTAAACAGGCGACTCCTGCCACCTCTGCGAATGCACGAAAGTACTGGATGGGTTTGATAAACGTAGGGAGTCCGTGATCCAGTACCCTGGACTAGGTGTCGCCTTCGCTTTCGAGAAAGACCACGATATCTTGCATTCATTCTAGACTGAACTACCGAGATTCTGCATTGCATTGTTGATATCCTCTGACAACGTTCGAGGAAGTCCTAGCAACTTTTCTGCAGTGTGACTAAATGGCCCTCATTAGTTACTTAATGCCCCAATCTATCTTCAGAATCTGTACGCCACGGTGTCGATCAAGTTCTAAAAATGTAGATAGACTATAGATCTGCCCCATAGCTAGCATGCATATTGCATATCCCCATCATGGACACTTATGGCTACAACCTCGTATAAGCCACATCCATAGAAAACCAGAATGCAAAATCAAGGCGATTGAGCATCTCAGACCCAACAAAATCGCAGAGCTCGAATGACATATCTATACTGCGATATATCTCACGGGAACTTAAATTCTCTAGCAATCCCCCAAACCACCACTAATCTAATCCGAGCAAGATATTCATATTTAGAATAAGCCAGTAGTTGTGTATAAATATACTCCGTATACCCACCGCATCTATGAATATGTTGTTATCCGTATAAACCTAACCTAACCCCAACTGGGCTCTCTGCATACATAGTGGAGTGGAGTCTGCATGCCATTCTGCTGGTGCAGGATTGTGGCTCGGGGTACAGCTTCTCATTTGATTTTGCTAATAGGTGATATGATTGGATTCTGCAGGCGGCATTATACCCAATGATGAGGCGTAATGAAAGCATGAATTGTGTCTGTCTTTCGTTGAAAGAGTTCTAAGCAGGTTGATGCTTATAGTTAGTTCATGATAAGTTATCGTGGATATGACGAACGAGGTCAGGGCGAGGTGGTTGCGCAGTGGACTTTATACTGCTGGTAAAGCTGGGTTGCTTCCTTGGTTGGCTGGTATTGTTGAGGTTGGGGCTTTATAGATGCGCTGAATTGGATTCCTGGCTGTTGAATTAGAGGTTTTGCAGGATACAGTTTTTACAAAAGCGCTATTCTTGGTTTCTCAAGATGAAAGGCCCAAGTCCCACTTGCGGATGAATGTATACATCGATACCATTGGATCAGCATGATCTATTGTTTGTTTTGGAATGTCTATATGGATATGGTCATAGCCACGAGCTTGACCTGTGTAGCTCAAGCATGTCACGTACTTCCCAGTTCACTTCTCACCCGGGTCACTTCTTTCTCCACAGCCTGCATCTCAACAATCACACCGGCCAGCTCCGCCATATGGCCATCCACCGCCTCCGCAAAGGATTTCTGAGCACTGCGAAGAGACTGGGGGACCAAGATCCCATACCACCGTATAGGATCGGAGGATCGAGGTTTATGCTTCGACGGTTGAGGTTTGGGGCCAGCCTGCTGGTCGTCCTCGGTAAGGATGGAGGGAGGTGAGTCTTCTGTGGATTGTTCTGTGGGTTTGGCCTCTGCCTCGGGCTTGGGTTCCTCGTTCTGTGCAGGCTCGTCTGTAGTGGGCGTTGGCTTGGTATCTTCCGTCTTCTTCGATTGATCCTCCTCGGAGTTGTCTATCACGGATTTCATGGTGAACGTAGGTTTGCATTCGTGGTTTGGGTGGCCCTCCGTCGAAGTGGCATCATTCTGAGTGCTATGGTCATTTCCGTCGCGGTCGGTAGAAGCTTGCAGTTCTCTGGAAGATGCACTGATCAGTCATGTTTCCTGACACACCACATGCTAGGGGACTAGATGTTGTGCGTACACTCTCCTCGTGGCTTTCATGCGATCATCATAATAATCCGCGCCATAATGTCGGCCTGGTGGACAGGTATAATTGGCCTGAGCGAGCGAGAAAAACCCCTGTCTTCGACGTTAGTCCCGCATTGGGCAATCGGTTTGATGATGAGGGCCATACGGAGGATAGTCGCGAGCTGAGATCGGCCTGTAGTCGCTGGTGTTGATCGAGGAGATGGAGATAATGCTCTAGAAGGGAATCGAGTGACCGCAACAGCTCCGCGGAGGAGTCCGATTGTTTGGTCTCGACATAGAGGGATTCTGAACTGGCGCGAGAGGCGGGAGGTGTAGGGATTTGTGTCATTTTAGAACCAGAAGGCAATGCGACAAAAAACCTTTTCAATGTTTATCGCGTGTGAAGAAGAGAGGGAAAATGACGAAGATGGAGGTCGGGGACGGGGAAAGCGGATGACTGGCAATGGCCGAGGGAGCAACGCCGATAACTCCGTCATCGCGAAAAGCGAATCCAAAAGAATTTCCCGCCGACGTAACCTCCACTTCCTGTCATCTCCTCCCACCACCCTTGTTGTATTCCACCATTTGCGTTTTTTTGCCTATTATTCGGGACTTATTCTTAGATTTGGTAAGTCTTTACAAAACGAAACCAGCGTTTAGTTGGGATTTCCTGGGACATCGCGCCTGTTCTTGCAAACGCCACCTTGGACCACCACTTACGTCGTTTGCCAGGGAACAACAACCTTCCTTGTTGAGACTTCTTCAAGAAGAACCCATCGGACTTTTCTTGGTTCAGACTTCTGATAAAGCTAAGGCGACAGCGACGAACATCTCGGATAATACTCTCTAAGCTCGGACCTTCCTTGTCCAGCCGTCCCGCATCGTGCAGTCCCTAGACGGACATCGAAAGACAGACCTCGCATCTCCACTCTCACCAGCATCGATATTATCATAATGTCTACCCCCGCGTTGCCACGGAACACTGCCTTCCAGGTCCGGTCACTGGTATGTTCCCGACTTAAACTTCATCTAGTCCCAACGGACATAGCTGATGATGTTTCTTTTCCCCCGTGCGCAGTTCCGGTCCTTGCTCCGTCAATCCACCCAGTTTGCAAACTACAACTTCCGCGAATATGCCCGTCGCAGAACATTGGATGCTTTCCGCGAGCATAAGGGCGAAACGGAGGATCGGAAGATCCAAGAGTTGATCCAGGAGGGCTTGCAGAACTTACGGATGCTGAAGGTCAGTGTGACAATATTCCTCACTGGTGTCGCTGATGCTATTCGGGTTGATCCACTCGTCCGCCCGGATATTGCGACACGTAGGCGCCAAATGAGTAGCGCGGATAACTAACTGTCAGTATAGAGACAAACCACGATCAGCCAGTTTTATCAGATGGATAGATTGGTCGTTGAGGGCGGGGAGACGGTAGGTCCTAACGAACAGAAGGCGCTGTCAGGGCATAAGATTAACAGTATTCAGGGGAAACAAACCGGGCAAGAAGGTGATATTGTTCGCCAGAAGGATACTGGGTAAGGATCTCGCCCCGAATTCATTGTCGACGGTCAATCTAACTATCACTCGCAGTTGGGATTAATTGTACCCCTCTAGCAACAGACGGTGATAAAAATAAACATGACATACTGAGGGCGATATGGCATTTGTTTTTCTTGAATCCTTACTTTAGCCACTGAACCTGTGATGGTGGCCGCAGCAGGCGGAGGCGATCGAATAGACCGGGCGTGTTCTGTACTTTTAATGGATGATCCTACGTTGTAGGTAGCATTGTTTATATCTTGTCAAATGCGACCATTCTCTCCTTATCTTTATTATATATCCGTATAAGAATATACTCGACGAAGTGGCTCCGAACAACACCCCGGAGTCCCCTGTCCACGTGACCGGCGCCCGTCGTTCGCCGCGCTCTGGATCGATCGCGACTCTTCTCTCTCACTGCCCCATCACTTGCTCCACCTTAGCTGGCTTCCTGGCCCAGTTTCTCGTTCAACCGTTGTTCTTTACATTTGCATAACCACTGCGCTCATTTCTATTTTTTATTTCTCTTTCTATTTCATTGTTTTAACAGGTGGAGGGGTCACCTGTTCACAATGCCACCGACGGTAGGTTCTTCGCGACTCCCAACTGTCTCACCAGATCTTTGTTTTTGGGACAACGACATGATCGCATGCAAGTAGGTATATATTCGATCGGCTAACAAATCTTCAGTTCCGGTCCTCGCGTTCTGGCCGTCAATTCGGCGAGGGCGCCAACCGCACCAGAACCGGCCAGATTGACCACGATGTCTTCGAAGGCCTCCCCGTCCGACGATGGACGCGCCAATCCCAAACCGTCTCCCAAGTCCCCAAAACCGAAGGCTCGGAATCACTGCTCCAGGGCATCGAAGGAAAACAATCTCTGCCGGAACACCCCATGCCGAGAGACAGCCATCTTTTGACCCCGATGAGCAGGGCCCTCCTCCGTGCGGCTCGCGCTGGCTGTGTATATATTCGCCAGGCCCCCAAGGATGAGGAGGATGAGGAGAAGGAAGTGGTGGAATTGGAAGATCAGCCAGCGCTGTCTACGATGGAGCGCAGCTTTGTGACTCGCAAATGGGCGGCCATTCCGAAACATCTGGAGTCGTCGGAGGTGGAATTCCTTGCTAAGCGACGACCGGGCTTGCCGTCCTTGTACGGTGCCGCTACGTCTTCTACGGACGGAAGCAATAACCCTCCCGTGCCTATGAGAAGGACGAGATTCAAGAAGGTTGATCCCACAACGGGGAATATCTCGGTCTACGAGGCTTGGGTGCCGGAAGGCCATCGAATCGAAGGGGAGATCACAGATGACACGCAATTAGTACCCGAGAAAAGTGAAGCGACAGTGACGCCTGAGGCACCAGCGCCGGGAACCGTCATTGACGGCGTCGGGGTAGTCAACGGTGAAGGCGTGGTGGTCGCGGAGGCCGGCTCGGTATCCGTGATGACGCCTCCAAAGAGACGGCCGCCTCCGCCCAAGCGCAAGGCGAAGGGCTTCGGAAAAGGTAGAAGAAAGAAGGTCATGTTCGCTCCTGGGGATGGAGCCGACGCTTCGACAGTGCACGGCGCAGAGGGAGCCGGCGCAGATACTGGTGACGCTGGTTACGGCAAGGAGGGAAGTGCTGATACCCCGCGCATGTCGATGGACCAGAATGGTCAAGACGACGAGGAGGAAGAGGGCGATGAGGGCGATGAAAGTGACGAGGGCGACGAGTCGCTGATCGAACCGAAAACCCCAGAGACTCCCCTTCCGCAACCTAGCGCTGAACCGACGGCCTCAGCGCCTCCGCCGGCCGAGCCAACCTCTGTTCCTGCTACTGGATTGGAACCAGCACCTGAGACGAAGCCGGAACCTGCAGCTGAGCCGTCAACTGTTTCAGATGTGCCTCCGCAAGTCCCCGCGCCCTCCACTAATGCCCCGACCCATGAGCTGCCTCCGGCCGAGACACCTCTCACCTCTGATGCGCCGGCTTCCACATCCCCGGAGAAAGCGGCGCAAGAAGCTCAGACTTCGGAAGACGTTGAAATGACCGACGAGAACCCTGAGCCGCCAGCCACCCTAGAGACCCCGGCACCGATCGCGCAAGCCGCTCCTGAAGCACAACCATCGCCAACTGCGGCAACAAATGATAAGTCAACTCCTCAAGAGGAGACTGCTTCCATGAAACCCGAAGAGCAACATGCAACTGCGGAGAAACAGCCGTCGCCAGCTGTGAAGGAAGAGAAAACTGCTAGCGAAGAGCCGGCATCGAGTGGGCCAAATGAAACGGCTCAGCCACAGCAGGATGACTACATGGCCATGGATACTACAGCCGATGGGCCGCAGGCGCCACCACAGGAGGAACAGCCTAAGCCAGAGCCCTCTGCTGAGCTCTCCGAGGTCGCTCAGCAAGGGGACGGGGAGCGTGGGGAGAATAAGCAGGATGACATCCTAGGAAGTCTCGAGGCAAGCCTGGAGGATAGCAATGCAGGAAACGAAGATGAGCCGGCTGGTGCGCAACCAGAAGAGCATAAGGGCTCAGAACCCGAGGCGTCAGCTGCACCAGCAATTTCCGGGCCAGTCAAGGACGAGGCCAACAAAGAGAGCGGCGGAGAATCCGACAACCTTCCAACGGATGACAACGCCCCGCCACCTACAACAGAACAGCCCGAAGATACAGCCAATGAACCAACCACAGACCAAGCCATGGAAGAGGCTCCTGCACTCCAATCGGAGGAACAACCGTCTGTCGAGCACCCGACGGAGACTCTCTCACATGAATCCGCACAGCCTCCAACTGAGCCCACTCCTGCCGAGCCAACCCCGACTGAGCCGGCCCCAGTTGAACCCACTCCGGAGCCTCCCGTCGAAAAGGCAGAAGAGCAGTCCTCCGAAAACGTGAAGGAATCAGAAACCCCGACCTCGGCCCCGGCTCCCGCTCCAGTCTCAGAAGAAGGAAAGCCGCTGGAAGCCACCGGCGCGCCAGAAATTGCAGCGCCAGAAACCGCAGCGCCATCAACGGAGACTCCGGCCCCAGAACCTGCCCCAGAAACAGCAGCAGCAGCAGACACACTCCCGACAACCTCCAACGAGGAAACAAAAGAGCCATCTCCCAAGCCCGAGCAGCCAGCAGAAGAAACTGCTCCCCAACCCGCTCCTAGCGCAGAAGAACAAGCTCCTCCAACGGAAGAACAAGCGCCAGCACCAGCACCCGAACCACAACCAGAGGAGAGCGAGAGCCAGAACCAGCTCGAGAAGCAGAATCAGCCAGACGAGACGACACAAGCCGACGCACAGCCGTCGAGCGATCCCACCCCGCCTCCAGCTGATCCTACGCCTGTCTCTGAACCTGAACCAGCAGGGGAATCAGAATCGCAGACAAAAGCAGATGAGCCAAGTGATGCACCCGCTCCTGAACCCGAATCTTCTACTCCTGCTGCTGCTGCTCCTGCTGCTGCTGCTGCTCCTGCAGCACCGGCCCCTACCACTGAAGCCACACCCCAACCCACAATCCCAATCCCCGAACCTCTCAATCCTACCCCAGCGGAAACCGAAAAGAAAGAACAAGAGGGTGAAGAGAAAAAGGAACCTAAAGCCTCGGAACCGACTCCTCCGGCGCCTGAGACTGAGACTGAGACTGGGACTGGGACCGATGCGGCTTAAGTTGGCCTTGCATTTCTAATATTATCCTAACCTTCTCTCTCTCACACACACACATTTTCATAACGTGTCGGAACCATTCAAGAGTGTGTTCTTTCTTCTTTCCTTGTACGGCGTTCAAATCAGGGTCTCGGAGTGGGATTGGAGTTGGAGTTGGAGTCAGGGTGGAATTCAAGGATCTGTTAGCTAGCTAGCCAGGCAGCCAGGCAGCCAGCTCTGTCCTTATTACCTAGTTGGTTACTTGACTTGTCTATACCTCTATATTCATTTATATCTTTTTCACTATCTCTTTTGTTTATGTGGATATTTTTTTCTTGTGAGTAGAGTCCATCCTATAGCAGTCTGGAGCAGTCTGTAGCCGCAGTAGCAGCAGAACTACGAGGATTGATAATGCTCTGCCCAGCTCCAGAGTGGTAAAGTACACCACTCCAGGTAAGAATAAGATCAAGTATCAAGTGAATAGGTATCATATCAATTCCTTGGATATAAGACATCCAAACTAGAACTACTACTTACCACCCACCTACAAAATCCAGATAGTTTAATATAGTTAATTCAAGCAAGATAGAATCAATAAAACCAAACCTAACAAACCGATCTCAACACCATTCATTACTGACTGAAACCGTAGAAGAACAGCAAGCACAAACAAAACACGGAGACAAATGTAAAGAAAGTCGGAACACGTAGACGATACAAAAGCGTATACAAGACAGGACAAGACAATCATAAGTCAAGATGAACACCACACCGTCCTGCATATCATATCAACTCCAATTTCCCGACTCGAATAAAGCATAATAGAGAGCAAGATTGTGAAGAGGAGGAGGAACAAGAAACCAAATTGGAAAGTAGTTATAGCACCAAGCAGTAATAAGGCAAGTTAAATAACAAAACGCCATCATAAACGAACACAGCCAAACCAGCGTTACTTCCAGAGATGATAACAACAACAGTAACAATAATAGCCAAGACGTAACATCAGGTGAAGTAATAGAGGGACCAAGGGTCCATTTGGAAAGATGGGGTCAAAAACAAGATACATGGACAAAAAAGTATAGACGTGGATGAATCGAGCACTCCGTCCGTATGGTCCAATATCTAATAGAGTCGATAGATAGATAGATGAATACTCCGTAGAGAGGTAGATAAATAGGTCAATTAAGAATGGAATGTTTGATTAGTGACTGGCTGGCTTTGAAGGTGCAGTTCTCTTCTTTCACTTCGCTCACCGAAAGAAAGAAGGAGGGAAAGAAGGAAGAAGGAAGGAAATAAAAATTAACGTGACGAACGCCTCGCTGGAATCAGTTGAAGGCTTCTCTCTCTCTCCTTTCATATAGAGCTTGTATCCAAGAAGAATAGTCCAGGTTTATCCATTCCAAATCAAATCAAACCAATCAAGCTTTGGCTTTGGTTGTCTTGGGGGAGGCCTTCCTCGCAGGACTCTTCACCGATTTACTCGCTTTCGCCTGCGCCTGTTTAGGAGTTGCGACTCGCGCTTTGGGCGCCGACTTCGTAGGAGACTTATTGGACTTGGTGTTCATAGCTTTCTTCGGCGTCCGTTTCGCCGGCTTTCCCTTGGCCGCTGCGAGAATCTTCGCTTTGGTTTCCGCGGATGGGCGACTCAGTTTGGAGGTCTTTGTTTCCGCTGCCTGGGCTTTGGCTTTCGTTTCTGCCTGGGCCTTCGGCTTTGGCTTGGTCTGAGCCTTGGTGGGCTCGTTTGGTTTGGCAGCTTGGGGTTTCCGGGAACGTGCTGGAGCGCGGGCTTTGGTCTTCGTGGGGGCGACTTTGGGTAACCGGACGTTGGTCTTCGGCTTGGTCTCGGACTTCTTCACCGGAGACTTTGCGGGGGCCTTCTTTGGCAAGGACTTGGTGGACGCCTTCGAGTTCGCCTTCGAGTTGCGCGCTCGAGACGCAGTTTGCGTGGAACTCGAGCCGCGTGCCTTGGAGACGGCTTTCTGCACACCAGACTTGACGGATCGGGAGTTCGACGGCACCGGCCGTCTCTTGTTGACCCGCGACGCGGAGCCCTTGAGCACTTTCTCGTTCTTTCGTTTTGTGCCCGCGAGTTGCTTGGCGGCTCGCCGTCTGCTATTCGCTCTGTCCCTCTTCTTCTGCCTCTCGGCTTCGGCTTTGGCTTCTCGAGCTTCTCTGGCGCGCTCTTTCTCCCGTGGTCGTGGCCCCAGAACCCCGCGGCATGAGACTGAGCCGCATCGGCACTGTTGCACATTCTTCTGGGAGTAGGGGCTGGGTAGATTAGCCATCGCCCCTGAGAGAACTCTCATTTCATAAGGAAAAAGGACTCACTCAAAGTTGTAATCATATGTCAGCTCCTCACCAGTCATGATCCCCCGATCACCGGCAAATAACGCCATACGCGGCTTGCCCGCGACCGTCCATTTCTCCATCCGGCAGTTGGGATCGCAGGAATGGTTCACAAAACGGGCGATGGAGCCGCGAGTAGCATCGATGATCATGTTTTGATCAAAGTACATCAGATAATAGCACTAAGATCTTGTTAGCCCGTTCCAAGCAATTGGACGCGTCCAGACACAATCACCAGAGACATACCTCGTTGGTCTTGTAGATAGTCCTCATCCGTTTCTCACACTCAGACTGGGTGATGATCTCCCCAGTGTACTCCACGATGATCTGATTCGGTTCGAAGGTCCGGTTGCTGCGCACCCCGTATCCGCGATCCTCCGTCTTGATGACCTCGACGCCGACGTTGTACTTCCCACCAGCCTTGGCCCTATGCTTGAGCTCCTCGAAGCTGCGATTGCCGCAGTTCGGACCGAGGGCGCAATTCCCGTCGTCGCATTCGAAGAACATGTAGCGATTCTGGCAGTTCTCATCACAGCCGGTTTCCTCGACACACATACACTTGGACAGCTCCAAGGGCTTGTTTGCGCGCCATATACTGGAAGCATCTCCGACGAAGACGTCTAAACGTACATTAGCATACCATTAGTCTCGGGAAAAAGAAGGAGTTCAGGGTGATGTACTCTTGTTGGTCTTCCTCCATTCGTTCGGTTTGGGCTGTCCCACCGGGAGCGGCGAGAAAACATCGAAAGGCAGGGTGAAATCCCTGCCGGACTTCAACAGTCGGTCCCCGGCAAACATGGGCAGCGGAAGCAAGGTCCTTTGGGGCGTTCGAGAGCCCTGAACCTTGGTGATCCGGTCGCGCTTATGGCTGGGACGAGCGTCCGTATGTTCCTGACCCGTGTAGAGTCCATGCGACAGCCACAGCTTGGGTTTCCAGGTGACGGTCTTCACCGTGGATGCTTCCTCCGGGGTCTTTTCAGGCGACTTGACCTTGGACGGGAGATCGCTCTCGGAGACCCGTCTTTTCTTCAGGGCCGGTGGCTCTGACGCAGTCAGTTCCATTTTCACCGGGGCGACGTTTCGAGGGCGCAGGCTGGTTCGCCGCGCGGCGTCGCCTCCCTGATCCGTCGCGTCGCGCGAGCGTTTCCCCAACACAGTGGCCGCCCGGTCCACCAGGGCCGAAGCTTTGTCCAAAATACTGATACGGGACGAGCGCCGGGGGGGAGACTGCGGAGATTCTGCTTTGGAGGGGGTCGTCCTCGAGGGGGCCGCACGGTGGTTGTCACCGTCCTGGGTCAGTACCCGCTCGACCCGTTTCCGCAGCGTGCGCCGCGGCAGGGACGAGCTCCCTTCTCCGGGCTGCGGTTCCTGCGACGAGTTGGACACCGGCGTCCCTGGAGCCACAGCGGGCTCGTCCGTACCCCCGTGGTTGTTGTCCTCCCCAGCCAGCGTGGCTTGACTCCACGCGGCGGCCTCCATCACCGCGATGCTGTGGCGGAGGTGCGACGCGCGCGTCTGCTTCCCGCGGTCCGCGACGGCGGCGACCAGGGTCTCACCCGATACTGTAGGCTCATTCTCGCTGACGGGCGTGGGCAAACCGGGCTGGATCGACTCAGGGTCCGGGTTCAGGTCCACGGCCCCCCGCAAGGAGGCGCGCGTCACCCGTGTCGATCTCCGGCGCACGGCGGGTTTTTCTTCGGCGGACGCGTTTTCGTTGTTGCTGGAGGTTTCGGATCGGCTGTGCTCCGGCGTGAGCAGTTGTTCGGTGTACTCCATGGCCATTGTGTCATCGACGGGCTCGGGCGGGCGTTCGTGGAGGTCAGGACCGGGTGCGGGTGTTGCGGGAGACGCGCAGAAGAAGTCTGTCATCCGGGTTTCCATGACCGTTTCACGGTAGAGATCTGCGGTGAGGGAATTTCCGGAAGAACTTAACCGACGGGGCGCAACGCCTCCACGGGGAAATGCAGAGCCTGGAACGGAGAGACTGGAGAGGTGTCGAATGCGTTCCAAGAAGGGGGATGATAGGGTCGGGGATTACTGGAAGCGAGAAGGCTGGCGGTTCGGGAGGCGCACTCCGCTTATCAGGAATCTGGCGAGTTCAGGACCGCACGGTGGAGAACATAATTTCAAAAAGTGATACAGAGGACTGTTAAAGGAACAACGAGAGATAGGGGTCAGAGGAGAAGAGAGTGGGGTGAGGGGGGAGGTGTAGAAGGGAGGAAGGGGAGAGGGAGAGGGGAGAGAAGAAGAAGAGAGAGAGACAGACAGGACCTTCGATTCTACTACGACGACACCTCCTCTTCTCGTCTCTCTCTTTACCCACTCCTGCTCATTCGGATGATTTCGTCAGCGCCAATCGGGCCAACCAGTTCATTCCTCCACCAACATTCGCCTCTTGCGGCCATTCCTACACTCTCTTCATCCTGATCAGACCGGATCATATCAGTCTCTCCTTCTTTCCGAGTCCCGCAATCCCTCCCCGTCAACCATCGCGTCTCCCATGGCTCCGTTCCAATCACATTCTTACTACGTGGAAATGCCTTGGAGTAGATGATCTATTTGTGATCTATTGCTGTCCAACTATCATATACAGGTACATCTTCGTGGGGCCTGGTTCGCACCCACTCCCCCCATCCCATATATCAACCACAGAAGATGGGTGTTATGTGCTCCCAACGACGGAATATCAACATGTCATCTACAGAATGTATTCACAATAATGGCAACCACGGTTGCTCCGCGGTGCAAGTGCGCCTCCGCATATGGACGGCGTTGAAAGAGAAAATTGGGGAGGGTTAAAAGGGGGAAAAAACAAGAAGTAAAAAAGAAAGGTAGTAAGAAGAATGAGGACTGGATATCAACATGCGTGAAGAGCCTCCAACAGGCTTCGTAAAGGAAGGGTGGGAGATGGTGAATAAAAATCAAGTAACATCAAGAGGTATTTGAGAAGGGGGAAAAAGCTGGTGCAGGGAACGTGGTCGTAGATATGATTAAAAAACGGGCATACTTTCAAAGAAGACATTGTCCGGTATTAACAAAGGTAGTGAAGTAGATAAGAAGAAGAAGAGGAAGAAGAGGAAGGGAAAAAAGGGCAGGCGTTGCACATCAATTGGGGTAATGGGAGTCCAACTGGATGCCTTCCCCCCTCATTCTTGCTGCGGAGTCGTAGGAACTCGTTGCATTTCGATGTCATCGCGAGATTCGACATGGCGTGGCAGGTACTTCCGCTTCATCGTCGCCAGTCGCTGATCGCCCTCCTGGTAGGCCTCCTTGAACTGCATGTACGTCGGAGGCCGAGGTCGCCCGAAGACCGCGATCCAGTTGCGGAACATGTTCCCCTGGGTGAAGGGCCGGTGACGGTCTGCCTTGGCAAACTTGTGGGAGCTTAGATACTCGCGCGTGGTCTCGCCTCGTCCGACCAAGAAGAGGTGGTAGGCCAGCAGGGAAGCCGGGTAGGGAGCCGAGACCGCCCCGTAGATGACCATGGCGAAGGGCACTCGCAGCGTCCCAATCGCCGCCTGGAACGAGAGGTCCTCTTCCTGGCAATACACCATGATGTGCGCCAGGCTGGCGCCTAGGAGGTAGAGGGCCAGGAGGGTGCTGCTGCTCACAAAGGCAAAGAAATAGCGGTAATTCCGGCGGCCCACGCAGTTGTTGAGCCACACGCAGTGATGGTCCAGCGTCTCCACGCAGTTGTCGCACACGCGGCAGTGGTAGCAGCGCGGCGGCCGCCAGATGCTGCACGTCTTGCAGTACTTCACCGGCACGTCCATGGCCGCCACCTCCGACGTGGCGAGCTTGACCATGACCCAGTCGTTGGTCGGCGGACCGACCGCCAGGGGATCATCAGCGGGGTCAAGTGGCGGCATTTGATGCAGGTTCCGCGGCATGATCCCGGGGTCCACCACCGACGCGTGGACAAAGGACGACAGACACACGTAGAAGAGGTAAGCGAACACCACCGGGAGTGCGGGGGAGATGTGATGCCAGGTAAACGGGGCGGAGAATCCGAAGAACAGCGCGGACGGCACGACGACTAGGAAGCCCGTGAGGATGTTGACCGGCTTGTCTCGCGAGTTTTGCAGTCGCCCACGCCCACTGAAGGCCGTGTTGCCGGTGAAGTATTCATAGTTTCTACCCAGGTCGGGCTTCTTCACGGCGGCGGGACGGCTTTGCTTCTCGAGGCCCGGGGACGATCCGCCGGAGGAGAGCCGCTCGTGGGTCCGACTATCGCGGTGTTCATGCCCGGGACCCCGATTCTGCAGAGACAGAAACGAGAGCGGGGATCGTTGGGGAGTTTCGGGCCCGGGGTCCGCTTGGTACGTCGCGGACAAGTCCAGATGCCGCGGATGTTGGAAGCCCTGGTCCCGGGAGCGCAGGAGTTTGGCGCTTTCGCCCACGCTTCTCTCCACCGTATTGTTGGTCGGGCTCGCATTCGAGGTGGCGCGGTCCGGGATGATGGGATCGGTGAACTCCGTGCCCCGGGAGGGGGGCGCTTCCTGCTCGATGTGTGTATACGACTGGGGGAATGTACTGTCCGAAATCAAGCTGCGTCGGTGCTGACTCGACTCGTCTCCGTAGTCCGACGATTGTGTTGTCTCCTTCGTTACGGGGCGTCCGCGGTGGGCCTGCAGTCGCTGGGAAGACATGGGACGGAAGAAGCCTTGCGCCGCCAGCGAGGGAATGTGTGTTCTGCTCAGTCGACTGCCCGAACTCCCTGGTCGGGGGGTAGGGCCACTGGCATTGGTGAGGATGGAACTGCGCGCGGGAGGCGGTGCGCGTCGAGAGATGGACGAGCGGGACTGTGGCGCCTGCGATGACACGACGGTTTGCGACTGTGATTGCGACTGATCTCCATCCTCCGATAGGGCCATGTCCGTCACCCGCGACGAGATGCCTCCCACGGAGGGAGGGCGAGGGATTCCCAAGGCATGCTGCGAGGGACCCCGTTGGTGGGAGTAGCCGGTCTCGGAGTCGTCTGGCGAGTAAGACATGATTCAACGCAGACAATACAACGATTCGAATGTTAGAGAGCGATGCCGACTCTCATGCTGTGTCTCGGAGAGCGGACTGTCGGATCGTATATCACTTGGCGGACGGGTGGGTATTGGAGCGGTCCCACTCGGTTGGGAAACAGGTATCAAGGAACGACCAAATAGGGATGCGGATGATGATGTATCGAGGGTGACGACTGAGAAAGAGCGAGAGCAACCTATTGACAAGAACTTATATTAGTTTGCTGTTGATGTTGGGTCTTGGGCCTGGACGCGCCCCATCCACAGTTGTTCGGGGGACGAACACCCCCTAGATACCCAACCACGGCGGGATCGAAGAAAAAGGGGAGAGACTGGGTCACCCCCCACGCGCGGTACACCACCCACCTGAAGAGATCGTTATAGAGACTGGATCAAAAGAGGGTCATCCAGATCACATCACGATCCAAGGAAGCAAACAGGGCTGACCCAACGATAGAGAGCGGAAGACGACAGGGGAGGACGGAGAGAGATCGCAGTTCTCATGCGATCCAAAGTCCTGGTCAGTTGTTACTGTTAGTCGGTCTAGTTCAGGTCGTGAATCACACACGCTAAGCCCGTTTGGGCTAGACCGTCATGCAGCCCTGGCGGAGGCTAACCAGATTGGGACTAGTGTTGACCCTTACATAAATCATGTGCGCCCAGGCACAATGCAAATCTGACTCAGCGGTGCAGCTGTACAACTCCTGACTCAGCACAGCGCCAGCCAACGGGATGTCACCTGATGCGGATGATGGACATCATCATCATCCGACTTCTCCCACTTCGCCCCATTTCTCTCTCCTCTTTTCCGACCCTCGTCCCCCACAACCTGCACCCAATTGCTCTTGTTTCTTTCCCTCGAAACATCCACCATCATGTCCTCCATTCTCGCCATGGCTGGCCGCCGGGCTTTCACCCGTCAGGCCGCGTTCCGCGCCCCTTCGCGCCGTCTCTACAGCTCCAAGATGGAGGATGCCAAACTTGAGTCCGCTGCTCGCCGTGACCCTGAGCTCTACGTATGACGGCATATCTACACCAATTGCTTGTCGGACAGTCGGATCTAATGTCTCATAGGTTCTGCTCGGTGTGATGTCGGGTGCTTTCCTGATTGCCGGCTGGTAAATTGACCCTCCCGTTTTTCTCCTTGGTTTCCCTTTCCGCCCCGGTCGCAGAACACGCGGGAATATCGCCCACGATGCCGAAAACGGTGTACCAACACAACACAATATAACACGACACACAATCCAACCAAACACTCATAATTCACTTCCACTACAAGCGAATCACCTCCAGCAACTTAATATGCCTCAATATACTGATCGTCTTGTCTCTTGACAGGTACTTCGGCACCAAGCCCACCACCATCAACTCCGAGGAGAGCAACGTCCGTATCGCCGAGAGCGCCATGCCCTGGAAGGCCGACGACGAGGGCAAGGTCTACAAGTACCAGTACCACCCTCACGGCGACAAGAGCCAGCCTCTGCGCAATGCCCCCAGCGCGATGAACACCGTCATCGTGCCCAACGTCACTCTTCCTGAGGTATATACTTCCCGTGTCACCATGCCATTGAGCCAGAAATCTGCGGCAATTGGCCATCTATATGCACAACTGACTAACCGCCTTCTCTTCCCTATGATAGGACCTCCACGAGCGATTCAACAAGTACGGCAAGGAGGAGTGGGACTACTAGATACTCTATACTATACCAACGTGCGCCGTATGGGCGGACGAAGAGTGTGTGTGGGGTGACAGAGGGGGTGGAGTCAATGCTAGATGTTGTACACTAAAACGCACCGTGAAGAACTAGAACCGATCGCGGAAGAGAGCGATCGGAAGGAGAAGGGGAGGAGGAGGACTTGTGCATAGTACGTTTCGTTTGATGGGAATTTTGCGAAGATTTATTACTTTTTTTTTTTTTGTTTCTCTTTCTTTCTTTTGGTTTGTTGCTGCGGTGCAGCTATCATTCGCTCTTTGGGTATATCGGTATAAGGGCCCAATGTGTGTAGTTTTGACGGGCAGTAGTTGGAAGTCGGTCTCAGGTACCTCGGATCCAGGCAAATTGGATACGATTGTTATATGTACTTCGTTGGTCAACCCGATGTTCAACCAACCAATATAAGACTACTGAAAGAACAGATATAAGTAGAAGAGTAATTAATGAGTGCAAAAACAACTAAAGACAAGGTATTTTTACAAAAAAAAAGCAGGCTTTACAATCCTAACATTCACCGCCCAAATAGATCAGTTGGTCGCCTCGTTCGGTTCGGCAGCCGGCTTGGGCTCCGGCGACCGCTCCTCCTGACCAAGAGGACTACCCTGTCCCGCTACCGAGGCCGGTCCATCCTCTACGACCGGCGGCTGCTTGCCGACGGTCTCTGGGTCCTGGCCTTCGACGTCCGGGTGGGGAGGGGCCGGAGGGGCTACCTTCCCGTCGACCATGTCCACCTCGTGGGCGTGCGCCAACTTGGTCTGGGTCTCGTGTCGCGTCTCGAATTGCACCTTGCCGTCCTTGGCGAGCTGGCTGACGAACTCTTCGTCGAGGAGGTTGCCGTCCTGGTCCCGGTACTCCACGCGTGCTCTGGTGCCGGGTTGGTGGGCCTTGGGGGTGACGCTGGCTTCGGGAGCCTCTTCTTGTTTCTCCTGGGGGGCTGCTTGGTTCTCCCGTTTCTCCTGGGGTAGGGGGACCACCGGGGGCGCCTCGGCGGTGGGCACCGCGGTCGTGGGGGCCGCCAGGTCGGTGCCCGTAAAGTGAGTGACGTATTGGTTAAGCTAGGGTCCCGTCCAGTTAGTTCGGAATTGAATGATGCGATGCCGCTAGGTCCCTCGCCGGGGGGGATTCCATTCCGGAACACTTACGTCGGTGTAGAAAGTGTTGCAATCGAAGTCCCATCCGCCTAGGAGCTTCACCTTCCGGCAGGCATCCTGCGTCCAGGGGTTGCCGTACGCCAGAGGGGCATACAGCGTGAAAGTGAAGATGCTCGCGGCCAGGAAAGTACCCGCGAGAATCTTGCCGATAGCGGGCCGAGATGGCAGTCCCAATTTCTGGATCCGATTGGCGAGGAAGTCGAACTCCTGGCACAGGGTCATGAGGGCGAAATAGAGCGCGGGGAAGTAGTGGTGCAGGAAGAGCTGACGGGCCATGAGGTAGAAGGGGAGATAATGGAACGCCCAGCCAAGCACGCTGGTGCCGACCTCGTAATCAAATCGCTTGAAGTTGACGTTGTTGTAGTCACCACAGCCCCGCTGCCACCGGAGAATGGAGATGCCTTTGAAGAGGACGTAGATACCAATGGCGACGGTGGACGACCACCAGAGCAAGGGGTTCCCGATGAGGTAGATGTGGCGGTGGTCGCGGCCCCAGAAGTTGATGCCCCGAAGCAGGACGGGCCAGGATGGGGGGCGGGAATCCCAAGCATGGGGCTCCGTCAATCCGGCGTTCGTCGTCCACATCACCTTCTGCAGCTCCCAGAACTTACCAAAGAACCCGGGGTTCCGGTAGTTCACCTTCTCCGCATCGGCCGGCAGCATGGGGTGGTGATTGGCTTCGACATACCACACGCTGTTCGGGAGACTTCCGCCGCGGGCACAGGTCACTTCCTGTTGCTCCCACGCCCAGCTCGGGAGCTTGACCTTGTGCGAAAACAGGGTGCATCCGGTCATGACATGCACCAGTCGGAACTTGGATCGGATGGTGCGCAGCCGTTTCTTGGCCTCTTCTCCATCCGACATGGACTTGACGATCTCGACCCGGAAAAGGTCGTTGGCATCACCAGGGAAGCCATCGAAGCCGTACGCCGACACTTCAAACTGCCAGTCCACATCGGTCACGGGTGGTCGCTCGTCATGGGAGTGGATCCGTCGACCGGTGATCAGATGGTTCAGTCGGATGACGGAGCCATCTTCAATGTAGGACGCGGTGAAGTTATCCCATGCAAACGGACCCTCGACACCCGTTCCGTCCGGGTTCATCGGCTGGGTCTGGTTTTCGGCCACGAAGACGTTGTTCTCGTCCTTGTGCGGGTACAGGGTCACCTGCTGCTGCTTACTGCCCGTCGGGTACATGTGGTTGTGGGAATGGAGATAGCCGCCCTGCGTATTCAGGTGACGGATGCTGATTCGGGATCCAAATGCCACATCCGCGGGGACATCCTGCATGGCCTTGGAGTTCAGGGTCGCCTGGAACTCCGACGACATGAATCCGTCTCCTTCACCAGGGTTGACGAGGCACATGAAATGGATGGCAAACATGGCGCAGTAAAAGCCGAGCGGGATGACGATTAGGCAGAAGACACGGGCGCAGAAATGCTTGAACCAGAGGCGCTATACAACAAACGACACTGCGTTAGAACTTTGAGCTCCGACAGACAAACGGGGTAGCAACATACCGGTGTGACGGTCTGCGGATCTCCGAGAAGTACCCACAACTGGAGGATGGTGAGGGTGCCCACCCACGCGACGGTGAAGAGTCCAACCCACTTGACACTCAGGGTGGCGCCCAAGGAGAGACCCGTGGAGACCAACCAGAACCACCAGGGTGCGCGGAACGCATGGGAAGGACCCATTTCTTGCTGGTTGGTGAAACAGGTGAACGTCAACGCGGTGAGAGCCGTGAAGAAGACCAGGGGGGAGTCCAAAAGGATCAGACGGGACTGGGTGATGAGACCATTTTCTAAGCGCCGTCAGAATCCGCACACGAGATGTCTGGAATGGATCGCGATCGACCGGAGAAAGGCTTACCAAAAATGACCACCCCGGCGCCAAGGACCGCCGTGATTGTGCGACAGCCCGAGGCCTTGAGGGTCAAAAACATCAACGGGATCGTCAGCACGCCCAGGATGGCGGGGAGCATGCGCATCGCCACATAAGGGACGCCGGGTTCCAGATAGTCCTTGCCGATGTCCTTGAAATCGAATTCCCCATCGAAACCAGCCAGCCAGCCAGCCAGCGTGATGAGCAGTTTGGCGAGAGGCGGGTGAACATCCATAAAGAATTTCCCCTTGATATATTTGCTTGCGAACCCACCGAAACTATAGTACGGAAGACGATTAGCATCCGCCACCCGTGTGTCCCGTTTCGACCATCACATCACATACTGTACTTCATCGAAGACGACGCTCGACGGTTGATAGATGCGGAACAAGCGAACCACCGCCGCAATGATGGTGACGACGACGAGCGCCTTGTAGTCGGTGGAGGGAAGGTTGAAGATATCATTGTTCGTGACGCCATCCGACGCATAGCTGGCACTCTGCGCGGGGAAGGTCTTGCGATTCTTCGGGTTCGGCGATCGACTGGGCGAGCGACCCGATTGCCGGGGCGGCTGCACCCCGAGAGCTGATTTGATTGCCATGTTCTTCGATTAGGTATCCAACTCGACCGATGGAGAAGGGTGTGTCAGATGGTATATGTTGATCGGATCGAACGGAAAGGAGGGTGGGTTGAGATCGGTCAAAGAGTATTACGAAGGGGTTTAAAAAGGTATAGAGAGAAATCCAAAAGAAGAGAAAAGAGAAGAAAGGGAAAGGATAGGGACAAAAGAATCCTCAATCATGCACAACTGATCGGGGAGAAGAAAGTCTGTAGACCAAGCACGAGCTGCAGAAAGCTCCGACAAGAAGTAGGGGACAGGAACCCCACGCCCGACAAAACAAGCCAAATAAGGAAAAATATAATCAATCAACGAGTGTCAGATAGATGAAATGGGTACGGATCAGACCCGAGTCGCCATGACTCAAATCAGAAGTAGGATATGCGGGGAGTATAAAGGAGAGAGAAGAAGGAAGACCAAAGGAGAGAGAGAGAGAGAGAGAGAGAGAGAGAGAGAGAAGAGGAGGTTAGACAACACGTGTGGGAACAATAAGGGAGGTCAGGGTAGTCTGAGGCCAGATCGTCGGCGGTCAGCCATACATTAGTATTCCTACAGTATATGTACATTCCACCACAGGTAATTCAAGTGGCAGGTAGAATACCTTCTGCATGCAACCGATTTAGCATCCCTTGGAATCCACGGTCTTTGATTGCAGAAATTCCCACGTCATTCTCCCCTATATTTATGGTTCTCGATCATTCCGAACCGGTGGCCCTTGCCTGAGGCTCCCCTGTCCGGCCAGCTCTCGCAGGCACCAAGTTCCTGTATTGGGTCTAGCGGCTTGGCATTCTTCCCACCCAATTAGAGTGTATCCCTGATAGACGCGCGGCTGGCTCCCGTAGCCGCGGCGGAGATGAAGGAAAGAGAAGGCCGGCATCAGGTCCAACATCCACCTCCACCTCCACCTCCACCACCTCCTTCTTCGTCCTCCCCAGCCCCATCCTTGTGGCGTCTGGAATCATGACGTCCGTCAGTAACGGAGGTACTCCGGCTTTACCGGAGGAGTCCAACAAGCCCCCCGAGGGTGTCGTCTTGCCACCAAAGGATATTCGAGGTTGGTCCTCTCTCCACCTGCCCAGCCTATCATTTAGTAGGGGCCTGTGCTGACTGCGTGATGAATAGCGATCGTCGAGAAGACCGCCGGATATGTGGCTCGCAATGGGATAGTTTTCGAAGGTATGTTGTCGGAGTCTTTTCCGTCTGTGATAATGGTGTCGGGCTCACCAGATCCGGTTCATAGATCGCGTCCGCGACAAGGAGCGCAACAACCCCAAGTTCTCCTTCCTCAACGATGGCGACGCCTACGCGCCCTTCTATCAATGGCGCCTGGTCGAGATTAAGGAGGGAAGAGGCACCGCGGTGGCCGCAGGGCGACCGGGCGAGTCGACCCCGGCCGCAGAACCCGAGAAGCCCCAGGGCCCCGCGGAGCCCCCAGAGTTCCATTTTTCGGCGCGCATGCCCATTATCAACGCGCAGGATTTGGAGGTGGTGAAGCTGACGGCGCTCTTCGTCGCCAAGCGCGGGAAATCGTTCATGACGGCGCTCTCGCAGCGCGAGACGAGAAACTTCCAGTTCGATTTCCTTCGCCCGCAACACAGTCTCTACCAGTTCTTCACGCGTCTCGTCGATCAGTACACGATCCTTTTGCGATCCGAGGGTCTTGATGAGGCCACGTCGGAAAAGAAACGCCTCGCAGAGTTGGAAAACAACACGAAGAACAAGTTCTCGGTCCTCGACCGCGCCAAGCACCGCGCGGAGTGGGTCAAGTACCAGGAGCAGCAGAAGCAGCAGAAGGAGGAAGAGGACGAGCAGGAGAAGATCGCCTACGCCCAGATCGACTGGCACGACTTCGTCGTCGTCGAAACTGTCACCTTCAGCGAGCACGACGACCAGATCGACCTACCGCCGCCCACCTCCCTCAACGACCTGCAGACCGCATCCCTCGAACAAAAGGCCATGATGTCGCTCAACCCGCTGCGCATCGAAGAGGCCATGCCGACCGAAGAAGAAGCACCCACCTACTACAACGCCTACCCCGCAGAACCCATCCAACCCGTCGGTCCCGTCTTCCCGCCCCAGGGCTACACCCCACAACCCACCCCCATGTCCGTCACTCCCAGCGCCGCCGCCCAGGAAGAAGAACAGCGCATCCGCGAGCGCATGGAAGCCCGCGACCAAGCAGCCGCCGCGCAAGCAGCCGCGCAAGCCGTCCCAGGCCAACACCAACCGATGCGCATCCGGTCAGACTACGTGCCGCGGGCGCAAGCCCGCCGCCTCAACCCATCAGGCGCCACCGCCCTCTGCCCCAACTGCCACCAGCAAATCCCCGTCAATGAACTGGAGCAACACATGCGCATCGAGCTGCTCGACCCCCGGTGGAAGGAACAGCGCGCCAAGGTCGAATCCCGCAGCGCAACCACCAACCTCTCCACGACGGACGTCGTCGGCAACCTCAAGCGTCTCGCCAGCCAGCGCTCCGACGTCTTCGACGCCCCGCTCGTCCCCGGCGGCGCCGGCTCCCCCGACGAAGAAGCCCGCAAGAGGCAGCGCATGGGCTACGACGGCGCCGGTGGCCCGATCCCACCGCCCATGGTTGGACCCGCGGCCGGGGGTCCTCCCAACCCGCAAAGCATGAACATCGAAGAGCAGATTCGACGGATCCACGAGCGGAACAGGCCGCAGGGTCAATAAATAGGTGTATAATTGGGGTTTAAGCGGTTTCTTCTTCTTCGTTTTCTTATTCTGAGGAGTTCATGGTTATCTTTTCTTCTTTTCTTGAATGTCTACGAGGTGCATTTTTCATATCCGGTGTAAAGTAATCACATGTCTATCTTTTATCATCTCTTTTGATCATGATTGGAAGGAAACATAGGAGGGAGAAAAAGCAATTGAAAGATCGTACTACTCCCAGGTTGTTGTACAATATTCAAAGGGTCATAGTTCTTTTATTCTTTCTATTTAATGTCTGGCGCAGGGGCTCATACCGATTCCGATTTCATTTCCGGTTGTATACATCGATCGATCGATTTATCCCGTTTGTTGTGTTGTCAAGTCATCAAATTAGTTTTAGATCTATGTATGTTATAACTGCCAGTAAGAAATCGTGGAACTCTGCCTTTTTTTGCATCATTCACTCAGGCATTAAGGTCTTTAAAAGGATAAAAGAAGTTCTGTCGCCGTGTGCTGTGTGCCAAAACCATCCATCCATCCATCAGGACTAAACAATGGGGAAAAAAAAGAGGGAAATCAAAAAAAAAAAAAAAAAAAAAAAAAAAAAAAGAGCAAGAGAAACGAACCGTCACGATATCACGAAACGCCGGGTGGTGGAAAGAGTAAGAAAGAAATATTAAGTATACAAACATTAGGAATCTCGTCCGTAGTAATAATACAGGCCGTGTGTTACCCGGAAGCCCGGGGACTGTTAGTAGTGCACACGCATGAAGAGAAGGATCAACTCCGAGTCAATGAAGAGAGAAAAAAGGTAAAAAGGAAGAGCAGAAGTGGATGAGAAAAGCGTAAGGAGGCGGCGGATGTCGTTAAAGGAGAATGGACACCGGTGGTCCTCTAGGGTGCAGTACACATCATTGTTGGGCATCGGGGACAGGGCGGTCATGGGCATCTTCTCGATGTGAAGGCGTCACCGTCACAGATTCGATAGTCTTCTCTGCCGAGTCGGCCTGGGCGGGACTCGATGCCTGCGTCTCCGCCTTTCCAACCTGCACGGTCGCTGCCTCGCTGTGGATAGGAGACTCGGGGGCCATGGAAATGAAGGAGTCCTCATAGATGGACTCGTGGTCGCTATCCTCGTTGGTCTCGGACCGGTCATCACGGCGATCGGGGGTCTCGGTCGGTGGTGGAGTACCTTCGCGACCGTTGCCTGTCACGTCGCGCGGGGATATTTCCCGGTCGTCGTCGACGTCTGTCTCGGGCAACGGATCGAGACTGTCGGGGGGAGATGCGTAACTGATCGGCGCGGTAAAGATGGGAATGATGCCCCCGCCGATGCGAGACCAGAACATGCGCTCCCGCAATCGGATGGTCTCTTCCCAGGCATATTTCTCCTCACCCACGTCCGCGAGGCGGAGGTGTCCATCGAGGATCAGACGGAGATAGCCGGTGAATTCACATGAGGATCGTGCCCTCTCGACGCAGAGCACGCAGAGGGGGTATCGTTGCGCCGTCTCGCTATCCGACGTTCGGAAACGATGCGTCCGTTCGTTGGCGGTTCCGGGGCGGCGCTCCCCGCAGAGGGAGCACGGAAATTCGTACTTCTTGGAGGCAAGGGGCATGGGCTCCACCACCAGGGTTCCATCGCAGATGCCACTCATCACCGAGCGACGGGTCAGCCAAGAGATGCCCGGAGCCGCATCCAGGCGGAGCGTGGGCTCGATGTCTTCGACCAGCGCCCGCTTGTAGAAGCGCGTATCCTTCAACGGGATGGACGAGCCCGTGGGCTGCGGGGACGACAGGCTCCCGTGCGGCGAGTGCATTTGAGATTTCGCGGGCGACGACGCCGCCGATCCGAAAGCGCTGCTGCCAAAACTGGCCAGACTCATGACATTCAAGCCGGCGTACGACCCGCTGGGCGCGCGACTGGCGGGTTTGGAAGCCGTGGTCGACAAGGTGAACAGCTCCCGGAAATCCTCGAAGGCCTGCAGGTCCGTCCGGCTCACAGTCCGGATCAGATGCGGGAAGCTGGTGCAGGGGCCTGGGAGGAGCTCCTCGACCGGTGGCGGCGACTCTTGCGGACACATGGGGGGCTCGATGGAGTTGGCAACGGCAGACGGCTCGCGCGATGCGGTGGGGGACGACGGGGCGGTCGATGCCGTAGTCCGGACTTCGAGTTCGTCCTTGCTGTTGAGCGTGACACCTTGCAGCACCGACTTCAGCTCCGCCAGTTGGTCCTGCTGGGAGGCCAACAGCGATTCCGTGTCCTTGATCTGGGCGCGCAGCTGTTCATTCTTCTTCTCTACCGCCTCGCGCTCGAGCTTGGCGGCCGCAACCATCTGCGAGAGTAGTCTATTAGCTTCCCGAACGGATCCGAACATTGGAGTCGCAACCACCACGGCTTACCTTGTTAGCTTCTTCAAACAGGGCCGCCGTCAGCGTTTCGAGTTCTTGCTCGATCCCCTTCTTCTCCTTTTCGATGAGGGCACGCTGGGCCTTTTCGTCGGCGAGGGCGGCCTTGAGGCGCAGCATGTCGTATTCGACATCGGACTTCTTGATGAGGACTTCCATGTCGATGTCTCGCCGGTATCGAAGATTCTCCTGCTCGAGGACGGTAACCCTCGAGCGAGCCTGCTCTAAGTCCTGGCGGGCGACGGCCAGATTATCGTCCAGGATGGTCTGGTTATTGATCGCCTGGACCAATTTGACGCTCAAGGCGGCGACTTCATTACTCAGGGCGGGATGATGAGTATTATCGGGCGAGGATGCTTCGGAGGAGTCGGAACTGTTGTTGATGAGTCGAGGGTCCTGGAGGGTACTGAAACCGCCGTCGGCGAAGTTCCCGACACTCGAGGACCGATTGCCGGATTCGGGACGGTCGGTTGCGATCCCAAATAGATCACTGACCGAGCGGGCTTTGGTCAAGGTGCGATCGGGGGAGAGGGATCGATTTTCGGAGGAGATGGAGCGTCGATGGGTGGTCGGGCGCGAAAGCATAGTGGAGGGAGAGAGGAAGGAATGGCGAGTATGGTAGGTATGAAAGGCAAGTAAGCTGTCACTGTTAGTTCCTGGGACCTGTAGAATGGGATCAAGAAGGGAGGAATAGAATGGCGCAAAACATACTCCGCCATGATGGTGATTGTGATGGCAAGTCAACGGGAGAATCAATCCGAGGGGAGGGGTATAGTAGGATAGACGACAGTTGGGGATCGTCTTATCACGAGAGAAGCACAGTTGTTGGGGAACACAAAAAGAATGTATGTTGTCACGTCGAAAATCCAGCACAGTGGACGCAGGGGATCACGCAAATGCAACGTCCCACCAGCGCACAGCTTGGGGAGAAGTGCTAGCCTGTAAGGAAATGAGGCATGGAGGACGCAGGCTGGATTGATAGGGCGATTGGGTGACGATCAAGGGGGAAGATATCTGCCAAGAGAGTGGAAGAGAAAAAGACAGAGGGTCAAGAAGACAGCTGAATTGGAAGATAGTTAACGAAGATGAGAAAGAGGACGATGTGAAAGGAAGAAGAGAGAAGTAGAGAAGAAGTGAAGCCCCTCTTGGGATGAGGTTCGAAAGAGCGGATGAAGCAGGAGAAAGACCAGCCGGTCACTGACTTGGGTTGCAGCCTGGAGAACCAGGCGAGATTGCCTAATCCGGCTAGCCCAGGCACGGGATCCGCTCTTGATTGGTGGCGGAGTCCTTAGTCAGGTACGTGACTGTATTATTACAGATAGTTACCGTACCTTTCCCACCGGCACAGCTAAAGCTCATACAAACCAATACCGGATGAGGCAAATTGTCAATTTTTCCTGTCTGAGTTGCCTCCAGTTAGTATACTTGCTTGGATCCGTGGGTCTTTCCCCTGGGTCCAAGATATGGATTGAAACAATGACTATAGCTAGTTGGCTACTCTCCAATTGGAGCCACGTTCTTTCCAGCGCATTCAACTCTCTGGGTTTATCCGAGGACTCAGAGTCTGTGGTCGATCGTGATTCTCCATCCACTCCGTCGGGTTCGACTGCATATCGGTAATGGGATATACGAACATACAGAGAAAGAAAGAAAGAAGAAAATAGACTGAATACGCGGTGACCATCGCATAGCATCATTGATCATCCTCCTTTCGTGCGACGATCGCAACGCACCGTCCCCATCGAAGTGGGTGCGGTTGAGAGGTCCTTGGCGACCCGATGACGACACTCGCCGCGTACAAGGCAATTGTCCAGTCCAAGGAAACTACGGAGTAGAAAACCAGAAAACTCTGAGGACCGGTGAAATCGTGCAAATCCTGCAAGATGCTCTCTCAACCCATGGGATCTATCTATAACAACACTCACGATACAATTGCGGTGTGGCGTCAAACGACCCATCCGGGCGGCAAGAACAGATCAACTTGCATGCATGGACAGGTCTCACAACGGATCCGACGGCGGACGAGGTGTGGTCTCGTACGGGACTAGTAATATCGGGGTATCACATCGTCGCCCCTATCTAGTCCGATGCGCTATTGTCGACTAAAAAAAGGAAATTTCCTCATGGCGACCCACCCCCGTCACAGCCTCGGCGCCTCAAGCGATGTGTGGGGTATTTCGGTCTCAGATACGACGGTGTCCGGAGTCCTACTCCGTTCTCTAGTATCCAGACCATTCGCCTCTACTCTGTACGCCACGAACAATATCATATCGGTGGTGAGTGGTCAGTGGCACGATCAGTTGGATAGTGGGAAATACCCCAGAAGATGCACGGTCCAATGGATATATTGAACTTCCCCTCAGTACGGAACTAAGATCGAATCGCTCAGTGGTTGACCCCGCATCAGGCTCATATCCACGAGACACCAGGTGGAATGTCAACCATGAAAGGCCCGCCGGCGCAGGGTAGCTGGCCTCGGTGATCGTCTCCTGGCAAAACAAGGAGGTTGGGAAACCTTGATTGAAGGAATGCACTATCATTTACCTGAAATCGGCCAATCCCTGAAACCAGAAGTGATCAGATCATGGTCTCGGATTCCATGTCTTTTTCCACTATCCAGTTTCGAGTAAATGTTGTTGTCTGAGTTCGGTTTGCCGTACGTACGTAGTCCTGCACCATGAGTGGACCGGTCACCCACCGTCGTTGACCGCCCCACTCACCGCCCGCATATGCCTTCCAAAAAAAATCGACCTTATCGGGTTTATTCCAGCACTTAGATCAATCCTCGCGTTTCTAACCATAGCCAGTAACGTCCAAAATGGAGACAGCCGATCTACTTCCCCTGCTGGAGCAGCTGGACGACAATATTGACGATCTCGAGGAATCCCTGCAGCCCATCCTGAATGGCTCCGTTCTGGAGGCATCCAAGAACCTGCCGGTGCTGGACAAGGCCAAATTCCATGTGCTGGTGACCTACGCGCTGGAGTCTCTCATTTTCTGTATGCCTCTCCATCACTATCTTTTGTGCCTACTTGATTACTAACTGGACAGCCTATTTGCGTCTCCATGGCGTCAATGCTAAAGACCACCCCGTCTTCCGGGAACTGACCCGCGTCAAGCAGTACTTTGAGAAGATCAAGTCGCTGGAGACCGAGCCCGAGCAGCGGACCATGCGACTCGACAAGGAAGCGGCCGGTCGGTTTATCAAGCACGGATTGGTGTGTTCCCCCTCTCCTCTCACCAACAGGTCATCTTTGTATACTAACAACCGCAGGCCGGCAACGAGAAACTGGACATGGCGCGCAAGGAACAGGAAGCCAAAGAACGGGCGCGCGCTCAACTGAAGGCGAAACTGCTGGCGAAGAAGATGGCTACGACGTCGGACAACTCACCCAGCAACCCAGCCGGGGACTCCGATGAGGACTCAGATGAGGCGTCTGCTCCGGAGGATGTGTCTGCCCCGTCGGGCGACTCGAAGACCGAGAAGAAGGAGAAAAAGACAAAACAAGGAAAAGGAAAAGAGGAAACCGACGGTGACAAGCCGGCCAAGTCGAAGCGCAAAAACGGCACCAAAGAGGAGCAAATTCAGAAAAAGAAGGACCGACGGAAGAAGAAGAACGATAAGCGCAATGCAGCACGCAAGGAGAAATAAGTTTTTTTGGCTTCTGGGACTGCGACTTTCGGGTCCAACTATCCGACACATGCTGTTTATCGGCTGCGCCGATTCGACGGTCTTCTTGCTGAGAGCGTGCCAGCGTCTGGAGTCGTCCTCCCGCGATGGCGACTAGTTCGATGCACGCGACGTGACCATACTAACATATAATACCCATCATCGACCGTCTCTGCCTGGTCTGTCTCTGCCTGGTCTGGGTTCCGACGAGGATGATATCCGGCTACGGGCCAACAGCACTCTAACCCTGTGAGAAGGGTGGCGGGCACTCATATCAGATCAAGTGATACACTCCTGTACTGATTAACCTAAACATATACCAGTAACTAGCTTCATACTCATACTGATTCATACTCAATTCCTACCTACCTTGTTAAATGATATACAACATGTAAAGTAGATACATAAAATACACAATATAATACCATATCCCACCCAATTCCACACGAGAATGATCGGAGCGCGTAATCCCCGGTAACGCCCCTATCCACCAATCAGCACGCATGAATACCACACCCGGGCGGAGTTTTCGACGATTCTCCGGCCTTCCATTCCGCCTAAACAATAATCATTCTCGCCTCCAGGCTTCATCTTCTTCCTCCATCTCCCATCCACTTCCTTCACTGCCAACCTCACCACCACTTTTCTCCCAAACAACCAACCAACTCATCCCATAATCATGGCCCGTCAACGCCGTGGTGCCGCCCCCGCGCGCAGCGCTCCCACCCGCCCGACTGTTGCTCCCGCCGCCAGACCGGCCCCGGCCCAGCAGCACTCCCAGCCTCACTCGACCGCCGCCCACCCCCAGCAGCAGTCTCACCAGGCTCCTCCTCCTCAGGCCGCGGCGCCTCCCGTCCAGCAGAGCCAGGGACCCGGTCTGTTCGGCCAGATGGCTTCCACCGCTGCGTATGTCTCCATCTTCCATCCCTCAACCCTCCAACAACACCCCTCATCAACCACCAAAGCAAGGAAAAGAAAGAAACTAACAAATAATACAGCGGTGTCGCAGTCGGCTCCTCCATCGGCCACGCCATCGGCGGCTTCTTCGGCGGCGGCGGCTCCAGCGCCCCCGCTGAGCCCCAGCAAGCGGCCGAGGCCCCCGCCCAGGCGCAACCCATGGACAGCTCGCTGTGGCAGAGCAACGCGGCCAACAGCTCGTGGGAGGCGCCTCCTTGCGAGGGCGACGTGCGCAACTTCCGGAAGTGCATGGATGATAACCGCGGTGATATGACTATCTGCGGGTGGTATTTGGATCAATTGGTTAGTCCTCTCTTCTCCCCCTCTTCTGTTTATTTTGCGCTGCGCTTGATGTGTGGTTGGTTTTATATGAGTCATGGCTAATCTTTTTCTTTTTAACCGTATAGAAAGCTTGCCAGTCTGCGGCTAAGCCGTACTAATGGCTCGACCACTATTACTCTATCTAATAGACTACTACATGTTAGACAACACATGTTAACATGACAAGTGTGGTTGATGTTTTGTTTGCATAATGGCGTAATCGTTCTGACTGCTATTGATCTTGTACTTGTTGAGAGAAGTGACTCTTGTATATTCTACCATCTCGACTCTTCATGAAAGAATTAAGACTATCCGCTCTATTACTTTCTCCGTCCGAGGCGAATACTTTGTTCCCGTACTCAAGCGACGTAAGACAAACTAACGGAAACATTCACTCAATAATCTAATACAATACTGCTATATACAAATGGATATCCCAAACTCACACATTCACATCATCAACCTCTTCTACAACTTTTATAACCTCGACGCATCCCCCTTCCCCCCCGCACAACAAGCCGTCGAAAACGCATTCCTCGACTGCGAATCCACACAGATCGCCGACGGCGGCACCCACAGCGCCGGATTCTTCAAGTAAAAGTTCGACGCCCGCAGCATAATACTCACCGGCTCAGCCGGCATCACCGGGAAGTCCTCGGCGCGCGGGAAATGCGTCAGCCCAAACTGCAGATAGCACACGATGTCGGTGTTCTCGATGTTCTCGTCGCGGCCCGCCCAGTCGAGGATGCCCTTGTTGTGCGGGTGGTTCGTCTCGCCGGTCGACTGGCAGACGTAGTCGCCTGCGGGGAAGAGCTCGTAGTCCCTGTAGGGCACGACCCAGAGGGAGTGGCGCGCGAAGGCGGCGCGGTTGGAGACTGTGCTGCCCGGTTGGGCGAGGAGCGGCGGGCAGCTGTTGTTGACGATCTTGTAGCCGACGGGCTTTTTGGCGGTGGGGTGGTGTCGGTTGGGGTTGATGATTTCCCAACCGCGCTGGGTCTCGTGGTTGTAGTTTGTGGCGCCTTCGAGGGCGGTGCGGAGGGGCTTCTTGCGGGCCAGGAAGCCGTTGCCGTAGGGGTTTTCCGGGGAGCCGACGGGGGCCGGGGTGGGGACGGCGTCGGATTCGATGACGGTGTTGTTGCGGCCGTCGATCTCGGGGTCGATGCGCAGCGAGAAGATGTGCTGGTGGTTGTGGGCTGTTACGCGGGGCGCGACTTCTGTGCCGTAGGGGGCGGCTTCTTCGGAGGGGTGCAGGCAGTAGGTGTTGAGCATGCCGGTGAGCTTGACTTCGAGCTTGTAGGTGCCGTCGAGGGTGAAGGTGTGGTAGAAGCCGTATTCGTAGTTGGCGGCGGTGATGATCTGCGAGACGATGAGCTTGCGGTCGCGCGCGGAGATGACCGTGCCGTCGCGGAAGTCGGTGTGCTTGTAGAGGAGGCCGTTGTCTTCCTCGTGGATGCAGATGGCGTTCTTGACGACGGCGGCTTCGCCGGAGGAGGTCGCCATCACGCCGTCCATGTAGTGGATGACGCCCTTGCAGTCGCATCCCAGCTTCAGCGAGTTGGTCATGAACCCCGTGCCGTACTCGCCGACGTCGAAGGCGTGCTTCTTGTGGTGCGGCTTCTCGGGGCAGCCGTAGGGGACGACCATCTCGACGACGCTGATGCGGTTGAAGAGCGTGCGCTCGCGGTCCTCGTAGGGGTCGTGCGCGCGCACGTCCGAGATGACGATGCCCTCGCGGTAGTTGAACCCGATGTGCATCTTGTATCCGGCCCAGGAGAGCTCGTTGCCCTTGACGCGGAACGAGACGCCCTGCGGCTGCGTGATGTCGATGGGTTTTAACCGGTCGTGCTTGTACTGGTCGCCGATGAACTGGGGGAGGTAGTTGTGCTCTGCGAGGGCCGGCGCCGTGCGCTCGCCGTTGACGTAGCGGACGTCCACGGCGAGGACCTCCTCCGTCTCCGTGTCGACCACGACGGAGAAGTCCAGCGGGTGCGCGTACTGGTTGTCGAACTCGGAGGCGCGGTAGTACGCCAGACCCTGCTGCAGGCGGCGCTCGAAGCCCCAGCGCTCGTCCACGCCGATGGCCCAGGCGTCCAGGAAGATCTTGGACATGTCGGTGATGCCAATCTCCTTGCAGGCGCGGACCACGCGGGGGTCGTGCCGGGCCACGCGCTCCATGACATCGAGATCCTCCAGAGTCAGAGTCGGGGCGACGTCCTTGACGTTCTTCCACTGCTCGACCTTCTCGGTGGTCAAGTTGGCCACCACCTCGGACACCTGCTGGGTCTCCCTCTCGATGACAATGGCGAAGGCACAACGATCGGGGCGCGGGGCCAGGCCCTGACGGAAGGCGTGGTACTCATTCTTCTTGGGCTCGAGGAGGGTAATGCAGTTGAACTTGAGTGTCTTTGGGCTGGCATATTCGCGCATGAGCTGGGCCGCGGCCGGGATCTCCTTGATGGACAGCTGGTCTGGAAGGGTCAGTAAGTGGTACCAAATTTCTGACTCTACTCTCAGACTCACCAAGCGGATGGGGAACGCCTCTGGGCATCATAGAAACAGCCGCAACAGAGTCATAATCATCGTCACGGAATATCGTATACCCCGCGATCGAGGTTGTATCTGGAGCATTGGCCATGGTGTAGAGAATCAAACGACAGAAGTCGAACAGTATTTAGATGCAGAAACCTTTATCTGAGAGAGAATCCCATCTGAATCCCCGACTACACCGTCTCTTTATAATCGGACACCATCGAAGCCATATCTTCGTTGTCCGCATAGACCTGCCTAATCGGGAAACCAGATTTATATCGTTCCATCTCCATCGCCGAACGGGTTATCAGGGTCATCACGAGCGCCACCACCTGCTGATCGGCACGGAGCCTCCCTCGGAGCCAGTGCTAGGTTAGACAAGTCTAGACTTCATCCATGTTGGACAGAGCTTACTCGTTCTTGGCTGGCTTCGCTTTCCCTCCCTGAACCAGTGATGCATCATCCCACCACACCCATCGAGGATCGGCTTCAAACACGTGTGGCTGGGGTATTCAGTGGACCTTTGTCAGCGATAGACTCATAACTACAACCTTGAACAATATCTATGCCTCTATCTTCAGCAGGAGTATTCCCCCGATCGTAGTCCGAGTCGGCCTTATCGAGCTGTCTCTTAGGGCACAGCCAAGTCAGTGACAGCGCTCGGATTGGCCAATCCGGGTGGATCGACGGCTCCTCCGCATTCTTCCCCACGCTTTGCTTCTTTTTTTTTTTCCTTTCTTTGTCTATTTATCTTCTTCATTCTTTTTTGTGTTTTGTATGTATTCTTATCAGTTACGACAGAGTGCATGTCGCTGGTCTGTTCCACGGACTGCTTTCAAAGGAAAGAGGTCGGAGCATCGCGTAAGCACAAACAGAATGACTTCGTAGTCACCCCAATGGTCAAATATTTGGTAATATTGATAATCGCAACCTAGAAGAGGCAGGTCCTACAATGGATACCACCCAGGAAAGAGTTTGCAATCGAAATGGATGTCGGGTGTACATACGACCTTGAGAAACAAGCGAGCGAGCGAGCGAGCGCATACCGACGGAATCCAATCCAGGTCCAGTCCCGCCAGCGCATCTCAAACAAGTCCACAGATCACACGGACGGGATGGGTATCCTACGATAACGGGGGTAGTCCTAATTTGCATTGCGTAAAAGGGCCCGCTGTCTGGCTCGGGTTGTTCGCTGTGTCCATGGCGCCGGTTTGTCTGCGTGGACATGCTCTTTTCGGGAATGGCTCCACTGTAGCTTGTCTGGAAAGTGGATAAGCTTGGTTGCTCCTTAGAGTGGGCGATAATGCTCCTCCCCCGCACTAGCAGACAGCTGCTATCTACTATGACATTGGCGATAAAAAAAAAAGTCAGCTCCTATCCGTGTGGGTCGGGCTGTGATACGCGTGAAACTCCAATATTAGCCTCTTAGGGAATGTGCAGCCGAGTTTGTAGTGGTGGAGGGCGTCAACGCGATACACTCTTGACCTCATAGGGAGGGGGTAGTCGGGGATGTGTTCGATGTATAACGTAGACGAGATTATTTATCGCTGGAAACTCTCTTTTCCTGTCTACACACACCATCAGCAGCAGCGTCAGTGAGATATACATACCATCATGACCGACCTATCTGTGCAGCTTACAGCGCCAAACGGCCGCACCTGGACTCAGCCAGTGGGCCTGTTCATCAACAACGAATGGGTCAAGTCTTCGAACTCGGAGACAATCGTCTCGGTCAATCCTGCGTACGTTCACCTTCTCATCCCCAGCTCCCCGGGCGAAGAAAAGCTAACATGTAAGGTCAACTCCAGAACCGCCGCGGACATCACCTCAGTCTACGCCGCAACAGAAGAGGATGTCGACAAGGCCGTCAAGGCCGCGCGAGCAGCCCTCAATAACCCCGACTGGAGAGAGATGCCGGCCACCGAGCGCGGCCGTCTGATGACCCGTTTGAGCGACCTCATCGAGGAGAACCGCGAGATCCTGGCCACGATCGAGACGTGCGACAACGGCAAGCCGTACACCGTTTCCCGGGACGATGACCTCTCCGAGACTGCCGGGACAATCCGCTACTACGCCGGCTTCGCGGACAAGGTCTTCGGGCAGGTGATTGACACCACGCCTGAGAAGTTCGCGTATACCATTCGCGAGCCGGTGGGCGTGTGCGGGCAGATCATTCCGTAAGTCGCATGGATCATTCTCTAAAATTAATCGTTACTAACTGGTCATGTCACCCAGGTGGAACTTCCCTCTGGCAATGGCCGCATGGAAGCTGGGCCCGGCCCTAGCCTGCGGAAACACAGTGGTTCTGAAACCCGCCGAGCAAACCCCCCTGTCGATTCTATACCTGGCCAACCTGATCGTCGAAGCCGGATTCCCCCCAGGCGTCGTGAACATCGTCAACGGCCACGGCCGCGTAGCCGGCGCGGCTCTCGCGTCGCACATGGACGTGGACAAGATCGCCTTCACGGGCAGCACGGCGACAGCCAAAGAGATTATGAAGATGGCGAGCCGCAACCTGAAGAACATCACGCTTGAAACGGGCGGAAAGAGCCCCCTCATCGTCTTCAACGACGCCGACCTCGAGCAGGCCGTCGAGTGGGCCCATATCGGCGTCATGTACAACCAAGGCCAGGTCTGCACCGCGACGTCGCGGATCCTGGTGCAAGATGGGATCTACGATAAGTTCGTCGAGGCCTTCAAGGATCAGATCAAGAACGTCTCTGTGGTCGGTGACCCCTTCGACGAGGCGACTTTCCAGGGCCCGCAGGTGAGCCAGGCTCAGTATGACCGCATCATGTCCTACGTGAATGTGGGTAAGGCTGAGAACGCGAAGCTGGAGTGCGGCGGGGAGCCATTCGAGGGGGTCGGCAATGGCCGGGGCTTTTTCTTCAAGCCTACCGTGTTCACCAATGTGTCTGATCAGATGCGCATTTACCGCGAGGAGGTCTTTGGTCCGTTTGTGGTGATCGCCCGGTTCAGCGAGGAGGATGAGGCGATTCGCATGGCTAATGATACCACCTACGGTCTTGGGAGCGCCGTGTTCACGCAGAACTTGACCCGTGCTCACCGCACTGCTAAGCGCATCGAAGCTGGTATGGTGTGGATTAATTCGAGCAACGACAGTGACTGGCGCATTCCTTTTGGAGGCGTCAAGCAGAGCGGTATTGGCCGCGAGCTGGGTGAGGCTGGTTTGGCGGCGTATTCCAACATTAAGGCCGTGCATGTAAATATGAAGTCGAAGTTGTAAATTATCATGAGTTAGTCACTATACCAGGAATTCAATCAAGATCTTTATTAAATATTTCAAGAAATTACCGACATGGTTGATCTTTAGAGAAAGCTGGTATTCAATCAAGCTGCTTTGGCAGTTTTCATTGTACGTAGGTGGTATATTCGCTAGTTTCATCATTGAAGTAATCATAATGCGTTGTTGGTACATTCCTCATCGCCGTAATCAAACTTGGCGTCACTTGCTTCCGTCCTTTGCCGTCGTCTCCATCGCAGAATCGGTGGCATCTTCCTGAACCTCTCGGCCGTGGCTCAAAGAAAGTGACTCCTCCGTGTTCATATAACTACTGTTTCCCTGAATAAACCAGAACGACAGGGCAATCAGGAGCATCACGCCAAAGACGGCAATGGCGTAGTTCATATCAGAGCCCGATGGTTTGGGGGTGCTGGGGAAGAAAAAGAAAACAGTCGTAATGGCGCAGTATATGACGCTCACCCAATTCGCAGGTGCCCCTAATCTCCCCAGGTAAAACGGACCAGGGGTGAGGTGGCTGCGTCCCCTGATGAGCAAGGCCAAGATTGGCAGACCATAGGAGATGGTCAGGGCGATGGTGCTGACGCTGAGAATGGCAGTCAAGACAGTCTCAGCAAATAAGAATAGAACTCCCACGAGAGCGATCAGGACTCCTTGAAACCACAGAGCCCGGACAGGGGCCTTCCACACCGGGTCGATATGGGAAAGATATCGGTTGAAGGGGAGCCCGCCGTCCCGTGCAAATCCCCAAGTTAGACGAGATGCGGTGGTCAATATACTCACGCCCTGTCCGACACCATTGAGTATGAAAAGAGCAATGAGTACAGCACCTCCTTCCAAGCCGATTGTTTCCTGGGCAAGCTCGATAAAAGGTAACCCAGTCGGAGAATTGATGACTCTGTTGATATCCTGAATGCAAAAGAGGCAGACCACCATGAAGATAAAGCCACTGGCGGCTCCGGATAGTACAGCAAGATAGATAACTTTTGGCGCGTTCTGTCGTGGCGAAGGAATCTCTTCCACCATGTGAATGACTGCGTCAAAGGCTGTCAGGCCATATGCAGCCTGCACTAGTCCAATAAACCAGACCACGCCATCCTGCCAACCGGTTTCATTGATCCAACTTCCAAAGGCAAAATTCGCCGGTTGGAAGGATAGACCCGACCTGGTGCCCACGGAAATCAGCAGGGCCAATGCGAACACAACGAACAAGCCCACAAACCATACCCCGACAGTGTTATTCAGCCAGGGCAGGATCTGTTCCTTCCGGCATCCAGTAACATTGACGAGGGTGAGGGCAAAGACCAAGCCGATATAGACACAAAACTCCAACCATCCAGTCTGCGACCCCGTCCATTCCACGTCAAACATGACTTTCATTCCCAGAATGAAGTCTGTCATGAACGCCACCTGCGAGGCGGCGAGAGTCCACCACCCAAACACATTGATCCAAGCACACATGTAGGACATGAAGCGGCCCCAGCGTGTATCCCACAGCTGCGAGATCCAGTAGGCTTGTCCCAACGCGGTTGGCATACTGCTGCAGATTTCTCCGAGCGACACAGCGACGCAGGCGTTGCAGAAGGTGACCAAAGCAAGCCCCCATAGAATCGAGACCGGGCCACCATTGATCAGACCGTCCGACAGATTCTGAGCGAAAGTAGACCACGTGCCTAGTACACAGAACGCCAGAGCGAACATGCTCCATATACTGAATTTGCGGGTGAGCACCTGCTCGTGGCCCATGGCCGCGAGGTCGCATGCATCTTGGTCTTCATAGCCCGTCGCCTTTTCCGTGACGATAGTCGAGTCGGTCCCAAGTTCCATCGAGAGGTGTTTTCTAACGGATTGTGGGGGCGATGCTCCGTTTTTTTCTGGGAAGCGGAAGGGAAAAGCACGGAGAAAAAAATTATAGTCCACAAAGACAACGCAACGGAATAGGTTTTCGGTGAACAGAGGTGCTTTTCTGACTTGATCAGTCACCGAGGACCAAATCAACAGCGAGGCCTTCCATTTTATTAATTATTCGAAATAGATGCGCGTAGTGCAGGCTTGACGAGACACTTTCGTTCAGATCCTGACGGCGTGGGCTCTGGAGAACCCCGCGTTCACCGGGATGTTAGAAGCGGGTCCAAGTCGGAATTTTATGGGGACATATGAAGAAAACTCCTAGATCGGCATCGAAACCGACCGGTTAGATATGGTCAAGCAGTTTGTCAAGGTAGTGCGTTATTAGAGGCAGAGCCTGCGGTGCCTCGACCTTGGTACTAGTCGGAGAAGCCGTGATCCCCACCATGCCGATGGACGGAACCGCGTCTGGAAGGTGTATGCGGGAGTATCCCCAGATCTTCGGCAATAGATCCACCATAATACTTGTTGCGTCTCCATCGGACTTGTCGGAGAGCCAGAGTTCGAGTCCCAGACCACTTGGACCCGACCCGACGTCACCGGGTTTTGGTAAGGCTGTGTATCTGCATGGACTTTCCCTGTTTTTCGATGGTCTGGGGCAAGCATTGAGAAGAGATTCCGTCAGGCACCAATAATGATAATCAGTATGCCCGGCTCTAGCCGGAGTTTTTGAGGTTGATGAATTTGAGTCTAAAATGCCGAAGTAGAGGCAGATTTCCAGATGCCGGTACTGCCTCTTCCTATTCCTGGAAGGTGAATGCGAGGTAATCCCTTAAGCAACGAGCAATGACTGTGGACCATGAAGAGATAGCTGTCGGTCGGTTCCATTGTTGACGCTGCAGTGGAGATGGTCAGTCGAGAAGGAAAGAAACTCGAAGGTGAAGAATGATCTCAGTGTATGGTTTATAGAGTGCTGCCTGAGGCCGTCATGGCCGACTTGGTCACTCGCAAAGCTATCTACCCCAATGCTAGGATGGAATATATGTTACAGAATAAGATTATATTTTTCTTTCTCTTCAAGATTACGTTAATGCCCTTAGTGTAACGATGCTAAAAGAGATAGGTAGTAGGAAGAACCGAAACTATATATAACGGGGTATATATCGGAATATCACACTATATATTCGACTACTCGGAAACACTGAAAACACAATTCGGTAATTTGGTGCTAGGACGCAATGTGAGAAACCAGCTAGCAAATACCAAGTAGAATAAAACAAAAACCAGAGAATAGTTACCTTAGTACATAACCTTCGACGACATTCCAATCGAAAACCCGAATTGGAACTGTCATAAAACAACTAGTTTTGATAATTCAATGACGTGAGCCATCCATAGCAATACAGAGACCTGCAATTTTGGAATGAAAAGGAAGATAATTGAAACCCTCAACGCCCTGTGCTAACTAAAGTACAAGTCCATCGCCCATCACGAGCACTACCTGTCATCATCATCTTTCCGAGGCTCGAAATTGAGCTACACCGGAGGAAATACGTTAGTGGATGCCATCAGTAAAAATGCCCGGGTAAAGCACGTACCTGATTCCCATTGTAAAACTGCTTGTCTCCTTCTTCGTTGCGTTGGTCTTGTAGCGTTCTGATTCTCGGGCCCGTAGGTGGTGTCGGGCGTGGCCCTGCTGCACTGGATCCCGTCTGCGATGAGGTAGAAGGATCAGGACTAGACTGGGACGGGGCTGGTGTAGTTTGACCGTATCCTAGAAACGAGCCAACTAGACCGGTGGCCGCGCCCACCGTGGACGAAACCAGCCCGTATACGGTGGACACCGCTCGGACAGGAAGACTGGCGGTCGAAGAATACGCTTCTGTATAAGTTCTGATCGGGATCATGACCAAATTGGCCGTGGGCCCGAGGTTGAGCGTATCAAGGGATTGCTCCTCATCGGCAATGGACAACGTTTGGTTGGGCAGGGGCGTCATGATGTGCTTGAGGTTATACGGGCGTTTCTCTTCCGCCATTTGACCGTCGAGCCACGGACGGACATTCGCGCGGATAGTGTGTGAAGGCAAGAAGCTTGATCGCACGGAACTGCCGTCAAATAACCGCACCTGGAGGCGATATTCTTTAGGAGGACCCCGAGGAGGCTTAGGCTTTTGCTCGGAGTGATCTGTTGTACTGGGGCCTGAAGGCTTTGGAATCGGCTTCACTTCCTTTTCCTTTTGCGGTTTTTGTGGCTTTTGCTGTGGCTTCTCTGGCTTCTTCTCTGACTTCTGTTGTGGCTTCTGTTCCGGCTTCCATTGCGCAGGTTTTGAAGCCGACTTCTGCGCATTGTCAGTCCTAGCGACATTGAAGCTCCTCTCCCCCAAGCGTATATTTTCGCTTTGCGACGGCCCCGATTGGTTCCTTGTTTCTGTATTGTGCGTTTCAGACTGAGATGAGCTCGAAGCAGGATTCGCGACAGGTGCAGGAGCAGGCGCATGAACAGGCGCAGGCGCAGATGTATCTGTAGTAACCGGAGCCGGAGCCGGAGCTGAAGCTGAAGCCGGGGTGGCGGTCGTCCCAGTCGAAGTACCTATGGGGGTCTGAGGCTGCGGGCTCTGAGCCTGATCCTGAGCAGCCCCCGTAGCAGACGCAGTCGCAGTCGCATCCGTCCTATCCTCAAGAACATCTCTCAACCGCCGCTGGAAATCCTCCTTGTTCGTCTCCGGGACGATATATTCGCGAAGCATGCCATTCCTATAACATACCGGTCAACACCCAAAGAAACAAGCACGAACCAATCCAATCCAATCAACACGTACAAGATCACCACAACAGTCGGATACTTAGTAACGGGACAAAAGGACGTCAGGAAACCCGTTTCTGGAGCATCCTTGGCGAGGCGCAAAAGGACAGATCTCTCGGCGAGGACACGCGCAAACTAATTTATTCGGGAAGAAACCGACGTTGGCGTTTATGTTCAGGTTTGGGTTTGGGTTTGGGGTTTGGAGAAGACAGTCGGTGGAGGTACCTCGTCATCCTTGAAATATTGCTCCTCCCACTGTGTACTTGTTTCTTCGTCGTCTGGGGTTGCTGGTGTTAGCTTCGTGATCGTTATCGTACAGTAGGTAGGTTGCGTATGGTGGAGTGGTAGTACCTCGCACGAAGCAGACAACTGCTTTCTGCTGCTGGACAGCAAGGGCGATGCCTTCCTGGAGATTCCCAGCGAAAAACATCGCGTATACAATTGAAATAATAAATCAACCGGACGAAGTTATCAAGAGTGAGGAAGGTGAATCAAATTGAAGATAGTGTCGAAGGGAGAGAGCATGATGATGTCGGGGCGATCGGGCCCGCCGCCGCCCCTCGGCGGACCCGACAACCACCTCCGAACTTCTTCACCTTTCTTCATCTTTTCCAGTCGGATATTACTTTCCCACCTACCTCCCGTCACCACCACCGACTTTATACAGCCAAAACTAAATTTAACACACAAGCGAGTCAGCGCGAATTCCTGATTTCATCATGCGGTCCGTCTTGTCGGCCTTGAACCGCACGGCCGCGACCGCGTGGGCGCAGCCCCCGACAACAGCGGCAATGCGCGGCCCTCGCGCGGCATTCAAACCCGACTCGATCTGCGCCCGGTGTCGCCGACAACAGGTCCGGTCTTACCAGAACATGGCGGACGATCCGCGGTGGTTATCGGTGGTTGATAACCCGGCGCGAATTGTGCGGACGGGCCGGAAGCATGGGCCGGGGTTGATTATCCTAGGTATGGTTGATTGACTGGCTAACTGACTGAATATTGTGAATGATCACAGTGCTAATTGATTGACTACGACTTACAGCACTGATCCCCATCATCTCCTTCGGGCTCGGCGCCTGGCAAATCCAACGACTAGACTGGAAAACGAAATTGATTTCGAAATTCGAAGACCGACTCGTGAAGCCGCCTCTGCCGCTGCCATCGCGCGTCGACCCCGACGCAGTGAACGAGTTCGATTACCGGCGGGTTTACGCTACGGGTCGGTTGAGGCACGATCAGGAGATGCTGGTTGGGCCGCGGATGCGGGAAGGCGAGGACGGGTTCTTGGTGGTGACGCCGTTGGAGCGGGACGGGGGACGCGGCACTGTGCTGGTTAACCGGGGGTGGATCTCGAGGAGCTTGCAGGATCAGAAGTTGAGGGCGGCGGGGCTGCCGCAGGGGGAGGTGACTGTTGAGGGGTTGCTACGGGAGCCGTGGAAGAAGAATATGTTTACGCCGGATAATAAGCCCGAGGATGGGAAGTTCTACTTTCCTGATGTGGAGCAGATGGCTCAATTGACGGGCAGTCAGCCAATCTGGATTGAACAGACGATGGGTAAGTGGTCTGCCATGGGTGGTGTTTCCTAAGCTAAGTCTATGTCACAGTCCCGGATATGGTGGAGGCGTATGATCGTGCAGCCAAAGGTATTCCCATTGGTCGCGCAGCGGAGGTCAACCTCCGAAACAACCACAGCCAGTACATCTTCACATGGTAGGTCCCGTCCCGACGCATGCATAGCGGGTTCCTTAGCTAATCCTTGATAGGTTTGGCCTGTCTCTGGCAACGTCCATCATGCTGGGTATGATCATCCGCAAGAGACCCAACGAGGCCACGCGCCGTGTCCGCCAAAACAAGAATTGGTAGACATTCTCCGGTCCATGGAGTGAATCGTGGCGATTGTCGATGGCGTTTGGGAAGTTCAAGACGAACTTGTTCTGGTTCTCCATTCCTTTTTATTTCATGTACTTGTACCTGTACAGTATTGTTCATGGCGGCATGGCCAATCTCATGTCTTGCAAAAGCTCCTTGGGGAGATGCTTTTGCGCAAGAGAGAAGACCGTGGTCGCATTGCTGGTGTGTCGTTGTCTAGCCAATTAGTTTCTAGTCAATGTAGAAAGCACCGGAGTCCATCCCACTCACCTCCTCATCAGTGTTGTAACGTCACTTTCGTCGATGGTTTTTCGACCGGCGTGTTTGGCGTACGCCGCGAGGTCTTCACCGGCCTGTTCGAAGTACCAGGCCGACGCCTGCTCAATGGCCGCCAGCGTAGCCTTGCTGATCTTCGCCTTGGATCCCGCCCTCGAGGGAGCAAACCGCGTGGCCAACTTCTTCACCACGCCTGTCGGCAGGTTGGGAACAGGGATACCATGTCGCGAGAGCTTCTTCTGTTTGGTTCCTTGAAAGAGAGTGCTCTCGTCACGCAGCCCTCCCCCGAGAACCCCGGAACTCTGACTGGGCGAGACGGGAGCGGCAAGATCGAGCCCCAAGCCAAATCCGCCCGTAGCATCGCCTGCATCATCGCTGTCGTCCGACGCAGGGGTGGGCCCTGGTTCTAAATCGACTGCCGGAAGCTCGAACTCATCGTCATTCATCGGCTCGTCCTGGACCAGGTCATCACCCGGCGGGGGCGGGGACGGGAAATTGAAGTCAAAGTTGAACCGTCCAAGATCCTCCGTTTCGCCTCTGTAGAGTAGTCAGCCACAGCCTACCAAAAAGCTATAGGGGTAAGGGGGGAAAATCCACACACCCTCTATCGAAAGCACCCTGGCTCATAAGCGTTTCATCCTGGCCGTCGACATCATGCATAATACCCGTATCACCCTCATCCTCATTGTCACTTTCGAATCTAGTCGCATCGCCAAACTCGCTCAGGCGAGGCGCACCAAAACTCGCCATCGACAATCGCGCCTTGTCATGTTCGCTTGGCGCTCGGCGGGGGTATTCAACGGTAATGTCTTCTTCCTCAAAAGCCAGCGAGAAACGAGGCGGGCGTGGCTCCGGGCTACCCTCGTCCTCATCCTCTTCCTCTTCCTCCGCTAGCGGCAACGACAAACGAGGCCGCTCAATCTCAGGCTCGTTGTCGAGTTCCTCGATCTCATCTAGCTCCGGCTCCGACTCCGGCTCCAGGGCGACTTGGGGCGACGATCGGATAGGTTGAGACACAGGGGCAAGGGCTATTCAATTGGATGTTAGCAAACAATTCGGCCCGAAAGCATGACGATATCCGTGGACCATCCTACCTTTTCCGAGATTCCTCAAGATATCAAATGTCGTTTCTCGCTTGGCCGGCCCGCTTCGTCTGCGGTCACGACCGGGGGTATTTGCAGCGCGTCGCTGCATAGCACGGAGTCCATGGGGCGTAGATGGAGCGTTGACTCCTCGTTGACGGGGCGTGAGTCGCGATCGAGAAACCGATCGGTTTGCGGATGGCGTTGTTGACATTGCGAGCCGACTTGGTGTGTATGGGTAGCGTGGAAGACGCTGGAGCTATTTTAGATTAAAACCTGCCTAATTGTAAGACAAACAGAGGATCTTACCCCAGTCAGGGTGGTGTCTCCTGGTGTAGAGGTCACCGAGTTCGCGGGCCCCCGTGACCGACGGCCACGCGGTTCGGGGGTTGCGGACATGGTAGGGAATCAGCCAGGTCGATATCAAGCCAATTGGGGGACAATAATCCGAGCCAGAAGAGCTCAAACCAATGACTAGTATGCAAAGAATTAAGCGGGCAATTGGCCGCAAACCGAATCAAGTGGGGAGTTTCAGGCGGAGGTGGAGGAGTGGAAAGCGCGTCGAAACCATAATAAGAGGATCACGGGTCTTGGCGGTATCTTATCGATAAGCACGGTTGACTCAGCAAAAAAAAGTTGATCGAACCGCATTATCAATGCGACGTTTTGCGCACTCCTTCAATTCGTTATCAAGTCAAGAATTGCTGGATTTTCGACAATTCACGAAAGATATTGAAAATGGCCGCCGAAAAGCCCTCCAAATCTAACCCCTCGGCTATGTCCGCCAAGGTGGACAAGAAGCGCAAGAGACAGGCCGAGGAGCCCTCGAAGCCGGCAGAGACGCCCAGCGGCAACGCCGCGGAGCCCACCACGAAGAAAGCGAAGAGCGGAAAGGGGAAGAACAAGAAGGATCAGAAGAAGATGGATGGGGATAAGACCGAGAAGAAGGACGAGAAGCCTAAAGATACCAAGCAGACGGAGACCAAGGGTGGAATTGATGAAGCTATCGGGAAGATGGACGGCCGACTTATTGCGGACCACTTTGTGCAACGGGCGAAGCGGCATAATAAGGAATTGACTGCTGTTGAGCTGAGCGATATGTCTGTTCCTGGTGAGTCTTTCTCCTCTCCCTCTCTTCTTTGGGGGTCGCGGGTCGAGACGATGTTACGGTTGATACTGATACTATGGATATAGACTCCGCATTCCTGGACACCTCGTCTTTCGACAAACCGAGACAATTGGAGGAGCTCCCCGCATTTCTGAAGGCGTTCAGCCCTAACAAGGGCGCCAAGCTGTCCCAGGCCTCCGAAAAGAAGGGCGCACCGAATACTCTGGTTATCTCGGGCGCCGCGCTGCGATCTGCCGACGTTGTCCGGTGAGTGTCGACACAGTCATCAAAGCGTCCAAGATACTAATAGTAAATTCAGGGCATTGCGCACATTCCAGCACAAAGAGTCCATTGTCGCGAAGCTGTTCGCGAAACACATCAAGCTTGAAGAAGCTAAGCAATTCCTGCAAAGATCGCGGTATGTTCAACCACATAATCAATCAACAACGACTGCGACTAACTATATCACACAGATCGGCTATTGGTGCCGGTACGCCCGCGCGCATCTCCGACTTAATCGACGCCGGTATGTCCCTCTTCTCCTGGCTCCCTTCCACTGATATTCCATGGAATAATCAACTAACGAAGATAGGCTCCCTCAACCTCGAAGAACTCGAACGCATCGTCATCGACGGATCCTACGTGGACCAGAAACAGCGCGGCATCTTCGACATGAAGGAGACGCATTTCCCGCTGCTGAAGCTGCTGAATCGTCCGGAGCTGCGGGAGCGGTATGGGGCTAAGAAGAAGCCCATCCAGATCTTGGTGTATTGAGCGACGAAATGCGATGCATGGCGTTTGGTTCTATTTTGTCCGCTTAGAGCGAGTTACGTATTTTGTATATAATTCATTCTATGTAGTATAGTTAGTATACTACTAAGTCTTGAGACAGCTGTCGCGGTCTTTATCCCTCTTTGAGAAATTCTAACCTGCTAGACTCTATACAAAATGTACTGGCTATTACCTGCATTTGCAGAAAACAAATACTTTAATCCTCAGACACACAGTCCAATTGAACACAAAACCAAAGATCTAGGTACATAATAAGCACTGTACCTGACTGTACCTGACGCCCATCACTGATTGATATTGATATAGATAACACACACCGCCCGCCCTCTCCGCCCGGCAAAAAAGAAAAAGAAAATGTAATTTTTCTTCCTACAATTTTTCCCGCTTTCCGCGATCTTCAATCCAGCATCTTTATTACCCCCAATTTTGTTATACTGACTGGGGAGATTTTTTCGCAATTACTCAACCCATTTTTATTATTCTTTGATTATTACTTCACAACATGGGCGACAAGCGCAAGCTCGCGGCCGAGGCGGCCGAGCCTGAGTTGAAGAAGGCTAAGAAGGAGAAGAAGGACAAGAAGGAGAAGAAGGAGAAGAAGGAGAAGGTGAAGGAGGTTGTTGAGGAGCCGGTTGTTCAGGAGGAGGTTGTGGAGAAGAAGGAGAAGAAGGACAAGAAAGAGAAGAAGGACAAGAAGGAGAAGAAAGAAAAGAAGGAGAAGAAGGAGGATAAGGAAGAGAAGAAGGACAAGAAGGAGAAGAAGGAAAAGAAGGACAAGAAGGAAAAGAAAGAGAAGAAATCCAAGGACAGCGCCGAACAGCCCGAGGACGCCATGGACGTGGACGTGAAGTTCACCGAGGAAGCGCCGGCCGTCAATGGCAGCGACAAGAAGGACAAGAAGGAAAAGAAAGACAAGAAGGAGAAGAAGGACAAGAAGAAGGAGAAGAAATCCCAGGACGCCCAGCCCAACGGCGCGCAAACCGAAGAAGCGGAAGCAGAAGCCGACGAAGCCTCGTCTAGCCAGAAAGGAAACCGATTCATCGTCTTCGTTGGTATGTTCCCCTCGTTCAAAATGCATCTATATACAAATCCTTGAAACTAACAAAAAATAGGAAACCTCCCCTACTCAGCCAACACCGAGTCCCTCACAAAACACTTCGAGAAGATCGCGCCGGCCTCCGTGCGCGTCGCCACGCAAAAAGACAAGCCCACCCACAGCCGCGGCTTCGGCTTCGTCGAGTTCGACAACTACGATCGCATGAAGACCTGCCTCAAGCTCTACCACCACTCGTCGTTTGACGATGGGAAGTATCCCGCGCGACGGATCAATGTTGAGTTGACGTACGTTTCCCACACTCGCCATCCGATGTTGGCAATGATACTAATGTTAATGTCGATAGTGCCGGCGGCGGAGGCAACACCGAACACCGCAAATCGAAGATTGAAGCCAAGAACAAGAAGCTGTTCGAGGAGCGCCAGCGCGCCGTGAAGCAGACCAAGCAGGAGCAGCACAAGGGCCCGGCTGCGCAGACGGACGAATCGGATGTCTTTGCGGGTGTGCATCCTAGTCGGAGAAGGCAGATGGCTTAGATGTTATTCCCTCTTGATATATTATTTCCTTTTATCTTATTTCTTATTTCTTCTTGTATGTGGTTTTTTATGCGCTGGACTATGAAAAGTTGCATATTGGTGTTTCTTTTGAGATATCCTTTTTGTTCTCTTGTTTTGCTGTGGATAGGATAGACGGCAATTAACATTGGATTACGTACTGTACTATGGTAGATATATATGTATGGTTTTGAACTCTACATCCATTCTTGGGGAAAATAGACCGGCAAACCCATCAAGGGACATTCATTGCGTGATATTGTTTGACATGTTACATCTTTATACTGCATTAGGAGGAGCAAGAGGGAGAAAGAGTTGGACCCGTGGGAAGGACCATGGCACCGGATCAAGTGCGGACCAAGTGCAGACCAAGTGATCAAGTCGGACCAAGTAATCAAGTGCGGATCAAATATGAGGAGTAGGAGAAGGAGAAGAGGGCAGAACCAAACAATCATCAGGGGGACATTACCGAACCCCCACCAACTTAGACGCCGTGTATTAATGGTGATTATTAAGAGATCAAACGAGCAAAGGGAATCACAGGATGAGGCACTTTTTGCCCCTTTGCTTGGTGGCGGGTCGAGGGTTCAGCACGGCCCTGGAGAAGCGTCAGTCAATGAAAGGGCCAGAGTGAGGGTGAGGGATGGAGGGGGGCCGCGCATACCGAATCGCCTCGTCAAACACGCTCTTCAGATTGCGCTGGGTGAGGGCGGAACATTCTAAATACTTGTGGGCGCGAATCTCCTTGGCCACGGAGAGCGCTTGCTCGTAGGATACCGGCTCCATCTTTCTCTGGCGCAAGGTTGTGATGGTCGCGTGGTCGTCCCTCAGATCGAGCTTGGTGCCGACGAGGATGATGGGCACTCCGGGCGCGTGGTGCTCGATTTCGGGGAACCACTACATCAGGAGGAAGTCAGTGGATGGGTGGGTGCGATGGGAGGGGTTCGCGTGGACGCACCTTGGCTTTGACGTTGTCAAAGGAGGGAGGGCTGACGATGGAGAAGCAGATGAGGAAGACATCGGTCTGGGGGTAGGAGAGCGGGCGAAGGCGATCGTAATCTTCCTGTCCAGCAGTATCCCACAGTCCTAAGCTGATGGGCTTCCCATCCACCATAACACTGGCCGTATAGTTATCGAATCTGCGGGGGTCAATAGGCGAACGGGAGGTTGGTTCGGGGGGGGGGGAGGAGAGAGATGACGGACACAGTTGGGATGTATTCCCCGGGGAAGGCGTTGGTGGTGTAAGAGATCAGGAGACATGTCTAGGTAGAGATTAGCGATGATGACGCGACAGGAGAGGAGGGGATACACACTTTTCCAACGGCACCATCACCGGTCACCACACACTGTGGATTGATTAGCGGAATGTCTCAAATAAGAATGTCGATTGATGACGAGTTGAATAAGAATGTCGACTGAAGGGAAGAAGAATGAGGCGTACCTTCAACGATTGAGTTGCCGGACCCGTGGCCATGATGGGATCAAGGTTTGGGGGGAGGAGTAGAGAAGCGGAAAACAGAAGCGACCCAGAGAGGAACAAAGTAACAATGGAGAGGGGATGAGGAGAGGGAAATGCTTGGGAGGAACCAGAGAAGCAAAGCTAGGACAAGAACCAGACCCGAAAGTAGCAGCAGGCCAAAGCGGGTATCTATCTGCAAGGACAAACCACAGCAACTGATGGTTAAGTTTGAGCTCAACCACGGATGATGAAGGATGGAATCGAGGCTGGAAAATAGGAGGTGTAAGATATCCAATATAAAAGATAAATTCTAGGAATATAGAAATCGATCAATCAGAGTAAAAAAAATGAGAATTAATATAAAAATGGCCAATGACGAGAGACGATCCCAAAGGACAGTCAGGGGGCAAAAGACGAGGAAATGGGGGGGACTATTTTAGTACGGGAGGACAGGGAAAAGAAGGGAAAAGTGGAGGGAACCAAAGTAGTCGACTGAATGGATGGGTAGAAGTGGATAATGGTGGATTGACAGGAGAGTAGGATGGTCCATGCGAGGGAGAATCCAGATAGTAGGAGAGGGGAGAAGAGGAGGAGAATTGGGGAGGATTGATCAAGAGATACAGATACAGATACAGACGATAGATCACGAGAACTGGGAGCCTGAGGGAGAGATCCAAATCAACCATCCGAGGTTCAATGCAGACGGTATTCTCTCACCGTGTTTTTCCACTATGCTTTCTACTGTGAGTTCCACTGTCTCTCTACTTTTCTTACCTTTTGAACCACTCCATCCTTCCCATTTATATTCATCCCACCCTTGTTCTATAAGGTATTACAATCCATTCTTCAACGGCCCGCCAACTTAATCGACCTCCGCATGGTAATCAACATCCTCCGTCACACAGTGGCGTCTGTACCAGTATCTATCAACAGGGGATAGAAGGTTCTTACTTTCTATCCGTACTATGCATTCTACCCAGTAAGATATATGAGATATATATATATATCTTTATATATTGTAGAGATATGAAAGGTATATAAGATTAACCCCTCAACACCCCCACCGACCCAGGCAAAAATCCACTCCCAACCTTGACCTCATACGGCTTCTCCATCAGTGGCGATGCCCGACTCCCAAAGTCTCGGAAGTACGGGCTGAGGAGGTGTGTTTGGAGGGCCGTTTGATCGCGGTATCTATTTCATTAGTATATAGATACCGATATGTATATACTAGATATACTCAAGTATACACTCAAGTATATGATATAGGAGACATACCTCTCAACAACAGTAATCTCATTCCCATCCCTATTGGCAAATGCGTAGTACAGCAGCGTGTCAGGCTCGTTCGCTTGCACTTGTTTGGACAGGTCGGAGAGGTGGGTTGATAACTATTGATCATCAGTTTCTTCATCCTCTCTTTCTTCTTTTCAACCCAAGTAATATGGATGAAGAGGAAGATAGGTAACATACCTCCTCCAGCTTGCCCGCTTTCGGATACATCACCGCCACGATATTAACGCCCGCTTCTTCGGTCATCGTTTCAATCGAACTGGTCGATATTTCTCAGTAAGGACAGTGACTCTGTAGGAAAGGGAACAGTGGATTCAAAAGTAATGAATAGGATAGACCTGGATGGTTAATAAATAGCAGGCGAACTCTCGAAAACGATCATCCTGGAGAGGGGTATACGCAACCGCTCACGCGATTACTAAACTCATACTTGGGTCTCCGAGAACAGTAATACCAAACAAACATTACTTAGTATAGAGTATATTTCTGAAAAGAGAAATATATAACAGATATATATAGAGAGATATATACGCTTTATATACAGATTGGTATCCACACTCGTCATAAATCATCCACGCCTGAACTCCTTTTGTTCGTGGTTATAGCGTACCCAAGGGAGGGGGTCCTGGCACATTCCTCACATCACAGGAGGCGCTACAAAAGAATCCGGGATCCCTTCAAACACCCAGTTCAATGAATCAAACACCTCCGAAAACCCCGCCTCGCTGATAAACGCCCCGTTGTCGAAGTTGGGCGGATAGATCAGACTCGGGTCTGCGAGCGACTCGTCTGCGCGACTGAGCTGGCCGGGTCCGGTTCCGAGGTTGGTTTGCGCGGTTATGGCTGGTCCAGTTAGAAAATAAGATTCTTTTTTCTCTTTTTTACCGGGAAGATGAAAAAAAGAGAACAAACCAGGATCTTCTATACTCTTCATTGGCCGGAATCGCTGCCGCCACCGCCATACCGTGTCATACACGTGGCTCATGCTCATGCGGCACCGCACCTTCAGCTGCAGCGAGTCCTCCTCCAGCGCCGCCTCCACGCCTCCGGCATTCCACATCTGCGCCAGGATGTCCGCCAGCCGCACCGGACGGTCGTGGTCCATCACGCTGATCCGTCGGATCGCTGAGATCGCCCCGTTGAAGAGCAGCTTGCCGTGCTCGAAGTCGATGTGGCGATTGAAGACGCTCTTGAGGAGCTTCATCAGTGCGAACGCCGCCGACACAATCATCTGCAGGATGTAGTTCGTTGCGTGGCTGATCAGCTCGCCGGGGAAGGTTTCTAGGTCGAGGACTCGTCCGAGGAAGGACGTCGTGGCGATAAACAGCTTTGTGAGATCGTCACTACGCGCGTTGGCGCCTAGAAACACAAAATACCGTAGATGTAACTCGGCAGCTCGGAGATGAATCATGTTGATATCTAGTATCCATGTGTGTTAGAAAGGACCGGTTGGTGGTTTAGATAGACGTACGCGAGATGTTCCGCCCAAGCTCCACCTCCATATCCCGGAGCTCGTTCTCCAGCAGCTGCACGATCAGCAGCTTCTCCGCGCTGATGAACTCCGCCGGTTCGGGCTTGCTGCTGTACAGCGACTTCGTCACCCGATCACAGAACTTTTCGATTCGAAGACGCGTCTGGAGATCTTCCGGAGGGCTGTAGTCGGCGTCTCGCAGAGACGGTGGCTCTAGGGCCCAGTCATAGATCGTACCTGGCGGTTGTCCGTAGCCAGTGGCGACGCTATCAAGAAAGAAGTAGTCAGCATAATGTTCGAGGGGTGAGTAGAGATGACCATGGTTGCCCACTTTTGTGCTACTATATTGCAAATGACCCACGTCTGCAGACGGTCCTTGAGGGCTTCCCCTTGAGCCTCCATGCGAAAGGTGGTAAACTCCTCCGCTTGGACCGGCCGATGCAGCCCCAGCTGCATGGCAATTTGCATCATCAGTCCACTGAGCATAAAGGTCGCATCGGTCCTCTGGCTCGTCGTGGGAAGAGGCCACGTGCAGAGAAGGCAAAGGGCCTTGACCACACGATAGTCTTGGGGGACAGCGGTGATGGTCGACCAGAGGAGTCGGCTGAAGGGTCCCGAGAGTGCACTCAGTAGGCCGGGCTCGGATGGAGCCCTTCGGCTGGCAATGCAGATGATGGTCCATGCCTGCAACGGACACCGACGAAGGTACTCGTCTGGAGGCTTCTGCGCGTTCAATAGCGGTAGAAAGGGGTGATAGTACTTGAAGAACCTGAGGAGACGGGGTTAATATTGTCAACAATGGACGGGAGCGCAGGGTCCGTTACTGGTCAAATAAGCGTGCCACGCGCGGCTTCGACAAAGACACATCCTCCAATCTCCATAGATTGTCCTCCTGGGACAATATGGGCCCATCCTGGTGCATGGTCATCGGGGTGGCCAGTGGCTGAGCCCCCAACGGCGCCGACATGGGTCGTTGCCTAGCGGAAACCCCGGCGGAGTCGGGGCGACAGAACACATCTTCCGAACACTGGGATAAATCATCGCTGGCGTTGGCCTCTGTCGCCGGCGCATGTTCTCCGCTGGCTAGCCGGCGCCGGAGGTCAGCGATCTCTCGCTCCATTTCGGCATTGCGTCTGAGACATCGCTTGTCAATATGGCATTGGATGGGTCTCAGGTCCTTTTGTTCGAGCTTACCTGCGCTTGGAGATGCGCGTAAAGGTCGGCTCGACCTTGCATTCAATTTGCAGACGCCGGCAACGCGAGCATGCCGTAGCAGGGGCAGAGACAATGTCACATTTGAGCTATTCGATCTCAGCACCAGCTACAACCCATGATATTCCACGTATGTAACCAAATATGTAGTATCAAGAGTACGGGATCGATTGATATATGGACAGAAGAAAGGAAGAAAAACAAAACAATAAAAAACCAAAAAAAAAAAAAAAGAAAAGAAAAGAAAAACCTCAATACATGAGTGTCATACCTTTTGCTGCTTACATTCATTACAAGCCTTCCGACTCCCCCCCCGGCGCTTTCTCGCGACAGGCGGGGCCTTCTCCATCTTGCAAGGTTCGGAATTCCTAGAGGACTGATCGTACGCCGTCAATGGTCCGGGCATACTGGGGTGGTTCCGAGGGTCGCTAGATGCACCCGGGGGCGTTATCAGATTGACATGAGATGACAGGCCATTTGGTGCCAAAAGACTCCGATAGTCCAGATCCATCGGTGTTTTCGGCTCCTATTTAATCAGATCAAGATGGGCACCAACTACCGTGCGGGGCCGTTTAGAAACACATGCGGGACTTGGGGACGTGACGCAGAGCAGTGAACCAGCAAGACCAGCGAATTCCAGGGTGAGATGTGCCGGAAATCGGCGGAAAACGTGTGGATTTCACGATGTTTTTGGATTTGATGCGCGAAACTCGGGGGAACACGTGCTGCTGAGTAAGTGCTGAGTCAGGGTTTAGTCAGCCTGAATAGTGGATGACTGGACAGTGTATAGCAGTGCATAAGAATGGCATAGATTGGGGCGGCAGAATGACGGCAGCCCGCTCACCGCCCACCTATCGGGCCCAGAGGAGATGCGGTGGTTGGATCTCCCCTGATCGCATAACACCATCTGCTCCATAATAGGCTGCAGCCATTCTGATTGCCTTGACTTGATCATTGTCTGTCGGACACTCTCGAATTCCATCAATTGCTCCCATACTTACTATTTGACTGTTTCACTATCCCCCTCTGATCAATCTCCATGGCCGATGTTGCCTTGCCTGATAGTGCCGCTCCGGCCAACTCCTCCCCTCATGAACCCGATGCGCCCCCACTAAGTGCTGTCTCTGGTGGTCCGGCAGGAGGGACTGAACCTCCATCGGATCCGTTGTCTATCTCGGATGAGCTGAAGGCTCGTTTGGATAAAGTGATCTACTCGGATGTACGTGGCTCTCCCCCAAAGTGGGGAAAACGTCATACCCCTATCGATAGGGTACAGCTGACAGAGGACGATCGCATTGGATAGATTGGTGTCACGACTCTTTTGAACCGTTTGAAACAAAGTCTCGCATCTGCTAGGGTTCGTTTGTTCTTCTTCTCTCCCCTCCACTTGTTACGTTTCAGGAGTACGGTAGTGACTAACGGGATATCGTCCCAGGACTTCTCCACCTTTCTGAAGAAGCGCTCCAGCTTGGAAGAAGAGCATGCCCAAGGCTTGAGGAAGCTGTCTCGTTCGCTTCAAGATGCCTCTCTCCGCTCCGAAAACCGCCAGGGTACCTACAGCCAGAGCTATAACGGATTGAACCGCTTCCACGATCGCATGGCCGACCATGGACTCCAGTTTTCCGTGTCGTTGCAGCAGATGGCCGACGACCTGCATGAGCTGGCCGCGAACATCGAGAAGGGCCGGAAACAGTGGAAGGCCACGGGTCTGACGGCAGAGAAACGGGTGCTGGAAGCCGAGACGGCGGCGGAGAAGGCCAAGTCCAAGTATGAATCGCTGGCGGAGCAGTACGACCGCGTGAAGACGGGCGACAAGCAGGGGGGCAAGTTTGGTCTCAAGGGCCCCAAGTCGGCGGCTCAGCATGAGGAGGAGTTGCTGCGCAAGGTGCAGAACGCCGACTCGGACTACGCCGCCAAGGTCCAGGCCGCCCAGACGGCGCGGAAGGAGTTGATTGCGACCCACCGCCCCCAGGCAGTGCAGAACATCCAGCAATTAATATCTGAGTGTGACTCGGGGCTGGCCTTGCAGCTCCAGAAGTTTGGTATGTACGGTTCTCGACGATCTCTTGACGCTGGACTGACCTGGATGTATAGCCACGTTCAACGAGAAGTTGCTCCTGGGCCAAGGTATGACCATCAGCCCGTTGAAGGACGGTGTGGGAACGGCCGCTATTGGGCCTAAGAGCCTCTACGAGGTGGTCTTCCAAATCGACAACCAGAAAGACTATCACGAATATATCCTAAGCCACGCAAATAACCCCGGCGCTGTGACGTCGGAACAGATCAAATACGAGCGGCATCCGGTGAGTCTCTCCTGTCCAGCTCTCTAGGTCACCGCCTAATCCTGTCCTCAGACACTTGCAGGGACGTCGTCGGGCCCTCCTGCGCCAATGTCACAGACCAGCACGCAGCACAAGCGCCAATCGACCATGCTCCCTTCGACATTCTCGCAGCCGAACCTCACTTCTACGCAAGCACCTACGCAAGCGCCAGCGCCGGCGCCGGCGCCGGCACCAGCCTCAAACACCCCGCAGCTCCCGTACCCGCATAACCCCGATTCATTCGGATCAGCTCCCTTCCAGCAGCCCACCTACGCCCAGGGACCCCCGCCGCCAGAGAAGGTGCTGACCGTGGTCGGTGGCCTACCATCACCTGTAAACAATGTGCAGCAGCAGCACCTCCCGCCGCTGAAGCCCGTGTTTGGCGTCTCACTGGAGGAGCTATACGAGAGAGACGGGACCGCTGTCCCCATGATCGTGTACCAATGCTTCCAGGCCATCGAGCTGTTTGGACTGGACATGGAAGGAATCTATCGACTGTCGGGCAGTGCGACCCAAATCGCGCAGCTGAAGTCCCTCTTCGACAATGGTGAGTTGCCTCTTCCCTCTTCCTAATTAGCTATCGGCTCTCTGACTGGAAGCGACAGATTCCTCCCAAGTGGATTTCACGAACCCCGAGAACTTCCACCACGACGTGAACAGTGTGGCCGGCCTCCTCAAGCAGTTCTTCAGGGACTTGCCGGATCCGCTATTCACCGCCCAGTCATATACCGAATTTGTCAACGCAGCTCGTACGTATCAAACCGCAAGTCTCGTTGAAACTAAACGCTGACACGGAATCTCAGGCCTTGACGATGACACCCAACGTCGCGACACCATCCACGCGCTGGTGAACAACCTGCCAGACGCTCATTACGCCACCCTGAGGGCCCTCGTCCTGGTACACCCCTAGCCCCTCTACACACCCGTAAAAACCAAACTAACCACCACCCAGCACCTCAACAAAATCCAAGAGCACTACACGCAAAACCGCATGAACGCGGGCAACATCGCCATCTGCTTCGGGTAAGCCCTCCCCCTCTCATATCCCACATCCCATCAACGGTCACAAATCTAACGCGATAAACAGACCAACCCTCATGGGCGCCAGCTCCCACGGCAACATCGCAGACGCAGGATGGCAAGTGCGCGTCATCGAGACCGTCCTCGTCAATACCTTCCAGATCTTCGACGACGACTGATTGATTCGATTCGTAATGAATGAATGCTAGCTACTATTTGTAACTTGGAATATGCGTGTCTTTTTATCTCCTCCGCTTGCTATATCTTTTTTCCCTGTTTATCTATTTCCCCTTGTGTTCTTTAAGTTGGCTATCTATGACGTTCTCAGATTCCGTCGTCTGGGTTGTTCATCACTTGTTTATTACCTGCTACTTATACCTGCTACCGATACCTATACCTACTACCTACTTCTTACTTACTATCACATACTTGTTACTACCTACCTATTTCATACTACACATATACCCTCCACACATCTGGATCATTATGAAAATTCCACTCCCAACTAAACCTTACTGCAACTAGCGCCAGTCCCCCATGTGATGAATCCATCCACTTATCTATCCATCACCCTCCCTCCCTCTACTGACGAGACAAGAAGAGAGAGGAAGTGAGAGAGTGGGACGAGAGAGACAAGATACCATTGAATTAATTTTTATGAACGTTTTGTCCGGTTTCTTCTGGTATATCTTTCTCTTCTTTCTATGTATGATTTGATAGGGTCGAACTTCTTTACTAAATATCAACCTTGCTATTTCTTTCTTCTTTTCTTTTCTTTCTTTTATTTGTTGATGTTGTATATTGTGAGTTGTATGGTTGTAGGGGTGTTATGTTAAGAGGTTCGATTTATTCAAACTGGGAGATGATAGATGGCGGTCCGGGTTTGATGAAACCTTGAGAAATGGTTACTAGTCAACTACGATACTACACGAACAATGTCATAAGGTTAAACGGTAAACGAGTACGTAAATCATAGATGTTTCATTCGAAGCGACAGTACTGATCCAGTCTCTCAGAACTAATACACTGAACTTAACAAAGAACAGGGTAATATCAAAGATCGACGAGTAGCAACCTTCTGACCGTGCCGGTACGTTCCTCCGGCTTCCGCAAAGCATTAAGTCACACCGAAGACACGACGAAAAAAGAAGAAACCAGGTCCGAAACAAAAGCGTAACAAAAAGAAACACATCTATGCCGATAGTGGGTATCTACCAACGCCTCGTTCCGTCATATTCCCATGTTGAATAGCAGTCGAGTCAGGACAAGGCCCACTCTCCCCTCAATCACCCATGGGTGATCGAAGGGGATCTAACAAGTAAAGATCAAAGACTCGTGCATCGTTCGACAGAAGGCCCAAGTCCGGTATACCGAGCACAGAATGGGTAAAGAAAGATAGAAGACAAGAGACGGAGTGCCACGGTCGTCTACGCAGTGATTGCGAGAACAACCGCGGACGGATGGCACACCATGCCCTCTACTCATCCATTCCGGGGGTACCGTAGACTTGGGGGGATGGGACCGGAACGGGGCGTGGTGACACGCTTAGAATCCATGGACCTTGATGGTCTTGGCATCAAGCTCAAGACCTTCCTTCTTATCGGTCAAAAACTCCTGAACATCCTTGCGCTGGTCTCCCTGCAGCTGAATCACCTCGCCCATCTCGGTATCGTTGACGATGGTGCCATTGCAAGCTGAGCGACGTTAGTGAAGCTCGACGGCGACAATCGGGGGTAGAAGATAACATACCGAATTTCTTCTTGATCACCTTCAAAATCTTCTTCTGGTCAAACTTCTTGGGAAGACCCTGGACGGTGGTCAAGGTCTTACGACCATTGCGCTCTGTAAGCGGGAAGTCAGTCATACGTCGTCATTCGTCATCGTGAGACAGTGCCAAGGCGGCAGTCTGGCACAACCGAACAAAAAGACCACAATAAAATAGAAGAGACATACGCTGAATCCGTATATGGATGTAATTTTGAGACTGTTTAGTCTCGCCGGTGTCTTCGTCAGCTTCGGCGAAGGGGTCTGCAGACGGGCACGTGTTAGCAGCCTGAGGCATACAAGAAACTGGCTGGAATCTACCCCGCCGACACCGTCGATCCAGGAGCCACGCGGATCTCACGCGAGCATCTGCACGCCGATCCAGACCGACCAGAGGGGGATGTAGTCCAACTGGCATCCCCGACGGACTAGTCTGGACAAGGCAGGCGATGGAGAGTGGATGTGAAGGGGCAGACAGCCAACGAAGGGAGGGTGGCGACTGTGGACTTACCGAAGGACTTGAGGTTTTCGATGGACATAAACTCGGCCTTTTGCGATAAACGGCTCTTAAAAGCTGTAGGTAGAAGGGAACGGTGGAAGAGAATTAAAATCTCTTAAAACGAAGCGATCGTAGGAGTTGGTGGGGTGAGGGGGGAGTGTGGAAAAGTGGTGAGAGATGGATGGAGAACGAGGATCAGGGAGAATCGGGAAGAGAAGGTGGGAGAAGGGAATAAGAAGAGCCTTTTGAGGGGCTGTGGGGGAAGGCGGTGTGTGGCGGGTCCTGACTCAGCCGGGCTCGTATCTTCCATTTTGCTTCTTCTTTACCTTCAATGATACATCCTCTAACATTGGTTCTGTTTGACGCTCTGGTTGCTTTACTCTTTCTTTTCTCTTTCTTCTCTTTATTACCTATTCACTACTTCAATATCTCCTGACAATATCCTGGTTGATTCCCTGGTTGATAGAGTGGCAAACCCCCTTGAGACCCATCTGACATGCATCTCAACATGCGTTTCTGCCCTTTCCCCTTCCAGTAAAGACCGGGCGCGGTCTTTGGGTTGCGCCCAACGCGCACGTCGCACAGTTCGATCAGGTAGGAATCGGTAGGGATCTATCTCCTATCATGGTCGTGGTGATAGGGATTACCCTTTTCTCTCTCCTGTGGAGCATGGATGGCGTGGCGATCTCGATTGGGAACGGGCACGTGATCTTACCATTGGGTGCATGACGATACGACTGACGACTCCGTACGGATGGGGCAGTAGGGTTGAGAGGTTGAAATTATTATATTACTAGTACAATGCCACTCGGATATGATGGCCTGAGTGAGATTGAGTCTCCTGAAGAAACCGGGGCGTGCTATTAAATCCACCTCGTGTCCTCTTTCCCAACCGCACCCCGCAAACCGGTCGCAAGCGCTGTCGGCAGCCCGGATGTGAAGGATGTTCACACCCTTCACATCGGCAGGTTTTTTTATGTTTGTTTCGATGGGTATCATAGAATCGGGAATTCCGGCATCTAGGGGGAAGGAGTCGGGGTGGTAGCGGCACCCCCGCCGGCGGGCGTCGGAGGCATGAAGATGGGGAAGTATGTCTGTAGCATGAAGCCATGTAAGCCAACACGCCTCACAGGACAACAACACCAAAACAGCACCAAACCACGGGAGTGAAAGACGGAAAAGCAGTAGAAAAAGGGAAAAAAGCAACAACATACCACAACCAGTGCCATCACTTCAATCGGTCCCTTGAGGTTAGCGGGCAAGATCCATGCAACTGCGGACGTGGACAGCAAAGGGATGACGAACAAGACATTCCAACCGACATGTAGCCCGGTGTGCTCGCAGTTTCCTTCTGGTCCGGCGTCTCTCCGAGCCAGGATTGGAGGGCGAAAACGAACGAGACCCTAGGTGATGATGTTAGTTGAGGGGTGGGATAGACGGGCGTAACAACACCGGTCGACTCACCATCCAATCATCCTGTACGCGCACACCAGTCAGATACCAATGAATCCAGTGTATTCCGTATATGCGATCGCGCCTCACCTGTTCCGGGTAAACATCTAGCGACAATATTAGCGGTCATGGACGGAGATGGTGAAGGCGCTGGTGAACCTACCGCCGCCATGGGCAAGGTGCTGGACATGGTGCCTGTATGCCATGGTATTAACCACCCATCCTTCTCCAAGTATCTCCCGGCAGATCAACCACTGCGGGGTACAGAGGAAGAGAGAGAGAGGTACCAGTCATGTCGGTTTCATCTTTGGTCTTCGGCGGATCGATGTAGGGGATGGCTAGAATTCCAATGCGATGAGCATGAGCGACCGAGTGTTTCCAACGACAACAGCCACCCAGAGCCAGTCTGGGATGGCACCAGCGACGTACCCAGATCCAGCCTCCGCATATCCTTTTTCGCAGCCATTGTCGGGAGTTGAGGGTGAAATTGTTATTGTGCTTGAATTGGCGCAGTCGGATTGGGGGAAGATGGAACTGGCCACTCCGGCGAGGTTGTCGGTGCCAAGACTGGCTGCGGCAATCTCGCCGGGGAAGCGATGCCAGTTGGCGGTGGATTACAGTCGTCTGTCTTACTCTGAGTGAACTACGGACACCATCATTACTATAACCATTGGTCGGGAATTCTAACTATTTTCTCAGGTCGTTATTCTAAACAACGTCGGTTGGAATTGAGCTCCACGGAATCCATGGGAGGGTTAGGTAGGTCAAGATAATTGGCTAACTGGTTTCGGCCGGATTGCGACACGCAAGACAAAGAGTCCAAGAGCCATCATTCCATGGATTCTCGGTTGTGTTGAGTAACTCTGGGGTAACTCTATATCCTCTGGAATCCACTGATAGTACCGGAGGCGAATCATCCGTCAATCATGAACGAATATGATTAGCTATCATGATCCCTTATCATGAGGATTTGTTTGAATGAACCATGTAAGTGTGACATGCTGATATGTACTCCGTATAGGCCGAGGGTAAGTCGCCCCTATCAGTCAGTCCATCTGTCGGTCAGGATCAGCCGCAGCAAACCGTTCCGCTTACTCCATACCACTCTCAACGGATGGATCAATCTTGCTTTTTGTCAGACCTGGAATGATTGACAGAGGCAAATTGGTGACCTGACCCCGTACTCTGCAGACGATAAGAAACGAAGAATACCTTTACCTAACCGCATCTATTCGGGTCGACATCGACCGACTACTAGTGGCGGAGTCAATGTCATAGTGTGTAAATATAGGACAACCTGACCCCCTAGACCCCAGAAAACACGGATCCCCGGTGATTCGGCCCCGGCCGCGGTCATCCTTGGTGATACGGAGGATCAACCAAGCGAACGGATAGCTGCGTCGTCTTGATGTCTTGGTTTGCATCTGATGTGCTTGTGTCCCGAGGGCAGGCGAAGTTTGCGTTGATAGGGTTGCACGGCAGTTGCATCTGCTGGTGCATAGCTTTCCTTTTTTTTTCTTCTTCTTCTTCTTCTTCTTCTTCTCTTTCTCTTTCTCTCTCTTTCTCTATGGGGAAGTTTTATGGGGAGGGCTTCAACGCCAATGTGTTACAACGGGGAAGTATGGGTCGATAACATGTTCCTCCACCCATGGTACATGTTGGAGAAGACCTCGGACCTGAAATCCGGACGTGAGAAAATGAAATCAATAAAACCACGAAAGAAACTTTAGAATGAGGAGAGATGGCGCAATGTCAATCCATGTTTGGTGGTTGTATTGCGGAGATGATCCACGTATATCATGCCACCGACTGGACCAAAACAGAACCCCTTATCGAATGGAAGGAAAACTCTGTTGAACGATACAGTATCATCCATAATACGTAGGAATTTCATCAGCATTCTGGCAGCTGATTGGCATGCTCATCATCTGATGCCAAGATGGATTGTTGTGGATTGATTTGCCGGATAACCCGATGCTGGCCCAGGCATCAACCCTAGGTGGACGCTATCAATCGGACTACAGACGGGGAGTCTTCCGTTGGGCCACTTCTGGTGGATCATTTCGTGATAGATAAATCAACAATTCAAATCAGATCTCCGCCCGACTCATCCATGATGTATGAAGCAAACATGACTCGTAAGAGAAACAGTTGATATTGACTGATGAGGTGGACAAAGTGGAGTGGATGAAGAAGCCGTCTGATAGTTACGTGGTGAGAGGTTTCCGGTATCGTTACATGTACTATCCTGTATTGTGGTGTATTAGAACGGGCCGATGTTTCAATTGTATAGGGAGTGTGCTTCATCAGTCAGATTATAAGAGAAAGGGGTGGTGTCATGACCGGTAATCGGTACCGCCATCTCCGAGACTCCACCGTAATTGCGGTCACAATACGTTATCTGGAGATCTCAGAGGGAACTCCAGTCCACGACGGAGTACTTCCAGCTCTCTCTCTCTCTCTCTCTCTCTCCAGAGTTTATCTGGACTGGATCCTTTTTCCTCGGATTTGTCTTTTCCTCTTTCTCTTCTCTTCTCTCTTTTTAGGATCTCTGTCGTGTCCTTTCCATTCATCTGCCAATTCTGCGACTCTTTTCTTGACAAAATTGGACCTGGTTCAGCTCTGGTCCTCTCTCTACCGGTCTCTCTACCTCTACGGTTGCCCGACCTCGCCCCGAGAGACGCCCTCTGTCTCCCGTTCCCGCGACGGTGTTATTCCGCCTCGCTCCTCTCCCCTCCCCCCTTCTTCAGAGACCCCATTATCGAATACCGTCGTTGCAAGTCGCCTTGGATTTTTACACCCTCGTCGCCCGGTGGTTGATATAAACAGTCTCGTCGCATTTGAAGTGTGCTTTGACCTTTTTTTCTTACTTTTTCTTTTCTTTTTCCCTTCGTCCGCATCCCGTCCGGATGGGCTATCGACCGCGTTAATCGCCCCCCGTGAATCGCTTCGTTCACTGTTCAACTCTTTCCGATGACCATCATTTCGACTGTGGGCTACACCATGAGACGGAGATGATCCCCCATCCCACTGCCGGCGTCCCCTCGTGGGGTCCTCCCCCCCGTGCCTATAACCCCAGCGGCGCCAGACGTCCACCCGATCTCTCTCACCCCCAGTCGGAGATGTCCACGTCCATGCCACAGCCGCTCCCCAGGCAGCCGGCAGTGATCGATCTCACCGCAAATGTCGGGGATACACAGGAGAGAGAACCGCCGGCGAAACGGCCGAGGCTGGACCTGCCCGTCGCCGCCTCCTCCGTGGGCGACCGGAGCCCGTTCCCGGGGAGTGCTGGAGAGGCAAGGATCACCCCGGGCGTGGGGAGCGCCAAACCGCCGTCCTTCGCCTTGCGGGGGCGGCCGGTGTGGTCCTTCCAGGCCTTGGTGTCCGAAGCTCCCGGTGCGGGTGATGCCCGGGAGGGTGATGCGGCGGCCGTCGCACAACGCGGGAAACGTGCAGAGCCCCCCCCGTTTCCTGTGCTGCCGTGGCAAGGTCCCCCTCCATCTTCGCTGGAGTCTGCTGGCGCGAAATCGCGAGACAGCTCCCCGTCAACGGTGGTGCAGACAACCCCTTATCACATCGAAGTTCCGCCCAGTGCGCCGGTGCTCAAAGGGGACCGTGAGTATTCCCTTTCAGACCCAAAGGATAGGAAATGAGCTCTTCTGACAGACGGTAATCGCGCAGGAATCGCGGACTTTTCGCCTTGGACCGGAAACCACCCGGAAGACGTCCTGAACGAGCAGACGGCGAAACAAGGCCACTATGATCGGACGCAAGTGTCCCAGAACGAGTCCAACACCGCTCGGCCCTCCCTCTACGCGCAATTGAAACACCGCTCGGGCTTGCATATGCTCTCTGCCGTCTTTACGGCCGCGCTGGAGAAGCGTCAAAACCACAACACCGTCGCGAACCCCTCCACCTTCAAACCACCACCCCGCGTCACCCTCACGGATAATAAGCGCGAAGTCTGGCTGCGCGACCTGGCTAATTCATCGGTCCCGTTGCGCCGGTTGAGCCGGACCATCCCTCACGGGATCCGGGGCAAGGTGCTCCTGGACCAGTGTTTGAGCAAATGGATCCCTGTCAGCCGCGCCGTGTGGCTGGCCAAGTGTGTCGGTGCCAACGAAATCCGTGCGTTCAAGAGAAAGGGGACGAGTGGAACGTTGGCGGTCGGGTTGGAGGCCAAATGGGTTCGTGACTGGACCGCAACCGTCCAACAGTTCCTGGAGGGCGTGGTCGCTGCCTGTGGATCTGCGGATTGGAGGAGGAAGATGACATATGCGTATGTTCCCCACGCGGATGGTGGTGTGGTCGCTGAGGGAATACAACGAACTAACTCTTCACAGTGTCAGCTTGACTGCGCGCCTGTTCTTTGAGCGACTGCTTGACCATGACCAGTATCTCGGGTGGTTCTTGACGTCCTTGGAGGTTGCGCCCCTGAATACCGTCCCTGCTTGGCTTTTGATGCTTGGTATTTACTGGGACAGTATCCTACGGTATAGGAAGCGTGCACGACGATTGACCGAGTCGCTACTGGCAAAGCTGCATCCGGTATGGCCGACCGCACCTCAATTGACCCCCACTATGTCTGATTCGATGTGATAGATCTCCGAGCTCGACCGCACGGCTCCTCTCCGACCCCTGGCCGATCGCCTGTCTTTCTTCGTCAAGCGACTCATCCTCGAACATACCTCCTCTGTCGTACTGCTGGACTCCTGGGACAAGTATAAGGACCTCATCTCATCTTGTTTGGATTTCAACGACAATGTCCACAAAGCAGTATTCCAGACTCTCGCCGAACGCAACCTGCGTATACAGTCGCCCAAGAGCCAACACGGGCTGGGGCAGCAATCGTCTCAGCAGCGTTTGATACATCTCTTGGATTCCATCAACGCTACCCATGATATCTCGGCGACCTCCGCCGCGTGCTTGGATGCCATTGACGATAGAGGCGTCGTGGTTTCGAAGCTTCTCGAGTGGACCGCTACCTCGTTCCGCTACGGTATCTGCCGTGTCTACACCGCTGTTCGTCTCTTGCGGAAATGGAAAGCGTCCGGAGTCGATATCGACTCGCACATCTTAGACTTTCTCAACGGCGACCGAGACTCTGACTCGTTAAACATGGGCAACATCTACCACGTCATTTCGGAGCTCGTCAGGTCCCAGACTTTCTCGGTGGGGCGGTATCTGCAATGGTTGATGGCCAAAGGTGTTGCAGCAGATCATTCAGAGCCCGGCCAGCCCCAGCAGTCGGAAGCGCTCGGACTCTTGCTGCAGCTTCCTACGGGCCGGCTCCCAGAGCATGTCCGCAACCTCCGCAACACGCTCTTGACACGGGCTGGGATTTCGGCATCCCAAGAGGAATCGACAATCGCCAGTCTGAAGGCATCCGTCGCCGAACAGCTCCCCGACGTTTTCGAAGCTCAAATGCTGGGTGTCACAATGGCCGACATGTCACCAAACGATCTGACGTGGGCGGTCAAGTCCGAAATTGGTCAGTGGATGCGACGAGGTGTGACTGGGTACGCCCGTGAGAGCCATCGGAAAATTCCCGGGGCTTCTTGGGCCTCGGAGGCTCGAGTTTGCGCCCTAAATCCCGACCAGTTTTATCGTGTGCGGAGCATCCTGGAGAGCTTTGAAGATCTTTCGATGCTTGCAGACGTGCTGAAGCAGGCTAGCAACTCCGAGGATAGTGTGGTTCTGGCCTCTGCTGCCGACACCGTCAGCTATCATTTCAGTTCCTTGAGCGCAATTGGTGCGGTGGCAGACCTTTTCAAAGGCCTGGTCGAATCATACTCCTGCTTGAAGCGACTTGGACCGCCGAATCTGGATCTGGTATTTTCGCTCATTGAGCTGGGCCTCCAGATGCCCCACGAGCATAACACCGTTGCCCTCCTCCGGCAAGATCTCTGTCGGATAGAAAACCGGTCGGCATTGACGGCGCCGTCGCCCCTCTCGGACCACGCCCCCTTGGCTTTCAACCCAATGGACTCCGCTCTCCAGGAGAAGCTCGACCAGCTTCTTGGACCCAACGGCGGTATTGACGAATCCACGATGGACACCATCTTCAGCTCACTCACGAAGATCCTCGGGTCCGTCGATGGACAACCCAGGCTGTCGGCGAATGACGCCTGCCGATATCTCGCGCAGTTGAGGCTATTCCGCCCCAAGCACTTTGACGGCATGCTCGTGCGCTGGATCTGCTCGCTCTTGAGGTCACCCACACGGCCCGCACTCTCCCAGATCCTACCACCTCTGATCGGCGTGGGATGTGTCACTATCCAGGCCTTTGTGTTTTTGGTGAAACGGATCTTGCAGTCCGAAAAGGTCGCCACGGCGTTCCCCAACCTTGCGGATTTGAGGATCGATCTTCTTGAGCTCCTCATCCCGTCCGATTCGTTCGAACCAAACAGCCATCCGGATCTAGTCACGTACCGCTTCCACCTGGCACAGCGAGAGTTTATTGCCAAGCACCCCCGGGAAACTTTCGATATCGTTCGCGATGCCATTTCCCTGATCAACTCTCACCATGGCCAAGTTAACCCCCGACGAGCGGACCTTACCAGCTGCGCGATGAGCCTAGTTCACATCCTCCTTACCCAGGACCCTGAACGGGCTGTGAAATACTGCATGGAGAAGTTTGTCGACCATCCGTCCTCCACGGGCGTACTGCAACAGGCTCTTGATCATCTTCTGGGGTTCGATTCTGAACCTGACCGACCGGCCGAGAAGGTCGTCGAGATGAATGACGACTTCTCTCTGCCGTTTTGCCAGCTGAAGCTCCAGATGATGTTCAACGCGGAGCCGGGCAACAGTGCGAACAATGGCATCGTCGATTCCATGTTCAGTGCAGCCGTGGCGGACTCTCGTGCGAACCGCTCTCACTGGGTTGGTCTCGTTAGTCTGATGAGTCTCGATGCCGTGCGGCAGATCCGTGAACGCGCCGAAAAGGCTTTCTTCGCTATCCCCATGTTCGAGGAGCCTGCTCATGACTCTACAACGGATCGAACGAGTTCACCAGACATCGCCAAACTCTATCTTACCATTATCGAGAAGCTGGCCTTCAGTGTTCCTGAGACCGGGGTACCGTTTGTCGCTCCTATTATCGTGGAGAAGATGGACCTTCTGCTCCATCGGCTCGTCGTCATGCAGAATAACTTCCTCAGTAGCGCCGCCAACAAGCAGGGCAGCGCTTCCGAGCAGATGGCTCGCGCCCGAGCTAATTTTGAGCGGACCCTCGCCTTCTGGTTCTCTGCCTTGCTGAAGATCGTGGTCATCCATCGGAATTCCTTCGTGCCGTCTTCCCTGACTGCGCGGCCCACCATCATCCAGGAGCAGTCTCGCCTCTTGATCTCCATCTTCTGCATCTCGCTTGCACGTCTGCCTGACAACGTGCTGCGTCTTTTCCCCGCCGCCGACTACTTCCCCCACCCCGTCTTGTCGGAAAAGGACCGCCCATGCCCTGGGATCCTGCTGCAGACGCACGCGCTGGACGTCGCAGCGTCCCTAATCGACATGTTCCCAGACGAGGCGCGGCAGGGCTGCGCACGCTTCCTCAAGGAAAAATGCCCGCCATTTATCCAGGTCCAAGCCAATCCCCGGGTCCCGTATCTCCTCGGGCCGGTCCCGGACGTCGCTGCGAACGCCCCTCAACCGGCGTCCCTCTCGTCGCCGTCGCCTGTAGCCAGTGGGTCAACGCCTACCCCAATCCCCTCAAACAGCTTTACCCCCGGCCCAGCGGCGCCGCAACACCAGATCCCGGCGGCGAGTATACCGCCTGGCCTATCGGAAGGCGCCAACTACATTGCCGGACAGCTTCGCCTGCAGTACCGCGGCCGGGTGGTGGGCCCCTATCCAGTCCGTCCGTGGGAACTCCTCGAAGACGCAGCTCCTATCGTCGGGGTGAATGATACGGCGATTAACCTGAAACATTTCGATGCCCGCCGAGTCCGGGCTTGAACATGCTCTTGTCCCATGGACACTTCTAATACTTATGAGATTTTGATTGGAACGTACATAGCCTTGATCCTTATTTTCTCCTGTTTTCTTTTTTTTTTTTTTTTTTTCCCTTTGTTGCTTACCTTTTTGTTAATTCCCTTGCGCCTCGCATTATTCGTCGGTTGATACCAGCTTCATTTGCATATACATTTGTTGGAGATGGTTTGGTTTCAGAATCCTGCATCGGTTGTCTTCTAGGCTTGGGAATACCTCTCCACTTGCGTGTCTGGTTTTTACATTTCACATTTGCTTTTTTCTGACAAGTCGTGTACCGGTTGGGATATTTATGGCTGTTTGTCAAGGGTCCCGGCCATGACCGTGAGGATTGTACATATTAGAAGGCGTTTATACTTTACTTAGTATTGGGACTCGTATAGTCTGCCATGCGTGGTGTCGCATGGTTAACATGATGATTATGATTGAGATAGCGATTATAGTAGGGTCGGCGTGTTGTTATTCGATTAGCTAGAGAAATGTCTACCATTGAATTCATCTGATCAATTGATTTACCACTGTTAATGTATGTATATGGATAGGTATGGTATATGGAGATGGCACGTGCGGGCGGTGAGAGGCAGGAAGTGAATTTGCTTCGACGTCATTCCGATTTCGCCATTTTCTCTCTTCTCCAGGGGTTCACTTTTCTTTACTTTCAGACCATTGCTTTTAATCAGATTGTTGAAACAGTCATTTACAATGTTCCCCACAGCGAGATGCCTCGCCGCTAAACCCTCGGGTTTCATCAAGCGTAGCGCAGACGAGCTCAGCCGGCTGTCGAAGATCGGTCCGTCCCAATAAACCCTCAATTATCGAAATAGATACATGATAGATATCTATCTATCTACCTAGAAATCGAGAAACTAACACAGTCGGTACAGCATGGAACTCCGAAGCCCTCCACACCCCCACAAAACCCTACGTCTTCCTCGACTTCGAGGATGAATCCACCGTCGCAGGCTGCAAGACCATGGCGGACCGCGTCGTCGGCGGCTTCAGCACCGCCAATTTGGACTACGAGCCCGCGGACCCGGCGTCGCATTCGCCGGCCCATGCGCGCTTCCACGGGAGTATTTCGACGCGGTTGCCTAATAACTGGAGAGTTGAGCGGACGGGTATGTCCAACCAAGCTCTTTCTTATATCTTCGCGACGGAAAGAAAGAAACAAACACTAACGTGTCGATGGAACCAGGCTACGCAGCCTTCCGCAACAGAGACCGCGGCATGTGGCTCTTCGGCCGTCTATACTGGGACATCGACCCCTACACGTATCTCGCGCTACGCATCAAATCCGACGGCCGGCGCTACACGGTCAACATCCAGACGGACTCGATCGTCGAGACGGATATCCACCAGCACCGTCTATACACGCGACATCACCGCGTCCAGGACGCTGAATTCTCCTCCTCCGCTTCTTCCTCCCCCTCATCTTCATCCACCCTCGACGACCCCTCCCTCGCCGAGTCGCTCTACCCACAAGGCATCCCCGCCGCCCTATCCGACGTGCCGCCCGAGGAAACCGTTTTCGCCTCCTCCCCTACCAGTACGACCGCCTCCGACTCCGGGTGGGAAACCGTCCTCCTCCCGTTCAACTCCTTCGTCCGCACAAACCACGGCTATGTCACCGAGCCGCAGACGTCTCTGCTCCGCCAGCGCGTCAAAAGTATCGGTATCGGCTTGACGGACCGTATCGACGGTCCGTACGACCTGCGCATCCATCGGATCTGGGCCACGAACGGGATGAGCGAGTCTGAGATCGAAGAGGAGAGACGCATCTGTGGTGAGAATGCCTTGCATGTCGATGAGGGCGTACGGACGGGCTGGACGGGCGATACCGTTGGTCAGGAGGTTGCTCCTTCTGCTGATGCTAGTGCTGGTGCTGGTGGTGCTGGTGCGCGTGGTGAACCGAAAGCGAAGAAGGGTTTGAAGGGGCTGAAGGATGAGTGGGAGGAGTAATCATTGCTCTTTCTTTCGTTTCTGGTCTTGTCTTTAAAAAAGGATTAGGATGTGTTTCGTAGATTGGTCGGTTTCGATACCATTTTTGCATTCTCTGTATAAAATCTAAATACTACAGTATCTGAAGAATATAATGCGTAACTAGTGTCAAATCTTATCTGTCAATAAAGTATATAAAAACAAGTCCTACCACCCCACCCATAAATCCCTACACCCCATAGGTAAATATCATTTAAAAAAAGGAAGAGTGATCAAACACCCCCCGTAATCCTCTCCCAAGCCTCCTTATACTTCTCACTCGTCCTCAACGCAATCTCCTCACTCATCCTGACACCCTCCTTCCCCTTCAACCCCTCCCTCACCAACCAATCGCGCAAAAACTGCTTATCGAAGCTCTGCTGCCCGCGCCCGACGGCGTACGAATCCTTCGGCCAGAAGCGCGACGAGTCAGGCGTGAGGACCTCGTCGGCCAGCACGACCTCATTGGTGGCTTCGTCGAGGCCGAACTCGAATTTCGTGTCGGCGATGATGACGCCGCGGGTGAGCGCGTATTCGTGCGCCGCTTTGTAGAGTTTGAGTGCGAGGGCGGCGACGGTGGAGGCGTGGGGTTCGCCGAGGATTTTGATGGCTTTTTATTATGAGTGTGGTTAGTATGAGTCATACTTTGTGACATTTACATTGTAGGCAAATGAAAGGGAAGAAAGGGAAGAAAGGGAAGAAAGGGAAGAAAGGGAAGAAAGGGAAGAAAGGGAAGAAAGGGAAGAAAGGGAAGAAAGGGAAGAAAGGGAAAAGGGAAAGGGGAAATACCCTGATCAGGATGAATATTCTCATCATGCTCGCCCTGCTCCGCCTTCGTGCTAGGCGTATAAATCGGCCCATCAGGGAACGCCTGACTCTCCTGCAACCCCGGCGCAACCGGAATCCCATGGACAGTCCCGGACTTCTTGTACTCGTTCCATGCGGAACCGGTGATGTACCCGCGCACGATCGCCTCAATGGGCAGGATCTTGAGCTTGCGCACCTGCATGCTGCGGTTCTGGAGGACGGGGCGCAGCGACGCGGGGATTTGCGGGGGGAGGTCGAGCGTTAGGAAGTGCGTGCGGAGCCCGGGGATGGCGTCGGTGAGGATCTTGAACCATGTTTTGGTGCACAGCGTGAGGAGGACGCCTTTGTTGGGGATGCCCTGCGTTTACCACCTTGTTAGTATTTTTGATTTTTGGCAGGAGAGGAGGGAGGAATTGGAAAGAGAGAAAGGAGGAGGTACATTCTCCATGATCACATCGTAGGCGGAGATGCGGTCCGTTGCGATGAAGAGGAGCGTCTTTTCGTCGACCTCGTACAGATCGCGGACCTTGCCGCGGGCCACGAGGGGCAATGCGCCCTGGAGGTCGGTGGTTGTATAAGCCTGGTCTGCCATTGTGAAGTGCTGTGTTTGGTGGGGAGAAGGAAGACGGATGAAGTCATTTCGGAGTCAACTTTTTTTGATGGCGGGGGAGTTGTGCCTCAGGCAGCATTCCCCTCCTGCGTCACGCCATGGTAGCCTGAGGAATCCACCCGAGCCCTAAGTAGCAGGAAATACCACTTCGGCTTATTACTGGATACCAGGTGTGAGGAATAGCTAAGTCCTAGTAGGTGATAATCCCAGAGCTTTAGTGTGTTCATATCATCTGCGATTTATAATATGGTGAGCTGAAGTTTGAGCGTGGTGACTGATCTGTATTCTGGAGATAGGCTTATATCATAAAATATACTTCGTAAATAACGTCTATAGGAAAGAAAACGATGTAAGCTATATTGAATCTCTGAATTAGGCCGTAGTCCGCATAGCTTCGCGACTCTGGATATATTCCTGTCTCTCCCGTGCCCAAACATCATCAACCACAGACAACGGACACGGTTTGTCCTGTCCCGGCAAGTAGACATCCGGATCAATCGTCCGCACCTTCGCCCCCGGAGGCAGACCCAGGCCCTTCGCCTTGGGGGCGCCCTCCGTCTCCAGCCGCTCGAGCTCCTTTATCCCATCCGCATCTGACGCACTGCGCAACAGCGCCCAGAACTCGTCGTCCGGACACCACAAGTCATTATCACTGACCTTCCCCTGTTCAACTAGATCGCGGATGATTTGACCCGTCCGTTTGTACATGTCGATATGCGAGGGATTGCACCACACGTTGCGGTCGCATTCCATGTACGCCCTGGCCAACCGCAGCGCGAGCGACACGTCAGGCAGCACCATCAACCGAGCAGGGCTATCCGCATCCGGAAAGGCAGCGAAGGCACCAAAGACACCCTGCGCCTCCGATAGCGACATCTTCCCATAGGCGACGGCGTCGCGCAGCGCGTAGTCCAACCTATCGGCACAGAGATGCGGCGCGGGCCTCTCAACAAGCGGGTAGAGATGCTCCTCGAGCGGTTTGAGGTCCGCGAAGCCGTGCCGCGCCAGGATCTCCGGTAGGGGTGTCATGGCGATGTACCGCGCTTTGTGCTCCTCGTGGTAGCTGTCTTCGTCTGGTTTGGACAGCGCCCAGTCCATGACATGGCTGAGGGCTGTGTGGCTGACGTCGTGGAGAAGCGCGGCGACTTGTTCCGCGACGCTGGCTCCGACTTTGCGGACGAGGAGGAAGGCTCCGACGGAGTGCTCGAAGCGCGAGACTCGCGGCCCGAGGTTGAATAGGGCTGTTATGCCACTTTGCCAGACTCCTGTTAGACGCTGGAGGGTTGGAGAGCGGAGGAGCTCGACGAGGATGGGCTCTGTGATGTGGTGGTCGCCGTAGATTTGGTCGTGGATGAGGACGGAGGACTCCGAGGGGAATTGCAGGGATTGGAAGTACCCCGCTTGTAAGGGTGCCATGCTGCAGTTTTGAGGGAGACACGCGCGAGGGACTTCGTCGGTTTTGCACATCTTGTTCTGGTCTATGTTTGAAGCGATACAATTCAGGTTGACGTTGGGAGAATGTTGAGCGCGTTATGTTACATCGACGAAAGAGGAAGACAACAAACAGGCAGCAGTGTCGGATACGACCCAAGACATGCCCTAGTGATGTCATAACTAAGCAGATCAATTTTATTATTTGACATATCATTCAAGATTAGATTCAATCGAGACGGATCATTCCATTCATTATTAAGTAAATTATAATATCTTTCCTCAGCAGTGGTCGGTAGTCTTGCACCATCCCACGCACGCGGCCACGATGATGGCAATGATAAGAACTAAAGCCGTTAGACCAATCCAGCTACTCAATCAAGACACAACGAGATGTGGGGAGAGACTTACTGACGATAAAAAGCGCCCACCACTTCCATTTGCGCGCGTTTCGCGCGCTGGTGATCCCCTTGTCCAGGTGATCGTTGGCCTTGAGCGTATCGTCCGCGACCTCCTTCGTCTTCTCTTCAATATTCTCCACCACGGGGTCCTGCAGATGGACCAGCTGCGCCACCTCCTGGGAGAGTGTGTTCAGCTCGATAAAGTCGCGCTCGATCTTGCGCAGGGCGGCGGATCGCTCTGCGATGCGATCCTGGGCGTCTCGCGCGGCGGTGCTGCGCATGCCTTGGATCTGCTATCGTCAGTACCTTACTAGAACCCGACGAGTCTGACACAGAGTCCTGTAAGTAGATACCTTGAAAGTCTGCTCCGTTCCCCCAAGCACATTCTGCACCCCCGACTCGACATCCTCCTCGGTCGCTGCCGGATGCGCAACATGGTACTGTCTGCGTACCTGCTCACGCAGTCGCACGTTGAAGTCGCTCTGAGCGCGGTAATACATCGCGATCTCAGTCTGCACATTGCCGCTGGCTACATCGAGCTGCGTGCGCGCGCGCGCATCGGGGGCGGCTGACACTTGGTCGCGGAGCTCGGACAGCAGGCTGCGACATCGCTGGAGGGAGGTGGTGATCTCGGATTCGGTGCGGTCGAGGTTGCTTCGGGCTTGCTGGTCCTCTGCAATTCCGGTGGAGTCCAGAAGGGCTTGTTGGGCAGTGGGGAGGTGGATCTCGCGTCTTGTGCGCAGGCTGCCGAGTTCTTCGGTGATTTGTTGGCGTTTGAGGAGGATGAGGGTCATTGGGTTGGTGGGTTCGGGTTGGAGTTCTAGGTTATTAGAGAGTGTCTAGAGACGTGGATATAGTAGTAGAAATACCGTATGAGTTGGGACCTTGCTCGAGGTCGCGGGGATAGCTGTAGTTGGCCATCGTGTTGGTGGTTTATTTAATGGTGAACGGGTCTATCAAGGGACCAGAATCGGCAGAACATGGGAATTATTTGACCAGGACACTTGACAAATCGACCAGCAGATGGGTTTTTCATATTTAATTCCATTTCATCATCACTGGTAATGGGCTCAGCCGTAAATACAGACGCCTAAAATCAGGCTGTGTCGGCCACTCAGCCTCGTGAGATCGGCATGGGGCGAACCGTGATGATTGGCCGCATTGACAACTTTCGACAGGAATTACCCAATGATCATCGCACCTAAAGATAGAACTGGGCCTTGAACTCTCACTGCATCTCTTGATAGAAACTAGAAAGCCTGAGTCTAGGATCTAGTATCGACCTATATAGCGCATCCACTTGTCGCAACACTGCTTATGGCCGGTTGGGGTCCGTTGGAGGGAACGGTACGCCTTCTCAGGCATCCTCATGTATTGTTTGGTGTCTTTAATACATAGATAGTATGGTTCAACGTGTCATTGCTACAATACAACGTCATTAGTCACCTCAGTTATCGTGTTGTAGACTTTGAATATACGTACATCCCGCAAATGGCTCGTTTGGATATGACCCAGCTCCACGGAGTATAGAGGGCTAGTCTCATATTTCATATTCTAACCGATAGTGATATACCTCGTATTAGAGCAGTCAACGGACTAAAAGCACCATCTGCTTCAAAATATCCACTGAAATCCTGTAAGCCTAGTGTGCTATACAGAAACCGGGGCTGTGTATTGGACAAATGTGGGGCAAAACCAGGCACGGTATCTAGTGGTATATCAGATAAATATCAGATAAACATAGAATCAGAAGCTTAACTGTGGTAACCATAGGCCCATATCCTGCACGTCAAGCGCAGTTCTCCATTCCATGCACTGCCAGGGTGGACCTGCACCATAGCAGCAAGGGCTCTGAGCAGTATCATGCAGCCCGGATCTTTATCCCCACTTTCCGTTCACTCTTAGCCACTATAACTCAGTGGTATCTTGTGTCACCGCATCCCAGAGTATGCCGTGGTTCAGGTGTCAATGCCGTTCATGGTAGACTCGGCCTGTTAATAGTTGTCCTGGACTCTGCATTGACTGTATCTCTCGTTAAGTCAGTGCAATGGCGCCTCAGCTCGTCAGTCGGTATACTATCTGTCGTGGGTTGGGTATAGACCTTCTCCAATCATTATGTAGGTTATCTGCCATAGATTAAATACAGACAGTGAACTACACAAGAACTGATAGATACACTTATCTTATCGTCCATCTTATCTATCTATCAAGATAACAGATTAGATTGGCCTTATCCGTGCGGGGTAAATGCTCCCAAACACAGGCTTATCTCCCCTCGTAGTCTTCTTCATTTTCATCTTCATTTCATTTTCAAACTTCAATCCTCAATTAAACATCTGTATACAAACATTGACAATATCTTTGAAAATGGCCGACCTCCCACACACCTCCAACTGGATCAACGGGTCCTACACCCCCCAACCCCCCACCGCATCCAAGTCACCAACCCGGCCAACGAATCCCCCATAGCAACCATAGACTCCACACCCCGCGAAACAGTCAACCAAATCATCCAAGACTCCCTCCAAACATTCCACACAGGAACATGGTCGAAGGCAGATGTCTCGGACCGCTTCGCCGTCCTCTCCACCGCCGCGCGCCTGCTGCGCGCCCGCATCCCTGAATTCGTGGAGCTCGAAACTCGTCAGATTGGACGTCCTATCCGCGAGATGCGCGCTCAGCTGGCGCGCGTGCCTGAGTGGTTGGAGTATTTTGCGTCTCTGGCGCGTGTGCACCAGGGTCAGGTTACGCCGTTTAAGGGGCCTGTTGTGAATACTTTGACGAGGCTGTGTGTTTTCTCCTGATAATTTTCCATCGATGATTTTGACTGCTAACTTTTAAACGCGGAAAGCCCCCTCGGAGTCGTTTGTCAGATCGTTCCCTATAACCACCCAATGCTGATCGCCATGAAGAAGATCGGGGCTGCCCTAGCGGCAGGGAACGTCGTGATCGTCAAAACCTCAGAGCTGGCGCCGCTGTCGGTCCTGCAGCTAGGTCCGCTCTTCAAAGAAGCCGGCCTACCCGATGGTGTACTCCAAATCGTCAGCGGGTACGGGGCCGAGACAGGCCGGTTCCTATGCGAGAGCCCCCATCTAGCCCGCATCGACGTGACGGGGGGCATTAACACGTACAAGGCGATTGCGGCGTCCGCGTCGGCCAACCTGATCCCCATCACAGCCGAGCTGGGCGGCAAAGCCCCCGTCTGTTTTTTCCCCAGCGTGGATGTGAATCAGGCCGTGCGAGCGGCTCTGTTCGCGAGCTTCATCGCCAGCGGGCAGACGTGCGTGACGGGGAGCCGGCTGCTGGTGCACGCGGATCTGTACGATGCGTTCAAGGAGCTGCTGGCGAAGCGGGTGCGGGCGCTGCGGGTGGGTGATCCCGCCGACGATAAGACGCAGATCGGCTCCGTTATCTCGAAGGCGGCTGTAGAGCGGTGCGCGGCGTTCGTGGAGCAGGCTGTTAAAGAGGGCGGGCGGGTTCTCTGCGGGGGCAATCCGACGACGAATAGCGACGGGAAGGGGTTCTTCTTCGAGCCGACTGTGATTGAGACGCACGCGGAGTCGAACCTCGCTTGTGCGGAGGTTTTTGGCCCCGTCATTGCGCTGCTGAGGTGCGAGTCGGAGGAGGAGATTGTGCGTGTTGCTAATGGGACGGAGTTTGCGTTGGGTGCGTCGGTGTGGTCGAATGATTTTACCCAGGCGCATCGCGTTGCGGATCAGATTGAGGCGGGGATTGTCTGGATTAATGGACATCATTTGAATGATCCGTCGTCGCCGTGGGGTGGATTTAAGCAGAGTGGGATTGGGAAGGAGAATGGGGTGGAGGCGTACGAGAGCTATACTAGGGTCAAGAGCACGGTGATGAACTACGGGGTGCCTCCTGTTTGGTTTGATGATGAGCCGGCCGATGCGCGATATGGTTAGATTGACTATCTAGGATAGACATCAAATGAAGTACAGGCTCTCCCGTTCCTCTCGCATCGTCTCCACGTCAATACTGAACCTGTATCAAAGAGTGAAAAATCAAGACCACCGGTCAAATAGCAAAGCCAGCCGTGTTCGTCAGTCGTCAGTCGTCCCCGAATAGATGGGTCGATCAGCCCAGCGAAGAATCACTGCACAACGCAGTTTCTAAGCGCCTCAGCCTTAGGAATGACATCGCGACGACGCTGCACCTCCTTGACAAGCGGCTGTCCGTCCCAGGGACACCAGACACGATCATGAGGCCAGATACGATGGTAAAGCTGACGAACGTGCATCCACTGCGCGCCATCCCAACGTCCGTCGGATCTATCGTCATCAGCATCATTCTCTTCATTCATATCCGTCTCTCTAGATTGAAGGATAGAAAGATAAACAAACCTAAGTTCAACCACGCCCGGCGCCAGCAGATAAGCTCTCAGCAAAACACAGCCCACAACCAAATCATAAGGCTTGCCGCCGGTGCAGACGGAGAAACTCATGGCGTCGCGGCGGATGCACAGCGGGTCCTGGGCGTCCGCGCCGATGCCATTGACGTAAATACCCTCTTTGGCGGTGGCGATGGGGCCGGTGAATCCTTCGTTCTTGGGACCGCAGACGGGGATGTTCGCGGCTTTGATGATGTTGGGAACGTCCTTGAGGAGCTGTTTCCAGGCCTTCTTCCAGTCGCGCGAGTCCCAGTCGCGGACGTGATAACGGTGAGTGTTGGCCTTGTTGTTGTCTCTTTGGGATGGTTAGTATCTATCTATCTATCTATCTTTCTTTGTTGGGGTTGTTTGGAGATGGGAAAGACTTACTCCATGATGGATGGATGGTTGGTTGGAGTGCACGTGATGGTTTGGGATCAGGGCAAGAGTGTGCACGTGCGCAGGTTTTCAAGAGAGAAAAATGCGAATTTATGTGCCTGGGCTGCCTGGCTGCCTGTGGTGTTGACCTATTATTGCGAGTGATTGTTTTCACTGGTTTGTTATGTTTCTACAGTGATTGACAGTGGCTTGGTTGGGACTGGCTTGCGTGAATGAGCAGATTCTATCATCTTGACAGAGAGTCACTGGTCTGTCTCTGTTTTCATATTATCCAGTACCTAACCTATAAGTGACTGGTAATTAACACAGAGTCATCCAGTCCATGTTCACATATTCTTTCAGTAAATGGAGTGGTATGTTTATAGTATCTATATAGAAGTACGGAGTATGGTCTTTTGAGTTCCTATATCAATACTAACCTGATGAGGAAATTATATGTTTACCACCATCCACTGGACTCTGAAATTAAATAATAGTTAACATTATCAATTCTCTGAATAATACAGTCACTGGTGACCTCTCCAGCCACCAACTATAACCTTGAAAGCCTACCAGAGTTGAGAAATCCAGCCTCATATTCTATGACCTCGACCAGCGGCCTATACTGCCTGTCGCCAGGCCTAGACCCCCCACCCCACGTGAGAGTATCCCAATGCAGTTATATCTACCATGGACAGAAAAATAGCAGGAAAATACCATCTCCAATACTATCCAACTTTATGATCAGGAGGCACGCTGGCGTAGATTGGGTTGGACGGAATGGTGGTCCGATCCGTGGTTATGATACGGACATATGTCATAGACACCTCAGGGTTCGGGCTGTAGTTTTGGAGTGGTATATACCTCCCATCCCCCGAATAGAGCCATTTTGATTCTTGATTATTTCTTAACTATCCTATCTATTAGTATACATCATTTGAAAGAATCAATCTGAAGAATCAATATCATCATCATCAGACAATATGACCTCCGCCGACACGCAGCAATCCCTCGACATTCAAATCCAAGATGATTTGAAATACGACATTCGTATCGAGAATTCCTACGTGGAGAGGTAAACCTCTTTTTCTTCTTCTCATCCATTACATTCCCTTCCAATCTTCATCATTGGCACAACTGACAAAAACAGCGGCGAATTCCACACAGACGGCGACCCAGACGACATCCTCACCACAGACGATGTCGACGACATGAGCATCCGCCACAACGGCGGCAAGCGCCACGTCTGCTCCTCCGGCGACGTCGGATCCACGGCCGGTCCGCGAGGCCGCATCGACCTCGTCGACGACGTGACCGACAACCGCATCTGCACGCTCGCCTGGAGTGCCTTTATGGAGCCCGGCAGGCCTAACCAGTTCATGATGCGCAACCATGATCCCAATTATGATGTTGATATTGGAGACTATAATGAGTTTGGGACGATGGGTGTCGTGCCTGTTTCGGTGAGGGAGTTGTAAGAGTCTAATGGTATTGCTTGCTTGAATTGGATTTACTCTGCTGTGGGATGTTCATTGGTTGGGTTTGTGTTGAGGCCAAAAGAAAAGGCAAAGGAGGGGAGGGGACGTTTATAGTGCTTGATTTGTCTTGTGTTTTTATGTATCTATGAGGTCTTTTCCTCTCTTAATACTAGTATTTGTTGGTTACATGACAGTCATTGGTATATACCTCGATTATTTCTAAAATGACAAAAATAAATTTATTCTATAGACACCTCGAACTGAAAGCAAGATACCTCCAAGATATTGAGATACTGGCCGTGCATACCTCAATACTCCTCTCAACCATCCGTCCAAATGCACATCATGTAGCATACGCCTAAACATCCCGCCCATACCTCCACTGCATCCATACCAACGGCAAAACGCTAACCACCAACAATCCCACCAACAGCCCCGCCGACCCGTTCAACCCCAGCGTCTCAAACATAGGAGGAAACCAAAACGGTCCGATAAAGCACCACGTCTGCCGGATGAAGCCCAACAGAACCGACGTCAGCGCAGCGTGCTCAGGATCGAATTGCATAGCATCTACCACATACACCAGTAAGCACTCCATTCAAACATGAAGCAGGGGAAACGTACAGTTGATCAAGAAATTGGCTACCACCTGATTGCCAAAACCCGCAATTCCAATACCCACAATTGGAACGACGCTATAGTGCATCGGGGTTGTGCGGTCCAGCTGGACGCAGAACACCACCAACCCGACTACCATGCACGCAAACCCGATATAGCTGGTGGAGATGTACCAGGACAGCTTCATGTGGGCTCGTCCACTTTTGACGGTTCGAGCGTTGAGCAGTGCGTGAAACACGGCGTTGGCTATCTCCCCTGTAACCGTCCCGATGATGATTCCTAGGAACTGCAGTCCGACTTGCTGAGAGTCGAACCCGAACCGTTCGCTGAATAGCTGTGGGATTTCCACTGTCAGCAACGCTGCGGAAAGACAAAAGACCATTGTGTGGCAGCAGATAGAGAGGACGATGCGCATGTGTCGCGCCATGAGGAACGGACGCCATAGGTCTGACGCTGCGAACGGCGTTGGGTCAATTCGACGGAAGGTTAGGAACTTCTTCGCCCATGAGGTCTTCTGCAACGGGACTGCGTCGCTTTTCTTGGTGGATGAATCTGGGCCCAAGTACCGTGTCTCATCGCTGAGGAAGAAATACAGCACGAACTGCACTCCGCTGACGATCGCGAATGTCCAGTATACCCACTCCCAGCCTACCCTTTGTGCGACGAACCCCATGATAAATGGTCCTACAGGCGGGCCGAGAGTGACCAGCACGCTAATTGAGTACTGTTAGCTTAGATCATACCACACTTGTGAGAACAAGGGACATACGTCCAAATACCCAACTTGTACCCCCTTTCATGTTCCGGGTACATCTCGACCACCACCGGGGGCCCTAGGGCAATTGGGGCACTGATAAATAGCGACCCTAGAATGCGACAGATGATCATCGCTGCGTAGCTGTTGCTATTTGCACATCCGATATTACACACTGCCGTGCAAAATGTGCAGACGAGCCAGATAGGACGCCGACCAAAGCGGCTAGAAAGTGGGTGGAGAAGGAACGGGGCGAGACCGGTGAACAGGATCTGTCGTCACGGTCAGTGGTATATCGTGGTAAAGGGCGAGATTACTTACGTGGATGGAGGTGAAGTAGCTGATATCTTGGATGGAGACACCGAACATCTCGGCAAAGGTCGCATACACTGGGATGATGCCTGCTCCAACGAAATTCGTCATCATCGCGTGGAACGAGATCATGACTAGGTTGATATCTTTCTGTCATTCAAGTTAGATTCAGTTTCCTTGTACATAGAAGATGCTTTGGTAGACTTGCCTTCCATTGAGGCCAATTAAGAGGGTTGTTAGGATCCGCTGACAATGGCATGTCCGACGGACCAGACTCTACAGTGTCATGCGAGGTCTTCTCGAGAGCGGATATATTCTGGACATGGTCACTGTCTCCATCGCTGCGGGCAGTACCATGATGGGATTTCTCCCCGTGCTCGTCGTCTTGATGCATTGTAGTATGAACAGCCATAATTGCAGAATCACATCAACCAACTAGATCATCCTAACAAGCATTCGAGGAACCAGGATGATAGGCGCAGGTATAAATTGCGCGTGAATCGTATCTCGATACTAGTACCCCATGGGGAAAGACATCGGAGAGACTAGATGCGCCGCTCTCTCCGCAGCCGCTCAAAATGCGGGCCGATCTCGCCCATCGGCACAACATGATCAACCGCTTGTAGGTCTCGAGTAATATAAATGAAAATACTTGATCTCACTGATAGAAGAATAATAACGTTCGTCCGTCAATAAATAAAATGTCTGAGTCATCCAACACCAAGGTTTGCTGGGAGCGTCTGATCCGATTTGTGAGCACGGACGGCCGTGTTCTCCATGGAGAGCCTATACTGCCATCGCCGGACTTTGATCTGGGAGACACGACGGCAGAGACAAAACTCCAGGCTAAGGTTATCTCCGGGGACATCTTTGATGCTGGATCCAAGGTGACAGATGAGGTTGCGACTGTCCAACAGCTCCTTGGGCCGTTAACGAAGGATGATGTTCCCATCCTACGCTGTGTCGGGTTGAATTATCTCACGCACAGTCAGTGAATTCTCCTATCCTTCCACCCTGCGCTACGGCGACAGGTATACTGAGTGCTTTATAGTTCGTGAAACTGGCCGGTCGCCACCGCCGACGCCGTCTATCTTCTTCAAGCCAAACACCACGGTAGCAGACCATGGCAGCGACGTGTTGATCCCCAAACTCGCCCAGGATGAGCAAGCAGACTATGAAGGCGAGCTGGTGAGTGATAGGATTGAAAGCACGCGTCACGAAAAATCGCTCTAATACTCGACAGTGCATCGTCATCGGCAAGGATGCCAAAAACGTCAGCGAGGAAGACGCGTTAAACTACATCGCCGCATATACCGTAGGGAACGATGTCTCGTCGCGGAAGCTCCAGATCGATCGCGCCATTGCCGGGCCTGTCCCCCAGTGGGGATTCTCCAAAGGCTTCGACACCTACGCTCCAATGGGCCCCTGTCTCGTGCGGGCAGACATCATTGGGGATCCCGCACGACTCCAGTTGCAGACTTTTATCGACGGAGAGCAGCGACAGAACATCGAGGTTTCCGACCTGATATTTGGCTGTGCGGCACTCGTATCCTACCTGTCCACGGGCACGACTTTGCAAAAGGGCAGTGTGATTATGACCGGCACTCCGGGAGGTATGTTCTTCAATTCCATTATCGATGTTTCTCCAATTCGCGATCGCTGATCATATGCAGGTGTCGGCAACGGCCTGAAGCCTCCCCAGTTCTTGAAGCCAGGAACTCGTATGGAAGTCAAGGTGACGGACATTGGCACATTGAGGAACGGGGTGAAGTTCGAGTAGGGTATTCCAACTGATGTCAGTAACGTCGACGATTTAGATGATAGAATAGGCAAAGAAGCCATCAACGAAGCGCTGTCTTAGTCTTCTAGAACGAAACCTCATACAGATGTGTCTAGGCTATTGCTTTATCCGTAGTGGAGTGAAGTGGAGACTGTTCAGGAGAAGACCGAGATGTTTCCCAGTCTAGGCCGCTCACGTGGCTGCCGTGGGCCTTTCTGGGGAATCTGGGGTTCCCCAGCTTCTTCTACCCCACATCTTCTACACATGAGTCATTTTCAGCAATGTCTCCCCACGATCAATCAATAAATTATCTTCAGTCAGCTGCGTTTCGTGAAGATGTCAGTCTTCACCAAGCTGGATCGATCGATCCCTCCAAGTGGCAGGTTTGCTACAACTGTAGACGGTAGGCAGTTTTCTAAGAGCTGCAATATCCACCGTGATGCATGTACTGATTGGCTTATAGGATGAAGAGAAAATGTTAGACAAGAATTGTCATGTTATCGAGTATTTATCTGATTGGTCACAGGTGACAGAGTACAGCCCAGTTGCTCTCGGTGCATAACCAACGGGCTTGTTTGCCAATACGGCCGGCGTCGCAAACGACCGGGCCCGGCCAAGGGTGCCGTTCCGTCAAGGACACAAGCATTTTTGGACAGGATTAGTGTGTGACCACTTAAATGTATGATGTCTTGCTACTGAACACTAACAGGCGAATATAGACGAGTTGGAGAAGCATGTTAGAAGTCTTTCCAATCAACAACACGTCTTGAATAGCCCATTGGAGGATACAGACCCGAACCAACTTTGCGTACCAGAAACAGATGAAAATCTCGCCCTCATCTCTTCTGCTGGCCTGAATGGACCCCCCTCTCCGTTGATCAACCGTGTCTCCGATAGTATATCGTCAGGAAAGAGCCCTTGTGTGATCGTGTCACCAGAGCGAGAAATAGACCCCCATATTCTTGGGAACAAGCCCAGTTCCACGTACGGAGAATATGACCCCAATAGCATGTCATTCGCTACTAAACATACGCTGTTTGTTATTTCGTCCCGCCTGTCTCCCCGCCATTACTGACTCGGCCTATAGTTTGTCCCTATACTTTGACCATATACAGCCAATCTTCCCGATGTTTCGGAGACCGGCCTTGTATCATAATCTCTTAAACAGTCACGTCCCCGATGATCTTCTTGTCGCCATGTTTGCCATTGCATGTCGTTTCCTACCCCCCGACAAATCCAATCTTCTCTTTGGCCATGCAACTGCCCCTTGGGAGCAGTTCTCTCGGCTAGCTCATCAAAAGTCTCGGGAAAATGTAGATAAGGAAGGGAGTCGGCCCGTGACGCTAGACGCCGTGAAGACAGCCTGTCTTCTAGCATTGTACGAGTATACGTCCACACCCAGCCGTCAGGCTTGGGTATTGGTTGGCAATGCGATGCGCTTGGCGCTGATGGCCCAACTACACCAGGTGGACTGTGCCAACGGCCCTGATAATCTCACAGCAGCGGAGAAGGAAGAGCGTCGGTTCGTCTGGTGGACCATCTGGAGGCTCGATTGCACCATCAACGTCACCACGGTGACGCCGTTCAGCATCGACCCTCGGCTGATAGGCACAGCGCTGGTCTCCTCCACAATCCCCGATTTCACGGCTGGGGTGGTTGACGCTACACGCAACAAGATTCCCGAGATGGATCCAGTCAGGTCGTGGACTTCTGTCCAGGGCCCGCAGGTTCAAGACACGGGTGACGGCTTCAATACGCACCTATTCGCGGTCTCGTTGCTGAGAGCTGTGTCGGAATGCCATCAGCGGCTGAACACGAGGGTCAATGCTGAAGATATCCAGTATATTTCGAGTTTAGAAGAGATTTTCACCGCTCTAGATGTCATCTTCCCAGGTTCATTCTTTGCGCCCGCCAAATCGCCGACCGAAGAATCCCACACGCATCGACTCCGGCTAGAGACGATCATCATGTTGAACACGTAGGCGACCCTTTCCACACCAGAGTTCTGAGCATACTAACAAGATGAACCCAGCGCCCGCCTCATCTTAAACGAGCCTGTTGGCCAACTAACTACAAAGCCTCCCGAGAATACGAGCAACTCTCTAGTTTCCCTCGGAGGCTGGCGCGATAGCCTAGGATATGCAGAAGATATCGCCAACGTTTTCAACTACTGGCCGTCCGACTACTTCGCTGTCTCAGACCCCATCATCAGTTGTGCCATTTGGCATGCCTACTGCGGGCTAATGATGTTGGAGATGTCTGGTCTCAAGAATTCAGGTGCAGATCTACAGAGTATGCCCGAAAGCAGTGCGCTTGAGGGGTTGAGCGTTTCGCTCAATAGCTTCACGCCCTGGTGGCCGATTGCTCGGGTGCTCCAAGGTAGGCCCAAAATATACTTCTGCATACAGACTCGATCGAGCAACAAGATGCTAATGCCATTATAGACTCCCTGCAGGAACTCCGGGCGTGGAGCTGGGCCAAACTAGACTCCCGGCGGCTGATCGGTCTGATTTCTCACGTCCGAAAGGCGTTCAGTCCGTTTACGAGGCAGCCTGGTAGAGTAGATGTGTCAATACTGTGTGACTCGCTCGTGGAGGACTTGACTATGTCTGTGATGTAAATGATATTCAGGCTATATCACTGTACTATTTCCGGTTTCGCGTCAGAAAAGTAGTTCTGCACAGACTTGAGATTCTGTCGGAGTTCCCCCACGTCACGCGCCACCGAGTGGATGAAGAAATCTGGTCGGAGCAGCACGTATTTTGTCGATGAATGCAACCTTTCTTGGATGGCGTTCCGGTTGTATCCCTGCAGGCGTGTGACGTTGTGGCTATCCAGCTCCGCGGATGAGCACGGATAATAGACAAAAGAGGCTTTGCTATCCCGCGTACTTCCTCTATCGGCACTGATATCCAGATAACTGACATCTTGGGTTGAAATGAGGGCTTCCGGCAAATCTACCTCCTTCAATACTGCCCGGACTGCAAGCGGGTCAAAATCACCCGGGCGTTTCACCAAAACTAACAGCGACAAATGCGAGAGGTCCCGCAAGATGGCATCGTCAGAGAGAACAGGCCGCTCGTCGTCGGAACCCCGACACCAAACCTGGGCAACCTTTCTCCCGCCGCCTGCAGATTGCAAGAAGAACCCGTCTGGGCAATTGTTCTCGTTGTATACCAGTTTATCGCGGAATGCGCGTCTCGTCCTCCACTTGGCAACCCCCGGGAGCCACCAAAGGACGCGCATGCAGGTTCGGTAGACGAGACCCCACCAGAATGAGGTGAGGTTGACGATGCTTCCGTTTAGTTTTGTGGACATCGTGGCTGCCTCCCAGGCATGCCGACGCTCCTGGCTCCATCCACTCAGAAGCTTGGTCTGCACTTGTGGGGAGACGTTGAGGTGGGACATCATGGCTAAACGCCAGCTGAGAGCCTGTGCGTCGCGAATACCCGTTGCGATGCCTTGTCCGCCGAAGGGAGGGAAGACGTGGGCTGCGTCGCCGATCAGCATTGTATTGCGGTTGTACCATCGATTCACCACTTTGGTTGCGAATCTATTTTTGTCAATATATGGAATTTTCTGAGTTGAATGGCTGGTTGAGACTGACTTGAATGGTCGACATCGTAAGACGTGTATGCAATCTCGAGGATACTCCACGGTGGTGCCTTTCAACTTTGAGGAGAATTTCTTGCCAGGAATCACCATCCAGGGACTGAATTGCTTCCAAAATCTTTCCAACGCGTCATCGGATTCTTCTTCTGGCGTTATATAGTACTCGTGTCTGCGATGCGGTTAGTGCCTGTTTCCATCGTGATGGCAGAAGGGATTATGGCACCAACCTCCAGAATCGAGCACCCTTGGGTCCAAACCGTCCGCTTACGGCGGGTCTTTGAGAGTCGTTGCAGAAGCTTCGCAGAGGAGTCAGCATTATACGCTCAATTCAGAGACCAATACACATACTGGAAGCCTTTGGGCCAAAACTCCTCGTGTACTTGCTCAGGTGTGTATCCAAGCTTCCACAGAGGAAACTCTGGATGTTTCTCAGGAGTAGGAAGATCAACTTGCAGATTGATCGCCACCCAAGTACCAACGTATGGCCACCTAAACCCTGTCAGAGCAGAAACGACCCATATACCTTCAATATACAACTTACACGCCATCGACCTGTTTGATCCCTTCAGGTTCTAAGAACTTTTTCCTCACCACGCCTCTCTTCCCGTCGGCGCCCACCAGCCACCGTGTTTGGATAGTCTTGCGCTCTCCCGTGGACGTCACATACCCCACGGTCATGATGCCATCTTCTTCCTCTCGGGAGACCACCTCGCATCCGGTTCGAAGCTCGCAATTGGGGAAACTTGGGAGGAGTTCGCGGATCTCTCTTTCGTAGTTGGGCTGGAACTGGGTAATGTTTTGCGACACGGCATGCTCCGCCCAGTCTGTCATCAGGTCGAAGATCATGAAAGGGCGCTGTCGGAAGCTTCCACGGTGGAAATTGAGTGCACCAATATCTGTCGTTATAGATCGATCTTAGTACAATGCTATTTCGGGTTATGGGACGTATCAGGTACTACATACGGTGTCCGATCTTCTTCGTCAAACCCTCGCCGATGCCGACTTGATAGGAGATTCGCACTGCATCGCCGTTGACTACGATGCCGCGCGGGTCTTCGCAGACTTCTTGGTCTTTTTCCAGAATGACGACCTGTACTTTGTGTCAATAGTGATCTGAGCGGAAGTGGTTCTGTTTCGTTTTTAGGAAAGAATGCCTTATACCTTCATGTTCATTCGAGCAAGCAGGGCGCCCAGCACAAGCCCACTTGGCCCAGCGCCTGCAATTAGCACGGTAGTCGACTCCATTTTTCTCGCGTAAATGACTCCCAAGTATGTGAATCCGCGAATTGAAGCGACTTGGGGGCGGCAGACTTTAAATCCATCCCGTTTATAGAAGTGGTCACCTGGCTATGGAGGATCGACCAGCAGTTTGATTAAAATAATGCGGAGGTTCATGTTCGATGTAGCCCGATTGGATACTCGATCTCTACCCCAGTATGATGCTGGTCTTTTCATGGCTGGGGTAGATGCGGAGGAAAGAGATCCTCCGCAGCGGAGCAACTCGGTTGTTGATCTTCCGCTGCTTCCCCGCAAAGTTACTATATACTACAGACGACCAGAACTCGCGGATCAGGTAAGGATAGTTCCTAAACAAACCATTTCAATTGTTTGCGCTGAGCTGCTTCATATTCTGTACGTCTAATAATACGCCATCAGTCAATCATGCCGCCAGGTCGCATCCCCCCCGTTTCCAACTCCCCGGATAAGATCCAACTGGAGCGTCTCAGCCATGTCTGCTATGGCCACACTGATCTGAACAAATTCGACGCATTTGCGCGAGATTTCGGGTTCGAGCAAGCCAGCCGCACCGAATCGGCGATCTACTACCGAGGCTGGGGCAAAGATGCCTGTGCATACGCGGCCTTGCAGGCTGGCGTGAATGGTCAGGAGGAAGGATTTGTAGGCGCTGCGTTTATCGCCGCGTCTGAACAGGACTTCAACCGATCCGCATCCTTACCGGGAGCGTCGGAGGTAGAGAGTAATCCTGCTCCAGGAGGCGGGAAGAGGGTGAAGCTCGCGTCGCCGTCTGGATCGACCATCTACATCATCTGGGGACAAGAGGACCGCGCGGCGCCAGTGGAGCCTGCTAGCAGCACCGATGTACACAAAGGACCTTACAATACAACATTAGCCAAGCCACGAAAAGGTAACCATATGATCGCTTCCAAACGTCCAACCCAGCCAATCTAACGAGGACATACTATAACAGGAGAATTCCAGCGATTCAAAGTAGGCCCCGCCATGGTCCACAAGATCGGCCACTACGGCTACGTCACGCGCATGTTCGACGAGGACATCGCTTTCTACACAGAGAACTTCAACTTCGTGCCGTCGGATATTCTCTACGAGGAGGTAGAGGGCCAAGGCGAAGTCGACAGCTTGACCTTCATGCACCTCGACCGCGGCCAGACCTACGTCGACCACCACACGCTCTTCCTCTCGCGCGTGCCCGCCTCCCATCCGAAACCGTATCAGATCCATCACTGCTCGTTCGAGGTGGAGGACTTTGACACCCAGATGCTGGGTCACGAGCATCTGCTTAACAAGGGATATAGTCTGGTATGGGGGGTGGGGCGCCATATCCTGGGATCGCAGATCTTCGATTACTGGAAGGATCCGAGTGGGCTTACCATTGAGCACTATGCTGATGGTGATGTCGTGAATGTGGATAATCCGACTGGGCGGATGAAGAGTGAGGGCGCTGCTTCTATGTATATCTGGGGGCCGATCCGCCCGGCTAATGGAGTGGCTGGTTGAGAGCAAATTGTGTTCGGTCGATTTCTTTTTTACATAGGTACACGTTTCAGTTGGGTGGCAGTGTCGAAATACTTCGGTTGCTCTTATTCTATCCCTTGTATAACTTTTTCTGTACGTATAAGCGAGGATATTGCCCGATTATAAGGGGGTGGTTGATTTAAGAGCCGAGAGAACTCGGTTGTAAGCGTCACCTAGACATGGATAGGCTTGGTCCTTGGCCGTCCCTCGGCGTCTCATCTTCTGGTATTCTATTGCAATAGGTAAGAAATGAGTGAAAGAAATGCGATGATCCAGAGAAACTGGTCAAAGAGAAACTGAAACTGAATCAGTGACGAGTCACCTGACCCCAAAGCGCATCCCCTGTCTGCAATCTAAACCTTTCCCCAACGCATTTCCACTTTTTATTCTCTATTCATTCCAATCGTTTCATTTCAACAACATGATCTCAGCTCCAAAAAGATAACGAGAGTGCTATGGAGACACTGTCTACTCTTCCTATTGATCCAACACACGGATGATCTACGATTAAATTGCTACAGCGCCCAGCACCACAGCCACTCACTATTATCACAAGAACGGCTGAAATAAGTGGAATTCATCCAAGAATTAACATTTCGACTATCATGAGCCGAAAATGAAACTCCAATCTCAACATGTTGGGCACGGATCTTAGCGCCGGTGTCTTTCCTACCCAGAATCCCCATTCGCTAACAGAATCCATGACAGACGAACTTCGTTCTACATAGCGCGCGGCTACCGAATTGAGTCGGACGCATGGATTGCATAAATGGTGCAGGCCTATATTTTCCTACTGCTCATGAGCAAGCGATTCGCCCATCCTTAGACGCCATGCGACCTGTACTTTTTTAGTTTTGTCTATTTTAAACGTGCCTCTTTATTTCGGAAGATTGCACATCAAGAAATGCAGCCCATACTAAAATGCTCAAGGGACCACCCTGTAGTCTGGAATGATTTCTACGGCTTCAGATAAGTGAACACTTACGGCAACACCATGAAGCAGCTACTTCGGCAAATGACCCCAATTCGCGAGAAATCGATCGATGAGGAAGCCCCATCCGACGAGAAAGCCCCATCCGACGAAAAAGCCCCAGCTGATGAGAAAACCTCAGCCAAGGTTGCTGTCATTCAACAGCCGGCCATCTACAACAAACGTCTTGAGTTTATCCAAGCACTCTTCGATATCAAGCCTGAGGATGTCGTCAACTTCCCAGGGATTGGGTCATACTGTGACTATTTGGAGCGTGAAGCCTTTCATCCGTTGACTGGTCCATCCTTTGACCCAATTTGGGGTTTGATACCCTATAAAAATCCCAGAGAGATAACAGATCGCTGGGACTGGATCCTTGCGGTGCTACAGGCGATGGGATCAGAAGAAACTGAGATCAGCATACACGACATATTACAACGTCTGAAGGTGCGAGGAGGAGATCACAGCGCAATACTTGATCGGTGCAAGGATAAAAGCTCCTTTTACATTGCCATTTTCGGGGTCCTGTGCTGGTCAAGCATGGTAGCGCGTCCGAATCTGATTCCCACGGACAACACAGCACGCAACCTCACATGCCTCCTGCCACATGGGTCCAGATTGTCCAAGGACTCCACTATTCATGCACTAAGTAGTCGACACATGCGACCAATCCCGCTCATATTCCGGTCTTTCAAGATGCAGCACTGGGGTGACCAGTTGGGTGACCGCGTGCAGGGTGGATCGTGGGAGGGGGACAGCCTATACAAAGCAAGTCTCAGCATATACTCGCTGCGGTACTTTGGTCACGTCACTATTCAGTGGGTGGATACAATCAGTGAGCATCTACGGTTCAACCCTGCTACTCGGCGGTTGTCCTTGTTTCGCTTTCCGACGTTCTGCGCCTTGTTTGCAATCTATGGAGGCAACGTTAGCTCGGCAATCCAAAGGTAAATCATATATTGCCACGATAGTCATCATTTGAGTATTGGAGCTTACTATTCTCAGTATTTCCGAGCAAATTGATCCCTTGTCCCCAGAAGATCGAGACCAGTGCTGTGTTAGTCTAGAGCAAGAGGTTCTCCTTTCCTACCGTCTTCTATTTGGGCGAGATGGCATGTCCAGAAAAGTCGCACATGACGAAATCTGCCGGCTGAAGAAGATTCACGCAAATCAGAGTGTCGACACTATGCTTCTGGACCTCTGTGGACGGAAGTACAAGCATGGCAGCTTGTGGTGGAGGACATACGACACCGTCCTGCAGAATTATCCCTCTGAGATGTGGCCCGTCACTTGTCGGACTATGAAAGGGCACCTCCTGGAAAGCGACGTGTACAGCGTTCGCAATGACTTTCCAAGGCTCGGACCGCGCTTGCTCAAGCTCCAGCAGTTCAACCTACGACAGAGACCCAATAAGTTGATTGATCTGTGGCGCGACAGGCGAAATCCCCTGCAGTGGTACACGTTCTGGGCGGTAGTGATCGTTGGAGGCGTGGCCAACATCCTGGCAGCACTCCAGCTTCTGGTCGCAATTGTTGAATTGCAAACCTCATTTTAGGAGTTGATCTTTCTTTTCTTCCTGTTTTTGTACATGGACCGGTCAATGACGGCGCGATTTTTGATTTTTCAATACAGACTTGCTAGGAGTTTATTGGAAAGAATGATATGATTGATGAATGACTCGCGAGCACGGCCTTCCAGTCAATTTGTTGTAAATTTACATTATAGCCTCTTGACCCTATTTTCACGCTCTATTTCCTAGTACCTTGAGTACACATTCCATAGTATCCATAAATAATTCTATAAATATAGAAACGAATCTATCCAATACGAATCCCAGATCGCTCCAGAACTAAGCCAAAACAGTAATCACTAGCGTAGGCAGTGAAGTGATCAAGCACAAGAAGCCGATCAGTGGAACCCCGCGGCGCTTCGAAGCTCACATACAAGGTACCCTGTCATGGTGGTATAAGCTCCAGCCAGCAGTCAATCTTCCAGACCCAAATGCAGCGATCCCATATCCTCCGCTCATTCCTCCACACCTGTTCTCCCAGAGCAGCTCCACTCTTCAAGCAGAGCCATCCCTCCCCTCACTTAACAAAGATGGCCCCAAAAGCCCAAAGCCAAATCATCTACGCCCCCTCAGCGGAAGCCCCGCGCGGGCTCATATCAGTCTTCCTCGCAGGGACAACCACCAAAGTCGACCCCACCGATTGGCGCGAGGTCCTCTCCGCCTCTCTCGCAGACGCGCCCGTCACTATATACAACCCGCACCGCGCAGACTGGGACAGCTCGTGGCGCGAGGATATCGATTTTGCCCCCTACCGCGAGCAGGTGGAGTGGGAGCTCGAGAAGCAGGAGAAGGCTGATGTGGTCGTTGTCTACTTCCACCCTGCGACTCAGGCGCCGGTTAGTTTGCTGGAGCTTGGGCTGTGTGCGCGTATCCCTGGGAAGGCGGTTGTTGTTTGTCCGGAGGGATACTGGAAGAGGGGCAATGTGCAGGTTGTTTGTAGGAGGTTTGGGATCGAGTTGGTGGATGGGGTTGAGGGGTTGAGGGAGGCGGTTTTGAGGAGGTTGCCTCCTGGTGTTTTGTGATTTGGGGCTCTGGGGGAAAGTTGAGTGGGTTACGATCTTTAGTTGCTGTTGCTATAATGACATACTGTAGTACTATCGCTGGTGTTTGCGTGTATTCTTTCTTCTGAGGGTTGTATTGTGGATGCCCCGGTCGGGCGAATGCTGCTGCTACATTTGTACTAGTTGGTTGGCATATGTTTCATATTCATAAATCTATCTTTGACTGATGTGAATAAGCGCATCGAAGTCTTCGTCCTCTAACTGCTCCGGATGCGGGAAAGAGGCTTCCTTTGATCTTTCTGTGGTCGTTGGTCGCATCTTGCCCATGATCTGGAGATATAAGGCTTTCGCCTCTTTGAGTTGTTGATCGGCTTGCGCTTCCTGTCCGGGGATCTGGCGTCTCGTCTCGGATAACTTGAACAAACATCGGGCGTACTTGGCAGGATGCGTATCTTGGTGAATAGAGCTAATCACTTTCGCCTCTTCGAGATGTTCGCTAAATAGGGAAGAGTTGCCATCGTCAGTACAGTGCGTACCTACCGCGTACCCGCTGTTCTCGTTCTAAACTTACAGTGCAGCGTCTTTGTTTCCTTGCAGCAGAGCACAGCATCCCAGCTGATATACAATGACACCGTTGAAGTCCAAAGCACGAGACTTGTCGCCCGCAAGCCACATGGACTGAGACTCCAACAACATCTTTTCCGCGGCGTCATACTTTCCTTCGGACATAAGCAGTCGCCCTATGACAAATTTACACCTACATGGCATTAGTATCCGATTGTGTATGCAACCATGTATCTTCCAAAGTCCCCCGCAGCCAGAAGGGGAGAACTCACGTAGCTGTCGGCGCCCAAACAAATGGCTCGGCAGACAGAAGTCCATCTATCGCCTCAGTAAGCTGCACTCTAGCCTCATCGAAGTTTCTCCCGTGAGCCAGGATCCGGCCATGCGTCAGTTTCAGCAGCGGAGGACAGTTGAATTCAAGGCCTGCGGATTCGGACCACCGCTTCCATGTATCACGGCTCCGTTCGATCCATTGTATAGCGGTTTTAAAGTCTCTCAGGCACCCATAAATAGTAGCTAGGTTATCTTCGATCCAGCAGAGATTCTGGAGATCAACGGGAGACTCCGACAGCTTGAGGTTGTGTGCGATCAGCAAGCTCTCGAGGGCCAGGTTAAATTTGCCCCGGAAAGCCCACATGGAGGCAACGTGAATTTCAGTCGATGAGGGGAGGTATATCTCCTTGTCCGCGTCTGGAAGTGTAGCCATAGCAATTCTGTTTGCGGTAACGAGGTCTTCGAGTTCGCGCCAGTTCTGTGTTTCGAGGAGATACCTAATAGCGGTATTATTAGTACATGATAGGGCATAACCTTAGAAGGAGTGTGGCATTGCTGTGGTTTAGATCGTCGACATATTTGTGCAATTTGACTGACCGTTGACATTGAACCCATGTCTCGCACGTCTCTCTACAAGCGGAGAAACTTGGGTTCCGCTTTCGCTCTTTCATAAAGTTACTTTTAAGATGCAGTACATGCTGCAACCAAAGTTGACACTTGTCCCAGACATTGTAGAGATTGGCTCTGGTAGCACCCGCTTTCTTAGGTCTCTTCGGAAACGCGTTGTACATTAGAATCGAAGCTTCGTAGAAGGCCTTTTGGTGGGCTTCGGGGCTCATAAAGCGGCGAAATTGGGATGCGATGAGACGATGAATCGAATATACGCGGCTATATCGATCTCGTTTGATTAAAGCGAGGGCCAACAGCTCCTCCGTGTTTATGCTCAAACTGTGACATCCATTGTTAGCGATTGCAATGTCGGGAATAGTATGGGTACCGGAAGTCACGAACCGATCGGAATCAAGATACCAGAGCATATCATCTGTGAAGTTTTCTGTCTCTTTGTTGAACTCAAACAATGATTGTGGGATGCTGTCTGGGGAACAAAATGTAAAAGCTGACAACAGTGCAGCACAGTCAGGCCGGAGATTCCTGAAAGACAGTTGCCAGACAGTTTCCAGTCCGTCTTTAAAATCCCTGGATTTATCATAAACTTCAACAAGTTCTGATATAGACCAGGAACGACGATGGATCAAGCCACACATGTTGGACAATGCTAATGCATGGCCATTCAACCTCTCAGCAAGACTATATGCTGACTGTGCTTCATTAGCCAGGATATCCGTCCCGATATGTCCTGCGAGAAGATGTAGCAAGAACTTTGAGCCTGTTTCAGTATCCCAAGGGAGTATCTCAATACCAGTGTCGGCAGGATCGAAACCAAGCAAATGATTTCTTGTTGTGATCAAGACTTTACCCTTGCTGCCAGATAGAGGCCAGTAATCCCGAAGAAGCTCGGTTGTCTCTGCATTATCGTAGATGATCATCCATCTACACTCTAATCTGTTAGCAGTAACTAAAACTGCAGGGTGCTAAGCCACGTACCAGTCTGCTGCAGCCAGCCCTTGAGAATCATCCTGTTTTCGTCATGAGTGGCTGGCGCAGTATCGGGTAGTTTCAGTCTGAGGGCAATATCTGTAAAGCTCTGTTGGATAGCGACCGGACTTTCAGCACCGACCCAGAAGATAGCGTCAAAGTCTTTGGTCGCTAACTTCTTTTCCAGGAATTTCATGGCAACGTGGCTCTTGCCGACGCCTCCCATGCCGTAGAGAGCCAGTGAGCGCAGTGGCGATGTCGCATCGGTGTCCTGGAAATACTGTTCGATCTTCTCAATCACCTCATCTCGATTGAAAAAACGAGCGGTTCGTATGGGTGGAAGGACGAAGCAAGGTAAGTGAGCCATATCTCGGAACACGCGCGGTGTGAGCGAGAGATACGAAAACCAGGATGCCATGTCTCCCTGATACTGCCTCTGATACATGGCAGCGACTCGCTCGATGCGAACAAGTATATCTTCAATCTCCTCTATGGCGGCTGCAAAACTGTCGGTCAACTTAGTCCACGATGGATCGTACCCATCTGTTTACATTAGTATTAGACCATAGGTTTCTTCGCAATCTCGATTGAATTCCTTGCGAGGGGGTCTTACCGCCGGTATGTGTCAATCCCAATAAATCATCGTCTGCTTGGCGTATAAATTGCACAGCGTCCGTGAGAAAGCTAGTGAACCTTAGAAAAATATCGAAGCAGGACTCTTTGTCCTCTTTGGTGATTGTCGGGCTTTTTCTGCAATGGAGGATGAAATCATGACAGTTCCTGCTAAGCTTCCTAAGCATCTGTACCATTCGTCGCATTGTCTCGTCATGCTGCAAGGCCAACTAATAAGGTGTCAGAGATCACTAGTCAATTTTGTATAAAAAGCTACTGCCAGTATATATATGTATCAATATTGGCACTTGTCTTACCGTGAGCAGTAAGCCGAGCAGTCCCCAAAACACACCCGTCCCAGGAGCCGGATGAAGGTGGGAGGTAAAGAAATCGCTGAAGTCTTTCAAATCAACCATTCGGGGCTGCAACATGGCCAGCTCTTGCAGGGCCGCCTCAGACACCTCTTCATCTTGTTCGACGAACACATATTCCCGTACATCCTCATAGGTGCGAAAACTTCTAATCGTCCTGCGATCTTGAGGTTCCATCCGTTCTAAGAAGGACTTGGTCGCTGATTCCCATTGTTTGGTGAAGAAGGCTTCCCTGATGAATGCGATGTTCCATGTTAGTTAAGTCTCAATTCTCATTATGCAGCCGCCAAATCAAGATGCCTTACAAGACAGGGGACTCCATGACAACTCCTTCTGATATTTGAGGAGACGCACGAGCCGTGAAAACAACAGCCTGGAGTTCAAGAAGGATAATTGGGGATAGAATTGGAGGTGGAGAGATGAGGGGGCTTTAGTGCCAAGTTGTGATCAGCTGCATTAGTCTCAGACGGGGTTACAGGGTTGCGCGCCTGCGAGGAACTAACAGTAGCCACTGAGTCTAGCCAGAGTAATCTGTATTGTGCAGGTCCGTATACGATATTTTCTCATGGCTCAGTGACAGGGGGGCAGAAATCCCATCAAAATCGGATTGTGCAATTGTACGCCTACCACTGGCAATGGAATATAGCACATCGGCAGTATATAGTAAATGTGTCGATCAATGCTCACCTGTTCTAAACAGGCTCTAATAAGTCTCCAGTCACCTGGGTCCGCATTTTGAGATTACTGTCAACCAGCAGGTAAAACAGTAGGTAAAACAGTATCAGTAAGTGCTGTTGACCCTTTTTCGTCCTGGTTCTATATTCAAGCCAATCTAGTTGCTTACTATACTTGGTCCAGCAGCCACATTCACATACAGCAAGTCTTTTGGAATACCTGATTAGCAGGTAAGTGCCTGTAGATAATTCACTGAGGGTCCTCCCTGATCTTTTCACGTTTCCATTGAAGCTACAGCCTACAGCCCACTCTCCACCTAAATCCAAAAGTATATCCGAGTCGTTTCTAGAATCAGTAAAGCAAAGGCGACAGGATCGAGGTGGAAGCTATACCAGACACCGGTGGGGATCCCAGCAAGATGTTGGGGTAACTATGGTTCCCTATTATTAGTGTACGCATCGGAGAACATGGTATTTTCTTCTTTCACTTCGTTAAGGTCCCTGAGAGAACGCATACTGCAGGTACAGCGAGATTTTGGCCATGTGGACAACTAGGTACGTGGCCGCCCTAGCCTTCTATTATATCATGCCATGTCATGACGGCATAGGGTCTATCTTCCCATCTGTGTCGGATGTCTCTGACATGGGAATTTCCTCCCCGAGATGATCATATCCGACTTGAGGCTATTTGGAAAGCTTTGATTTCTGGACTGAGAGAAATGATGTGTGCAGTATCCAGCGAGGCGCTATTACCTGCCGTTTATTCTGCTGGTCTCGGTTCACATACAAGGCGCCAAGAAGCAAAAGAAACACCCTCCAGCTCTTACAGATCAAACTGACAAGACCTTCCATGGTTCCGCTTTCCACAAACATCACCATTACTATAATCATGGTCCAGGTCAATAAAGACGGACTTGTACTGCAGATAAGAGCGCCTTAAGCGGGGATGATCAGTGCAAGCGTCACCAAGCCCAACTTCGAGGTCCGCCTTGAGTCTGGTTTGGCTGGGACTGAATTTCTTCGGGCCTAACGTTTCGCATGCAATACCCAGCGGGTCAACATTGTCCCACGACCCCGAGTCATTTGGCAGGCAGATCCGGATCTGAATTTGGTGGGAAGGTTAGAATTGTGCATGTTTTGGGCAAATGCTAAAACACAGAGGACGTTCATACCCATGGCTCATTCCCATTGTAGTGGCTATCAGAAGCCGAAGTGAAGTGGACGACGAACTTGCCACGAGTGGGGTCAAAGGCGTGTTGGTCATCATTACAGTCGAACAATGCGTTTGCTGAGAGGGCAAAGAGTGTGGGGTAGAAGAGCTTGGAGATATACATCTTGATGGAGGTGTGAGAATGTTCAGGTGAGTTGTAATTTGGTTGGGAACTTGGTGCTTTCTTTTTTTGGGTTTTTTCTTGCCCTGTCTCTTATTATTTCTGGGGGGAGTGCTTAGGCTGATAGTTGAAGTATGTCCGAGCAGACCGGAGTATTTATGTCCTTGCTACCATCACCATCCTTCGGTCATCAGGCCGTTTTAGACCTGCCATGAGATGAATTTTTTTTCTAAGAAAGGTCACATCTGCCGTGGGGAGCCTAACATGCGATTGAACCGCGGAAGACGGAAGAAATGTTATATTTGTCTACTATGTATAGATACAAAGGATATGGGGGCCAAACTGTGGACTTTCCCTTTAGGGAAACTCCACCAACACTCGGTGATATCTACCAACGCTCGGTGATATCTACATCGAACAGCGTCCACTTCCATGATTCGAAAGCACATGGGCCCCCTCGCGGCCCAGAATATCGTCATGGGGGGGGCTAAGTAGTCTGGAATCCGTCACCAAAGATTTACCTAATATGATAGTGCTACAGTGAGGACCTCGCTACCATCGGACTTGAACCGCCATAAAACTTATAAATACGTCCGTCTCATCGCAGGGCTTCCAGTTCACCATCATCTACGCTTACGAGCAATCAATCCCACCATCCGTACGCTCAATTCGTTTACAATACTCGTCACAACATGCTTGTGTCTTCGAGCAAGAAATTGGCCCTGATGGGTGCAATGATGCTTGGCCTTGGACAGGGCGCTTGGGGGCTTTGGGACTGCATTCTGGACCAGCATGTTTTCCCTGTCGACACCAACAAGTTCGTCGTGCACTTTACTTCTTTGCGGGATAGTCATTTCCCCGCGGATGGACCAGTCCGGCCATGGGTACGTTGCTCTACTATATCGCATCTCCACCGTCTCATAGCACCGGTACTGGATGGATGGAATAGTTGCTGACCCTTATAACTCAACTAGATCCGCATCTGCCTTCCATCAGACACCGGCACCGGTTGGAAGAATGTTAGCCCCCTGGAGGTGGACTGTGGACATAAGGGACAAACTATTACTCCGGCCAAAACCCACCTAAAAGCTGATCTTTGGATTGCTGGGGGCAATGGCTGTGATTCGGGTGATGAGGGCAACTTGGAAGGAGCAGGGATCCGTTATAAAGACCAGGAGATCAATCTACAGCACGAAGAGAAACGGTGTGGGCCCCGGGATCATGGAATTACTTGCCAATTTGACCTGTGAGAAGACAGTGTTGGAAGGATTGCTAGAATACTATGGTTCAACTGTATGCTTGACGGGCTTTGTAGTTTGTAGTTTGTAGGGCTTCGCAGGCCAGATGGAAGAGTCGGTCTTGGCGGGGAAGATCCGATCTCTTCCTCAGGCACGTTGTTTGGGTCCACCTGACTTGGGACTGCATACCCGTCACGTGTTCCCCGACGCGCTCATACTTTCACCTCACTCCAACAATTCGCCCATCAACCAGCAACACGGACAGAAGAAAATAGAGGACAAAAGCGAAAGAGGAGAAGAAGAGAAGAGGATGCTCGACTCATCATGAGTCGCTATCTCACCCCCTCCAAAGTCGCGTTACTGTGCCTCATCTCCATCTACACGGAAGGAGTCGTCCCCAACTCCGCCGCCATCCATGTCCTATCCTTCTTAGTCTCGTGTCTAACCCCGTTAGACCCGGGAGAGCCCGGGTTTTCTAGTGGGAAATGGACCAAGCAGTCGTCCGTGTCGATCGCAGACCTTGAGGAAGGCCTCTCCCACCGCCCCTCTTCAATCCCCGGCCGCTCCGTCTGGGACTTGTTCCTGCGGAAGGCCTGGTCCCTGGACTCGTGCGATGCCCTGGAGGTCTTTTTTACGGAGATCTCTGACATGCTGGTCAAGACCCGTGACGAGCAGATGCGGGACAGGGACCAGGGTCTGGCCCCCGAGACGGGCGGGATGCGCTTGTCCCGGTGCTCCCCGCTGGGGGCGTTCGTGCGCAGGGCCCAGCTCGAATTCACGCGCCTGCAATTTCACGACTCGGTGAAGCTGTGGAAGGGCTTTGTTAAGTACCGTCTGCCGACGTACTGGATGTGGGCGAGGCGGAATCCTAGTGAGGATCATGCTCCTGTGGATATCAACCTGCTCGCCCTGTCGTTGGAGACCGACAGTCCGCTGGCTCAGGTGGCATACGGCACTATTGATGAGTCGGACTCCGAGGATGAAACGTACGTGAGTACCAAGGACGTGGAGCGATTGTTAGAGTTCCAGATCGGAGAGTTACAGCGTATGTAGAACCCCCGAGAACAGATAGAACGATTACTGACGAGGTACAGGATTGGGAGGCAGAGTCCCCGACGCGATGAAAACTCAATTGGAGCGGATCGTCACGGCGGGCGTGACATTGCCAAATCTGGCTCACTATCTCAAGTGAGTCCCCATCATCTGGCTCGAAGGGCGATAGATGCTGACCATTCAGGTTCCTCGATGCCTGGAGAGCCGGCGATTATCCATCGTCGTTTGACAATCTCCACCGATATTTCGACTACACCATGCGTAGCCGGGATCGGAGCTCCTACCAGTATGCTCTGTTAAACCTGGCCATCCTGCAGGCGGATTTCGGGTGCTACGGAGAAGCCGTGTCGGCGATGCAGGAAGCGGTGTCCATCGCGCGCGAGTCACACGATATGAACTGTCTGAATTTCTGCATGAGCTGGCTGTATCACTTCGGCAAGGCCTTTCCGGAGCACATGAAGGATGTCCAGAACACGGGTATGCTGGGTAATGAGAAGGAGGGCCTGGCCTTTTTGAAGGCCAAGGCGAAAGAGACTGAGATGTGGAGTCTGCTAAGCACTACCCTTTTAAGCGAGGCGAAGCTCGAGTTGCAAAAGGTGAGTCTAGCTCTGGTCTACATGTTCTCCTAACTAACAACTCGAAGGGAGAGAGTCTAGCGTCGTCAATCGAAAACATCGTTCGTGCGTCCCATCTGAACGTCACCAAAAATGTTGCTCTCTCGATGGGGCCTCAGCTTCTGCTACAGACTTCACTCTACGCACGAATAGGTATACAGTCTGACCATCTTCGCTGTGAACACTACTAACTACTTCAGGCGTCTCCCACCTCGCCTGGTTGAATAGCGAGATCTTCCTCGAATGCTACGCCAGTCGGGCTCCGTTTGAGGATTATCTCAAGAACACCTTCCGCAGCTGCCAGCTGGTACTTCTTCCTTCCTATCTCGTTAGGCCTACGCTAACTTCCATCAGCTAGCACAACAAGGCCGCTACAAGGAGGCGTCAGCCCGGATGAATGACATCGCCCCGGAGAAGCTCCGGTCGTTGAAAGAGAACCAGCTGTGGACGTTTTTCTCGGGACTCATGCAGCTCCGCCGACAGATCTACCGGTATGCCATACACAGAAAAAGAAAAACAATCACAAAACGCAAAAAGAAAGAAAGAAAGAAACTAAATAACAACCACCAGAGACAACCAAATAGCAGCGGACCACCTCCTCACCCAACTCCAATCCATTCAACTCCCCGACACAGACCTCACCCTCACTCTCACCCTCCTCACAATCGAATACACAATCCGCAAAGGCAACCACGCGCAAGCCCTCTCCCTCATCGAACAAACCGCCCAATCCCTCCACCACGAAAACTTCGACATCCACACCCAGATCCAACTCCTCTGCCTGAAAGCCCGCATCCTCGACAAAACCAGCCAGCCCCAGCGCGGCTTCTCGCTCGCCATGCGCGCTGCCAGCATCGCCCACCGCGCTCGCCTCCTCCCCGACCTCTGCGACGCCGTATGCGCCCTCGCCGCCGTGCTCCTCAGTCTGCGCGAGTTCACCGCTGTCGCTGCTATGCTTGAGAGCGTTATGCCGCAGGTGCTGGAGGCAAACGATGCGGCTCTCGCTGCCCGCGCTTACTCGCTTCTCGTTGATGCTAATATGGGTGTGGCGGGCTCCTTGCGCAAAGCAGCTGACCCCGCTAAGAAGGAGTATATGAATCGCGCGCTTGGGTACCTTGACTGTGCGTATGATCAGTTTGAGGAGCTGGAGGATATCCGCGGCCAGTGTGAGATGATGGCTAAGAAGGCTACTGTTATGCAGCTGTCTGGGGACCTGGTGCTGGCGAATGATTATGCCGCTAAGTATTTGGATTTGCGGAAGCTGGGGGCGGCGGAGGTGGTGTGATAGTAATTATTATTATCTTTTTAGATCTTAGTTTCAGTCAGTTAGTCTACCTGCTTACCATAGTACAGTAGTGACTACATCTACAGATAGCTACGCTATCAAATAAATCGGTAGAACAATATATGTAATGTACGATTCAGACAAAGGAAAGTCAACGTCCAAGTATGGTAGGTGTGAATTCAAACGACAGCTCCTCCCTCCCCTCTCTGCACAGACTTCTCGCTCTATCTTCAGACAGGCTGCGGTGGCATAGCAGTAGCAGTAAATATACAGGTCCGGTCCTTCGCTTCTCCCGGAGACGCGGGGTTCGAGCCATTTGCTGGTCCGCTCAAGGCACGTTTAGGTGGCCTTGTCCTTGTTGTGGTAGTTGACAGAGCTGTTCCAGCTGCATGGGGTTAGTTCATAATTCATGAGGGTCGACGGGTGTATATCTGTATATCTGTCGGCAGACGGAAGAAACTTACAAGATGGTCTGGGAAAAGTAACTCGTTAGTATATTTCAGCATCACAGCTAGTAGAAAAAGGAACTAACCTTGTCACCATCGCTCCAGGGGTAGTTCTTCACCCGGATGTTCTGGTAGGGGTACTCGACGCGCTCCTCCAGAGGGGGCATGTGCTCCCAGTGCTCCCAGTGCTCCTCCCAGAGGTTGTAGGAGTTGATAGCGCCGAGGACGATGACGGGGACGACGGCACTATGCAATTGTCAGATTAATCCTACTCTGTACCTTGTCCGTTGATTGTATTCTTCTTTTCGAGCGTATTGGCCCGATTTGGAAAACGCCCAGTGAGGGAAAGCGGAGGACCCGGGGAAATAACGTACTAGAGGGAAAGCTTGCGCCACAGGTCTAGACAACCAATTGCGTCAGTATCACACTCCCAATCAACCCAATTCCACCCTGGAGCTCTGCCAGAGATCCAATTCCATAGAATACAACAGGGGACAAGAGGGAAACGCACCGCTGGTCGAGTTGGCGTGGTGCTTGACAGCCTCCCGCTCACGGTTGAAGCTGTTTTCGACGGCCCAGGGAAACTTGTCGCCGGTGCCGGTGCTGTTGAAACGGCGCGGGGCGGAGCGGAACTGCTGAGCAGCACGCTGGGACATGCGAGCGGCGGTGCGTTGAGCGAACATGGTGGTGGACGCGAGGGTTGGTTGGAGGGGGGGGGTTAAATCTGAGGCAGAAGGGGAGGGAAATGGTGGGATTGATCGCAAGACGTCGGGCAATTCGGCTGGCCAGCAAAATCCCGTGACTTGGCTGCTCTCGGGTGGGCTTATGTCAGCATCGCGTGACATCACCCGCTTGGAGGTCACGTGGGCTGCGTCGAACCATCGTATCGCGATTATTCAGACATCAAACGGGGTTCTAAACACCCTGTTTACTCCCCCAGTCTGGTTTTATTGACGGGGACTCTGTTGATATGTGCACGGCTGGATCGTAGTGCCGGGATGGGGTTTCGCATTACAACATGGAATGGTAAGCATGTGCCATAGTTATCTCGTACATGGGAACGGGTTGTGGAACAAGGTGCTAACTACAATCCGCAGTCAATGGGATTCGGTATGTCTATTTACAATATTAATACAGCCTGTATTGACTCCATATTCTATAGAAATCCATTTTCGTACGAGCCATGGCGGGGAACGCGGACGTTTGAGGTAATCACACGCGGCCATCGTACGTTCCAGGACAGGGCTGATCGTATCAGGCCATGTTCGAAATCCTAGAGGCGGACATTGTCGTCTTCCAAGAAACCAAGATCCAGCGCAAAGACCTCCGCGATGACATGATCCTCATCCCCGGGTGGGACTGCTACTTTAGTCTCCCCAAGACCAAAAAAGGTTCGCTGTGCCTATGAGTCGGGGACGGATGGGATCTGATATTGACCGCGTCTAGGCTACTCGGGGGTCGTCATCTACACTCGCAATGCGACGTGTGCTCCCATCCGCGCCGAAGAGGGTCTAACGGGCGTTCTCTGTCCGCCCAGTTCGTCGGTCTCGTTCCGGGATCTCCCCGACGATCAGCAGATCGGGGGCTACCCGACGATGGAGCAGCTCAGCGAGCTCGAGCTAGACGCGGCCACGCTCGACTCGGAGGGCCGATGCGTGATCCTCGAGTTTCCCGCCTTTGTCTTGCTGGGTCTCTACAGTCCCGCCAATCGGGATGAGAGCCGGGACGCTTTCCGCCACTGCTTTCTCGATATCTTGGATGCCCGGATCCGCAATTTGGTCGCCATGGGGAAGAGAGTGTTCGTCACGGGCGATATCAATATCTCTCGCGGCGAGATCGACGCGGCCCATGCGTCTGAGGCCATCCGCAAGGGCACCTTGACGGAGGATGAATTCGTATCTGTGCCGGCGCGCCGGCTCGTCAATCATTTGCTCACCGATGGGAACGTCGTGGGGCCGCGGGACGAGGGGCGTGAGCAGCCCGTTCTCCACGATATCTGCCGGTCGTTCCATCCGGACCGGAGAGGCATGTACACGTGCTGGGAGCAGCGGATCAATGCCCGACCGGGGAACTACGGCTCGCGGATTGACTATGTCTTGTGCAGCCGAGACATGGAGGACTGGTTCTGCGAGTCCAACATCCAAGAGGGGTTGATGGTGGGTTTTATTCTTTTACTTTATCCGAGTTAGACGGAACCAGCTAAGTTGAAATGCTAGGGATCTGACCACTGTCCGGTGTATGCGGTCTTCAAAGACTCCGTCCCCCTTGGCGACAAGACAGTCAACATCCTCGACGTGATGAATCCCCCGGGGGTGTTTCGAGATGGCCAGCGCCAGCAGGAGTACACGACAAAGTTCCTTCTACCTATCTCTGGGCGATTGATCCCCGAGTTTGACAAGCGACGGAGCATCAAAGACATGTTCTCTCGAAAACCTACGGCCGCCTCGCAGAAACCCACTCCATCATTGACCAAGTCTGTCTCCACCTCCGAAAAAGAGACACCTTCAAGTACAGCGAAGGATACATCAAGCGACACCGCCAGCACACCTCTCCCCAATAGCGACCGCAGTGCAGGAGGACAAGGGATGGTTCGTAAGCGGTCGGAAAAAGAGAACTCCTCCCCGACCGTGCCAGTCAAACGATCCAAGTCCGCCATGGGAGCCCCGCCCGTAGCGTCCGCTGCAGGACAGAAGACGCTCAAAGGGTTCTTCAAGCCAAAGACTACGCCACAGAGCAGCCCTACCAAAGCCACACCAGTATCCGAAACCAGCACTACACCAGACACGGGAACATCCGTCGCCAGCGATGCCGTTCCTACGAGCGAGACCCAAGACCACGAGAGCGTTATCGACCCAATCGCCGCCAAGGAAGACTGGACGAAGCTGTTCAGCAAAAAGCCAACCCCCCGGTGTGATGGCCACCAGGAGCCGTGCATCAGCCTGACGACCAAGAAGCCAGGTGTCAACTGTGGGCGAGCCTTTTGGATCTGTCCGCGGCCGCTGGGTCCGAGTGGTGAGAAGGAGAAGGGGACCCAGTGGCGGTGTCCTACATTCATCTGGGCCAGTGATTACAATCCTTAATGTGAGGAAGGAGGGGAAGGAGAAAAGAGACCAGTGACAGCGCCTGTCAGTAGGGTTTCCGCAGTGATAGCCATTCTTTCATTCACTCAACATGACACTGCTATTGTGTTGACTCATGGTTGCCTAATCCGTACGTGAATACACAGTGTGGCTGGAGAGGGGAAATAAGCAGTTACTGACAGAATGAGTCAGTCGTTGTCGACGGTATCAGGAATTGGACTGATATTCATTCATTCACTCCATCCCAGCCACCCAGCCCCACCATTCTTCTACCTCCAACAATGCCATTCTTCTCCTTGAACAATAGGCAAAGAACAGACGAAGAAAAAAAAAGAAAACCAGTCGGGCCACAGGAAAATGGAGAAGAAGAAAAAAAGAGACGAGTCCAAAGCGCACAGGAGAAATGTGATCCACCATTGGTTGCAATGCAAACGACCGTGGGCCCATGCATGAGGATAATGCAGGGCTCCGATGCTTTTCTAACATGCACTTCTCGGGTAGATCTATACTCTTATGTAGTTGTCTTTGCTGTAGAATAAAGTAGAGATCCATGGGTACAATTCCATTGTATGTCCATTGCTATCTGCTATCAAGTATCTAGAGCTAGCTACTCGCAGTCAACCTCAGTGTCATGAACTTCTTCCCACCGAGGCATATTTCTCTATCGTAGTCTGTTCATCAAGAGAAACAACATAATAACAACGCAGAAGAGTGGACAAAGAAATAACAACAAAAGCAAGAAGAAAATAGAGTTATCCGACCAACGTGTCTAGGCACGTGGAGAACCAACCTCAACAACACCAGACCCCGATGAATTAAAGTACAGCATTAAAGGAAATAAAGAAATAAAGGCAGAGCAAAAAAACAAAAGAAGACAACAACTCGATCGATCGAATCATCCCAGATACGCCCCCGTCCATCCATCGCATCAATCTCATCCATATCAACCCTAATAACAATCCGTCACGTAGTCCGAGAACTCAAACGGCTCACCAGAAGGCACCCCAAACGCAAAGGCACTCTCTCCAAAGTTGAATTCTCCCTGCACCTGCTGCACGAGCTGTCCGAAGATGTCGGTGTCGAAGTCGAGCGTCTCCAGGCCGGTCGGGCTCTCGCTGGGACTCGCCACTGCGGCTGTGGGCGGGCTGGTGGTTGTTGGGATGGCTGCATCGTGGATGCCTGGTGTGGAGGACGTGGTGTCTGACGGGGTGGGCAGTTGCTGGGCTGGTTTGGCGTGTTGGCGAGAGGGAGCGCGTCGCTTCTTCTCGGATGGTTTGCGTGGTGTGTAGTGGTAGTCCGGGTGCTCTTCGGTGTGCTTTCTCTTGAGGTCTTCGGCCATGTTGCGGAATTGCATTTTGACTGTCTCAGTTTCGGCTTTCCAGGCATATCCTATAATGCTGACTCTCCTGATTCAACATACTGGAAATGGTTTGTAGTGAATGCACAGGGGCAAGTACCATGGGTTGCCACAATCAGCAATGTGCTGTTGAACATTGTAATATATCACTGGACATTACAATCACTCCTACACTGAAGAACAATACCAACTATCATCCGACTCTTTGTATTGTTCTCAACATTTATCTGGCCAAGTTGAATGGACAATCTGGATTGAGTTAGTATTGTCTTCCATTTTAATTTGCCGTCTCCTCGCCAGTGAATACACCGTCGGAGGTCTCAGTGACTTCCTTTGTTTAGCCAGCCTCCCTCATAATAGGCCTGGAACACTGATTCAACCTTTGTTCTTCTCGAAGACTTTATTATAAAAGGATCTATCTTCCTTCCACACTCTCTCTGTTTCATCTCTCCTACCATTCCTGCCCTCTACAAATCTGCTTAACATCTTCATCCACTTTCAACGTCTACGCTTTGGACCATCAGCTTCATCAGTACCTGGTTTCTTGTCTATCCAAACACACTCCCAGTCCAAGAACAAAGAGTGTTGTTTTGGTTCGAGATGGAAGACCATCTTGCTATCCTGAGATCTTTCAGCGAGCTCGTCCGCTCCATGCCTGCGCAGCAAATGCAGGAACTTATTGACAACATGCAACGTGAGGTTGACAACCACTCCATTGGCAATACTCCTGAGACCACCATTGACGCCGAAAATGGACCTCCTGTGCCCGAGGCGGCAATTAGTCGTCCTTCAAGTTCGCGTGGTAGACGTGCCCAGGGGGTGAGAAGAAGGCCACTAAACAGCTTCATTGCTTTCCGAAGTATGCTCTTCTACCACACTTTTCATGAATGTATATGCTAATGAGATTTCAGGTTACTACTCTCCCATTTTTCCGGACCTCACCCAGAAAATCAAGTCGGGCATTCTTCGTTTCTTGTGGCAGAACGATCCATACAAAGCCAAATGGGCCATTCTTGCTAGAGCTTACTCCACCATCCGTGACGACCATGATGGCAGAGTTGCTCTGGAAGTTTTCCTCATCCTAAATGCTCAGTTTATTGGTATCCCGAAGCCAGAAAGATACCTTGCCCTTATGGGTTGGACTGTGCAAGTGGATGACCAGCAGCAATACACTTTGGGGAAAATCCACGAGCCTACCATCCTCGAGCATAATGCGGCAACTAATTACTCTGTCGACGACATTGTTCAAAACTGCTATGCCACTGGATACGTCCGCGAGAACACGCGCAGAGACAGGGGCATCCAAAATGGCAATGTTCCGGTGTTGGCTTTTGCTGCTCAGCCGACGTTGATTGTCCAAGCCAACGACAATATTCGGATTCCAGGAAACCAAGTCCCCACCCACGATGATGACCATGCGATGGATGTTGTCACTCTGGAAGAAACTGCGGAAATCCCCGATTCGACTTCAAATGGTGGTGACGCTCATGCCAGGGTAGCTCTTCCAGAAAATATGCAAGGTCAAGCTGTCGAAGACCGGGAGCGAGGCCAACCCATTCCCAATCAATTCGATTTCGATTTTGGAATTCCAGAGTGGGACAATGGCGCGCAAGTTTTCACCTGGGAAACATTGCTGCAAGACCCATTGCCTGACTATGACACCTTGCTTCCGGCACCCCAGGATCTCGTTGACTTTGAGCAATACCTAAATGTGCAGCCTACGGGTTATGCTGGTTATGGTTTACCCTGAACTGGGGCTGATGGGCACGATCAATACAATACTTGACAATGTCCCCATCCTGTCGACGCCTTCCACATACCACACCGAAAACCAATAATCAACAAAAAACAATCATGTACCATACCGAACCGACCACCACTCCAACCCAGTTCAAATTGCCATATCCACCATCGAAGTTGCAACGACCAGGAGCGGAGAAACGGGGTGTGTCTGTTCTTATCTTTCCATGTTTCTATTTCCCATTGCAGTTGCTGTGCAACAAGAAGACATCGATCGGGTTCGAGCGTCAGCACATACACTTTTAATTTGACACGGAAGGCAACCAGTGTGTATTTCTTTCTGATGTTTCCTTTTCTTTTTCTTTATTTCGTGGATTTAACTTATTCTTTTTCTTTCTCTATCATGTGTTTTTATGACGATGACACGAATCGGCTTTGTCCTTTGTCTTTTGTCTTTCTTTCATCTTCCCGCCGTCAGTACCTTCAGCCGAAGTTACCGAGCTTGAAGCGGAATGACCATGGTCGCGGTGGTCGAAATCATGATGGAAGTTTCTTTTCTTTACTTTCTTTCTTTCGAGTTTATGTTGTGTATTCTCCTGTCTTCCCTAACAGATTGGATTGACGAACGAGAGGATCGGACGTGACATACATACATACATATGTTGTCTGTCCACTTGCTACTTACTTGGAGTGGCCTCTTGATCCTGGTTACATGTCTTTCCTATCAATTGTTACTGTCTTTGTCTACTTTCCCACGGGATGATGGACCGACGGAGGATTCGAGATACTATTATGTTTTTGCAGGCGTTCGACGGAATCAAGAATCAACGGATGGAATGAATGAATGAATGAAACGAACGAGACGAATCGAAATGAATTATGAAAGAGGATGGCTCGGTTACAGTGGACATGCCACGTTTTGTATCTAACTAAATTGATAACGAGTTTTCCTCCCTTTCTTCCTTGTCGTAGGAGAGTTGTAGTCGATGTAGGAAAGTGTCACAGTAGTGGAGTAGGGTAAGGAGAGATGTAGCACATATCCAACCGCAGTCAACCTCCATCGATAGTCCAAAGGCACCGTACTACATACATACAGACTGCATTGGCCAGTCTTTTCTTTCCTTGCAGGATGTAGCACAGGTGAAGGCTGTACTATCTACCCCCAGGTACATACCTACTCCGTCTGTACGTCGAGGTCGGAATGTAGTACAGCATCCATCATACATAACATCACCATAGTATGTAGCAATATAGTAGCAGCAGTAAGTACCGCAGTAGTAGTGTAGTAGCAGTGTAGTAGTAAAACTGGTAGACTAAAGTAAGAAAACTAAAATAAAGAACAAAGAAAAGAAATGCACGTATCATCACTCTGAAATCAAGTGTCATCGCCGGATGGGGCAAGACGCGCTCTCCACCTTGTTGCGGTTGACTTTCTTTCTTCTTTTTCTTCTTTCTTCTGCAATTTTTGATCGTTTTTACCTTTTCTTGAGGGCGTGGAGATGTTTCCTTTGCCTTCTTGATACTTACTATTTACTACGCGTGCTTTCTACGGTGTGCTCTAATCATTGGGTGATAATGATGGAAATGATATCGATGTGGAGAAAGACAAAGAAACAACCTCAAGAAAGAAACAACCTCTCCTCCTCTCCTCCTCCTCCTTAGTAGGTATGTACGTAGTACCACCTTATACAATTCCATCCTCAACCCATCAACCACGGACGAAAGGTGGATAGGATTAATGAACCCAGTAGTCAACCCCAATCCTCAACCTTCGCCTTCAAGACTCTCCTCAAACAAAGAATCCCCAGGTCCCCACATCCATCCTACTTCTACTTCTACTTCTAATTGGACTTCCTATAATTTCCACTTCCATTCTTTTTTACTTTTCAAATTCCGTCTAAATTGAAAGAAACTTAGTTGAAAACTAGGTTAGAGTAAATACGGTACCTCTATTTGTCTACGGAGTACCTCTACCTTACCTTCCCTCCAGGCCTAGATCAGTAGATATATTACTGTATGATTGGTGAAAAGTAGAACTTCAACTAAAGTAGTACTGTACTGTGTCTGGTATATCCAACTACACAAAGAAAAAAGTGGAAAGAAATCGAACAGCTAGGTACAATGAAAGAAAAGAAGAAATTCGCCCCGCTAATCTTCCTGGTAGGAAATCTTGCGCATCTCTCCTAGACGCTGGCGGGCTCGGCCTAGATTGTTCTCCAGTTGGAGGATTTCGACCTGTGGATATTTGGTTAGTTGGGACGTTGACGAAGAATTGGGGAACGCTTTGCTCGGGGGTAGGGTGGAGTAGTGTAGTGTAGTCACAGGAGAGAGAGCAAAAAAGGGAAAGGAAAGGAAAAGAAGAACTAACCTGCTGCTCCATCTCCCGCACCTTAAACTCATGCGAGCTGAGCTTAGCGTAATCCTCCCTCTCGCCCTCGTCTTGGTTCCGCTCCTTGATGATCTCCTGCACCTGTCTGACCAGAGATCGACAGGCCTTGCCGACTGCCTTGCTGGCCGTCTCGAGCCGGTCCTGCGTCTTGCTCATGAACGTCGCCTTGACGCGACTGGCTGCCACGAGCTGCGCCGTGCTGGCCGCGACGTCGTTGCTCGCCACGATGAGCTGCTCCGGCGAGTTGCGGCCGGAGATGACTCCGTCGGCTGTCTCGATCAGCGTGTTGGTCGAGTTGGCCACTGCCTTGGCGGCGGAGATCAGGCCTTCTGTCCAGCGGTTGTTCTTCTTGTAGAAGGCTGTCTTGGAGGAGCTGCCGCGTCCTTCCCGTACGATCTCCTGCTGGGAGACTGTTGCCGCTTTGATGAGCTCGGCGATTGCGGTCGTCACTGCGATGGCTGCTTCCAGGATAGAGTCGTTGATCCGCAGCTCGTAGGTCGAGTACCCGTCGCGCGGCTTCGACCGGAGCTTGGCCAGTCGCTGCGCTGCCGCGTCGATCGCGTCAGCTGCCTTGGTCAGCTCGTTGTCGACCAGGTCGCCGAGGTCGCCGCTCGTGCTGAGCTTCGAGTTCTTGGGCGCGAACGCGTCGACCAGCTTGGACAGCGCCTGCAGATCCCGCTGGACCTCCAGGTTGTTGTTGATCACCACGTCCGTCTTCTGCAGTGCCTCCAGGCCCTCCAGTCGGAACGACTGCAGGCCGCGGAAGAACCGCACCGTCGCCTGCGCCGACTTGCGCCCCGCGTTGATCAGCTGGTCCGAGTTCTTCTCGTCGTTGGCGAACCGCGTCAGACCCTTGGTGTTGCTCAGCACGTCCGCCACGGACCCGGAGAAGATGGAGACCGTGCGGATGATCTCCGCGTGCGGGCTGCTGGGACCGTCCGCAATGAAGTTGTTGAACGCCGTCGAGAACTCCGTCGCTGACGCGGACGCCTTCTCGATCTGCGAGAGCACGTACGGCGCCGACGCGTTCTGGTTTCCGGCCTGCATGTTCGAGTCCAGCTCGTACAGCGCGTCATCCACCCGCTGCACACCCGTCTGGAGCACCGAGTCGATAATGTCGTTGATCTTGGCCACCGTGCCGTGCAGCACGGTGTCGATCTGCGAATCCAACGCGGTATCGACATCGCCTTGGTTCTGTTAAAGATTAGCATCGTAATCTACTTGAAGAGTAAACCTCGTAGACGTACCAGCTTAAGTTCCTCCAATTCCATCAACGCCTGCTCCATGCCGGACTTGTACACTTCAATCTCCTCGTCCTTCTCGCGGAGAGCGAGTTCCTGATCCTCGGAAGACTCGTGAGTGCGCGTTGAGGCATCCTCCAACGCACGGGTTTTCATCTACATAGTCAGCACGCGTTTAGAGAAGAAAGAACGAGGAGGGAAATACCCGCAAAGACTCCTCCAAATCAGCCATCTCCCGGTTATACTTAGACAGCATAGCCGAGATCTCCGTGCCCTTGGAGCGCTCGGCATTCTCAGCCCGCTCCAGAGCAAACCGCAGCTCGCGCTTGACCTTCTCCAGCTCCTCCTTGTTGGATCCGGTCAAACGGTCGCGATCGTGCAGGGCGCGGTCGCGCTCGCGGATCATGTCGGCCAGCTCCAGGTTCTTGGTCTTGAGCTCGCGCTCCAGCTTCTCGCGGCGCTCGATGGCCTCCTGCGCCGACGCGGCCTTGAGTTTGAGGCTCTTGGTGGTCTGCAGCAGGTCGAGATGCTCTTGTCGCAGCTGCGAGTAGAGCTTAGCTAGCGCCTCGTATTTGGTGCGCCATGTGTTGACCTGCTCCTGCAGCGAGCGGATCTGGTCGTCCCGCGAGGCGTTCTGCTGGTTCAGGTTCGTGGTCAAATGATTCATCTGCTCTTCCAGGTCCTTGACCCGGCGGTCGTACTGCTGGAGCATCAGCTGGTCCCGCTCGTACTGCGCCCGGGCGTTCAGGTTCTCCTGCTCCAGCTCGGCCAAGCGACCCTGGGTGTGGGTCTGGTATTGGTCGCGCAGGAGCTGCTCGTGCGCCAGACGCGCCTGTTCGGCCTGTTGGCGTTGTTGCTCCTCGAAGTCCACTTGCGCCTGTTGGTTCGCCAGCATCTGCTGACGCTGTTGTTCCTCCCACTGCTGCTGCAGGCGCAGCTGCTCCGCCTCGAATTCCTCCTGTTGACGCTTGGCTTCGGTGGTCCAGAAGTCCTGGATCGGCTCGGGCTCGGCAGCGGTCAACTTGGGCGGCGGGGACGGTTCCTCGATCTCCCGGGCGGGACGCCGTGGGAGGGCCGGGCGTTCGTCGTCATCGGAGAGCAGGTTGGGCGGATCTTGGGGCAGTTTGGGGATCGTAATGAGACTGGTCAGGTAGCGCAGGTTGGAGCACTCGTAGTAGAAGCGCACGAGTCGATAATGCTGGGCGTCGTATCGGCCGCGCAGGGGCTCCAGGGCTTCGTCATCACCGGTCGCTGACTCGTGAGCATCCAATCATGACGGGGAAAACGGAACATAGAAAACATACTTGTGTGCATCGCCCGCAACATGCTGGTAATGAACTTATAGATCCCGTAGCTCTCCTGCACCAAAGGCACCAGCGAGGAGATCCGACACTCGTTGTTGTTTCCCGACTGGAAATGTGAGAAGATCAACTTCTGGAACCCATCGATCTGATCCTGCAGGGTCATCAGATCGGAGATCGTCTCGTAGCTATATCGGTCAGCCAGCACCCCACAACATCTGCCAAATCCCGCTTACCCTTCATTCGGATCGTTGGTCGTCTTCAAGCTGATGTACTCCTCGTACTCGAACAGGCCTGTCGCAGTCAGCCAAACGTCCTGCCTCAGGCGGACACCTCCAAACCATCCACATACCATTAAACTCAGGGTGATTCCGATGGAACGCCAATTTCGACTCGAGGAAGTACACATATTCGCGAATCAAAGGTCCATAGCCTGCACGTCAATCAGCATCCACACCAACCCAGTACCCCCTCGAGGGGACGCGCGCATACCTCGGATACCATCGCCACCAACACCGCGCATCAAGCTATCAATCCAATTGACATGCTGCTGAGCCTCCCGAACAACGATCGGATGGCCCTCCTGCAGAACCTTATGGATGGTGATAAGCGCCTTGTACGTCTGGACCTCGTCGGCGAGCACCGGTTGGCTATCGGAATCGAATCGAGAGGGTCAGTCTGGAAACGGGCGCGACCGGAGGGGGAGGAGGATAATCGGGGGGCGACACCACATACACCTTCATTCCCGCCCAGAAGGCGGCAGAGGACTTGTGGTCCCAGGTATAGACGATACAGCTCCGGACATGTTTTCCTAGACAGCCATCAATAACCGCTCGTTCAATGCGCCTGTCGAGGCACAACACTTCATCACGTACGTTTCGGGGCGGTTTCCTCTGCAATTGAAACAATTATTGTCAGCTACTCCAACTCATGTATACTCTCAACAACCACCAACTCCATTGTCAAATCCAAAAACATACCAATACTAGTAGCCTTGCGAATATTAATCGCCAGATCGGCCTCCGTCCTACCAAGTTCAAGCCAAGCAGTTAGTCAAGGAGACACACCCCGCACGCCCCATCCGAAACCCCAACAATGGCCAACACATACCGACTCATCTTGACAGCTGACAGCGGATCTCAATCCTCGACAGCAGAGTTCCGTAAGTGGTGAGTAACTCAGGGGGTGGAAAAAGGAACAGGGGGTAGAGAAAGAAGAGCGACGGAAAGCCGGTGGGCCCGAAGGCGGGAAACCTGGAGTAGTCGAGTCGTGTGGCCAGACCACGGGAATGAGGGGAACGAAGGATAAGAGGGAAAGATCCTCGAGGAGAATCAGACAGGACGACGACTCCGATCGATCAATCAATCCGTCGAGAATGGAGAGGAGGGGGTAGAAAGGAGGGGAGAGAAAAGAAAGAGTGAAGAGAGAAGAAGCATGACGTCTCTGGGTGGGAAAGGCTGACGCTGTCTTGGCACGTGCGTCGTCACCTCCTGAGTCCATTGGGAGATTTATTTCATTTAGGTAGCAACTTTTTGACCACGTCCTACGTTTACATTTCTAGGTATATAGAGATAGATCAATTCAGTCAGATTACTCCCTACGTTGGTACAAACAAAATTGTCGTCGCCCATTCGCACCGTGCAATGCCATATCCGAATCCAGCACGGGTATATCATAGCTAGGCTTGTGGTAGGAAGTGACATCTCAAACGCCCGCTGGGGTAGAAAAGAAAGGAAATAATAAGGGGGGGGAAAGAAGGTAAAGGAGGCGAAAGAAAGCTGAAGAAAAGAGGAAGATCAGACCACACGCTGCGCCGCACGAGCGGTCCCAAGACCAGACATCTATCTACCCACCCCTAGCCAGGAACGATCCCATCCGTCGCCGACAGGATCTCCATTCCATGCTTCTCTCGCTCGGCGCGGGCCCCCGTCGAGTCCGTATCGGACCCGCTGGGGCTCTGGTCTCCCTCAGTCGGGGTATCGGGGGTACTCGACGCCGTCGTGCTCTGATCCGAGTGCGATCGGGCGACTGGCGGCTGCACGGCGGGCGCAGGCAGATCTGCGTCGTTGTCGTCGTCGGGGGCCAAGTCCACCACTGGGCTATTGGGATCCGAATCCGGCGGGGCCTCCACCACCAGCAGCTCCTCCGGTCGGTGTGACTCCCCGTCGACTGGCTTGCGCCGGGGCAGTCCGTGGTGCTCCTCCGGCGGCCCGACCGGTTTGCGTCGCGGGACGGAGACCGCACTCGACCCGCGCCGGAAGCCAAACTTGGCGGGCGTGGGCAGGGGCGTGCCCGGCGGCGGCAGCGGATGCCCGCGGCCGATCGGTTCGTCGGGCGTCCCCGCGGGTCGCGATGGCTCCGCTCCGGGGCGGGACTCGCCCTTGCCAAACATGGTCAACCCCCATTTCTTGGCGGCGGACGTCGCGTTGCCGAGCGTGATGGAGGCCTGGGACCGATTGGTCTCCGGCGTGAGAGTCCGCGTCAGGGTCTCCAGCGTGGTGCGCCGTTTGGCGGTCCCGGTGCTGGCGAGCGAGGCGGTGGAACGGCTCGCCGGGCCCCGTAGGGGGGTGGTGGCTCCCGCATCGCCAGGCTGGTCGCGCGAGACCGGGCGCGAGGACGATCCGGCACCATTGGGGTCGTGTTGGTGGTCTGTCGCCCCTCCGCTCTCGATCGACTCGACAAAGGACGGATCGCGGCTCGGGGGCCGGCCGTCCGACGATGCTCCGGGGCCTTCCGCGGGGGACTCGGGCGGCGAACGGGCGGTGATCTCAATCATGGCGCTGGTAGCGCTTGGCCGCTCCTCGCTGGGGACATCCGACCCGGCCTTGTCCCGCTGCCCATGGTCAGCCGTCAGCACGGGGCCCGCCGCGTTGGCAAAAGTCTGCGACCGGAGGGCCCGCGGGGGCGACCCTGGGAGGGAGTTCGGAGCGGCGGGCGACACCGCGCTCGTGGGGCCGCTGTCCGGCTCTGCCGCAGCGTCTGCAGAACCCTTACGGGAAGGTGGCGACAGCGGCAAAGAATCCGACAGCGCGGGCGCACTCCGGGTCCGCTCGTCGTGGGCCTTGAGGACGTCGATCGACTCCGAGCCATGGCGGGTCGTGGTGCCCCCGGGGGTGGATGGCGCCCCGCCAGACTCGTCGGGGATGTCGTCTGCCGCGCCGTCTGGTTGGGGAATGTCGCGTTGCCAGATGCCGCCGCGGAATTTCTGGGACAGGGTGTCGAGGAAGGGGATGTCGTCCCAGAACGGCTGGACCAGGCTCTCGGCCACGACTTCGCGGATGCGACTCTCGATGTTCCGCAGGATGATGCCGTAGGTGATTTGCTTGGAGCTGACAATGGGTTCGATGTCCATGTCCATTTCGGGCATGGATTCGAAGGAGAGCCAGGCGCGGTTGCTGGGGGGCGGTTTGAAGCGGATCAGCAGGTGACCTTCGAGCTTCTTCAGGACGACGGCCAAGACGATGTCGACCTCGCGGGCCTTGAAACGCTGGCCCAGGTCGATGCGCACGGTGGCCGCGATCTCCACGCGAAAGTTGCCGGCGTACTGCACATCGGTCTCGACGCAGCAGTTCCCGTCGACGGTCAGGTCCTTGAGGCGCGGGTTGATAATAAAGGGGGCGCCCTCGCCCATGTCGATGCGCTGCAGGGCGATCTTGCTGACGAAGGTGGGTTTGTTGACGCGGGAGATCTTCTTGGTGATCTTCTGGCGGATGAACTCCTCCATCTCGGGGGTGCGGTACAGGGCCAGGAACAGGCGTCCCAGGACGGCATTGATCCACCGGGTCTGCAGCTGCTCCTCGGACGAGTGCAGACGTTGAACGAGCGTCACGATGTGCTTGACGTCGAAGGGCTGCAGTGGAGGGGGAGCGTCGGGGGCATCCCACATCTTGGCCTGATTCTGAAGCATAGCGAAGTAAAAGTCCTCCTTCTCAGACAGGTTCTCGGAGAAGAGGAAGAACGGCGGGGTGGGACCGCCCAAGTCCGCCAGGGACTCCAGCCGCCGCGACAGGCAGATGGCATTTCTCTTTAGCCACAGCTCTCCCTCGGGGATCTCATTCTCTCCGCCGTGGATGGAGACATCGTGGTGGGCGAGGGAGATGACATAGCGCACCTCCACCTGGTTCGCGTCGTCGAACAGCATCAAATGACCATGTCTAACATCACCGTCAAGGTTAGCGGCAGCAGATGGCCCCAGGAAACACCCCGGACTTACCGTAAGACGATATAAAACACATTGCGCGCTCGTTTCGGATTTTTAGCGTTCTTCGCATGATTCTTCCCCGGATCGATAGTGGGGGACTGCTTCCGATCAAACAGACTACGATACATCGCCTGGTAGACGCTAGGACTCTCCGTGGCGATCACCTCGCCGGCGGGCGTCGTCCTCTCGGGAGGTTTGCCATTGACACCCCCGGGGACATACTCCCGACAGACGGCAAAGTAACCGGCGGCGACATCGGTATCATGGGAGCGCTGAAACTTCTCGGCTAACTCATCGGTGCCGGACTTGAGACTGTACTGGTCGTCGGTGGGACGACTGAGGGGGCGCGCGGAGGGCGCATGGCGTGAGTTGCCCGCGGGGGACGAGGGGCCGGCCGGCGGGAGAGTGAGATAGAAGAAGAGGCAGACCAGCGACAGGACCAGTGGAACGAATGTGAGTCCGCCGAGGAGATAGACGAATAGGAAGCCACCGAAAGAACCCATTGGAGGAGCCGGACGATCAGAGACACCACGGCAACGACACCTCCATCCTTTTCGGATGAGGACACGGTTGGGGTCGAGTGGTGGTGGTGGGAAGAAACCACGTAACGGAAGCGCGGAACTAGTAGATTGGTTTTTGATGTAGTGAGTGGAGTGTTCAATTGATCAGAGCCGCGGTCCAGAATAATACTGTCGAAAATAGACGTCAAGGAAAGGCGAGAAAAAGAGGGCTCGAGTAGGAAAGTAAACGTGAAGGAAGAAGAAGAAGAGAAAAGGAGGAAGAAGAGTGAGAAGGAAGGAAGATAAGAGGCGAAGCAGAAGTAGCGGCTACTTCTGACAAGGTGAGGAGATCATACAGTCGATCGGTACCAGGTACATTGGCTGCAACCTGAGGAGGTCATGGTCACGTATTGAAAGCGCGATGACGGAATGCCTGAGGAACAACGATGGTCCGTTTTACTTCCATATTATATTATATTATATGATATTCTTATTCTTTATTGCTTATATATCTCTATTATCTCTCTCTCTATTCTTTATTATATTATATATTCAAAATTCTCGTTCTGTACAATCGAGTACGATCGATGATGACACCGGATCCACCGGTTCCCCAGGTCACGCGACCCACGCAAGCCGAGGCTCAGGCACACAAAGGCACACAAAGGCACACAGGCACAAAGGCAACTTGAATAATATACAGTCTACACATCTATATAGAACCACAGAGAGAGAGACAAACAGACAGACAACGGACAAGAGAGAGGTGATCGTATACAGTAGGGACACAAACCCAGCATGACGTCTCCAGAGGACCCCCCAAGACAAGAAACGAAACAAAAAGAAAGAGATCAATCAATCCAGTAGATATTCCAACTATTCATCCCCCTACTTGCGTCGATTCATCGTCTTCTCACACATCTGGATCAATGCCGCTTTGGCCTCGCTGTCGGGGAAGTGGGCGATCGCCGCCACGGCCTTGTCCGCGTACTCCTGGGCCAACGCGCGGGTCTTCTCCACGCCGTGGCTTCGATACACCAGTTCGCGCGCCTGGTCCGTCAGTCAATCTCTCTACATATACACTCGTGACGGCAGAAGATCAGAAAAAAGAAGAGAGAAAGAAACTCACCCGTGATACATCCCCCTCCTGGCTAAACTTCCGGCCCACCATGGGCCCCAATTCCGGGTTCTCCTTCCAGGCGAACAGGAGCGGCGCGGTCGCCAGTCCCAGCTCCAGATCCGCACCGGCGGGCTTGCCCAGCTCGGCCTCGCTGATCGTGTAGTCGAGCATGTCGTCCACCAGCTGGAAGGCCAGCCCCAGGTTGCGGCCGTAGGCGTAAGCGGCCTCGACGACCTCCGGGCTGCTGTTGCCCAGTACGGCGGTGGCGCGGCACGACTTGCTGATCAGGCTGGCCGTCTTCAGGTAGGTCTTCTGGAGGTAGTAGGTGATGGTCTCCTCCGTGAAGACCGGGCGCTTCTCGTCCGCCTCGGTGTTCTTCAGCTGCATGAACTCGCCCTCCACCAGGTTCGCGATCACCGTGGCCAGCAGCTCCGTCACCTCGGGATCCCGCAGGCGCGCCAGGGCCACCGAGGCCCGCCCCAGCAAGAAGTCCCCGGCCAGCACGGCCATCTTGTTCCCGAACTGGACGTTGGCGGAGCTGGCCGACCGCCGCGTGATGGCGTTGTCGATCACGTCGTCGTGCAGGAGGGAGGCGGTGTGGATCAGTTCGGTGATCTCGGCCAGGCGCCGTTGGGCCGGCAGGATGTTCTCGTCCCCGGTGAAGTCGTAGGGGGCGCCATCGGCGGCGCGGGGGGCGGCGGTGAGTGGGTGGACGTCCGGATTGGCGTCCTGGAGGACCGCGGTCGACGTGATGGGGTCGTTGACGGTCTCCGACGGCGCCCGAGGCGCGCGAGGGTGGTTGGAGGTCAGCGCGGTGGCCTGGGACATCAGCAGCACCAGCAGCGGACGCATATGCTTGCCCTCGCTGCGGGAGTAGTATTTGGCCACGCGATCCAGGGCCGGATGCCCCGAACCCAACAACTGCCGGATGTTCTTGGTCAGGAACTTAAGCTCCTTGCCCACGATCCGCAGCGGATCCACCGAGATCCCTGCAGGAGCCTTGGGCAGTCCCTTGAAGATGGTCTGGGCGGCGGACACGGCGGCCCCAAACGGCGAGGCATCTCTTCGGCGGGTCGGGTGGTATTTGCGCGCCTGCACCGGCGCCCGGTTCGAGAGGAGGTCATTGCGAAGACATTGCCAGCAGATGGCCGTCGTCGAGGGAGTCACGATTCGAGAGGAGAGGACCAGCGCAGAGGCCGGGGCGGTTCGAGCTTTCATGCTCGGTCGAGAGCAGAACAGCGACGGGGGAGAGAGAGCTTTTTTTCTTCTGTTTGTATCGGTCCAATGGGCACTAAAGAGAAGAAATAAGGAATAAAAAATTGACTACCGAACTGTAGCAACGAAAAAGACTCACGGTCAAATCCCCAGGAACAGGCTCCACCGAAAAGAGGTGTGGAGGAGAGAAAGTTGGAGTGGAAGAGAGGCGCAAATGACAACCGACGGAGACCAAAAGATTTCCATCGGCGGAGCTGCATTCGGGCCGGAACGGGAAGCGGGATCGATTCGCTCACTGCCTCGTCATTCTTCAAATACCTAGCAACCATGTCTTAATCTTAATATCACATACGTTAGAGCTACATATATCCAGGATTTATCCAATATACTCAATTAAAAAAGAGAAACGGAAAAAATATAATGAGAATCTACGATGCCAGCCAAGACTTGGTCCATATTACAGATCCAGGCCCGCACGAATGCTTCCCCTTCTAAAAACGAAACACCGCTGGAGGACAAACGATGCGCAAACCCCGTCGGAAGAAATGATTCAAATAAGGGAGAGTATAGGAAACATCGAAGGGTTTCGCAAGAAGCCCCAAGCCCTGTTCAATTCCTTCCTCCCCCTTCCCCGTCAGACCGAAGATACACGCGCACCCGAACAATGACATTGCAGATCAGAACAAAAAAAAGGTTGGAAGGCCCAGAGAGCCCCGTCCATCATCGGAGTCCCCGGATTAAAATGTAATGGTAACGGATGAGGATGAGACGGTCCGAGTCACCCTTTAGATGGCATCGAACTCGCCCCCGGCATCGTCGTCGTCCATGTCTCCTTCCTGGATCTCCTTGGCCAACTCCCGCTCGCGTTCGCGGGCCTCCTGCGCACTCTTCAACTCGAGTCGGTGCTGGTTCATCGGGAACCGCATCGCCTATGGCCGGTCAGTATATCCCAACGGGGAGGAAATAAGGGTGGTGGGAGATGGAATGCGGGGAGAAACAAACCTTGACACTCTCGTCATGCAGACTCAAGCACGCACGAATTCGCTCGTGGAAGACCTCGCCAGGCTCCCGGGTGGCGTAGATGTCGCCGACTTCCTTGCTCTTCATGAACCCGCGCTCGTGGTCGAGCGACGCCTCGATGACGCCGTCCCGGATGGCCTTGGCGACGATGTATTCGGCCGACTCCTCGCTGTCCAGTCCCAGACGCAGGCAGATGTCCCGCAGGGAGATGCGCGAGTACGACAGGGACATCATGCGGATGCCGGTCTTGATCACGTTCTGCCGCAGGCGCAGGATGAGCGTGTAGGTGCCATCCTTGCGGAACGTCGGGCTGTGGGTGTTGACGATGCTGAGGAAGCCGTCCAGGTCGCCGACGCTGACAGCCTGCACCAGGAGCAAGTAGGGGTGCAGGGCGCGCTCGAGGGCCGGCTGGCGGAAGATGGCGCGGTCGGGGATGTCGCCCATCAGGAGCTCGACGACCACGAGCAGCTTGTGGGAGGCCTGGTAGAAGCCGCGGGCGCTGTGGCTGGAGGGGGACTTGCGCGTGGCCCCGATCAGGTGGCCGTGAGCTTCGGTGTACTGCAGCTGGATGGCCCGGATGCGGCCGAGGTAGTACAGGTACCGAGCGATCTGGTTGTTGGACGCCGAGGGCGGGAACCGGTTGTGGGAGATGAGGAGGTCGGCCTGCGAGATGTGGGAGGTCGACAAATAGTTGCGCAGCAGCAGGGTCATGACGGTCGCCTGGGTGTCGGCATCCTTGCGCAGCACGGCCGTCCGCAGGGCCGCCAGGAGCGGCTGGCGGATGGTGGTGACCGCAGCCGCGGGCGAGGGCGGCAGCGGGGCGATCTGCTCGAAGAAGAGGGAATAGTAGAAGTACACGCGGGCGGCGAGGGAGTCGAGGGTGCGGCGGTTCATGGTCCGCAGCCGCTCGATCAGGGCGGTGGAGAACTGGGCGCCGCTCTGGATCTCCTTGCGGTCGTAGAGGTAGATCTGGACCAGGATGGACAGGTACGTATCGACCTCGGGCAGCACCTCCTTGGCGGCCGATCGGTTCTTGTCCGAATCGACCTCCATCTCGGACTCCGCAGGGGCGGCACTCTCAAAGGCAGCCGGTTGGTTGATGGCCTCCAACAGGAACGATGCCGTCGAGCTCGACGGCGAGTACGTCTCGACGACCACCTGGGCGAGCACATCGGCGGTGATGTGCTTCCGCATGGACGATATCGACCGCAGAACACGCAGGGTAAATCGAGGGTCGAAATGGGTCACGGCTCGGTCCAGCAATGTGAAGTTGGCCTTGATATCTAGATGGAATGGCGAGGGGAAGAACGCGTGGTCAGTAACTCTCACCGATCGGATCGAGCGATCCTATATCTACATCTCTATCTATCGATATAGATAGATAAAGATAGAGGTATGGAAAAGAGGGAATAGAAAAACTCACCTTGAATGGCCTTGGTCTTCGGATCGACCTGTGATTCCGGCGTCTGGTCATCCCCCTCGGCGCCGTCCATGGCCACATCACCATCCTGGTTCTGACCCTTGTCGCCAGATAACCTCGAACCCTTGGTCGGGGGCACTACAACAGTCATCTTCTCGTCACCTTGCCGATCCTTACTACTGGCGTTGGATGAGGATGTAGGCGCACCTGCCGTGTCCTCTCCCATGTCCACATCCTCCGAGCCATTCACGCCATTCTTCTTGGGGTCGGAGCCGTTGGTCTGCGGCTGATCCCGCTGTTCACCCATCTCGGTATTGGCGTTGGTGTTGGACGAAGCGGCCTTGGACGCCGATCTGGTCTTGCCGGCGGCGCCGCGGGTGGGCGCGACCTTGTCCTTGTTGGAGCTAGAGCTCTGGGAGGTCGAGCGGGTCTTATCACCGTTCGCGGAATCCGACTTGCTGTTCGATCTCAGCGAGCGCCTCTCGGCCGGCATCGTTTCTGATTGAGATTGTGGTCAGCTCCGTTCTATCTCCAGATCATGGATAACCGGAAATCCATAGAAAAGGCACGAATTATCGTTGAAAAGAAGGAGAGGTGTGTCTGAAAGGATGAAGCTGCAACCACAGCGACCGAAAACAGCACCAAGGGGAGACTGATGAGGAGTCAATACTAACCACAAGAATCAATTCAACAAACACAGGGTCAGCTATAAAAGCGATGAAGAAACGAAACGAAAGAATGGGATCTGGTTATGGGAGTTGGGGTGGAAGAGGAAGCAAAGGGAAGAAAGGTGGTTGAAGTGATGTCAGGTCGGGTTAGGTTGATGGACGAGACGACGACGCTGCGAGCGCTGCTGAGTCAGACGGGTGGTTGAGTCAGCCAACCCAACACATGGATTCCTTCGTTTATACTTCAAAGTACAGTATTCGATTGATCGTATTTAGAGTAACATGTAAAGAAATGTATTTGAGCATCTCCAATAGCAGATGGCGCGGTGGCCTCAACAGAGGGTTGTATACCTCAGGCAGCTCGGCATACCGGCTGACTCAGCCATGTACGGCGAGGTTTCTCTCCATCCCCGCAACAACAACAACAAGATCAAAGGACAGTCCTGTATAGCTCTTCCCAGTCAGATCATTCAGATAGACCAGATCATACAGTCATGTCGCTCCTAGAAACCCATCTGGAGCAGATCTCGCTCTCTTCCTCCGCCATTGCAGAGCTCCCGTAAGGATTGACCCCCTCCTCTCCCCGATCAACCATCATGGCCAATGCTCACCTACCCACCTTACAGGTTCCCTCAACCACGTCTCTTTACCAATGCCCTCCTGGGCTCTCACGATATTACGGCCTTGATCCGTGATACCGAGGCTCATGAGCGGGCTCTCTTTCAAACCGATCCCGCGGCCAAATCCGCCCATGCCTCGCAGCGACGAGCCACATCCCGACGGGCCACCACGTTCGCCGCCGAGTCCGAGGGGGATTCCATGGCGAGCCGCATCTATTCCGCGCGGAACAATCGCAGTCAGTCTGCCGTGGCTCGGGTCTTGGGCTCGGACATGATGGAGGAGATCAAACGATCGGCCGGCGCATCCTCCAGAGGTACCCGCGACGAGGTCAACATCGACGTGCTCCTCCGGGGAGCGGAAATCTTGTGCAACGTCTAGTGAGTGCCTGTTATTCTGGGGGGCGGGTCTTCTTATACCACCGCCTCTTATTGTGTAATGATCTGTCCGCTAATTACATCATGGTCATCAGCCCGGTTGCTGGTGCGCAAGAGAAGATCGCCAGCCTCCGGTACCGCCACCAGCTAATCACCGACTCGATTGCGCAATTGGAAGACCGCGTAGAGAGTAACACTGCCGAGCTGGAGGGTATGCGACACTCGTATGGGGATGACTACGACGACTACGAGGCCTCGCGCCCCTCGCCGCCGGAAACGGTGGACGTGACCGACGCGGACATCCAGCGGGAAATGGAAGAAATCAGAGAACTGGAAAGGCGGAAACGGATGATGGAACATCGCGTCCATGGTCTCGAGCGAGATCTGGGCAGCCTGATGGGGTGATCTGCCTAGGTCTGCCTCTCCGGCTCGTGGGTGTGTCCCACCAAGCAGAATATTCAAGATCGGACGACCAAGGGACGCCTACTCGCGTCGACGCCGTCCTACCTTTGGTGTGTCGATACCGAGGGTATGGTCTCCAGGAACCAGCCAGAGGATGCTACCCATTAGCACCTTGTTGGGCGGGCAACACCCATTGTATGACCTCCCACTGCCCGGGTGCCTCCCATATCTGGGAGCTGTCCGCTATCCCATCGCTCTTTGACCCATGCTCTTTGCACTGTCATTGAAAGCTATGTGCCCACTCGCTTTGTCTCTTTGTCGTGCAGTTGCGGCGCGAGGAGAATCCGCCTCCTCGCCTGGATAGTATGGACGTGGCATGGAAATGGATAATCGGGATGACTGGTTCCATAGAACAGGCAGATGATATGACAATATGACCGTATGACCGTATGATAATATAATAATCTGATTGATATCTGATCGAATAAATGGTGCTGTAAAATGCCAAGCATGCGGCTCGGCGGCCCCGAGTTTCCGGCCAAAAGTCTCCGCCGCTTTCTCTCTGTCCGCTCCGTCGCATCAACTTCTTCCGTTCCCTCACTCCACTTCTACCATCTCGTCTCTCCCTCTGGCTCATCCACGCACTTCATCTCACTTCTTTTCGTCAGGTCATCCCTGCGGAATCCGATCGCCGTACCGCCCTTACTCCTCTGACACCATCCCCGCCCCTGGCAACCCACGAAACCTTGCACGCGTTCCGCTAGTTACATCACCCCCAGCTACGACCGACGACGACCTTCCGAACGACATCGATAGAGAAAACGTGAAGCTTCAGACGGATACAAACAGACAAAGAAAGGAAAAACAAACATCCAAAAAACCAGAATGGAGGGCTCTCAGGCTCCTGCCCCCCAGGCCCAGCCGCAGCCGCAGCAGCCTGTGGCCCCCCAGCACTCGAACTTGATCCGGACCGATCAGGTGCAGAAACTGCCTCACCTCAATGAACAGCAAAAGGCTCAGCACACCCAGTTGGTGCGCAACTTCTGGGAGGCGTTGAACAGCCGCGACCCGCAGAGCCCGGAATACCAGCAAGCTCACGCCCGACTCGCCCAGCTGTCCCAGAATTTGATGAAAGGCATGCGCGTGTACCAACAGAGCCGCCAGCTCCAGCAGCAGCAGCTCCAGGCCGCCGCCCAAGGCCAGCCCGTCCAGCGGTCGCAGTCGATCAACCCTCAGAGCTTCGCGCAGCTCCTCCCGCAGATCCAACAGAAGGTCAACACCCTGCAGTTCTTCCTGCCACCGAACATCAACCCAGATGCCGTGCAGAACTGGCTGTCGGAGGCCAAGCTCCGGTATGGCATCGCCTTGCAGAAGCAGGAGATCGGTCGGGCTCGGGCCGCGGACGTGCGAAATCAGTTTAGCCAGCGCCAGAACCAGGGCAATCTGACCCAGGAGGAAATTCAAGAGTACAAGAATCGCCAGATGGCGGCCGAGAAACTCTTTCGCGAGGGGAGCGACTTCCTGACTAAATTCCGGGAACAGCAGGAGAATTTCAAGGCGCAACAGCAGCGCACGGGCATCCCCACCGCGCCGGCACTGCAACAGCAGCAACAGCCGCAGCAGCAGCTGTCCCAGGGAACGACCGGTCCAGCAGCCACCGCGCCTGGCGTGGCCGGGGCGAATGCCCCGGGCGCGATGCACCCGGGACAAGTGCCCACCCCGGCTCCCCACACCATCAACTCCGCCGTGAGTGCGGCGCGGACCCAGGCCGGCCAGGCGGCGGCCATGTCGCCCTCCACCTCCCAACCGGGCCAGGCACCGGCCGGACAGACCCCGGGGGCGGCCACCCCCGTCCCACAGATGATGCCGCAGCAACCGCCGCAACCCCTCCAGCAGCCCCCGCAGCAGATGCCACCCCAGTCGCAACCCCAACCGCAACCGCCACAGGGTCAATCGCAGCCAGGTCCGCCCGTATCGCAGGGCCCTTACGGCCAGGTGCCCAACCTCGATGGGTCGGCGCCGACGCCCACCGCGCAAACACCCGCCCCAGGGCCCCCGCGTCCGTTATCCCAACAAGCCGCCATGGCGCAAGCCGCGCAGAACTACACCAACACGGCCAACAACAACAGCAACGCCCCGCTGAACCAAGCGCAGAGCATGTCGCAGTCCGCCAGCGCGTCATCCCACGCCCACCCACAGGGCTACATCCCCAACCGCTCGACGGAGAACACCGCGCGCAACATCAACATGGTCATCCCGAAGAACCTGAACGTGCCGACGCCCGAACCCGTCAGCATGTCCCCGGCCCGGCCTACCCTCTCCGGCGGGCCCAGCCACGGCGCGATGGGAATGATGGGCCAGCCGGCCATCCAGAAGCACCCGGGCTACGTTCTCGAGGGCGAGGGCCAGCGTGTGTTGAGCAAGAAGATGCTGGACATCTTGGTCCGCCAGGTGACCGGCGGAGGCGAAGGCGAGGGACTCACCCCGGATGCAGAGGAGGTATATCCCCCCTACCCGACATATTTATCAACTTCCAACTGACTTGTTTGCTTCCAGTTCGTCCTCCAAATGGCCGACGACTTCGTCGACGACGTAATCACAGCCGCCTGCCGCCTCGCCAAGCTCCGCCCTTCATCGACCCTCGAAATGCGCGACATCCAACTCGTCCTCGAGCGCAACTACAACATGCGGATCTCGGGCTTCTCCACAGACGATCTCCGAACCATCAAGAAGCCACAGCCTACGCAGGGCTGGACGCAGAAGATGTCTGCCATCCAGGCTGCGAAGGTCACGCAGGGGAAGGCCGAATAGTTCATTTCTTTTTCGCATCAAACATGGCGTTTGTTGCTGTTTCTTTTCGTACTTCGGTTTTTTTATTCATGAGTCGTTGGTTTGGTTGGGTTGGTTGGTTGGGTTGTTAGCTGGCGTCGGAGGCTTTTCTTTTACTTGCTTTATCTTCTTTACTTGCTACTTGATACTTGAGATAGTGTCTACAGGGTTCCTACCTACCTCACCTTATCCTCCTTACCTTACTTATAGTGATGCAATCCACCTGATGATTCTTTCTTTCTTTCTTCTGCCCCTTTCTCCTCTGTCTCTCTTCTTTTCCTTCTATTCTTTCTTTTATATTATCCAGATGAATGAACGAAAGGACGATGAACAAATTGAACCCCTTTGCATGTCTTCCTGGCGTTTTCTACTTCTTTTCTCCTCTACTTTTACTTCTCAGTGTCCTGGCTTCATCCCATCAACTCTCCCTCAATACTCCAAACTCCAATTCTAACCTAATCTGATCTAATCTGATCTAATCTGATCAGGGTCAAGGTCAGGGTCAGTCAGTCTAGAATGATGGATGGATGGATGAGCCCGCCTAGTCCTGATAATCTAGTTTAAAGAATGGCATCAACGATTGAGTATTCCAGATCTGTTCTTTTCCATGTAGGATGTAGGGAGGGACGGGGTGGGGGGTAAGTAAGTAGGTGGAAAGCAAGTGGACAGCAGGTACGCGATAACTAGTAGGTAGTAGTAGGTAGGTAGTAGTAGGTCGGTAGGCTCGTTGTAATCAATGTCGTTCATATCTGTTTCATCTTCCTTTCCATACATATCATGTTACAATAAGTAGGGAGGGAGGTGGTGGGTATAGTAGTTATTCTATTGCAGGTCTCCTTACTATGTACCTACGTGGTAACACTACGACTACGACTACGACTATTACTTCTTCTACTATGTACCTACTACCTAGTATAAACCATAACAAAACAGATTGGTATCAATTCTCTAGACTTCTTTCTTTCCTCTTTCTTTCTTTCATCTTATCTTCATCTTCATCTTTCTCTCTCCATGCATCACATCTATCAAACAATCTAAAGAGTAATGGAAATGAAATTGAAAAAAAATAAAGCATACCAAAAAGTAAAATAAGAAACGAAGGAAAGAGATATTAAAAAAAAAAAAGCGCCAACAATGATGGATGGATGAATTGAATCCGCTCAAAACAGACAGACAGGCAGGCCTTGCTCGGGGTGACACGATCAATCAATCACAATCACAAATTAACAGAAAGAAGAAGAAATCACAACAAAGGAGCAAGAAGAGGAACCCTATCTTCAAAGAATGGGGACCATGTAAATCACAAAACAGAAGGAAATGACTATACGAGAAACGATGGATAGACCGCTTGGGTCAATGAATGTAAGGGGACTGCGTCATCGCAGATCCCGTCAGCTAGGGAGTCAGTCAATCGACGTCCCTGTAGAAGAACAGAATGGAAAATATGCGGTACATGCAGGATGTGGAGGTAGACTGAGATGCGTGTTTCGCCATCCAAAAGACCTCTCAACATAAACAAATAATGAAATGGACAAGATAAGGAAATGGATATGTGTTCAAAGATAGTGGAGCAGATAAGATATAGCAGGCCATGCAAAACAAACCAAGATTAATGAGAGAAAAGTGGGGTCAGTGATACCACAGACCGGAACTATCCGGTCTGTGGCCAGGGTAAAAGGAAGGCTCAATGGATCTACCAAGCAGCTCGCAATCTGTGGAAACTGCATCGTATACGAGCCCACCTTGCCATGAAGGTAGATCCAGGAATGTGAGCATAGGTGAGATCCGTCGCAAGAGGAGAACGGATAGAGATTCGATGATCGCAGGCGGAGAGGGAATCACAGCGGAAAGGGGTCGGATAAAAAGAAAAAAAACAGGCGCCAACAATGATAAACGGAACAGCTGCGAAATGGATATCATGAGGATCGATCAAAACCAACACGCCGGGCCATGTGGCTAGCTGCACAATCAAAAGTAGCTATCGCGCGGCCCGTCCATGGCCACATGTTTGCCTTTCTCCATGGCCGGAAGCGGGGGTAGATCTTTATCGGCAGTTGGGCCATGACGGCTGTGTTGGCTATGACCGCCTACGCTGCTGGCCTCCCCCGCTTCGTCCACGATGGGCAACATGGACGCTGGTCCCGAACCGGGGGTGTCGGCTGGATCTCGCATCGTCGAGATCGTCCGGGGATGCGCGAGCGTCTGGGTCCCTTCTTTGGCCGCCTCCCTTTCCGCCGCCAACATGGTCCGCTCCACCGACGAGGATCGTTCGACCGATGGCCGGCCAAGGGCGCGCGATTCGCGGACCCGTTCGGCCTCCTCCTTGGACATGGTGATGCCCTTGATGAAGTGGATGAAGCGGTCCCCATAACCTTCGGGGGGGACCGGGGAGATCTGGGCGCGATCATGCGAGAGGCCTTTGAAAAAGTGTTCAATCTTTTTCACGGTCCCGTACTGCAAAGAAAGATATGTCAGTTTCACATCCACTAGGCTAAGTTAGGGTCCAACTTACATGTGTCAAACAGTCGATGATGCCCAGATAATATATCTCCTCCCCGGGCTGGCCACTCTCATGCGTGGCGCGGAACCCGCCGTCGTCGGAGTAGAAGACGTGGAACTTGCGCTCGTCGAGGATCTCTTCCGGCATTTTGGCCGTGGCTTTATCGAGAGGCACCGGGCGCTCCCGCTTGATCAGCATGCGCAGTTCGCGCGCCTTGCGTTCGTTCTCCAGCTTCGACGGGGTCCGCATGAGCATGTTGGGGTTGGAGTCCTCGTCGCGATCCCCTCCGGGCTGGAACACCTGCAGTGTCTTGTCCCGCAGCTTCTCCTCATTCCCCCGCTCGATGTCGTGGATGCCCACCAGCAGCGAGTAATCCATGATCTTGAGCTTCTTCAGCAGCTCCACGTCGCGCTCGAGTTGGGCGACGAAGAACTCGCGCTTTTGCGGACCGCACTCCAAGTGTCGATTGCGGCGGACCCAGTTCAGGTCCTTCATGGTCGCGCGGGGGTTCTTCACCAGGTCCTCCTCGTGCAGATCGCGGCCGATGGTCGACCCCTTCAGGTCAAAGGTCTCGTGGATGTCGCGATGGGGCGGGAACAGGTTGTTCATGACGACGAAGTGGATCTTGCGGCCGTAGGCCATCTTGACCCGGTGCAGGCCGTAGAACTGCGAGATGAGCGTGTTCGGGTTCTTCTCGACGTGCTTGTAGTACTCGGGGAGAATCTTCCGCAGCAGCTTGTGTTCCGAATGGTGGATGGTCTTGATGATGTATTTGTAGTCGCGGGAGAAGTAGAAGAAGCTCCCGCTCTTTCCGGGGGAGCCCAGTTCGGAGAGAATATACTTGCTGGTGAGGGACATGAGATAGTCGGCGGGGTCCAGGCGGAATTTGGCCCGCAGACGCCGGAACACCCAGGGGGCATAGTCCTTGAACTTGAAATCGTATTTCGCGGACGGCGTGAGCTCGTTACCGGTTCTATTACATCCCATCTCCGGTCAGCAAACAAGGGGGAGATTTGATAGGGGGAAGGGTACGAACATGTCAAAGGAAAACTTATGCTTGGCTTGAAAGTCGGCCGGGGTCAACTCGCGGTCCATCTTGGCGTTGATCCGCGAGACGGTGAAGCGGATTCCGGTCAACATATTGTAGGCCGTCACCCAGTTGACATGGTTCTGGTCGACCTTGGTGCCCACGATGACGCGATCGTCATCGTCGTCATCCCGACGGCGCTTGCGTGAGGCGCGCCGCTGCTTAATGGCTTCGGCCCATCGGGCAGCATCCTCGTCGGGAGTCGCTTCGTCGGGAAATGATTCCGAGCGGTTCGTGCGGCTGGCCCGGCGACCCAGACTGAGGGAGGTGCGCCGGATGTTTCCCGAGGTAGGCGAAAGCCGACCGGTGGCCAGGGCGGCGTCCTCGCCGTGGTCGCGACTGCTCCGACGACCGCTGGTGTTTCGCGGCACCTGCAGAGTGTGTCGATGGCGCAAGCTGGAGGAGCTCCCTTCAAGCTGGTTGGCGCCCTCCATGCTGGGTGGGATGGGCGGGGAGGAGTAGCGGTTGGGGCCGTTCTGGGAGGGGGACAAGCGGTCGGGATCCGGCGAAAGACGACCAGCCTCGTCGAGCTGGGAGGTCGACGGACGGGCCGAGTCCGGCTGGGTGGCCACCTCGTCGACCGAGGGGCGGGCGTGGTCGCCGTTGACCATGGGTTTCCCATTCAGCGACCGACTCCCTATCGGGGTGCCGTTGACGGGCTGGCTGGTGACGGAGGCCGCCGCGGAGCCCGCCCCGCCACCGGCGTCCAACGACCGCCTCGAGAAGTCGCGGTCCAGCGAGATGGAGGGCCTGCCCCCATCGCGGGGATCTCGCGGCGACCCATTCAAGGAATGGAGACTGCCATCTTTGGACTGTGGCAATTCTCGGGTATACGAACTGACGCTGGATCGCGGCGGGTGGAGCGAGTAGGCGCTCCCATTGGTGAGGTAAGGGCGTTCGTTGGGAGGGGTGTTGAGATGGCTGGAGTCACCATTGGGCCAATTTGTCCACAGAAACGTGTTCCCGACGGAGGCCTTTTCGGGCCGCTTCCCCTGTGGTGAATCAAACGAATGAGGATGTGACGACGGAGCGGTGGCCGTCTGACTCTGGTAGGGGATGTCGTTGGCAAACGACGGCATGATCGACTGGGATTTAACTCCGGGGAGTCAAACCAGGGGAGCGGGAACCGGGAACCGGGACAACGGAGGTCGAAAAAGGGGGGGCAGGCAGCACGGCGACGTGCGGTCTGCGATCGTCGATCAAACGAACCCGGTGGTAACGTTCCAGAGGGTCAATCGGGGAGAGAGATGGAGAGGCGAGGAGGGAGGGGGGTGAGGAGGAGGAGGATATGTGAGAGTGACTTCTGGATCGAATAGGCGGCAGAATAGCGCAGAAAGGAAGAGGGGGGGGTTGTTTAGGAATCCGATCAATAGGCCGAGCGAGATGCACGAAACAAAGTCCCCGAGCTGGCAGCCAGCCGGGACAGGCGTGGCAAAGGGAAATTTAACGACCGATAGGCATGATCATGCGAGAGGAAGAGAGGTCGGACAGTCCGGCACCGTGGTGTTGGCGTGTTCAGTAATGGGAGATGACCGTCAATCCAAATGGGAAGGGGGGGGGTTAGAGAGGAAAGGAGACAGAGAACGGCGATCAAGGCGGACGGAAAAAAAGGAAGACGAGCAAAACAGAAGGGTATCGAAACGAGAGAGAGAAAAGACGACGCCGGAATAGGATAGGATGGGAGGATGAAGTTGGAATGAAAGATCGGATAGTGAGAGTGAGAGAGAAGAAGAGGAAGAGAGAAAGTCAGAGAGGAAGAAGGGGAAGAGGGAGGGTTGATTACGCTGTATTGGGATTACCGGCGGTTTCAGGGCCAAGATGGGGCGATCTTGGCGGGATGGACGGGCCAGACTCGAAGGAAAATATATGCAATACGAGTATGATACATATAATACGGATAAGAATAATACTACCCTTGATATATAGTTCTAGGATGGACGAAAGACGGAAAAATATGGAAAAATATGGAGGAAATAAGGATGAATCAGGAAAAATGAAAAGTAAATAATAAGGATAGAATCAAAACATATACCTATACAGGTCCAGACTGATGTTGTTATTCTTATCCAACCCACTCGAACCACAGGGATCCATCGTGGCCAATACTGGCTGAGAAAAACCGGATCCACTCTCAGCTCGCACTCCATCTTTGACTCTCAGCTGTCAATTCTAGATTCTTTAATCAGATTGTCTATCGTAAGATACTGTTGTCAGTCGGGGATTTCTTGGTGTACTGACAGCAGCAAGGATGGTTCTGTATTGACCAGACGGGATATATATATATATGCAGGAGTTATGCATCTGTTTGTAGGATCCGGATCTTGGATACATATTTTATACTTATGCCTAATATATATATCCACCCAAATATGTCCATATACTTGGAATATAGAACTACATCATGAACACTCATATCATATGGTTGGTATATAGTATATACAGTATACCAATTCACAAGACAAGAATCACAAATCAGACAATTACCTATGAACCCGAAAGATCGACATGACAACGTCACCTCCAGCCCATTTTGACGCAATCCCTTTATCTATCGTTTTACCCCACTCGTAGTTCAGTAGCACTAGTGCCATTGATGCATCCAAAGACATCTGTCAGAAATATAGAGTCTGTATCTTGTGGTTCCGATTCAATCCAGAAATCAGTAGAAAGAGATGTCGGATTGGGTTGCTATAATATAGGTAGGTAGTATTACATCCGCCATACATCTACAACACCCCCTCAACTACCCCGACCAAATCATGGACAACGCGTTCATTGCAAATTGACAACCGTCCTTGGACAGTGCTCCTAAATCCACTCAAAAAAGAATAAGAATTAAAGAAAAGAAAGATCAAAAGGATTCCCCATAGTAAAATCCACCACAAGACGCCAACCCGACCGAATCGCAACAAAACCAAACAACAGAATCACAATCACACCCCTTTCATCCCTGAGATTCACCACATATGGTCTCTCGAGATAGTCAAGGAGATGGAAGCAAACAAATGAAAAAGTTACAGCCGAAGAAATGAAAGGGAATACAGCCCAAGAACCCAAAGTGCGCACACATCACAAGAGAAACGAAACCCACAAAAGAAAACATCAAGCGGTCGCTGAGAATGTCAAACAGGTATTGATTCAATCAACACCGTTAGGCCTTCTTGGCTGTCGACTTCTTGGTCTTTTCGGAAGCGGGCTTCGCCGTCGTCTTGGTCACGCGGCCAGACTTGGTCTTTCCCGTCACCTTGGGCTTGTCAACCACGGCGGGCGCCTGCTGCCCGTTAGCATGATGGCCGTCTAGTCGAGATAATGATGGGTTAAGACTCACCGACGTCTTGCGGGGCTTCGCGGTGTTGGCCTTGGTGGCGGTGGTCTTCTTGGTGGCGGTGGTGGCCTTCTTGGTGGTGGTGGCCTTGGGCTTCTCGGCCTTCTCCGGCTTCTCGGCGGCCTTCTTGGCAGTCGAGGTCTTCTTAGCGGGGGCCTTGACAGACGTAGTCTTCTATTCAAAGATTAACAAAAGAACCTCATATATAATATAATATAATAAGGTAAAGGGAAGGGAAAAGAAGAACATACCTTGGCAGCGGGCTTCGCGACGGACTCCTTGCGGGCGAGCTTCACGGGTCCCGAGGGGCCTATGAAAGACGCGTTAGCGACCCCATCAAAACATCTCACCTCCCAAACATAGACGACGCGCGATCGACGCAGGAACACTGGTCGCTTGCATTCAAAGCATCGACCAGTACACCGGGGAAAATCAAGGACGCGACTCGGAGACTTACCCTTGGGCTGGGTGAATTCACCCTTCTCGACACCCGCCTTGATGGCCTTGTTGAACTGGCTATCAAAGGCGGGAGTGGAGGCGGCGGTGATTTTGTTGTTGGCCAGCACGTACTTCTTGACAGACTGGCGACTGTGAGGGGGGATGTGTTAGCTGGGGGGAGACCAGAGCGATATAAACGTCATCCACGGTTGCCACGTCGCCGAGGGTCGGGACCCTGCATGAGACGATCGGGAGAGAAAAAAAAAAGGGAAAAAGGGGAATAAGAAGAACACGTCGACATACCTGCTACCATTGCGCTCTTTCAACTATAAAGGAAAAGGAGTCAGCAACAACATCAACCCCAATAAGTCCTGGGAGTCGTGGTGGTGAAAGCGCCAGGGTCGACGTGTCACCGGTCGGGAGACGTTGCGACCCGGGCGCCCGTCATCCCCTTCAAGACGCGCCACGGACAGCGTGATTAACTCACATTCTGAATGGCGTTGGTGATCATAGCTATATCATTCGAATCAGCAGTCGCTCGCGACAGAGATGATATATAACATAATATCATGCGATGGGTTGGGGGGAAAAGATCAGGAGAAACATACCACGGTAGGAGACATGGGCCGGAGCAGCAGCAGCCTTCTTGGGGGCACCGGCGGAAGCTTTCTTGGGAGGCATATTGAAGTGATTTGGGGTATTGAAAAGGATGAGAACTACAGGAGAATTGAAGCTAGAAGAGCCGAGAAGAGTTCGAATGGAAGATAGATGAGAGCGATGTGGTGGAAAAGAAGAAGAAGTGTCGAGGGGGGGGGAAGGGGTGGGAGAACCGCGGGGCATGCGTTGCTTTATAGGGCAGCGGGTGTTGACACAAGATCACTCGCAAGCACAACACGTCAAGTCGCTCGTTTTATTATTTTTTCCCTTCTTTCTTTCTCTCGTTTTTCTTTTTAATTTTGATTCTTATGGTTCTTATTGGATTTGATTTTTCTCGATATATTTCGCTTGGATTTTTTCCCTTCTGTTTCACTGTCTTATCATGTGCTTTGTCTTCTCCCCCTTTGGCCTGGTTTTTTGGCTGTTTTTCTCTGCGACAGACTCTGGTGTGCGCGACATTCTTCGGTTGAGCGTAGCGATTGTAGTCCACCATTGATTATGGATGATGTAGATAATTTTCATTTCTTTTCTGGGTCGCAATGATCGACTAAATCGAGTACTCGTATCCATCCATTACGTAGTGGGCAAGAAAGAGGACGGTGGTCTGGACTGTTGTTGTTGTTCCGGTGTCGCGCATTCTGAACGCCTCCCATCCACGCGTTACTCCTCCGTCCTCCAACCCTCCATGCTCTCCCCCCCTGGCTCTCCTTTGTCTCGAGTCTCAGAATCTCTCCGGCTCGTCCGCCTGTTGGACATTCCAAACCTTACCAGTTACACGGACCGATCTTGCTGTCCATTCCCCTCGGACCCCCTGTGGTGTTTCGGTTTTCTTGGGTCCTAATCGCATGGTCGCGTTCGCAACCCAACGCCCAGCGCATCTCCGGTCGCAACTCCTCTCCAGGGTCGCATCGAGGATGGTTGGTTCGAAGAGATACAGAGATCGTCTGACATGAGATAAGGCACTCATTCGTCGGGCGGACCTAAGCAGCAAATGGAGATAGACCGGTTGGCATCTATAGACGTATACACTTCTGTTCCACGCGACAGTTGAATCAAGCTCACCACCTCCTCACATCGTGCACCGTTCTGAGATATCCGAAGTAACCGAGTGGCCCGTCCCTTGCATTTTCTCCCTCTCGGATCCTAGGCTACAGAAGTTTACCCAGGTGGGGAGGCAGAAAGCGCAAATGCGATTGATGCTCTGTCATGCAGTCCCAAGGCCCGGAAGCGGGTCGATGAAGCCATCCGAGTAACGCCCCAAACCCTAGATACGGAGATAAATACACCATCCACAACGACGTTGCACTGTGTATCGTGAGACGAACCGTTCCAGAGGAGTCCCCTCGATGATCAAGTCAATGAAATATAGTTTTTGTAAACTCTCATCCTCGACCATGGGTGGGAAAGCTGACGGGGGAGATTGGTGATCCATCCATTTGCCGGATGGGTCAGGATCACCCGGCCAGCTCACTAGCTGCCTACCTCCACTCTCTGCGAATTACCTTTCAAAAGTCCCAAGGATTGGATTCAGTAACGGCTTGCATGTGGTCACGGATTTCTTTGTCCATACGCTATAGGCTTTTCTACCCGAGCACTGACAGCGCCTCGTTCCGTGGATGGGCATCGTCGCAGAACGAGGAGGACAAAGGAGACGCGCGGATCATCACACAGGACCCCTCCCATCGCAGGCAATATTAACTTTGCCATTCACGTCATTGGTGAGAATATTTTTTGGAAAAAGGTTCCAACAGTGGATGCCAGTTGCGACGATCGAAAACAGCCATCTTCAAGGCATCCAAGTGGAATGCTTGGCTTGCGGTCTCCATCTGGACGGAGTGATCCAATCGTAGAAGTCGTGATCTACGGCGCAGGTCCCCTCCCCTATGCCCTATGAGGATCTACCTGGCCTGGACGAGGAGAATTACACCTCTTAATTGACTTTCGACTATTGAATGGAACGGGATGAGAGAGGTGGTGGTCCTTGAACGATGTTACTTGACAGGGGCTCCCGGTAGCCACATCTAGACTTTTTATATATCTCAACCGGCGGCGATGATCTCTCCCTCCAACTTTCTCGGATGGTCTCTTCGGACCCAAAAATACATGAAAGACGGATGCTTCTATTGAACAAGTAAAGAGAAACTCTCTTTGTTTACGACGCGACGCCATAATCACCGGGTTTCATTCCATTGGCCGACGATGAACCGGTATCTGGCACCTACTCACTAGTTTCGTCCTGTCCAAACCAGAGAGCCATGCGCCGGACAGAGTCTTCCACCACAGTCGCCCAAATCGCTGCTACCTGGTTGTCCAACCCCAACCAGACATGACTCACCGTCTATCCTGGATGTTTCACAAGAACCATAGACCGTTGCGACGCCACGATCACGCTTTGCGTCTATCCTCGGGGGATGCGTCGGCTCGGTTGTTGATCTAGACTACGAACAGGGATGATGGATGGGTCGACCATAACGGTTGCTGCTGTCGCATTCTCTTCATAGACATTGATCTACAGGATTCGTACTTTGAGAGATCGCCTCTATGGTAACATCAATATTGGCCAACACGATAGGGAGAGAAGAAGGACAGACAGTAGGAGAAGCAGTTGTTTTGCTCTTAGTTAAATATGCGGTTGTTGTGCCTAGTCAGCGATAACCCTATCAGCACGTGATGACCCCGGATCTCCACATCTGAACATCCGGTATAGTTACAACTTACAACTTCCTGTCGCAATGACTCAAGGTGTCCTCTAGCGTCCAGGGGTACCTTTGATTCATGATTCACAATGTTACACACTTCATCTAATAGACTTCAGCTCGACCGTGGATCGGTTTGATTGGGATCACGCCAGCCATGTGACGACGCCCAGGCAGGGCCAGGTCCAGCCTGCTCCAGAATTAGAAATCAACGTCAAAGAAATTCCGGATTGAAGACACAGTGTCCCTGAGGTCTATATAATTGACCTGAACTCCACGGTAGAGATGTAATGACAACTTCAATCGCAGCCGTATCGCCATCATGATCATCACTGTTGTGTTTTGGAAAATATGCATCGTCATCACCGTACGAGGTAAGCATGACACTAACTAATACGAAACCCATACTAGTACCGCTGATAACGTCCGACTAGAACGATTCCTCCCCGCCCATGTAATCATCCACGTTTTCCCCTCCTCCACCTTCTACATCATAGTCTCTATTCCCCTTCTCGACCTCGTGGAGATGGATGGGTTTCCGCCATGAAAAGAAGTCGTACCCTTTTCGAAGCCGGGGAAGATGCCTCGTCCGTGTCGTCCCCGCAGGGCCCTCTCCCCCTCCCGAGGGTCCCCGAACTGGGTGTCCGGCAAGGCCCCACGCACTTCCCCAAGATCTCCCGGCGCATACGCGCCTGCACCGAGTGTAAGAGACACAAGGTGCGATGTGACATGAACGAGGGCGATGCCGCGTGCCACCGATGCTGTCGGATGGACTTGAAGTGCGTTGTCAATAAGAATCTCCAGACGTTGCTGGACGACGAGACAGAGTAATGATGATCCACCACCTCCTCCTCCGCCGTGCCATTGCTGATACTCGGTCGTGTGACCCCCCAGGTGGAAAACGATCATGGAGCGCGCCATGTCCGATCTTCTCCGGAAGGCTGGCCTCCCGGATCTGGCCTCATACCAAGCGCGGGGAAGCCCCGCGGATGGCCAGACCCCGCCCCGGAAGAGAAGAGACCGACAGGACTCGACCGTGTCCGTGGAAGATCCCACGAGCATGACGAACGGTAGCCAGAGGATGGACTCTGCCGAGGCGAGTGTCCCCTCCGTGACCGCCCCGCCGACGACCGCCGCTCCGCAGACCTTCTCGCAGCCGTCGCAATATGCACTCGACCGCGAGGAGAACGGGACGTCGTCGTTGGTCACGGCGCCCATGGGGAGTCTGTACGAAGTGACGCAGCTGAGTGACATCCACGCGGGCACCCCCGAACGACAGCATGCCCTGAACGGGGCGCTCGTCACGGACTTCATATCCAAGGGGGTGGTCGGTGTCGACGAGGCGGAGGAATTGTTCGATTACTTTGACCAGGTGCTGAACCGATACCTGTGGGATGGGATCGCACTGGTGCACAAGGACCTCACGTCGGCGCGGAATTCCTCGTCGATGCTGTCCGCCGCCATCCTGGCCGTGACGGCCCTGCATAGGCCCCACAAGGAACGGACGTTCGACATCTGCTACACCGAGTTTGCCAAGTTGGCGTCGGAGTCGATGTTGGACCGTCACCACACCTTGGATGATCTGCGCGCGCTCTGCATCGGGGCTTTCTGGCTGGCCGACGTCAGCTGGAAGTTGTCGGGATATGCCGTCCGCATTGCGACCGAGCGTGGCCTGCATCTGTCGTATCGGAAGGCCACCTTGGGTTTGCCTGAACATGTGGAGCAGGCCCGACTGTGGTATCTTCTTTACGTGAGTTTCTTTCTCTCTTTTCTTCTCTATTCTTTACTTTCTCCCCCCGTCAGGATCCATCTAACGTCGCAGACCCTCGAACACCATTTCTCGATCGCGTACGGACGACCGCCCATCATCCACGAAGACCAGAGTATCATCAACCATCACACCTTCACCCTCTCCCCGACCGCGCCGCAGTCCGATCTGCGGTTGCACAGCCAGGTCGACCTGTTCATCATCCTGACCCGGATCTACCACGCCTTCGGGCCCGATGTCGACTTCGAAGTCCCCGAGAGTGACTTTCCCACCATCGACCAATTCGACACCAACCTTGCGGAGTGGCAGGCGGCGTGGCTTCCCCGATTAGGTAGGTCCTATTTCACTTGATGTTATTTTTTTCTTTTATTTTTTATTTTTTCCGATGCTGACCTCAACAGTGGGCAGCCGGTATGTCGGAGCGTACCCATATCGGGCCGTTGACCTACACTACAACTTCTCGCGGCTGCAGCTCAACTCGGTAGCGCTCCGAACCTACCACTCCTCGAATTCGACCCGGCTCATGTCCGAGGCGCGGCGCGAACGCGCCAACCTAGCGATCGCCTCAGCGATCGGCACACTCCGAGTCGTGCTGGACGAGCCAGACATCCAAGCAGCGCTGGTAGGCGTGCCACTATACCTCCACAGCATGATCACCTTCGCGGCGGTCTTCCTGTTAAAGATCGCCGCCAAGTGCTGCTCCTGTGGCCGCCGCGGGGCGTCCGGGCCACCGAACTCGATCGCGGCCGCTAGCCTCGCCATCGACAACGCCTCGGTGCGCAAGCTAGTCGGCCAGATCATCGACCTAATGGTATCGTGCAGCAAGCGCGCCAGCGAGCGTCACCTGAGCCACTACATCGCGCGCGGCCTGCGCAAGATGCTCACTGGCCTGGAAGAGTGGGAGAAGCGGACCGCCGGCAGCCCGCCGTCATTATCCTCCTCCTCCTCCGCCTCCTCTTTCCTAGGGGCGGGGCGGCCACACTCACACGACCCGGCCCCGCTGTTCAAGCCAGTCATCATCCCGGGCTCCCAGCCTCTAGGAGCGGGAGACACTATTCTCCACCCGCCGCCGCCGCTGCTGGGGGTGGCGCCGCTGTCGGCGGAGCGCGGTCACGGCTTGGAACCGCCGCCGGCGGAGGCGGCGGCTAAACCGCAGCCTGGTCTGTCGGAGGGGTCGATCGACCCTATGATGGCGGATTTGTGGGGGTTCGACGAGGAGTATTTCCCTACGGGGGTGTTTGACTTTTTGCAGTCTCAGATGCCGGCATGACTTTCTGTATGACTGATCTGCTGGTTAGATGTGTACTGGGTGTATGGTGAAAATATAGTATATGATGTTGTCTTAATAGGTGGCTCAGGATTGTATATACATTTTTTTTTTTTGGTAATGGCTGTCAGTTTGGGTTTGTTTTACTCTTTGTTGATACTTTTTTGTTCTGAGAATGACATGTATACACCACTTCCAAATCCTTGAATATTAATATTCATAATGAAGCATCTATTAATAATTGAACAGAATATTAATCCTATCTAAATATACCTAGTAATAAGTAGGGGGAATGATATACTGGATACCAATCGAAGCTAAGGCAAACCCCGTGATTGGACACAACCACCGAACCGACGCGCCTCCGCCGACCTGCATTAATCAATCTTTCCCTAGTACGGAGTACTTAACTACGTAGTTACTTGGCGCCTACGTAGTACCTGGTACTGCCTCTAGTAGTTGATTTCCGCGGAATTCGGCTCCATTTCTTAACCCTTCGGCCTGGACGGCTACGATCGCTGGAATCGGACGCCCGACGTGATTGGAGTATCTGGTTCTGTTTGAAGGCGGCCCGCCGATTGCCGAGGTCTTGTCTCGTCCACCTATTCTTACTTCCACTCGACTTACTCCTTGCGCGCCTTTATTTAAGTCGGTCTTCCCCGCAATCTTTCTGATTTCTTCCTGTCTTCCTGTATAATATTGTTCTTATATATATATTTGCACCATGAATACCTCTGTTCTTCGCACGGCTTCGCGCCACCTCTCCAAGGCGGGACGCCCGCGGTCCCTCCGCACCGTGCGCGGTTATGCCACCTTCAACTGGGAGGATCCGTTGGCGGCGTCGGAGTTGTATACTGAGGAGGAGCTGGCTATTCAGGAGACGGCTCGTCAGTATTGTCAGGAGCAGTTGCAGCCGAGGGTTTTGGGTGGGTTCTCCTTCATTCATTCTTTTCTTAATCCCCCACCCCACCATGCTGGTTATGGAGAATTAATAAAATTAATTATATAGACGCCTACCGACATGAAAACTACGACCGTCGCATCCTCGAAGAAATGGGCGAGCTCGGCCTCCTCGGCGCCACAATCGAAGGCTACGGCTGCGCCGGCGTGAGCACGGTCGCATCGGGTCTGATCACCAAGGAAGTCGAGCGCGTGGACTCCGGATACCGCTCGGGAATGTCCGTGCAGAGCTCGCTGGCGATGACAGCCATCCACGAGTTCGGCACAGAAGAGCTGAAGGAGCGCCTGCTCCCCGGGCTCGCCAAGGGCAAGCTGGCCGGCTGCTTCGGCCTCACGGAGCCCAACCACGGGTCCGACCCGGGCGCGATGGAGACGGTTGCCCGCGAGCACCCGACCAAGAAGGGCACGTACCTGCTGTCGGGGGCCAAGACGTGGATCACCAACTCGCCGATCGCGGACGTGCTGGTCGTGTGGGCGAAGCTGGAGAGCACGGGCAAGATCCACGGGTTTGCGGTCGAGCGCGACCAGTGTCCCGCCGGTACGCTGGAGACGCCAGCTATCAAGAACAAGACGGCCCTGCGCGCCTCCATCACGGGCATGATCCAGCTGGACGACTGCCCCGTGCCGGCCGAGAACATGTTCCCCGAGGTGCAGGGCCTGACGGGCCCGTTCACCTGTCTGAACAGTGCCCGCCTGGGCATCGCCTTTGGGGCCATGGGCGCCCTGGAGGACTGTCTGAGCCGCGCGCGCACCTACGCGCTCGAGCGCAAGCAGTTCAAGGGCAACCCGCTGGCCAAGTACCAGCTTATCCAGAAGAAGCTGGCCGATGCGGCGACGGACGCCACGTACGGCACGCTGGCGGCTACGCAGGTGGCTCGGCTGAAGGACGCGGGCAAGGCGACGCCGGAGATGATCTCGCTGGTGAAGAGACAGAACTGTGATCGGGCGTTGGCGAATTCGCGGATGTATTTCTCCCTCTTTCTTTCTTTCCTTCTCTTGATGTTACTATGAGGTACTGACTGGATACAGTTTACAAGAAGTGTTCGGCGGCAATGCGACGAGCGACGAGTACCACATTGGACGCCACGTGGCGAATCTGTTTGTGGTGCAGACTTATGAGGGACAGAGTGATATCCATGGTGAGTTTTCTCCTTCCTTTCCATAGAAGAGTTGTACTGACGGAGTAGCCTTGATTCTGGGGCGCGCCATTACGGGGGTGCAGGCGTTTGTTTGAGATAGTTAGGCTTGTATAGAGTATGAATTGATGATAGATTTCTTGTTCACTCGTCTGTAGTTCGGTATTTCCACTCTATATTAATTGAACTATATCTAACTATAGGGATGTATCTGTTCTATAGTGGTATAAGTGATTCCTGAGGCATAAACACGTGACTGCTGCGCCACAGGGTAAGACAGGAACGGTACCATACGATATGGTCAGGTATGGTCAGGAGACACCGTCATCGAGGGGCAGTCAATGTGCAATATTCGACGTTATTCTATATCTAATTTTATATTCTATATTAGATTTACACTTGTATATACTCTGTAATATATATAATAAATATTGACATATATATATCTCTATACATATGTAAAACGCCTACTATATAGGTATAGTGGCAAGTGGGTACGGTCATGAAAGAGTGACGGGCGAGAAATCTGTTCGACTGTCAGCCCAATTGCCCCCGCTCTCTCTCTCTCTCTCTCTCTCTCTCTCTCTCTCTCTTTCTTTCTTCTCCCCTCTTCCTCTTCTCTTCTCTCCTGTTGACTTCAAACCTCCTGTTTCCTTCTCTCCAACCTCTCTCTCCAGGTCACCAGCAGTAAGTCTTTTCTTTCCTTCCCTCTCCCGTATACTCTATCCCCCCACTAGGTATCTTCAGTGGCAATAGGGTTATCCTGAACCAAACCCAGCCCCCTCCTCCCTCCCCTCTTACCCAATATCTTATAAATATCGCCTCCCCCCATATCCACATTTCACATTCCACGCTCTGATCTTGCTGACTGATTCGTCTCTCTTTCTTTCGTTCTCGTCGCAGGTTCCTATCTTTTTTCGTCTTTCTCTTCCTCTCTTCCTACGCTTCCGCCTTCAACCACACACAACACCTTCAAGATGGCTCTTAAGAGAATTAACAAGGAACTCACTGACCTCGGCCGGTATGTATGATCTTTTTTATTAGAAGAAGAAAAAAAAAGAAGAAGAAAAATGGTGGACTGAACGATCTACACCCCACCTCTTCAGTCAAGCCTTGTGCCGCCGCGGGGCGGTCTCGGTTGCCCCTCCAACACCCTCAGAATACACCCATTATGACAATCAATAGATACTGATATCTCATAGTGATCCCCCCTCGTCTTGCTCGGCTGGCCCTTCTGGAGATGACCTGGTATGATTTTCACCGCCATAGTGCTCCCCTTTTGCCCACGGTGGCGGGGTTCCATGCGATCCGACGACCCCGCCTGTCTACCCTCAAATCGATACACTCGCCTATTAACGCAACAAATTACTGACCTTGAACAGTTCCACTGGCAAGCAACGATCATGGGTCCTGTGAGTATCCTCTTGAATCTCTACCTCGATATGACACTAACAATCCAGGGTGACTCCCCATACTCCGGCGGTGTCTTCTTCCTCTCGATCCACTTCCCCACCGACTATCCGTTCAAGCCCCCCAAGGTCAACTTCACCACGCGCATCTACCACCCCAACATCAACTCCAACGGCAGCATCTGTCTAGATATTCTCCGAGACCAGTGGAGCCCCGCTCTCACCATCTCCAAAGGTGCGCCGGCTCTCCTCCGCTCTTCCCCAGTGCCCGACCGTGATCGAAACTAATTCTCTCTAGTGCTGCTGTCCATCTGCTCGATGCTCACAGACCCCAACCCGGATGATCCGTTGGTGCCCGAGATCGCTCACGTCTACAAGACCGACCGTCCCCGGTACGAAGCCACCGCTCGTGAGTGGACGCGCAAGTACGCCATTTGATCGTCCACCGGCAGTTCCCGTGGGACGACCCCTTCAAATCGTCCCAGCTGCTTCTGTGTCTTCTTCCCGTGCGTTAGATCGGATCCGAAGCTCGGCATCCCGTGATCGTAGATCCTGGCCTTGTTCTCGGTGAATCCTTTTGTGTGTCTGGCTCTGGCGATCCTTGGGTGTCCTTTTTTTTCCCTATTCTCTTTTCTTTTTCCTTTCTTATTACATTTTTTTCTTTGCAGCCTTTTTTTCCTTCTGACGGGAAAAAAACTGTCATCTCCAACGATCATTATGACCACCTTCTTATCATGCATTCATGGCATTATCTTAAACTGAAATGGAGTCGGATTCTTTGTGTTTTCGTTTTCGTTTGACCTCTGCGCCTGTCGTTTTCCTCCTACCTTCGGGTAGTGAGGCGGTCGGATAGGCCGGATGGGAGACGAGGGTGAGGAGGTGGGATGGGATGGTCATGGAGCTTGGCCTGATGAGGAGGGAGATGGTGGTGGAGGAGTGGACGAGATTGGTGGAGTGTATCTATCAGATAGGAGTAATCACGACTCGTCCGTCACATTATTGCAGTCTTCTTCATTGTAGAATTGTAGAATGAGTAGTTGATGAGTACACCAACCGTATCAAGGATATATGGGTATATGGAGATAGTGAAACCAGTCCATTCGAATAACTTCCAAGTCCAATGATAATAATACCAACACAACCTTACCTATCAGCATAGTAAAGTAAGTAAAGCAAAGGACAATCTTTTGATAGTATAGTCAAGTAAATCATTCAATCAATAAATAACCAAATCAGTAAAATAAAAACATGAAATAATAAAATAATAATAATAATAAACATGTAATGAATCCATAATCCAAACCAAACGCCAACAGTATGCTCCCTCTCTCTCTCTTCTTCCTTCTTCCACGTCTCATAAATGTTCTATGATAATCATGTATGATGTATGTTGTATCCGTATGTTGTATGTATATGCCAAACTCATGAATAATGCAATGCAATCAATCAATCAATCAATCAATCAAGAATCAAGAATCAACAATCAACAATCAACAATCAACAATCAACAATCAACAATCAACAATCAACCAGCATGAACGATGAATAATAGACAAACAGTAAACAGTATAGAAAAGAAACCATCAAGTCAAGTCATGTGAACAGGAAAGAAAAAGAAAGAGTAAAAGAATAGACAAGAAAAGAAGAAATCAAATCCAATCAAATCAAAAGGGAAGAAGAAGAAGAAGAAGAAGAAGAAGAAGAAAAAGATGAATCAAACAACCTGACTCCCCCTCCGACTCCCCCCAGTCGTAGTCCCCCCAAACCTCGACCCAGCCTTCGAGTTCCCCCCGCCACCAGCCTTCATCGTCCGCTGCGACGACGCCTTAGACACATGGCTGGGATTAACCGAGATCTGGCTGACGCTGTCGGCTGGACGGACGGGCTCGTCGAATCGAGATGAATGCTTCGACACGCGCGATCCACCACCACCACCTCCTCCTCCGCCGGAGCGGGAAGTGTGCGAGCGGTGGGAGTAGGAAGGGCGACGGCCGCCTTCGTCGACTTGGCTGATTGAGTCGTCGGGCGTGACGGCTGTGTCGTTGTCGTAGAGGTCGAGGTCGGCCATGCTTTCTGGGAGGGGCACGTCGCGGGCGGACATGTAGGACTTTGATGATGGGGCCTTTGAGGATGGGGCGTGGGAGCCGCTACGGTAGGTTGCGAAGGAGGCGATCGAGGAGCCGGTGTCTGGGAGGGGGACGTGGCGTGCGCTGCGGGTGGAGGTTGAGGAGGGGGCGTGGCTGCCTGCTTCGGAGGAGCGGCTGCGGTGGTTGCTGTGGCTGTGGGTGCTGCGGTGGCTGGATGGGGAGCGGTGCGTGGAATGGTGGTGGGAGGAACGGCGCGAGGAGGAGGCGGAGCTGCCGTGGTGGGAGGACGGAGGCGATGACCGCTGGCGCTCGGAGTAGTGCGAGTTGGCTTTGGAGGGCTTGATGGTCGAGGCGGATGAGTACACGCTGCCGTTGCCGTGGTCCATCATTGCGCGGGACTGGTCCGGGAAGCTGCTGATTAGGGTGCTTGCGTCGTAGCCCTCCTCGTAGGACTCGTCTAGTGGCGGGGGGTACTCGATTGCGCGCAGGGGGATCTCGCGGTCGCTGCTGTAGACGCTGCTTTCTGAGGCTCGGCGGCCGTTGTGGTCCATGTAGACGCTGCCGCCGCCGCTGCCGCCTTCCGAGGCGCGACGGCCGTTGTTGTCCATGTACATGCTGCCGCCGCTGCTGCGGGGGATGAACTCCGTGCCTTCGTAGATGGTGCTGGCGCGCGGGTTCTTGGAGCTGACGCTCCGGGCGAGGGATGGGCGGCCTTCGGACTGGGAGTAGGTGCTTCGGGCTGGGCCTGCTTCGATGGCCCGGTAGCCTTGTCGCTCGGAGACCTGGGAGGGTGCCTGCGAGGCTGAGAGGAGCTGTGGGAGGAACTCCCGCGGGGAGTATTGCGGCGGCGGGGATGTGGTGGTGGCCGTCTCGGTGGAGTCCGAGGTGCTGGAGGTTATGGCGTATGCGAGGGCCGCGCCGGCTGCCGCGCCGATGAGCGAGCCCACGATGGTCTTGGCTGTCTTGCCTTCGTCGGTCTTTTGCGTGGTGGTCGAGTGCACCACGTAGGTTGGGGACGGCTGCATGTCCCGGGAGGCACCCGACGGTGAGCCCCGATCAACGGCCGTGCTGGCCTTGGAGATGTAGGATTTGGTCTCGGATCGGGGAGCAATGCTCTCCGTCTTCATGGTGCTGGCTCGGCTGCTGGCCTTGGATACCACGGAGCCGCCCTCCAGTAGAGCCAATGTCGGTTGGCTGATCTCTGACCGGGCGGACGAGTGGCTGGGCCGGTAGACCGCCTCGATGCTGTTGCCGTCGAAATCGATGATGGCTGCACTGTAGTACCCCGAGTCGGCGTCGCGGGTTTTGGGCTCCCCGTGCAGTTTGGCGCCGGATTTCAAAGCATTGATGAAGAACGTGCCCACCGCATCCTTGGATGGGGCGGGGAACGCGACATGAGCTGCACCGGCTGGAACTCTGGGATGAATTAGCCGTGGAACCAGGTGTATCTGAGCCTGGGACGGAAAGCAATGACATACCCCGGTTTTTGCTCGGTGATCCAGAAGTCTGCGGGCTCCCCCGACTTCTGACCGAAGCCGATAAAGTCGTCATGACGGCCGATGAACTGGTACCCCAGCGGCTGTAAACAAGAGAGGAAAAAGGATGTGGAAGTCGGGAGGTGGGCGACAGTTAGGGTTAAATGTGACACCGGCATGGTGGATGGGCGAGAGACTCGCTGGAAGGGTCTCAGCGAGTTAATGGATTGCAGTCAAGACAAAGGACAAGGTGGGATAAACCAGAAGAGATGAAAAGGAAGAAATCCAGGGTAGTATACAACAGACAAGTCTGAGATCCTGAGGCAATTATGATTTGAGAAGAAAAGACGGCGCTGGCCGTGGATTATTTATACAGATGGAATCACAAGGAATAGAGGTGTAAGAAGCCAAGGACCAGTATGATAAAATGGGGCGATAGCATGAATTATTTCAAAGCGAAGCTGCATACGAGGGGAACGATCTCCCCTCCAAGAAGAAAGAAAAAAAAAAGACCCAAGCATGCCCAATTTTGTGTCCAATCATGGTAGACCCGACGTTAGCAGAATTGCCTTTAGTATACGGGTTAAGCATTGCAGGCCGTCATGCATACGCTCACGTACCGGCCCCGAATAGGTGCCCAGTATCGGTGAGGTACCAATGATGTTTGAAATCTGCAGGTCCATTCCAGAACGGTGAAGTACTTCGAGGGAAGGCAAGGCCCCATGACGCTGACCTCCCAATCTAAACCCTCATCTGTATAACCGGCTATCTAGGCGGGGGGGGCAGGAGAGGGGAAGTCCGATGGACGGGTCCTGTAGGTGGCCCCGTCCTCTGAAAATGGGGCGTCTCTCAGTATGAAGATGCAAGACCAAACGGTGGATACGGCACATGGGGCCAAGGAACAGCATCATGTCAGAAGTCGAGTTGGGTGAGGCGACCGGACCCATGACAAGGTGGACGATGCGGATTGGCAGCAGTGGGTCCCCATCTGGCGGATCAGGGCAGAACAACTGTGAACATTGAACTGACTAGTAACTTCTGAGACAACCAGGCGAAGAAACGCGGACCCTCATCGGAATAAAGTTGACGATGGACTAACCCCTACCGAAAATCGATGGAAGGAAGGATGTGTCGCAGTCGCCTGTCCGAGGAAAAGCTCTATTGAGCCACTTGCTTTGCTTCTCTGCGAGGCTTTTCTCCGATAATAGTAAAAGCGTAAGAGGGCTGGAATCAGGTCTCCCAATCCCGATATAACCGCCAATGACCGCCGGACAACAAACCCCCTAGGGCCAATGGTAGGGCCACTGGGTTCAAGGCGGGGGAAACCCACTGCCCTAGGGGGCTCCACCAGCGCCATCTGGTTTTCTTGACCGACGAGGGACGAAGAGATGTCTGGATTTTCTTGCTTTGGGCATTTCTGCTGCTGTTAGTCGCCGGATGGCGCTGTCGATTCGCCTGACCGCCAAACTGCAACCCACTTCAGCATGGTGTCGGGGGTCAAGCCGCCCTCCATGCCAGGCGAATGAGAAATCGTGAGATCTCCCAAGCCCATTCCTCAAATGGCGGAATAGTCCAGAGTGAATTGTAGTGGGACAAATCACGGCGCCTCCCCCTTTCATGAGTACTCCGTAGTAGTGTACTCCGTAGTCCACTCCCTGGTCCCTCACTTCACCCCTATCTATCCATTCCCCCCCCTCCGGTGAGTCATTTTGCAGGGTGCCGAAGTTTCCATGGAAAAATCCCCGAGATCGATCATCACATTAGTTGATCCACCGACGGAATCCACCGGGAGAGTGAGGTGGTCGGCAGGGTGCCACGTCGAAGTCCCTCATTGCCACCGGAAGCGCCCGATCGAGATTGACTTGCGGGAGATAGGACGGGTTGGGATACCCGGGGAAGTCATCGCCTCTTTGTTTACTTGACCCGGAGATATCCCGAATGAATAGATGATGGGATGGAAGAGGAAGGCCGGTGGTTGTTGAGAAGTGGAATGATTTGCCAAGAAGAGCAAAAGTCACGCACCATGGCCTCAGGCACTCGTCCATCTATCGTCCTCTCTTCTCTCTCTCTCTCTCGTCACTACAGAAGAATGCCACAACTCGCTGATACTACATCCAAAGACTGATAGATCTCTGATTGATATGCTACCGTTTCCTAAAACTCCATAGACCTGGGAGGATTACCATACATGTATATATAAAAGGTCAGGGTTATACGGCCCTTTTGGGCCGCCATTTTCTGACCACCCAGTTGAATTGGAGGAGAAAAACCTGGCTGAGGATATCGGCAGCGAGGACTTCCTCCCGCCCGAAGTTTCACCCGGAGATTCATTTGTCTGCTTTCCGGGGAACGGGGAGGGGAGAGGAAGAGGAGAGGTTGCCTGGAGACTGCCGCTACCGCCACACGAAGGGTCCACAGACGAGGGGACCCGCAACTCTGAGGAGCCGCACGGACGATGCGCAAGAACGAGACTCGAAACAGACACCAAACACATAGGAGACAACCGGTTTAAATAATTCACCACACCCATCGGAGGGGACTGGTCCCCGCCGGCCCGGACCACCTGGAATAAGAGGACTGACTCATCGCAAGGAGATTCGTGACATCGTGAAAACCGAAGCCGTTCCTGTCCGGAGAGGAAGGGGTGGACGGGACGGGGGGGAGAGCGTGGGACGATGCGACGGATGAGGCCCGCTCAGATGATGTCCCACACTTCCTCGGCGGCATGGCAGAATTTGCTGCAGGCAACGCTTGCGCTCAGACTGTAGTTGCTGATACTGATGGTGTCGTCCTTGAAGGAGTCGGCGAAATCGTCGTGGCCCTTGGCCATGGCACCGACGAAGATACACACGCTCTCGTTGGAACTGAGGGTCTCGAGGTAGTCCCGGGTCCGGACGACGGGCGCCTCGTAACTGAGCGTCACCTTCCGGCAGTTGGGGGGCAGATGATCGGTGATGGGGTTCTTGATAACCTTGAGAAGCTTCTCCTGCGAGTTGGTGGAGCGGATGGAGAGACGGTGCAGGAGCTGAACCATCAGACCGGCGAACCGCTTGAAAGTTCGCGGAATGCGAACGCTGGGGTTGACCTCGATCAGGACGCCTTTGGCCGTGTGGATGAAGATCTGCAGCTTGCCGGCCTTGTTGACGGGGGAATCGAGCAGGGTGAGAAGGCACTGGAGACGGGAACGAGATCAGTTCCGGCCTCAAAAAATCCAGAGGGAATCATGGACGAGTCTCACCTGATGGGTGATATCGGGCCGCGCTTCACTGATATCCCGGTTCATCTTGCGCATGACACCGATGTGCTCGTCGCTGTTGAGTAAAGAATACTTCTCATCGCGTGCCGTCCCGTTGCGACCCCCCGAGGACGCCCGGTAAGTTTCCAGACTGGCGTGCGAGAGGACGACAATCAAACGCTGGGTATCCTTGTCATGGGCGGAGATCGGAACATGCTGCTCCGCGACGAGTTGAGGCAACTCCGGGGGTGGGCAAGACTGCGTCCCTGAGAGTCGAGTTTGATTAGCGTCCATCGCTGACTTGCATTCCACAGTGGTTTCACGTTTGCAGGGATGGGGGACAGTTTCTGAGGGACGATGTAGGGATTGACGATCGCTGGTGGGGACGAGAAGGAGGGGAGAAGAGGGAGGGGAAGACGGTAAGTCTGTGGCGGCTTAAGGAGGGGAAAGGCGGGTAACACAGGTGGTTGTCTCCGACGTGGACCACAACACGGGAAGATGAACTCGTTCGTCTGGAGATTCACTGGTCATATCCTATATCCCATTCCCGACGAGAACCCAGATGGATCATCCCAGATCTATCATCCCCGTGCTGACACCCAGCAGAAAGATGGCGCAAGCGGGGTGGGGTGAAAAAAAGAAGGAAGTGGAATGTGATAGATACAACACCACCACAGACGGCTGGAAGCCCATTGGGTGGGTATACGTACTGGCTCTCTTGCGCTTGCCTGCTATTTGTGCCGGATCCGACATTATGATATTCTCGCGTGGTTTAATGCGTGGTGTTGACGAAACGACCAAGAAAATTTATAGGGACGAAGAGGGGCGGTTTGAAGAGATTGAAAGATGGAATCGAGGAGAGGAATGGAAGCGGACGAGAAAGGAGAGGACGGAGAAGAAAAAGAAGGAAAGAAGTAAGCGCAGTCGGTTCTCTCTTCCTTGTTTCTTCCTGATTGTTCTGATCCTGGTTCTCCTCGGCTACTGGCTGAGTCTTGCGCGAGGTTGTGAGTAAGGGAGAGACCGGGGGGTGAAGATGCAAGAGAAGACGTGGAAGGAAGACGGGGAAGAAAAAGAGGGAAATTGGCCGAGAAGGATGCTGTTTGTCTGGTTTGCTTCTCTTTTTTTTTCTGGCTTGTGATTTTCCAGAAATCCAAAGAAGAAAACTGGAGAAGAAAAAGAAGAAGAAAAACGAGAGGAAAGAATGAGGAAATTGAAGGGAGAAAAAAACGAAGAAAAAAAGTTTGGGTCCGTCCCGTGGGTGCCTGAGGTACTCCAGTCTTACTGTACTCCGAACAAACAACAGCAGGAGGATATAGATTCCCTCTTTGGAACTTCTTTTGATTCTCTTCGTGTCAGCCGCCTGTCTGTCCTCCTTCAGACCATTGTTCTCATTATATCTAGGTTCATGGTAATATAGATCCTATAGATCAGCCTCATGGTTTGGTTGATCGGTGATTTTCCCCGTCAGCATGATGGACGCCGTATCAGCCATGGAGGCACCTGTCAGCCCTGAGCCGGGTCTCGCGTGAGATTTGGGGAAAGAATCCGACGAGGGGCCAATGACGAGGCCGGACCTGTAGGGACGTTGTCTGACAATGGGATACACATGTACGCACCGAATCCAGTATCCTGATGGAGCCGCTCCGTGTGTCACCGGCTGGAGGCGAAGTCGACCGATCAACCGTCCGAGAACGGGAGAGACCGAATCCTCTGGTAGTAGTTGTTAATCCAATCAATGTGCTTCAATTGGGATTGATCTGCTATGCCATATCCTCTGGGGATTTGCATAGGGTCCTCTCGTCCTCAGCCATCCTGTGATTCTTGTCGCTTGTTTGGCTTGGTTGATGTAGACCAATGCCTTGGCCAACTTCGCCGAGTGACTGGAAGCTTCATGAACGGCAAGCAGGTGAAGTGACATGGGACACTTCTGGCGGACCAGACCAATCCGAAGCACGGGGGCCACGGGGCCCCGTGGGTGTACGACCCTGGAAGATACACAATGGCCACCCCTCCTGTACCACGAAGGCTTATACTTGGCAGGGAGGAGGATCTCAACCCCAGAGTCAGCACATCACATTGCTGATCGTGGCTGAGCAGGCCCAGCAGCCGCAGGGGTCGTTATATCGGCGGGCAATGGAATTGTGGGGGTCTTGTCTCCTAGGGGTCTCCTAAGGGTCCCCAGGGGAGATCATGGTCAGGTACCCCGTATCGCTCCTCTTTCAGATCGGACATTCGCCCCCAGACTTGGTCTGGGATTTCGGTCAGACTGAAACAGGATGCTTGGCCGCGACTGCGGACGAATCTGATCCATCCCATGCAGTGTGCTTCGTAGTCGGGGACGAATCAGAAGCTGAAGAGGGGTATCTGAGTTGTTTCACGGACCGGACCACGACCCTTGGGGGATCTGGCAATCGCCTTGTCTTGTTCTTTTCACTTCTTTCTTTTCTTGTTTTTCTTTTCTTAATTTTTGGCCATGGCGCAGTGACACTGCCCAGCTCGCCTTGGCGAACGCGCCTCCAGTCACCATCACTCAAGGGTTCTTGCATGAGATGGTGCTGGGGGCAGATTCAGGGGAGGTAAGTAAAAAAAGTAAAAAAGTGACACCCCATTTGAGATGATGTCAGACTCCGGTAATCAGCGGGGACAGTGATGATGGTGTTGGAGATTGGGTTTGCCTGATTGTATGGGTGATGGACACCGGAAGAGTGAGGATCAGCTTCAACGTTGGATGAGGGATTGATTGGTGGTCTTCTCTGGTATTGCTGTTCCTTCAATTTCTTCTCTTTGTCTTTGTCTTTTTCTCTATTCTGTGGTATTTTGGTTGAATTTCCATTCCTACCTTTTCAGATGATTCGTGGTGGCAGGGCCACACATTGGGCAGGAAAATATTCGGGACGCGCCAACATTCTTGAGGTTGGATAGGAAGCGCGTTCTTCTCCAGGACGAAAGGGATAGAAGATGCTGTCCATGATGAATGACTGTGGGGATTGTTGTTCGAATCCATGATGGAAGTATGGGCAACATGTAGGAGTGTACTAGTTGGAGTGTACTAGTAGGAGTGCCGGGATGCCAGCAAGGGCGTCTCTATATCCATCCTATCGAGTCGTATTCTAGTTGTTTTTCCTCTTCTATAAATGTAGGTATATATATGATATTTTTTCTTGTTGATTTATATTTCTCATAATTACCATTATTTTGTTCTATTTTATTTAAGTTATATATTAATGGTATAGAGGCAAATCGTGGCGTTAGGCTCCAGTCTCCTCTCCTATACATGACGATCAACAGCATCAGATCCTCCAACTCAGAGAGGCAAATCTCCCTTACTGATCAACTGTATATCGACTGCGACCCAGGTCAGGCATTCCTGCGTTTGACCAGAATCAAATCAGTAAATAAAGAATAGAATATCATACTATAATATAAATAATATAATAATAATATAATATAAATCATACATATAAATTGATCATAGTAATATACCCCAATCCAGCCTAGTCTCGCTGGGCACGCGTTTCCGTCAGCCCCGTCGATCAGTTCGCCGCAACCTTCCGCCCCGTTGTGGAAAAGAATTCAATTCATCGGCGAACTGGAACACCTCGTCATCCAACCTCCTTCTTCTCCCTTGTCTGCCTTCTCGCTCTTTTCTCATCACTTCTTGACCACTGCGACTTCTGACTTGACCCCGACTTGGACTTCTAGCTTCTACCTCCTCCTCTGATCATCACCCGTCATCCACCCTTGATATCCCTTTTCTTCGGCAGTCAGAAAAGGGTCATCCATGATCCCCGTCGTTTGCATGTTTGGCTACTAGGGAGATGCCGTGGACTGTAACAAATTCATTCAAGCGGTATGTGTCGTTTGATCCTTTAGAACTTTTGCTCCACGCTAACGTCATCTCCTCCGTCTAGCGGTCTGACGATGAAAACATACGGGAGACCTCTGTGGCGCGTCTACGATGACGACCCGCGACCCGCGGCCAAGAAACGACGCGTTTTGTCGGGCACCGAGTCTGATGAGGCCGAGAACAGCATCCAGTATGCCATTCGGGAATCCTCCGCCGCCGTGCGGTCCAGTCCGTCGCGTCGGAATTCCATCCTCCTCTCCGAGGGCTCCCCGGATGGGGATGACCTGTCGACGCCACCCTCCTCCCCACCACCACGGTTGAGCCCCCCGCCGGTCAACACGCGCAAACCGACCTTTTCCTTCCTCAAACGCAAACAGTCGGCCGCCCCCAAGGATCGGGGCCACGCTTCCCCCGCCAACGGCACCGCCCATCATCCCACCCCCGGCACCAATAACGGCACCCCCCTCACCGAGGTCAACTCCAACAGCGTGCGCGCCTCGGTCGATCCCCCCAAGAAGGAGAAGAAGAAGAAGACGACCCCGGTCCCGTCCGCCCTGCCGCAACCGCCGCTGCGACAGATGCAGATCGACCTGGGCCACGAGATGCGACGCACCTGCTCCACCTGCGGCATGGAATATATCCCGTCCAACGCTGAGGATGCGGCGCTGCACAAGAAATTCCATGATATGAACGCGACCGGGGTCGACCTGGGCAAGGCTTTCATGCGAGCGAACGCGTCGCGCTGGGTCTACGAGGCTACGCGCTTTGACGAAGGCTACGTGGTCATTGTCGATCGCAAAGCCTCGCCGACCGCCAAGAGCCAGGCCAAGAAGGTGCTCGAGGTCATCAGCAAGGAGCTGTCCTCCCCCGAGATCGACGACGAGGTCCTCTGGAGTCAGACGGAACCGCCGCCCTCCGCCGCCGCGGGCCAGAGTGACGGCCCCGGGGAGAAGGTCGATCGCTACAAGGTCTTCCTCCACATGAAGGACAGCCGCTGCGTCGGAGCCTGTCTGACGGAACGCATCTGGGAGTCCCGCCCCGTCGACCACGTCGCCACCCCGAAGGAGGGCGCCGACACGGCGGTCACGGTCCGCCCGGAGACGCACCCGGCCATCGTGGGCATCTCCCGCATCTGGACCTCGGGCGCATCGCGGCGGAAAGGCATCGCCATGGATCTCCTGGATTGCGTCGTGAGCAATTTCATCTACGGCATGGAGATCCCCAAGGAGCAGATGGCCTTTAGCCAACCGACGGAGAGCGGTCGAGCCTTGGCCCGGTCCTTCTTCGGCGATGTCGATTGGCATGTGTATGAGGAACGGGAATGAGTGTGCGAGGATGCGGAAGAAAGAGAAATGAGAGGGAAGAAATATACACGATCAGAGGACCGCTCCCTCTTCCCTCTTTCTTTCCTTCCTTTTCCTTTCTCTTTTCATCTCTGTCTTTCTTTTTGTCTTTTTTTTTGTGGGTTTTTTGTGGTTTTCGTGGTATATTGATATAAATGGGCGAGTTGATACCCTTCTCTCTTGGATAGTGAAACTCAAGGGAGGAACTCTGATGACCGGTGACCTCTAATTTCCTATTTCTCATTCCCTCTGATTTGTTTTGTTGTCTTCCTAATTCTTGATTTCTGGTTTTCTGGCTGTTGGTTGGGTGGGGACGTGTTGGTTCGCATACAGAGAATGATATGTATTACCCGGAGTGCTTTTCGTTACGGGGGAGGATCGGTTTGCGCTGTGCTTTGCTTTGGTTTTGGTTTGGTTTTTTTGGGATATCTTATCTGTACCATATATTTTTCTTTCTTTTGTCTCTTTCTTTTTTGCCTTAGTTTCGAATTCCTGGCATAGAAACGGCCTTTAAATCTATATAATAATTCCTAGGTTCCAACCGACCTCTCGGGGTGCTTGCCGGAGAGCCGCGAGCGGTGTTTACTTCCACCCTCTCTGTGGCCTCGCCTTCCCTCGGTCTTCGTTGCTTCCGCCTTGTCAGCCTCTCTCTTCTCTTTCTCCTCCTTCCTGGCTCCCATGCTCACCCCCTTCATCCTCCTTTGCGATGTCTGGATTAAATCCTTTCCGCCCTAGAAAACCAGAGAGTGAGTTCTACCCCACCCTGTCCCTTCCCATTCTCCGTTCAACGGTTTGTGGAGTGAGGAGACTAGGTAAGCCGGAATGAACGCTCATGAGACAGACCCCCAAGACCATCATCCTCCACCCCCGTCGGTGACCACCAACGACGCTGCCCCGGAGCATCCGATCGCAGTCGATACGGTCGCCACTGCGGCAATCACGCGGAATGGCATCGTCCCCACCCCGTCGGTGTCGTACCCCACCGATGCGGACGATTCGACTTCCGAGGATGACCCGTCATCCACGTCCGACCCCTTCCGTCAAGAACCATTAAGCGATGAGGAGGAGGAAGAAGAGAAGGAGGAGCGACCGTATCCGCCGGTACCGCCACGGGGGAAAGCCACGCGCACGGATGTCTACGGTAGCCCCGAAGAGCGACACCGCGATCGAATACCTCGTACGGCGGCGAGCTCGGATAAGTCGGCGCGTCGCAGTGTCTTTCTGTCGGATCCCACCAGCCTCGAGGGAAGTCCACATGCTGTTATGGCCGGGAATGAAAACTACAGAAGCGGCAAGTCCCCATCGTCCGTGGACGAGGGGAGACGACCGCTGGCGAGCCGCCCGGGCAACAAGGACAAGATCCCACCCCCTCCCCCGAAGAGTCATCATGGGCGATTGATCAGCCCGTCTTCCGGCAATTCCTCCACTACGAGCGCCTCACGTCCGGCATCCATCATGTCGTCCAACCGCTTTTCCTTCCACGGCTTCCCCTCCGAGCCCTCCGTTTCACCTAGTCTCCGTTCGCGGGAGGGGGACGATGTCGCGGAGGGCCAACCCCGGCCCGACCTGCCTCGACGCAGTCAATCCCAATATAAACGCCCTCCGACACCCCCTCTCAGTCGACGCCACAGTCAGATGAAGAGGTCCCAACCGGCCGCTTCTGTCAAAACAACGCCACACCGTCGATCGGTCTCCTCGACAGAACCATCCTCTTCCGACACGTCCCCGCCATTGAGCCCGGGCGCTGGGACCTTAGACAACTCTCGCACCCGCGATGTGGCCCAGAGGACACGAACGTCTGAAGATGCTTCGCGGCCCCTGCAGCCGGAGCCGCGGGACCCGTCGACGTCGGCAAAACGAGTCTCGTACGGCAACTCCCTACCACCGCCGCCGCCTCCACGTCGGACCCGGGGAAATAGCAGTAACCCGAGCACTCGCCCAACTAGCCTCCGGTCGGAAACGCGCGCGGAGGACGAGGAGGGATTTGTCTCGCCGCCGTCGAACGCGCGGGACATCTTAGCCGACCTTACGCGTCTACAGAGAGAGGTGGACGATCTCCGGGGGCACTACGAGCGGAAGGCTAGTCATTAAGTATGGAGGAGAAATGATGGTGATTCGAAAAGAAAGAAGAAAGAAGAAAAGAAAAGCCAAGGAAGGGTCTGCTAGATCCGGACGATTGAACGAGTGATGATGTTTTTTTCTCTTCCTTTTTTTTTTCTATGGTATTTACTCATGATTATTCTCTGCGTCTACGCTGTATACCACAATCTAAACCTATACTGTACGTACATTGCAGACTACAGAGTAGCTAGCTACCTATACCTACAACCACAGTAAGATAGGCTACCCCGCAAGATCAGCTGACCGAACCCCAGATGACGTCACTCATTCCCAAAGCGGAGGTCGATCAATCAATCAATCAATTGACCCTGATCGACTGACTGATCGAACCTAACCTCACCTCTGTATTTCTTGGTACTTCTGATTCCTGATTCCTGACTGTTCCAACTCTCGTCCATCCTTGGTTTTGGTACTCCCCTCTTTATCCATCCTGGCATCTTGTGTTTCGTTGAAGTGAACGCTGGCTGGCACACTTTTATCTTTATCTTTATCTGAGACAAGTTCAACCTTTGGGGAGTCTATCTATCTGCGACATTGTCTTGTTCTAATCAAACCTGTTCTTGTCAGGTTTATTGTCTGTTCTCGGCGACTTTACTATTGAGGGATCACGCTCTCGTTCTTCTACGTTTGATTGATCTCTTCCTTTACTACATTGGATCGTTTGGACCTAAGAAGACAGGGAAAGAAGAGAAAGAAAAGAGAAGAAAAAGAATAGAAAGAGAAAGAAACCAAAAAAAGAAAAGGATAAGAAAAAAACAAGCAAAGGAGGCCTGGACAAGATGACCACGCCGACCTTGATCAATCTCCCCCCTCCGCCCTCCGACCCGGTCACCCCGTCGGAGATGGGCCCGTACGTTTTTCGTATCCCATTCTGATACTTTCCATCTGATCTATATTGCTAACCGGTCTAATTTGATAGGGGCACCCCCAACTCAGGCACCACATCGCTGTCAGCCCTCTCAACAACAGCCATCAAAGACGGCCACCAGGGCCAGCCCCTGCCACACAGTCACCACGCCCACCATTCTCCCTCCACATCGGCTACATCGACCACCACCCTCGAGGCCGAACGCGCCGATCGCATCTCCCGCCTAGCGGGCCTCGAACGGGTAGCCACGGCGCGAGCGGGAGGCCATACCTCCCCCAATCTCGCTGCTCCCGCTGCCCCCATCCCCAGCTACTTCGAGACCATGAAAGAGCGCAGCACCGTCGGCAGCGCCAGCGCGACGGGCAGTGTCGGCGCGCGCACCACCTGGGCCAGCGGCAGCGACGCCTTCGACGCCGATAAGATGAGCGAAGACCCAGACCCGGAAGACGGCGCCGGCTCTAGCGGGGATAACCTCAGCGATGAAGGAAACGCTAGTCTGGTCGGCTTCGGCGAGGGCGCTAGCACTATCAGCGGTCCTATCTCCCACCCGCAGCCCCGACGATCTTCCGGCGGGAGGCCTGGTTCTCTCGGGAGTCCTGGGCTTAGTCGGACGAATCCTGGTATTATTCCGTCTACGCTGTCTCCTACGGGGTCTATTACGCCTGAGCCGCTGCAGGATGCGCGTATGGTGGATGGAATGACTTTTGATCCGGATGTGGTGGATACTACGGTTCGGACGCCTCGGTTGGCGACGCCGCTTGGTCGGGATGGCTCGGTGGGGCCGGAGACGCAGTAGACGATTGCCAACAACGCTGGGAAAGGTCAACGTTGAGATGGATTGGAAAAATAGCTAGCAAAGAAGAAAGAAAGAAACTGTTCGATTGGATGGGATGGATTGTGGATTGACTTGATTGTTGTATTTGTATGAGGAGACCTCATTGACTGACGGACTGAGTGACTCTATGGATTGGGATCTGCTGGAAGATTGTAGATTATCTGAAATGAGTGATCTTTTCTTTTTTAGTCAACTGAAATACAGCTCTTTGTCTCAATCCATCATCTGTATACATCATCTGTATTATTATGGCTGCCTGACACGTTCCAGACTCAGGTATCCATATTCTGCCCGCCCACCCTCTCACCGCCTACTCTTTAAAGACAGACTCGCCTCTTTGCCTGGTTTTTTTCCAGCTGAAGCAGCTTCTCTCTCTCTCTCTCTCTCTCTCTTCTTCTCCACACCCCTCCTCAACTCTCTCCCCCCCGACAGCCCCTCTGGTCCCCTGCTTTCTTGCTGGCATTGACTTGTCAAGCATCGAGGTCTTCCTTGGACTGCTCCCCCTTCTCCTCTTACCGTGTACAAAGATCGTCTCCGCGTCTCTCTCCGGCCCGCCTTCTTTGTGTGTGTCTGAATTGCAGAAGACTACATAGCCAACAATTCGCCACCGAGTTCTAAACCACCAACCATTCATACAAGCCTGTCATTGTTTGGCTATACCAAAACACCACGAGCTCGTTTCGTTTTCGATTGGAATTCTATTCCTTGACTCGCGGATCGAATTGAATTCATCCTACCCGACTTATTAAACCCCGCGCATTTACGTCCAATCGCTGCACGAGCTCGAGCTTTGTTGCATTGCTTTTCGGAGAACAAACGATATCAATTCAAAGAAAGATCATTTCGATATGGCAGCTCCGACGCAGCTTTCTTGTGGGTCTTTCCACCTGTTTTACCGGACTTCGGTTTTGGGTGCGAAAAGTTGGACTGGAAATAGCTAATTGGTGGTAGACCGCACGGTGAAGGGACTTGGCATCTTAGATGCTACCCCTGTCTATGAGTCCCTGTCGGGGTTTGAGAAGTGAGTCAAGATTCTTGGATTCCTCGGATTGGGTTATCTGGACTGGTTGCTGACGTGGGCTTTGTTTTGTACAGACCTGAGGGAAACATCCGCTGTAGCGCCTATTCTCCCTGCGGCCGTTATTTCGCCTTCGCTTCTCCCGATAAGTATGCGATGCGCTTCCCCACTCCCAAATATCGAAACGAAGGATTGGGTTAACGGTAATAGGGTCACCGTCGTCGATCCGTCCGTCGGTCATGTCATCTCCACCATCGCCGCCGAGAACGTCTTCGAACTGGGTTTCTCCCCCCTGGGCACCTACCTGATCACCTGGCAGCGTCCCTCGAAGGATGGAAACGGCGACGCCGTCAAGAACCTCAAGGTGTGGCAGGTCGTGAATGAGAACATCGTGGTCGGCAGCTATGTCCAGAAGTCCCAGACCGGCTGGAACCTGCAGTATACCGCGGACGAGAAGCTCTGCGCGCGCGTCGTCACCAACGAGGTCCAGTTCTACCAGAGCGATGACCTGTCCAAGCCTTGGAACCGCTTGCGCGTCGAAGGTGTCGCCGATTTTGCCCTGTCCCCGGGCAAGACCAATTCGGTGGCTGTGTTCATCCCGGAGCGCAAGGTTGGTAGACTCCTAATCCCTCTTTTTTATATGTGTATGTACGTATGTATCTAACTTTCACAGGGTCAACCCGCCGCAGTCAAGGTGTTCGTCGTGCCGAACTTTGCCTCCGCCGTTTCCCAGAAGAACTTCTTCAAGGGAGACAAGGTCCAATTGAAGTGGAACGCGTCGGGTAACACCCTGCTGGTGCTGGCGCAAACCGAAGTCGACCGCTCCAACAAGAGCTACTACGGAGAGACTACCCTGTACCTCCTGGGTGCCAGTGGCGGTTTTGATTCTCGCGTGGAACTGGGTAAGTGGCTATCCGACACCATGGCACGGGATATTTGCTAACCAGTAACAGACAAGGAGGGCCCCATCCACGATGTGTCCTGGTCCCCCAACTCCAAGGAGTTCGGCGTGGTGTACGGCTACATGCCCGCCCGCACCCGCATCTTCAACTTCCGCGGCGTGACGCAACATGACTTCCCCATGGCGCCGCGGAACACCATCCTGTTCTCGCCCCACGGCCGGTTCGTCCTCGTGGCCGGATTCGGCAACCTGGCGGGCCAGATGGACATCTACGACCTGGAGAAGAACTACGCCAAGGTGACCACCGTCGAGGCCGCCAACTCCAGCGTGTGCGCCTGGTCGCCGGACGGACAGTACATCCTGACGGCCACCACCAGCCCCCGTCTGCGCGTGGACAACGGCCTCCGCATCTGGCACGTCAGCGGCGCGCTGGTGTACAACGAGGACATGCACGAGCTGTACGACGTCTGCTGGCGCCCGCAGTCGACCATCCAGCACCCGCTGGGTGATCCCTTCCACCCGCTCCCGGTGCCCCACCCGTCGGCGACCGCCTACCTGAGCACCCGCAAGGCCCCCGTCAAGCCGGCCGGCGCGTACCGGCCTCCGGGCGCCCGTGGTCAGGTCACGCCCTTGGCCTTCAAGCGCGAGGACCAAGGCGGGTCTGCCTTCGTGGCCGGCAGCGCCCCTGCTGGAGCCGTGAACGGTTTCGGCAAGCCGCGGAGACGCGACGTGCCAGGCGCTGATCCGGCCGAGTTTCTGCCTCCGGGAGCCGCTCCTGGAGGCGGCGTGGCCCTGCCCCCTGGCGCGGACCACCCGGAGAAGCTCTCCAAGTCGGCCGCGCGCAACAAGAAGAAGCGCGAAGCCCGTAAGCTGCGCGAGGGCGAAGAGGGCGTCGCCGAGACGTCGCCCGACCGCCGCGGCGAGAAGAACAGCAACGACAAGGGCCACGAGCGAAGCCGGTCCAAGGCGCAAGGCCAGAAGTCCGGCCCGCCAGCCAATGGCACCCCCGCGCCCGCGCCCCCTCCCCCCGCCAGGGAACCCACCCCGCCGCCCGTCGAGGAAGGTGTGCCCTCGGCGCACGATAAGAAGATCCGCGGCCTCTTGAAGAAGATCCGCGCGATCGACGAGCTGAAGATGCGTCTTGCGGGCGGTGAGAAGCTGGAGGATACGCAGATGAAGAAGATCCATACGGAGGAGTCTGTGCGGAAGGAGCTGGAGGGGTTGGGATATTCCGGATAGATCATCCATCTTTGACGCCTGACTTTCTTTGTCAAGAGGTGGGATAGGACGGAGGGTTGGTTCAAGTATGAGTGAGAATAGGCTCGTCTGGACTGGACTGGGTTGCCGCCTATGCATATGTATAGTCAGTTGTTGGTGGTGACCTGACTGTCCGGACTGGCTGGTTCTCGCTCTTACATCTTGTGATTGACGTTCATGACCTATCCTCTCTGTCAAGAATAGAGGAAGAGCGGTAAAAGTGGAGGTAGAAGTAGAAGTAGATGGAGTTGAGAAGGATGTATGTATGCATGTATGTATATACATTGGAGAGAAAATAGTAGAAGCCACCCACACATTTAACTATAACTGTCTATTTGCTGTTCGACTTGTAGTAGTGTGTATACCAATTACTCACCAACACAATATCTAAATCTACACATCTATCTATATACAAAACTAACTACAATAACCTATCATCAACTACTAAGTATACAACACAACAAATCAATAAAGAAAGAAGAAAGGGAATATAATGTCCCCCACCCATAACCCAGCTCACTCATTCCCTCCCACCAACACAACCAACCCACAGTCCGCATCATCTACCAGCTCTGATCCTGACGTGGATACGTCCAACGAATAATTGCCGTCGGTGGTACCCAGGAGGTATGCACACATGTGACACTCATTCGTCTGCCGAAGCAAGACTGGTCTGGATCAGAGCGATAGCTGATTCAAACTGGTTGTTTGGATTGGTTTGTTGGCGGGGGTGCAGTTTGGCCAACTGGCTGGTAGTTAGCTAGATAGCTAACTATCCAGACAGTTGTCACTGCGGGTGAACCGAGTCCCGTCCATAGGACGGTGGATGGGGTCTTGGATTTGATATATCGCAGCCGATACAGAGCTTATCCCGGGAGGGATTTCAAGGCATGGTCCTCGCCTTGCGCTCCACCTGACAGCGCGAATTGATAGGAAGGGAAGGGAACGGGAAGAGCTCTACGAGTAAGGAGGAAAAAGAGAGGACGAAATCGAAGGGTATCTTGATTACCTGTGGATCACACACGTCCTCATTATTCTGATGCTGGTGTATCTGTTGTACAAATAAGGTGGAAAAATTGCGTCAGCAGATCCTGATCGCTATTGAGGCGTATGGTTAAGTGAAAATCCGCGCACGCTTGATCGGACTTCCCATCCCGACGGATCGGTTCGCGCTCGCCATCCCGCTTAGCAGGCGGTCCATTCCGGTCACGTCGAGCTCGCCCCGTTGGAGCATCATTTGGTCTGTCGCTGCCGTTGGGGCCTCGTTCGCTGACTGGCGGAAGGAGGATGCTTCGGCGGGTTCGCTGAGTCTAGGTGCTAGAATCATGATCCGGTGTTCTGTTGTGAGCATGGTGTCGAATTTCTGTCCCGCTGACTCTCGGTTGAGCCGGGATGCTGCCGGGAGGTGGGTGATGCCTTTCAGGTGCTCGCCCATCAGCGTTATGTCTTGGAGAGCGGAGACCCGGCAGCGGTTCGACGCGTCGAATGTCCCTGATGTGCGGACTGCGTTCCGCCATAATGATAGCAAGCTGGGGATGATGGCGCTGTGGTCGCCGTGGCGGAGGAGAATCGACTCGTCTGGGAGCGGGTCTCGGAAGGCATTGGTCTGGTATACCGAGATTTCGCCGCAGAGCGATGGGCTGGGCGGGCTGACCGTGGAGCCCTTCAAGAGCGAGTCCTCGCGAAGTCGCTTGGTGGATGGCGTCAGCGGGGCGAATCTGGGCCGCTGCTCGACCACGCTAGGTCCGGCTGTCTCTGTGTCCTGCCCTCGGAGCAACGGGCTCAGGATCCGACCGCTGACGGAGAATGTAGTCAGGGAGCCTCCGGAGACCCCTTCGATGCTGGCTTGACGGTGGAGCGGGCCCTTGGACGTCCCGGGTCCGGCTCCCTCAATATCCCACACTCCCCATTCACCATCTGCCATGAGGACCATGACCGCCCGGCCGCCGAGGACCCATTCCGCGTTGACGATGGTCTTCCGCCGCGTGACTCCCGACGGGGACTGCTCGAACCCGGGGTACAGACTGATCAGCCATTTTCCATCCGTCTCAGACGTCTCATAGTCATTGGAGCTTGACGTCCGTCGCGAAGACTTGGACCGCTTGGTGGAAAAGCACGAGTAGATCTTGACGCAGCCGCTGTGGAACGAAACCAGCAGCGTGGAATGGCGGGGTGACGGGTAGGGAGACGGGTTGAAGGCGACGTTCTGCGCCGGCGCGGGCAGATACCGCCGCTTCGTCTCGATGTCCTCCTCGTCTATCCAGTATGAACCTTCCTTCTCTTCCACAACCGGAGCACGGTGTAGCACAAGCAATCCGGACGACTCTGCCGAGTGCGTCGCCACGAGAAGGTCCCACCGGCCGGTGCCGTTCGCACTGAGTTTACTGGACGAGCTTCGGCTTCGTGTCATATCCGTATCCTCTTGCTGCTCAGCCTCCTGATATGTGAAAGTCACGCTCACGCCCCGGGGAAACTCCTGGTGCGTGACACCACCCCCGATCGAAAGTATCTGCGTCCCCAGCGATGAGGCTTGCGACTGAGAGTAGGGCGGCGTCAAGGGAACAGTCACGATCCGAGTTGAGTAGTCCGCGCAGACGACCGCCACGACCATCAGTTTCTTTAGAATGGGCGGGAATGGATCGAGCGATGAGCGCGCCGGTTCTGGGAGAATGCGAGGCACGGCCAGGTCGAGAACCCTGCTTCCAAGGGGGATGTCGACTTGTCGGAAAACACTTTCATAAGGATGGGCCGGATCAACCTCGGAATCCTCGGTTTCAAACTGGTAGCTGGGCTCCGCGTTCTCCTTCGGGGATTCTGGCACACTCTCCTCGTCCGAATCGATGATCATGACCGCATCGTCGCTGCCCCGGTTCGCCTTCTGCGGCTTGTCCTCCTTCTCGACAGCGGGTTGCCGTGCCGCAAAGTGTCGACCACCTCTCCAGACCACCTTCAACCCGTTTTCGTATCCGTAGATAATAATCGATGAGCCATTGGGCGCCAGAATCGGGTAGCTCTTTGCTGTGTAGACGCGATGGGGGAGTTGGTGACTACACAATCGTCTGTCAGCGCTGACCCCGAGTCAAGATCTCCGACAAGAATCACCTTAATTGCAAGCCATCATCTCTTGGCCTGACTAGAGGCTTCGATGGAAATGACGGCATCGTTCGTATGGGTCCAGTTCAGTTGGAAGGGCGGTAAGATTCCACCGGGGGAAATAACCGGGTTCGAGTTCAAGGAATTTGGAATGATCGAATAGTATCGTTTCTGAAAATGGTCTATATTGGTGGATTGGAAGAAAAGAAAAGAAGAGAAGGAGAATTGAGGGAGGTGGTGGAGAGAGTTGGTGAGTTGTGGAGGAGAAGAGGAAGAAAAAGCGTTCCGCGATATTTATTTGGCTCGCCGCGTTATTGTTTAGTTTCGGCATTCCCTCCCTCACCATCTTCCTCTCTGCCTCTCTTCACCTTCGCCTTCACCACCCTCCTAACCTAATGTCTGCTTCCAGACAATGAACATGACCTCGTTCTTGGCACCCATTGCCGAGGACTCGATTTCCGTGATTTCTGACCACCTGCGTCGATAATGGCGACCGTTCGATCTCTGGGTCTCCATCAACCCTCCGCTGTTCCCTTCCTCGTCGCAGAAGACCTCCTCCCTCCTGATCCCTCCGAAGACCTCTATACATGGACGACAAGTGTGGTGGATGGTCCGGATGGCCATATCGAAGATGAGATCGTATGGACAAAGACGTGTGTGGTGTGGTCTCGTGCGGGGGTCGTGAGGAGAGTCTTCCGTTTGGACATCGAAAGGGAAGAGATTCGACATGCTCTGCTAGCCAACTTCTCCGTGGCAGGGATAAAGAGGTCCAGTGGTCCGACCTCCCAGGGAAAGAGTGGGATCTCGGTGGGGACAGGCAACGACGGGGCCCGGGCTCGAAGCTCGCACAACCAGCGTCATGGCGGGGAATCGAAGACCGCTTCGTCTGACGTGTCCTGGAACCTGCGTGGCTACGGCTCACCAAGGAATGAGTCTAGAGACGCGACGGATGGGTTGTCGCGCGCGTTGGTGGTGGTGCTCAAGTCCCAGGCGCATATCTTCTTCCTAGCCGGCAATAGTCATGTCGTCCCTCTGCCGTTCGAGGTCGATTCGGTCTTTGCGACGCCCAAGGGGCTTCTATTCCAGAGGAAAACACAAGAGAAGAAATCCGACGATGGCAGCTTTTATCCAATGGCCCCTCCCAATTCGTTCATGTCATCGATACCGGGCATGGACTTCCGCGCTTCCCAGTCACTGGAGGTTCCGTCGGGCAGATCGAAACGGCCCTCGTTGACGGTTTCCCCGGCTGCGAGCTCTACTGTGAAATCGCGACCAACGAAGCATGCAAACTTGCCACGAGTATTCTCCCTCATGGACCCCCAGTCGGAGATGGGTCTGGTGGTGACCAATCAATCCCCCCGCGGATTGCAGTCCAGCGTGTCGAGCAACAGACCATCGGGCTTCGAAGCGCTGGACCCAGCGGATGAAATCGTCTATGTGTCTTCTAAGGATGAGCTTCTAACGTCGAATCTCACGGTGAATAACGGCCCGTTAATCCTCGTGATAACAGTAAACACCAGTACGGGACTCTATACTATCTGGACGGCACGCTACCGAGAGGACGAGCCCGGTCCCTTGTCAAAGCAAAAAGGGAGACGAGAGACTGGCGGCACTCGATCCAAGCGCCGCAGCTCCCACTTCGGGATGACCACAGGGACGACGACACCCGGCGCCCGCCCCTCTGCTACGAGAGAGAGCTTTGGTCCGCGAGGGGATTGGAACGCGTCCGGCTTCTCGCACTCCCAGTACTCCACGGAAGGCAAAGGGGATGACGAAGAGGACCTTGCCTCGAAAATTGGCCAGGATTTCGGGGACATCGGTGTTCCATTAAAGACGTCCAGGCGGGTGAGCTCCTTACTAGCAAGGGCGGATCTCGGCGCCAGCCAAGACAGAATTACATTTTCAGACCTGGCCACGGGGAGTCAATCGAGCTCCACACCACATGGAAATCTACGGCAGTCGATCGGTGCTGCTAGCACCCGTGGCAGCTTCGGTTTCAATCCCAGAGGCTCCCTGCCACCCGGGAGTGCATCTGTCTACAGTACCACCAGCAGCTTTGTCGATGCCCCCGTGGACCGACTGCTGGAAGAATTGAACAACGAAAGCTTATTCGAGGGGATGGAAAACATGGACCTCAAGGAAACCGCTTCGGGGCTCCCAGAGGAGGTTCTGCTTTCCAAGGTGGAGAGCTTCTCCTCCAAGTTCTCTGGGACATTCCAG